AGTATTTCGAGAAGTAAAAGTGAGTCCACATTTTTCTGACATTATCATACTCTCCATAGTTGAGTGTTTGTTGAATATGAATCCACTTGTATTGTTCCAAGAATTGTAAAGCAATATTATTTTCGTATGTTAATTTGAACGATATAGAATCAAACCGTGTAGTTGTCTTAACTCTGCAAAGTTTATGTCAATTGTTGACAACAACAAACTTATTAACGATAAATAGATAGATGGCCAGAAAGAGAACAGCTGTATCTAAAGGATAATTTGTCCTGAGAACGTTTACACTCTATCATTGTGCGTCCCGCGACACGACCGAAACGGCGTTGTTTGACTCTTGTAGGCGTTTAACTGTTGCAGAATATATGAGAAGTTAGACAGCTTATACAGTATATATATATACCAACAGCATGAAACTAGTTGAGTAGAACGCAAAGCAAGTGGAAAGTGAATGAGAATAGATTGAGTTGAACACGAAGTAAGTGGAAGTGGAAGTGAATGAGAATAGATTGAGCAGAATACGGAGCTAGTAAAAAATGAATGAGAACTTGGAGACCTACTTACAGGTTCAGATCACGTGCTGTTCGGAGTGTTTCCACGCAAAAGGAGGAGTGAATGCTTCCGCATCGTGCAATGGACGATACATTGCTTGTATTTTTTTTTTAAATTGTCTGACGTTGTGATAAGGCACAGCTAGGCTGGGGTAGAACATCCAACAAAGTACCAAACATTCGTCTGGAACAGAGTACAATTGAAGTTCTACGGACAGCAGCAAATTTCAAAGGAACGTGCACCAGTAAGTTCAAAGTATGTAATTAGAAATAACGGACTGGAGCTAGAATTAGCAGCGGCGCAAACTTAGACCTTGCTAAATGAAATCTAACAAGGCTGTAATTTGGTGGTACTGAAATGGAAACAAAATGGACTGCGCCGCCGGTGAGCTGCAGCCTCGCCATCGACGCACCTCGAGCGCCACAAGGATGCTCACCGAGTAGCAACCATCACGACATTCCTGCGCGAGACGGCGCGCGCGTGTGTGTCCAGATCCTTTATTTTGATATTAGTTGTCAGACATTCCTTTTGCTATTGCATTTGCATGCACGAAGGAGCAATAGGATTCAGACATATCTGGCTGAAGACTCTGATTCCCTCAGCCTTGTACCTATTCTTGCATAAACGCTACGATCGGAATAAGAGGCCAGGCTAGGACTGAAGAATTCCATGATGACTGTCCACTTTTTGACTTGAATCATCAGTTGAGACGAGGCTGTCACAGCAATGTGGACCGACTCTTGGTGTGACTGTGAACACGGTGTCCAATGAAAATGTGAATGGAGTCATGATGAACTGCTGGGACGAAACAAGCGCACAAGAGAATTAATTGGTGCATCGTCCGAGTACACAACTTTACCTTGACAAGGGTAACCTACTCGTATGCGCGACATATCCTCGGCTTCGAGGTCGTCAGCCTCATGGGTTCTCGGCCTGAAAAGATTTACACGTGAATGACATCAAGAGCCTTGACCCCAAGCGCTTGAGAGCGGCCCAAAGACCTCCAATCATTTCTCATGTCGTCGCGTCGCGGTTTGAGATACGATGCGGGGCAGGATAAGAATGGAGATCTGGTGGATGAAAATGATTCCATGGTGATGGAGGAGGGGTGAACGAGGCTCGGAGAATCATTGTGGGTGGTAGTAGTGGATAGTGGATTCGTGGTGTAATGAGTACTGTACCGTACCGTACCGTACCGTACCGTACTGTAACCCTTTTTGCTGATATCGTGATGGCATCGATAGTGAGTAAGTGGTAGGCTGGCCTGGCCTGGCCTGGCTCGGGGATAACGGTGCTGACGCTTGGCAAGCGAAGTTGGGGGCGATCCCAAGCTATGAGGGCGATGGTGGGTGGCAGCATCGGATCCATCGTCGCATGCCCAACCAAAACCAAATCCACATAATAATATATAATGGAAGGATGAGAAGAAAAGAAGTAGAGGTTCTCGCATGGTGAGTGCAAAGAAAGCAAAAAGTGCATCGATTATTTTGCTTGGTCTTGAGTGATGGGAAGTATATTGTGGCGTTTAGGCAGCCGCAAGAGACGCTCGGTGGCTTAATTTTTGGTTTGCTTCTCTTCTTTTTCTCCCGGCCTGCGAGGACTGGAACTGGGCGAAGATGGAAGATGGGCGAGAAAAGGGCGAGAGAGAGAGTTGGACTGGGGTTGGAAGACTGCATTGAAACCTTGATCCCAGCCCCAGTCGTCGGCTTCCCTGTTTTATGCAGCCCCCTTTCGGCATTGGCATTGGGCCTGGCAACTCCTGTGTCGCCTTCCCAGCCACTCACGGCCGAGAAGAGTGTGAGTCATACTGTATCAAAGATATGAAATATGAAATATGAAATCCGCCCGCCGGGATTATGCTGAACTTATGCTGGGATATGCACTCATCTGCAACCTGTGCATAATTACTGCATTATCCAGCCCTCAGCCTTCTCCTTATTATGCCATATTTATACCTCGTCGCAGCTGGGTATCGCAAGGCTCGAGACATGTGTATGATCGGAGGTCGTCGTGGTAACTCGGTGTGAAAGGGAACGTCGACGGGAAGGGATCGTACTGTAGAAATGACACCTGGTCTTCTCTGCGATGAAGAGGAATGAAATGGAATGGAATGGTGGGTTCATCGCTTTTTTTCGGGCTCAACATCCCAGGATTCCTTTGTCGGGTGGCGAGTGAATGAGTTCGCGACCGCCACCTTTGTGATGGGGACAGTCATTATTGCCTGCCTTCTTCGTGCATCCAAGGCGTGAGCGTGAATGAAATCTTTGACCACATCTTTTCCTGATGAGAGGGTTCATGATGATGATGATGTCGATGCAAATGAGCGAGTGAACAAATGCGACGACATGCCCCCTATTCTCTTCGGGACGGCGCACGGGTTCGTTATCTTCTCCTGAAGTTTTAAGACCAGGTTGACACGAATAAGGGGGCTGATCGAGCCTGTTGATTGGAGCACAGACCGCGCTATGGAAAAGAGAAAGAGCCACTAAGTCGCTAGGGGTGCTAGCGTTGCAGCCTCAGGCTCATAATGAGGCAGCCACTCGGCCTGGCTGCGTAGATAAATAGTGCGGCCCTCGCACCTGCCTTTGCGATCTCCTTCCGCCTGCGCTTGTGAAATCTGGTACCCTGCCTGGTTTTTCCCCACACCCACAACCATTTCTCATCATCCGTCTCCCATCTCTCTCCATTCAAAACAACTTCATCTTCCGCATCTCGACAGCGCACCGTGAATAACAGTGCCCTGCTCAATACATTCATTGCATCAGGTGAATCGCACCGCTCAGTCCGGTTTGTTTATCAGGGTTTTTTCCGTCGCGATCCGCTCTTCTTCGATCGGTCATCGTCATTGTCGCGTCGCATAGACTTGCGCCTCAAAGGACTTCGCACAACCCGAGAGTTCTTTACACACAATACTTAATACTGTCGTCGGTCGCGATCGATCAGGTCGACTTCCGCACACACACATTACCTTCGTCGAGCAGCGACTGTAGGGGAGACATTGAGTTGTTCTTCTCCCACAAACGGTACGGCTTCATCTTCCCTCGGCAAACAAAGACTATAAAAACTCCCACCCCACCTTCCACTCCTCTACCTCATACATCCTCTTCGCAACTTCGACGTCGAGTCGCCATCAAACGCTCTCGAACGTCAAGCGCGCATACAAAACACTCAAGTACATCGATCTGACAGTACTCCTCCCATAGACTTGCTCTCCACCTTCGATCTTCTCGATCTTCAACCCACCCTCGATCTCTCTCAAGATGGATCAAATCCAAACACATCCGTCCAACGCCGCGCAGGCAAAGACCTTCATCGCTCCCGGTTCCCTCTCCTTCCCAGGTGGCGCTGGTGAATTGACTCCTCCCACCGAGGCTGATAAGCAAAATGGTCAGAGAAACGGGCAGATGAACGGTAGTCAACAGCAGCAAGGTCAAGGCCAGTCTGGTAACGGGGTGACTCCCGCGACCCCAGCTGCGACTCCTGGCGCTACGTCGACGGGTGTGAGCGGTATCGTTCCTACCTTGCAGTATGTATAACCCTTTGTGCTCCATCATCTAATACGTGGGGCTTATCTCGTATGTAAAGAAATATCGTTGCCACCGTCAATCTCGATTGTCGTTTGGACCTCAAGACGATCGCCCTTCATGCGAGAAACGCAGAATACAACCCAAAGGTACTTGCTGACTCTTAGGACTGTTCTTCCTTTCTGTTCTGACTAACCTTCCCAGCGTTTTGCGGCTGTCATCATGCGTATCCGTGAACCCAAGACCACGGCTCTGATCTTCGCCTCGGGCAAGATGGTTGTGACTGGCGCCAAGTCCGAAGATGATTCGAAGCTTGCATCACGAAAGTATGCTCGTATTATCCAGAAGCTCGGTTTCAACGCCAAGTTCACCGACTTCAAGATCCAGAACATCGTCGGCTCTTGCGACATCAAGTTCCCCATTCGTTTGGAAGGTCTTGCGTCACGCCATCACAACTTCAGCTCTTACGAGCCAGAGTTGTTCCCGGGTCTCATCTACCGTATGATCAAGCCCAAGATTGTGCTCTTGATCTTCGTTAGTGGCAAGATTGTCTTGACCGGAGCCAAGGTCCGAGAAGAGATTTATCAAGCCTTTGAAATGATCTACCCGGTGCTTCAAGGTATGTTGTACTTACTCACCTTCAACCCGACTCGTGCTAACTTGACTCGAGACTTCAAGAAAGTCTGATCTGGCCTGGCCAAGATCTGCATCAGCGGCTTGATCATTCACCCTCCCGCGATGTACCACCATACCCTCTTCAACTTGTACAAGTATTGTCGATTACGATTTCACGAATTTTCACAAAAAGCTCCTGCTTCTGATGACGACTCCCACACACCCTCCTGACAAAACATATCGTCTCGAGGTAGTCATCAGTCGCCTACGATCATACTGCATTGCACTGGCGTTACTGGGGAAAGAGTCAAGACGGCTCCACATTTGATCCTTTTAGCATGTTGTCCCTTTTTCGAAAGAACATAGATTGCACACCCACACCGATACGGCGATGGCATGTGCGCAGGTCGAAGATGCCGTCCTAATTGCATTTCTGACTTTTCCCATCATGGATCGATCGATCGCAGAGTTAATGGCTCGTTGGTCACTCACACACCCCCCTTCTCCCTCTTCTGATCCTTCCTTATGGCAAGGCAAGATATCAGGGGATTTGTAATGCTTGTTTTTTTTTCATGGCAGCTTCATGGTAGATGAGATCATGGTAGCTGGCCATACACATCGTCGTGGAGGCAGTCCCCGTTTGCGAGAATTGGCATTTGCATTTTACATTTGCACGCATGCATGCATGGCTCTGCTGGATTGCTAGTAGTGGATGGATTTTATCTCTTTCTGCGAACGATGACAGTGGTTTCTGCACGGGCTGTCGTCGATTAGGTCTCATTGCGATAGACTAATTCAACACGATAGATAATACCTCTCCGTCTCTTCATGCTGCTGTGATATGTGACCCAGTATTTATAACTTACTCCCCTCCTTCCTCCTCAACTCCCTCTCCAACACCATCCCCGGCCTCCCTCCCCTCGACCCATCCTCCGTAACCACATCCTCCACAACTTCACTAGGCCATCCCCACTTCCCCCCAAACTCCTCAACCCCCTTCCCCCTCCCCTCAAGCACATCCACGACCCGCTCCCCAATAACAGGCAAGAACTTATACCCATGTCCACTTCCCCCCGTCGCCAGAAAAACACCCTCCATCTGCGGATGATACGTGATCAGAAACTCGCCCTTCGGCGTATCCGTATACCAACATATCTTGCTCGCCGTAAACGGTCTTTCTGCTAGGGAGGGTATCATTTCTCTTAACGCGGCGCGACAGGCGAGTTGGCCCTCGAGGGGTACTTGGAGGGTAGGGTCATCGCGTGTGGTGCGGGGTGTGGAGATGCTGATTTTTTGGGCGGGGGAGGATGGGTTGGGGAGGGAGAGGGGGTTGCTGTATCCGTAGCCGTGGCGGGCTATTTTTAGGGAGGGTTTCGAAGGGTCCGGAGAGGGTGGGATGATGAACATTCCTGTGGACATGTTGAGGAGGACGGGGGCGCGGCTGAAAGATTGCTGTTCGGTGGGTGTAAGGGGCAGGTAGCAGAGGACTTGGCCTGTTGCTGTGGCGCGGCCGCGGAGGTCGATCAGAGTTCCTGTCCAGGCGCCTGTTGCGAGGATGGTGAGGTCTGATGTGATTTCTTGGCCTGTGGATAGTTTGACGCCTGCGATTTTCTTCTTCTTGTTGGAGGTGGAGGGAGAGTATAAGAGGGAAACGGCTTCCCCTTGGAGGAAGGTAACTCGGTTTAAGGCTTCGACTTTCTTCCTTAGGAACCTCATGCCGGCTTCTGCGTCTGCCCAGCCAGAACTCGTGTTGATGTATCCCCAATCCCCGTTTCCGCCTCCAGTCCCCATCTCCTTGTCTATTTCCCTTCTATCTTTCAACTCTTTGACTTTCTGCTTCTCCGATCCCATCTCAATCATATTCTCGAAGCTCCCTCGAACGTATTCTTCTCCCTGCTTCCCCTTGTCACATACCAGTACTAACCCACTTTCCGTATACCGTCCCTCTTCTCCTAGCCCAGCTAGCACTTTTGCAACGCCAGCTTGCTGTGTGCTAGATGAGGATGAAGAGCGCCAAGTTTCCATGGCTTCAGCTCCCATCTTGGCATATGCAGGGTCCGAATAATCGGAGCGGATAATGCGAGAAGTATCTATCGAGGAGCCATCTGGAGAAGGGAATGGTGAACGGTCTAGAAGAGTGATTTTGGTGTGTTTGAAGGAGGGCCGTAGAGAAAGCGACAGAGCTGTCGAGAGGCCAAAGACGCCATGGCCTAGGATGAGGATCGAGGATGGTGGTTTCTCCATCCTCTATATATAATAATCAAACTAGAAAACTCTAAGAGAACCAAATTGAGAAAGAAGAAATCTGCGCAACAATAGCTGTGTAGCACTCCCAAGCAGTGAAGATCTTGACTGAAGGGAACCAAAGATTATATACAAAACAAGCTCGACTAAATATCGAGTGAAATGAGAAAGAAAATGAAATCAAACGATGCGACACCGGTCTAGCTTGCCAGTCGTCAAGTTCTTGTCGAAAGTGGGGTTCATGGTGGGGTATTTGAAGGGCGTGCTTTGGGTTTTGGCGCATGTCGTCGGAAGTGCGGCAGGGTCGTGGTGTTTTGCGGGTTAGCGAATGTGGTACAAGTGTTAATGGATACGAGATTGAAGAGAGTATTTTGAAGATGCTGAAGGAAGAATAGTTGGAAGAGAGTGAGGAGGTTGGAAGATTTGGAAGGAAGGATGGGATGGATCTTTGTTCAGGAATTCCAGGGGTGCATAGGCGAGCTTTGGAAGGTACGATCAGAGCTTGTGACTGTGGCCTGGAAGGAAAGGTTGCGGATGATTCTATGATTCTCCTGAAACTATCTAGAATCATAGGGAGATGTGAATACTGTATGTCGTTTTCGATTATATTCATTCTTTATCTAATTTTGGAACTGCGAAGTCCCTCTTGCTGAGAGGTGCAGGGATCGTAACTCATTTATCTACAATGATTCAAAAAGTCTCTACATATTCATTCACTCAAGGACAACAATTATGCTTCTATAGAATATTCTCAAGTACTGCTACTCGACGTGCACAGTTCTATATTTCGCTCGAACTTGCAACATTTACCCTTAGCTATAAAGAAAGCTTCCCTGTTATTTGAGATGTCAGCAAGAAAACTACTGGCAATAATAATCGGGATTTTTGGAATATCAAAGCATGGGCACATAATTGCTAGAATTATAAGAAATAAATGAGAGCGCTTTTGAACAGAAAGCGACTGTTGAAATTAAAGCAATTGTGAGGAGGTGAATACACTGGGATCTGACCTGCTTTGGACAGCTGGTGGTTCTTTAATTAACAATTGCATTAGAACCAACGACAAGAATACGGCCAGACGAAAATGAGCTGATGAGACAGCAAGCATTGTATTGACAACAATAACTTTAGTTTGTCTGTTAGCAAAAAATAACTTTGTATGCCTGTGAGTGTAAGTCACATAAAATTTGGCAACTCCAACCCGGCCCCAAGAACCCAAGCCATGGAGCGGAGACAGCTAGAGAACTTGTGTTTGACAAAGGAAACCAACCGTGTCGCAGTCTTTCTTTTATACGTCGCAGAACGTCGATGAGTCGCTCACACTAAAGCTCGAAAACCAAAGTGAATCAGAACTATCGTACTGTGTCTCTTTCTAATTCACCTTTTAACGCCGAAAACTAAACAGTGAATCAGAAGTACAACGCTCGAACGTGCTGTCACAACAATAATCAGTTGACAACAACTGTTAGTTAACAATAGCCACTAGTTGACAACAACCACTAGTTGATAACACCCATTAGTCGATAACATTACTTTACTATCACCTCGGAATATTTGCCAACCTATTTACCAACATGAAAAGTCCTCTCCTCTCCACAACACCTGCACCTGGCACCTGGCACCTCCCACTGAGGATCTTTTTTTGGCGTTCGAATATTGCTAAAGAATCCGGAGAAACTTCGGGCGGTCGGGGTTTATATAGATTTTGAGGAGAGCTGTTGGACGGTGGATGGGTTTATACGTGTTGCAAATTCACCTAAACTCACAAAATTCACCCTTTTGATTCGAGTTGTTTTCGAGGTATATAAAGAATCTACTTTTCGAACTTCTAGACAGCAACATCTGATTCTGGAATTATCACCTCTACACATGGCCCGGGCACTCTACACATGTCTTGCTGCCCGGGCCATGGCGACCATTACTCTCACTTCTCAAAGAGTAGATATGCTTCGTCAAGACGTAACATGAATGTCCTTTCAGTGTGGTTTGCGTGAGCTTGTTGTCACCATTCTTACTGTTGTCAAGAAGATCATTCAGCCGGTTGTTGGTAGAAACTAAGGCAACTTAACAACAATAAACTCCTTGAGAACAACACCAAACCCCTATCTTCTGCAATTGAAATAGAACCAAGTCTTGAGCCTCAGAACTAATCCTTAAAACTTCAGTGCGAAGCTTCAAGCAATTAGAAGCACGTAGCCCAAGCAAAGTGTTACCAAACACAGGACATTGTCACGGCAGCCACTGAAAAAATATTGTTGAGAAGAAAGAAGAAAAGAAGATCGCCGAAGCCGAGTATATATAGGAAGAGATCTCAAGCTTCCAGAGCCCGTGATTCAGAATCTAAGGATTTGTTCAAGTGAATCCAGAGCCTTATGCACCAATGGAAAACTTTCTGCATCATTGTGGAGTTCTCTAGCTCCATCATTGATGCATGGTAAGGCAGCTTTTGCCCGTCATTCAAGCCTCGTTATTCACAGGTGTACGATTTCGCAAAACTTGTGCATTAAAGACCGAGGTACCTAGTACCTAGGTGTGTGGTGAACACTGACCAAAAAAGGATTAGCGAGGTCGAAGCCGAGCCTCAATCGCGAACACCTCATCTTGTCGCGACAGCTCTCAGAACTTCTCCACTTTCCTACACCAACTACCGCCCAGTCGCAAATTCTTCGACAAACAAGTCCCACTAATCGCATACGAGATGTAACAATGGCATCCGAAAAGAAAATCGTGGAATTCCCAGACGTTGAAAACAAGCTGCAAGCACCAACGAAGAAATCACTCTTCGAGCGCCAGAAGGCAGAAGCAGAAGCCAAACGCCTTCGGGAAGAAGCAGAAACTAAGGCCGTCTACGAAGATTTTGTCAAAAGTTTCGATGACGAAGACGAGGCTCCTGTGAAGTCGGGCTTTGGAGGCAATGAGGGACCGAGATATGGAGGATTCAGTGGTGCGCCGCCAAAACGACATTTTAACAATGGACCTCCGAGTGGACCTGTGGGTGGGAGAGGATTTGGTACGCCTGGAGATAGGGATCGAAGAGGTGTTGGGAGTGGGCCAGGAAGCTTAGGACCGCCTCCGCAGAGCTTGAATAAGAAGAGAACGTTTGATGGGTTTCAGCAGGGTTCGAGGAATAATGATCGAGGATTGTTAGCTTTCGACGACTACGATCATGACGAGAGACCTTCGAAGCGACCGCTCAACCTGTCCGACGACGAAGATGAAAGGGCAGGCAGTGGAGGGAGGGAGGAGGATAGAGCAGTTGCGAAACCTACGTTGAGACTTGCTTCACTCCCGCCAGGAACTTCGCCTGCTGTTATCAAGGCTCTCCTTCCTAGTAATTTGACAGTCGATGCAGTCAGGATATTACCACCCTCTGGACCAGGCGTATACATGGAGCGAAAGAGCATGTCTGCGATTGTTACTTTAGCAAAAGATACAGCTGGGAATGACATCGATGCCACAGTCAATAGTCTACAGAATAAGTACCTTGGATATGGATACTATCTAAACCTCCATCGACATTTGTCTTCGGCAGCTATATCGAGTTCTGCTTCAGTTCCAGCTCTTGGCACATCCATGGCTTCTCAGCCTTTTGGAGCAAAGGCGGTTGATCTAGCTCCAGCAGGCAGAGGCCACGCTCCACCAGTTCATCAGAGAGAATTCGCCCCGCCAACCTCGTATGCGCCATCAGGACCAGGACAGCTGCCTCGAGGCGGTCAATTGCTACAAGTTCCCGTCCAAGCACCACGAGATATCAAAGAATTGAAGCTAATTCATAAAGTTATCGAATCATTACTTACCCACGGCCCTGAATTCGAAGCCCTACTCATGAGTAGACCCGACGTCCAACGTGAAGAGAAGTGGGCTTGGCTCTGGGATCCCAGAAGTACAGGTGGTGTATGGTACCGATGGCGCTTATGGGAAGTACTCACTGGATCCTCAACTCAGAGAGGAAAGGGCAAATATTTGCCATTATTTGAAGGCTCGTCAGCCTGGAAATCTCCGGATCAACCATTAACCTACGAGTACACAACCCGTCTCGACGAGTTTGTCTCAGATTCCGAATACAACTCATCAGATGACGAAGACTCCGGAGACGAGGGAGCTCGACGACAGAATCAAGCCGGAGGACCACCAGATCCAAACGCCTTGGCAGATGACGGAAAGGCCTATCTCAATCCGCTCAAGAAAGCAAAACTTACACACCTTCTCGCACGTCTACCAACAAGCACAGGCCAACTTCGGAAAGGAGACGTAGCTCGCGTTACTGCGTTTGCAATATCTCACGCCGGACGAGGAGCAGACGAAGTAGTCGCCATGATAATCTCCAACATCGAAAAGCCATTTGCCTACACATCCGCCAACCCAGACCGCCGGAAAGAAAAAGACACGAGTGGCGACGACGCAGCCGAAGACGAAGACGAAGACACCAGTTCCGCAAGTCTCATCGGCGTCTACCTCATCTCCGACATCCTGTCATCTTCATCCACAAGTGGAGTCCGACACGCCTGGCGGTACCGGCAACTCTTCGAAACCGCACTGAAGCAAAAACACGTCTTCGAAAACCTCGGAAGAATGGAGCGAAGAATGAACTGGGGCCGTCTCCGAGCCGAGAAATGGAAAAGAAGTGTAGCGAACATCTTAAGCTTATGGGAAGGCTGGTGTGTATTCCCGCAAGAAAGCCAAGAGTGGTTTGTCAACGTATTCAACAACCCACCTCTCACAGCCGAAGAGGAAAACGACGCAAAGAAGAAAGAAGAGGAGGAGGAGCGAGAAAAGGAAAAGAGCAAGAGTCGATGGAAAGCCGTTGAGGCGCAACAAGAAGAGGCTGCGATCGAGGAAGAAGATGTAGATGGTGAGCCTATGGCTGAAGATGAAGATGTTGATGGTGAGCCGATGGTTGAGGATGAGGATATAGATGGTGAACCAATGATGGAAGACGAGGATATGGACGGGGAGCCTATGAAAGAGGATTCTCAGCCCGCGTCGCCGCAATTGGACAGACCTGTATCTGAAGAAAAGACACCTGCTAAAGTGGATAGTATGCCTGCTGGTGCAGCGAGGAGAAGACCACGGGCCGTGGATATGTTTGCTGATTCTGATGATGAAGAAACCTGAAGTCTTTCTAGGTCGAAAATATAACATAATACCCAGAGATGTCTCGTCCGTAATGATACATGTTTGTAAATATGAAAAGTTTGCTACTGTGTTCGCCTTCTGTTACCTTCTCTGCCTACCTAGGGAAGTTACACTTGAAAATTCCCGGCAAGTGCCTGAATTTTGCCTATATTTGTCACTTGCAGTAAGCTACATCACGTTTGAAGACACAGTACATATAATCGGAACAGTATGTCCATCTAGTTATTTGACATTCTGTGTAACGATAGACTTGCTATTCAATACCTAAAGCCCCGTCATTCTGCAACGACCCGATCTAATCAACTATCTCCATGCTTCTTTCCATACTCAACCAATCCAGTCCACACTCGGATTTCTTGGATCTCGATCGCAATCATCACAATCATGAGGCTCGCAAGGTCCACTTTCAAGCAGACAAGGGTCCCTGAGAGTATGTGCTCGTTTCGTGCCCGTCAGCTGTCCGTAGATACCGACAAGATCTATCTTTGGCTGTGGCGGGCTTCGGTCTCTGACCAGACTCATACGGTCGAAGAATCCAGCTCCGAATTTTCGCGCTGTATTTGCTGGCGACGGTGGTCGTGAATCCTTGGATTCATCAGCAGTCCCCGGACTCGATGGCTTCCTTGGGGGACAGACTGATGGACGTCGCCACTTGCTACTTGGAACCTCTCGCTCTCCCTTGTGTACGTTGTCAATAGTTCGCACACGTTGAACTTTCTGCGCTGGTACGGCTGAACTTCGTCTTCGTTCGTGACCATGGCTACCAATCGCAGAACCCATTTTACTGAGATCACCTGCACGAGGTAACGCCGTTGGATGATCCTTGACGATACTCTTCTTGCGCATGTCAACTCCTTTATTAGACTCTGCGCTGTCCAACTGTGATACTGGTCCAATTGTTGCGTTCCCCTTGGCTGAGCTTTTCTTTCGTAGATCAAAACTAGGTCTGAACTCTATACTCCTGGCAGGTGAGAGTGTACTGGGCGATGATAAATCAGCAGATCGGTGAAGACACGCTTGTGATGCTTTAGGAGTGACAGATTTGGATGATCGCGGTCCGGAATATGCATCTAATCCAAGGTCGTAGAGAGAACGAGCAGCCGTCAGGGGTGGCGTTGTGATCATTTCTGGAAGAGGAGAATACCATTCTTCTGTAGTCTTCCTTGGCGGAAGAGGGGGAAAGGACACGACGTCTTCAAGTGTCATTCCTCTGGACCTAGATTTGTGCAAATTGCTATCTGACGCCGCTGGTCTTGGGACCGGTCGTATTTTGTGTTTCGATCGACTTTTGGGAGTTAAACTTGCCCGACCCTCTACCGGAACTCTCTCTCTCTGTGCAATATGACCGAAATGGTTCGTATTTGATGCTGATATGTCGTTTGACTCCGAATCTGAAGAAGTTACGACGAGAGGGATGTCAATCTGCTCCGTCCGTGATGACCATTCGTTGATTGAAGCATTCGCGTTTTTCGGATCAAAAGCATCACTCCTATCCCCTGTGGTGGAGAAATTCCGTGATGGCTTGCATTCGTGATGTTGAAACATGTCTCGAGGCATACCGAATCCTTGAGAACATTCACAGTAAGGAGATCGCTTTAACTCTTCCTCTTCCGTTGTAGAACTCGGGCTGTTGGGCGACCCTCCTTGCCAAATGACTTCATGCACACTACGTTGAGAGGCCACTCGTGTTAGAATGTTACGAGCCTTACGCACGGGAACTACCTGAAGATAGTCAAATGGGCCGGATCTAGTTTGGGCTTCGGCAACAGTGACTCCCAGATCTGGGAAGCTTGGTGGTATAACAACTCCTTTGCTAGTGATACTAGGAGATCCGCTGCCCGCGGATGATGAGTTCGTGCTTTTCGTATACAATTTCTTTCCGTATTTTCGTTTCAGATTCTCTTCGATCAATTCAGTGATAGATTCGATGTCTTGGCTCGTGATAAGATATGCGGATGGACGCCTCTGTTTCAGGAGTCCTTGCAGCCTTGCTAAGGGCGTGCTTCCACCGGATGGTTCCTCTGATTTCAGAAAGGTACTCGGGGTTTGACTTGTGCCAGACCGAGAACTCAACACACTCGCTCTCCTCAAGGTGATAGATGCAGGAGTCTTGAGTTGCGCAGATGGAATTCTTCGAAGAGCCAGTCTTTCTCGTACGGTACGAACAATGTCATTGTCTACCGCTCCGCGAGTGAATGTCGAACTCCTAAAACGTGGGTCGAATGGTTGAATGATTGTGGCATCTTCCGACGTTGGACTCGCCAATACCGCTGAAGACACTGGTGGTAGTGTCGAAGTCAATTCGGATATGATTTGATGAGCACCAATCTCAACTGAGCTCCATCTTCTAGCAGATGTGGTCTTAAGCTTGGGCGTCATACTAATGGTCAAACGGTCACTCGTATCGGCATTGCGGAGTTTTGACTTTGTATGATGACCGCCATGCCCTTCACACATATCTTTCTGACCTCGTGGAGCTGTCGGTACCACTTGGCATCCTGGCAGCCACCAGTGCGATTGACTTCGATGTTCGTCCATCGTGACTTTGCGGTGTCTGCACTTATGCCGTTTGCTGTGCTGTCTCTTCACTTTCTTTTTTGCTTCCTTGTCATAAGGCATTGTATTGGCTCTTCGTAACTTTTTGATCATCGTCAAGCTAGTCGTACTTCCCCGACGAACCTTGTATGGGGGATTATCGTTATCGCCTTGGAAGAGAGGAGGTGTCAGAAATTCGCTGCTGCTTCCACTACAAGTAGTGCGCCCTATGTCTGATGAGTGAAACGATCCGCCAGACGGGCTGAGAGAACTGGAATATATGTTTGAAGCATTGTCTGACGGCGTGGCTGTCCGTGTCACGCGTTGTGGTGGCGGCGAGAAGTAGTCGTCATTCTGTCTGGGCTGCTCGTTGGGTGGTGGAGTCTTGACTAGAGTAAACGGAACAGATGGTGTTTGAGGTAAACTTAAAGCTCCAGGGCTAGCATTTCGTCTTTTTTTCGCAGGTTTTGAAGAGAAGTATGTATCCTCAAGGCTTGACCTGTCCGCAGGCGATAGTTCCCGTGAGGAAGGATGATCGATTTGGAGGACTGGGGTGGGTTGAGAAGACATTTTAGGACATCTAGGATATGTGAATTGAGAAGATTAACAATATTCCGAGTCAAAGCTCGGTCGGAAGACCTCGTTGTCGAGGATTTGGTTTGGTTTGATTTGGTTTCAGAGAATTGATGACGAAGGATAGGTTCTGGGAATGTTTCTAGGAAGGAGCGACACATCAAACATTTTGATCCGCCGGAGAAATCTGCGAGGAAAGAATGAGTCCAACCGCTCGGGAAATTAGAGATGCTTTTAAAAACCACTGCTTATGATTGAGACCGGCTCGCAGCCCTCTGTCCATCTGACAAACCTAGGGGGCTCTATGACAGCTGCGCCATAAAAGATCTAAATGTAGCTGTTACTTGAAATGTCCTCGTATGCTTCCCACTCGCATCTTAGAATCCAACAACTATATGGCTCATGCGATACACGACGAGGAGTTCTTTGACCTACATACCTATGTGATGATTTGGACGCGAGAAATCTTGTTTTGGTCACAAGCAGTTGTTTGATTTGTGGCACGTTGCATGCCGCAAAAATAGCTTTAATGCAAAATATTACTTCAGATACATGTGAACATAACTTCGGAGAAAAGGAAATTTTAAGCATCATCTCAATGCTTGAAAGTGAATGCGTGGCTCTCGAACTCTTTCCTCGCTTAAAACATTTGTGGCTAAGCTAAAAAGTTCAAAGCATATAGTTTTAAATAAGAGTTCTCTTCCCATAAGCTCACATGGCATTCCATCTAGGCCGATGGTTCAGGTCAATTGTGCGTTAAGAGGTGGAAAAAGTGTAACAACGCCTGGCCCGAGTAGTTAACAACGTCTACACACGCCATGCCGAGGGCAATCCCCCACTCGAACCGACGACAAGAGATTAAGACAATCGACATCGGGTCTAACTCTTTTGTCTCTCATGCCTATTTTCCTTTCTGTTTTTTTGGTGTTTTGTTTACATTTTTGACAGCAAATTTTAAGCGAGAACCAAGACGCGAAAGACAGGCTGACCACCTGCAATTTTATCAAGGTATTGAGCGTATTGAATATACCAGATATGTCAATCAGTTTGATTGACTTCGTCAAATTCATTTTCCAAGTATCTCTCTGCCCTTAGCGGCCATTGCAGCGTTGTCCTGGAGAGTGTTCTCCTTCCATCCATTCAACGCAGCATCAATCATCGTAGCCGCCAACTCGTCAACACGAATGCAAGCTTTAGCCCCAAGCATCCACCCCATGAAATCGCGTGGGTTTTTGAGTTCTTTCTGAATGACAAAACTAGCCTTCACGATCAGCGTTTCCTAGAGTCCTTCAGTCTCTGGTTTTGTAGCGAAGCCAAGCATGTTTTGTTCATTCTGACCCTGCATTACGTTCAGTATAGCAATCTTCTTCCTTTCTCGGCTGCTTTACTTTAATCTTCCTCATTTCTGACTTGAACCACAATGGTTTATCCTGATCTCTTTCCGTTGCAGCTCCACTAAGATGGACGTAACGGAACTTCTTCTTGCTTTCTGGCAAGGTCTTCGACAATGCATTGCCAAAAGCCAGAGGATAATCCACTTCAAGAGCTTTATCTCCTGCTGTGGTTCCCATACACCTATAGATACGATCAGCCATTCTTGCCCCAGAACACGACGCTGGGCCAGACAACCCACCAAATGCAGGCATCTGCTCCACTTAGCTCCGTGAGAATAGAGTCAGGGTAGGAGTTGAAGTCTTTCATGATGACAACATTCAACTTTGGATCTTTGGTAAGTGCTTCGGGTAGGTTTCGTCGAGAAAGTGCCGCCACAGAGGTGATGGCAGGATTTCGAAGACATTGTGACAAGATTTCGCCTCCTATAAAGCCAGTACACCCCGTAAGAATGAGTTTCATGTTGATTTATGACTTTGGAGTGCTGAAGCTCGAAGAGAGTGGCGAGCATTGACCCCATGAGAGGTAGAAGAATAACTGTGTCAGACACTAAATCCGTTAACACCGGAGGGACAGCAGACTAATGAATGAGACGTCCTGAAGCTTTAGAGATAGGGGTCCAAGGAGTTAGAGCATGAAGAGAAACCCGCCTTCAACATAAATTCCGAGCAAAGTCAAATTCGTGGCGACAAGTGAACTGTGTATGTGTAGGTGACCAGGTTAAAGTGGGTCATTCAGGGGAAGCTACCCCACATCTCGCTTGCCCAGAGCGAGACCAAATCTGTACCTCACATCTCCACAGCTATCGCTTCTCCACGCGTTCACAGATCCAAGACATCGTCATGGCTTCGCAGAAAGACCTGCAAGAGCTTTTACGCCTGCTAACCACAGGTCGCAACAAGGTCCCTATGATATCTGCTATGGGGCGCGTTAAAGCACTTCAGGCGGCAAATCTTCGAAGGTAGTTTCTCGAGCCTCTCATTCTCCAAGCCCAGCTAATGTACTGCAGTATCTCGGACATTGCGGCCTCAGACCTTACCACCCTAAACGATGTACTGAAGGACGAAAAAGTAGCCAAGTCGCTCCTCACAGCATGCAAATCCCAGACCAAACCTGGAGCAGCCAAGCGCTCTGCCTCTGAGTCCTTGTCCTCTTCTGCCAAGAAACCCAGGTCCGCTTACGAAATTGCGAATGAACCACAAACTCCTGCCGAGCTCGAAGCTTCGCTAGAACTCCCGCAGCCATCCGCAGACGAAGAAGCGATTTCCAAGTCAGTGATCTACACGAATCGAGCCCCTCTCGTGCTGGCTTTTGCCGTGGAGCTGCTGAAATATACAATGCCTGAACAACCACCGAGTTCGAGACTGAGTATGGCGCAAGCTGTTGTGAGCGTCAACTCGAGAAGCAAAGCAGTTAGTCTGGGGATAGAGAAAGGGAAGGGTGCAGATGAGGAAGGGTGGGGCATGGGACAACCTAAAGTCAGAGTGATGGGGAGGGAAATAAGCGTGCTGAAGAGAACTGGGTATGAATGGAAAGAAGAGATCAAGGTGGAAGAAAGTAATGGACCTGAGAGGAAAATAGAGGAAAGCGCAGACAACACGCAGGACACATTAGTGTCAGAGACAGCTGCGGAGAAGAAGCCCAAGGATGGATGGACGGTTTCTACAAGCGTCACCTCGAAACAATCTGCGTTCGTCGCAAGGGCAATCAGCATTTCATCTCCATCGGAAGCATCTTCCAAACTCCAGAAGCTGTTGTCAGACAACAAGGATCTCAGAAGCGCCAGCCACAACATCACAGCCTGGCGCGTACAAGGAGAGTATGGCGTTATCGAGGATAGTAATGACGACGGCGAATCTGGTGGCGGACGCCATATCCTTGGACTTTTACAGGCAGATAATTTCACAGGTGTCCTCTTGGTCGTATCACGGTGGTACGGCGGTATCATGCTCGGACCCGATAGATGGCGGATCATGTCTCAAGTTTCCCGTGATGCCCTGTCACAGCGTCTACGGGTAGCTGGAGTTATTGGGCAAGAAGCCCTTTGGGGATTAGATTTAGAGGCTATGAGGAAGACGGATGCGCCGGTCACTGGTGGCAGAGTTGCAGGAATGCCGATTCATAAGCCTGAGGGTGCTAGACAGTATATTCTCAAGTCTTTTAGCTCACCGCCTGATTCTGAATCGAAGAAGAAGAAATCAGGTGCTGCGTTGGACAGAGAAAGGGAAGAGAATCTGGGGTTGTTACTTGGAGCACTGGACATGCTATTTGGATCATGGGTGGATCACATCACTCGGGAAGAACTTGACCGCAGAGCTTGGGGTTGGTACGTGGGTGTGAGGCCCGAAGTGGAAGCCGGCGTAGCTGGCTGGGGAGGAAAGGGAGAAGTGAAATTGATTGATATATTAAATCTGAGGAGGAAAGGATGAGATGAATGAAATGATCTCAAGCCCAAGAAACAGTCCCGCAAACAATCGACTCTTTGTTTCACACTCCATCAACTCTATCAAACCAGACTCGCCCATTTGGACCCATAGAAGGCTCTTCTGCTATCCCAAACTTCCTTGCCACGCCATCAGGCCCGATCACGAACTCAGCTGCCACTGCATTCTGGTAGATGGAGCCTGGAACTGTCATCGAGTCCATGTACGCCATGAAGTAGTCCCCAGTGACTTGTTCCAAGTCCATATGGACGTTGTACGAGGCGTATCTGTCAATCTGAAGAGTATCGTCCTTGACGTATATCGTGAAATTTCGGAATCCAGGATTGTAGTACGTCCCAGCGTACCTCTCTAGTTGGAGACTGAGAGGACGCTTGTCGAGTGTATATGGGTAAAAGTTCGATTGTGCGTCATTGTAAAAGTTGATCTGCTTGAGTCGCTTTCCTTTGTGGCTGATGAACAGTGAGTCGGTATCCGAGGAGGCATAGGAATTGCGACTTACTATTCTAACCAGTTAAATCTCTGAGCATGAGACAGCCCGATCTTGTCGTCAAGCAACTTGTGAATGAGCTCTATGCATGCGAAAGTGGATGTGTATGCAGTATTGCCGCTAGCCACAGCTGCCCAGTTCAACTCAGGGATGAAAATGATATGATTACCAAATGCTTCAATGCCACCCGAGTGCATGAAAACCTGGTAGCCGTTATACCAATCCGTCTCCCATCCCAGTGTATAAGCCATAAATCCAGCGTAAGGGGAGCCTTCTGGTTGGTCGGCGATGAATGTTCGAGGACTCTTGAGCTCTTTGCAGTCGGCTTCTGTCAAAGGGGCTGAGCATGAGAGAAGGGCTCTTAACCATCTGGCGTGGTCGTGAACGCTGGCGATGATACTTCCGGCTCCGGTTATAACTGTCACATCTGGGTGGGGAGTTGATTCGTAGTGGTCTTCCTGCCAGCTATAGCCTACTGCCATGCGTTTCGAGGCAGCTTTCTTGGCGTCGGTAAGAGAGAAGAACTTTCGAGAACGTTAGCACGGTACTAGAAAACGTACAAACAGGACTTGGCTCTAATCAGTTAGAGATTTCAGGTTCAGTCTCCCAAGCAGTCTCTTGTCGTATAATATGCCGGACTTTGCGCGCGGTTGTATGCTCAGATCATTGTCTAATGAATAAAACTTACAGTCGATTTCATTCCCAACGGCCCCCATACTCTCTCCTTCAAGAAATCTGCTATTCGCTGCCCAGACATGGTATCAACCACATAAGCAGCTGCAACATACATAATGTTGCTGTAATGGAATGTTGATCTTGGCTCCGATGACATTGGTAAGTATCTCAAAGACCTTACCACGTCCTTCGGCGTGCCCATATGTCCACCGTAATCGCCACCGTAACTCATATCATGCCTTGCCATGCCAGTACGGTGGCCTAGAACATCTTCGAGGGTGATATGCTTGGTAGCCCATTCATCCTCCAAGACGAAATCCTCTCGAATGAGAGCCGAGACTGGTGTTTGCAATGTGAGGCCGCTGTAATTTCCCGAAGTGATGAGCAAGGACACAGCTGCTGCGGTGTGGGATTTGGTCAAGCTACCGCCATAGTATAGTGTCTCGGACGTGGCTTTGATGCTCGGTAGGGTGGCATATCCGTAGCCCTGTTTTCAAAATGTAAACAATAAGTCATTATTTGAAATGTGCACGATTGTTCAAAGTACCACAGGGACTCGAGCCAAAGCCTAAGGCGAGGAGTATGAGAGCAGCGTACCTCAGCCCAGATATCATGACCGTCAACTACAGCTATAGACAGCCCCGGGACATTCCATTGGTCCAATGTGTACTCCGCTAACTCAGCAAACTCTTCGTCAAGAGGATTTGTTGTATGCATTGGCCTTTGGCTCTTCCTGCCAAGAGCAACAGGAGCGAATGAGCATAATAGTAACGACAATCCAAGAATTCGCAACATGTTGAAACAGCGTGAGAGTAATTAGGCATGCAAACGTGATAAATGAAAGCGTCAAAACTTCGACGGCTACGTAGTATTATAGGAAGTCGTGAACGTCCATCCGAGGCAATTCTCGGTACCATAGTAATGCAAGATAAGAACTTTTTTCTGCATGTATACTAGTACAATGCAACCAAATGTGACATGTACAAGATAAAGGATTTCTTGTGTCCGAATGTGGCTTAGAAGGAAAGGAAATCGTGACTTGTGATACTTGTGTACCCACCGATCGACCTTTGCTGCGGGTCCTAGCCTTATAACAGCCTGCCAGGTCACACCAGGGAAGCCTCCCGAATCTCTCATCTTATTTTTCATATGATTTCCATTAATCTACCACAATGCTGGGTATCACCGAGATGGTGATTGTGTCTGGGTATTTTGATTCTTACAAGGTTTTGTGCTGCAAACCACCTCCCAACACTCCGAAAGAACTTGCTCCAATGCCTTCTTTCCAATGTCCACAAAGCCTGAGTGGTGTAAATTATTGGTCAGCAAGGAGCTGCAGCTGTATTTTCACAATATAGCGCATGGAGTATCGTTCATAGTTCCTCGTCATCATCCATCTTCACCTCCTCGACACTAGTTTTGGGAAGTGGGGTTTGTGCGGCTTCTGCTGCTGCTACAACGTCTCCTAGCGAGCTGGTAAACCCTGCTCCTAACCGCTGTTTCATAGTGTCGTTGTCAATGTCATAAAGACTTCCTCTATGCTTCTTGAGTGGGCTGCCTACGATAGAATCATCAGGCAATCCTCCAAAGACATTGTTTGGCAAGATATCCTTGGGAGCCGAGCCAGTTTCAGGTTCAGCTGGAGGAGTAGCACCAATTGATGTCGTACCGGAAGCTGGCGACTTGCGAGAATTTGCACCGAGAGGCTCCGCAGAATGTTGTCGCTTGAGCTATGCAAATGTTAGTGATATATTTTGACTGAAGATCAGTCAGAACATACCTTGATTCGTCCTACACCATCTGCCAGTTCGCCAGAGAACTTTGCATCATCAGGACTTAAAAGGGTCTTGACATCCTTGTCGTCAATATCCTCCATCTTTCCGACGAGTTCAGGGTCATCTTCATCCTCATCACTGTCCTCTTCCATTGCACCTCCAAGGCTACCGTTGCTCTTCTTCCTGGATTTAGATTTACGTGCGGTAGGGTCGTTCTCTCGGAAAGCGGAAAAGCCAACGGTGCCTCTATCAGGCTTCAATGGTCCAAGATTCGAGAAATCCAACTGTGTTGATCGTCTCTTGGTCGTAGCGGGTGTGGCCTTCTGTTGCTTTGGAGACACGATTCCCATCTTTTGTAGTTGTCCTGGTCCTAATGTTAGCACAATGATATATGTAGAGGGGGTCCAGAACTTACGCTCTCCTCGGTAGAAGAATGTGAACGTAGCAAACGGCTTATCTGGCCCATCAATGCCCGTTACAGTTTGTGTACTGATAGACTTGGGATCCAGCGTCTTTGGCTTTGCAAAGCTCGTAGTATGATCAATATCTGCCTCATCACCACCCTCCTTATTGTCCTCGTCATCATCGTGAGCGTCGAATTGTGGAGAATATTCGCCCCTCTTGATTTCACCCGATGCCAGCACACGAAACATAGCAACCTTAATTTGACCTGCAGCCTCTGGTGGTGAGTCGTCGTCAGAATCAGAAGATAAATCGTCGTCATCCCAGTCATCGAGCTTCTCCACTGGTGATTGAGCATCCGGTCCATATCTCAGAACTTCTCGAGGTCCTAATGGCTTTGAGGTAGTCTTGGTCAAGTCTTCATCACTGCCGTTCTCCTCCTTCCTACGTCTGCGACGCTTCTCGAACTTTTGTCTGCGCTTTTCGATCTTGGCAGCTGCATCCTTGCCCTCGAGGTCAAGCCCATTCAGCCATCTCTCCAAGCCAACCTCGCGAAACAGAAACTCTCTCTCTGCTAGACCACCCCCTTCCGACTCAGGAACTTGTACCCAGCGCGAGTTTACCCATGTCTCTTCTCCCGGTCGAAGTAGAGTGGCAACCTAAAATTACGTCCTAGTCAGTTGGGCTCTCTCGAAAGCGGGGTTTGAAGCCGCTCTGGACATTGCCACTTACCTCCTCTTTCAGCCTCCCATCGAAATAGATATAGGCAGCAATGGTTTCATTTTCGGACTTAGTGATCGGGATATAAGGACCAATACTTCCAACGTAGCTACCTCTTTGCGGGCCGACACCAGGTAATCCGCCAACAGTCTGCGGTTGGGGATGTGGGTTCTCTGGCGAAGGCTTTGGAGTGGAGTAAGGTACAGCAAGACCAGGCGTAAGGAGAGTGATCGAGATGGCGAATTTGGCGGGTTCGGGTTTGGTCGAGGAGGAGTCTTGTGGTATCTTCGGCTTGGGTACTGGGATATAGGTATTCACGCGTGAGACTCTCGACTGCTTCTGAATAGAGTATTCTGGTAAAGGAGCGCCTTCACTATGGATCGAGACTGCAATTCCTTTAAAGGCGGGCTGAACAGTTCAGTATTTGAGGCAGAAAACTGCAGAGTAGAGGGAAGTGGAGGGAGGTTGACAGCTCCCATAGAAGTGTCTTCCAACGAGATCCCACATACCATTTTGGTCAAGTATGCCGCGGCAACCGAAGCTGCGCAACTTTGGCGGACAGGAGATGGGCTGCTTGTCGAGTACTGGTTCTCGGACGCAAGTCGTTGTCGTTGACTGGAAGTTGGTTGAGGCTGGAAGAGGCTATAAGCCAGACGAGCCAAAGTCGAAAGGATACAGTAGAGAGCGTTGCGCTCAACCAGCGAGACAGGTAGACTGCAGGTCGCAGTCCCACTCGCGCGAAGCCTTCAATATCTCTTGAATCGATTTGCGCGAATGTGTTCAGAATTAAAGAGGTGGTGGTGGTGGTGTTTTCGTTCTATGAACGGGCTCGGCAAGCCTTTGGCGTAGCTTCAACGCGGCTGGAATCCGGAGTCAATAATCCGGGTCACGTAGCGGTATCACGGATTCACAAGTCATTCGTCATAATCTCCCAGATTGTATCGCACATTGACAAGTCATTCAAAGTCTGTCGCTGAAAAAGAAATGATCTATTTATTCTTTTTCTACACAACTGGTGACCACCTTGCGTATAAACCGCGAGGATTATCCTACCTCTCCTTCGCCAGGTACTGTAGAACAAACGGATAACCTCGTTGACACCAATAAATCTCCAGTTACAACAGTTTTACGCAGCAATAACCTGAATTTCAAGTTTCCGAGACATGACCTTCCCCACCCGCACCCTCGATATCTGTTCTTGAACTGTCAGAAAGTTAGCTATTATTCTAACACATCTTGAGACAGTAGAGCGTGTGGTTTGAATGAGTTCAGACTGTTGAGCTTGTTGGTTGACTCCTCATGGCTAATAGGTTGGCCGTTCTTAAGGGCAGAAGTTGGGTCATCATGATAGGATTATTGGAATAGTGGCAAAAAAATAGCAACTTACTAGGTGGATAACCTTTCTATAGGGAGCTTAATTGATGTTAGTAGGTAGGGAGTGAAGAATTCATATCATGCTGAATACTAGGTGTAGGTAGAGCAAAGTTGGGTTGACTTGAGCGTTGTGCAAGAAACTTGAAAGAGAAAGGTTGGAAGGAAAATAGACTCGAGATTTTGAGACTTTATTTTTAAGTGGGCCGCTAAGAAATCAGGTCACGTGAGAGCCTCGGTGGGGTTCTGTTTTGTGCCCCCCTTCGTGACAACAGAACATCGCAACCCAACTCCCAGCCGAACCCAAGTTTCTTTCAGAAAATTCTTGAAACAGACCATCAAAATGGCCAGTATGTTAATACCCCAAAATATCTGCTCGCCTCTGCGCATATTCCTGTCTCTTACAGCGCGTAAAACATGCTAACTCGCTCTTCAGACTTCGCAGATGTCGCAAGTAAGTGAATATCTTCCCAGCGGGGCCTCTAGACTTCGCTGTAAGGCCTATGCAAATACTTATACTTCCGTTCACAGAGCAGTTCACGGATTTCTATTACAATCAATTCGATGCGGACAGGAAGCAACTGGCGGCTCTCTACGTAAGCTTTGGTGGTTTACACTGGAGGACCTCTGCTAATAAGTAATAATACAGCGTGAAAACTCAATGTTGACTTTCGAGTCAGCATCTGTGATTGGAGCTCCTAGTATTGTGGAAAAACTCGCGGTAATGCCTCATTGTTCTAGATGAAGATTACTCTTCTAACCATAAATCTCTTTAGTCTCTTCCATTCGAGAAAGTTAAGCACGCCGTCGGCACCCTCGATGCACAACCTGCTCCCCACGACGGTATTCTTATCTTGGTGACAGGTGCTTTGCTGGTTTGTGACCATTGGATGAAGTAATGTGCGACGGGCTGACAGTGCCTTGTCAGGTCGATGCTGAAGAACGTCCTATGAACTATACCCAAACCTTCCAACTTCTCCCTGATGGCGCCGGAAGCTTCTTCATCTTCAACGACATTTTCAAGCTGGTATACGGATGAAGCATGAAGTGGGGCGTAGATGTGGTTGGTTACATACGGAGTTGAGGGGGGGAAGCTTTGTTTTGCGAGCATTATACCGATCCTCTACAAAAGAATGCTGCAATAATACACCGACATCACGATGGATTTGCGAGCTTTCGATTTCAGGCCATCACCCTAGGTAGCAAATGCAAGTCTATCTGACTTCAACATATGACGTGGCCCTTGTTGTGCTGATTCTAGGCATCCTCGATATGTGACAGTAATATCTGTGAAACTTGTGATACAGTCTCAGAGCCCAATACCTATTCAAAGGATGCCTAACATGGTATACACACAGGCATCTCTTTTTTCAAGTCTTGAAGCTTTGAAATCTCTTAAAGTCCTCAGTGAATTGGGACTTCTGAGACAATAGTACAAGGGGTCGAAAGTAACATACCAAAGTTTCAATTATGCCAAATTAATTATCAACAAAATGTTCCCAATCAGAACTCCTCCAATTGAGAGGGTTCACGTTGTCGTTGCCTTGCTAGTTTGAGCCTCATCCGAAACCAAAATAGGCCTGGCTCCGTTGCCGACGAATTCATGGTGTGGCTGAGAGAAACACAGCTCGGATCAGAATGTCAAATCGCCCGACACGTACATCTTGAGAACAGATCGAACCCAAACCAGAGCTTTTCAAACTTCTTTCATCTTCAAACATTCTGCCCAATTCTGAAACTCTTCTTCTGCCAAGAGGAACACATTGCACGCCGACAATAACACGACTTGCAAGGCTACGCAAGCAATAAAACATACCGATCTCAACAATCAACCTACCATTCCTGATCGCATCGCAAGACAGTCAAGATGACGATCGCAGAGGAGTTCGCAACCAGGAATTTCAGTAAGCAGCATTGGGACAATTTGAATGATGAATGGTTTGGCTAACTGCGAATTCCAGGCATTTATGGTCAATGGTAAGCACAGCTTCTCGCACAGTCCGTCCTTCATAGAATTATCACAAGCCGTCGCCGTCCAATGGAGCACAAATACTGCAGTCTCTTCGACGGCCGCAGAACGATCATATTACTTGGAGAATCTGTTTATTCAATGCCAGGCCGAAGCTGGCTATACTTCTTCAAAGCAATCCATTGCTGACACCTTGACCGCGGCAGGACCGGAGTCATATGCATATTCCTATGCTTCGCCCTTGGTATCTCTCATCTCTTCCATGTTAGCATCATGATCCTGTTCGGAGCTCTCTGCCTGTAAGTAGCAAATCTACAATTCGAAATACAAAGCTAACTCTCCACAGCGCAAGCTCCTTCCTCATCATCTTCATCGAAATCCCTCTCCTGCTTCGCATCTGCCCTACATCCGCCAAGTTCGATACCTTCATGCGCCGATTCACAACGAATTACATGCGCGCCGGAATCTATCTCGCCATGGGTATTGTCCAGTGGTTGTCCATCATCCATGAGGCATCAAGTTTGATCGCAGCAGCTATCATGCTGACACTTGCTGCTTCATTCTATGCTCTCGCAGGTGTTAAGGGTCAAGGCTTTGTTGGAAGCAAAACTCTTGGTGGACAAGGAGTTGCACAGATGATCATCTAAGGCTAGGAGACGACTGGGATGGGTTGAGAAGAAATTGGACTACTAGGAAGTACATCGGAGGAGGATTGAGGAATGCGATGATGGCGAATTGAAGTAGAAAATGGTGTGAGCATGCGGTTTGGGGCATGGCGTTCCGGATTTGCGGGCTGGTTGATCTGGCTGGATGACGAGTTTCTTATTTGCAAGAAAGCTTAGGGAGTTTGACCGTGTACTTTTATACCTCCTCTGGAGGTTATTCTGAAGCAATGCAGTCCTTTTTTCTACACAAGCATTTCAGTACCAGAGTAGACTACTCTGGACAACGGCCATATTCCCTGCAAAGGTTCTAGTCTCACCAGAACCGGAGGTTTGTCCTCCCCTGCCAGGTATTGAAGCTTAGCATACCTATTGTTCGGGTCACGAGCATGATCAGACTCTAGCCAAACTCGATCTGAAGATCTCACGATGTTCCTCGACGTAAGACTTCCTTGAAAGGACCTATCCTGATTGGCATCAGGTACAGGCCTAATGATCATGCGGGGAAATCCTGGACACTAGCACGACGGATGTGCAGGCACAATTGTCAGGTGCCAATAGAGTTTTCCGTGTCACTAACTGTTGACGGCATCACCGACATCTTGCTTCCCCATCCCATTTCAATTCTCTCTCCCACGCAGACGTAGCCGATGTGAAGCAGAAGATCGGACGCGGGGGAGGACGAGAGCATGGCAACACGGTCGTGAGAGATTTTCTGACGCTGCTGGTGATCATCGAGAAAGTATTTAGCTCATTCAAAGCAGGCTCTCATGGAGACGGGTTTGACGACTAGCCGGGCGATGGCGAGTAAGTGGAGTTCTGGGCCTTTTGGTTTGGCGGGGCCCAGCGTTGGAGGGGCGTTTCCTGTCCGACTTTTCTTCCCCTGCCACAAATACCGCTCCTCACTGACTCCACCAAGGCCTATCACAGTGAGGGAATTCCCACCGGATATGCGTGAGATCTCCAATCATCATAATCACCTCAGCTGTTAGTGGTTGGGGTGATCGTGTGTATTGCATTGCATTCTCTAGGCGGGAGAGGAAGTGTTGAAACGTGAATCGCAGTGGTCAGCTCGACTCTTGCAACTTCACAAAATTGGAGACTCCGACTTGGATTCTGGATTCGGGAACACGAACGGGTGAAAATTCAACGTGCTAGCCGATGGTGGCTTAGATTTGCTCTGGTTCTGAGGGACATGAAATGACGAACTTGTTTCGTTTAGCGTCATCGCCTTACTACGGTTCAAGTATCTAATGGACATGACCTCCCGCACAGCTCTTATCCTACAACTGTTCACTTTGCATTCTTCCATGCATAACTCACTATCATTGTCCTGCACGGCTTCAATGATTGACCTTTGAAAGGCTTTTGATTCTTCTTTCAAGCCACCACTATGTAAGTCCTGCATTCATGCCCATTGTCCCCTGCAGCTCAGCTGTTGCACGAATCTTGATACAACTTGGGTCACAAAGGCTTTGGAGCCGAGCGGCCTGGTATCACTGCATCCATCAGCAAGTCAGATCTATGCACTTATTGGCAGACTTCGACACGTTGCCAGCAAAACCACTTGGCTGTCAATCCCATATTTAAACAGCCAATTTAGATAAACCACGCAGCACATGCACCCAAGAGCCAACGATCACCTTCCCATCCTGACCGCGTCATTGGCTATTGCGTTACTCGCTTCACTCTCCTGGCTGCATGAAATACTAACAAGAGGAACCCAGAATTCCAGAACCTCGAGATTCTCAATTGTGCACTTAACCAACACCAGACACAATGTCGACTGCGATGCCACAAGTCCCTCCTCGTCCTACCAGGACCCAGGACCCAGCAACCGGTTCTGGGAGCTCCCTTGGTAGCGATATTCCCAAAATTCCTCCACGCCCGATTAATCGTCGTCTTGACCGCTCAATCTCACCATCTCGCGAGAGCTTTGCTCGATCACCTCTCAACGAAACTCCCTTCCTTGCCAACCATGGAAACCAAAGCAAATCCTCCTTGTATGCTACGGAGAGCGCCAACAACTCGAGTTCGGATCTGCCACGTCGTCCCTCCAGCGTTGCGCTGCCATCTATTGGGCAGGAAGGAAACGAGTACGCAGATGTGTTTGGAGCTCCAGAAGAGCTAGGAACCTCACCTACACAAACCCGAAACATTGCCAATGATCTCAAGCTTCATGCTCCCAAGCCATCTCTGCCAACTTCCAGCGCCAAACAACGAGTTTCCACTGTCACTCGTACGGATTCTGGCCAAGCTGCCGCTTTCGGTATCGGCAAGGCTGCAATTGATGATAAGGAACCTGCTTCGAGACCTTTGAAGGCCAAGGCTAGCTTTGCTAGTGAAAAGTCGAATGGCACTGAACGTCCTCCTTCGAGTCTCGAGAGCGAACATGGTATACCCGAAATCGGCCAGCGCGTACCCATGTACCCAAATGCTGGAGATGTTCAAGCTCCATCTCCAGCTCCATTTGCTCAGCCATACGCTCCAGGCATCGGATTTCATAATGATGGGTCAAAACCAAGACATCATGGCCGAAAGACCAGTGCTCGTGGACACGATATTCCTCCTGATGCTTAGTAAGTGGTCCTACTTATGACTTTAAAATATCATCGACAAGACCAGGGACATAGAATTCTTGTTAAATTTCCTCTCTTTTCAACATACCTATTACAGTCTTGGGATTGTGTTGTAAATCATGGTGGTAGCTAACTTTACTTAGTGGTCGTTACGGTCACGGAGTCGTTCCTCATGATCGCTTCGAGAAAGCATATTACGAAAAGCACCCAGAACTTTTCAAGAAAGAGCTTGGACAATACGGAGAGGGCAGGCCAGAATGGGCCATGAGTAGTGAGGATCTCAATAAAATTGTTCGAGACACCGCTAGCCGTGGTGCCGGACTTGGTAAGGAATACAGTTGTGCAATTTGCACATAAGACACCGCAATATCTAATCAAAATTAGGTACATCACCTGCTGTTATGGGTACTCCATCTGAGCAGATTGGGTTCCAGGCCTCCGAGGAATATACCTCCCGCATGTCGTCTCCTCGTCCTCAGTCTAGCAACCTTCATCTTGCCCATGGAAACGCTTCTGACACACATGTCGACTCTCCATTGAGAAAGGAGTCATTTCCAGGTGACCTCCCACCCAAAGTCGATTTTGAGGGGACACTATCTCGAAATCTCAATGCACCTTCAGACATCTCGTTAGAGAGTGAAGCCGAAGAAGAGGGTGTCATTCACGTCGATGCTCCTGGCCGCCGCGTTAGCAAAATCTACGGAGGTGACGGACATCTGGATTCAACTGAAGATCTCGGTCTCGGTGCTGAGAACGACGGTATTCATGATGAGCATGGCTATAGCGCCCCAATCCTAGCTTCAGATGAGGTTGCCAAGGAGCCATTTGGTTGGGAACTTCAACCAGCTGTCTCTCCCAACAATGAGCGACGCGGCAGCGCCTTGGAAGATGGCATGTACCATCATAGATCCGGTAGTGCATCGAGTCTTTCTGGCAGCAGACCTACGAGTCGGCCTGGAAGTATTCATGGAACCATCCCTGGTCTTCGACTTACGGAATCAAAACCACTTGAAGATTTGGATGAGTACGAGCCATTATTCCCCGAAGAAGAGAAGAATGCTGCTAGTATGAAGAGACCATTGACCGCTGCGGACAAGCTTAAGCGACCTGAGCTCAAGAACCGCAAGTTCCCAAGTCAAGATATCTGGGAAGACTCTCCAAACAGTTTGCAATATACTGCAACTGTTTCTACACCACAACTGCCGGAGGAAAAAGAAGAAACCCCCGAGACTGCTCGTGAAGGTGAGACCTCTGCACAAGCTTTCACACGCAGACAGGAGGAATTGGCTGAAGCGGAGTCACATGACTCGGAAAGCTTCTTGCACCGAGAGAAGAAACCTTGGGCTCATAAGACCCACTTAGTGGCGGAGACGAGACCCGGTATGAAGCAAAGATTTCCTAGTCGTGATATCTGGGAAGATACACCCGACAGTTTGCAACTGCAGACTACAGTGGCAGGTCCACAATCAGACGAGAAGGACATCTTAAGCCCACCAGAAGAGCGACCTACCACAGGAGCAGTCACTTACCATCAAGAGAAGGCCGCAACTGGATTGCCCCTTAGCAGCGAAGAAGGTCGTGCCACTACCGGGATTGCAGCTTTAATGAAGCCTCAAATTCCAGCTCGTCCAACCAAGTCAAAACCGTCAGAATCACCAGAGAGGTCACAGCCAGCAGTTCCAGAACGTCCACAACGCTCAAAACCGGCTACTGGTGTCGAGAGCACTTCACCTCCAGTGCCAATGAAGGCGAAGCCTGTGGTTCCTGCTCGTCCTTCAAAACCTGTCACGCGTGACTCGTCAGAGAATGTGCCCTTGACCACGGTTCCGTCAAATTCTTCTGCGAAATCTGTGGGCTCAGATCAAGGTGTAGCTGCGGCTGCTAAGCCTAAACCTCCCGTTCCTTCAAGGCCTCTCGGTAGCAAGATTGCAGCACTTCAAGGTGGCTTTATGTCCGATTTGAACAAGCGCTTGCAACTTGGCCCACAGGCACCCAAGAAAGAAGACCCAGCACCTGAGGCAGAGGAGGAAGTGAAGGAAAAAGCACCATTGTCGGATGCGAGGAAAGGTAGGGCTCGGGGACCCGCCCGAAGAGCGCCGGCTAAGAGCCCGGCTCCTGCTAGCGCGCCCGTTACGGGAACGTCAAGTACGCTGTCATTCTCGGCACCATCGACCTTATGGGCTATCGACCCGGCGGAAGATCGAGTCTACGTGGCTTTACATGATGAGGCAGTACAACACGACGTCACTTCAAAAGCAACTGAGACTGAGACTCCAACGCTTGGAACAAACACCTCAGGACAGTCATTACATGAGCCATCCGAGATCGCTTTAGATGCGGAAAAGCCCGTCTCTCTACCCTCCGTAGTTCCTGAAACTCAATCCGAGCATGTGGAGAATGCGGAGAAGGAAATTGTATCAAGTGGATCTGACAAGCATGGTCTGGAGCCGCTCAAGCCAAGCGACGAACCACCCGTCATTTCCCAGAGTCTCGCTCCAGAACCAGCTGAGGCAGAAGACCTGTCTGCATCGACAGCGACTCTGAAGCCCAGTACAGAGGATGTAGAATAGAAGTCGCGGTGAGGTTATTTTCGGGAGATGTTCCTAGTTTTCGAAGAATTTAAATGCATGGTTCTTCCTTCACCGATCAGTCATACATCATGTGAAGGTAAAAAGTGTCGTAGTGGAGTTTATTCGCACTAGTCCCCCCAAAGTAAGGTTGCGAGCGATTCCCCCACAAAATGGTTCTGTCCTTCCCTCACCTTAACCTGCACACAGTCTCGAGGTCTAGAACTTGAATCTCTAATATCCGGCATCATCCTCATACTTAAGTCACAAACACCTCTCTATCTATAACAATAACTTACAGACTACAACAATAGCAGTATATGCATATAAAATTCCACAAGCAGTACGATTCTTCAGAATCTATATTTTCCAGCAGTGTCGTCACCACTGTTGAGTAAGAACTCTGTTTACCCTGGCAATGCTGTCGTTCTAACAAACCACATTCTAAACCGACAATCTCGACACCCCCGCACACGAGGAAAAGAATTGTGGCCTCCGTAAAGGTCACGAAACAACGATGGACCGGCAACGAAGACGTCATGAGCGCCTCGACGTCGCAGGCCGTAATAAAATCATGCTTCTGTCCATGTGGCCATTCTTGATCTTCTTCATGATCATCACTGGCTCTCAAACACGCCCTATTCATGTTCTGCAGAATCGAGGACTTCTTCTCCTGAGGAGAGAAGGAGAGGTTAATCCTGTCAAAACAAAGAATCCAACGAAGCCAGACCCAGGCATGGCTTATCCCAATACCAATATTTTCGAGAACAAGATTTTCAACTACAGCGAAAGTTCATGGAGCATCACTGAAACGGCATTCAATCCTGGTATATTCTATTCGAGACTTCCGCAAGCAAACGGGTAAGTGGTCAATATTGGCTTCTGCTACGGCCAAATTTAACTTTGGGCGAAAATGACTAATATTCTCAATAGATATATTGGCACAACGGTCTCGGCAGCAGGGCCGTTCTTTGAACGAGATGTCAATCAGACGAATATAAATGGCAACACACCAATCGAGGGATGGCCAGTGGATAACGTCAGGCAAACATTCTCGACCGTCTCAGGCTTCTACGATTGTCAACCAAACACAACCAGAACGAACTTTGCTGATTTGGTCGATCGTGGCTGTGAGAGTGTGATATCTGGGATCCCGCATCCAATGGCAATACTCTTGACTATTGGCAACCAAACACTTGACTCGACTGTAGATCCTAGGACAATCAGCAATTTCTCAGAGACACAAAGCTTCCGAAACGGCACCGTCACTTGGCAATATACTTGGTCTCCGAATAATACTGATATCAAGTTCGATATAGAAATCGCGAGTATTGTGAGCAGGGATAAGCGAAATGTAGCAGCCACTCAACTCTTTGTTACTCCTCGAGGTGGAAACGCCACTCTCAATATTGCCGATTTTATCGATGGCCGTGGAGGAGTCAGATCCTCCCTCGGATCCAGGGGTATAGACTCTGACAACGGGTCTGTATATGTCTCAGTCCATCCAGATGGGCTGCTCAACGTCACAGCATGGATTGTATCTACAATGGATCTTTCCATGGGCTACACGGATGAGAACTCAGGAAGGATGATCTTTGGATCTGATACCAACGATACCATGTCCATTGGTCAGGAGTGGGATGCTCATCTCATCGATGGCGAGACAGCTGTGTTTGAGAAGTTTATCGGTATATCTTCTACTGATGGCTCCCCGACAAACGCAGAGGAAGTTGCTCGAAACGCATCTTCAACCGCGTTTGAGACCGGATGGGACAACTTAAATACCGCACACGTGAAAGCGTGGAATTTCATCATGGATGAAAGCACTATCACAACGTTCCACGACCCCACTACTGGCCGTCTGCCAGTCAATGATGCTGTGATGGAGATGTATCAAATCCAAGAGATTGCTAGCCGATACTATCTGATGTCGAATCTCCAACCAGAAGATGGAAGTGGTTTGAATGACAACGGCGTGCCAGTTGGAGGTCTAACCTCTGATACATATGCAGGCAATATTTTCTGGGATCAAGACTTCTGGATGTATCCTGGTATTGCATTGACGCACCCTGACTACGCTGCTCAGATAATCAATTCACGCGACAAGCTCTTCCCAGCAGCCAAGGCTAATGCTCAAGAACCTTATGTTCAGGCGAAGTACAATTTTGACAACGAGTCTTCTTTGTACCCCTGGATGACCGGAAGGTTTGGCAATGCTACCGCCAATGGACCAGCTCTTGACTATGAGTATCACTTGAACGCTGACGTTTCTTTGGCTGCTATACACGAGTTTCGGATCACAGGAAATGAGAAAACATTCAAGGAGAAGCATTGGGAAAGGGTCAAATCGTGCGTTCATACTTTCATGGGTCTTGTAGTTCCAGATGGAGATGGATACTCTATCAGAAACGTCACAGAACCTGATGAGTACGCTGTAAGTATTCTCATTCTCTCGCTCCATGTCTTGGCGTTGAAATTTGCTTTTGAAAGCCCAGATCAAATGCTAACTTGAGGACAGACTTGGAAGACCAATGGCGCCTTCACAAATGCAGCGTTTTCCGAAGTCACCAACATCACCATTGCGCTACAGAGAAAGTTCGGAGAACCTGTCAATGAGACTTGGGCAGAAGTTGCTGCTAAGATCATCATTGCTAGAGCTTCATCTGGCATCACTCTCGAATATGAAGGGATGAACAACACTGTGCACATCAAGCAAGCCGATGTCACATTGCTGATCTACCCTCTGTCGCCAACCAGCATCTCGTTGGAACAGAAGAATAAGGATCTTGCTTACTATAATCAACGCTCAGAACCAGATGGACCTGGAATGACAGCAGCGATTGCAGCCGCGGCTGAAAACCGCATAGCAACGTCCGGCTGTGCAGCTTCTATCTACTACTCTCAGGCAACGGCTCCTTTTCTTCGGGCTCCATGGTTTCAGATGTCTGAGCAGGCCAATGATGATATGAACGGAAATGGAGGCATTGCACCTGGCTTTCCGTTCTTGACGGCACACGGTGGAGCACTACAGATTCCTCATTTTGGGTTTCTTGGTGTGAGTCTGAACAACGAAACACTTCACATACGTCCTAGTCTCCCAATGCCATTCACAAACCTGCAGTTGGCAGACTTTTACTTTGGAGGAAACCGTTTGAGAGCCACCATGAATGGCACCCACACGAATCTCACTCGTCTCGAAAACACTCGTGTCGAGGGTCTCGTCGATGTTTATTCAGGCCAACCAATGCCTATTGCACTCGAAAGCCGTAATGAGGATCCAGATGGCCTTGATACCAAGCTGTACACGTTGGGCATGAACGAGACTATAACGATCGACAATGATATGTACTGGAAAACCCTTACCACGCCAGGAAATATCCTCCAATGTCAGCCAACCATCACCAAAGCAAGTAATATCCTCGGACAATACGGAGGAGCCATCAACGACGGCGATACCGGCACACATTTCCAGCCTGGTCATCGAAATCGGATTGCGCTCATCGTTGATACATCAAAGAGCACTTACAGGAGACTCGACGGCTTTAGGATCGATTGGGGAAGTCGCCCGGCAAGGAACATCACGGTGACGTTGATTAATTCCACTGAAGCGGCTACAATACAGAACAACTCTTTTCCTGTGGAAGTGTACCCCAACAAGATATACGGAGAAAGCGAGTCTCTAAGCGAAGTCGTTCCGTATCAAGGGAACGTCACAGAATATCTTTTCCCAGAAGACCGAGAGATATGGTCTGGGAACTACAGCATTCTCGAATTCGAAGGCTGCAGAGATTGTGGGTGGGTCGGCTCTACTTTGAATCCTGATGGAACCTTGACACCAATTGAGGATACGATGGGTGCCACGGTTGCAGAGTTCGAGGTTATTGCTACGGAAAAATACGATATTCAGGGAGACATGATGAAGGGTCTTGAAGATCAGAGTGCAGAATCCAGACAGGGTTCAGGTGATGTGGATAGAGTGAGTCAAGGAGGGGCGAAGCGAGGACAGAGTGAGGGCATAGTGTGAAATTTGTTACTGGACGACATTCATATGTGCTCATGAAGCTTCGAGAGATCACCAACAACGCGTGCACCAGATTTCGGTGGAGAGAGCAGCAACTTTCGATGCTCGAACCAGCACCACAACGGTCCAAGCAAGCCCCAAGCTGCTTTATCCGCTTCGCATAACCTCGCTAGAGAGAGTATCTCTCGACATCTACTAAGGAAGACGTGCATGAGCAGAGAGCATCATAGGCCGAGGATAATTCAGCTCGCGTCGTCTAGACTTCTGACCTTGGACTGCACTTGCCAGCGCCCACAGCAATATTCAGATATTCTTCGCCAGTGTCTTCTCTGGACCAGACATCTGGGCAGCTTGATTGAAATCGGATAGATGATCGGCAAGGACATCATGTTAAAATGTCACTCCCACTATAAGATAATGTCTCAATCCAATAACTCAATTCCAAGTGTAACAAATGTCCGACCACCTTCACACAACCGAGAAGCCCATCAAAATCGCAAACATGGCAAAAGCCATCGCCATGGTATACATCATAAACTCATAATTTCATCACTCATCTTCATCTTACTCTCACTACCATAGCCTTTAGCAAACCGAGGCACATCTTTGCGTCGGGAATTGCGGTGTGGCGACGGCTTATCAGCGAATCATTAAGCTAGAAGACGGAGCTCAGGTGATGGGAGTACAGACCAGGCATAATATCTCTACATAGCTCCAGCTTTGAGTACTAGACGTTGTCGGGCGATGGGAGTACGATCAGGCGGAGTTAGAGCTATCAAATGTCGATAATCGAAATTGTTACGGGAATGCTCCACCCATAGAAAATTGTTGTTCATGCCTGCTGCTTGTAGCTTCAAGATGATTTCCCTTGGCGCAAGACCTGGCATTGGCTGTGAAGTTGGAAACCCGTACGACTTCCGAACGGTGTAGAATGCTCGCAGATGTCCACCCCTCGGCCACTCTTTGGAAAGTTCTCCCGAAACAGTCTTCGACTGCAACCATGATTGACTAATTCGTCCACGGTCTGTTTTCCATCAATAAGTAACGGCACCGACTTGATGAACGTCAGAATCACCCACCACGGATCCGCACTCAGTGTCGACGACAAGAACAAAAAGGTTGAGGCTGGAAGCCAGCTCACAGACCCGCAGGGGATGATGGTTGCACTTTCTCTGAAGACCTCGACCGTCCATCTTGCGACTGGTTGGCAACGTTTAAAGCTCCGCCTTCGGAGCAACCCAGCCGGCATCTTTGACCCGTGAGGCTATCTCTTGCGAGACTAGGGAAGCCGCCCACATTCCAATGGCTCTCCATATGCTCTTGTGATGGTATGTGTTTTTGACCTCACACAGCCGTTGGTAAGTGAGCACCTGTTCCAGCTTCCCACTAAGCTTTGCTTGGTGTTTCGAAGTTTTGCGGTGTCCATTCCCACAGGGATGCGAAATGGACAGTCTTCATCTGGTGAAGGACCCAAACAGAGCCTGACACCATCGACCATATGGGATGAAGTTGCGGAACGTGATTGGAAAATGTAGATGACCTTTCCTAGATTCTATCTAAGGATATAGGCATTGACGTTCTTTGTGCCCTAAGCTCAGCGGCGAAGCCAGCTTCAACAATGTCTTCTACTCTAATCGGGGCTCGTCATCCTCATCATCCTCAATTTGATCTGGGGCAAGGAAGGTGATGGATGGTGTAGTGTTGGTCACTTGTGTTGTCGAATTGATAGAAGCAGTCTCCTCCACAGCCTCGAACATTGGCTTCGAGGGTAAGATTGACCTCTTCGCGAGAGTAAATGGGTTGATTGTGTTGTCCGTGTTGCCAGTGCTTAAACACAATACAGGTGGTTGGGCTGCACGTAACGGGGCTCGCGGGACTGGGTTCATGTCCTCGAACACGTTGGCAGTCTGGACGTAGTTCGGCGTCTGCTGGAGCTTGCGGGATTGGAGCGTTCTAAGAGATAGCCTTTCCTTGCTTATACGCTGCAGCAATGTGCGGATGGTGTCGTTGGATATGAATGATAATGTCATAAAAATGGTGGCCACCCTTCTCGCTTCCCTTTCGTAGAGTAAAAGTGCTTTTAGGAATAGTAATAATCTCTACCATAGCATAGAAGTTGGCATTTGTAACACAATTTGTATCATTGTTCTTCTCCGTAAAAATTAGACCGCTAATTGTAGTGTTTCGATCGTTCGCGTTGAAGATATGAACATTGCGATGTTTGGAACGGTCGCTGCTTGTCATAGTGGAGTCTTTAGGCTGCGAGAGGATGTCTGCGAGGTGTGAGAGAGTGGTTTCGTGTAGTGGGAGAGCGTCTTCGGGTTGCGAGAGGATGTCTTTGGGATGTGAGACAGTATCTTCCTGCTCTTTGATGATGTTGTTTTCGAGCTGTTGGAGGCTGTCGGCGTGTGAGGATGAGCCGGAGCTGGAGTGAGGAGAAGAAGACGACATCGTGACGATTTGGACGGCGTCCAGCATGTAGCAGATAGCAGATAGCAGGCGCGTTTGAAGATGGAAAGTGCTTTCTTTGAGAAATGACGATTGGAAATGTGGTTGCCGATTGTTGCGTTAAGCTTGTATTTACAAAGTTCAAAATTCATTTCTTCTTGAAGAAATCACTCATCTTCTTCATGCCAGTCACGTTGACTTTCTTCAAAGCCTTCACACCCCTACTCTCATTTGCTTTCTTCCGCTTCTCCTCTTCATCCTCCTTTCTCTTTTTCTCTGCTCTAGTCTCTATATCCTCGGCAGCTAACCTCTTTCTCGAGAAGTCCCCAAGTGACCTCGAAGCAAGAGCGTCTTGCCTCAATTTTGCAAGGTGTGCAAGATGGGCTTCTAAAGGTGCAAAGTCAACCGAGGCAGAAGAAGCGGCCATTTTCTTCACCGTCTCAGTGACATGAGGTGCCAGATAAGCGGCGCAAATGAAGTAAAGTGCCGTACGAAGTCGGAGGAGATCTACAACTCCTTCTGGAGCATTGATAGGTGGTATCGCCTTTGGCTTAGACTCGATAATGGGATCGTCCGAAAATGATGTCGCAGCTGTCGAAGCCTCGGAGAAAGAAGTCCCAGCACTCTCTATTGTCGATACACACGTTTGAGTATCTGGGGTCTCTGCCTCCTCATTCACCAATTCGTGTAGAGAACTATCCTCCCGTTTTATACTAAGCACTGGGATGTCGAGTGCTTTCCTCACAAGCTTCTCCTCCATACTCGGTGGAAGACCTGTCTCGCACATGTTCTTTGCCTTCTTCAATAGCTCCCCAAATAACTTCTCTTCGTTCAGTCGATACATATTCTCATCTCCAGCTTCGACTGTATCGCACACAGCAGCCATCCTTTGTTCCAATAGATCCCGTATTGATTTAATCCGTGAGAATCCACCGAAATGCGGAGACGCAGTAGCAATCTTCTCGATGTAATCATCTCCAGATAAGAACAACTTCTTCGGGGCTTCTGAGCCTTTCGAGGTAGGTAATGGCGCCAATACAGAAAGCACAACAAACAGAGGATCGATGGCAGTTGCAACTAGCATTTCCGCGCTCTTTGTGACATATCCTGAATGTTTCCTTCTCTTCGCATCAGGCTCTTTCACTTCATTCGATTCGGACCCAGACAATAACCAACTTCTAGGTGTCGTCCTCGGCGCGGCAACTTTGGTAAATTCGTAGAAGCCATTCTCTGGACAAATAAGGTATCGACTATCGCTAAGATATCTTGGATTCTGCAAAGTCACTATGCGAGCATCTTTGCTTTTATCTTTTGGCAGTATGAAGAGCTGTGGTGGATTCGCGGAATCGGGTTCCAATTGGACTTTTGGATTCGTCGAGGTATCCTTCTCGACCGTTTCCGTTGCAGGTTTCGTCGCGGATTTCGAAGGTCTGCCTCGTGTTTTCATTTTGGTGAGCAATTGGTTTTGTGGTGTAGATTCTCGAAATTATGAATTTGTGAAGAGCAACTTCCAAGTCGCGTCGACGCGTCTCGAAACACTTCGGCTAAATTTAGAAGGGATGAAAGAACTACCCTTTTGATATCACAGTGCAATATTGCTCTGTACCACATTGTATCGCAAAACGAAGACTCTTAACTCAAACGAATACCTTTCGACTTTTCAATTCAAGAATATCGCTACCCATAAAGCTTTCTGACCAACGTGATACCTCATACACTACACATATTGTAAGGTTAATATAGCTTCAACCCCTGCTAGAGGAGCATGGATTGTCTATAACAATCGAGCTCGCATCGCATCTGAAGGGCATCATATCTACTTGATGGCGCGAGGAAGAAGGTGCAATGTCAAAACGTAAGTTGTCCTGCGAAAAGACAGGCCTACGCTGAACATTCTCAGCCAATCATACCAATCCAGAATGGCCCCCCAGGTCTCCTCATGACGCCCTCCTCAGCACTCCTGGTGGGCGTGCTAGACTTCGACGCCTTGCAGAACGCACATCTCCTTCTCCATCACCCATAAAACGCTCGACATCTACTCCATCTCTTGGAAAGAGGGCGCAGCATCTCCTCAAGGATGACATGGAAGACGATGACGATGAGGATGACGAGGAAACTCTCGAATTGCAACTCCAGGAGATACAAGCGCGATTGAAGCTTAAGAAGCTGCAGAAGAAGGCGAAGCAAACCTCTGATTCGGAAGGCGAAAAGACCAGGACGGGATTGTTGTCCAGGTCCAATTCAGTGGCTGCAAGTCGAGCACAATCGAGGATAGCAGAGATACGAGAAGAAAGGGCGGAAAGGTCGAGGTCGCAGAATGAAGTCCATGTTCCCGTATCTCCTGTACGAAGGGCGCAACCACCAACAGTCCAGCGATCGCCAGGAAGGGTGTTGTTAGGGATCGACAAAGGCTTGAGAGGGGCGGACATATCTTTGAAGAGGGCACCGAGTTTGAAGAAGAAAGAAGAGGCGTTCGGTGGCAGACTTCACGGACCATATCTCCAACGGCCGACATCGCAATTCTCCAGTCATGCCCATGGAGTTACCTCGTCACAAGAATTGCCTGCTCAAGAACGGCCGAAGACTTTCAGTGAACGTATGGCTGCAGTCAGGTCAGAAGAGACCGAGAGGAAAGAGAGAGAACAACGCATCAAGAAAAACCGAAGTATGGCCTTCGACATTGACCATGAAGAAATGGAACAATTCAAAGCGAATCCTGTCGTTCTACCACAAGGGCCTCGCAGAGGACCTGAGTTCAGCAGAGACGAAGTACTGAACTCTTACACGCAACCCAGCGGTTTAGCACGCAATAAAACGGATCCAAACTTACGATCAGCTGCTAGGACGCCAAGTTCGTTGTCCGGTGCAGCCACTGAGAGGGCTGAATCCCGAGCTTCAATTCACGTTCCACCTAGGACTTCGTCTACAAAGAGCAAGACCCCTCCAAACGAGGTCCCTGAGGCAGAGGCAAGTCAATTTGAGCCCTACTCAGCAACACATCTTTCAAAACGAATTATACCCCACCAAACTCTTACTCGCACACTTACGGGAAAGAAACCATTCCTCATACCGGATCTGCTAAGGACAGTCAAAGGACCTGATTTCAATCCACCCGACATCGAAGAAGACTTGGTTGTTTTTGGCATTATTGCCAGTAAGTCTGAACCAAAGGCACACCAACAACAAAATTCAAAAAATCAGAAACGTGGAAAATTCATGGTCATGCACCTCACAGATCTGAAATGGGAGCTTGATTTATTCTTATTCGACTCGGCCTTCGACAAGTTCTGGAAACTCACTCCTGGAACAATAATAGCCATACTCAATCCGCTGTTCATGCCACCACCTCGTGGGAAAGAAGCAACTGGAAAGTTCAGCATCACACTGAATTCAGATGCAGATACGGTCCTGGAGATTGGTTCCGCGAGAGATCTTGGCTTCTGCAAAAGTATTAAGAAGGACGGCAAGACGTGCGATTCTTGGGTGGACAAACGGCATACCGAATTCTGCGACTTTCATGTCAATCTTACCCTGCAGAAGACCAAGTCCAATCGCATGGAAGTCAATTCCATGACTTTTGGCAAGGGTCAGTACGGCGACAAGTACAATTCCAAAGACGTCACCAGTCGTCTCGAACAATTGGAGAAGAAGAAATTGGAAGAGAAGACTCGCTATGATCGAGGGAGTCACTCGCAGATATATATCGGGAAGAGCACAGCCAACATGCTAGACGATGTTGATTTCGACCCCGATGCCTTCCATCGTGGATCCACAAAAGAAGAACGAATGACGAGACGGATACTCGCTCAAGAGAAGGAGCGAGATCTAGCTAAGAAGCTCGGTGGCATGGGAAGCGGATTGGGAGCTGACTACATGAGGCGACAAGATCCTTTGCACCCAGATCCAAGCAGTAGTCTTGCTTCATCGGAAACAATAGCTTCCGACGCGGGATCACTCGGACTACTGGGCGGCAAAGCAAAAGATGTCATGCTAAGTCCCATCAAGCGGAAACGAACACAAACACCATCTGCCACTGCAGCAATTGGTTGGGGCAGCGATCTCACGAAACAACTGGGTCGAATGAAAGAGGGAGAAAGTCTACAGCCCGTCAAGAAAAAGACGAGGTTCGTCACAGAAAAAGGGATACGAGAAGCTGGTAGGGAAAGCTTTGGCGGCGAAGCGGTGAAAGCTGCTGTTGATGAACTGGACGACGATGATGATGACCTTGATATCGTGAGGGAATAAGGCAGGGCAGGGACAAATCGACTTCTTGTATTGATAGATTATCTTTTTCTATGGAATGGGATAGGGGAGTTAGAGGGACGAGGCACGGAATGGATACTGATATTGTTGTCCTACATGCTTTCTGCGATGACAATTTTTGCTGTCTGTGTTCCTTGATTACGGCCCAGTGGCTACTGAATGAATGATTGCTTGATTGATTGAAGCATTATTCCATAGTGGGATTGCCATAATAATATGATGTTCCTGCTCACCATCTGTCTTGCTTTCAATTAAGCTATCATTTGCTCAAGTGTTATGGATAATTGATCGAAGCATCATTTTACAGTGGTATTGCCCCCATAACACGATGTCTTGACCGATTTCCTGTTTAAATTTACTAAAGCTATTGTCTGGTCGGGTGTCTCGAACGATTGCTTGATTGATTGAGACATTATTTCACAGTGGAAAGATCCCCAATTTATGATGTCTTTGCTGATCATCTATCTAACTTTCATCAAGCTTTGCAGTTTTCTTCTCCAGCTTCTGCTTCTGTTCGGCCGAAACCACCAACGCTATTCCCTTCGACTCCTTCGCCCAGCAATCTGGCTCCGCTAAACATTCCCTGTAGCGTCCTCAGCTGCCTCCCACGCATCCTTGATCCTCCTTTCAGTTCGATGTTTCCGGTCCTTGTTCATGTACGAATGTAGTAGCCCTCGAAAACTTCTCCTCATAAATCCAGACAGGAGCTTCGCCTGTGGCTGTGACAAGACCCCGTCCTCCTGCAACATCGGAAAGTGTTAACAGATCAATCTGAATTTGCTCGCGGGAGTTTGTTTCGGCAGCCAGCATGCATGTATCCGTTTAGGTATTATGAAAAATTGCTTGATTGAATGGAGCATTATTCTGTAGTGGGAATGCCACCATAATACGATGTCACTGTCGATTATCTATCTATAGGTTTACTCGCTGTTGCGAACGAATCCTTGATTAAGTGAAGCATCATTTAATAGTGCGAATGCCACAGTAATATAATGCCACTGCCAATCCTCCTCTTGATTTCAACCAAGCCGCCCAGCTGAATCAGACAACACGCCGGCGAAGAATATTGCTGTTGGGGCTAGCAAATGTAGTTTAGTAAATGATTTTTGGCTTGTGGTGTATCTTTTCAAATCCATCTTCCTTGATAAATACAGAAAACAGCGATGTGTATTGTGTTAAGGGATGTTAATAAAGCAACCTAGGCCTAGGCCTCTTGTGGCTACTTACTAGCTACAACATCGAAAATTGCTCTTCTCTCCACCTAAATCCGATGCGAAGGAGCCCGGCTGGAGCTTTTACATGCCTACCAGAAGACTAGCTCGTTTAATTTCAGTCGCTTATATATTCAAAAAAGTGGCAAATTTAACCAAAAGATCGCTGGACGAAGGGGGATTCGAACCCCCGGCCTTTCACAAGCACGAAGCGAAACATGCGAAGCGAAAATCACTTTTTCCTCATTAGTAGAGTTTCTATGGGTTGAGATGAATACTTACTACCCCTAGACCATCCGCCCCGACTCCAATCGTGGTTGGCCAAAATTTGCTTATAAAAAACTATTTCTATAGTTAAAAAAATACTGCCAAAAGCGGTCAAGCTCTATCCCGCCATTTAGCCGACAACCCTCAAAAAATTCCGACCAGCAAAATCCAAGCTCCTCCAAGCTCACCTCAGCGCAACATGGAATCATTGTAGGATGGAGTACACCCGCCTCCACATCTCTCCCTTCACCCCCGCTCTCCTCAATACAATCCTCCCAGCTTCGATTCTTCTCCACGCCCGCAACATCTCCTACCACAGCATCCAAACCTCCGAAATAGGCTACGGTTATGTTGAGCTCCCCGCCATGGATGCCGAAAAGATAAAAAAGAAGCTTAGCGGCTCAATCTTGAAGGGAACGAAAGTAAAAATTGAAAAAGCGAGACCAGAGAAAGAAGTGGCTATTGAACCCGAAGAACCAGAGCCGCCGAAGAAGGAAAAGAGAAAACGCAAACGAGACGAATTACCAGGAGTGGACATTGGAGAGAGGCAAGTGAAGCGTGGATGGACTACACCAGCAAAGGATATAAATAGCAAAGACAAGGTCAAATCCAAATATACAACTGGTCCAGAATGTCTCTTCAAAACGAATCTCCCACCGAATGTCGCATCAAAAATTAAAACCACCGAAGTGAAGCCTGAGAAGAGAAAGAGAAAGGCAGGGAAGGAAACCGTTGTCCACGAATTCGCTAAAGCGACTAAATATGCAACCTTCCTACGCAGTAGCGGATCAAACAAATCAAAGGGCGTTGCAGAGTATGTCGAGGGCAAAGGATGGGTAGATGAAGAGGGCAATTTGGTTGAGGAGGTCGTCACGAAGAAGAGGAAGCACAAAGCACCCGTTCCGGAACCTCCAATCGAAGAGAGTGAGAGCAGTGAGGACAGCGGGAATAGTGAGGGGGAAGCAAACGATATCGCCGAGTCAACTCTACCAAATCCAAAGGTGGAGAGAGAGACATCATCTGACGACTCAAGTGATGATAGCTTCTCCGAAGAAGAAAAAGAGGACGCAAGCATTACGAAGGATACATCAGACTCGTCCGATTCTTCATCATCTGATTCAGAATCATCCGATTCGTCTGAATATGAGTCTGAGGTTGAGGAACCCCAATCCGCAGTCAGCAATCGATCCCATACTTCAATCGGCCCAGCATTAAGTATTAAAATTCCAGTCTCGAATGATTCTACTCCAATCAACACTTCGGTCCACCCCCTAGAGGCACTCTACAAACGACCAAAAGCAGGCGAGGCAAGCTCTTCAAAACCGACTCCTCCCTTCTTTAGTTTCTTCGGCGCAGATGGAGACGAAGAAGAAGTAGAAGAAGAGTCCTACAGTCAAGTTCCTCTCACACCATTTACACAGAAAGACTTCGAATACCGAGGAATTCGAAGTGCTGCTCCTACCCCTGACACAGCACATCCAAATAAGAGGTTTATCTGGCCAACAGATCATGACGATGATGAAGAAGAGCCTGAGCCAAGCTCACCTATTCGAAAGGGCGAAGCATCAGAAGCGAAAGAGGCGAAGGAAGGCGAACCGGAGAGCGAGTTTCAGAAATGGTTCTGGGAGAATAGGGGCAATGTTGACCGGTCCTGGAAAGCGAGACGAAGGGCAGCGGCCAAGGAGAAACGGCAGCGGGAGAATAGGAAGAGGCAGGATCGTGCTCTTTGATGAATACGGGTGTGATTGTCTGAAGTTCTGTCGATTTATGAGAAGATACCCATTGCACTGGTCTCATCAGTCTTCTACTATTCAAATATAGTGGATTATTACCTTGATACTCTTGCTGCTTCATACCTTGCCTGCTACGACTTCAGTTGATGATGATTTTGCTACTAAATTGTAATTTCCAACTTGCACTAATGCCTATCTAAATCTCTTTTACATGACCAGCAAGCGCTCATTTATATTCATAGCCTAGACTACCAGTATCAATTCTCAGGACACATAGCTTTCTACTCACCTTTTCCATCTCTTCGATTCTCTTGATTATCACTTGAAAGAAGTTTCTTAAAAGAGCCAAAATTTTACATAGAAAGACGATGCTATATATCTATGTCATCATTCATCATGAAAGTTCCTTCGTCTCCACCTCTATCCTCGACTTTTCATTTCTCTCTAGATCTTCTGATTTCCGCAGACGAGTATTCAAAACCTCGCGTCTTTCTAAAACTGCACCGAATTCGAACCATCTCTTCACAATTGCTATATTGTGCGCCTGAATGAGGACCAACAAAAGAAATCCCTCAATGATCATTGTTGGCGTGTTGGCTATTAACTGGCCGGTCTCAGACCATCTCAGTGCCGTTGCAACTGCCAGAACCAAAGCCACAACCCCTAAAGCTGCCAACAGGACATACCACTTCGCTGTGGTGACGACAAACCAGTTGCTTATCCGATAATTCAACCTTTTCTCCATCTTCATGCTTTCAGAACAGTCCACCTTTGGTGCCGGCAAACCAAGCAACGAATACAATGCAAAGTCTTGCTCTTCAAGAGCCCGAACTTGGTCGTCCAGAATGCAGTGTTGTCGATACCCAACATTTCGTAGGACAAACGCATCAACAAATCCAACCAGACCCGTCCAACTCCCGATAATGAGAAGCCAATTGGCATTCCAAGAAAGGACGTGGCCTATTCCAAGCCAAACAGTAAACACAGCAAAAGATAACGTTGCCCCGAGCCCCGATCCCACAAGATGCGCATACCCATCTATCCCTCTCTCCACAAATCTCCTTGCAGGTGGTTCCAAAATGACAGCTTCGTTCGGAGTCGCATCTCCAGTGATAGACCTAATTCGCTGTTCCAACTCGCAATCCACATCCTCGATGTTGCGCAATGTCTCACGAAGCCACTGTGTGTGTCTGCGCCTGACATGTTGCAAGAAGATGCTCGTCAAGGTCAACTCGACCGCCACTCCAGTGTTCATGTACAATTGCCAGGTATTGTCAAAAGCTAGCATCTTTCCGAGAACAATCCAGATTCCGACCCCGACTACGTACAGAGCTAATGATGGTAAAGACCCAAATGCAATGGCCATACCATCACACATGATATCAAACCATTTCTTCAACCACGGTCCGTCTTTGGAGTCCACTTTCTGCCTTCTGCGCAAAATGACAGAACGTCTTCTGTGTGCAAGGACTTCGTGTCTCTGTCCAGGACTGAGCGTCCTCAAGATTCGGACCAAGGTCTGGTTCCTGGATCTCAATTCACCTATCGTCTTCAACAGCTCGATGAATCCGTTTTGCTGCTGGCGCATGAGTAGTGTGTCAGAAACATAGCATTGTATGGAACTCGCATCCTGCATGACGATTTGCCATGTTTGCGTTGCTCCAAACACACCTCCGAGGATGGCCCATAGCACGAGGAGTACGATGGTGGTTATGAATACTATGTATGAGCCTGCGGCATTGGTGATCCAGTTCAGTGTGTTGAAGGTCTGAAACTTTTTCTTGAAGTCTGATTTGGGGCGAGTTTTGGGCTCGGGTGGCCGAGGAACATTGTGAATGGGAGTTGAAGATGTTGTGCTTGAATCTTTGGAGATTGGTGACATCTCCAGTGATTGTGCTTGAGAGACATTCTCGGGTTCTCTAATTGGACGGATTTGTGTCGCAGCTGTGATCTCAAGTCTTGGATGGAGTGGTGGAGAGGAAGCTCGCTTCCATATCTGATTGATCCATCTTCCTGCGGACTCCATCTTGGATAGACACTATTGAAGAAAGAAAATCGCAGACTGATGATCAGATAAACAATTGGAATCCAACAGACTGTCCTGCCAGAGGAAACTAAAACCAAGAAAAGATACACTAGATATAAAGGAAATGAAGTGTCAACGCCTCCTCTCATCTATCAGATGAAAAAGAACGAAATGTCCACACAAAAAAAAAGCAGCAACCCACCCACCACATGAAGGAAATAATCAGATTTTATGATACACATGGCGCCTCCGTCATGATCCTAAGTATGCACTCCTCAATCTAGACTTTACCCCTTTCACGATGTCTCCTTCGGCCCCCGCCGTGCGTCGACGAATGAGCATCGAGCAGTTTGTCATTCGTTCCCGGGAGGCGCAAGGTCGTGTTTTGGGCTAGGGAAGAAGAAACTCTGCCGCTTTTGGGGCCCGAGGCTTTATTTTGGGTGATACGCTTGGACAGAAGGATGTTGGATGAACTGATCATAAAACAAAGGTACGTATGTGGTGAGGGATGTGGTGTGACGAAGTGAAGCGAGGTGGAGAGGGAGGTGGCGTTTTGTTTTGTTTTTTGAGGTGATTAGCGTGGATTATGTATGAAAGGAAAGGGAAAATATGAAAGACAGAGGAGATGGAAGTGAGACTACTAGTGATCGCTCCTAGATTATTCTTACACTTCAAAAGCCTGGCTTTTGAAACTACTCTACAATATACCAACATACCAGCCCAGAATCTCAAAACACGATATCTTAAACCTGAACTCCAATCCCATCGTTATTTCCATCCCATCGTTATTATCATCCCATCATTACTTTCATCCCTTCGTCATTTTTCCTTCCCAATAACGCCGACGACATCATCTCTTGCCGAAATATTTACCGAGCTTCAACTTTGTACCTTCCTAGAACATCCATGGCGCGTAAAGCACCTTACTGCTCTTCCTTCTTCTTTCCTTTCTTGTCGTGCATCACACTCCGCAAACTTTGTCCATATGGCTCAGTGAAGTGATCCCTAACAGCATCAAACACGCCCTTTGCCTTCGACGAAGCTTCTCCGCGTCCTTGCTTTACTTGTCCATCTTCGCTTGCATTACTGTAACCATTGCGGCTCGAAACGAATGTTGACGAAGAAGCCTTGCCAGTCTGGTGATCGAGCTCGTCCATTGGAGTACCTGATTCGTCGAAGCTGGAATCGAACTTTGGTTGTTGAGCAAACTTTGGTTGTCGAGCATAGCCACCAGCGATGTTAGACATATCAGGAGATCTGGTCAACATTCCTACATTGCCGCCTTTCTTCATACTCTCAATCTCTAGCTGCAAGTTCAATCTACGAGGGTATCGCAAGGGAGTTTGACCAATTTGTTCGTCCTCATCTTCAACGATGGTCTGATGGCCTTGACTTTCGGAAGCAGATTCGAACGTCTGGACACGCTTAAGTCTAGTGCTGGGTCCACGGTCCATGCTCTGTCTGAGAGATCTGGTTTGTTCCTCAGATGCGGCACGCTTGACTGCGATAATGCTATGACGTTGATGCGCCGGGGCTCTGTGAACTGCAGGGTCGTTGATTTCGCGCTGAAGATTCTCAAGTGGTGACCAACCAGCTGCCTGGAGAACGTGTCCAGTGCCAAGTCCGTTGCCATCTCTTGTGCCCGAACGGATACGTCCTGGTGCTGAGTTGTTATTGAAGTGATGAGCAGCATCTGGGGTTCCGCGCTGAATTGAGCGGGGAGAGTCGAACGGGAATCCGACAGCATGCTTGACATACGCTGGGGTCGGAGGTGCGATCGGAGACTCCTCTTGAATGCCTGAAGGAGAAGCATTGTTCACCAGGCTCTCCGAGGAGGTGTGGGCTCTTGGACGAATAGGGGTCTGTAAATGAGCACCGCTGTTCGCACGATATCTTGCATCGGCATACACCGGTTGCCATCCTGGATTTGTCTCGAGAGATATCATGCTAGGGTAATTTGGCGATGTCTCAAAGGTTCTTGGTCTTCTGGAATATACACCAACGTTGGCCTCAACATCTATGTCTCTACCGTTCATCCCCAAGGACTCTACACCACTGGCTCTCGTAGAGTCTCTCAGCACACGATCAAGGAGTCCAACCTCATCCACACCCAACTTCTCGTTGAACGTCGAGAAGTAACCCTTCTTTCTGGCCCAGATAAACAAGACTACGACTCCCGAGAAAGCAAACAAGACTATGCTGATCACAAGCCAGAACGTGGTGCCTTTGCCAATTGCGACGCGTTGAGTCGATGAGCTTTGATCTCGGATGATGACAGCAACGCAAGCAGTGGTGCTAAGAACCGAGCATTGCAGGATAGCAACAACGACCCAGAAAGGAATGTCTCGCAGAACTGCTCGGCCTCCAGAATGCACAGTTTCGCCATTATTGCGTGCAATTTGAGCTGCTAGTCGAAGGACTGTGGGAGAAGGTTGAATGTAAGCGTTCCTAATGGACAAATTGGTCATCTTCGCGCGTTCTAATTCCAGCCTGAATTCGGCTTTCTTGGCTGGTTCATAACCTGGAACGTCTGCGACATTTACTTGAGAAGATCCAGCGACCGGATTTTCTTGGAGATTCATACCAACACTTCGTGCGCGTACAGGGATTGGTGTCTTGAACAATGGCTTCCGGTCTGGATTACGAGCAGGAGGAGGTGGGGCAACGGGTGGAGGGTTTTGTTTCGAGGTGGAAGAAGAGGCTGTTCCGCCTCTCTTGCGGTGTTCTTCAATCAACAGCTCCGAAAATGAAGTGGGGACCCGCTTTTGGCCTTCATATGCAGCAGCAACATACTTATCTGCACGCGAAAACTTGGGGTTTTCACTTTCGCTCTCACCGCCATAAGTAGCGCGTGTAGATGCGGTTGGAGATCGAACTTGACCGGTCAAGTGTACCTCTGGTTCCTCACACAGGAATGGATTTGTGGTTCTGCTCCGAGGAAGTCCTGAGCGACCGCGAGCTTCATCTGGACTGACCAGTGTAATATTACTGGGGCGAGCAGGAAGCCATCGGCCGTAGTCCTCAGTTGGAGCGGTTCTATGGTTTGATGCCGGTTCATGACCTTGTCTTCGTTGTAGAGTTGGTGAAAAGGAATCATGGACGCTGATCTCTGTTGGATCGGCTGATCTTGGTGTGTCATCAGAGTCACTCAAGAACTCGAGAGGGGCAGCTGTTTCGTGGGGCTCGTAGCCACCATGATAGTCATATCCAGCAGTGCCATTACCAAGATCTTCTTGAGTATTGTATCCAAAGGCAACATCAGATCCCGGTCCAGCAGAAGTGGCAACCGAACAGACTGTCGTAACTCTTTCTTCAGCAATATCATCAGACGAGTATTGACCACCACATCCGATATCAGGTCCGGGACCAGCAGAAGTGGCAACCGAGCACATAGACGTAACTCTGTCACCAGCATCCATACTGCTGCCACTGACGGCTCGTTCATGCTGCTGGTTGACATTTGGAATACCACTCGCAATTCTTCGCTCATTATTTTCGGAATAAACACGAGGTTGCAGGATCTCAGGAACAGGGGGAACAGGAGGAGTAGGACTCTCTGCATCTCGGAAAGGGTTCTTGGAACCGAGATCGGAAGACGAACTCTCTTTTTCAAAGACACGCGCGAGATCCTTGACGGAAGGCGTGTTGTTGCGAACTAGTGAATTTCTGGGTCGCTGAGCTTGTCCATGGCCGCCGACTTGAGGAGAAGCGGGCAAGGGCGCCGGTCCGGGATTTGAAGCGGTGGTATAATGCGGAAGTGCTGGTAGAGACTTGTTGGTTGCGGGGTCCGAAAAGGGGTTTGTCGGGTTGGTAACCGTACGGTTACGAACTCGAGAAGTCGGTTGCGACATGTTTATATTTGTGCGCAGAGGCCTTCTATCGAACTTCACGGTGCGAGGACGCGATTCGAAGGAAAGTAAGGGGATTGTGTGTTGCAGAGGCTGTTGAAGTTGTCGAGCTGCAAGAGATCGAGAACAAGTCGCGTTGAAACCGACGCCGACGTCGACAAGGCGCGAGCAAGGCGCGAGGCTTTACTAGACTTGTGCGCGCGCAGCTTGTCAACGATCTTGACGGTGAAGAGGTGACTCGCAGGGTAAGAAGACAAAGTCAACAAGTGGATGAGTTTGTCTTGTGAGTAACAAGGGGGAGACAGAAGTTGTTTTCAAATCCAACGCGTGCTCCAGAAGCAGTTGCAGGAAGGACGGAAACAGAAAGAGGTGGTGAAGAGAGAGGTAGAAGATCGGAATCAAGATGAGGAGGAGGAGAGTTATGGATTCGAAGCGGCCGCATCTTAGCGCTCTTTACAACAATGTTCAAGTGAATCGATATATGCTACACCGCCTTAGGGTGGGCAATATAGCAAGTACTTCGCCTTTAAGGGGATAGTTTGCTATGAGAGGAAGCTTTCTACCTACATTGATTGTAAGGTTACTTCTTGTGGAGTTTGACATTGCACAAGAACTCCCAATACTAAAGGTACTTCTTATGGAGCTTGATATTGCACATGAACTACACCCAAGACTAAGGGTACTCATAGGATGAAACCTCGTCTATTTCTATGCCTTCTCAATGGAGAAGGGAAGAGTGAAAGGAAGTCTACCACCCAATGCTATGATACAAACGCCGTCTATGCTCAAAATCGTAACAAACCGTCTGTCTATACATTTGGTGAAAGCAAGTCATATTTCACACATCGCTCGACCTGTTTTGTGATTAGCATAGCTCCAGTCATACTCGTTGGGAGACTTACATCCTCAATACTAGCCTGCAAGAATTTCCTAGCCTCCAACCCAGCCCAGACTTTCAACATGGAGAAATCACCCTGTCTCAACATGCCCCCACCACTCTGGGCTCCTAGTTGTCTCAGGATGGGCAAAGCACTACTCAAGAGATCGATGTCAGGGTTCAGACTCCGTCCAATACCCTCAAGTAAGAGGATACTGATAACCACATTGACGAAATCTCCCTCCATCCTGACATGATGACTCCTCACCATGCCCAACACCTCATTGAGAATATCCCCAATCTTCATATTACCCAAAGCCAAAGTCCTCGATTTGACGCCCAGAACAAGATGTTGCATCTTCAACGCAAAGATCTCTTCGTCGATAACGGCGTCTGGTTGTCGACAGCGTTCACACATCAGATGACCCGCTTTATAGCCATCGAATTCGGCTACCGCTTTGAAGAGATCGAGGAAATTGCGGCGGTTTGTGGCGTTGAGTTCGGTGACTAGGCCTGTGTCGATGAAGATTAGTTGAGGCCTGTAACCTTCGTAGTCGATTTTCTGTAGCTCGGTGTCCCATGCTTTGAGGTCTTTTTTATGTCTAAAGGGTCTTAAGCGAGCGAGAACTTGTTCCGTGACATCTGGCTGCGATTGTGGATCTTCGTCTTTGTGTTTGCTGAACGGTAGATGCGGTTTGGACGATTGGTAGAATCGGACCATGATATTTCCGGGATGGAGATCCGCGTGGACGAAATTATCAATGAGGAGCATGTGCAGGAAAGCATCTAGACCTTCGTCCGCGATTTCTTGCTGGAATACACCACCTCCATTTTCCATGAAATCTGAGAGCGGGATTCCTTGAGCGAATTCTTCGACGAGGACTTGTCGGGTGGTGAACGCTGTGTAGGGGTACGGAAACCAGGCTGTGGTCCTCTCTTTGAAGTTCTTTCGAAAGATTGTGAGGTTTGCTGCTTCGATTCGGAGGTCGAGTTGTAGTCTCATCATTTCTCCGAATTGGGAGACTTCGTCGGGGAGGGAAAGCCATTCGATAGTTGGAATGGCGTTTAGGATCGAGGCGAAGAATCCCATTATTCGGAGATCTCGTCTTACTACCCTTTCTACACCAGGATGTAAAACTTTGATGGCAACATAAGATGAAGGCACTCTTTGAGGTGTGCTCTTGATCAATGTATCCACATTCTTCCTTGCGATTTTGGTGAAGTTCTTTGGTTCCTCTACATCTGTGTCTCCTGGTACAGCAAGATCAGGCTTTAGTTTTGCTTTGTAGACTTGTGCTATTGCTCCTACTCCTAAAGGCTTCTCCTCGAATTCATCAAAGATCTCTTCAAATGGTCTCCCGTCAAAAGCTCTCCTTATGATTCGCTTCGTTTCGTGAAGAGAGTGAGCTGGTGCATTGGAATGTAGATTCGACATAATTTCGCACATTTCCTCAGGGAAGATATCTGATCGAGAAGCGGCCCATTGTCCCAACTATGCTCAGACATTAGCACATTCTCTCTCATCCCAGACTCATTTCCTCCGAACTTCGATTCTGAAGGAGAAGAAGAAGAACAAACCTTAATAAACGCCGGCCCAGCCCTCTCCATCCCCCGAACCAAAAACCCATACCACCACAAACACCCCCTCCTCTCCCCGCCCCTCTGCCTATCCCTCCTCCCCACCCACATAACCGGCACACTCACCATGACCGGCACAAAAATAACCACCAAATGCAAGAACCGCAACCCCGTACAGACCGGCTCCCACAGATACCGATCCAGAAACAAGACCACGGTATCCTTAAAACGAGCAAAGCCGCGCGTATCGGCAGACACGGTCTTCGAGTCCTTGAGCTCGGAGCGAGACGCGGCGAGCATGCGTCCCTCTGCCGTTTCGTTCGTGCCTGTGTTGTCTTCCTCTGAAAGTTGGATGAAGACTACGGGCGAGAGGGACGTTGCTGTTGCGAAGAGAAGGCCCCTTTTGCTGGGTGGGGAGCGCCATTGCCATTGCCATTGCCATTTACTTTTCCCTCCCGCTCGTTGACTTCCTCCTCCGTGTATATATGCTCGCCGGGCAATGGGTTGAAGCCCAAGCCCCAGACCCCGGCTATTGTAATTTGGTAGACATTGCTGCGACCGTAATGTCGGACGAGGACAGCGAAGACATGTTCGGCCAAGCGTCAAGGCCGACCTCCTCATGCTGAGCCGGAGGAATGAAGACGTGCTATCGGTGCTCCATGAGGGAGGGAGAGGGCGAGTTGTTGCGATGGCGGCTTAGTGTGCAGGTTGCGGAAGCTTGTGATTCGGGACGGGATTGAGGTGACGTCAAGCATCAGGTTTGGGGGTGTGGGCATAGGAAAGACTCCGTGTAATTTTCTGTGATGAGAGTGCAAAGTTGGAAAGGAGCTTGTGTGGCATTATTGGCAAGATTAATGTTCACAGAGTGATTAGATATTGTAGGTAGATTTGTTATTTCTGGACGGCAATAGGACTATTGTTCGCTCCTCGCTCCAAGTCTTGGCGAGTCAGGAACATAAGACATATCTGTAGCCAGCAACATGGTCACAATTGATGAGTTTTTTTGTTTTATTTTAAATTTGCGTGTTCTAGAAATCGAGATTTAATGATGGCCGAATAGTATTTATTAGGTAGAATATCTTCGTATTCCAAGCTCAAAATACTATCTCATTCACACTACCAAGAGCCAGGAAATCACATAGTCAAAAGAACATTCGCTTTTACTCCGTACACATTGTATTGTTCTCATCCTAGTATCGTTGATTTCTCAACTCATCGCAAGCCGCGATGCAGTGCAGCCTCAGCTACACTAAGACACCTATATATAATCATACGTCTCTATAACGACAGTGAACAAGGCCCATTCCAGCCAGGAATCTATAATCCTCTCTTCATACCCAATACAACGAGCGCATTATGCACAAGACAATAAAACTAAAACAGTGGTTTTTAGGGTTTTCTCAAATTTCCCAAGCCGAGCCAGCCCTCCCAAACGCCGGGTGCAAAATGCATCGTGACTACCTACCGCGCCATATCGAGAACGAAGAGGTATATGTACAAAAGGAAAGCGGGTGGGGTATAGTAGTACAGAAGCTGTCTATTCGAGCTGCTACGTCTCGATCGACGTTGTATGTGAATCCAGAGGATTCGGAATTGCGAGTGTTGCTTAATGTGAGAAATGCTCAACCAGTGGATTTTCGTGCCACAGGCGGAGGTCGTGGAATGCTTAAGCCTGGAACCACCGGATTGATCTCTGGAATCTGGCTTGGAGGAGCAGCGAGATGATGAGGATCTTCAGTGATGATGGGATCATCCTTCCTTGTGTCGGGGTGGATCTCGACATCTTCTCTCTCTTCAAGGTGAGACCTTCCCAGAGCGCGAGTGAATCTGGAGTCGTTGTCGTAATTCCGTTCAATTGGTGACCATCCAGCAACACTGCCAGCAATGATACCGGCCATGACAGTAGTAGCTCCCAATGCGGAATTCGATCGGGACCGGTTGCTGCGGCCACGTTTGCGAGACTCAGGAGTATGTGCAGATTGTCCATTTGAACCAAAGCTGTCTTCTCGGTGAGATTCCCCGCTGGGTGTTTGTGGTACGGAATTTGTTCGAGAACGAGATCCACTTCTGGAGCGAGGGAGCCATTGATCGCGAGCATCACGCATGGCGAACTTGAGGTTGTTCAATCGACCACCCTTCACACGCTTGAGGAAGCTGAGCTCCTCCTTCACATCTGCGAGAGGCTTGGGGAATCGGAAGTGCTCTTCTTCGTCGGATACTGTAAGTTCAGGTCCTTTTTGTTTTGATCTCCAGAAGTTGGGAATGAGCCTCATAATGAGCTCATCTGGAATGAGGCGGATACACGCTCCAATGGGGATGGAGAGGAAGCCAAGGACGATGGAATAAGCCCATTGTGCACCGTTTAGTCGGACAACGTTAAAGGCTTTGCCTCCAACAAAAATGATCATGACCTGCCCACCAACCATGACTACGTTGATGGCCATGAAAAACCAATTGCGGCTGACACCTTCAAATATATTGAATTTGTTGTCCAGGCGACGATTGCTGCAGATGTGTTAGTCACGGAACTTGGTTCATTGGGCTAGCGGGTTACTTACTTCCATTGATTGAATATTTGCATCCATACAAACGTGTTGAAGACCAAGGTTGGTACTTGATTCTTTTCGCGGTCGGACTGGTATGACAGAATCGAATCAGAGCCATAGTAGAGAAGCAGAGTGATAACAAGTTGGTAAAGCGATTCGCCAATAATCATCTTCCACATAGTAACACTGATGAGTGGTGCGGACTTTGGGTCGGGCTTTCTGTCCAGGATGCTTTCCGTGGGAGGGTCTGTTGCAAGAGCCAAAGCTGCCATGGTATCCATAATCAAATTGACCCAAAGCAGTTGCACGGCAGTCAGGACAGACTTTTCTTGGTCACTCGAGACAGCAGTAATGAATGTCAGCAGAACAGCCGTAATATTGACAGTGACTTGAAATTGCAAGAACTTCTTGACAGCGTCATTCACAGCTCGTCCCCACATCATTGCTTTAACAATGGACGCAAAGTTATCATCCATGAGAATGATGGCAGAGGCTTCCTTAGCAACTTCGGTACCAGCTATGCCCATGGAGAATCCTACATCGGCAGTCTTAAGAGCAGGCGCGTCATTCGTGCCATCACCAGTAACAGCAACGGTTTCTCCGAGCTCCTTGAGGCGTTTGACAAGAATGCGCTTGTCCTCTGGGCTAGATCGGGCAAGTACTTGTAGGCGAGGAATTGTCTGATCCATCTTCGTTTTGCTGAGCTTTCGGAATGCTGGACCTTCCATGATGAGACCACCTTGCGTGAAAATACCGCACTCGGTGGCAATAGCTTTAGCTGTGTTCAGATTGTCTCCAGTAACCATGCGGACAACAACACCAGCATTCTGGCATTTCTTGACAGCTTCAGCGACGCCTTCGCGAAGAGGGTCTTGAATGCCAACGATACCCAGGAAAACCATCTGCTTAAAGATGTCCTCAAAGATAACTTCAGTTCGGTCGCCTTCAGCAGTTCGAGCACCTTTCGGAGGCCACTTGTCAAATTCGCGGTAGATCATACCAATTGTTCGCAGCGATCGTGAGGCATAGTTGTCGATGATGTTGTTGAGGGTTCGGCGGTTATCTTCAGTCATTAGAGAACTTGAAGGCTCCTTGGTTGGATCCCGAATGATATAGGAACATTTTTCCAAGAGAATCTCCGAAGCACCCTTGACGTACAATCGATATTTGCCATTCTCCAACTGCACGACGACTCCCATACACTTTCGACCAGAGTCAAATGGAATGAGCTGGACAATGTTGGCATTTGATCTCAATTGATCGACCTGGCCCATTCCCAGAAAATCTCTAGCGTAAACCAGAAGTGCAGTTTCTGTCTTGGAACCAATGAAAGTCTTCTCTCCGTCAACCTCACCTTCAAAGGCAGTAGAATTGATGGCAATAGATTGCAACAGCATGTGTTTGACGCCAGAGTGTAAAGACGACACGACCTCTTGAGGTGGTACACTATCGACAGCTTCGGGCTGAGTCTGTTTACCCTTGTTGATTGAAGGATCCTCGCCAGCGGCATCAGTTGCAGCGCCGAATCGTGATGTTGTTCCCAGAGTGCCAGCAACGACTCGCATCTTATTTTCGGTCAACGTTCCCGTCTTGTCAGAGCAAATCGTGGTTGCGTTGCCCATGACCTCACAAGCTTTCAAGTGTCGTACAAGATTGTTGTCCTTCAACATGCGAGTAGTTGCAAAAGCCAAGGCAAGAGTGACAGCCAAGGGTAATCCTTCAGGTACTGCAACCACGATGATGGTAACAGTGACAATGAAGATATTCAGGAAATCTTGTCCTTTTCCAGCAGCGTCGTGTGGGTTGTGAGGCAGGCGAACCAGGAACTCGATGAACAAGACGATGAACAGAAGAAGACCTGCAGCTCCTCCTAATTTCGCAATGTACTCGGCCAATGTATTGAGTTTGGACTGTAACGGAGTGACTTCGGGATCCTCTCGCAAGGACATGAGAGTCTTTCCGTAGCTCGAATTGACGCCAGTAGATGTAACCAAGAATGTACCAACACCTTCAGTGACCTGTGCTCCAGAAAGGATGAAGGGATCCAATTTCCGTAGACTTTCATGGTTCTCAATCGCAGCGTAAACTTGATCAGCAGGGTGTTTCCGAATCAAGTCCGATTCTCCAGTAGTCTGCGACTCGTCACATTTGACATTGTGCCCATCGATGAAGATACCATCCACGGGGATCATGTCTCCAGGTTCTAAGTGCACCACATCTCCAACCAAAATATCAAACACCGAGATAGCTTGCGTTCTGCCAGACCGTACCACGTTGACGTCCCGATCCTCCTTCTTCTTGTTGAGTTTCACAAATTGCCGCTCCTTTTGCCAATCATTTAAGGACCCAACGACAACTACAATGACAATAGCCACGATGATAGCTACTCCTTCAACCCACTCGATTGGCGGATTTTCAGGAGTATGCACGGTTCCAAACGTCTGATAGAGTCCGACGGCGAGTGAAATTGCGGCTGCGATGGAGAGTAAAATGAGAACTTTATCGTTGTAGGTGATCCACATTAGTTGTAGTAAATTCTTTCCCTTCTTCTCCGGTAGTCGGTTGTCCTTGAATACTTGCTTGCGGTCGTAGAAGGCCGCATCCGCCGGAGCTGCTCTCCTACTCGATCTTCGGGATCCCTTCGAATCAATCCGTTCCAAGGGTGGCTTTGAATCCGTACCAGAGCTTGAAGCGTTCTTCGCTGCGGCTTTTGCTTCATCGAATGTCACCGCTCCATCCAAATCACTCTCATCCATGCCCAAGCCAGCTTTGCGATCAGTTCGCAGTCCCTTTTCCAAGCCCGCCAAGCCTCCCAGCGCGTAGAATCCTGGCAAACTCTTGGGGTTAATGAGCTTGTTCAGCTGCCCGGGAGTAAAGGCAAAACTGTTGTCCTCCACTTCAAAGTCCTCTTCGGTTCCTGGATCTGGCGTTAACGCCTCTGCATCATTCATAATATCATCGTTTCCTGGTTCTTTTCCAAATGCGCGATCCCCTTGTGAACTGTTCGCATAGGTCTCCCCACTGTAATTCGTAGCCGAATGATTTGCATCGTCTGACTCTATCGAGTTCTGCCTCGACCGCAGTCCTGGGACTGCAAGAAACCCTGATTGTTTGTCTCCCCCTCTCGATGTTGGTGAGGATATATTATGTGGTGAGGTTGGTCGGCTGTCCCTGCTGTCAAATGAAGGAGCAGGTCTGAGTTCTGGTATGGATGATCGGCTCCCCTGGCTAGCATGATGTGGTCGGTGATTTGTAGAGGTATGGGTACCGTCGGGGGAAAGGGGACTGGAGGGTTCGCCCTGTAACGTCGATGGCGAGTTAGGCAATGCTTTCAAAGCGACTGCATCGCTATCCATATCTTGAGGTGGTGGGCTCATATTACTGACAGCAGATGTGTCGATGGTGATAGTAGGCCTGAATCTATGTTAGACATGGCTGGCAGGCTATGTATCTATACAGAGGGATGCTTACGCTCTTTGCCTCCTTCCGCCTGGACTGGGCGAAGGGGAGGGTCTCTTTGCGTCCGCCATGCTTGAGGTTCAACCTATCTTCTGGGCTTGAATGGTACTTGTTGAGTCTTCAGCTCACAGCCCGAGGCGCAGAGCCTTGGCTTGTATTGGTTGATAGCTGAGATTCGACTCCTTTCGGCATCGGAGGGAGGCTGTGCGAGTTGGTGTAGAAAGGTAGTCCGGCTGCCCAGAGAAATATAAAGGTAAGCTTGGTTCATTCAAGTTTGTGACGGCAAGACTCTTTCAAACAAATTCAGTGAATGGCAGCCAAGACCGCGGACTGAGGCATAATTGAGAGGGAGGCCTTGGCTACTTCTTGTGTCCGCGATACTCGTGAATGTTCTTCGTTCTACCAGAGAATATGCGAGAGTGCCAATGATTGTTTCTTGTGACGGGAGGAGGAATCGCAAGAGGGACAGTAGGATCACTTCTCGAGAATCTCACCTGTCTTTCGGGCATCAAACAGCCGCCGTGATGGACCCTGCGCTTGTATCTGGCGACTGGGAGACCGTAGGATGGGAGTTACAAGTCGGTGGGTTTCCGCACGTCGATATGGGAGAAGTTGTTCAGCATTGCACCATCTGCCAACCGTCTCAGCAATGAAGGAGTGGAAATTGGACAAATTGAGAGAGCATGGACAATTGAGACAAGGACAGAAGCAAAGAGTTTGTTCTTTTCGGAGATGGCACTCTCATTGAATGGATGCCAGTCCGTTCAGGATGCGTGTGAGTGAGTATGGGGCGGACAGGACAGGACAGGACCACCTTTCCGCAGATTGACATGGGGCAGGGAGAGGTTGAATGAACCGTGAGTAGCGCGGTTTTTGAGGCTGTGCAAAGAATCTGTGCGGGCAACAACAAAGTTTTCGAGCGCCTATGAGGACGCCACGCCAATCCTCTCCAAACATGAATGAAGCGCTTTGATTTCTTGGAAGTTGTTTCTGGCCGTCGAGATGATGCGTCTCAGCGGCAAAATCTCTCGTCTTCTTTCTCAAACATTTCTCTGGTCAACCCCAGATATTATGGGATGTTCGATGTTGGACGATGGATTAAGAAGCGACGGGGGCTATATTGGGCCTTACTGCAAATAGAATAGGTGGTGCCGCTGCGAGCTAGGGGGGCGGAAGAGGTGCAGGATTGCCCGCTCCCAAGGTCAAGGCCAAGACGACAGAGACGACGACGACAATCACGCTTGTCTGCTCAATGTCCGTCCTACTCCACAATAATATTCGTCGACAAGAAGAAGCTTCAATCAAAAAGCTCGACATGTCGGATTCCTCCATTTGAGAACCGCAGATCTCCCCTTTTCTGTTCGCTCCTGCTCGCGTTCATCCATCTACTGCACCCAATTGATCGGGCAACGACGGTCCAGTAGGTATTTCAGTCACATTCACATCGCACCGCATCGCCCGACCTGCGTCCGCATATCACTTTCTATATTGCTACGTACTTTCATCCTCCAGATCCGGGCGGCTGTAGTCCATACAGGTTGGAGGTCGTGACTACAAGAGAACGGTACCCAAAGCCCGAACCAGCCGAACCAGTGCCCTTTGGACACTCATAGAGGAGTCAGCGTCGAGCATCATGTTGTTGCCAGCCAAGACTATTCGGGGTTTTGGCCCAGTCACAAGGGAGTAATATCTTGAACATCTCATCATCGACTTTCTCCTAGGCTGGCACTATCACTACAAGTCCACAATTGCCCACATATCAAGCTGCAACCAAGACCGACCGGCTGCCATCTTCTCAGAAGCTTACAAGTCCTCAAGCTCAACGTCCATTCGCCGGTCAGTAACTCTGCATCGGCATTTGTTGCCTCCACATTTCTCTTTAGGACATTAAAATGGTAAGTCAAGCGACCGAAGAAACATCGTTGATCACTTGTGGCAATCCACAACAAGCAGCTGGCGAGGCTGAGCTTCAGCCAACATCGAAATCTTTTTGCCTTCTAGACCCCCAACCAGCCTCCCCACTTCTGATACGTGCCATCTGCACAAAGAAAATTGGCATGTGGCAACTTACACGAGGCGCCGAAAGACAAAGGTTCTCTTGCCGGATTCTGAAAGTTCTACCGTACTCCAGTGTCCACTTTCTCCGGCACAGAACAAGTTCTCGACCCTTTTTCCAAGAGCACTGCCTCCATTGGCATCCTTGGCCCAATTATTGACAGGCGCACCAAGCTTTTCTTGGGCGTTAAACGTTATGATCTCTTCAAGATATCGGAGATGATCCAGAAATCATCGATACCGTATTTTCGGCCAAGCAACCTTCTCCAAAAGTCCAAGGAGCGAGAGAAACAGTTTCGTCGAAACATGTTTCAGCCTTGGCATCCTTTCACCATCTTTCTATCCACTTCAAGCCTAGTGCTGCGCCAATCAATGCTCGCTTATCGGATTTGTATCAAGGTTGACCCTCTGGCAGATCTGAAGGCGTTCTCCTTTCTTACTTCCAACAAAGCAAAAGAGGCTGAGTCCTTTAGTATACCTTCGTGTACAAGTTTCGATACCTCATCTAGTATGGAGATCATCAGCACGGGATCCCTTCCAACCGTGAACATCTCAAGTCTCGTGATCCTATCTTACCAAGTCTGACACGATACCGCTTTACCTAAAGCATGATTTGAGTTTCTCAAACAAACACAAATTATACTCTGTCCTCCCAAGGCATAGCATCTCACATCCACGGTTCGTAAGACCTCCGTTCTGGGCACTCAACGCCAACATCCTATACACAAGGTAAAGTCTTAAGTACAAAGTCAGACAAGAACTCAACGCCAAGTCCCGTGATGATACACTTGTACCTCAGGTGTCTGATACCGGCAAATCCAGTTCCACAACCTCGAAGGGCTGTGTCTTATGTCCAGTGCCGTAAGTGAAAGCTCCCGAACACAACACGAGGAGGCAAGTAAGCGTCCAACCACTAACCTCCCGGAGCTCGAGTCCGCAATCAAATATCTCGTGATGCTAATCTATCCGAGTGGTACGAGGTAACATCTGTTTCTTATTCAGAGCTGACTAGTCTATCCGGTTCCCAATTTTCTGGATCACTTCATACGCCACTTCAACACTTTACCAACTCATGCTTCCCAATCCGTATACTGCCTTCCACTCCAGAAAGGAAAGAAACCAACAGGAACTTCCTCTCCGAACCCTGCCTTTGCCTCTCTCCTTCCCAAGACGACCATCTATCTGATTGATAATTTGTCACCGTACCTACGCCGAGGCACTTACCGCATGCGGAGGGGCAGTGCAATACCCGTCCCACCCACTCACTCGTCACCGGTATCAAGAAGTGAGCGAGCTGTGTGGTTGCGATATGTTGTGTTGTGTCCCAGTCCCTATGCATTTTCCCGGTACCGGGAAGCGTCTCAGCACATTTCCCGTTGACAAATCTTGAGGCGTGCACGTTTCGGTTTCTTCGACGCGATTAATGTAGTGACACGAGACTTACGAAGACGATAGAAAGTCACGAGTAAACGGTCCTTGAGAGAAGACACGAAAGCAATTTTCCATTAATGCAATTTTTCGTACCTCGAATCGAAGATGTGAACATTTCTCTAACCCTCTGAACAAGTGAAAAGCAAGCAAGCAATGCAGATATCTGTGTGTGTCCCCAAAGTGAAAAAAGGTAGTTGTAACCGGGAACGAAAGAAGAAGGCGATCTGATCTGAATGTGCGGTCTACGCTCCCAATTTCCTCCTTGCAAGCAAGCATGAGGAACAAATAACAAAGCGCTCCGTAGAACGCCTTCCCTTGACAGACAGACGGAAAAGATGATGCGGGGAAAGGAAGATGGATGGATGTAGAACGCGAACAAAGGAAAATAAAGCCTCGAGAGTCTCAGCCCCGATTCTAACGTCTTGTCCTTTCCGTACACTTAGTCCTTGAACTCATCCTCGTCGAGTTCACAGCCCCAATACGTATTCGCTCTCGTACATATTACCCCTCTTTCCAAGACAGCACAGATAGGAAAACGCCTATTCTTTGACCGTAAAAATGTGCCTTGATGTGAAGCCGGTTTCAAGCCTAATGTCCACCTTCTGCTCTTCGGGAATCATCTCGTGCTCGAGGTCCCATCCGGCGCGCTTACACAGCTCAGCCACCACGACGTCGCAATCTCCAAGCATGTCGACATCAAAGTTGACATGTGAGACGGGGGTCCTGGAGATGTACATCTGCGGGATATGCGTCGGGAGGTAAGGAACAACTTCTGAGACAGGTGCCACCTTGAGAGAAGTGCCGATGACGATGACCAAGTCGACGAGGTCTTTGTCGTGGTTCGTTAAGCGCTCAGAGAAGCGGTCTGGGAGCGGTTCGCCAAAGAAGGTGATATCTGGCTTCATTACTCCGCTTTTGGGATCATCGTATTCGTCTTCAGAAGAAGTATCGCCGTCCATGGCATCGTAGCCAGACTTACGTCTCTTCTTGTCCTGGCTATTGTAGGAGCGCTTCCTCTTCATGGCGGTCGGGACCTTGAGTCGCCTCAACCTCTCGATACACATGGGACACATCGGGATTTTTCCGGCTCGAATATCGTCGAAAAGTTTTTCGCCTTCGGTTTGATACTTGCAGTCTATACAAGAGGCCGTGGCGAAAGAGCCGTGACATTGGATGAGCTTTTCGGGGAGGATACCAGCTACCGATTCGATGTTGTCGATGTTTTGTGAGTAGTTGGTGAGAAGTTTGCCTTTTGCCTGGAGAAGGGCGATGAACGCGTGCGTAGGAGTGAATCGGTCAGTTGAGGGGAGGATATCTCGAGCGACTTGGTAGAATATCGAAGGATCCTCTTTGAAGATATTGATATCGAACACCTCTTGAGGGTCGTTAAGACCAAGATGTTCAAGCTTCGAATAGAGACCGATATCCTTGGATCGGAAGTCGGGAATGCCCAATGAAGTCGAAATACCAGCACCAGTAAGAACGATGATGTTTCTTGACTTCTTGATGAGCTCGACGGCGTCATCGATGGTATTGTATTGAGGAAGCTTGATCCTCTTTGACAATTCTCGACTGATGCCCAAACTAAGGAGACCGTAATAGGCATCGTCAGGTGATCCTTCGAGGAAATGGGGTGGTCGCAATCCAAAAGCAGTCAGCAACTTCTTCGCTGTGATTGTGCCAGCTTCGACTGTTTTTGCGCAAAAGGCTTCTGGGCCAATTGTCCGTAGTTGTTGTCGGAAGGCATTTGCTTCTTCCAAAGTACAGTGTTCGGGACCTGTAACTATTTTTAGCGCGTCATAGACTTTGGGGTTTCATGAGACTTACCACCAGCAGTCGTGAGATGCTGATCATCCATCTCCTCTAAAGTATCTTCGAAAAGCGACTCAACTTCGTCCCAGTTCGCGCTGTCTTCGTCTTCTTCATCACCTGACTCCTCAACATCTGGTAGATCGATGCCGTTGACGCCACTGATACCGACACGTTTCGCATCTAACGCGATGGGAATGCTTGGCTCAGTATCGGAGTCGTCGAGATCTATTACCTGAGAAGCAGGCATCTTGACCGCAGCTTGACCAGAGCTTAGTCGACTGACCTCCATCGTGTTGTGGTTGACAAGAGACAAAGTCTCTCCCTGGCGAGAAGTTGAAGAAGTGTAAGAGGAAGGCGAGTTGCGACCAGTTGGCTAGAATTATTTTTCGGAGCGGAAAAAGAAAATGCCGCGGAGTAGCACTAGATTTGGCGGATAAGAGGCAAGCGTTGAGTGGTGAAAGTGTTAGTTGCCGAAATGTGAATGTGAGAGCAGCGAGCATTGACCCGCTATGAGAAAATCAACTTTTTCTTAACGCGCGGCTATTTCTATATCATCAAGACAATTGTCTAAGTCGTAATGGGACAATTGGATGATCTTGATGGTGATTAACAACGTATCATGATTCAATGTCATCGTCAAGAGAAAATGCGGAAGGCAACACACCGCACTTGCTATTCACGGCACCGTCCTTCGGCCCGAGACACCAGACAACATCAGCATTGAATCCTCAAACCCACGCTTCACGACTCTATCGACGACGAAAATCGCAAAGTGAGAATCATGACGACAAACGAATCCGTCTCCAACCTCCTCTTGGTGACCCTAAAACTTCGGAGTCAAGTATTTACAGAGGTTCATTCAGCCATAGTCCACGCCGATCCAGGTCTCTACGAACAGAGAGTCTTGCCCCGGCTTCACCTCGAATGAGTATGAGCGATGCCCACCTTGAGGATTTGTTGCAAAACCTCAATTTTGATCTTGAAACCTATGGTCTAGATGAGAGCCGAGATGGTTTCTTCGATGCATCGTTCCTTAAGCCTACCCAGGTCGATCACGAGGATCTCATGAACGATGCGGAGTGCACACTTCCTATAGCTTACAAGAAAGCAAATCCTCTTTCTCCCAAAGCATTTCTTCCAAAGCAATGGCACGAGGTCAAAGGCGTCTTCCGAGCTGTGATGACCACAAGAGCGGGCATCAAGCTCGCCAAATCCTTCTTGGCATTCTTCATCGCATATATACTATGCCTCGTTCCTGTCATCGTAAAATGGCTTGGTCGGTATAGTTACATTATGGTCTTGTCCACTATTGTCAACCACCCTGGACGATCCATCGGAGCTCAGATTGATGGAACCTTTCTCACTATTACGGGTTCTGCCACTGGTCTTGGCTGGGGCGCATTCGCTCTTTGGGTGTCGGACTCTACATCCGTAGCACGCAGAGGCTATGGTGGAATCTTGGCCACATTTCTCGTCCTTTTCATGGGAACTATCGCAGCTCTAAGATCTTATTACATCAGACTCTACCAGCTTGTTTTGTGTGCTGGTATCGCAATCAGTTACACATGTCTAGCTGACACGTCCGAATCGATTGCCTGGAAGAAGTTGTTTGACTACGCTATTCCATGGCTATTTGGTCAAGCAATTTGTCTCTTGATCTGTTGTACCGTGGTTCCGGATGCTGGAGCGAGACTTCTAGCAGTCGATTTACATGATGCTTTCCGTGTTATGCAAGACGGGTTGAAGCTTCCTCACCCAGATAGTCGCAATCTTCATAGGCAACTTGCTTGGACGTTTGTCAACCTTTCGCAAGCATACCGAGATCTCGTCCTTGATATCTCCATTACCCGTTTCAAACCCGCTGATGTGATGGCACTTCGGAATCTCATGCAGGCAGTCATCAGATCTTTCCTATCTCTAAAGATGCAAACACAACTGTTCGACGACTTCGACGACCCTGAGCATACTGGAGTTGGAGAACAGCAAGATAGTTCACCAGTAAAGCAGACTCCCACTAAAGCTTCTGAGAACACACAAACAAGAGCCAATGATGCCGACGACACCATCATTGACATTGATACCTCAAGAAAACGACCCTCGATCTTCAGGACAGCTACACAGGAGCGAGCTGTCAGACTGGTAGCGGACAGATTAGCTGAACCTACATCAAAACTCCTGTCGTGCATGAGATCTGCTCTAGCACGATGCGATGCCGTCCTTCTCGAGATGTCCGGTCATCGAAAATACCTTGGGCCTCCTGAAGATGTGTCGACAGACATCTTGGCTGCTCTTACCAAGATCCGCAAAGCGATGATCAAATACGACGAAGAAGAGGAGCTGCTCATGAAAAGTCCCGATCTACCTCCAACATATTCAAATCACCCAGAAGTCGTCGAGCTTTTCCTATTTGTGCATCCCATCAGGCTGGGCGCTACTAGTGTCGAAGCTCTGCTAGTCAAAGTCAATGAGATGCAGCAAAGACGTCCAGGCTGGAGGCTATATTTGCCATCATACCCATTCGCCAAGGCTCTGCAAAGGACAAACGCTCAAGTTCGACACGACAGAGGGGGCTTGACTGCAGGTTATTACTTCCGAAGCCAGAGTCAACTCGCAAGAACGATGAAAGGAATGGCGAACGTCTACAAGCCTCTACCTCGACATCAAGGTTCTCAAGCTGAGGAGAAGGATGATCCTATTGACAGCCTCGGCCGATCAGATACTATTGGCAAATATGAAGAAGAGGAAGATATTGCAATGGACAGGGACTCGCAAGCTACAAGGAAGCAACGACTGCGGTATAAGATGTGGGTAGTTTTACATCGATTGCAAGGTTTTGAAACGAGATTTGCTTTGAAAGTTGCGATAACGACCTCGCTGTTATCTATTCCTGCATGGCTTAGTCAAAGTCGAGGTTGGTGGAACGAAAATGAGAGTTGGTGGGCTGTTGTGATGGTTTGGGTGATGTCCCATCCAAGGTTAGATCCCAAGATACAATGCCCCTTCCTAGTATTTGCTAACAATGGTATAGAGTCGGTGGCAACCTTCAAGATCTCGTCACTCGTGCCCTCTGCGGCGTCTTAGGAGCTGTTTGGGGAGGAATAGCTTACGGTGCAAGAAATGGCAATCCATACGTGATGGCTGCATTCGCCGTCATCTACATGTTACCCATGATGTATAGATTCACGCAAAGCTCCCATCCTCGATCAGGAATCGTCGGCTGCATCTCGTTCGTGGTTGTCTCTTTGGGAGCAAAAGCCGCAGATGGTCTACCGTCCGTTGTGCAGATTTCTTGGACTCGAGGCCTAGCTTTCGTGGTTGGAGTTGTGGCGGCAGTTGTTGTGAATTGGATTCTATGGCCATTCGTTGCAAGACATGAACTTCGCAAGGCCTTATCTGCAATGTTGATTTATTCCAGCATCATCTATCGTGGTGTTGTGGCAAAATATGTCTATTATGAGAAGGGAGAAGAACCAGGGAAAGAAGACGTGGAGAGATCAGGTGAGCCAAAACCTCAATTCTTGACTCTGTCACTAATCCTACCCAGAAATGCTCGAAGGTCGTCTCCGCGAAGGCTTTGTCCGCATCCGTCAACTCATGGTGAGTCCCCCTCTTCTCCCAAACTTCAACCCCTCACCACCCCGCAGGCCCTAACCCGCCACGAAATCCGCCTCCGCGGCCCCTTCAACCCCCTCCCCTACTCAGCCCTCATCGACGCCTGCGAGCGCTTCTTCGAATACCTCGTCGCGGTCCGGCAATCCTCCCTCTTCTTCCACCCCCACTACATCTCCGACAGCGAACAAGCAGCCGAGTCCCTGCTCTCTTACCGTCGAGACGCTGTTGCTGCTATTCTTATGAATCTCTACGTCTTGGCTGGGGCTTTGAGAGGCGATAGGCCTGTGCCTGTAATTTTCCCGCGTTCTACCTTTTCTTTTGATTTGTGCTGACTAGGGATAAAGAGATATCTCCCCTCCGCTGCCCTTGCGAGAAAAGCCCTGCTAGATCACATGGCGCTGCTTGAATCGCAGATGGCGAGTACGGAGTCGCCTTCTCGTGTCGTGTCGAATAGGAAGTGGTCGCAGATCTATAGTTATTCTTATAGTCAGAGCTTGACAGGTTGTGTGAAGCAGCTGGAGCAGTTGCAGATTTATGTTAAGGAGATTGTTGGGGAGCAGGGGTTAGTTTTCTCTTTTGCTTTCTCGTTTGGAGAGTGAGTGCTAATTCGTATCTCAGATTCGACCCAATAGACCCTTCACTATACGAAGAGCTTTCATCTGAAAAAGTAAAAGCACACGGGATATTGGACGGTGCTCGGTCATAATCTCATCATATTCAAGCTATGCTACTTAGCCTGAATCCTATCTTCATCTCCATAGCGATATTCAAGAACAAAATATGAATCCTGAACGCCTCGCTATGATATCCTGATCCATACAATACCCAACGCACTCTGACACCTAACCCAAATTCTCCGTCATAATAGTGTTCAACACGCTCATCCTCTGTGGCGGCTTGAAAGGTTTCTGTCCAACAATATTCTTCTTCGGGTATCTCTTTCCTGTAACCCCAAACCCACCTCCATTTCCAAACCCCTTCTTTGGGCCAAGATTAACATTCTCCTTGTTTTCTTCCAAGATCGGCTTTTCTTCAATCTCCATCACAAGAACGCCGTCCCCACCCTTCACTTTCGACGCCGGACTAGCGGTCGCTGGCACAACACTAATCTGCGTCTGCGTAACACTCTTCTCAAAAAGATGATCTTCCAACGCCGTCTTAGGAAGATCAAAAACCCAGTCTTTCTCCTCCATCAACCTCACGAACCTAGCTACCATCTCTTCTTCCCCCTTTTCATTCTTTCCGTTTCCCTTCAACGTCTCTCTACTTCCTACTACGAGAAGCTTGGTCTTTGCTCGAGTAAAAGCAACATTGATGCGTCGCCAGTCTTTGAGCAGTTCTCCAATGGACTTTGCTTCGTTGCTGCGGACTAGCGAGAGGATGATGACTTCTTTGTCGCGGCCTTGGAAACGATCTGCGGTGTGCATCTCGACTTCCGGACGAGAGCGGAGATTGTGCTTTAGAAGAGCGAGTTGGGAACGGTAGTGTGTCATTACACCGATTGAGGATGCAGGCACGCCGGTGCTTAAAAGGGATTCGACGAGCTGGGTGGCAATGGTGGCTTCGGCAAGATTGACGATCCGGTTTCCTTTTGCTTCTTCACGAGAAACAGGGAGCAAAGGATCTGTGTTGATGAATGAAACTCTAGTAGCTGGGTCAACGAGAGTGCGGATCCAGCATTGTCCCTGATTTGGGCCTGCACAGATTGATTTCTGGCTGCGGGAAAGAGTCGAGGGAGAGAAGTGATGAATCCTGAGACCATCTATGTTGGGGATTGTGATGCTTTTATTGGCGACCTCCTGGCTGCCGCATTTGAGACGGCCATTGTAGATCAAGTTGTTACTGAGGGCCATTACATCTTCGCACATGCGGTATTGGTGCTCTAGATAGACGACGGAGCTCGGGTGCGTGTCCGAAAGATGCTTGAAGAGACTGATATCCAGTCCTCCCTTGCGAGCTTCTTCGTTTTGTACAAGTGGTGGCAGTTGGTTGTGATCTCCAACGAGAATGAAAGTTCGAGCTAGACGGATGGGTCCGAGGCAGACAGGCAGCATGATCTGCGAAGCTTCATCGACAATGCAATAGTCGAAAGTCCGCTCGTTAAAGATGGCATGATTGATTCCTAGACATGTGGTTGCAACGATTTGAGTGTCGTGCCAGGCATGTCTAATCTCTTCAAAAGAATCTCTTTTGGTTGCTGCAAGAGTTGCAAAGTCTCGAACCTCCGGGCTGATTTTAGAAAGTGTCCCAATCCGCAGGATTGGAAGGCCATCGTCCTTGAGTTTCAGGAGAATGTTGTCCACAGCAGTATGCGTGTATGATGTGAGCAGTACACTCTTACCTTGTGAAACTAGAGCTCGAATGATATGTGCAATGGTAGTCGTCTTACCGGTGCCAGGCATACCGAGAACAAGAGCGTAGTCTTCGGCGCTCATCACTTTCTGGATAGCTCGTCTTTGATCGACGTTGATGTTTTCTCGGTCCTTCAGCGTGTATGCTGTTGCCTGTGATTTGAATCTTGGTGCATTGAGGTCCACAACCAAACCGCGAATTTGACGTGAACCGAATGGTCCGTCTGCCATGACCTGTATGAGATTGTTGCGAACCGTAGCTAGGCCATTGCTAAACTCGTCCTTATCCAGTCTATATCTCACAGGTTCTTCCCAGATCTTTCCTTTGGCGTCTTCGATGGTGGAGCCTTCCTGAGCTACTTCCATAATGCTTGCAAAGACTTGATTGTCGACTTCATCAAATCCTGGCTGTCGAATTCGAGCGTTGTGAAGTCGTCGATCCACTGCTACTGTAATTCGCTTCTTGCGAACATGAGTTACAAAGCCATTCGCCAGAGCGAAATGCCCGTTTTCATCCGATATCACAATAGGCTCACCTACAACAATCTGTGAGTCGAGGAAAGAGAACTCTGGTCGTGGTTCCGGTTCGATGAGAGAATATCGATAGCGGTTGATTTTTGGTTGATGTAACTCCTCGTAGGCGGAGCCAGGTTCAATAACCAAATCTGAGAAGCATCTGCCTAGCTTCTCTCGCTCGGAACTAAGCATTGTCCAAAGCTCTCGTCGAAACTTCAGGCTTTCCTTCTCTTCTTTGGTGAGCAAGTCATCCCATTTCAAGAAGAACTCCTTGTGCTTCGGCGTAAGATGTTTGACAACATCATCGAACTTGTCTTTGAGACCACTCGTCTCTCCTGTGCCATCGTCGGCGAGCCTATGATAAATGAAGCAAGGCACTTTGGCGTAACAACGACCGCACATGTTCTCCTTCTTCAACATTAGTGGAAGCTGAGCGTCACGCTCGCGAACAAAACATGCAAGTTCATTTCGTTGCATGATCATATGGCGGAGCTCATGACGGATCGCCGGTATTCTGATGGTCTCGGAAGTTTCCATGTAGTAGAGAATACCATAAGCTATTTCAACATCATACCGATCCGATAAAAGAAGATTGTATAGAGCTGTCTGGGCGCGATGGGCAGCGCTTGGGTTCTTGCCAGTCTTAACCTCAAATGGAACCGTCAATGTTCGCCTCTTACCATCATCGTCCATGGTAACCTGGACTGTAGCATCGATATTTCCTTTGAGACCATACATAGGAGACCAGACATGTTCTTCGACGTCGAGAAGCTTGCTGACACACATGCTGGCTTTTTCACCATTGCCGGCCTTGACGATAGCTTGTGGCTGGGTTGTATTAGTTTAGTTCGAGAATTGAAGGAAGGCAAGGTATTACCTTTGGGAGAGATGAGACAAATAGCTCGGCCCAACTTTGCAGTTCGCCCATTTTGCTTTGAAGATATTGAACAGCATGGGGTATCTCTAACTTGATATTGTATAAATCTTCCAGGTGCATAGTGGCAACCTTCTCAATGAGCTCAGACAACCACTCACTATCCCAACGATTGGCCAGCATAGCTGCCTGGAAAATTTCGTGCAGTATTGTCCCATAAACGAGAGGGGCGCTGGCTTCGCTTGTGCTTTTGATCCTGTCTTGGAGTACAGCGCGACGAGTACAGCCAAAAGAGTCCGCTACTACCGTAGAAGATATTAGGTGGTCCGGATGCAAAATAAGAATGTTCTGCTCATCGTCGACGATACATCTTCCGCTAGCATCGAAGAGGCCAATAACATGAACGTACGCCTTGACCGTGACCGGCGACTCGATCCAAACGCCTCGTAAATGGACACTCTTCATAGTCTTCGCACGCTCAACTTGCAGTAGTAGTATCTAGCATGCTTAGTGAGCTTCATTTTTAAGAAGTTGGGGAACAAACCTTTTCTCGTTGTTTTCGACCCTTGACATTTTCGAATTCTGAATCCAAGATATTCGTAACTAGATACCTCTGTATAGCTCGGGCTTTTTGAGCGGACTGAAGGACTTCTTAGTAAGGTCAGAGTGAGATAATGAGATATCATATTTGCTATGGAAATCTGGAACGTACAGATATAAGGCTATTAGCTGTCTGTTGTATGGATTGCGTAGCAGATGCCTCGGCTTCTTCAAAATCAAGCTCGTCTAATCCGTCATCCCCAAATTCATCTTCCGAATCTCCCATTGAGGTGTCCACTGATTTCTGATTTGGATCCAAACTACCATTTGTCACGGATAAGCCGTTTGGAACTGCACTGTGGTCAAACTGGGAAGCAATCTGTTCCATATCTGCAATAAACGAATCGTCGTCGGAGTCGTCGAACTCATCATGACCAGCTCGCATCGGTCTGTGTTCGGGAACTATAGATCTTGCAACTGGGATTCGCTGCTTCTGGACCACCGAATGGGCTTGATCAAGTGGAGGTGGTGGAATAGGAGTGGTCAATTCTGAATTGGTCTTGGTGGGGACTGTTTCAATCTCCTCGAGTATGCTTGCATCGAGATCGTCGTCATCAAATTCGCCGTGATCCGAAGAATCTGACATTTTCTGCTCAGCTGCTTCTGAAGTTTCCTCTCTCATAACTTCGTCCTGCATGGGCTCCTCTTGTGCATTTGAGACGCTAAGCCGATTGTGGGTGTGTTGTGGTTTAGATTGCGATAATCCTTCTTGAACTCTCTCAATTAACACGGATAACTTCGAAGGACCGACATTCATCGATTCGGTAAACACATCATCATTGTCATGGCCTCCAACTCTTCTTCGTTTGGGAAATTGATTGCCGCAACTATTCGCTCTTCGAAATCCCGCGATGGACCTAGGAGTCACGTTTTCCTTGGGTGGCTGGGGAGATGAAGTGTGCATGATATGTGCCAGAGTCGGAATTGGTCCTGCCGGTGTTGTGGTATTGGATCCGTTAAGGGAATATCGGCCCCAGATCTCGGACCCAGGATCCAATTGAGGGGTCAATGTCTCTGTCCTCGACTTGAAATGGGCAGAAGCTGTTGCCGGTGACCCCATAGGTGAAGAACTTCTTGCTCGCTTCTTAGCCCTTCGAATACCTCGAGTCGCTGATCCATTCGTGCTGTCTTTCTCGTTGTCCCACTCTATCCGTTCGTCTGGTGAGATACTCTGGACAGCACGTCTAACATCCCCCATTCCTATCAAATCTAGGAGAGCCAGCTTTCCAGCTGGTGTTGTCGGGATATCCTTTCTCAGTTGTGGCAAGAGGGGTTGTTCCTGCGAGATTTTCTTCTGTGAAACAGCCTTCTGAGCTGGGGGTGCATCATTCTCTTTCTCGTCGTCCGATAACAGGAATACAACAGTTTTCTCCGCATTTTGAGGCTTGGACTGTCCATCAAATTGAAAGCTGCTTAGTTTATTCTTCGTAGCGGTAGACACTGGAAGAGGAGGCTTTTCTTGCAAAGGTTGAGGCTTTGGATTAGCGTTCGATGTCTGTCGACCGGAGAAACTCTTGTTTTTCGTCCATTGTGGTCGATTTTGCTGTTCATACATCATCAGCGTCGATGTCTTGCAACAATACAAACAAATACGTGGTTTGACATACCTTTGGATTTGCAGAATGATTCTGATCTGAAAAGGACTTCTGAAGAGGCATCCTATCTGCCTAACGCAAGTGTCTGTTGCGGTGGACAGTCTGGAGGTCCTGGTGGTAATACTCGTTGTTGGAGAAGTGGTGGTCTTCACGCTCAACATATCTCAAAAGTCGCGGTTGCCGTGCTGGGGACGCGACGCGACATGGCCTTCTCACCGCCTTCTGAAGTGGTACTGCAAGTGCCGTAAACTCAATACGGAAAGGTCGATATATGTGGGACGGGTGCATTGAAGGCCCCATCCGAGGATCGGCTATTAAATTAGCAGCCAGGGCAGCTTGCAGCTTTGATCTCGAGTTCTTGTCAAAGAGTGTGGGGAACAAAACGCCTCTTCCAAACAACCATACAAGAGTTGCACGGGTATGTACCAGCGCATGTTCTGACAATTGGTCATGAATGTTCTTTTGAGACTGATCTCTTATTGCAGAAGCTACCAACAAGATGTCGGCCGATCAAAAGCCTCTGGGCTTCATTTACCAGTTCGCGGCAGGTACGACCCCTCCAACGTCTGTATGCCTGTCAATTGAAGCTTACACCATGTCTAGGAGCTATTGCAGGCGTATCGGAAGTAAGTTATCACTTGTGAATAGTTACAATGTCGAGTCAAGCTAAATCGCGCAATTTGCAGATCTTGGTGATGTAGGTTTCACCCCATTCTTCTCTCCTGACAGATCACATACTGACTTGTCGTCTGCAGGTACCCGTTGGACGTTGTCAAGACTAGAATGTGAGCTTCGAATTTCCACCACTACCAACTGGGACATCATTGACAGGTTGGCAGACAATTACAAGCTGGTGGAGCGACTGGTGCGGATGCGTACACTGGCATGGTTGATTGCTTCCAAAAGATTGTCAGAAATGAAGGGCACGTCATGTTCTTCCGGAAATGCATATTATTCTGACTGGAATACAGTTTCTCGCGTCTCTACCGTGGTATCGAAGCCCCTATCTTGATGGAAGCACCAAAGAGAGCAACCAAATTCGCGGCCAACGATTCCTGGGGAAAGTTCTACCGTGATCTGTTCGGCGTGGCAAAGGCAAATCAATCGCTATCAATCCTGACTGGTGCTACGGCTGGTGCTACCGAGGCTTTCGTTGTGGTTCCCTTTGAACTTGTTAAGATTCGACTTCAAGACAAGGCCTCGGCAGGAAAATACACTAGCAGTCTCGATGCCCTTACCAAGATCATCAAGAACGAAGGTCCTCTCGCACTCTACAACGGACTTGAAAGTACTCTGTGGAGACATATCCTATGGAATGCAGGATACTTCGGATGCATTTTCCAAGTCCGAGAACTTCTTCCCAAGACAGACAAGAAGGGCATGCAAACATTAAATGAGATGTTGGCAGGCGCTACTGGAGGAACTGTGGGAACAATTCTCAATACGCCTATGGATGTGGTCAAGTCTCGAATCCAGAACAGTCCCAAGGTTGCAGGCTCAATCCCCAAGTACAACTGGGCATGGCCATCTATTGCACTTGTCATGAAGGAGGAAGGCTTTGGCGCGCTCTACAAAGGCTTCATTCCCAAGGTGTTGAGGTTAGGTCCAGGTGGAGGTATTCTGTTGGTTGTCTACACAAATGTCATGGACATGTTCCGCAGAATGCAGAACCCGGTAGCATAATTGTAGATGATGGCAAATTTCAGCAGATCAGGCTCACTGCATTTTCCGGATATTCATACTAGAGATTCCATGTACAATCTGAAAACTATGGATAGAGAGCAACAGGTTTTGGAGAGGGCGAGGCCACCTTCAAACATACAATTCGAGGATAAAGCAAGTGCGGAATAGATATCGTCCAAACCAAGTTCTTCTGATGTCCATATGCTTATTCCTGGACATATTATCGGCTCTAGACGTTGTTTATCTAAGGAATGTTTTGGCCGTTGCACTTTGGTGAACTAGTCTGTCCTCGTTGGATGTCCACTCCATGTACCTCACGCCATCTTTAATTTAATCCATGTTTGATTATGTTTCAATGCTTTGTAGTTTGCTGAAATTTATTCTCCAAACCGCGGCAAGAACCGCTCTGAGAGGTTCACTTACTTTACTATGCCTAGAATTATTTTATCTGTTCGTACTGATCCTTCACCTACTCACATCATTGCTTATTGAAGTTGGTTTACAAGACCGTTAACATGATTTAGAGCAGAGCCAAAATCACGGCTGGCTGATTCTTGACTCTTCTATGACAAGACAAGTATTATTACATTTCTTCTTTCACCAGCTCTGCTCAGCCGAGACTCTTTCGATCTGCTGACCGAAATCAGTTAAGGAGGCGAGACTTTAAGCGAGTGACCCATTCCCTCCCAGAACTCTCCGAATAGTCGACATTGTCTCCTGCTCCCATACTCATGTGTGTTATCTGTTAAAAGCGCCATGCAAATCATAGAAAGCAGGCCACATTATTGTTAAGCTTGCGCTTTCAGAGCTAACGAGCAAGTCATCTGAGATTCCACATAGTTTTACAACCTCTCTCAAATTTCAACACGATTCAAATGCGCGCAGCATCATTTTCAACTTTAGTAATAGTGAAAAATGACTCTTCTTACATTCTGCTTGTTCTTTCAATGTGCTTAAAGAAGCAGACGAAAAGTGACATTCATATCTTGTGAACCGCAGAAACAGCCTGATAATCACTTTCCATTATCCACTCTGATATGCTTCATTGTCGTTATATAATCACCTCTCTGGGGTCTTCTGGAGCACAAGTAACCATAAGATACTTCTCACCTCTGGCGTTCAGATTGCTCTGCACTAACTTGTTATCGAAGCCCTTAGATGGTCTAGAAGCTGTATGCACCACGTGATTCATAATTGATATATAAATGGACAGCGACTCCGAGGGCGTATAGAGAAAATTCAAACATAAACAAACTAATTCAAAGCTTCTGACTAATTTAACGTAAAATAAAAAAGTTTTTGGGAATGTTTTTGTTCTGGTTGGTTTATCCGTGCGGCTACTCATCCCCGTGGCTTAGTCGGTTCTGTAGATCTGCTGCATAACAACACAGCTTCCCACCTTCCTCCTCTCCCAACCACGACTTCCCATCAACAAACGCCAAATCTCCTTCTCAAACTTCATTCCCAGATCCTCTCACCTTACGCGACGAAAGTCCCATCAATTTCTTCCTCTTTCAATCCAAGTTCATCGCATACTGTAAGTGTATTCCAAGTTTCTGTCGCATTGTTGAGACGCGTCCCGACTCGTTTTCAATGCGCCCGCTGAGCGCTTTCCTCCACCACGTCACTTTATACTAATTCCTTCATAGAAATAACACAATGGCAAGAGAAGGAACACGCTCTGCGACCGGTATGCATCCTCGCAGCGTCTGCTGCACGATCGAGCTTGTCACATAGCTCGGCGGGTAGCTTAACTTGACCTCTACTAAAGGCATATCTAGGAAACTCTCGACCAAGAGTCTTCCCAACTGTCCCCGTCACCGAGACCACTACGAAGAAGCGTGCCACTGCCAACACTGGTGCTAAGAGAGGTCCAAAGACTACAACTACCAAGGCGGCTAAGCCAACTGGCGTCACCAAGAAGAAGGCTGCACCAGCGAAGAAGACGAGCGTTGCCGACAAGGTAGGATTCACGCATTCTACATACAGTACAATCACTGACCTCTTCTTTTAGGCCAAGGGTGTCGTGAAGAAGGTCGAGGGTACTGTTACTGGCAACCCAGAGAAGAAGGTATGTGTCGAGAATCCATTGTTGTGATGCGCCTCGACGCGTCGAGCACCCCTGTTCTTCAAAAGCAAGGTGGTGAAACACCTTATCAGTACTTCAACATACCTCCCAATCGATGAACAAGTGTTTACGATTAGTTATCTCTCACTTCCAGTTCTTATCATTTCTATGAGATATTGCTTTTGTTATTCGAGAATTGATATTGATGAATATTTCGAATTACTTTCTTATTATCTCACGAAACTAATACTTTTCCTCGACAGGCTGCTGGTACGAAGAAGATCAAAGGCACTGATGGTAGCAAGACCAAGGCCACTGTTACCAAGAAGAAGTAAATGCCAGCTCACGAATATGACTCCAACAACATGCACGAACATGGACAAGGACTACGCATGTCTCCAGTCTGTAGAAATCACTGGGATGACTTACGCTCTTATACCCCTTGTCCCTTCCTGCCCGCTGGAGCGAAACTGGCGTTTGAGGAGTTTGCGATGGATGGGTGGACTGGATGCATGACGGACTGGGGGCGGTTTAATGGCATGCACTACGTTATGGTTACATGCTGTTGATAGGGCTTCGTTCAGGATGGATTATGGTTTCCTTCTATGTGCTTACTGGCTCATATCTGTTGTCTATGATCGTTTCTTTGGTGCCTCGTACAGTACATGCAAAGGTTTCAGTTGACATAAACTCTTCTTCTTCTTCTGAACCGTGATCAGAACTACCTGTATGTTGTGTCTGCACACTTGTGAATTATATTTTGTCGCTAGGTCACTCAATGCTGCAGAGTGGCCGAGCCTTTGCATCGCAATATGGAGCCCTTGGTTCAGGATTCTAGGATCTTGAACGAATCTTTGGGAATCCAAGATCTTGCTTGGCAATCGTAAATTTAGTGGCAGATTAACCGCTGGAAGCCTCTGGTCCCCAATGGGAGGTTATGGAACTGGGACGTTGAAATATTTCACGGGACGATTAAGGTCAACATAATACTTATAATGGAAATAGCATGGTCACAAATATCAGCGAGTCTACTACCTCGAGAGAAACGACAAAATAGCACTCCTTTCCATTGCATCAAAGAAAATCATGTCTCCATGACTTCTCATCTATGCCACAAAAAGCTTTCTATTCTTTCCCAGTCATCACAACACCCACCCCTTCCACCCTACCTCCTCCCCAAATCCACATCCCTAACCAGAACCATCTTTCCTCCATCCTTGCCTTCCTCTTCACCCACCCCCTCGACCCGGAAAAACTCACCAACAGCCCTCCCAACAACCCCTTCCCAAACCCCCCTCACTACCCCCCTCAACTCCTCCCCCGTCTGCCTAAAATCAGGAAAAGCATTACACTCCAACAACCACGCCCTCCCCCTCTCATCAACCAAGAAATCCAGCCCAAAGACCTCAAACGCATTCGGCAGCGTCTGGAAATGGATCATCATGCCCTTCGCCGCCGCTTCGAACACTTCCCCGGTGGTTTCGTAGATCTGTTTTTGGATAGAGTCATTGAGAGAAGGAGATAAAGGAAGGGAGGAGAGGAGTTGCACTGTGCCGGCAGAGAGGGAAGGTTGGAGGCATGTGTTTGTTAGGTGGGGAGAGAGGTCTGAGGGTGGGGAGGACCAGGGAGGAACGTAGGGGGTTGTGGCGAAGAGGGCGAGCATTTCGGAGAAGACGTAGACTTTCAGGGAGCCGATGGCTAGGACGTAGGTGCGGATGTGGAACTTGCGGTCATTCAGGAGGAGGGGTGGGTGGATGTAGGGTTGTGCGATGAAGTGGCGGAGGTGAGAGGTTATTATGCCCTCTCCTGTTTGAGCTTCGTTTGTTTCTTCGTCGTCCGAGTCTGGGGCATCGGTTTCCCATTCTTCGAAGATGGATTGCAATTCTGTTTCTGTGCTGAAGAGGCGGATTCCTTGGCCTCGGTCACTCATTCCTGGTTTTAGGATCCACCATTCTCTCTCGCTGCTTTCCTTGCTTTCATTTTCTTCTAGACCTGCTCGGAGCTCGAAGGCTTCGACTAGAGATTCGTCCAGGAACTCGGCGTAGTCGAGCTCGAAGTCACATGCTGGTTTGATGTTGGTGGCTAGGATTGAGGATGGATGTTTTGTGATCCAGGTATGTGCTGTGGTACTGAGGTAGTGTTTTCGGATAAGTGCTTTGCGGATTATATATGCGTTGCCGAGAGTAGTGCTAGGATGGGATAGCATGTGATCGAAAGGGAGAGTCTCGTAGGAAGAGATTTGTAGGAAAGGAGAATCGGGCGAAGGCAGCTCGGAGAGAGAAGGTATCAGTGTATATGATCTTGCTGGAAGCTTGGATTTCAGAGCCGCTAGGATGAGGGGCTGAACGTAAGTATCTTCGTAGTTGACCAAAGCATAGAAATGCTTGGCCGGTTTGCTTAAGAGAGACAAAGAATCCAAACTTGTAACGGGAGGAGGTGGCCTGGTAATCATTGGTCAGACATGGACTGGAAGACGAAGGTAGATTGTCTATGTATGGTCTAACAATGGTCTAATGCTCCAATGCTATGCATAACCTCACTCACAGCTTCAACTCTCCTTCTGTCTTTGCCGCCGCGTGCATGAAATTTGCTTTCAATGGTGTCACGCTTGGATGTTGTTAGTAACCAATGAGTCTCTTAGATAATCGCACGACAAACTCACCTAGTGTATTTCTCTTTCACAGCCCACCCATCATTGCCAGGTCCAGCTTCCTCCACACTTTTATAGACATCCGTAAACCTCGGAGCCCACTTGAAATGCTTATGCTTATGCCTCGTAACCTTCTCTCCTCCATTAGCAACACCGTCCTGACCCTCTCTCTCTCTAATCTTCTGCTCTTCCTCATCAGCATCACCCTCCTCAGCCTCAACTTCTTGGAAACAGCTTCCATTCCCCCAGTAATTCTGCAACATATTCGTCCACATCACTTTCCTCTCCCCCACATTATCCACCAACGGAACATTAACCGAATAAAGATCAACTTCCTGTCCCCAATTCTTATACAGGTAGTCGATCAGCCTGACACTTAACTTGCTCGCCCCCGCAATAATCTCTGGATCATGATTCTTTGAAAAGAAAGCATAGCTCAACGCAATAGCCCGCCTCTTACAAACAGCAGCCTCCAACGCCCCTCCCAGCGTCCCCGAGCTCAAACTAAACACCGCCGTACTATTCCGTCCATAATTCGGCCCAGAAACAACCAAGTCTACTGGTCCCCGGTCGTGGAAATAATGGTATAGACCTATTTGTACGCAACTAGCAGGTGTGCCATCTACCAGAACCCATTCTTCTTGTTCTTTCGAGCCTGGTGGTAAGGGTCGAGTGTGCGTAGTTCCATCGTCGTTATGCAGAGTGCCTGGACGGAAGTAGGTAGGTTTGACGGTCTGACCGATCATGTGCGCCTTTCCAATCCACGAACGTTGGGTGTGAGGAAGGACAACAGAGACCGTGTGTCCTGCTTCTTGGAGGTTTTGTACAAGGGAATGCACGTATGGAGAAGATTGGTTGGAGGGAGGGCCATCGTCGTTCACCACCTGATAATTGTTAACACAAAGAACATGTGATTAGATTCGTCGTGTCAAGAACTTACGAGAATATGCATTTTGACTAGATTGAAGTTGTTGTAGTGAAAGTTGAGAGTGTGGGATGGAGGGGCAACAATAAATTTTGGTTCAGCAGCCTCGCCCGAACTCGGGAGGCGGGGGGCTGTGGCGTCAAATCACGGATACTGGTACAATTATGTTACAATATTCTGGACGCATTCTCCAACTTCATGTTAAAGAATTGGACGACTCGACTTATGACTTGAAGAATCTAGCCAACTCAAGCAATATATATTCCACCGAAAATATCCAAACAAGAGTTTTGCGTTGGAAGCCGGCACTTACCTCAATGTCGTGACAGAAATAGAGCTGGCAACAGACTCAACGTTTCCTCAAACAACGTACCACAGTCTCACACAGGCAAGAAGTCATATCATCACATGCCAGTAGAAGTTTATAAAGTGTCCATTATCGCAAAATACCAGGCAGCTACAGTATCTCAACAGTCTAGGTAGCAGCATCGAGGTTGTCCATCCCCCTTAAGATGCATGCCAACCAGAATCACACCTCGTCTCAACGAGAGTAAGTTGCACGGAAGAAAATCTCCAATGCCAATGCAGACTCGCCGGTCGAGCATAATATTTTGGTCATCCCATTCCGAGACCGTCGCAGAAAGAAGCAATAAGTAGTCCGTGCTCTTAAAAGTAGCGACAGAACTTTCAAGTAATACAATTCATAATTCCTCCAAACCATCACACCCTAGATTGCTTTATGCACGAGGCTTCTTCGCACTTCTGCTAGGACTGCCCATAGCTTCGGTGCCTCTCTTCTTAGACTCTCTGCTTGTTGAACCAGCATGAGACCATTCATCGAAAAGCCCAGCTCTGCCCAATTGAGAAGCTCGAAACATTGGCGTTGTAGGGACGACGTCGTTGGCCATCTCATCATCACTACCTGGGCCAGCGGGAGAGCTGGTCATATACACTTTCTTCGATCGAGTAGCTCGGACGGTAGTTGGTGGGGTATATGGCGCGAATTTCGGAGCCTTGGGGGTAGCAGTAATGTCGTGAGCTTGGGCAGTAGGGGTGGTGATCTCGTCACGGTCCTCAATATCCGTATCCGCCTCTTCATCCTCGGTGTTGTGAGATTTGGCCTCAGCAGCTTGAGCACGCTCTTCAGTGAAGAGGAGCTTTGGCTTCACGGCGGATCTCATCGATCGGGGAAGTTCAGGAGACACAGTACCATCCTCGGTGTCGGAGTCGACAGCAAACTTGCGGAACATCTTCTTGCCTCGACTAGACGAAAAGTTAGTAGAGCTTATGGTGACTGCTTGAGGGTACTTACAAGACGTATACCAGGCCATCCTCACGCTTCTCCAAATCCTCAATATCTTGTTCACCTTCACCAGCTACCATAATCTTCCGACGCTTGCTGGAGCGCTTCGTTGGTTCAGATGGGACAGAAGCACCTTGACCGTAGAATGGATTATCAGCATTATTGTCGACCTCGGGGACTCTATCGTTGGAATCGGTATAGATTTGAATAGGTGTTTGCTCCTCCTCGGCCTCGAAGCTATCCAATGTGAAGCCAGTGTAATGCTTCCGGCCTTTTCTTGGAGAAGGCATGATCTCATCAGAGCTAGGGCGAATAGCGAATAGATTACGGGCAACTGAAGTGACAGCAGGGGAGATCTTTTCTGGACGCTTCTTCGGGGTCTTCGCCGGTGTCGGAAGCATGCCGTTATTGCGAAAAACTGTGGTAGATTGCTGCGCAATCATCTTGTCATTATCTCTGGGAGCTGGTAAACCAAGCGCAGATGCAGCTTCAATGGCAGAATCCTTTGTCAACGCACCAGACACACGTCGTCCGCCCATCTCGGGAAGGGATTGTCTCGGAGCGCGCTTCTTTGCGGTCTGCGGGGAGGAAGGGGTAGAGGTCAAGCTAGAAGTAGATTTGGATGGTGTTGAGGAGTGGATGGTGTTGCGAGATGATTGATGAGGAGGCGGAGTTGTACCATGGGATAACTGGGATAGGCGTGCTGACTTTCGAGGTGAATACGGTTGATAGTCGTCGCCCTTTGCACCCCATCTTGGTGTTTGTGGTGTTCGTGCTTGTTGGGAAGGAGGAGGAGGAGTGGTTGATCGTAATGTGGTTGCCATTTTGGCAGTCGCAGAAGGATATCACAGCTGCTTGCGCAGAGTGATGGGGGAGGAAGAGTGTGAAGACTTCGTGATTGAAGTTCTTGTTCGATATGATTCTTTTCGCAATATGATTGTCCTCTGGTCGAAGTAGAGCGCAAGGGATATGCGCGAAAACGTGGGTGAATTATGCGTTGGCAAACGAGCAAGAACAACGACGCTGCAAGCAAGCAATGACTGCGATGACTGCGATGACTGCAATTAATTGTAAAGGATGGTGCAACTAGAACGGGTATCTATGCAAATGGACGATGTGTGGTTGCGAAGATGATGGTGGGCAAGAGATTTCCAGGCTTGGGGATTTATTGAGGAGGTTGAAGTTGAAAACCAGCCTCCTGTTAGCGCACAAGCCATCAGCCTCATCAATGATTGGTGCACGGACCTATTTCACGGTAAATACAGACATTGATCTTGACGCGATTTTACGCGTCAATCTCCCCTATTTGGCCATATTTTACTCTTCTGTGTACATTGCGTCATATACAACATTCTGGAACAAGATGTCGACTCCTGATATTGAACGATTAGATCTATCTGACTCTGACAATGAAGATCTCTTCGCATCACCTTCGAAAGCATCCAACCCAAGCCAGAAAGCCCCCACCAAGCCATCAGAAAACAGTAATGCTCCCCCGCAGCGCAATGGTGAATCGAAGTATGATGCCGAGGCCGCGCGAGAAGCTTCCTTAAAGAAGGAACTGGAAAGCGTAAGGAGTATCAATGAGGTCATCGAAGGAGTGGTATCTAGTCTTGAATGCGCGCAGGGGAATATGGATGTGAGTATCTCGTGTCAATGTTGATGTCCAAATACTAACGTGCTTATAGACAGTCTCACGAACAGTCACCTCTGCTTCCACACTTCTGAATACGTGGATTCGAATACTCTCGCAAACAGAGCACAATCAGCGACTGATATTAAATCCTAACTGGCAAGGTGCAAGTCAAGATGTGGCAGATATGGAGAATGAGATGGTCCTGAAGGCGCAGGCGGCTGAGAGGAGGGCAGCTGAAGAGGAGAGGCGGCGAGAAGATGCTCGACGGAGAGCAGAAGATGAAGAGAGACAACGCCAGGCAGGCACTACTGTTCGTGGAGCAAGAGGAACGAGGGCTAGAGGTAGAGGAGTTGGCAGAGGAAGCAGTGTCAGTGGCACAGGTTATGTTGCTGGTGGTTCCAGCTCAGGAACAGGTCGAGGCACGTCACAAATTAGTCGGACGGGTACGGGCATTGGGCGAGGGCTTGGGAGTACGAGAGGAAGGGCTAGAGGTGTCAGATAATCGAGATGTGTCAAATCCGTGGCTACAAATATCGACATACCTGAAGGTACATCAGAACCAATATCCTGGCGTCCTTTAAGGCCTCTAACACTTCGCATCCCGCCAATTTCTGGCATTTCAGGAGAGATAGCCTTGCAACTCAATACAGCAAGCCATTGTCTGAGAAGGATACAAAAAGAGGAGGAGCAGGATAGCCAAACCCTGTATCGAACTGCAGGCAAGAATCAAGCCAACGCAGATAACGCTTTAATGTAACTGCAAGTGGTTATCATCTTCTACATCGCAAACTCGTATGCGATGCATATGATGCGCATATGTTCACTTCTTGCTTATTTTGCTTGATTGTTACAGAGCTATTTTCGGCATGACTGCTACAAAGCTCGATAAATGATTCAATTTCTTCCTAGCGAACCCTCGAGATCAAAGGGGTCAGAATATAAGAGTAGTCTCTTCAAGCACGAATGTCTGGCGGAGACTCAAACTTAAATAACTTGTAGTAAGCTATTCATGATTTCGCAACATGTGTTTTCTCGCAGCTCATCAATTGCCTCACACACGAGTCGAGCTGTTCACCTCACAAGGAGAAGGAATTCCCGCAGGTGCTTAAAATAATTTGCTTTTTATGTATTTTCAATTTGTATGCTCGAGGCCAAGTCGTAATGAACTACATTCCTGCTTGTTGGAAGAAATTACACATCAAAATCTAGACATACCAGAATCTTCCTACCGGTTCAAGCCCCTACAAAGCATGCACCAGTAGCCCGGTAATAGGATCATATCCACCAAACGCCAGCTTCAAGGTATTCGTCGTTATCTCCAAACCTTCCGGGAGGGCGTCCTTGTTAGCAGCCACAAGCTGCAAGATCATAGCTCCCAATGTCAACAACGTGGTTTGAGTAGTCGGCGGTCTCCAGCCTTCATTGTACGGCAATCTTTCTTGCTCTAAAAGACAATCAGTTCACATCTTCGAAATTGCTTTGAGCTACTCACCGAAGAAGATCTTGACATATTCAACAGGGGCTACTCCTGTGACAGGATCTCCCATCACCGAGAGATACAAAGCAGTTTCTCCATAACTAAGAATATACTGCTGCGGCGTATAAGTGAACTTCGAGTCCTCCGCCTCCTTGGTGGTAACACGGTTATATCTACCACCATCAGCACCCACTTCCTCAAAAGCAAGAACAACGTAGAAGACTTACTTAGCCGCCGACGCAACTGCAATACTAGTCTCACTCATCCCCTCATAATACGCCAACACCATATCAAAAATCGACTGATTAAACGAATAATTATCCCCATCATCCACATAATAATCCGCCCGACTCAGACTAGCATCATGTTCAATGGGAAAATTATGTTCGTCCAAATCATCCAGATCAAAACTCGTAGCCAATAAATCGTCCGGGACACTTAAAAGGCCAGCTCCTCCTATGACGGTGGCGAAATCGGCGCCGACGTTCATGCCATCTTGACAGGCTTGGATCAGCAGCGGAATGGTGATGGCTTTCCCGTTGTGAGGAAGGAAGCCGTGGTTTGCGAGGGAGTTGAGGCCGGGGCAGGGTGAGCGGACGTCGCCTGGACCGGGAGGAGACCAGGTTGTGAAGTTTTGGGCGGTTGAGAGAGTGAGGAGGAGAGGGAGGATGGAAATGAAAGAGGAAAACATGATGCAAAAATGTATTTCGAAGAAAATAAAAGATTGTACCCAGCAACTTGAGAAAATGAGAGTAATACATACATATCTGCTCTGCGATTTGTTTATACTACTATGTTAGTTTCTGCATTCCCCTCCCTCATTGCAAGTACGCCTCGGCGCGTTGGAAAGATCTTCAACCACCATCCCTAGCGCCCTGAAGCCGTCAAAACTTTAGCCAACTTTAATTCATTTAGACTGGTCGATCCCGAAGCCACATCCATAATCGTCATTCCGGGCGCCGTTCTAGCTAATCACATTATTTTTATTCCAAATGTGCCGAGCTTTGTCCTGCTTTGGCCAGTCCCCGATTTTTCCATTGACCTCACGGAACGATGACTGTACTATCACCAACTTAAGAACGAAGAGTTAGAAGAGGCAGCTAGAAAGTTTTGCAAAAGTCAGGACTCCATTTATGATACAAACAAACTACTGTCTTCCCCGTGACAGCATAAGCAAACCATTTCCACGCCATATGTCTGTTTTCCCAAGCCCGCATTTTGTCCTTCCACTGTTTTTACAATGGCTGGGACGAAACATTATCATGTTCGATGCATTAATTAGAAGTTCCTCACGATCGCTCTACCCGAAGCGTTGCAGACCTCGCAAAATCCCACCTTTCGCTCGCTATGCAGAGAACAAATCCTGATTGATCGCAAAACGCCGTTCGTGGTTAGAGAGAATATGTAACATGTGGAGAATGGACTTTGAATGACAGTGGTCCGTATGTAGCTTGCGCAATTGGGTTCGTGTCGTGGTCAGCATCTAGCCTCCGTTGATTTTGAGGGTTCGATGTTGCCAGATTTGTAGAATCATCCCCGAGAAGCCAGAGCCATAAAGCGTTCTTGGATCTGGATATTTTATTAGTATGCGGATAATGGCTACATTGTCAAGTACTTACATCTGGTGACGACTTGATGAAGGGAAGCTCAAAGAACATAAGCTGGTCATTCTTGACTAATTCTTGGACCGTGACGATCAGTCCCCAAGGATGCGGCCACTGTCCCAGCAAGCGTTCCAATAGAATTCGGGTGACCTGCTGGCGAATATCAAGTTCTTCTGGATCATTGACGTCACTGCCAAAGAATCCTAGAAGTGCTTGGCTGAAGTAGTGGGTATGCGTACTTGGGAATCGAAGTTGATTGATGATGCTACTGATGAGGAAGTAGCGTGCCTCGGGATTAAGTTCGTGAACAAGCATGGATAGGAGGACGGCATCAGGAGATCCGGGAACAAATGTCGGAGCCCCTTTCTGTTCAGCGCGAGCGATTGACTGCACTCCAATATAAACGACCAGAGCCTCCATGAGATTCAGATCAACTGAAATAGGTACGAAGCCTAGACCAGATTGTCGAGTTTTTCTTCGTTGAATCGCATGCGCAATCTGAGCAACTGCATGCTCAGAAGCTCCCGTCTCGAATGCTTGGTTGATGACATCGAATAGACCTGTCTGGCGCAGTGGAATCTCGACATCATTCATGTTGGCGGGAGACACACGGATTTCCTCCACGCGGTCAATTTTCAAGCCCGGTTGTAATGGATCGGGCATCTTGTATGATGCAGGATTTGCGGTCAAAATCAAATTATGAAGTTGGACACAATGATTTGGAATGTTGTTACCCAGCTGAGAATGATTAGCAGCTAAGAAGTCCGGGAAGTCGTGTTGCAACATAAGGAGAAATTTGAGCACGCCTCGGTAGACTTCTTTCGTATGACCTTGAATCTGCAATGGCTTCAGAAGATTGCCCGTAAAGGACGTCAGCCCTTCCACAAGTTCAGCGCATGGGCCCCAGCCAAGCTGATCCGGAAGTCTTAGTAACACAGGTAAGAAATTTCGATGTGAAACCAAACTGAGCCATCCAAATAAGAAGCCTGGGAAATATGCTGGTCGAGTCTGCAGGAATACATGAGCAAAGACAAGCATGATATCTTGGTTCTCGGAGTCAGAAAAGTGGTCAGCAGACATGCTAAATTCGCAAAGCATGGTGGACAGCAATCTGAAGAACACCTTCTGGTTGAACAGCTCTCCACGCGTAACGTGATGGTGGTTCAGAATGAGGACAACGAGGGATGAAATCGACTTGAGATATGCGGCTTTGTCAGCTTTGACCTCTCCTTCTTGCTCACGACCTTTGACTAGCATGGCGATAAGCTTAGCCAAAGAGTCTATAGGAATGTAGGCGTCGTTGATGCTTCCGTTGTGTTGAATATGTTGCTCGAAACGATCGATAGAGGATTCGATTGACAGGCGCAAGAAGAGGCAAAGATCGTCCCGATTGTTGATTACCTGCCTGTTGTACATCTGAGAGATGAACTCGAGGGAGGCTTTATCCGAGGCGTTAGGATTGTTGCAAAGTCTCACCCATTCCTCGAAGACGTATCCCATCTGTTCACGGACAAATGTTATACGTTCATCATTACTGCCCGCGTTCTGTGCCTGGGGAAGACCCGAGCTTATCAATTTCTCCTTCAGCTGCTGGCCGATCTCGAGGGACGGATCTTCCTCAATCCACTTCCAAGCGGCTTCTAAGCTGCTGGCGAAGTCAGCATACAAAGCTACAGGCCGATCATTAAGAAGGACCGCATCCAACAGTGCAGATAAGAATTGGATTGCTTCTTCCTTGTGTTGCTTGATGGCTTTGGTCGTTTCTTGATCGATGCGCTGCCAGTCGACCATCTCATTTTCAACAAGAGTGACTGCCAATGGAACGTGCAAGAGGGCATCCCCTGCTTGGTTCTCAACGGTGTTGTGCACAAGCTGAGAAGCACGGATAGAAAGTCTGCAAATGTTCCGTAACACGAGGACCAAAGATTCCACAAGAAGATCATGCTCACTGCCCCCAAAAAGCGATTTGGAGATGAAATCGACGATGGGCACAATGGGCACATCGAGGGCGTCAGTTTGACAGCTTCGAATGACCAAGGTCATGACGGTATCAAAAGCGTCGAGAACTGGATGGGGTTGGCGAAGTGATCGAAAGTGCTGTTCAGGCGAATCTTGAACAGCGCGTTCGAGTTCCGCCAATGTCCTTTGCAAGCGTTCAATGACTGAAGCAGGGCCCACTTGCAACGATGGCATACGGCCATTAGCCATGATTGTGTTGTGCTGGGCGTACGCTGGCTGTTGTGTACCAATATGCGGCATGGCGGGAGGTTCTGCTGGCGTAGGAAGATTTGGTACTGCTGGGTACTGATCTTGAAGGATGTCGTTTGCCATAGACCTGGTTGCATCGGAAGTGGAAGGTACGTGGGTGGTGCTACCTAGCGATGCTGGGATTCGTGGCTGCCGTGCGAACTCATCGTAGATGGCCATCTGCTCCTGATTCAACCCGGCCATAGAAGGCTGCAACTTGTAAGGGGGAGGGATAGTCCACGACCACCGATTCAAATTTGGATCAACATACGGCTCTTCCGGTCTGTTCAGTCGATGAAGGCGGCGAGCTTCGAGTTCTGGCTCAATCATATCTTCAATCTCGGGCACAGCTCGCTCTTCTGCCTTCTTCTCCACTTGACTGCAAGCCAAGTCTAAGTTCGAGTTAACACACATGATGATGGTGCCTTCTGGCAGACCTTGTGCTAATTCGCCGGACATCCCACGAATGTAGTTGGTCATGCTTGCACGTAGTGGCTCTTTCGATGTAACCAAAGCCAAAGCACCAGCAGTCTTCTTGACCATGTTGATCGCGGCAGAACGGAGTCTGGTTTCGGATGATTCAGTGGCGAAGTCTTTGTGTATCATCTGCGCCGTAGAGATAGCCGCAATGGTAACAGAGCGCTCAACCACAGGGGATATGATCTCGTGGACTGCTCTGGTGATGGCTGTTCTCACGATTTCTTGCAAGCGACCTTGGTTGACCATGTCATTCGTAGGAGGATAATTCAGCAGAGGTCCTAGATCTGGAATAGAGGAGGTGATTTCCTGAGGTGAAAATCGGCCTCCACCAACTCCACCAGCCATTCCATTCAGAGATAGGTTGTCAAATCTGTCCAAGCCTTCTGGAGCCATGACCTCGCCAGGATCGATGTCTGGAATGCGGTTCATAATCTCGTCGGATGGCTCAATGGTTTTGTGGTCCAAACCTAAGTCTGCACAAAGAACTTCGATCTCAAACTTCATGTTAAGCTTCAGATCGGCCTTGTGGTACAGTTCCATGAGCGCCTTTATAATATCCATGATCCAAGGGTTGGGTGGCTTGAAAATAGTAGAGTATTGGCCTTGCACCAACAGCTTACACACAAATGGAATTACAACAATGAGCCGTTGGGAATCGAGACCTTCGGCCAAGAGCTGCTTGAATGCAATGTTCTTGTGCTTGATCGGCTTATCGCGGGCCAGTGTGAGGGCTCCGAGCCATGTTGCAAGATTCTTCAGAAATTGGCGTTCATGGGTGCTGTTTAAGGTGGCCTCCGAATTAAGTGTTCGAAATGCACAGAGATATGTCTCACGCAACAGCTCTGCCCATAAAGACTTTTTGCTGAAAAGCCTGACAAGATTCAAGTAGAGCTCATGGAAGTTTGGCTGCATCTTGGCCCGCTCCTGCACCAAATGCCCAGCAAACCATTGCAGATTTTGTTCGGTGACGACGTCTTTGAGTTCAAGGAACTTAGAGTCAAGGTTTTCTGCAGTGATGTTGTTGAGTACGAACTGAATCTTGTCTTGCATGTCCTCATCGGGGTCCTCGTACTCATATTGCGGATCTTCCACGTGAAGAGATGCAAATGCGGGTAGAGCTGGAATGGGCATGTCGTCTAAGTCGCCATTGGTGATAGCTCCAAGACCGCCATTGATACCAGGAGGTGCATTTCGATCGAGCTCTTGCTGATATTGGGCAGCTTCTTTGGCTTTGGCCCATGCTTCGGTATTTTGTAGGCCAGGGATCTGGAGGAGCTGCATGCAGAAACCAGGCCATTCACGTAACCGAGGAAATAGTTGCATAAGTGCTTGCAACCCGAATTTGTACATTGACTGCGTTGGGGTATAGTCACGAACAGCTTCGAGTATCATACCCAATCCAATCTGGAGGGGTAAATCATCGATCAGTCTGTGAGAGATGATACCACCGAAAAGAACAGCAGTGGTTGCCAGAGCCTCAAGTGGATAGGTGTGATAAAGGGCATACTCGTCGAATAGTCCATGAATCATACAAGCAAAAACATCCTGCTCGGCTGGTCCACGTGAATGTTTGTACTGGTTGAGAGCTTCGACAACGGTACGAACTTGGACCTCATCGCTGTACATGCGTTTATAGTGCTCTTCCATCTGTGCCACAGATTCCTTGGGAAGCGAGTTACCGTTCGCCCCATTTGCGTCAATGATATCGTCAAAACCTTGGTCGTAGTTGATCAAGCGAGGGTATGCCGTGATGCATGTTCTTTGGACGACGATCAAATCATGGGAAGGTGTCTTAGGTTTGGGTAAAAGGTCCTCCACAATGTGCAAGAGTTGCCACACTGCCTTTACAGTCAGCGCGACACTACGCAGTTCTCCCTGTCGTTGAAGGTCGAGTTCGTGCTGGGCTTTGATGCTGAGGAAGGTCAGGAGTGACTCGACAAAATCCGCTCGTATTGCCGCTTGTTTTTGTGCCCAGTCCTCCAGGTCCACTAAGCCACGCCCGCATGCCACAGAAGCCAAGTCCATCGAGAATCCAGTAGGCTGAGATACCAATTGATCAATCCAATTGTGTCGGACTGCGTGATCCATTATGATTGTCAGATCACTGGGTGATTTGGCATGCGTGTCAGTTAGCCGACCGAACACCCAGGGCTGATCCTTGATCCATAGACCTTCCAGAACGAAGTTATAGTTAGGATCGAATTTGTACAGGAACCGCTCGAACAGATTTGTAATCGTATCAGATGCGAGGTCTGGCCACGGCTTGGGTACGCCAAACGCAGCTACCAGGAATATGTCTAGATTAGGAACAACAACATCTTGGAACAGTCTCTTTGCCTCTGGGGAATCCGATGCAGTAGGTGAGTCTAACGCTACGTTGAACATTGCAGACAAAGCCACCACTGAGACTAACGGATGCCTGGCTGCTTGAGCTGCTCTTTCTTGAATCTCGGGCTCTGCATGCGAAAATTCTGCAACCGTAAAGGCTGGTTGAAGGTTGGGAATGGTGCTTGCATCTAGCAGGTCCGAGGTCAGAGAGGTGAACGCATTAATGAACGACAACTGTGTCTCCGGATTTGTCCATTGCCCACCCCATAATTGTTGAACGTCCAAGGCTCCGTCCACAGCCAATGGTAGTAGTGCTTCATATATTGCCAGAAGTTGTTCCCTGGATATTCGGAGATCTGGTATATCGAAATAGTCGATTATGGATGACCAACGCAAATTAGGAGCAGACATGCGTAATGTGTTTGCCAAGACCGATGGAGAGAATACAGGGGTTCGACTGATCGCGGTGTACAGTAAGGCAGAAGAGGCGAATTTCTCTGTTATCTGAATGCCTGGCAGATTTTGTAGGTGAGTTTTGCAAGTCTCTTCGTCAGCTGTAAATCCATTTCCAACCTGTTGTATGTATGAAGCGAAAGGATTGCTACCATCGAGTAGGCTTCTTAGATAAAGTGCCGAAAGCACGATCGCTGGAGGTGCACGATCTAACCCCACATAACGATACGAAATAGCCGTCTCGAGGTCTTTCTTAGCTTGTTGGTCAAAGTTCGGGGGGTGGTATTGTATAAATCGGTCAACGATTGTTGCTACGAACTCATCGGAGAGAACATCGTCTTCTAAGGGTTGGGCTAGGATTTGGAGAAATGGCGTGTAATTCGTAGAGAGGATGGCATCAGCTGCATCTCGTTAGCTTAGTGAACTGAGAAATCGATATGCGTTCTGTACCTTTGGTTTTCAAGTCTGATCTAGGGCCAATCTTGAACGCTAAGGCCAGAACTGTCTTCTCGAGCGCGTCCAGCTTGAAGTGTTCCATGAACGTCGAGAGGTCGAAATCTCGAAAGAGGTCCTCATTGGCAGTCTCTATCGACTCCGCAATCCTCCTAGCTTGTTCTACGTCTTGTCTAATCTTGCGTACCTCACGAACGAGGATCTCGTAGTTCCCTCCATTGCCTATTGGACCACGGTTGGAGCCCGGGAAGATCTGAGGAGCATTGCCAACCACGAGACGGGTGAAGTATTTCGGAAATATGTCCATGCCGTGCTCATCGACCAGCTGCGCAACATGTCAGCTGTTGTATTATTGTAATCTTGCAATGCGCATACCTTTCTGATCTGCTCAGCTTGTTGTTCCCACTTTGTGCGATCTTTATCCTCCTTGATGGTGCTGAGGAGGAGGTAAACCTGGGCAACGACAATTTTGGTGACGTTGGATCCAGTTGGGCTACTAGTGCTTGGACTCGCGCCAGCACTGAAGGGGCCGTGGTGAGAGCCGTGGGGCGAATGGCTGATACCTGTCTCTATTCTCTGCTGAGCCGGCGAAGGTGTAAAAGTCCCTCCTTTTGAAGGTACCATCGAAGTAGCTGGTATTCCTGCGCAAACCCAAACCCGCAGAGCTGTCTCTCGTTCTTGGACGACGAAAGAAGATCTACCGGGAAGGTATGGACATTGATTGAATGTTTGCGAAAACGGAGAAGGGATGTGGGATCGAACTCTAGAGTCGCGTTGATGAGTTTGAGGTGAAGTTCGCGATCGGCTACCATGAGGCTCGTCTGAGCTGTCGTCAACTCGCTGGGCGAAAAGCCTGGCTAACCGACTTGGGACTAGGCGAGGTAAGGCACAGATTGAAGATGAGAGTAACCCATACAATTCACTATCTCGGAGCTGTTTGCTTATGTCTTTGAAATCGTGATGAGGTGTTCAATACTCTATAATTCGATGTTAGTCTACATTTGGAGTGCGAATTATCATTGTTCAAGACCATGCGGCTCATCAAGCCTGCAGGTACAGATAAACTTCCGAGGGGTTCTTTTTCGCCCTTTGAAAGTGGGCAGATATGGAGGCGGCACGATTCAAAGAGTGCCGTTCCTTATATCTTCTACATTTTGGTCTGTAGTCCAGCTCCTGGTTTGTCTGGTATTCGTGAAGATTTTGCTGGACCATTTTGAAGTGTAATAGACCCGACGAGTCGACCACAATCTAATAACTCCAGGAGGGATGAGTCGCTACCATGAAATCCTACAATATCTCTCTTCACTGATATGAATAGATACGTCCACCTTTTATCTCATACTCTACGACTTCGGACGATTGTTCAGTCCGTCCCAAGGTCTCACAATGATGGATATGTTACCTAGGTACCCACTCATCAGAATGGAAGCTCTGGTCACACTGAGATGTTATTCGATAACATTACATATACGGCGACATGAAACTTCTGAATTCTCACTAAGGTAAATAAGTACTTACCTCACAACATTTGCTCTACTAGTATCAAAAAAGGTCCGACTTTGCATCGAGAATCGTGATTTCGAGGTGCGCAAAAATGGTCACGTGATATACCCCTCCTCTGCGTAACCTCAGCAACCAGCTCTACTCGAGTGTTTTGATGGGAAATTCTCCACTCATCGTAAGCTCATCCTTGCTATTAACATCAATCTCCCAGCCACCATTCCATACCTCGAAAGAGCTTCCGACTTTATCCTCTCATGCTTTCTTAGATTGTATTCTATCCGAGAAATACCATCTTATCTGCGAAGAACGCGTCTTCCGCCAGAACGTGTCTTGTCAACAATACGCAGGGCAAGATGGGTGGAACAGTGGTAGATGGACCGTCGGTCACGATGAGCTTTGCCAACAACTTCTGGGGCAAAGATGACGCTGGAGTCGACCCTTTGCTTCAGCGAATGCATAATGCAAAGCAAACCTGTGACGAATTGAAGTCATTCTACACTGGTATGTCCCGTCACTCCTATACTTGATCATGTCTAATATCATCACAGCTCGTGCTGCAATCGAGGATGAGTATGCCCGAAAATTACTTTCTCTGTCGCGCAAACCATTGGGATCCCAGGAGTCTGGAACACTTCGAGCTTCGTTAGATGTCCTTCGAGGGGAGGTTGAGGCAATGGGAAAGTCACATCAGAGTATTGCTGGTCAAATGAAGACAGAACTCGAGGAGCCGCTGGCGGCATTTGCAGGTGCTATGAAAGAGCGTAGAAAGATTGTACAAGGTGGCATTGAAAAGCTATTGAAAGTTAAGGTCCAGCAGACTCAGAGTGTCAATAAGGTATTTCCACCCCGTCCACCAAGGTTAAACTTCGCTAATGTTGCCTCAGACTCGAGACAGATATGAGCAAGAATGCTTGAAGATCAAGGGATATCTCGCACAAGGTCATATGGTCATGGGCCAAGAAGAGCGGAAGAACAAGGCGAAGCTAGAAAAGACTCAGATCAACCTCGCGACGTCGAATACCGAGTACGAAAATGCAGTCAAGGCACTCGAGGAGACAACCGTCAGATGGAACAGAGACTGGAAGGCTGCCGCAGACAAATTTCAAGACTTGGAAGAAGAGCGATTGGACTTCATAAAAAGCAGTCTGTGGAGCTTTGCGAATATTGCTTCGACCGTATGTGTCAGCGATGATGCCTCCTGCGAGAAAGTCCGACTATCACTTGAGAATTGCGAGGTCGAAAAAGATATTGCTTCTTTCATTAAAGACCGAGGAACTGGCCAAGAGATTCCGGATGCACCGAAGTATATCAACTTCTGCCGAGGAGATGTCAGTGATACACAATCTGAAGTATCGGAGGACGAAAGCTACTCTGTTGCCCAATTCCCACGCACAATAAATCCTGCATATCGAAGTTCATCCCCACAACCATCCACTTACGAATCGCACCATGATCCTCATTCTCTTATTGCCCGAGAATTAGGTCACGATCCTGGAACTCCACCAAGCCGTGAAGCCACCATGACACCCCAAAAAGGTCTGGCGGACAGATCAAAGCACGCCCGAGTTGAGGATTATCAGGCCCCACCTCCAAGACAAGACAGTGAAGAACCACCACAATCTTCAAGACAGCCTCAGCTAGAGTATGAGGCCAAGCCAAGACAACCACAACTTGACTACGAGCGCCCCCAGTCCCGACAACAGCAGAATGGTGGTCAATTACAGGCGAGACAGCCACAATCATCTCACCAGAATAAGCAGTCTCGACAACCCCAACTGGACTACCAGCCTCAGTCTAGGCAAGCACCTCAACAAAGACAGGCCCAACTTGGTCAAGCTCAGCCCGGTAGAATATCTTACGAACAGGCACAACATGGACCTTTGGCTCCTGTTCCTCATGATCCATACCCAATGGACGGAATGACTATGTTGTGTCGGACAGGCCCGCCCTCTGAGAGAAGTTCAGCACACAGTCCAGTCAGACCATCGAGCGCAGACTCGGCCAGCGAATACTCCAATCCAACCTCATTCTCGAGCCAAGAGCCTCCAAGCGGAAAGACTTCACCAACTAAGCAAGTAGCACCGCCTCCGGAGAAACAAGTCTTGAAGAAAAAAAGTGGTTTCTTCCAGAGTCACAGCCCTTTCAGACGCAAGAGCAACAAAGAGAAAGATAGCGCCATGACTCCGTCCAGTCGCAATACTTGGTCGGCTAGTCGCACAACGAATCAATCGACACCGTCCAGGCGACCTCAACTGTATGGTCAAGACTCTCAGAATATGATCAGCGACAGACCTAGCGGTAGTCCTGAGCCAATTGATCCCCGTGCGAGTTTTCAACTGAACGTAGGTAACAACGTCTTCGACGTCGCGACACCAGAGGCAAAGAAAAAATCTCAGAACGATTTTGCCCAGCAGGAGGAGAATCTAGATCCGATTGCACAGGCTCTTGCTGAGTTGAAAGGTGTTACGAAAGCATCGTCAACCCGAGTATCTGCAGATAACTATCATGGAGTTCCTACACCAGCTCCAGGATCCGCCCCAGCCTCAAGGCCAGGAGCAGCTCTTGTTGCCAATGGGGCCTTGATGGCAGGAATGCGTGGTACTCCCCCACCATCTTATGACCAACCAGTCTCGAGGCTCGGAGCCCCACAACCAGCCTTCACATCCAAGGCAATGCAACAAACTCGACAGAAGTATGTTGATCAAACTCAAAACATGTTCAACTCGCAAGCTAGACCAGGCTCACAGGCTGGAGGTTATGGTTCAGGATCGCACTCTCGCCCAGGGACCAGAGGAAGTGATATGCCACGAGCTACTTCCCCTGCTCCTCCACGAAGTGTGTCGCCTAGGCCAAACATGCAAGTAGACAGTAGGCAAACATATCGATCAGTATCTCCCAACCCATACGGTGGTAGCCAGCGTAATCGTGCTCAATCAGCTGCACCTCAAAATCGTGGTTCAGATCAGGCATATTACCGCCACAACTCGCCTGGTGATGTCGCTCGTGCTGTGTCACCAGCTCCATTCCGCGAACAGGAGAGGCCGAGCAGTAGCCATGTAGGGAATGACATGTCTATGCAAATGCAACTTGCTCCCGCTGGTGATGAGGGCTATGGTTCGCAAAACGGACGAGGAAGCCGAGCTGGTGGTTCTGCTAGTTCTCGGGCAATGAGTTATTACGGCGGCAGTCAAGGAGAACAACAGCTCGCTGCCCGCAGCCGGAGCAAGAGTGTTGCGGATGTGAGACAATTCAGTAGAGATGGACGACCTATAATGCATTTTGGTAAGTTTGTAGCACGTCCAAAGCTGTCTCCACGCTAATATTTCTCTAGCTCGTGCTATGTATATGTACCAAGCTGCAATTCCAGAAGAATTGAGCTTTGCGAAAGGAGATATTCTTGCAGTGCTCAGACTTCAAGATGACGGTTGGTGGGAAGCTGAGGTAACAGGAAAGAATGGAAGACCTGGTCTAGTACCAAGCAACTACCTTCAGAACTGTTGAGCGGTCAGGTATATGAATACATATCGTCATATCGTGATGTGTCGTGTTTATAATGAGTGTCTGAGTTTTCGAGTATATGGGAGCTGGGGCAGGGTTCTCTATGCCAGGTTTAGAGCATCAAGTTTGTACAAATTATGAGATAGTCGAGGAATGAAGCATCACATTGGAAACCGTACTTTTCACCTACCTGTACGTGCCTTGTGTGAGAGCCTGGAATTGTGAATATTGTCTCGAGCAACCGCGAAGGATTGATTGCTGAGGGAGTTCACACGTACTCAAATGATCCTTGAAGCGGCAGGGTCCGATTTGGAGTCTAAATTTTGAGACATGTGATCCTTGAAATTCCGACGTTATGCCTCTAATGTTCACAGGAATTAGAACAGCTCATGCTCGCAGCAACAACAAAATAAAAGAAGCTCTGCCGTTGCGGTAGCCAGCGCGACAACATGGTATGTCAAGAATCATCCCCGTATTTCTCCATATCGGTAACAAACATCTTGCAGGATCTCATCAGGAAGCCTGTCCGTGTCGTGACGTCGAAACCAGCGCGACAGACATACCTAAACACGATCCTGTTCATGATCACATCGACGATACTGCTGGGACTTGCTGCCTTTGCATATATTCTATTCTACCTGAATTATGTACCGCAGATTGGCATTGAAAGGATTATCCATCTGCAATATGGGCACGCTAACCCCTCTCTCACAATGGCGAAAGCTAACCTTGCACTCAAAGTGACGGACCCCATCCGTATGGCATCACTCCTCTCGATGCTTCCATCATTTCCCAACAAGCCTACGATATAAGCCTCTCCCTTCACGTTCCGCGATCGCCGTCGAACCTCGCTCAAGGGAACTTCATGCTGTCATTGTCGCTTCTCTCGCCAACTTATAAACCTCCTCTTCCCTCAACCAGCCCAACGTATACCCCTAAGCTGTCGACAATTTCCGAAGTCTCTCAAGATGAGATTCTATTCTTTTCACGTCGACCAGCGATATTGACATACTCTTCGCGCCTAGTGTCCTCATCTGAAACACTCTTTTCCCTACCCCTCTACCTTCTTGGACTGAAGCGTGAATCGGAAATTCTGCACATCCCGATGGCAGAACTGGCTACCTTTCCAAAGGGATGGAAGAACATTCCAGGTTACGCGATGCTGGAACTACAGTCGGAACAAGAAGTGCAGGTTTACGATGTGCGAATTCAGTTTCAGGCACGATTCGGAGGACTGAGGTGGATTATGTATAATCACCGGATAATCTCGTTCGTGGGCTTTACATTCGCATTCTGGATGTCAGAATGTGTCTTCACAATACTGGGTTGGCTGGCTTTGCGAACTCTGTTCTCCAGCAGTGGAGAAAAGGTGAAGAAGGAAGTGAAGGGTGATGAGACGGATACAACGGCTATCAAAAATGAAGAAGATGAGGAAGAACCAGATTTATCAGATACGCCGAGGACGTTTCCTACATACGGACGACAGCCACCACTAAGGTACACGCCAAAGATCAAGGATGAAGATAGTGAGGAGTACATTATTGATGAGACGGCTATTCAGCCTCTTGCCGCCGAGGCAGATGACGAAGACGATGAAGAGTTCCAACACAGAAGTGGAAGAACAGACTCAGGTATTGGAACGAGTTTTAGTGAAGGAGGAGAGAGAAGTGGGGTGAAAAGGCGGACCTCAAGGGGCGGTAGATAATGTGCTTGTGTGCATGGTTTGAAAGCGTTGATCTTATGATACCCAAATTTATGTTTTATTGGACATTTCGACTGCATACCCATCGTTCGGTCAGTAAATGTAAGGCTATGAGACCTGAACAGGCCTCGATCGGCGATTGCCGTGCATGTGAGGATGAGGCTGAGCTGAATAACCTCAACGCCCAGCTCACTTTTCTTCTGTTACTGCGTGCAGAACCAACTCACGGCGAGTATAATTGCAGCACGCACATTTTGCTAGTCCAGCCTTCGAAGAGAACGACCTTCTCACCGAGACGAGCGGAACAAGTCTGTAGTCTGAGTGCAATGTCCGGCCTCGAAATCGTAGCCGCTATAGCAAGCATCGTCTCCGCCTTCAACGGTTCCATCTCAATATATCGCTCATGGAGAGACAAACGTAATGAACGCAAAGAACGCAAAGAGAACCAGACACTAGAACGATCCCTCAAGAAAGGAAAGACCACAATCCGGCACGAATACGACGCCCATTTCGCAAGGCTGGGGCAGCAATTTGCGGTCGGTGATGCTCAGGCAAGACTGGAATTATTCGGCTATATCATTAAACTTCAGCAAACTATCATGACGCTCATGACTGAGTCGAATTCGACAGCTTCGGTTGTACTGCCTTGTTTTCCTGGTGTGTTGGAGAGCTCGGAGAGTACACGGAGGGGAGTTTTGACTACGCTTGGAGAGCAGTATCAGCGAATGGCGCAAGCACGGCCTCTTCTTTCGCCCGGCTCTATACAGCACTCGTTTGGGCCACAAGGGGTCAATGTGCAACGTCCACAGGATCGCAATGTACAGAGGGCACCGGAAACACTCCAGTCACCATATATGCCACAGCTTAGATCCACAAATCGAATGACAGGGAGTATACGAACAATCGAAGTAGAAGGGCGTGACCAATCGTCTAGTTCCGACTTTTCGCTTTATTTCACAGAGGCAATTCGCAAGAATGAAGAACGTGAGCGGCAGTCCGCCTCTGACTTCTCAAGCTATATTGCCAAAAGAGCTCGAGAAATAGAAGAACGTGAGAAACAAGCTACCAACGATTGGCTACTTTATATCGATGAAGAAAAACGCAGAAGAGCAGAAGAGGAGCGGCAAGCTACTGACACTTTTCTGCGTTATATCGATGAGGAAAAACGCAACAAATCTAAACGTGAAGAGCAAAGGACCGACGACTGGGTTCTTTGGATGGATTTAGAGGAGCGTAGGAAACAAGAGTAAGAGCGGCAATCTGATGACAATATGGAACACTGGTTCATAGGAGATTCTCGAAGAAGACATGGAAGGTGACAGATGGATAGCATCTGAGATTTGGAGAGGCGTAAAACAAGCCATGTCTAGGGGATATAGTCATCAAGTCAAGAAGACTTCGTACAATGGTAGTATACCTGATAACAGGCTATTTTCTTGTGAACTAGCATAGGTAGATGACAGAACCTAGCTGACATGAACCTTAAAAATTTAAATTCATAGAAATATGAAGTTCTCAGTAACCAGACTTATCACAACCAAAATGTCTGTAGCAGAGACAGACTTTCAAGCTTAACTGTTCAAGTTCAAAATTTTAGAATGTCAAATTTCGAGGAACAGACTTATCGCAAGTAACTGTACTGCAAAAAGGAAGGACAATGTTAATTGTGTAAATACTTAAGGTAGAGTCTAATTTCTCACATGCAAAGGTTTCGTTAAACGAAAGAACATTGTAAATAACTACTATAAATTACTAACCTAATTATCAATGCTAAGTTGTTAGATTATGAGCTTTGAAGCCTTATTACAAGCAAAAGTAGTGTAGTAAGCAAAGACAATCAAACACTAAAATTACGTATTGCTATTATATTGTCTCACTGACTCTGGAACAATATTATCTTATATCTCGAACTTATAGTATCCAAAGCGGCATATATGAATCACAAACATTTCACTACTTTGAAGTCATTTCAGTATGCATGTGAAAGATGAACGCTTGATTGTCTAGCAAAAGTAAGTGCTTCCGTGCTCGAGTCCACTGCCCCCTCGCTCGCTAACCCTTTTTTCCACCCCTCGTCACGTGTAGGCAAAAATGCCCAGAATACTCAGACAATTCGAAGGAGATCAAAACGAAGGATCCCCAGGCCTCAATGTCCAACGCCTCCTTGCTCCAGTACCATCTTCGCTTCTTCAGACTCCCCATCGTAATCGTACGCCCCATGTTCCAAAATTGTCTTAGGCTCGGAATAGCCACGTGGGCCATTACCATCTTCGTCGTCCTCATCCGTGCGATCAGGTCGGGTGTGCTTCTTGTTGATTGGGACAACAACTGGGTCCCGGACAGTTCTACGGAACAATCTCTGACATACGAACAGAAATCCTGGGTGGTAGGTGCAGGAGAACTTGACGTATAAGCCCTCATTGTTGTGGAATGGGACAATCCTATTCTTGTGTCGGAACGTATCTTCGGGAATCTCCAAGAAGTCATCAGTACCTGGCTCGGGGATGAAGTAACGAAGTCCCTCCGGACATTCGTGTGATTGCCAACGCTTCTCGTACTGGATTACGTATTGGGCTTCGTCGACTAGGTGGGCTTCGCTCCAGTCGAGGACACGTGGAGTGGGAGAGGCGGGGCCCTGGGTTATATATTCCGCGAATTGAGAGAGAATCCTGTGCGCGAAAGTCTTTCTGTTTTCGTCGATGCTGGTAACTGTAGACTAATCAGTATATACTTTGACAAGCATTTGAGAACCGGAAAGCTCGTTCGACGGGTAGCTCTCTCTGGTCGGCTCTTTAAAAAGATATAGGCAAGGGCAGAATTGACGTACTTTGCTCGCAACAGAATAGGGAGGACTCGAGGTGGGTTCTGTTTAGGGATTAGATGATAAACTTTAGAGGGCGAGTTGAGGAACTTACGGTTGAGGAGGCATCGTTGATTGCTTGTGCTTGAGAGCTGATTGGGACAAGTAATGGTAGGGAAGAGCTGAAGGCGCAATCTGAAGAGAATAGAGACTCTCGAGCTCTTTGAAGACAATAGCTATTCAGGTGGCAGGCGGCGAGATACTTGTGTAGTACTCCACTTCGAAGCGTCAAAGAGACTGATAGACAAGAGGAAGCAAGAGACGATGTGTAGAAAGAGCCACGGCTGAATAGTTACGTGAATTTTACAGCTCATGAAAAACGTACGTTAACTTTGTGGAAGCGGACTTCGCTACGCTCCAAGACCGACAAAGCGCGAAGCTAATTCGGGACTAGATTGCACAAGCACCTAAGGCTTTAGCTTTTAATTCTATAGTTTGTCTTGATTCGATCTATTGTACATAGACCTATAGAACGATTGTGCAAGCTCCTTCAAGCTTTAACAATAGTGATTAAAGAAGTACGTTACCATTTCTTCAAGAACATAAGCTCACCAAACACAGCCGTTTACAAACTGAAGATCTTGGTTCTTATACGTTCTCAAAGCTTTGACTTGAAGCCAAAACCTTCTACAAGTTCCTTAACAGCTTCGGCAATACCAAACGAATAAATATACCCCGCACCTGCAAGGTTGACATATCAGAGTTAGCATATTTCTTTGGGACAATAAAGGATATTGCTTGGAGTACAATGAGGGAAGGGAGATATTGGAATCCCGATACGTGCAGAACTATGAATAGTCCAGAAAAGGGGTTTCAGGTCCGGAGAAGACATACCTTCTACACCATAGGCATGAACGATGTCGCCTTCTCTCTCCACACGAATACCCTCTTTCCTACCAGGTCTGAATCCAACAATATCAGTCACGGTATCAAGATCCACATCTTTGAAAGCTCCCTTCGAAATCCGATTGACTCGTCTCAAGATGTCGCTTTTCAGTGGGATATCCACCTCGGTATCAACTCGATCTGACTTGATTCCTCCAATAATGACACCACCCGACAAAGCCCGAGGAATGATGTAAGTATATTCTGAGCCTTCCATCATTATGAGCTTGCTGAAGTCTGTTTTGACAAACATGGTTTGACCTCTGACTGGTCCCACGGTGTCATCTCCTACCAGTTGTTTGGCACCAACACCAGATGCATTGATGATAATCTTCGACTTGGCGATGTTTCGAGCTTCGTCAAAGCTCTTGATCTCAGCTCTAACGAACTTGACTCCTTTGGCTATAAGCTTCTCCTTGAGCCATGGCAGAAGAAGTAACGGGTTCATAGCGACCGTGGTATATTGCAAGCCAAGCGTAACCCCAGCGGGAAGCTCAGACTTGGACATGAGTCGATAGTCTGGCAAGAGTGGTTTGTACCATATGTTAGAGTCATCGTCCTGATCATCTCGATATTCTGTCATTTGATACACTTTTACACCGCTTGATGGGTCTTTCTTGGCTAAGTCCCAATAGAAGTTGAAGGACTTGGTTTGCATTTCTTGCTGGGCTTTTGTGGCATTCTTTTGAGGGTGGAATACTGCTCCAGCCCTATGGGAGACTGTTAGATAATGCCCAGAAATCCAAGTGTATGTAGACTGTTACCATGGGCTTGCCCAATCGGCTCCCAAATCACCAGGAAGGTCTCTTGCCACAATCGTAACATTGTACTTCGGAGAGAGAACATAAGCAGCAGCAAGGCCTGTGATGCCGGCACCGATAACGCCTACAGATTCAGCCATGATTGAATAGTAGGTTTTGACGAGTAATTGGAATTTTGAGTGCTTGTTCAGTTGAAATATACATCTTGACTTCACTTGTTAGTCACAACACCCCACTTTGAGTCAACCGGCAATAGCATCGCGCTATCGCCAACACCTTCTAAAAAGGTCTTTAGAAGGGCGCAGACAGTGACATTTGCTATGATTGTGGATTTAAGCATAGCAAGAAGTGGTCAGAGAATCGTAGGGGCAGCTTCATCACGACTCAGAGATCACGGCAAAGCTTTGGAAGAGGTACAGACTTGATTGCCCCTAGATGTCACGTGTATCACCATCCGTAAATTTGCCACTCAAGTGCTCAGGTGGTTCTTAATCGGATCATCGATACGTTCTTCTAAGGAGAATATGATTGTCCCTCGAATCCCGGAAGGTTTGCAGAGCGAGACAGAGCATCACGAGCATATGCTGCAGCTTCTTCGGGATCAACAACGGCCCGCTCCACTAGTCTCGCCCCCCTTTTCACTACCGAGAAACTCCCCAAAGCGAACATCGGCCTTGCTCAACAACAACAAAAATGTTTGTAAGCCAACACCTGCAGCATATCGGCGACCTTCATTAATGAAAAGAGCAAATCACAAGGACCGGTACCAAAGCGCTGGCACAGACCACTTTACAGTACTGTACATCCAGCTTGGCACCGCGAAAGAGTTTTTCGTGGACAACGGACGGGAAGAAATGCAGATATATTATTGATAAGCAGATCTTCGAGAGTCATAGGACCCTTTTACGTCTTCCCCAGCAGCGAGAGCACAGACAGAGCTACCAGCGCTCATCAAGATCAGCAATGTATCGATGGCGTGCAGAGTCGTAGCTGAAGTCCAAAGCGCAGAACTAAGTCACAAGTGACTCCAAGATTTCGCTCTCGAGAGTAGGGAAGAAAGTCGTGGTACCATAGGTTGAGGGGTAAGCTCATCTTATTAGCCGGGAAGTATTGATTGTCCGTGCGAGAGAGGAGGATAAAGTTGCAATTACCCGGTTTGCAGTCCCTAGTCGATCGTAATTGATCGGCATACCGAATGCGAAGGATTGTTAAGTCGGCCCTGTTACACAAGATCGGGATGAGCCCTCGGATCTCTGATACCACGTTGTGGAGCACACCCTTGCCAGCTGAGTGGAAGTAACCATGGTTGTGTTAGGGATTTCCTTCTTACCAATCCTGCGCGGAGGTGGCGTGAGCTATTTTTCATTTGTCCGGATGGGTCGATGCAATAGAACTTCTTGTTATTAGCTTACCATAAGTACAAAGTCTATTTCAAGAGCATCTCGAGCGAGGGATTGGGTTCATCTCATGTTACCTCTTTGCAATAGAAGGTGAGGTTCCAGCGCTCCAACATGGCAGAGACCAACGTGTTCCTTGGTTTCACGTTGAATGGTATTCCCAAGTTATGCGTTTGAGGGGCATATATAGTTATGGTTATATTGGTGACGACGGAACAATACCAGACTATCACTTTTGAGGCTCCCCATTACATTTCTCTGCTCGAGGTGCGTTTTGGCACCGGCACACAACTCCGTGCACGGCACAAGAAATAGTTCTGAAGTTGTACAGCACTGCATAAAACCCAACATGACCGTGCTCCATCCATAACATCATGTGTCAGACAAGACAACGGTACTGCTTTCTAGATAGAGAAGTTTGGAACATCGTCCCCATTTTACCCAACCTCCAAGACAACGTTTCACTTCCATCCTTTCTTCGCAAGCCCGCCTTCTAGCTTCCACAATCAGTATCGGCCCCGTCTTTCCCAGAAAGGCGAGTGTTGCGTCTGTCCCTGTCATGTTGTCAGCCTGCATCCTTCTCCCATGCTTCTGGACCTGCATTCGAAACTTTCCCTGAACGGATCCCGGAAAGAGACGGATCTTGATTGGAAGATTTTGTTGTGGCGTTTATTGTTTATGCATAGGTTTGGGGAAGCAGCGGTTTGGTGGCGGAAGGAACGAGTAGTAGGAATTGGGAAGTGTCTTGGTTGAGGCAGATTGTCGCAGGAATGTTCAGAAAGGGCTTGAGGGGGCTTCAAAGTCGGGCAGAAAGAAGGGCAGGAGAAGGAATTGGGTAGTTCAGATTACCAAATGGATAGGAAAAGCTGGAAAGCCACCAGAAAATCACTAATAGAGACAATAGAAATGGATCAAGGCAATTTTTGAGGGGTTGGTTGATTGTTTTGGTGAGCAAAAGACTCCAAGATGGACTTTTCGTTCGGTGTGACGTATGAAACACTTCTTCTACAGTAACCACCTGTAAGAAAATCGCCCTCAGCCAGACTAATGATACAAAAGCAACATCTCGCCATTCGCCATCGCGCCTTCATCTCGTGTGCGGCCCTGGGTATCTTCGCATTTGGGGTGGTGGTACCCTTTCCTTGAGTTCGCCGATGCAAGAGCTCTTCAGCCTGTGAAGAGAGTTCTCTCTTCTGTAAATCAAACCTTCTCGTCGGCACCATAACGGTCGACTGAGACATTAACTTGTGTGGTCTTCAGAATCCCCGGATTCTGCAATGGTAGAATGCTCTCCTCCGACTCATTGTCCACATCTATGCGCCCTCTCTTCCCACTGGCTGTGATCACATTGCAGTACATCTCAAAATCATCGTCTTTGCTCAATGTCCCACCGATCTTGCTCGTGCCTCCAGAGTTGCTGATATGCTTGACGAAACCGCTCTTGTCCATAGACTTGTCTTTGCTGTTGTTGTAACCAGAACCAAAAGTCGAGTTTTGGAAGGTGGCTCGGAATAGAGGTTTGAGTGTAGCAATCGAGGCAGCGAAGATGGCAATGTTGAGCTCGCAAGATGTCCAGATTGTGATATTGACGCTGTCCCAGAGGAAATCGTTGTACTTTCCGTACGATGAGAGGTATACGACCTTGACTACACAGGCTGCAGTAGCACTATAAACTGTGGTCAGTATATTTGTCTCGATATTAAGTTCAGATTAAGAGGCGCAAAGCGGCTTACAAAAGACCCAACGACAAGATGGCAAATAGAGCTATCTTTATCCGCATATTTATTTTGACGTTCCACAACATTGGGATAGGGAGCAATGCAAAGACCAGATCTGCAAAAATGCCACATGCTGTAGTGTATTAGCATATGAAGATTGCAAGCTCCAGGCACAGCTCGCGAGTCAAGAACACATACTAGCATTAAAATATGCACACGCTCGAAGACCGAGAGGTGTGAAGCAGATTGCTTTGACACTAGGATCCCAGATGACCGTCAAAGGTCGACATTGTGTCAGGATCGTTACTACGTCTAGAGTCAGTACTGCGCAAGCAGTTCGAGTCAACAAACAATACTTACTCAAAGATACTGTCGTATACATAGCCATAAATCCAATCATGCACCAGATAAAGCGGTGGAAGAATTGCGAAGGCGTCAGCCTTAGAAGGAAGAGCCCAACGCTCACTTTAACCAACACAACAGCAACCAGGAAGAACGGTTGGCTGATGAAGTTGAGATACAGGCCATAGGACAACTTCGCGGCATCCGTAAGGTAAACCTCATGACGACCTGCACCGTAGTTTACATCGGCTATTGTTAGTGCTTCCGCAATGAGTGATATAAGCTATATATCGTTGTTAGATCTTTGCCTTCCACAAACTATGTTCGTGTTGACTGTATGGACTTCAAGTGAACTTACCATTGCTCCACAAATAAAGTAGTCATCCCAGCCCACAGACTTGATCATGATCTTCCTCACCCACATTCTGGCCGAAACAGAGAGGAGGGCAGCAATGGTAACCACGAGAGTGGCTGCCAACAGCTTCGGTCCATGGTTGACATCTGGCTCACCGTAACCTCCAAGAGCTGTAGACATGGCAATGATGCTGTTGTACGGTGCTTAAGGAAGCAAGTAGGAACATAAGATAGTAGGTCTCTGCACTTCCAGTGGCAGTGGAGTGGATTCGATGTGGGTCTAAAAACGAAGTTTGAGGTCGATGATGTAGATATATCGTCCAAACCGACCTCTCCTCTACCAGGGCCTGAAAGCCACAGAGCGGTTTTCTATGAATTGCAAAGTTGGTATCGCACTGACCACTTCCTCCAATGTCTCAATCCTAGAGCCCGAAAGACGTACTTGCAGTCGTTGTCCTCAGAGGAAGGATTCCAGCAGTTTGGCTCTCCCCATACATGTATCGCGAATCTGGATTGCACGGACCATAGTACACCATACTTGATATCAAATCCTAGATCAGAGCTGTGTCACAGGCTTGCTCAGTCCGTCACAGTTCCCAAGGTACTTGACACGGGTTGCAAAAAAAAGTGCGTCTGATTGACGAATGAAGAATGACGGAGGCGAGTACACCGAACCGAGACAGTTTGCAAGGGAACCAATAATCCTGCTCTTCGCCTGCGTCGCCTGGCACTTGCAATGCGTAATGGTTAAAGAGACATTGTCTTGGCACCCGAGGACAGCAACGCTTCAGCGGGCGGGATCAGTGGTACAGCGCCGCGATTCGTGGAAGCAGGGCAAGGCACCCCGAGCCGGGCTTACAGCCACCTCGACTGTCCCGTGTGTGTGCCTGTTGTATTTGGATTCAGGCACAAAGAGCTCGGTAGAGCAGAGCAAATCACTCATCTTGTAACTTCATGCATTACGAACACAACAGCTTCCCAGGTGTGTGGTATGCAGGATGTGTAAGATGTGTAAGATATTATATATGGAGCACTAAGCTCCTCGAACCAGTATCTGATCGACCCCACAATGGACCTCTCGACGCATGTCGTAGAGTTAAGCTTCTGTTGAAAAAAGTTAGAAGCTTGTGGGACTGACTTGTCAGTTCAGTAGCGGGACACTCGGCTTGCAGAAGTTTCTGTCCCTGATCCATCCTCCAGCTGAACACCGGCGGAAAATCATCTGCAGGGTGAGACAAGACCAGAGCTCGACAGCGGTCCGGATGGGCATCCGTCACCCCAAGCGAAGAGCCAACTCAGGCGACCCTGGAGAATCTGGGGTTGGTGGGCCGCGTTGCACAGACGCACTCTCGGTGGAAAAGTACTTCTTTTGTCTCTGCATGCACTTACCTGCGCGACGCAGTGAGATTCAGGGTTCGAAAACACCTCTAATTTACCAACGCTCGTCCGCGCGAAGATTCAAGGGCAGCCGTGTGCCCCGGCTTCGGACTGCTTTTTTATGCATACCCGTCGACGCCACTCCAATCAATTTCCAATGATAGTCTCTGCGCGAATGCGAGAAAGACTCTTCTCTCATTCGAAGTGGTGGGCGGTGTGGCTTCGGTAAGCAGGCAAGTGTGATATCGACACATCCCATGAGGTTGTTCTATGTTTGGCATTCAAGTCCGATCAAAGCATGAATTAACAGCCTCCAAATCCCAGACAGAACCGATCGTACGTCGACTTGTGTTCCACAGAGATATCTGGGAAACGACCCGTCAAGCCCCTGATTGTCTTGGATTTTGTCCCGCCAACTGCGGGCAGGTGGGAAAGAGAATTAAACGAACTAGCATACGGCGTGATACGGCGCTTAATAATCATCCGTGTTAGCTGGAGAATATCCATAAAGTCGGTACAGAAGCTTTCTAGAGCGTTTCGAAACAAGCCGTCCGAACTTTCCATAGGTCTTTATTTGGCCACTATGTCTTCAACGAATCAACGTTTTTACCTCTCCAATGTGCTTGCCAATGGTTGAATAATGGTTCAGTAACGCTGGAAGATGTTCAGGCAGCGCCTCCCAACGTTCTGGCTATTGGTCCAGCCCGCAATGCTCACCTTAAACGTCCCTTTTTTAGGACTGGATGCCGTCGTCTCCGTACTTCAGGGCCCATTAAACGCCAGACTCTCCCTGCGGAGTAATTCAATACTTTGCCTACATGCTGATGTGAACTAAGAAATGCATCAGTTGACAGGCAAAGCCGGGCAATCGGGAGTGCTCCGGCCTTCTGTCCAATTGAATTGCTCGCTGCATCTTTGATTGCCCTAATTTGAGCGCGCAACAGACGCGAGATTCGCAAATAAGGTAGTATTATGGATAGTCATCGAATGCAGGGACGGGAATCCTCTCGGAATTAGAACCATGTGTGTGTTGATTGTGCCTGGCCAGCTCCCTAACTTCGTTTATATGGTTCAATCTTCCCCTCTACGATCGTCAGCAGCAACCCTCATTCAAATCTCAGTTCAAGCAATAGCTGCATTTCGCAAGATGAAGCTCTCGGTTCTTCCCGCCTTGGCTGTGGCTTCATGCCTGACGGCCAGCATCAACGGCCAGGATACCGCTGCTCAGTTGAACTCGCTCCTGAACGATGCGACATTCAGTATCCTCAAGCAGCTGGAGGCCGACGAAGCGGCTGCGGCTAAGCGAGGCAGTAAGCTAAGCTGTACCGTAGAGACGATCGCGATTCGCCAAGAATTGTAAGACACAAGACACCGATAGAAATCCCAAGTTGAACAATGAAATAGTGGAAGTATGCCGCCATTAGAGCGAAAGGCATATACAGATGCTGTGCTTTGCCTCCAAGCGAAGACGGGCCTCACACCTCGGTCTCTGATTCCTGGTGTTAGAAGCAGAGTAAGCACTTCTTCTCCTCTCATGGATAGATTCTAATACGAAACAGTTTGATGACTTCGTCGCAACTCATCAGAACCAAACCGGATTCATCCATTTCTCTGGAACCTTCCTTGGTTGGCACAGATACTATGTCTGGAGTTATGAGCAGGCACTGCGAACCGAATGTGGTTATACTGGGTATCAGCCTTACTGGGACTGGTCTAAATGGGCTGCTTCTCCACAAACTTCTCCAATGTTTGATGGTTCTCCATACTCCATGGGTGGAAATGGTGAATTCATCGATCACACCGGACTTGTAATCCCGCCTCCAGTCGCTGGCGTGAACCCAACCATATATCTTGAACCTGGCTTTGGCGGAGGCTGCGTCCAGAGTGGACCATTTTCGAATATGACTGTGAATCTCGGACCTATTGGCGCCGCAGGTGGACTTATCATTAACGGTACTGAAACCAATGTTCCTGAAGGACCTGATGGTGGCTTTGGCTACAATCCTCGTTGCTTGAAGAGAGATGTTGGCCCATTCTGTCTTGAAAAGTATAACAACTATACCAGAATTTATGGTAAGATACCTTTCCCTGCGATACGAAAGCTGGGTTGACGGGACTTGCAGATCTTATGACTTTACGAAAAACCATTGCAGAATTCCAGGACGATCTTGAAGGACCAGTAGGCACAGGTGATCTTGGTCCACATGGTGGTGGACATTTCACCATCGGGTAAGTTGACATACAGTAATTGGAAATGATCGATGCTAACAGATCGCAGAGGTGATCCCGGTGGAGATCTGTTTACTTCTCCAGGAGATCCAGCATTCTACTTGCACCATGCTCAGGTTGATCGACTTTGGACCTTGTGGTAAGATCCCTCTGATCGTTAGCAATGGCGACGCGAAACAAGTACTGACACTTCACCCTCAGGCAAGCTCAGGATCCCAGCACTCGCCAATACGCGCTTTCTGGCACTAATACTATGCTCAACCAGCCCCCATCTGCCAACACTACATTGACAGATTATATCAATCTTGGATATGCAGCTGGTTCACCTCTTCAGATGCAAGACGTAATGAGCACGGTGGCAGGACCGTTCTGCTACGTTTATATCTGAGCGATTGATGGATAGAGAGATAGATCATTCCTGCGCTTCTTGTACAAACTTGATCGATGATGTGTTGAAGTTGTGACGATGATGATGTTCAATGAAAAAGTTCTGTTTAAGATAAAGCAGCATCTGCTGATGCAAATCGCGATCCAAAGACGTGATCTGAACTCTGTGAAATAATCTTGCTGAAGTTATCAAAGATTTTGGGCTGGCAGCAACAAGTGAATCTCCCCATACTTAGGGTGATCTATACTAGAGCATGAAGTATATCGCAGAACTGCCAACGCAAACAAGTATCCATGCATTAATGTATGGTCTTGCGACTAGCAAAGACATGAACAGGAGACATCTACATAATCAAATTCATCTCAGAACAGTACATAAATGCAGTGCATGTAGATACAGGGGCGAGAAACTTCAGATGACAATAGCAGAGAAAGCAAGGACCAGTGTTTCAACTCTGGGAGCTGGTAATGGTGGTGGGGACAGCAGTATCGTGGGGAAGAAGGTAATATTTAAGGACTTGAGTGTGTTTGAGCTGAATCGAGGCTTTTCGAGGTGCGTGACCCCTACCTTCCAATGTCACCCAGGCGCTTGTTGCCAAGGTCCATTCGGCGTAAAGCAGCAGACGGGAAGCATCCGTAGTCAACTGCATAGAGACCAACGAAGAATGGTAACTAAGGATCGAGAGATTGTACAATCCCATTTCACTTTTAGCCAGTATGGTTCCGAGGTCAGCTATGGTTCTGTGGCGTGACTTGTTGTAATAGTCGACAGGGTGTTATTGCAGGAGGAGGAATGTGCGTTGCGAAGCGGGAAAGATGAGTGGATGAATCCGATACTGACCGCGACTGCAGCTGTCCGCAAGGAGAAGTCCAATACGAGCCAAGAGAAATGCAACTTCGAAGAGCAAAGTCTGCAAAGGAGTGGAAGCGGATTTTGGTGAGATGTTTCTGGAATGTCCCATTTTATGAAATAATACGGGTTTTCCAAGGAAAAGTCGTGGAGTGGCAAGACATTTTAGCTCTCCTCGTCAGGGGATTTTCCGATGTCACGATGTCACGTGTAAGGACTGAAATTAACTTCACAACTTCCTTGGCCTCATGGGTATCTACTCTTCAATGCAGTCAGTACGACGTACGTTCACTTGGCTGACCAACTTGAGGTTCGAGCGTTTTTCCAGCAGATGTTCTGAAATAGATATTAGAATTTCACTAAATCACTCCTCCTCCTTGCAGAGGCATTTTCCGCTTGTTTGAACGGAGGCAATCTGTCTACTACTGAGTCTGCTCTTGAACGTTTTCCACTCACGAGAATACTTATTGTTTGCTAAGCATTCTATCATCTCCAAGTATTCGCCGCGATTTATATGCAGATGACTGATCCTTCATGTTCAGGTTACCATCCGAACTCAGGGGTTCAAGGAAGCCGACCTTCCGCGCCAGCCTCCCGCTCAGAATATGCACGAAGTAAGCTTACCTCCGCCTTGTCAGTGCACACACGCACCACGATCTAGTTTGTATCTTCGTTCTGGTTGGAGGAAGGCGATTGACTTTCTTCCTCACTTCTATGGTCTGAAAATAGAACAAAGGTGTCAAGTTTCGGAACAGCAGCCGGGCGACATGCAGACCCCTGACTCTCGAAACTCCAACTGTTTCCTCCCAACCACGGCCAATGAGAGGCCCTCTATATCAAATTCCTATCTTTTGAAAACCAAGTCGTCTGTGAGAGAAACATGGGACGGACATTCTTGTTTGAAGACAAGATGAAAGCTGTCACCATGAGACCGCCAACGACCCCTTCTATCATCGACTTTTCCATCATCACAATCAAGTGTTCTCGATGTGCGAAAGTCTGATACTCTGTATGCTTCAGATTGGCACACAAGCTTTGAGCTACCACAGAGAAAAGATGTCATCCGATGTTGCCAATAAGCTCAGATGAATGTCTGCCCGCGCGTCCTACCTTAATTCAAGGGTTCAGTGACATCGAGGAAGACGAAAGTGTGAATTATTTCCTTCCTTCTATCCCTTTGCTGCGCCTTGAACTCCTGTCCTAGCCTTATCGTGAGGAAACGGGCTGCCAGGGAGCCGAAAAGCATTTGCGTCTAGATGTTTGTGCTGCAAAAAAAAAAGAAGTAAGGTTGTTAATCTTCCACATTAAATGAGTCCTTCTCGCACAATGTAAACTCCCATATTCGTTCATATCCGTTTCAATTTCACTTCTTAATTACGTTCTTTGCTATCCCTCATTTGTTAGCAAGCTTCCTCGTTACTACATTCATTTCTATCTGGTAATAGACCCGACTCGATACTTTCAAGTCATAATGTTTTTGAAGACTTCTTCGCTCCTTTCGGCCTTGATGGTTCTTGCCACAGCGTTAGCTATCGCTCTTCCTGATCCCAGCCCAGCACCCGTCGAAGTCATAGTCGAAGGACAAGATACTGTTATATTTGAGAACATTCAATGTGGGAATGAGCACCAAGGCCTCAAACCAATCTGCCCGCATCTCAACACTACAGAAGAACATGGTTGTGTCCGTTGTAAGTATGCCTCAGCTTCTCTATTATGTTAACTGACAAGACTTTGCCAGATGTGAAGGGTTTCGATGTCACAGGCGTGGTGACAGAAGTAGACCTGACGTTCCCAGAGATTCAAGGTAAAACCCCTTCCGACTCTCATATGATCTTCGGTCAACTAACATACTAGACGCATGTGACTGCATCCAAGCATGCCTGAACCGTCCCGGAACCTGCGCCGCTTATGTATGGAAGTTCAGCACACCAGCTAGTGTTACAGCAGGCCATAGAACCTGCACTTTATGTATGTTTGCTTCAAATCAGCTTCCTAGGTTTCCACTAAGACCAAATAGATTCACAATTCAACCTCCCGGCACAAGTTGCTATTGCTATAGATGTTGCGAACACAACCAACATGAATATCAACAGCGAAGAACTCGTTGCGAATGGAAACAATCCTCAAATGGGAGCCTTAGTGGCCCAGACATTCATGGACGCAAATCTCAATACAACTGCGGATCCTGCTGCCGTTTCTGGGTAAGCGAGCTTTATCGAAAGCCGCCTCCTTTTGTGGATACCAAGACTGACATTCATCTAGCGAGGTCTGGCAGCTATCCACAGGCAAAGCTATATGTTAGATGGTACGGGCAAGGAGGGGATTATTGAAAAGTCATGCATGATGAAGAATAGATATCAGGGACCTGGTGTTCAAATTTTCGGCTAGCACCGATTTTAATCTTCATATTCGAATAGCATGTCTTTTGGGTGTGCGCTTTCACTTCGTGTTTGGGATATCTTGATATAAGTTATCTCTTCGAACATTGGCATCACTGTACAAGATCCATCGCGGGAATCTGTATTGACCTCTCCGAGTTCATGGATAGGAGGCGGTTTCTTCATTATCATATCTGACCTGCTCCTTACAATGTCTACTCTCCACAGCCCCAACCATTGTCTCCAAAATCAGAACTCTCAAAGATTAGAAGAGTGAAAGAGAATAACATAACATATTTCCTACTGGCTTGAAAGCTCTTACCAGACGCGACGGTGCGAGTGTCACTTCAGTTGTCATGCGGCAACATTCTTCGTTTAAAGAAGAAGAGCAAAAAGGTATTACCTTCCAAATCGACACAGACATCGGCTACTGAAAGGTGCCCATGAAGAGGCGAAAAAAGGTATTTCAGCGTGATGGCAAACAGCACTGGCTTGGGACTGTCTCTCTGCCAGTATCCATTTCTAGATTGCTTTTAACATCTATCAGATATAAAATTTCGCGTCAACAGCGTCGAAGATCATTTTCACCAGAATTGAGACCGGGCCAAGAAACGTTACTGCGTGTTCCAAACAATTCTGTTTGCGACAGTCAAGAATGTTCCGGAATGGATTGCTTTCGACAAAGCAGCGTCCTAACGTCAAGCTCTGGCTTCACAAGGCTGAATCGACGAAAGAGATGTACTAGGAAGACGAGACTTTCAGACTCAGATTCCTTTACTGGAAAAATCTTCGTTCTTTCTGTGAAGTATAATCATATACACTCCCTCTGATGATAAGGAAGACCACATGAGTTGCTCTTTCCGAAAACGGCAGATACTACCATGAAATACCTCGGCCTTTCACAACGACCATCTCGCAAACATAACACTATATCCCCATCAAATCTCACTATCAATTGTCCTACACTCGTTTGGACCTTTATTATTCTATTTATTGTACTTTTACCAAAAGCCAGAAAGATGACAGACATTGATTGGGCTCCCGTCCATTTTCCGCAACTGGATTCAACTCGAGAGCGAAGATGTACTTGCAAATCGAGCTGGCAGCATCGATATTTCCATTGTACACAGAACACTTCCGAAAGCAACTACAATTTGCTGACTATGCTCTTGCAGGCTCCGGTGTTGTGTTTCCAGTCCTAGAAAGCACAGATAACGAATGGAACAGCATACAAGAGAGGAGGCGCAGAGTGGAGACAATTATGCGCGACCAGGTTGAGGTCGTCGCAGCACTCGGTCAAGGTGTCAGTACATGATTTGATTCTGATGTCCCCATAACTCACGAGACATTGACATTGACCAATATAGCGCTATTGGGATATGTATGAAGCTCTGCACCAGGAGCCTCACACTCTCATTCATTTCTTGGATCAAGAACCATACCGGATCGAATATTACTGGAACACCCACGCGACTTTCGATGAATCCGAAGATGCTGGTCCCAACAAATCGAACCTTGCCACCAAATTCCTGCCTTTCTGCAACATCGGACGCATAGTCGTGGGAAGACTTCTTCGACCAGATTCGTTTTCCCATGTTTTCGAGCATCAGCTTACTCCAGAAGAGTCAGACATTATGTTACGATCAAAACAGAAATTCAGTGATCTATGGGAGATCTTCATCAGGCACGTTGGATATGGCGACTTCGTTCCAGTCTTCCAACCTCCCTCGGAAAACGCAAGCGTCACCATGCCTTCGGAGATAAGTTCCAGACATGATTGGGATGACAGCAGTATCACCATGTTCGATGTTAGCACGAATGGTGATAATGTCTCCCAAGAAGATACACAAGAAAGGCTGGACAGTGGTGTTGGAATAGACGAGAAGGGAGAAGAGGACGTTGCCATTGCTGTAGCCGGGGCGGAAGGAAATGAGGAGATCGTCCCAGCCGTCAACGGTCATCAACTTGAGGACGTGGACGGCGTTGGTACTGACGGAGCTGAAGAATCATCCGACTCGGAATCTGCCAGTATTGCCCTCTCCAACGGAGATTCACAACAGGATGAAGGCAATGGAGTTCTTGACGAAAATCAAGGCCACACACGCTCAGATTCGGAGAATCTTCCTACCACCAACGGACATCAGGATGAAGGAGAGAACCATGGAGTTGCTGACGAGAATGAAGGCACATCAAGTGTGATAGTAGAGAAGGTACCAGCTGTCAACGGTCACTCTGACAATGATGAGAACCACATAACTACAAATGGCAACCAAGACGTATCCAATGAGGTAACAGAGAATGCGGAGGAGTTGATCAATACATTTGGTAACTTGCCAGACGACGGATTCGAGATCGCAGAACAGAACCCTGAAATCGTGGCAGCACTTCAACTGGTGGTAGCGCTGGGCAGCATCATACGAAGAGAACAAGCAGGAGACCGGCATGGGTAAATGACAGAAAGCATAATTGCATGTTGTAGCTAGACCGGATGCAAACAGATATTGGTTGCTTACAAGGATGGATAGATTCTGTTTAGTATGGCACAATAGCACCAGCGTGTTTCCCTAGCTAAAGAAGACTTCTCGAAGAGTCCAGTCCAAAGCTCCTGGCAAAACAGCCACCGACTGAATACGAGTCAGTGACCGAGTGCATTTCTCAGTCTCTGACCATCTCATCTCCGATTTAGTTGATCATATGCCAGGTTCTCCGCCATTTCCCCTCAAGAAACAATAAATTACCTGACGAAGCCCCCACGAAGAAGCCTGCACGGAATTTTGAGGCTTTTCATTTCTTCCACGAGGCGTCGTCCCCTATGCTGTGTGTCGGCAATAGCATTGTAGTTATGAATCTTTGGGTGTGAATATATAACAATTTCATCGCTTAAATCGACTGAAATATGAGAATGGTGTGTCCAAAATAATAAAGAGGGTGCAGCATCCCAAAGAGGCTCTTCAGCCGAACTTCTTCAACTTCCTCAAACCGGAGCAAAAGGAATTTCTCCACCAATTACCAACAGCAATTCGACCCCTCGTTGGACCCCACCATCGTCCGGCCCGTCAATTGCCCTGACGGCGACTCGTGAACCCCATAGTTTTACTCCGGATGAACTGTATATAGGTGGTCATTTCCTCTGGCATATATTTTCCATTCTTTCTCTTCTCAATTCTCTCTCTTTTCTCACAGTCCTCCTTGCATGATTCTACCTACCATCTAACCTTGATATAACTCCAAGAAACACATACATTGGCCTCGACAATGCCAGAAGTTACCATCACAGGCTGGGATACTCGCGATGTGCGATTCCCAACCTCTCTCGACAAGACGGGCTCAGATGCCATGAACGCAGCAGGAGATTACTCTGCCGCATACTGCATCCTGAAGACCGACTCCGAGTTCTCTGGCCATGGCATGGTTCGTCCCATCTTTCCTTTTCATCTCTTGTCCACCCCACTTCCAGCTCATGGACTGACTTGAGATGAAAACAGACATTCACAATTGGCCGCGGAAACGACATCGTCTGCAAAGCTATCGACAACGTCGCAGATCGTATCAAGGGCCGTACCCTCTCCTCCCTCGTTGCTAATTGGGGCCAAACATGGCGATATCTTGTGTCGGATTCTCAGCTCCGTTGGATTGGGCCGGAGAAAGGCGTCATTCACCTCGCTCTTGGAGCTGTCGTGAACGCTATCTGGGATCTCTGGGCCAAGACACTGGACAAACCTGTGTGGAGAATCGTGGCAGATATGACGGCTGAGGAATTCGTCCAATGTATTGACTTCAGGTATATCACGGATGCTATTACGCCTGAGGAAGCGGTCAAGATGTTGAAGAGTGAAGAGGAGGGAAAGAAGAAGAGGTTGCAGGATGCATTGGATAGTAAGGCTGTGCCAGCTTATACTACCAGTGCTGGCTGGTTAGGATATGGGGAGGACAAGATGAAGGGGTTGCTTGAAGAGACTTTGAGCAAGGGATATAGGCATTTCAAGCTCAAGGTTGGGACAAGTGTTGAGGCTGACAGGAGGAGATTGACTATTGCAAGGAGCGTTATTGGGTACGACAAGGGGAACATCTTGATGGTGGATGCTAACCAGGTTTGTCCCTCTCTCCTCCCCTTGATTTACATGCTAACAGGGACAAAAGGTCTGGTCGGTCCCTGAAGCAATCGAATACATGCAACACCTCAAAGAGTTCAAGCCCTGGTTTATCGAAGAACCCACCTCTCCCGATGACATCCTGGGCCACAAAGCCATCCGCGATGCCCTCCGCCCTGATGGGATCGGTGTCGCTACCGGAGAAATGTGCCAAAACCGTGTAATCTTCAAGCAACTCCTTGCCTCGGGTGCCATCGACGTCTGCCAAATCGACGCTTGCCGAATGGGTGGTGTGAACGAAGTCCTCGCTGTTCTCCTCATGGCGAAGAAATTCAACATTCCCATCGTCCCACATTCGGGTGGTGTAGGTCTGCCAGAATATACCCAGCATTTGAGCACGATCGATTATGTTTGTGTCAGTGGGAAGTTGTCCGTGTTGGAATATGTTGACCATCTTCATGAGCATTTCAATCACCCTGCCGTCATCAAGGACGGTTATTATCAGACTCCTATGGAGCCAGGATACTCGGTTGAGATGAAGCCCGAGAGTATGGAGCACTATTCTTTCCCTGGTGGACCAAACGGGTGGTGGCATAGCTCAGAAGCGAAGCCCATCCTAGAGGGCGAGAAGATCTAAGAGCCTCGTAAGGCTCTGAAAGAGGAGGAAAAGTTGGGGGAAGGGAAGTCCTTCCGCAGGGCAACGACGGCATCCTGTATAATACCATTTTCCTTGTGTATTATCCCAGGTCTGGGTAGGGGCTCGAGCGGAGATCTCGTGCGCAGGGCAACGATGGCATCCTGCATAGCCATAGGCTTTTGGCTATCCCTGGTTTTTGTATATTGGGCTGGGAATTGGAAAGGGGGTCAAGAGTTTTCAGGTTGGGCTCTTTGTCCGCGAGGCAACGATGGCATCTCGTAGGTGTGCTCATAAAGAGACACTTCCCAGGTGGCAGGAATACAACCATTCGTGCTTTCCACTATATATTCCACTGTGAAAGAAAATTTGTTGCTCTAAGTGCTTGATGTGATCCAAAAAAAAACCTTGCTATCAAATTGCTCAAACTGCCTCTGTTAACACTTATGATCATATACATGTACATATCTAACTTCAGTCTCACCAATCCTCCCAAATCTCCTTCGGCAACACAGTCCTCATAACCGCCCAATGCCCCAACGCACTCTTCTCCTGCCACCCCCTAAACCTCTCCGTCGCATTCCTCAACAGCACGCCCCCATCCCCCTCCTGCATCTCAAAAACGCTCTCCTCCACCTCATACTTGGGCAACAAATACATCTTCCTCGCCCCACTGCCCAAAAAGTCCCTCTCGGTCGGCTTCAGGAATGTGACTTGGTCGGACGTCGCAGCGTTGGTGCAGAAGATGACCATGTTGGTGAAATCGCGGCCGTCGGCCTCGATCGTGGCTGCCGAGGGGGCCGCGGATTCGCGGAAGATGCGGCAGGTGGGGAAGACGGTTTTGATGGTGTTGACGATTATGCGGGCGGAGGGGAGGAGGAGGTCGCCTGCATAGTTCTGTTGGTTTTTGCTTGTTAGCCTTTTTTTTTTTTCTTTTTGGGGATATGGAGGGGGGGACAGGGGGGAGGGAAGGGCTTACAATAGCGATTACGCCGCCGGGTTTGAGGATTGTGTTGAGATCTTGGAGGAATTCTAGGGTGAAGAGATCAACGGGCTCAGCTCCGCCGGTGAATACGTCGTGGACGACATAATCGTATTGAGCGCCTGATTTCGCTACTTCTGAGGCGTAGGATACGGCGTCTGCGATGACTGGAGTGTGGTGCTTTGGTAGAGCGAAGTATTTAGTTGCGAATTCATGGACTACGGGATCGATTTCCACAATCGTGGTTTTGATGCCGTGTTGCATGAATGCTGCTGGTGTGGTACCAATCCCTAGACCCCTTTTCACAACTCATTAATCACATGTTCTACTCTCTTGACATGAAAGGGGAGACTTACACGACGAAAGCAGAAGCTTGGTTGTCAGGTACGGGATCTTTGATTTGGACGAGTCGTACGGCTTCAAGCATAACGAAGACGCCGTAGATGGGTTCGGCCATGGGAGATCCGCTGGCTTTGGTTAGCCATTCGCCGCCGAGGAGGCTATGGTCACACCTCATGACTCGGAAGCCGTTCTTGGAGCTTTCGAGGATGGAGATGTAGCCTGTGAGAGATTCTTGGCGTTCGAGCAGTGACCATCCGTTCTTGGCCATTGTGGCATTTAGCGAGGATGTAGCGAAGGGAGTTGGAACATGGACGTTGAATAATGCGGTGTGGAGAATTGCTGGAAGGGTGTAGAGTAAGAGCTTGGATGGCGAGAAGAGGGAGTAAAGTCCTGTGAGGGAGATTTGAAGACCTAGTCGAGTTTGAAAAAAGGAAGCACCGATTCCTCTTTGGATGGCGTTTCCTGAGAAGTACTCCATTGTTTTGAAGAATGAGAAAGAGCATATTCCTGGCATGGCATCTGATAACCACTGCCACCTTCCAATGCTCATCTCCAAATCGTCCAAGATAGTCGCCGTGCAGGAGACTGACAATAGCAACAGGGGCAAGAAAGTCAGAGCTTCCGTAATAATTGGTCCATACACCGCCCCAAGCAGACCACTGACTCTAAACAGGAAGAACTGCATCATAGGAATATACGCGGCAATGACAGGTAGCAGTTGCTGAGGCCTCAGAGGTAAATTCCTCTTAATGAAAAGATTCGACGACCACCCCAAAAAGCAAGCAGTCATAACCCCCTTGGCATGATAAACCGATGAAGGAATCCCTCCATACACAGGGGATAAACTGAGCTCTGATACATTCGAGTATACAGCAGCTAGAGTGAGCAAGACACCTGACTGGGTCAGAACCCAAGCTTGCTCACCGGCCCATTTTGACCATGTCTCTTCTTGTGCCTTTGAAGCTAAGGCTTTCAATTCTTTCTCGAAATTCTCTTGGGTGAGAAGCGGCTCTTTGGGTGGTGGTATCGAAGCCTTGGCCGATTTTGATGACCCGGGCCGAGCCATGGCGTGACTTCGACCGAGGAGGAACGTAAGAGATAAAGTTACAGAGTGTCTTCCTTCGCAGTGATATGAAGAAGAAACAACAATCTCGGCGACGTAAATCAACTTCTTCAATAAATGCCACGAATGGCGATATTCATTGGAAGCTTCACATCTGGAGACGTTGCGATATGTTGATTGGGGGCCGGTGCGTTTGAGCCTGAAACACTGAAACAAAAGGGAGCTTGGACTGGTGGGGTGGATCACGTGTCGAAGCCGCTATGATTCAAGTCTTGGCTGTCAAGAAAGCTTCATCTGAACATCATCAGATCGTATAAGTATGCTGTCTTTTCAGGAGAAGTTTGGTCCGATGAGAGTTTATCGGCGGTCGGTGAGTTGCAGTCGTAATCCTTCCGAGCCATCTTTGAGCCTATCATGAGCTGGCCACCTGAAATGGTTAGCGGGGATTTTCATTTGCATGCTCGTAATCTCTGTACTGTAGGCATCAAGAATTGTACTCCTTCATCCCATGCTTCAAGCTCACGAAACGTTTCATTTGGGATGATTCAACATCATATTGTTTTTTGTTTATCATTGGGCTTCTGAGCATGATTGCAATAGATGTTGAAGACACACCGAGTCCGGTATGGTTGAGGAAGAAGGGATCCTTTCAGTGGAAAGGGGCTGATTGGAAGCGAGGTGTGGTTTGGAAGGCTGTGTAAGCTTGGTTTATCATTGTCTTTTATTTGCAATATTTTCAGTGTTTCAAGTTTGCAGAACTCTCCATATTCTAAGTATTTTTGCAAGATGTTTTTGGAACAGGAGATGTGAGTTCATCCTGAGCTCGCTACTCCTATTCCTCCTCAGGCTTGAGGAAATGTTCGCAAAGTTAAGCGATAGAAAGTCACTGAGCTGAAACATGCTTGAACTCTCAAACTCTTGAAGTCTTGGTCCTCAATCATCTGCATTGACTTCATAGTTCTGACTGAACAGCTACTCTGTTTCTTACCTTGATCTGCTGTAATGCTAAGTGATGCAGTTTGACAGGAATTGCTATTGTTGTAGCCATCGCATTTTTGACCCTCATCATATCACCCACCAAATATGCATCTATACTCCCAGGCTGGCAAGAGAAGCTACCTAGTACGTTCTCCTTCCCTCTTAATCTTCCTCGACAATGAGTACATTACCCATCTCAACCAAAACTAATAACCCAAAAGCTTCAACCAACCCAAACATAACCTACCTCCACCCCCAATACTTCCCCAACCACCACTCCGAACGCGTCAAGATAAAATACGGCCCCTTCCTCGTCCCCGGAAACGACATGGCAGGCTTCCAGCTCCGCAATGTCACAAAACCATGCTCAGACTGCAAAATAACATTCTTCCAAGCTGACCTCGAATACGAAGACGGAAGCTACGCCAACGCCAACACAGGAATGTGGCTCCATCACATGGTCCTCTTGAACCCGACTCAACGCGACACTGTCTGTCCCACACATCCCGAACGTATATTCGCCAGCGGGAATGAAAGGACAGCTGCCAATATCTGCGTCGATGGGTACTCCCCCCCTTCCCTTTCCCCTATTCCATACTCAAAACTCGTCAGCTAACACCAAACCAGCACAAAAGAAGCAGGCTACCACCTGACCCCCACCTCCACACTCCTCCTCACCACCGAACTCATGAATGAAACGCCGCACCCGACATTCGTCTACATAACCGTCACCTACGAATACATCCCCTCCCCGCCGCCCACCTTCCGGCCCGTCAAGATCGTCTGGCTGGACATCGGATCGTGTTCTGAATCCGAGTATCCCGTCCCGGTGGACGAGACGGCGTTTTCGATCACTGCTGCCCCGTGGATTGCCGATATTTCGGGTGACGTGCTGTTCGCGGCCGCGCATCCGCATGATGGGGGCGTGGAGCTGGAGGTGCTGAGGGGGGGAGAGGGGTTTTGTACGAGTATGGCGACGTATGGGGGGACGGAGGGGTATAGAGAGGGGGATGGGATGGAGCATATTAGTAGTATGTCTGTGTGTACGGGTTTGGGGAGGATGGACGTGGGTGCGGAGTGGGGGGTTGTGGCGAGGTATGATTTGAATGAGCATGCGCCCATGGTGGGTTTGGAGGTGATCCCCGAGCCGATTATGGGAATTGCGTTGCTTTATGTTGCGCAGGATGGTGCTTGATTGAAGAGCGGCGATTTGGCGATTAACGTATTAGTTTGAGAGAGGTTCTCTTCCCCCCCACCCCCCTACAGTTCGGGATCATAACGAGAGGGACAACATAGCGTTCGATCAATATAACAAGTTGGAATAATATAATAACTCACGAAAAGCCGAACTCCAAACCCATAACCCCATAATCCCATAATCCACCCCACAAAACCCAAAACCTCCCTCCCCCTCATTCATTCCCACCATCACCCAACCCATAAATCCCAAACTAACCCCCTTTCACCCCATTTAACCCCCCTCCCCAAACTCCTCTACAAACTTAAACAACCACCCCCCCCCTCCGTCGACTCCAAACAACCACCTCGGGGAGTGGTTTTCTAGGGAATCCACCTCTGAGCTTTGGGTTCTGGGCTGGGCCTGAGTTCTTTTGCTGTTCTTATTATCTTAATATTTTTCTTGTGAATAACAACCTTTTTTTTCCTCCGATTTCTTTTCTTTTGGCCTTTTTGGGCACAAATCCTCCCTCCTCACTCTTACTTTCTTCCTCCTCGCGTAAGCCAAGAGAGAAACTCGTCCCTCGTCCGAGTCCTAGGCTTAACTTACGTTACATCTTAGTGAGATATCCGTAAGCAATATAATCCTGATCTTATACTTTAAGTCTTTGAATATTCTTCACTCTTTTGCGTCTCCTTCTGCAATGAACTCCTTGAGCGCTTTGGGGAATTTTGTAATCTTTTGGGGGAGGAGAATGTAAGATAGGGTCTCGGAGGTATCTTATGAAAAAGAATTCTCGTGGGCTGAATGTACTACGAATGATCTCACTTATTTGTGTTGTATTTCAAATCAGTTAGGTAAGTGCTCTCCAATATGAGGCTAGGATGCAAATGTCCCGACTTTATTCAGCACATAGCTTTGCTGATAGTCGGTTCAAAGAATCATCTCTTTTGAGTCTCAAATCATTGTGACAAACTTATCGCTCCGTTGATTCCATGCCTAGATACCTTCAAACAGCAAAAGAAACATCGCACCTCCAATCTCCAACCGCTCACTCCAAGGCAGGAAATTGTTCCAGAACAACCCCCGCCAAGCTCATCTCCCTCTCAATCACATGGCCAATCTCCGTATCCCTCACCTTCCACCGACACTTAAAGCTCGCTGGTGCCATAACAGTGTCCCCAGTAAACTTTATCCCATCATACTTCTCTCCCTCAACCCCCATCAAGTCAAGCCCCCAGATTAACTTCACCAGCGCGATCCACATCCCATTATGCGCCAAATCACCACCAACGCAAATTCTCCTTCCCCACCCAAAAGTACCGTGTCCGAACTTGCCCGGAAACTCCTTTTCTGGCTTCAGCTCCTCTCTAAACCTCTCGTCATTTTCTGGCAGGAATCTTTCTGGCGCAAATTCCTCCGGTGAAGGGAAATAAGAGGGGTCGTAATGCATAGCCCAAATATTGGGCACGATCATCGTTCCTTTGAGAATCTTGTAGCCTTCGTAAATATCGTCTTCGGAAGTTGCATGTTTCACGCCCATGGGGATAGCGGGTTTCCATCTCAGCGTCTCTTTGACCAAAGCGTCGATGTATGGGAGCTTCTCCCTGTCACCGAAATTCGGGCTTCGTTTCTTGCCTATCACTTCGTCGATTTCCTTCTGAGCAGTGACGAAGACCCAGGGGTTCAGAATCAATCCCAAAACAGCAGAACAGAGACTGGCGATCGTGGTATGGGATCCAGCTCCGAAGACTGAAGATGGTATACCACAAAAATGGCGCTCGTTCTGCATCAACTGTTGACAATCGACGTTTCCAGCTTCGGCCGCTAAGATCATGTTCTCGGTCAAACTTCCTCTTCCCGTAAGTTTTCCTCCATTTTTTGCCAAATCTTGTCTGACGGTGTCCACGAGCCAAGAGTCAAAAGCCGCGTTCTGCTTCCCCATTTCCGTAACCGCGGTTTTCCATCGAGCGAGAAACGGAGGGAAGTAATCCAGAAACGGGAGGGACTCGACGAGAAATTGACCAGACAAAAGAAATCGTGCTACATAATGCACGAAGAAGAGTCTTTTCTTGAGGACCGCCGAGTTTAGGGCATCGATTCTCCTGCCGTAACTAAGCGTGAAAACAACACTGGATGTGTACCTCTCAATCTCGTCTTTCCACTTCTTGCCCTCATCCAGCGAGATTCCAAATACAAGCTTCGAAGCTTCTGCTTCTTGTCTCTCCTTATAAGTCTGTAACGCAGAAGGCTTCAAGAACTGATGGAAGATCTTTCTTCTCATGTTCCAACTCGCTCCATAAGGATGGGTAACGATGGTTGAGCCTTGGCTGTAATACTTTCCAAAGACAAGGAAAGGGGGTCATGTACTGTATTTATTGCTTCGACTAGTGAGGAGATCGTATGCGATTTGAGGTCTGAGATTATGATATTGGGTACGAGACCTGAGTAGAAGGTGTAGATTCCGCCATATGTTTTGGATAAAGAGGTGAAGAACAACCACGATTTACCGCGAGGAGTGGAGAGGTAATTCCCGAGTAACGGAAGACTTGGTGGGCCAGGTGGGAGACGACGTTTGTAAAGGTAATCGAAGAAGATGAGGCCGATCAGGAGAGGACCAATGAGGGTGGTTGCTTGGGAGAAGTTGAATGGTAGGTGGTCTGCGACAGCCATCTTGGTGTCTCTCTTCGACGAAGATGTGCAGTTGAAGTGATTTTGAATGTATGTAGATCGTGAAAAAGAAGGGGACCGGTGGACTTGGTTTGTAAAGGAAAGATTCTCGAGCTAGCTCGCCAAAGTTGAGAAGATATCGTCGAGACGCGTGAAAGAAGAAGTAGCGCGCTGAATACGATTCACTTTCTCAACACCCGATCCGGAATACAGTGAGCCCCGCTATCAAGGTAAAGTTGTGTAGCCGAGGTGAATTGGTCGTAGATCGTGGAAACGTATCAGGCGGTTGAGATTATTTCGTGAAGGAGAGGTTTGCTCGGCAAGCTAGATCAAGATCAGATTGGGGAAGATATCCTCGATACGCTCAGAAGAGGAAGTAACGATTCACTTTTCAGCACCGCTACGCTATGAAATGGGTGAAGCATTCTCGCTCCCCTCAAAAGAGGAAGTAATGACCTAAACACAATTCACTCTCTCACCACACAACCTCCATCCAGAAGCCCCGCTATCGAAAAGGTGGTTACACGACATCTGTCCCCACCCAGCATCCAATATCCAGACCACGGCACTTCATTCAGAGAGAGAGAGGGGGGGGGGGTGGAGGGTGGTCACTTATCGTACAAGCCGGTGAATCACAACAAAGCGATCTTGGTTCGATGTGCCCCTTGCAAGACAGAACCAGGAACTGCGCACAGCAAATGTTGGTCTCACAATCAGACTTGCTGTGGAATCACAAGTAGACAACGAAGAAGAGCACAGCAAGCATAATTTATGGCATTTCGACACGCAACAAAAAAATTAAGTTAGAGGAAGCAGATAGTTTAATTAGGTCTTTGGAAGAGCATAATTTATGACATTTCGACACGCAACAAAAGATTTAAGTTGGAAGAAGCAGGAATTTTAATTAGGTCTTTGGAATCCTGCCTCCTCGAACGTCCACTTGGAACGTGTGGATGGATGTCCAACTCGAGGCGCGAAAGGTGCCGCGTATAGGATATCCAATTGAATGTCGAGGATCAAAAACCAACATTATGAGCTAGCACAACGAATAAGACCGGGGGGATGATTCTATGAGGGGGATATAGTGAGATTGTCCGTTTCATATGGTCGTCAATTACCCTATTTTGAATATCCCATTCCGGTGCTATGCACATTTGTCTCTCTTCATATGTAGCGCATCCTGTCTTCCTCCCGTTGGGTATCTTTCTTTCGTCTCTGATGGGCATTCTCCAAATGCGACCTACTTCGCTCACTGTAGCTCTTGAGCCCTTCGTGTCTCATGTACATTCAACCTCACAGCCTTTCATAGCCTCATCGATACCTGACTAGCACAAGTCGATCCGACAGAGATGCCTCTCCTGGTGCTTTCGTCGTTAAGTATTAAGCTCCGAACATGTCCTGGATTCTCTCTTCCATAATCGAAAAGATCCGGAGGCGAAGTCTAGACTAGAAAAGCTTTCTTTCGGATAACCAGAATCGTCTGGTGCTCTCTAATCATCGGCAGAAAAGTATCGTTTCGTCTTGTTCTTCACCTGCGCTGCTTTCAGATCCGGCGGGACAATGGTATGATGAACGACATGAGGTCGATAAATTGCATCAACAGGAGGCATCCTACATCTATCATCAGCATTTCTTCAGCACCTCAACGAAGAAGATTTCACATACCAATCGTCCAAACTCAGCGGAAAATACTCGTACAACAAATCCGCATTCTCAACCGGACTACCGACTCCCTTCTTGCCTAGTCTATCTCTGTCGATCACTGGACTTGCGGGTTCGCCTGGCCTAAGATGTCCTCCTGGATGTGCTTTCCCGTATTCGTCGTCCGCTAAAGAAAGATCGATTGGGGCAGTAGCTTGAGAGGACTTGGTGGGCACACTTTCCGACTTCCAGCGTGCTTTGGGGACTGGTGGCCTCGGTGGATTTGAAGCTGAGGAGGATTGATTTGTTAACGTAGGTCTCTTGGCTTGTCGAGCATGTATCTCGGATGTAGATAGGGTTGCAAGAGGGTTATTAGTCCAGTCTGGCAGGTCAAGTGGTTGCTGCTGTCCGAATTAGTTTCTGGCATTGGATTTGCAAAAGCAGAGTGATGCCCACCTGCAAAGCATTAAGTGCATAAAAGCGATACGAGCTATTCGCAACTCCCGGATCAACTTTGACTTGTGGCGCTGAGACACCGGCATCACTCATTGTCCTCGGTTTCGAATCCAACTTCTTCTCACTTAGCGGAACATCTTTCCTACTATCAAAATTCCTAGGACTTCTTCCGCGCACGATAATTGGGCCGCTCCGAATCTCTGCAAGCTTCACCGTCTCTCCTGTCGCCAGAGTGGCCATAATATTGATCTGAATCACATAATGCTGTTGCAAGCCTTTCCTCCTACCGTTGTTGGCGGTCGCGTGCTTGAATTGGAGTCTCTTCCATGCGATTGGGATCGAAACTACGCTGGGATCAAGCTCTGGATTCATGCTTAAATCTAGCGGCCACTGTGGAGGTGCAGCTCCAGCTTTATCCTCCGATGAGGTTCCTGTGGAAGTTTTCCATGGAACCGAGATTATTTCTGTGCTCTTCCCTTCTATACTTTCCAATGCGCTGATTGTGGCCATCATGTCATATAGCGGGACCTGCTGTCCGTGTTCGTTGACCATACTCTTGATGCCTCGACTCAGGGTCACAGTCCCGCTGATTTGAAAGAGATTCCGCCGGTAGCAAGTCAATTCCAAAGGTCGATTCGCATTCGTATTGTTATCTCCAAATACATCCTCAGCGACGAAGAACATGCCATACAGTTCCGCCGTCATTGCAGGCCATGTGTGACCCGCATCGTCGAATATAGGAGCTTTGACGTTGGTTACTCCAAAGCCAAGGAGCTTATTATCGGGGTCTACGGTATTATGCGAGGACTCATTGTGCGGATGCGTATTGTTATCCTCCAGGATCGAAGAGAAGTCCGTGTTAGATTGGTAGGAAAACGGGTCTTCAAAGGTGGTCGAGAAGGCGTCAGAGAGCTCGTACGAGGGCGTGAAGGGTAATGGAGGAAGGCCAGAAGTATTCACATCGTCCCTATTGCTTTCATAGCTGCTCGTCAGCAATGGTTCTTGGACAGAACTCAGTCCGTAGAAACTGTTCCCAGGATGTGAGTCCGGGAGCTAGAAACATACAATAACCCCTCTCCCTCAAAGCTTAAATCGTGATCAAAGGCATCCATGCTTCCCCCGAGCATTGGATGTCCGTTCTCTGGTGTTGTCAATCGCAGGATGTCGTTGGGCGCCGCGGTCATGGAAGAAATGGTGAAGCTCCCAGCATCATAGGCTGCCATTGTCCGTTTCTGGCTCGGACTGTGGTGTTCGCAGGGTTGAGACGAGTGAAGCATGTACGATAATTGCTTTGCGCATTATTGTTGTTTCATTTGCGTGTATCGTATATCTTGTATATGAATTGAGTGCGTGGAAGTGGTACAGCGAAAAGCGAGTATGTTGTCTGACAAGCCGTTTGTGTTACTGTATACGGGTCTTACTAGAGGAGTGGGAGGGAATAGAGAGAGGTGAGCCGGGGGCGCTTTTAGGTGGTGGAGATGGCTGCGCGCCTGTGATGCATGTGGTACGAGGTACAGAAGAGGAGGAGAGAACGGGTGGGAGGGCTGGTTGTGCCAAGGGGAAGGGAAGGGAAGGGAAGGGAAGTGAAGTGAAGTGAAGTAAGGTGAAGTGTGAACCAAAGAAGCGGAGGGTTGCTGGAGGCGCTGTAATGGCACTTCAGTGGCACTGGATGGCACTCGACTCGCTATGGCCCGATTGGCCGCGGTAAGAATCAGTTCGGGCTGGGGGCTGCGAGGGCTGCGAGGGCTGCGAGGGCTGCGAGAGGGCTGCTTCGATGGTTGTTCTCTGCTATCTTCTTCCACGGCCGTTATCTCTGCGCCAAATGATCGACCCTAGCATGTCCCACGCAAAATATGGACCTGCCCTTTCTGCGGAAGACGTACAGTATTAAGCATGACCATGACCCAATCTTGGTCCGGACAGTCCACGTAAATGCGCTATATTCTATAGATATATGTACCTAAATAATCATCACTTGTGTAGCATATGTATGCCTATTGCTCTGTTGTTCGGGTTTCACAGAATCATTCATGGCCTCGCTCGTGGTCAGTCGACGCAACTTCGGTGATACTCTGTCGTCTAGCTCCACATCCCCGCATTCTTCTGAATTATTTCGCTAGATAGATGTCCGAAGACGGTAAGGCGGACAGGCATTTGAAAAAGGGGAACCGCCATGATTCTAGGATCACGATCCTTCCAATCCTCACATTTCGAACAAAGACATGTGCTTCCTTGTTCGCGAATGAGCTCTCCTGGATTGTCCATGCTCACGTGCTGCACTTATGCCGTTCATATGCCGCTTCTACACCTTCCAGGCCTCAAAAAAATGTTTTGATTTCATGATATGCTCATGCATCAGGTATCCCAAACGCCTAAAATGCTACATGTATACCAAATGCCTCTTAAATCGACGATGCAAAATGCAGGACCTAACCGTCTAAACTAGCAACCGCGCCGGCGATGGCTGCCCCAAGGAGACTGCTCTCTTCGGCATACATCAACTCAATGCTACCCTTCGTGCCACCACTAGCTTCAACCAATGTATCGAGATGCTTTTGACAGGCTACTTTGAACCCGGGATAGTTTTCAAGGACAGAACCATTGTATGCCACGAGGGTATGTGATGATTCTTGAGGAAGGATGGACTCTGCTTCGTTGCGCAGCTGCCAGAGAGCATGCACACCTGCGGCGATGATTCCTGCCGCACGATGTGTGACATGGGCAGCGATGAGACGAAGTGTGTGCAGGTCGGTAGGAGTAGGAGGTATTGTTGTCGGATGACGAGACATGAAGACGGCTTGTGCTGTGGAGAGATCTGGACTTCGGTCGCTGAGAATGTCAGCTTAAAACATTGCAGATGGGCGAGGAAGACTTACGATTCTATGCGTGAAAGAGTTTCTGTGTCTAAGGAATACTTCTCCCTCAGATTCGGAGGGACGACGCCACCGAAGAGTCCCGCCGTCCGAATGCCTTCGACTAACACAAGCCGTACTATCTCTCCAAGGTATCCTCCACCAACAAAGTGCTCAAGAGGCTGAAAAGTTGGATCCGGGTGCACAGATAGTAGTAGCTCATCCCATTGTGTTGACGGTAAGATGCCTGATCCGAACATCGATAGCTCTGTGTTGACGATGACATGCTTAGCAGAATCATGCCACTCGGGAGGTCGTATCCCAAATTTTGAAGGAGAGAAAGTATGCACAGGAAGGTGCACAGCAGCATTTACACCAGTTCCGAGAATAAGTGCGAAGCGTGTTGTCGAGTCCAGGTAAGCCTTGGAAAGAAGAGTTGCTGAAGAATCATTCACAATAGCGTCCACCTGCACGTTGAGACCTCTTTTCGAACACGAATCTTGAATGAGGTCGCCAAGATCTTGCCCTAGGAGCCCATGAGCTGCAAGGAAACCCTTTCCCATGCCTTGTAGGAGCCCACTTCGAAGAGATGTTTGTCTATGATGATCAGCTGACTTTCTAAATGTAGAAGAGATGTACTGTACTTACTCTATGGGAAATGACCAGGCCAGACCCATTGACAGTGGAGCATCAGACATGTCGTGACCCTCAGCCTGCCCAGCTAGCACCTCTCCTATTCTTTCCGCCATCCAGTCGAAAAACAAAACACCTTTGAGTTGCTTGACGGTTTTATCAATTTTAAAGGTACTTCTCTTCAAAATTTTGCACTCCTCGTCGCCACTTTTCCGCCCTGAAAGTTCAATCAGACCCACTCGGAAAGTCGAGCCTCCTACATCAAGGGCAAGAAACGTCCCTTGCTCGTCGCCGGAAGGAAGTTGGTGGTTGTATGATGGAAGCATACATTGCGGATTGTCGAACATGCTCTCCAAAAATTGCTTTCTCAATCCATCTGACAAAGCCACTAGTCGTTTTCTCCCCACCAAGCCATGGAAAGCCTTATTAACCACCTCTACAAATTCTGGTGCTCCCAGTTTCCGTACCTCCTGGGTCGAGGGCTCTGCTTCGACATTTTCTCCCTTGATAATGGACGGAGATATCCAGATGTTGAGAATTGTCTGAAGGACATGTTTTGTCCTCAGAAAACTCTTGATGATGGCAGCGAGGAAGGCCTGTCGTACCTTTTGCATTGCAGCAATGAACGGCTGCATGACATCGGGCGTTGATACATATAGGAATATGGAGAGCCCGCGGCGCTACGAGGCGCGGCTAGGGTATTAGTGTGACGATGCAGATCGGCAGGTTGTAGTTTCAGTCGAAAGTAATGTGGTAGCTGCTCCTCCCCATGTTCTGTTTACATGTGTAAAATTAGAGGTAGAGACGTTGGCTGAGGAGAGTACCAACACTACCGGCGTAAAGAAAAGTCTGACGGGCAGAGGATACGTGAGACAAATGAACCCGAGACCACCTAAGGAGGGAAGGTCGACTTCGGGAACGACAGGTAGCCAGATGTGGATTCGAGTGTCCAGTCTGAGCGAGGAATGGTGGAGGTTCAAGTAACGTGCAAAAAAATAAAAAGAGAATAGGGCCGTGTCGTATTGAGAATCCCAGATTTCACGGCACAGGATTGATGAACGCAGACGAGGAAAATTATTGCGCCATCGCGGCCAGAAGCTTGATAGGACGAAGCAAAGAAGAATCACGGCAATTGCAATCTCGCCATGGGACAGAGTAACATTGGAACAGCAATTCCTTTCATGTAAAGAGATGAGGATTGAAACAAGAGCAGCAGCGAATTATGCCTTGAAGCAGGGCCAAGTCGCCTTCTGGGAAATGTGGATTCTGCCTTTTCCCAGAGTCGTCCACCAGACCGGATCGACCAGTCAGAAGGGCGAATGCAGCAAACGGATAGGGATGTATGGGGATCTCAGAGCCCTTTTTTTCGCCAGAGGATGTCTAGTCCCCTGCGTTGGCGCGGCAGTGTCCGCACTACTCGGGTTGTCGTAGGTAGATGGGAGTTTCGATGGAGCAATCAATGTGGTATGGGCGGTATGGATGTTGATGTGGGATAGGCGACGTGCGTGGGTTTGGGAGTTGAAGAGTGAGCAAACGCAACGTTACAATTCTGGAGTAGTACGGGTTGAGGTCGGTCGGTTTGACGCTCTCGCTTCGACTAGTGTAAAGATCCCTCCCCTTTGAAACTTTTGGCTCGAGCAGGAGGGATCGCTTGCTTATCTAAGTGTCCTTTGGGCATTTGGCGTTCTTGTTTTTTCTGCCACCGCCTCCACGGTCCCAGAGATTCCCCGGCCACTTCTCCGATGTTTCCCAGACGCCTCGTCCTTGCCAGAGCACACCAGAGCACTCCAACGCAACCTTCACTCTGCTGACTCCGCCAACATCATGCTACCTTCTGGGTCCAGCCCGATCGTGACTGAGCTATTCGCCCCTCCTTCCCACCCAACGGCGATCTCTCAGTCTTCGCCGCGGCTTGCCGTTGTCAGGTGAAGTTCGAGACGCCCTAGTTTCCGTTGCGGCGTAAGGAAAATGGGGGATATTCACGGTGACGTTCCATAGCTGCAATGGGGACGAGCTACCCAATGAAGCATCCCACACGTGCTGGTGGATGCTCTTATTTGATGATAATCAAGATTTGAAGCTCTGCTGAGATTGAGATCATTTCATATTGTATCAATCTCTCTTTCTACTACTCAACAGTTCTCTATACATCTCTGCCTGCAAAGGACGTCACTATTCTTCTTGCTCACTTCTAGAATCACTATCAATACCTAAGCTACTCCGACATCATGAGGCTCATTATCAGAGACGACCCTTCGGCAGCATCATCCTACATTGCCAATTATATCATCAGTTAGTCTTTCCACGCGAGCCGTCTTTCCACTGCTAACATACCTTCCCAAGACAGAATCAAGACTTTCAAGCCAACACCTACACATCCATTTATTCTCGGTCTGCCGACAGGATCCAGTCCAGTAGGAATCTACAAGATCCTAGTTGAGAAGTACAAGGCTGGCGAGATCTCGTTCGAAAATGTCGTTACGTTCAACATGGTATGTTGCCTTGCAGAGCACCATCTACCTTCCGAATACGAACATTAGAGCGTGCCACTGATCATTCCGTATGACTGCAGGACGAGTACATCGGTATCCCCCGCGAACACCCCGAGTCCTACCACACTTTCATGTACAAGCACTTCTTTTCACATGTAAACGTTCACCCAAAGAACATTCACATCTTGAACGGCAATGCGCCAGACTTGGAGGCAGAGTGTGTGGCATACGAAGCTGCCATCAAGTCATTTGGTGGCATTGACCTCTTCCTGGGTGGTATTGGACCTGATGGACACATTGCTTTCAACGAGCCTGGATCCTCTCTCGCCTCGAGAACACGAGTCAAGACGTTGGCGTATGATACTATCATCGCCAATTCAAGGTTCTTCGACAATGACTTGGATAAGGTGCCAAAGATGGCTTTGACAGTGGGTGTGCAGACGGTGTTGGAAGCTCGAGAGGTAGTGATCATCATTACCGGAGCACACAAGGCATTGGCCTTGCAAAAGTGCATCGAAGGTGGTGTGAATCATATGTGGACTCTTTCGGCTCTACAACTCCACCCTCACCCTATGATTGTGGTTGATGAGGATGCTACTTTGGAGCTTCAAGTCAAGACTGTCAAGGTTTGTACAATTCTTCCGACTTGGCAAGGACAATGACTAACATAAAAAACAGTATTTCAAGTCAATTGAAACAGTCGCCTCATCCCAAGGATTTGAACAAATCCTCCCCTCTGCCATCCGAACTGGTCCGAGGGAAGGAAACAAGCAAATTCAGCCTTTGCCAGAAGTTCACGAATCACCAACCATTCTTGCACCGAAACCACTTACCAGCACACTACTTTCCGCACCCGCAACGGAATTTCCTCTTAGGAGTGTGAGCCCCGATCTTATGCCTGAGAGCATGTCCGCCAGAATTGCTGCTTACTAGACTGTCCCTTGGATATGAAAATTTTGGAATTTGATGCATGGACGGTAAGCGCTGGGTTTTTGGTTTGGTGGTTGAAAATGAAAATTGATATCTGCCTGGTACGCTCGCTGTAGACTAGCAATTGAGTAGATTGTATGACCACTTAGAAAATCATTACGTGCCTGGACAACGCCCCGTGTAAGTCTCACAGCTATCATGAATAAAAGTATCAAATACTCCGTACCAGGGACTTTAGGTACTCACATACCTTGATGATAGCTTTAGGCGTCTTGATCTACTGATCAATCTTGAGCTGTAATGAACTAGCAACAAAACCCTCAATTCACCCCAAAAAAAATGCAATTCACAAAATATTAAAAAGTATTCACCATTCCCGAGAAACCAAACAGAAGCAAAAACTCAACCCACCCGCAAGAGCAGGTGGGTATCCAACACCACAGCCAGTGTGGGGTTTAAAGGGGGAAATCGCGAGTCATTCGTATTTCAAGCACTCACGAGGGTATAGAGAGGCACGATCGCTGTCGCAAGCATCTAAACCCTGGAGGGCCGCTGACTCTTGAGTTATTCGTATTTCAAGCATATACGAGAATGTAGAGAGGCACGGGAAACCGCAAGCATCTACACCCTGGAGGCTGCTAACTCAGAGGACGATGGCAAAGTTCTGCTTATTTGATTTTATAGGGTGGTGAAGAGGGGCGAGGCTGTGATTGGTAGGGAGGTTTAGCGTGGTGTGGTTTTTGGCGAGGGAGAGGGAGGTGAATGAGTTGAGTTCTCTTGAGCTAGACGAATAATCGAAAATACCTTGATCGAATTCATTTTCAGGGAAGAAGTGCTGCAAGGTTGACTCCGATTTACTCTTATCCACATGTCCAAAATTTCCATAGCGAGTGCGTAAGTACCCAGATAGGTATGTGAAATCTTCAGGTTCGAATTAGCTGATCAATTGCCCAGCTCGATAGACCCGGATCTTCTGAAAGGTGCTCCTGCACATTGGAGATGACTTATAGTACGATCTATAGTCTTCAAGTGTACGGCCCCACGGACCACTATATTCAACAATTTGTGGGGTTGATATGTCTTCAAGTGCAGCATCGACTTTGCTTATCAACGCAACAGAAACTGCACTTGGTTTTTGCTGAAAAGCCAGGCCACAGCAAGTGCTTGTTATCGTTAGCTGTAGAATCAGTACTGGTTAATCTCAATCTACTGACCAATCAAAGTTTCTGGGCAGCAGAGGGTTAGTTGCTCCGCAGTCGTCGAGGCATCTTGGACAAAGTACCCGATTCGGTGTGGCATGGACTCGCTCTTGAAGCTTCGAGCTGTAACACACCATATTCATTTCAATTCTTTGGCCGGGACGAAAACAAGTCTCCCAATCTCCAGTCACGTCAATGTCAGCTTTCGTAATGGCGTCTTGAAATACAAATTCTCCTTTGTCTATTTTGTGGGCCCCATTTCCGTGCTTTTGGAAGTTCACGCGGAGGACGGACTTCAAGGCCTATGAGCGTCAGCAGATCAACTCCTCCTTGATCCAGTACAGTACATGCCTCGGCCGAGCGAATGAACTCCAAATGAAAAGGGCTAGCTCTGCCAAGTGCATCGACCATATAGACTGGCTGTTGACGTTCAATTTGTCCCGGAATGTTTGTGATCAGATGTTGGATTTGAAGTACGGCCTGGAATATCTTGACATTGGTTTTTCTAGTATTGACATCAACAAGGAACCTATAGCTCCGAATAACTATCACTTACAGTATTTCAGTAGTCGCTACCAGCAATTGCTTTCCCTGTTCATTGACTTCCACCAGCCGCTGCATGCAAGCGAAGAAGCCATCCTGCACAACACCAACAAGACTCTTATGCCTCTCTATCTGGCGTTTATCTTGCAAATCCGATCTCTTCCTATCAACACATCAGACCGCCGCTTACTCAATCTTCAGAAATACCCACATCTGAACCGCACCCGCCAACACCAAAATACTCTCCGTATGCCCCACCAAATCAGCCCTAAACCTCACAACATCCTCCCTCCTACACACCGCCCACCTCATCCTCATCCACCGCTCCCTAACCCCCGACCCATCTCCACCTAACGCCGGCTGATACTTCTTCACCTTCTCCCAGAAAGCATCGATCGTCCCCCGACATCGTACAGCAGCCTGGCGCAGCGCCGTGACTTCCGCATACTGACACTCTTCAAACTCCAGATTCTTGACTTGGATTAGTGCCATCTCTAAGCTTAGGAGCTGTGAGACGAGTTCTCGGTATTCGGTGCTAGCACTGCCGCTGCTGCGGAGGGCGTCGATGACGGTACCTACGAGCTCGATGGCGGCGATGAAGTCGCCAATAGAGAAACCGAAAGGGGCCGCCATTTTCTTGTGATGAGGCTGGATTCGAAGACTACGAAATGAGAATGGATAGGAAGAGAATGAAAGTCGATATGGTGAGGCTGAGGGTGAGTCTTCAGCCAAATGAGGTGGTGGCTTGCAGCAACACGTGATGACCGACTTGGCCAATTGAGAGACGTTGGGAGAAGAGCGAAGTAGAAAATGATAAGAGCATGAATAGCAACAAAATAGATATGAGATAAGAAACATAATGGCCTCTCTGCTTGCGCAATCCAATTTTCAATTTCTACCAAAACGCCCAGTCATGCAATCCATACACATCTAAATCATCCTCTCGAATCTAGTCCTCTCTATCCCACACCTTCGTCCCAAACTTCCACACCTGATCGATCCTCAAATTCTTCCTCCCCTCCCCATCAACTTCCTCCTCAATAATCACCAAATCCGCATCAGCATCCGCCTCCAAACACCCCTTCACCCCACTCAACCCCAACGTCGCCGCCGGCGTAGCCGTAACCGCCTTCAGCGCCAACGGCAAGCTGGCTCCGCTCCAGTTCAAGAAATTCGTCACGCACTCAATCAATGTGATCGAGCTGCCCGCAATCTTATCCGTGCCCTCGAGCACCAACCTCGGTCCGTTCTTCACGATGCTCTCCCCGTTCGTCCATTCGTAGACGCCGTCTGGGAGACCGACCAAGTGCATCGCGTCCGTGACGAGGATGAATCCATCTGGGTGTGCGTTGAAGGCGATTTTGATGGAGGTGGGGTGAAGGTGGATTCCATCTGAGATGATTCCGAAGTACGGACGAGGAAGAGATTCAGCTATTCCGAGGACTCCGAAGACGCCTGGATTGCGGTGGTGCAGAGGACGCATGGCGTTGAAGAGGTGGGTTATCATTGTTGCTCCCGCAGCGACGGCTCGAGAGGCGTCTTCGTATGTGGCTTCTGTGTGGCCGATGCTGTAGATTATTCCTCGAGAAGTGATCTCGGGGATAGTTTGCATCATGGCGGCTATTTCGGGAGCGGCGGTGATTTTCTTGATGGTGGGTGGTTTGATGATGCTGCCATCTGGAGAAAGTGTTGGGTTCAAGTATTGAGATCCGTACATGGCTTCGAGATCCGAGAAGCCATTGATTGCTGGAGTGATGTTTTCTATTTTGTGGATGCCGTTTTTGGTGGGTGAGAGGAAGGGCCCTTCACAGTGAGCTCCTAGTGATTCGGCGCCATCCGATGCTATGCGATGGAATCCTGAAGGACCAAGATGTGGAAGTGCCTATCTCGCGTTCAGTTACCTGGAAATCAGACAGTGATGAACAAATCATACATTTTTGTAGACATATGGAGTCTCGGAAGTGAGTGTTGGTAGATATGAAGTGACTCCGGTCTGGACCAGTGACTTGTTGACTTGTCTCAAAACTTTGCTATACGTCGATGGATCATCCGGTATTTGCGAGAAGTTAAATCCAAACGCCCCATTGAGTTGAACATCGATAAGTCCAGGTGATATGATTCTTCCTCCTAGGTTTATCGTGATATCCGGAACAACTTGTTCTGAGTAGAAAACTTCTTGGCTCCTCACAATCTTGCCGGTCTCTGAGCTCACCCACAAATCTTGCTCTACCAAATCATTTCCCTTGATCAATCTACAGTTGGTGAACTTTGTTATCTTCTCCTTGCCGGTTGGAATGGCGATTGGCATGATGAAAGAAATCTAAGAGAGTTCTTGAAAACAGGGAATATAGAAAATTGGTGGTTATCAACCACTGTACCTTTGAAGACTACATCATGAATGATATGACACGCCGCAAAGCTCGAAACTTGGCTTAAGATATCTTGAATCGTTCACGACCACTGAAAAGATAGCATGACTCCATAAGGCGCCAGGCGCCTTCAAGAGTGGAGGCTACAGTACAGGATACCGAGATGGTGATGTGAAGCGTAATCTGGCAAGACTTGTGGTACGGAGATCGAGATGTAACGTCTCATTGATCGGGCAAAGGCCGGATCTCCCGGCCGCAGATATTGATAGGGAACGTGATGAACAAATAGGGAATCTGAAGGCGAACACGCAATCAAGTCGGGAAGGATGATTCCTGCAAGAAGAGAAGGTGCTTTTTATCCCTATTTTTGCCTCTTCACTTTGATCTGATCTGGACTTGGATGAGATGCAGATGCCGGACGACGTGAAATTTGAGTTGACCAGGGCTGGGCGTTAAAATCCCGAAGAAGGCCCTTTGTACGGCACACGTGATCGCTCCTGTTCTGGCCAATGTCCCCGCAAACCACCTAACCCCAATTTGTAGTCAGAGAATCCACTTCAATATCTACCGTTACACGGGTCCATCGATTTTCCCGTGAGCCTCATGATTACACATTCTCAGACGTTGCACTGTGCTTGAGCATGCCCACTATCCAGTGCCCACTCAAATCTCAGACATGCTCTGATCTGCTCAGGTACTCGTAAACGGGAGCGACGTTGTGCCGGAGCCGTGCTTATACAGACCCCCGCCATCAAGTCCCTTGATCTTTGCCCGTCACGGCTTCCGACACGGTACAGGTGAAGATGGAGGGTGCTGAAGGAGATGAGTTGGACCCGCTATGGCAGGATTTGGATTGGTGGGTGAAGAGCTTCGACTCTCGTGATGAATGAGTGCTGACTTGACAGGGCGATGGGTCAGCTCTTCTTCATGGGTGATACTTTCTCTTGTCCTGATTTCATCTCCTTTCCACTCGGCAAACATCCGAACACTGTTCAGATTGTGACTTTAAAGTTGTATTATATAGCTTATACTAACGCCGAGTTTCAACAGGATGGGAAGGAACAGAAGTCACACCACAGATCCGGACATTGATAGAGGACCATCATCTAGGGGCCATCTTATTGACCACTAAGAATCTCAAAAGTATTGCTAGCCTCTCTTACGTGTACTTATTTTGTTATCGGTTGCTTTCAGTTAGTGTTGATCTACTTGTTCTATACATCTGTTCCTCTCGATGCTGAAGTTTATGCCTTGTCACAAATATTTGTAATTGTATCATATGTCGCCTTCTTTCAATGAGTACTTTTTCTTGGACGTCTATACTAAGTCTTTCATCATGTAGCCGCCCAGGAAACAGCGAAGCTGGTTCAAGATCTCCAGACCATCGCCCATCAAGCTGGTCATCCTGTACCATTACTCATCGCTTTGGACCAGGAAAATGGCGGTGTCAACAGTCTCTTCGATGAGGACTACATCTGCCAGTTTCCCAGTGCTATGGGAGTTGCAGCAACAGGTTCTCCTGAGCTTGCATATGAGGTCGCAAATGCCACTGCCAAGGAGGTCTCAGCCGTTGGTGTTAACATGATCATGGGGCCAGTATTGGACGTTTTGACAAATGCAAGATATCAACCTTTGGGTGTAAGAGCTACTGGAGATGATCCTCAGGAAGTATCTCAGTACGGTATCGCTGCCATGAATGGCTACAAAGATGCTGGCATTACGACTTGCGGAAAGCACTTCCCCTCTTACGGCAACCTGGATTTTCTCGGCTCATCTCTGGACATGCCTATCATTACAGAGACAATCGAGCAACTCAGTCTCAGCGCACTCGTACCATTTAGAAACGCCATTCGGGACGGGCTTGATGCTATGATGGTTGGTGGATGTGCGATGGCCAATGCCAGTAAGTGAAATATTCCAGAAAGCTAAACTCGTAGACTGACTCATATAGGTATGAATGTGATGCACGCCTGCCTTAGCGATCAAGTTGTGGATGATCTGCTTAGACATGAGCTCGGTTTCAATGGTGTCACTATATCAGAGTGTCTTGAAATGGATGCTCTTAGCCACGACATCGGCGTTCGAGGTGGCACCGTCATGGCAGTAGAAGCCGGCTGCGACCTTGTCCTGCTATGCCGATCCTTCGCAGTACAGCAAGAAGCCATGGCTGGACTGAAGCTTGGTATTGAAAACGATATGATTTCTCGAGAGCGAATCATGGTTTCACTGAGGCGAGTTCTTACCTTGAAGTCAAAATGCACAAATTGGCATAAAGCTTTGAATCCGCCTGGGATCAACCAGCTGGCGACTCTTCATCCAAGCCATTTAGCACTTTCAACCAAAGCATACGATAATTCAATTACAGTGATGAGAGACAAAGGACATCTCTTACCACTTTCCAACACGCTGTATCCCGATGAAGAGTTACTCCTCCTTACTCCGTTAGTGAAGCCACTTCCTGCTTCTGCTGCTACGAAACAAATGACCGAAAACGCCAAAAAAGAAGTTCCTAACGAGCACGATAAATGGATACATAGATCCTCGATTATGAGTGGCGAAGGAGTATTCAGAGAACTTGGCCGCTCACTAGCGAGACAACGGCATGGAAAGCTCTTGCATACGTCCTACACGGCGAATGGAGTAAGACCTGTTCACGAGAACTTGATCAACAGGGCAGCAGCAATAATCATCATTACAGCAGATGCCAATAGGAATCTGTACCAGAACGGTTTCACAAAGCACGTCTCAATGATGTGTTCTATGCTCAGCGCAAGCGGGAAGAAAAAATCGCTGATCGTGGTTTCAGTTAGCTCTCCTTACGATTTTGCTATGGATAAGTCGATTGGGACATATGTCTGCACTTTTGATTTCACAGAAACTGCTATGAGTGCATTGGTCAGAGCTCTTTTTGGCGAGTACGTACCACAAGGTACACTACCTGGTACATTGAGAAAAAGCAGGAAAGTGCAAAAGTCGCGCCAGCACTGGCTTGTCGAAAGTTGGAATCATGATAGGGATCATAGAGGGTTGCTAGCCCTCATCAAAGCCATTGAGAAGACTTCCCAGCCTGGGAAGCCTTCAGGTCTCTCCGGAGCAACAGCAGCAGCTTTTGAACTAGTAAGTTATCCTTCCTACTCTGTTTCCACTTCCTAACCTTCCCTACCTAGTCTGCTGCCACCGAATCCGGTGATCCCATCGAAGAAATGCACTACGTAGTCCGCAACTCCAGCACACAAGCCCTCTTCGGCTTCTGCTCCACCTACTACTACCCATCCTCGCACCTAGGAGTAATATCAACCATCTTCGTCGACCCCTCCAAACGCAACCTCTCCATCGGACACTCCCTCCACCAGCGCGCCGTCCGCGGCCTCATCTGCCGCCCCGGCATCAAAACCCTCCAACTCGGCGCCTCCCTCCCGACCATCTTCCCAGGAATCCCCATGTCCGACCTGACCGAAGGCGCGCGCCTCAAACGCTGGTTCGCCGCCAACGGCTGGGACATCTCGTCTCCGCGCCTCCTGTACACGCTCACCATCCGGAACCTCGCGCACTGGCAGGTACCAGAGGGACTCCTGCAGACCATCCAACGCGTCTCCTTCGCCTTCGACCTCATCCACGGCCGCGAGAACGCCGCCACGGCATTAGAGCACGTGAGCGCGCACGCTGGCCCCGAGGTCCTGGCTCTATACAACCTCGCTCTCTCAGACGAGAAATCCTGCGGCGTCGTCCGCGCCAAATCTCCCGTGGACGGCTCCCTCGTCGGCACGGTCATCATCACGCGTCCGTACTCCTCGCTCTCGACATACATCCCCATCCTGCAGTCCTCTGAAAGCAACGGTTCGGACGGCGGCGGGATAGGTGGGATCCTCGCGCCTGTGGTGCCGAATAGTCCGCAGGCGGCGATTGTGCTGCAGGGACTGGCGCTGTTGGGGATCAAGCAGAATAAGGCGCATCGGAGCCATACGTGTGTGTTGAATTGTGTGAGTGGGGAGGAGAGGGATGTGTTGTTGGGGATGAATTTTGATGTTTTGGATGCGTTTGAGGAGTTGAGTTGTAAGGCTGAGAGGGTGAGTTCGAATTCTTCTGTGAGCGATGAGAGGGGCTGAGCTAATGAGAATGAATGATAGTTTAGTGATATGAACCTAGGATGAGAGATGTACTGGGATCGGGTTTAGGAGCAGTATTGGGGCTATCGTTGATTTTATGTTAAACTTGCTGTTCTTGTTTACGTGAGAAGTGGTATAGTCTTGTCTTACAGAAAGTCATGAGCTTTTTATCAAAGTCTAAGTTACCTCAAATGCGAGAAAAACTCAAGTTCCGACTGGTCCACATCTCATCGTCATTTCCCAACGAGAATCTCAATCTTGAATGTCCCCCATATTCCGAGTCTTTGAGTGGACGCACTCGCAAGCCACCAGTGACGTACATTTATTCCCTCTTCAGCAAGCATCCAGAGAATCATCCATATCCTCACCACTCTTGCTACTTCCTATTCTGCTTCCCACACATGCTGCTCTTCTTACTTTGAGGGAGCCGACGGACCTCGATTTCTCTTTCGCTGAATCAGGAATGATTACGGAGCTGCGTCCAGGACTTGCTCGCATACCTTCAATATTGATGGTAACGGCTATGACCCCTGACAGCAATCACCTCGCTCAAAGCTACTTTAATTGAATCTACCCAGACCTCACAGCGAGCAACGGTTCCTCAAATGACTTCACAACCTAAGATAATGCAAAGTTTAGAAAAAATGCCGAATGAATACACTAGTAATGTCCCAGCTTCTTTCAAAATATAGCAATAATTAAAGTACTAACACTATGATGAACATTAGACCTTAAAAGGACATAATAACAGCAACGGTCTAACAAGTAATCGCCAAACCGCCCTCAACCAATACAAAGCACGAAGTCACAACATACAAGTACGACAATTGCACAATGCCATTTCAACCTAATGGACTCAATATACAAATTCCATCTCTATCCTACTTCTATCAACTAACCAGACCGTGGTATCATTCATATCCATATCCCATGCAATGCCCATGCCATGCTACGCCAACCCAAGCAAAAACGCCATCTCATGCAACCCATCCAATCATCAATCATAATTCCCCACTATGAGACTCCGTCCTCTCGAAGCTCTTCAAGTCCTCGTCCTCTAAGGTGCCGACAAACGCACGCTTGATGAATCGTAGCCAGACTTTGTTCTTCTCGTGTTGTTTGTGGTGCTTCTTCTTCTTGTGCTTCTTGCCCGCATCTGAGACATCATCTTCATGATCCGAATCATCCTCGTTCTCTTCCGAGCTGGCCTCGTCTATCTCGTCTCCTTTCTCGGGTTTGTATTGCCCGATTCGGTGTGCGAGCTTGATGTAACTTCGAACAGTCAAGTCCTTCATCTTGTAGACTTTGTCTGTGAAGGTGCTGTATTCGACCTCGAATTTGAACGTCTTTGGCTTAGGTACTTTGTCCTTCGGGTGCTTGCCCTTGTGTTTTCCCTCATGCCACTTATCTGATCCAACTTCCTCTGACTGGTCGTCTCCGGGTGTGATGGGCAGGTCATTATTGATGTGTGAAAGGTTGGCAAAGTATTGGGTGTAGCCGAGCAAGGTCAATGATTGTGGCGAATATGCTGGTCCTGGAGGCGAATTTTTCGAAGGTGCTGATGGAACGGTGAGATCTGGGTTCGAGGGCTTCTTCTTCTTCTTTTTGTCCTTCTTCCCTTTCTTGCCTTTCTTCTTTTTCTTGTCAATGGACACTTCATCGTCAAAAGAATCGTCATCAAAGGAGATGGAGTCTTGCTTCTCGGTGCTCAAATGTTGCTCTTCATCCAACCAATCCACTTTCAATGCAGAATCTGTCTTTTGAACACTGGCCCATGTAGATTTGACATCCAAGCCTGTGATATTGTACTCAACCACACGTAAAGTGGGAAAATAATTGGGTACAACACTCGGGCTTACCATCGTAACCTGGTATCGTTCACCCCATGGCCCACCCATTTTCTTCAAGGCCTTGTCCTTCTTGGTTTTCTTGCCTTTCTTCTTTTTCTTGGCAATCTCTGCGGAGTGATCATCTTCTGATTCCTCAAAAGACTCCATAGCAACCGAAGGATTTGGTAGGTCAGACCACACCTCCCGAAGTTCTTCGAGATAATCGTTCGCAGACATAATCGAAAGCTCGTCTCCTAGAAAAGCACGAACCATCTGCTTTTCAGACACCTCGTCTTCTTGAGATAGTATATCAATCTTCTTGGTATCCTGGATCATAAAGTGATCGATGTTCATGTGGCCAAATAGACCTCCCACAACCACATCTCGGTATTGCTTCAGCCATAGTGTGTATTTCTGCCAGCACGTTTCGTCCCATAGTTGTTTGCTATCGGTTCTCGCAGGAGGAACATGTCCCATGAGGATTGCTTTCATCCCGCGTTCGCGCATGAATTGTAATTGGATTCGAAGCCATTCAAAATGTTCGTAACCGGGCTCAGATTTTTGGGCACAGCCATCGACACCGGCATTATGGTCAAAGAAGTAGAGGGTGTTGAGACTGAAGACTGCCAATTTGTTGGGTATTACTTCCACGTAATACCAACCTCCCCGCTCAAACCCGTGCCTCTGCTCCTCCGGTATGAACTGGCTCCATATATCGGTATATGACTTCAACCACTTATTCGGCCCTGACAGAAGGATATTGTGCGGCAGGATATCGTTATTGCCAAAGGTCGAGACAATTGGAATTGACTGCGGCTTGCCCGGTTCGTTGTCCTCACCAAACGTCTCTATGAACTTTTCCGCAACCCATCGATTTGTACTTAGTACCTCGTCTTGGTTTCGAGGAATATTTTCGTCGCTATCGTGTCGTGCCGAATCGCCCGTCCAGACCACAAAATCGACCTGATCCCGCAGATTCTCCTTGATCCATTTGAACGTTGCATTCACCAGGGTGTAGGGTGAATCGCAATCTGAGGTCTCGGCACCGTAGGTACCAGCCAGACCCTTCCCACGATGACACGCATCGTCCTCCTCGGTCGACGAATGGATCTTATAGAAGGGATCTGGATGCAAATCTGAGATCTGATCAGTATCGCGTTACCCAGTATTGAAAAGATAAGGACGGGACTAACGCACCTGTGATGTGCAGGAATTTCCCATGGAGCTGTCGTGTCGAGGAAGTGGTGTGTCCGACTGTGAGGTCCTCCAATGGGGCCTGCAGAACGGACTGCTGCAGACCGGTAGGGGTTCCATAAGAATTTTTGAGCAGACATGCTGCCAGAAAGAATGCGTTTGTCGTCCGCATCTTTTCGTAAAATTAAATAACAATCTGAAGAAGAGTAATACTTAGGAGGTGGAAAAGAACATTCTTAGAATTTGATGTCGCCGGCAGGCACCGAAGATCTGTCTGCCAGGTACAGAGGTACGCTGACGTTCGTGGCTTCCTGTTACTGGGGGCTGTTGGCACGGAAGTCAAAGCTTGATTTTCGGATCTGGTTCCGGATGTCAAACCGAAATTCAAATGCAAATTCTCATGAAGAGAAGGGGAGAAAGTGAAAAGGAGTCGTGAGATCATCTTGGGGTCGAGTTGTGTCTAATAGTCATTCTGTTGACCGTACTCCAGTTCTCAAGGTGTCTCAGCCAGCTACGGGATCCGCCTCCACGAGGGCCTCTTGGTGATCCAATCAATGACTGCTCTTCCTACACGTGTAGGGAATGGAGTCAGATGGAGGGCTGAGATGAAGGTTTTCTTATTCTCAGTAAGTTGTGCATTTTCTTCCGGGTTGCGTATGATCTCACGCGACCCTTTTACTGGTGAGTCTTGTCTGCTGTCGGCCGTGAGAGATGCGGATTCTTGATTTGTCGCCTGGGAGTTATTTCAACATCCGAGTCAGCAACTTCAATAATAGTATCGTGAGGTATGACCCCCACGAAAGACGTCATAAAACTGTTGAGTCGGGATACATTGGATTTGTATAATGTTCGGTGATTATTGACATGAAGTGACGAAGAGATTGTTGAGTTATGTGTATTTGTTCCGTTGTACTCGATTTCGTAACCTTGATGTGCAGGGTTTGAGCCATACACATGTATACATCAGCTGGACTCCTGTCTCAACACGGATAAATCTACATGCAGTAGGTAGAATATAGATTAAATGAATACCTGAGCATCATGAGGTAAAGACATATGAGCAATATTCCAAGTAAAAGAATCAATCCCTCCTAGCGCAACCCCATCTCGAAAAAGCCCCCAAGCGTGCATCTCCCGCCAAAACCCGGGGCAAGGGCGAGGCGGCGAAGCCGCCAGCCGTTGCCCCACAACACAAATCGATTTTTCAAATGACTTTTATAAGATAAAATAAGAAGATTCTGTTCAACAAATAAGGCGCTTTGGCGGAGTGGTTATCGCGCTAGCCTAGAAAGCTAGTTCCTTCGGGAGCGCAGGTTCGAGTCCTGCAGGCGTCGCTTTGAGTTCGTTTTTTGACTTTTCAATCCTTTTTGGCCCTTGCGTACCGTCAGCTTATGCTCATTACTTATCTGAAATGTTTTTTTTTCTCTACTGTACTCGAAGTTCGGGAACGGAGGCGAGTCAAGGAGCTCGCTTCGCGAGCCCCTTAACTCCCGATCCCAACTATTAAATATTCTAATTACTCTAGGACTTTCACTTACTTTAGAATTTTTACTTACTCTGGGACTTTCACTTTATATTCTTCAACCCAAAAAGAAATGAAAAGCCAAAAAACGAATCCAAAGCGACGCCTGCAGGACTCGAACCTGCGCTCCCGAAGGAACTAGCTTTCTAGGCTACATGGAGCGCTCAAGATGCCTTCGGCATCTCGAGCGCTCCATGGATGTTGTTCTCGTTCGATCGGCTGCTTTTATTGTGCTGCATTTCAGCTCTATAATTCCTGGTCTTAAGTCTACTGTGGTGTCGGTGCTTAAGATGCTTCGTCCCTATGGCTTCGAGAATTTATGAGCGTACCTATGTGCCCCCTCCTCCCCCCTTTTTAGCCGAGGATCTCGGTGCGAATTCCTCTCCTCAAAGTACACAGGTAATTGTCGAATGCAAATTTGGGTTCTTCAAAGCCAGGATTCATGATGATTATTTTTCTTCGCCTGCGTAATGCTGGAATGGATTCCTTCTCCAGAATCCCAATCGTAGAAATATCCCTGCCTTCGCATTCCCGGATGCAATCAATGCTCACTTTTTGAACCTATGCCTCTGAGATTGTATTGATTTATCCGGCTAATCTGCTACTATTGGCCCTTGGATTTCATGGGCAAGTTTCTTTGAAAAGTGCTGACATCGAAACAGCCTCAACTTCATTTCCAAACATCCTATAATTTTCTCTCGACCATAATTGGACATCTTCCAACCTATGCCAGAGTATACACAGTAATGATATTGTATCTGCTTCTTCAACTGCGCATCCTGATAGCGCCTAACTTGTATAATGATTGGCTGCTTGCCGTGAGAGTCAGCCACGTAGCGATACAGTCTTCAGCCTGGTATCTCATATTATGCAAACAGCGATTATGTTCTTCATGATATGAGCACCTTATCAGCAAATTTTCAGTGTTCCCAGCGCGATCCAAACAATGGCACTATTTCGATTGCAGGGATTGCTTCCACTTCGACAAAGCGGCCTAAAATCGTGCTGTTATGGCTCCTTTCATGCTGTCGATAGTTTGCAATTTTCCAATCTAACAAAGTTAGCGAAAGATGTGTTAGAATAGAGACAAGTCATACTAGAGAATTAAGAGCTTGCATAGCCAAATCGAACGGTGCGGATGATTGACGCAAAAGATCGGTATCGCCCTCCATTCAGACTTGAGACGGAGAACCTCGAGAGGTGTACCCTAAACATCCTGAAATTTGTGTTAAAAAGACAAAGGATGATTCTCGACTAAGTTGGGTCCTCTTGGTACACGCCGCGAGTCGGACATTCCAAGGTGTCATGTACATGTATGGCTCCATAATCCAGATCAATCAAGGAGGCTCCGTTGATAGGTACCTAGGTCTTCAGCACAGGAGAAAATAAGTCTCGGTGTGCCAAATTCGATGATGTTTGAGTCAAGCTCATGCATCATAATCGACTCAGACACAGGCATCGCGAAAGGAAGGCCAACATCCCTAAGGCTTCTGACAATGGTTCTAGTTGGACCACCTTCGGCACGAAGCGTCAAGCTGAGGCCTTCGTGAGGCTTTCGATGACTATTAGTATTCGTCAGCAGTAAGATAAGGAGATTAATTAGATCTTCCTTTGGATGGCCATGGAGAAGGTGGTAATCAAAAGTCTCCTGACTCATAGCGTCCTGCATTCTTCGTGATTTAGCGAACGAGATCCAATAGTTGACATCTGACTTTAGTCGCGGGGTGAGAGGCCCATGTGTAAAGGTATTCGAATTCTTAAGCGTGGACAGATCGAACACCTCGGACAGGACTGCAAAAACAGCATCTTGTGGAGTAAGGTGCGTTTCCAGTGTCAGAGCAAGCGATGCTAGCAGCCACAAATATCCGCTGGAACAAGGAGTCTCGTCGACTACGAATCCTTCCAAGTGGGGTTTAGAGACCGAGTTGCACTCTGGATGAAATTTCCACCTGTCCTCCATGGCATTGGCATCAATGACATTGGAATGTTCCGTAACACCCGAGTAGAAATAGCTGAAGTAGACATCGTGGGCGGAGTAGGAATTACTCTGTGGATTTGGAGAAGTTTCTTCTAAGGCGCTGAGTTCCGTCAGATCTCGTTGAGAAAAGTCATGCGTCGATGAAGAAGACGCCATTCTATGAGCGTAGCGAGTGATAGTCCATAACTCGCTTGACTCAATATTCTCGAGCAGCTCTTTTGTACGGTCCTGCAAGGCAATCAAAATCCTCTGTAACATTCATATTAGCACCATTTTCCTATTGAAAACTACGAGGAGATTACCTACTTTAAGACTCCTGTACATGGTCTCCAGAGCAATGATGGCTGCTGTCAATACTTTGCTCCGATCGGATAGTTGCTTCTTCGACTTCTTGTTTTTCGTAGCTTGGAACGCCACCACTACTTCTCGCAGCTCCTCGTTGCGTAATGCCAATTGATCTGTTAGTTCTTGCAAGGCTTGTCTTAGCTCCGCAATCTGGCTTTGAGTTTGCCTGTGCTCGGCCTGGTTGACCTCGGATGACGTATTGACGACATTGACTATTTCGACCTCGATCGACTCTATCTTCTGGGCTGTAGCACTAATAGACTCTTGATTCCTTGTCTCCACCCGTTCTACCTCAATCCGTATTTCTTGCCTTGTCTGGTTGTGCTCATTGTGGTTTGCTGCTTTCGAATCCGCAACTATCTGGCGGAATTCAGTGCGGGTCATATCATGACTGCTTTCGATATCTCCCTTAATTTCCTCAGAAATAGTCCGGATGGTATTAGTTTGATCTTGTAAGGTAGTCGCGAAGATATCACGATTCTGGATGATAGCGTCAATAACCCGCCTCTGGGCTTCGGTAGTGCCTGCGAACTGTGACTCGATGTCGCTTCCTAAGCTTTCGAGCTGTTGTCTAGATGTAATTTATTAGCGCAACCAGGGGTGTGACTTTGATCACTTACTTGGCACGTAGGGTGATGTGCAAATTCAGCTCTGAGCGGAAGGAACATAGTCTATGCTCTAAATCCAGTATCTTATCCTTGCTCCAGACGCTTCTTATCGCTTTTCGTAGTGTCTTCCATTTAGTCTTGTTGCCCTGCATCCTCACCTCGGCCAAAACCTCAGAAAGGTCCGAACTTGCACTTGCGATTGCGCTACAAAGGTTCTGCAATTCGGCGTCATTCAAGCGAACAGCTCGGTCTTCGACCTGAACACGAAGAGTGGTGAGATGATTAGCGGCAAGCTCGATTGCAGCGTTCTCGTCGAGGATACCGTCACCCGAACGATACAGCTCGACGCCCTTCGATATGCATTTACCGCTGAAATCAATGAGCTGAACAACAGCAGAAACGCTACCGATGACGGCCAGCGCTTCGGCCATTGTTCTTATGGGAGTCAGCCACTATTTCGACACGGATCTCTTGGTAGGGCTGAGAATAAGCCAGCCGGATGCCGGCCCTGTGTAAGAAACAACGTTAAGAAACAATGTTGAGAAGGATAAGGATAGACTTTTTATCAGTTGGGCACAAATTGGAGTAAGGAATGACGATATTCTTGATGTGAGAATTTTTCTACTTAAATGCGGCTGTGCAGAACAGAATGCCTTGCATGTATGCCAAGGCTTTGCCCAATTCAGCGTTGTTGCTCTCGAATGGAAGGAACACTCTCCATCGGTGAAATTCGTGGCCGATTTTGCGACAAGGCTCAAATTTACAAAATGTAAAGTATTGCGCATAATAAATTAAGTTTATACTTAATATTTATAATAAGAACGTAGAATTACTTTTTGATAAATTAGACTTAAAGTCTAATCAGAAACAAACTTTGTAGTAGTGTGTAATGTTGGAGTTAGTATAGGACATTTTGGTGTTCTCGAGTGCCAAACTCGGCTAGGAATTTCATAGATGGAAAGCTCACTTTTCAATCAATCCCATCCCCAACTATTTGAACAACGAAATACTCCTGTCCGCTCACTAAACGCAGCTATACGCACCCATAGCTCAGCATTTCATTATCGTCAGTGTTTTGCTTCATTCCACTCCCGCCAGTTAAAGGGTCAAATCATAAGGCGAGATACTGTGCCTCAAGCCACAAGATCCACGCCCCTAACTCGCAGCATCCAGAATATAACTTCACAGCAAAATTGATCGTTTTGTAAGAGAGAAAAGAAGAGTTTGATATTGGTATCTTAAGTTTTGATCTCCATATATAAATGTATATAAACCGCACCAATATCATCATGGTATCATTCATTACCCTATACACCTCCCCCTTCCTCCAAACAACTATACCAACAAGAAGAACACCAAAAAAAAGAAGAAAGAGATAGGATCGACCTCAGAATCTAAACCCCAACCTTACATCACCCCAGAAAAGAAAATAGTTTAATACCCACTATCCCACGTCTCATCCGCACTCTTCACCATCTCCAACACCGGCGCCCTCCCCTCAGCCTTCTTCCTCGCCTTCCGCTCCTCCCTCGTAACAAGCGTCGGCGTCATCGGAACCAACGGCGTGAACGGCTGGTACGGCGAATAGGGCGTCGCGCCCGCTGACCAGGGGGTCTTCAAACCCGCTGTATTTGGGCCGTGGTGCGAGGGTCCTGTTCGCTCCAGCACCGTCGTCTTAGTCGTGGGTGCGAAGGACGGGGATAAGATCGCTGGCTCGAATTGCCGGAAGGGGAGGGCGCGAGTGGAGGAGTTGTTCGAGGCGGGGGGTTGGGGAGTTGATTTCTGGGATCGTGGGGGTGGGAAGAGGGGCGTTTGAGAGGTGGTGGATGTGGCGGATGTGGGGTCCATGGAGGTTTGGGAGGGGTTGGGGCGGTGTTGTTTGTAGGGGTTTAGGTTCATGGAGCTGAGTTGCTCGTCGATGGTTCGGGTTGGGGAGACGCCGTTGGAGTTTTGTCGTGAATGGTTGTATGGTTCTTGGTCTTTGGGGATTGGTGGGGGTGGAGGAGGATTGTAGTATTTTGGTGTAAGAGGCTCTTCGTCTGATGCTCCGCTTTGGGGGAAAGTCGCTGACATCGGTGTAGCCAGGGGCGAAGAGATGTTCATTGCTCGAAGTCCCTTCTTTCTTGGAGAAATCAGTGAAGAGATAATAGATGAAGCTCGCGATTTTGTCTTTGGCTCATCGAAATTGAGGTTTGATGGACGACCCTTGGGAGTTCGCTGAGGTGCTGACATTGGAACTGGGCCTGTCTTCTGCAGTAAAGGTGGTGGCAGCTCCTTCACATTCACACCCGCCTTCTTAGCTTCTTCCTGCTCCATAACGTGCGCATAGATATCCTCCAGATCACGATCCATCATTTCCCGGTCAGCCTCGACAATTCGGGTATCGACGTATGGATCTGATCCGGCAGGTGTAACTGGTGATCTGACAGAGCTGGGGTAAATGTATGGATTCTTGGTATCCTTCTCTGGTGAAGGCCAAGAGAAATTTCGAGGTCCACCTCCTGGTGAAAGTGGAGTAGGGTTGAACTGTGTTATGATAGGTGCTGGGTGTACCATCTCAATATCAAGAGCTCTGGCAGCACGCTGAACCGAAAGACGAAGCTTTCGTCCGATGAGAACCAGAGCTATACCGACAACGCAGACCGAGAAGAGATAAGCTCCCAGGATAGCTCCAACTTGGGCGGGGATCAGTGCTGGATCTCTCGAGGCGTGAGCTGAAAGTGGTGGACCGTCTTCTGGTGATGGAGCTGGATCCCAATCGATGTTCAGCGGGTTGTGCTTGGGAGGATCGTACAGGATGTTGGCAGAACTTATACCAGCATAGATGAAGAGGAGGAGAATGAGGGCAGGATTGATCGCTGTCTCAGTCCCCCTATGCATATTGCCACTGTCTACCGTGGTAAGGAAACGTCCGCACTGTGAGGCTTCAGCGCCGAAAGACGAAACGTTTGGCGATACAAAGAGAACATGGAGTTGAGTCTTGTTCTTGCCAAAGATGGGCGGCTGTAGGTGATATACCGGGGAGCCGAAGTCCACCGCTGCATCGAGTGAGCCGGCGGGACAGGCCAGCGCGGGGTCTCATTGGGCGCAGTCATGATGAATGAATGTGTATGGCTGAAAGAAGCTGGTCAGGAACGTGCATGCATGAGGACCCAGAATAGCGCCCGGAGGTGTGAAAAGATTTGGATGGAGGAAGATTTGGGAAGATTTGGGTGGAAAAAGAGGTTGTTCCTGCGGTGTGCGAGTTCTCTGTGGACCTTTGGACGGTTCCCCTCAGTATGTTTCCATGCAGCTCTGCTAGCTTGCAGCGTGTTGGGGCGTGTGGTTGGTTGAAGATCTGCCTGTAAGCGCCCGGGCTGGGGTGGCGGGAGCTGGCTGATCCAGGGTGCGACAGGGGATTCGCAGGGGAGAAGGGCAGATTGGCTGAAGATCTCTGCCCGTGCGCCCTCATCACCACCGACGACCATCTGCCCATCTCAAGTCACACAGGTCACTCCCAAATCACCGCATCTCCAGCGGCTCCAGTGTGAACAGAAGTGGTCTTATTGCACCATATCTATCGTTTCCATCCCCCGTCCTGGCTTGTTTGACGTGCGAAATCCACCTACTTCATGCTTCAATCCTCATCACAGTGTGATGGAGTCTCTCATAAGTCAGATGTTTCTATAGCATGGGACACGACGCTGACACCATGTGATGGATTGCCGACGGGATGAGATAGTCCTAGCATGAAGTCAATGCACCGTGATATTTATCTTCATTGGGCGAAACATGCGATATTGAGAATGGGTACAAGGTACTGACTGGACATCTTGATTGCTTTGGATTCCAAAAGTGATAGCACTTCGATCCGAAAGAAGCGGCGATAGAATTGCATTGCGGAGATTTGATAGGCTTTTCTTGCTTGATATTGTAGGAGAAGGCTATTGGATTGCAGTGGCCGAAATATCACGATATAATTCGAGGTAGGATCTGCCTCCTGATCATCGCTAGTCGCGAAGAAGATCTTTGTTTCGTTTCAATTCTAAAGATGGATGTTTCCACAGCAAATGACCAGCGTCTGAGGCGAAACGAAACATTTCAGCTATTGGCTATCCCTATTTATGAAGTTGGCCATCTACAAATAGTTTGTGGCTTTATCGCTCTCTCTCCTTTTATTACCACCAGATGTTGGAAAGCAATGCGCGCAACGAATGGGATTCTTGAAGCTTAGGCAAGAGCAACAAGAATGGTTGGAATCTTGAACATGAGAACTCACTTGAGATAATCAGGCGCACGTGTCGAATTTCCTTTTTTGGACAGTCATATCAACGCCTGCCTTTCAGTTGTCCTTGAATGTTCGCAGCGACAGAATTGTGTTCAGAATGCATGTATCAGATATCTGAGTGTGCCGCTTGACACATTCCTGATGCAGCTTTCCTCGATCCTCGTCGTCGCTGAAATCCTAAAATATGCGAAAAGCCTAGGCAAAGAGAGGAAGGTACATTACAGACAGCGGAGACAAAGCATCACTGCAATGTGTTATTCTTTGCTTAGGACATCACTCGCAACTTTCAAGATTCTTTCTGCCAACAAATCAAATTTCTCCTCAGAGAACCCTCGACCAAAACCACGCAGTGGAATCTTATCAAATTTTCTTCGGCGCAACTGTCCCAGACCATGCGAGGCCGTATTATCACTTTCAGCCCCATAAGGACTTTTGATCCACAGAGTTCGGAAGATGATGTCTAGGTCTGACACACCCTCTGGTGCTTTCATCTCAACGTTGAAAATGTGACGGAAGAACTTGTAAGAAATTGAACTCTGTCATCAATGACTTCAGTCACATGAGCAACTGACCTTTCATTTTCTCTGGAAGTCATGCATAATTTTCAATCTAAGTCGCAGCAAGTTCCTCTCATTGGCCATTTTCATCCCTAGCGCCGCATATCTTTGGTATCGAGGGGATCGCGGCTCTTTAGTACGGATTAGCTCAGCCCTATGTCAGTCCTTCCACAATTGGAGACTCTACTACCCCACAAACAAGGAAGGCGAACGTCACCATGAAATCTAGAATCTAATCTGATTTATAGTTTTCCACAAACTCCATTTTTCTCTTTTTATTTTCCCATATACACCATTCATTCCACTTTCCTTCACTAAGTAAACGATACACAATCCTTATTTATTTACATACTTTCGGTCTCACCAAAGCATCCAACAGGTACGGAACTATAATCTCTCAAAAGTCTAACTAGCAAACTAACAGAAGACCCAGAATGGATCCAACACTCGAGCAGATCGTCGCCGCCACAAAAGCCTCCCTCAAAGCCAACGCAACCTTAATCGACGAAGCAAAATGCCACGTGTATGGCCAATTCCTGCATAGAATGAACCAAGCCGAAGCCAACGGCCTCTACTGGAGCTGCTTCATCTTCAACATCATGTTATTGATAATCGTAGCATGCCTCTACACCAGCTCCATAAAACGCCAGAAGTACGTCTATCACTCCCACGTTTCCATAAATAAACAGTGCACTAATCTACAAACAAAAAGGGCTTTCGAAATCGCGTTCCACGTCTCGACCTGGCACCCCGAAATTTCAGAACGCGACATCGAAGGACTACGCCGCTCGCACCGCAGAAGCGAGCACTGGCTCCTCTTCGCCAGTTTCGTCGCTGCTTCGGTCATGATCCCCGTGATCATCATCGAGGCGTTGGCTGGTCTCAACATAAATTTCTGCCACAAGCAGGATCTGATCATGTTCTACTGGGGTCCCTTCTTTTTGCTCTCGGTAGGAACACTAATTGCTACCTGGGGACTCTTCTTGAGTCAGAGTATCGAGAATGAGCCAGCTTGGAACGTGGCGCTGGGTACGCCTGTTCTGGTATTTGCTGCGCTGGGCCACTGGGCACATGTTTTTGTGAGGTATAGTTGGAGACAGATGAGAGATAAGGAGAAGAAGGTTGTGCATCCATCGTTGGCGCCTCGGGATTTGTGTCCGAGATAGTAAGTCTTTCGTCATCCCATTGGGAATTCAGTGCTAATTTTGGGCAGTCTTCCAATTTGCTTGCACTGCCAAACGGATTCGAATTTTCCTACCCGTACTATGTCTCGCGCAATAAGTCAGGCCTCAAGTCAGTACCGTTTGGTGCTAAATGCGGCGCCGGTCGAAACATCAGCGCTCAGCGTGCCAGATAGTATTGTCGAGCAACCCACCAGCAGGGAGATGCAAGCTGTTGCAGGGCCCAGTATCCCTGAGATCAACGTTTCGAATCATACTTCTGAGCGGAATAGTAGCGAAGAGAGGCCTAGTATACGATTCGCGGAGCCAGCGTCAAGATAGTAAGCATGGGCGATGTGGAGCACAAGAACTGTAGGATACTCAGTCCTCACTATTTTTGCAATAAGACAAGCTCAAGGAACTTTGTATGAGGGAGCTATCAGCAAGCCTTCTGCTATTTTGTCTATTCATAACTCGTGGGGTACATTAGCACATTAAACAGCTCGGCCTGCTTTCCCAACCTGGATAATTTCGCCAGTCCGTTGCTCATCACTTCTCAGCACTGGCCACGAAGCTCCATCCGCCTTTACAAACGTCACTTCCAGCTTCGTGCCCAGGATCTTGGATGTCGACTTCTCGGAATCGATGGAGCCAAACAGAGGAACAACGGTTTTATACCGCTTGGGAGTTGGATCTGTGGTGACTAGGTCGAGGGATAATTCGGTAGAGGCGAACTCCACCTTGGCGTTTTCTTTATCGATCTTCTTTAGGAAAAAGGAGGCGATTACCGTTGTTGGCGTCTGGTAGAAATCATGTCTGTACATAATAATTAATACTCGTCTTCCAACTCCTATCATCATCAATGCCTATGACATACCTCACCGTCTCCAATATCTCCTCCCCACCCTTCTCATTAACACCCTTCTTCTTCCCACTCCCAATAAATAGATGCCGGTCTTTAGTCTGACACCCCTCAATCCTCATAAACTCATCAAACTCCAGCACCCGCCGTTTGCAGCACGTATACCCCTTACTCCCCTCATGAAAAATCGGCACCCCAGGATGAAAAACGCACTTCTCGCCCTCCCTCCCACCGCCATTATATGCCTGTCCGCACGCCTTCCGCCGACACATCTTGCCCTTCGGAATCTCAAGGCTCGGATCATCGTCCTCGGATTCTGGTGGGGGTGGTGGCGGGGTAGCTGTTGGTTGCGGGGCGGCGTTCACGGGCAGCCGCGAGCTCTCTGTTGCTGTGGCAGGTGGAGGAGCAGGACTGGGAGTCTCTGCGGCGGCGGCGTCGCCGGTCTTCTTCTCGAGTTGTGGGGGGTGGTCTGTTGTGCTGTGTTTGCCGGTGGTGCAGGGTGGGATGGCGAGGAATTCGTCGAAGGTTAGGACGCGGGGTTTGCAGCATTTCCAGCCTGGGGGTTTATCTTTTAGTTTCGGAGAGAAGATGAGGGTTGGGGTTTGAGGGGAGAGAGTAGAGGGAATACCTTTCTGTCCTTCGTGGAAGATTGGGGGGCCGGGGTGGTATTGACATTCCTCCTCTGGGTCTGTGTATATCTTCCCACACGATTGATGAACGCATTTCTGCGCCATGTTGAGCTGCACTGTCTCGAGTTATTGAATGTGGTCAAGTTGTAGAGCGCAAATAATGAACGTGTGGGATGAAGGATGTGTTCTCTGTTTGGCATGGAAGCTTAGAGAAGCTTGAGGCATGGTACCTCAGATGCAGGCAGAATTGGGCGGTCAGAGGGATTTCGACAGGGTCGTAGCCAGTTTGGTGATGCACTCTGCATACTGTACTTCTATCACACTTGGGACCGCCTATTCAGTTATTGGTTCATTCGGAAGTTTCCTCCGTTCGGGTTCGGATTCGGGTTACTGAATCCACTTTGTTATACAGACGAGTGGAAGAAGATGTACCCCTCGATACGACTTCTCCATCAATGCCGAATCACTCTCTTTACACGTGCCAACTGTTCACTATGTACAAATGCAAAACAAACATTATCCACCGTGTGGGACAAGCGGCCTTTCGATTACAAGGAGATCGATGTTATGAAGCCAGAAGAAAAGAAGTGGAGGGACTTGTATGAGTTTGATACTCCAGTGGTTTGTCTGCATCTCGAAAAGGGGAGCATCGGCTAATTGAGAGTAGATACATGTCAGCCTCTCAACATCCGGAGAAGAGCAATCAGAGCTATCTTCGCAAGCAAAGAAGCTGATGCATCGGTTTGAATTCGACCAAGTTAATGAGAAGATGGATCTGGTTGAAGCGGAAGCAAGTGGATCGGAAGAAGTATGATTGAGCAGGAAGGGTTTGGAGCTACCGCTTAACTTGCAATGATTAGTATGGACATGAGGACGAATCGAAGCGTAAGCTTAGTACAAACTCTCCGCATCTATGCAGAGCTTGTGTAAATCGTAGTTCTAAAGACCAGGACCAGAAAACCTCACGAGGCATCAGATGCAGCTTTTGCGTCTATTTCAGGTCATACCCTTTCAGATTCTAAATACCCCCAGCATAGTCGAGGTAATTAGGCCTTGGGAGGAAGATACTATCGGGGACTTATCATGTTGATACTGTCTGACTATGAAACAACTCATAGATAGACTTTGTGCTTGAACGTTTCTGGCCATATAAACAATCATCTCTTCGAACCTAAGTACAGGATCATTTGTAAATATGAACGAGTACTCGGACATGGAAAGTGCTGCGCCGGATTAGGTTTAATGATCAGCCAGTCGCCGATTTGTAATGTACACAAACAACTATTCCATCCCGGCCATAAGCTCTACACGGTCTAGCATCATCGCTCTTCTACCTACCCATTCTTTAATCAAATCCCAATCTTCTCCCTCTTCTTCTCCTCTTCGCCATATCTCGCGAAACCCCCAGGCGCCAGCAACTTTGTCGATTGCTGCTCTTTCCTCCTCCCGTATCCATCGTTCTCTCAATGGTACACCCTGAGCCCAAGTCACACGATCCATTTGATCATTAGCTGTCGTCACAGCTACAACGCCAACTGTTGCAGTCAGCCCCACATAGGCCAGTATTCCAGCAAATGCGACCTGGGTAGCCATAGCGGAGTCCATAGTGGTTTGAAGCAGGGACAGTTGAGAAGCAAGACTGTAGGCTGCAACAGGAGTAACAGCAAGACCGGTAGCTGGAAGAAGCCCTTTCCGAACAAATTTAGCACGATGAAATGCTTTTGTGCAATATGACATCTCAATGATGTCCATGGCAGCCGTCAGATTCTTCGCACGAATGGCTGTTTGCAGAGCATGATCCGCAACGGCCAATGGAACGGCGTTTGCAACTTTATTGGGGTTCTGTTTGTTGTATCGAATTGGAGAGGATCCCTCTTGGGGGAATGGTTTGCTGGCATAAAGAAGGAGGACCTCTGGAAGTGTCTCTGGCTTTCCTAAAATTTCCTGTATCTCCACGTAGAGCTGCAAAACTTGAGGTGATATGAAGACCGGTGGGAACTTCATAACAGCATATGCAAGATTTGACAATTCATCTGCCATTTGTCGGAGGCCCGAGGATATATTCGCAACTGATATTCTTTTGGGATCAGACTCGTCCAGAGAAAGTAATGCAGATGCGGCACCGTCTCTTCCTGATTTCACAGGAATCGTATCGTCGAGAGTAATAAGTTTGGCCATTGCTTCACATTTTCCAAGGACGTATAAGGTGTCTCCTTCCGACGGGATCCTTTCGAGATTTAGGAGAGAATTGCATGTCTGTCTGACTTCTCCAATTGCATTCTCCAGCTCAACAACGCTCCTTTTTGTGCTGTTAACCTTCTGTGCTTGGCTAGAAGTCGAGGCTACAGCTTCTTTTTCTCCCCGAGAGGTCGATGAGCTCGTATTTGACGGTTTCTGAGAACATATCCTCCTACCAGTTGAGAATGTTCGCGTGGGGTAAACGGATCTCTGTGGTCGAAATTGAGGTCTAACAAGAGGCTTTTGAGCGATCATAAAATCGCAGAATTGGCATATGTTCGCCTGAGGTTGTAGAACGCGTCTTGACATTTTTGAAGATGCGATTCGAAAGTGGACAATAAATTCAATGGCCAGCTCTCGGAAGCTTGTGTTTGCATCGAAATGTTGATCCTTGTGGCTTCAACTTACACCCCTGTTCGGCTGATGACTAAGGAAACGGTGGCTGAGGGAAAGTGACGACGAAGTTCCGAAGTGAAGCTCCAGGCACCGTTATCTCTCTTGCTTTAAGAAACATACATTGGACTCTGCAATCATCTTAAGCAGGTGCCCATCATATCTGGGTCTTGCTTTATGCCTCGATAGCGTTCATACATAACGCTTAATACAATTATCCTTTTCATTACTGATCTCATCTCACCAACTCCCAACACACGATCATGCCGCCTCCTCCACCACCACCTCCTCCTCCTCCTCGTACGTTCGGACAATTCTGTGTATATTGAACAAATGCTAATACAGATCAGCTGGGATGGGTGGCCCTCCACCACCTCCTCCTCCACCGCCCGGAAACTTACCATCACGACCTCAAGGAGGATCAGGGAATAGGGTGAAGGCCCCGCCAGTCGTAGCTAAGCCCAATCACTTCAAGGGCTTAAAGAAAGTCAATTCACCATGCTGACCAAGTCATAGGGAGCTCTACTATCGGATATTCACAAAGGCAAAGCACTCAAGAAAGCAGTCACGAACGATCGATCAGCTCCAATTATTGCACCAACCTCCGGAGGCTCATCTGCAGCACCCGTATCAGGCGCTCCCCCAGTACCAGGAATGCTAAAACCACCCGGAGGCGGAAATAGAGCAAGGAGCAATAGCGATCAGAGTAGCAGAGACTCTGGAAGTGTCACAGGCATGGAACAACCACCACAACTTGCCGGACTATTCGCCGGAGGCATGCCGAAACTAAAGAAGCGTGGAGGTGGTGTTGATACAGGAGGTATTTCTGATGGCCTGGTCATATCTAGTCTCCAGCTGACATGAATACAGCAAACCGCGAATCATCGTATACTTCGGATCCAGAAGAGTCGCGGAGTTCTGCACCAAAACCACCAACTATAGGAGCACCTAGGCCGCCTCCAAATGCTGCACCTCCTATACCAGGAACTCAGAATGGAAACGCGCCACGATTTGCACCATCAATAGCGAATCTTAGGAAGACTGGTGGACCCAACGTCCCAAGACCGTTCTCTTCTGCTTCTATGAAAGGTCCCCCACCTCCAATTGGGAAGAAGCCACCTGCTCCTCCACCTTCGTTTCGAAAACCATCAGCCCCTGCTCCCCAGGCTCCCCCCCCCCCCCCATCTTCTGCCCCTCCCCCGCCATCTTCAGCCCCGCCATCTTCAGCCCCGCCATCTTCAGCCCCGCCTCCTCCAGCGGCACCTCCCCCACCGCCCTCAGCAGCTCCAAGGCCTCCATTTGGTGGTCCATCAAGATCACAACCACCTCCTCCCCCACCAACATCACCACCATCAACGAACGGTGCAAGCCAAAGTCTTGCTATGCAAGCTGCAATCAGGGCAGCTGCTCAGGCGTCTCCCTCAGGTGCTCCACCCCCACCACCTCCTCCGCCAAGTGCTCCCCCTCCATCATCACATCGTGCTCCGTCTCCGCCTTCATCTGCGCCTTTACCACCGATATCTCGCCCTCCACCAGTTCAAGCACCCTTGCGATCCATGCTTGATCCAAGTTCGTACACTTTATCTTCAAATGGAACATTACCCAAAAGTCCTAGTCCGAACAGGGGTCCAGAAGCCTCGAGACGAGTCGAGATCAACGATACTAGATGGAGATTTCAAGATGAATCGCAGTTGCCAAAGCCTAGAGATTTTCACGGTGGGCAGAAGAGGTATAGGGCTGGACGTGGAAGCAGTGTGCCTCTAGATCTGAGTGCCTTCCAATGAGTGAGGCGAAGGATGGAACGACAAATTGACGAACGTTGAACTTATTTGAGATTGCATGTCAAGATGGGACATTACTGAGAACATGCGGGCCAGTAGCTCAATGTTGATGAGATACAGGAGCGAGATGGGAATTGCCAAGGGGGACGGGCACGAGAAGACGGTTGTACTTCGGTGCATATGGGAATAGTGGATGAGGTTGCCGATGACTAGTTTGCTGTTCAAGGTCGTCTCAGTCTTCAAATATGCTTTCCTTCACTGGATTGCGGTTTAGCCAAATGCTAAGTAGAGAGTCGACAAGTCGAGGCAAAGCCATAGACATGAGCAATGCATAACGAGTATTATTCCAGTCTACTAACAAATCCGCTGTGTCTGACATTTCCGTGTCAAAAAGTGACCTCTTTTCTCAGAGCAAGTGCGAGAAAGCTCTGCTCCCTAGCTAGTTACTCTCACTGTCTCCTGTAATGATACACTCGTTAATGGGGGTTTGGAGCTTTGAAATGTCCCAGACCAAAATGTTCTTTACCAAATGTAGTTAGCCACATCAATGTTGACCTGCACGTCGCCTTCATTTGGTAGGGGCAAAAACTTGGACATTTTTAAAACTGCGGACATTTCATAAAGAACTAGCCTCCAGCCCATATTTTGGCCATTCCCTTTCCCCAAATGATAGTAATATATCCTGCAGGATGTCTTGCACCTTTGTAGAAAGAGTCTACCAAAACTTGAACTTGGCCTACAATACGCAGAGAATCAGAAGCAATGTCCTAGCACTATGTATCATTTATCTCAAGGGCTGCTTAGAAATGCACAGTACAATTCAGGATTATGAATGTCCCTGCAACCCTGGAATATTTGGTGGAGAGTAAGTGTCAAAGGTGTCTCTTAGAATCTGACGAATCTTCATCTCCTTGTTTTTTGACTTCAAGGTTGTGTCTTGAATTGTTATTTCTTGGCTAGTTTGTCTCTACTTACTGACGGAATATATTGACCCCTCTTCGAGACCATGAACGTAAAACCAAATGAAAAAATCTTAGATTGCAATCCAGTCATCAAAATAATTTCTTTGCAAACGACTTGTGATGCAAGACGAAAACGCTCCGGTCATACGATAAATAGAACTTCTCAATTCTCTAACCCAAAGGCTGATGTCCCATGGAAAGCTATGTAGGTACGCTATGCAAGAACGTTGAAGCCGAAGGCAAGATGGCGTCTCACGACATTGAATATATATAGAATTCAGCTTCGTGAGATCCACCATGATCATCTAAGAAAAGACTTTGCCTCGTGCCCTCAGCCTCGGTGTGGAGAACGTAGCGCACAGTGGATGAATCGGTACCAAGCCTCGAGCGCACGGCGGCATTTGAACAACCCGCAGCGCAGCAAAGGTGGCCTTTTTAAAAGACCTGGCCCTAAGACCAAGCTCCCTCAACCGCAACGTCGACCTCAGCTTATTTTCTTCTGCCAACTCCCTCCTCCTACAACCATCCATTCTCTCTGTCTGCTGGCAATTCAGTCTCACTTTAAATCTAATACGATAGAGTGATTTGGTGCACTTCCAGCAGGACTGCGACAATGGCACAAATCCGCGGAACGGCTGGGTACAATCTGGGCGGACAGACCTCCTTTGGACAACCAAGCAGAGGAGACACGATGAACGATCCTAGTCCTCTCGATGCTATTCGGGAGCAAACGGGCAAGATTGAGGATTTCTTGGACACTCTGAGTGATCCAGTCAAACCGTATGTCTCGCCGCCTTGCACTCAGACCCCGCCCTGTACTGTGGACAACAAAGAGCTTCGCAAAATCATGGATTTGCTCGGTTTGATGCTGACTTTCATTTCTGCAGGTATCTGCCAGCTATCGGACGATTTTTAATCGTCGTCACTTTCTTGGAGGATGCGCTCCGTATAATTACACAGTGGAGCGATCAGCTCTTATATCTCCACGACTATAGGCACAGTATGGGATCTTCGTCCCTCTGCGAATAGGATAATTGCTGATTATCATTTCTATAGTTCCCTATGGTCTCACACACATCTTCTTGATCGTCAATGTACTTGCAATGGTCTCATGCTCAAGCTTGGTGATTGCAAGAAAATACTCGGATTACGCAGTGGCAGGATTGATCGGTGTTGTGGTCACCCAAGCTCTCGGATACGGTCTCATTTTCGACTTGAACTTCTTCCTCCGAAATCTGTCGGTCATGGGTGGTCTCTTGATGGTTCTGTCCGATTCATGGGTTCGCAAGTCCAAGGCGTTTGCTGGTCTTCCAGAGCTTGATGAGAAGGACCGCAAGATGTACTTCCAGCTTGCTGGCCGAGTCCTGTTGATCTTCCTCTTTATTGGCTTTGTCTTCAGTGGCAAGTGGAGCGTCTGGAGAGTTATTGTGGCACTCTTCGGCTTCGTGGCTTGTGTAATGGTTGTGGTGGGCTTCAAGGCAAAGTTCAGCGCCATTATGCTGGTCGTTATCTTGAGCGTTTTCAATCTCCTGGTTAACAACTTCTGGACTGTAAGTTCTATTCTCTGTGCATGTAAAAATCTCATAAACTAATTATCACCCAGCTTCACGAACACCACCCACACAAAGATTTCGCCAAGTATGACTTCTTCCAAATCCTCTCGATTGTCGGTGGACTCCTCCTTCTAGTAAACAGCGGACCAGGCAAATACAGCATTGACGAGAAGAAGAAGGTCTACTAGTGACCGTGACGAAAGAAACGGGGAATGGGGACGAAGCCAGTGGTTGGAAAATAAGAATCTGGGTTGCCCTGCATTGGGCGGAGTTCATCTTGACAGGGAAGGGAACAATCACACGAGTTCAGTCTTTTATAGCGAGAGAGGACGAAGAGTCTGATCCGCCTTCTCTCAGAGCATAGCAGTCATCTTTCCGGCGAATGTAAATTTTCGAAAAGTCATTTTACGATTCACATGAAGCTATTTTTGATGTGATATCACACAAGCAAGCTGACCAAAGCAACTCGAGTCCGGCTTCTAAGCCCCAGCTGATATCAGACATTGATGTCAGCCCAGAAAGTGAAGCCACTGACGGACATTGAAAAAGCCACGGTAGCGTATTGAGGGGCAAGTGCAGCCACCAATCCCGGATGTCCCGCGCTCCACAAGCGGCAGAAGCAATTTAACCTTAAAATGTGTAGATCATATGTGGGATGTTAGGTTCTAGAAGTCATGATCTAGGAGGTAATATGTCACTTCAAGGCGGATATTGAACGAACGGAGAGTGGTATTGGGTGTATATTTTGTCATTGTTTCATTGTATAATTCATAGATACGGATAATGGATAAACAAATCAGTTTGAGAGGAGATTCTCTCAGCTATGATAATAATCATACTCATACTGCAGGCGCCAGATTTTCAAACCAACACATCATCTCTCTCTGTCTCCAAGCCCCAGAGACTTGCATGCTCGGAGTAGCTTGCACTTTTTCGCTCACATTGTTTTGATCCTGCGGGCATAGTAGCTGTCACTCAGCGGTGGTTCTCCTCGCGTTTCATAAGGTCAGTATTTCAATTCCAAACCTCTCGAACCGTCCACCTCGTGGCATTCCTCCCTCCGTCCTTGAGGTGAATATAGCTGGACACTTCCTCTTATATAGACCTTGACAAGTCGGCTGGACATGCCAAAGTAGCCATGCTATTCTTTAACGTTGCAACTCATAGTTCCCATGAGAGTCTGGACTTTGCTGATAGGGTCTGGAGGGCTAGCTCAATTGGCAGCAAAAGTCCTTGGCGTAGCGGGACAAAAGATATATCTCGTATCCAACTCCACATTCATTCTCCTTGATTTCGAAGCGAGAGGTATGGTGATGTAGACGCAACATGGAAATATACGAATTGCTTCTCAGCGAGATACCCCTATCTCCCAAATGTCAGATATGATGCCGATAAGCTGCACGGCCGATCCTGCGTCAATCATGCAATGACCAAAGCATCAATGGCGACCTTTGCCATCTTAAGAATCTGGAGGCAACCATGGGTTTGCTCTCCAAGACATAATTTCTGCCCAAATGACCCGTACTCCATATTGCCAGCAGCAACATGAGCGTCTAACATGTCATGCCGAGTTCGTTGGCGTAATTCCATCTCGCCAACCAAGTCTTTCAATCCTTTGTGCCTGAAACCATCCTGTTCATGGCCATAGATATCCACTCTGAGTAGAGCACGAACGGTGGTCCTCCATTGGTGAGCAGGCATTTCCACTGCGTTGAACATTAATTCCTTGTCAAGGCAAGCCATAGTGTGTTCCACGGTCTTCTGTTTACCGCACAGTCCTCCATAGTCCTGGAAACGGAAGGTCTTTGTCTCACCAGCAGCTTCTGCGGCATCTGTCTCATCATCGACCATTTTGAGTAGCTTTTGATAGCTATTGGCTATGATAGGCAATATAGTCCCGAGAAGCATAGTATTCTGAAAGGATTCAATCGGAGGATTTGGATTGTCCAGGACAATTGCTCCACATTGAGCGCACCAAATACAAGATGCAGCCGTTGCAGCAGCGCTACGAACAGTCTTCAATGCCACCACTATATCAGTCGGAAGAGTCTGCAGCGCTGATAGACTGAGGTACATAGATGGTAAGCAACTGCATGGTCCAAGAGGTAGAGCTTGAGGGGTAGATTGTTCGCTATCAGACACAGAGGCATTCGAAGTCGTGAGCTGAGGTGCTGAGTCCAGAGAGGGCAGAGGTCCATCTGGGGGCCCAAAATCGATATTACCAAAGTTTATGTGTGGTCCATTCATAATATCACCGTCCCCAAAATGCCAAATAGTTCGCCCATTGTCAAGCTTCGACATGAGCTGCTCGCTAGTAGGCTCTGGACGTAGGCCATAACTCGACTGCGTATTGGTGAAGTATGGCTCCGCTACATTGGAGTCATTGTAGCCCTCTAGGTCATCTGCAACGAGAGGGAGCGCCGAAACGTCGATGTCAATGTTCGCATTGTTGGTAGGTTCCTCCCTTGTAGTCTCGATGAATTGACGCTTTCGAGGTCGACCCATAGGTTTCTGCTCAGAATAATGGCACACAATGTTCTCTCTCCTGCAACGCTCACATCCATCTGGATCCTTGGAGCATGCTAGCTTCCGTGTTCCTAAACATGATCAGTAATTGAGACGAGGGGCGTCGCTAATAACCCACTGCACTCATCGCAAGCCCTGTGTTTAACAGGCTTGTTCGCTGGAGCACTGGTTTGGGGCATTGCAAGGGTGGACCCGAGCGCCTTCGGGTCGAGATTCAGTGAGCTTATAAATTTTGTAAACGTAGTCATAGATCTGGTGGAGGAGGAAAACTGAAATGAATACTGTTGTTGGAAGGCAACAAGGTGTAGCGTCTAACAGGTGATCTCCGCCAAATGTACTGTACGTGAAATGCGCTAATGTCAGATAAGAAAATCGATAAGGCTGAACAAAAATTATTTTTTAGGGGGGCAGCTTAGAAAGACAGGAAACAACAGCTCTACATCAATACGATGGCTCCCTCAACAATGGACAGGAAAAGGAAAGCCGTTACTAGAGATGTTACCGAGTTGTCAGATGTCGAGTCGGAGGCAGAATTTGGAGACGGCCTGCTGGAGGGTATCTTGTCGCAAAGCGAAGATTCAGAAAACGAGAGTGACGAAAATGAGGACAGCGATGAAGCAGAAGACGAAGAAGATCTTGACGAGCTTGAGGATTTAGGCAGCGATGAGATACCATCTGAAGAGAGTGAGGACGATGTGGAGGACCAGAATGGAGGACTTGTCAAGAGCAATGGCAAAAACTCCCGACTTTCAGACCTTGTACACAGGCAAGCACAAACGAAGGAAGAGAAGGAAGACAAACCCAATTACACGGTAACCACGGATGCCAATGGAGGTGAAAGATATGTCTACGAAGAGATAGACCCCGTTTATGACTCCGACGACTCGGATGCGCCAGTCACCACCAACACCGTAGGAAATATCCCATTGACTTTCTATGACTCGTATCCTCACATTGGCTACGATATCAATGGCAAGAAGCTTATGCGGCCGGCAAAGGGAGAAGCTTTGGATGCATTATTGGACAGCATAGACATTCCCAAGGGTTGGACTGGTCTCACAGATCCAGCTACAGGAAAACCTCTGAACCTCAGTCAAGATGAGTTGGAGATATTGAAACGAATCCAGACGAATGAGATGCCGGAGGAAGGCTATGACCCTTATCCAGTATGTACTCTTTCCTGTGGCACTATTTATAAATACTAATGTAATTCAGGCGACTGTGGAGTACTTCACTGGAATTGAAGAGATCATGCCTCTTAGTGCAGCTCCCGAGCCAAAGCGACGCTTCCTTCCCTCCAAGCATGAGGCAAAGCGGATAATGAAGATTGTCCGTGCTATCAGAGAGGGCAGGATACTACCGTATAAGCCACCCGAGGAAAGAGAAGACGAGGAAGAGGAGGTTCATTATGACATTTGGCAGGATGAGCAGCCTCGACCTGATCATGTTATGAATATTCCCGCTCCAAAGGCACCACCACCAGGGTATGATCTCAGCTACAATCCTCCACCAGAGTATCTGCCCTCGAAGTCTGAGAAGCAAGCTTGGGACAACACGGACCCCGAAGATAGAGAGAAAGAGTACCTGCCAACCACTCATGACTCCCTGCGAAAAGTGCCAGCTTACGATAAGTTCATCAAAGAGAGATTTGAACGATCTCTTGATCTGTACTTGGCACCCAGAGTTCGAAAGAACAGACTTAATATCGATCCAGCATCACTGCTTCCAAAGTTGCCCAAGCCCGAAGAACTCAAACCATTCCCAACAGTGTGTTCAACTCTATTTCGTGGTCATGAAGGGCGAGTGCGAAGCTTGGCAATCGATCCATTAGGTGTTTGGCTTGCTAGTGGTGGGGATGATGGCACTGTTCGAGTTTGGGAACTTTTGACTGGCAGACAGCTTTGGAGTGCAAACATTGGAGATGAGGAAGCAGTCAACGTCGTGAGATGGCGACCAGGAAGAGATGCTGTCATCCTCTCAGCAGCTGCTGGAGAAGATATCTACCTACTCGTGCCTCCAGTTGTTGATCCAGAGACCGAGACAGCAAGCAGAGATTTGCTTGATGCAGGGTTTGGCTACGCAACAAATGCTACCCAAGCATTAACCGCAAACGGTCAAAAGAAAGAACCTGTTGCAAAATGGACACGTCCTGGCTTTCGACTAGAGGATGAAGGAGTTCTCATCAAGATCACGGTACGAACCACAGTCAAGGTCATCAGCTGGCACAGGAGAGGAGATTTCTTCTCGACTGTATCTCCAACAGCACAGAAGAGTGCTGTTGCAATCCATACTCTCTCCAAACATCTCACGCAAATTCCTTTCCGCCGACTTCCAGGTATCCCTCAAACCGTTCAGTTCCATCCCTCGAGACCTCTATTCTTTGTTGCCACACAACGAACAATTCGAAGCTATGACTTGCAAAAGCAAGAACTTGTCAAGATTATACAGCCAGGTGCGAGATGGATCTCATCCTTCGATATCCACCCTGGTGGAGACAACCTGATTGTTGGATCTTATGATCGACGACTGCTGTGGCACGATCTTGATCTTTCAACTCGACCCTACAAGACCATGAGATTCCACTCAAAGGCCATTCGAGCAGTGAAATATCACAAGGGTGGCTTCCCATTGTTTGCAGACGCCAGTGATGACGGTAGTCTACAAATCTTCCACGGCAAGGTTGTAAGCGACATGATGGAAAACGCTACGATCGTACCTGTAAAGGTATTGAAGGGACACAAGGTGAAAAGTGCTTTGGGAGTTATGGATATTGATTGGCATCCAAGAGAACCTTGGTGTGTTAGTGCAGGCGCGGACGGAACTTGTCGTTTATGGATGTGATATCAACTCTTGTTACTTGTTGCTCATAGCATTGGTGTTATGGTTGTTAGACATCAGTTATTGACAATGAAAAAAAGCATAAAATCATGCTCTGCAAGGTGTGGATAAGTACTCCGTACAGAAGTATATTTTACGCTTTGAGGTTTCAGCAGGATACTCTGAAGGCGGCACAGTCTAGTTCGAAGCATTTGAAGTTTAACAACAGTCTTCGAAACCAACATTCGCAGTGTTAGCATCACAGAAGAATGGTACTGCTTAACGCTGGGTTGTAGATTGATCGGTGTTACGGATATAAAAAGCGGGGTGTTGCTGTTACACGAGGAAGTCGCGGCTATTGGGTCCTACCGTTTCCTCTCAACTTCATTCTTCATTTTCCAATTCTCGTGCAACACTCTTCTAAGTCACACCAAACCTAGTTGAGTTGAACCTCACATGATGTCTGGATTCCCAAAGCTCATTCCGGCTTTCACCGCCCATGTAAGTATTTGAGCTTCCGGCACCTGACTGAGCCAGTGACATGGCACCAATACATTGAAAGTGAAATATTTCCTAGAAAAAACTAACAGCCACTTAGATTGCCATCGATCCCCCAGTAACAGTCGGAGCCGTCAGCAAAGGTGCACCTCTTGCTGTCGTCCCGTTTGTAACCCAACACTCGTTCTTAAAGAGCGAGCCCGACTATCCCATCAAAGTCGACGCAGTCTTCACCCACGGCGCTGATTACATCCGTCAAGATCCCTCTGGCAAGCTGGTTCGACTTGATGTTAACTCTATCCTGAATGATAAGAGTGGCGCGATCATTGTCTATAAGTACAGTGGTATTGTGACTTTGACTGAGCCCACGGGAAAGGTATTGGGTGGTGCTGAGGATGCGAAGACTACGGATTTCGGTGATGGTGGTAAGTACTGATTCGAGATGGGGAATAGAGAGAGGAAATGCTAATTCAGTGTAGTTACACACGTGCTGCTCGAGACTGGAGATGAGGCATTGAAGGAGCTGGAGGCAAAGATCTACGTCGCAAGCGGACGGTTCATCCTTGAAGCTGGAAAGCCTGTAATTGTCGAGTACAAGATCAGTGAGGTATCTGCTTGATGATTATCACGGTGGAAAAGGGAAAAGGAATGTTCTATGTTTCTTTCATTGCTGTATCGACGTTTCTGAGTCTACAACTACAGTCGAGAACGCTCTCGTTCATGGAATGAAATTTCAGAAACGCCATTGTAAAACCATCGCTGGAACATGCCATCAAGTCCGCATATGCATGTAAGGAAAATCGTTGACCATCGGTGTATGTGAAACCACGCGTAGAAATCAGAAGTCTGTAGGTTAGGAAACCAGTCCTTTGGAAGCCAAAGCAAATGTATCCCCTTCCCTAAACAACGTGCAATCCAACGCCAGAAATGACCCAGATGTACCCTTCGCTAATTTATTGCTTGGTGCCAGAAATAGACATCAAATATTGGCCAGCCTTAAGGTTTGCGCAGTTGTAAGCCTTAGACTCTTGGGGCAATGTTCCATTAGCAGCCCAAAGATCAATCAATGGTTGCATTGGCTCCAACTCGTGCGGCTTCAGCATATCAATCTCGGTGGCGGTCAGGACGAAGTGGCTGAAGCAGCTGTTCATTTGTCTGTCGAGGTTGACATGGTAGAATGGATCGATGAAGTGGGCCCAGTACAGGTGAGAATAAACTCGGAACATTTGACGGAAGATGGTTTGGCAAACATCAACGAAGTCAACGGGGAAGCCACTGCTCTTGCCAATCCAATCGCCGGGACCTGATAGTTGGGACAGGGAGGTGTTCAAGTTGGTTGGACCAGCAGGGATAGGAGTGTTGGAGCCAGGGGTGTTGAGACCACCGGAGGCGTAGGTAGCAGCTGCGATATCAGGGTTGCCGACGTTGTTCGCGAAGGAAATGCTAGCGGGATCGGTTGGGAAGATGTTGGTGTTCTCGATCTTGCCGGAGATCCATCGTTGCATGAGAGAGATGTACTCGTGGGCAGGGACCTCAACTGGCTCTCGGCGAGAGTTCAACCAGGTGAAAGAGTGATTACTATAAAGGTTAGAGATGCCTCTGCATCAGATGATAGCGGAAGTACGTACGCGCCAGCTGACATGCGAGGGCAAGTTTGGATGTTGCAGATCGTAGTGCCATCCTCCTCCTTGTCATGGACAACCCGAACGAAGTTCCACAGAATTCGGTAATGCTCAACGACTGTGATGTGCTTGTTAGCCACGTGATATGGATCGAATTGATACTCCTCACCTTGGTGCGCAACCCATTCTCCTTGCTCGACAGTTTTTGGTCTGGCCGACAGAGTCATGAAGTTGCCCTTGACGATGTGCTTGGAGTAGGCATCGTTCAACCACAGAGGCTTCGGTTGAGGCAAGTTGTACTTAGCAAGGGCTTCAGAGCCGGGGAGACTACCAGTTGACTCGTTCATCGACAGGGTTTGAGAGAGCGATGGAGAGTTTGGCAATGGAGGAACTCTTGGCGCGAGACTCGTGGACGAAGAACCGCTTTGGGAAGTGCCTGTTGGTGATGTTGGTGATACGCCACTAGGTGGTCCTGGGCTCTTTGACCCGCCATTCTTACCACCGCCCCTGAAACGACCGCTACTACTCAAAGATCAGCCATTATTCCAGAACAAAGAAGAGACAAGCTTGAAGGGAAGGGCGTGTACGGCAAATAGATTTGCACAGCGGTGGAGGTGGGCGGTGGATGTATGTGTTGATGAAACAGGTAGGAAGAAAATTCGTGAATATTTCGTTATAAAACATTGCTAGCTCGATGATATCGTCGCCGCCGAGCAACTAGCTCTGCTTTACGAACAATTGAAGCAAAACTCCGCAAAAATTGTATAACCTCCAACAACCTCCAGCGCGTGACTCTGAACCAACTCGCGACAAAACTGAATTGGAGGTACTCACATTCCAGAGAATAAGTTCGACATCGTTGGACGTCGCGCCGACTCCTGATCACACAGTATCAGTCGTCTGATAAAGTATCGAAAGGTTTCGGGCAGGTCTTGCTGTCACGTTGCAAGACACAGTTTCGATCTTGAAGATCGTTGGAAATAGGAGACGAATATTTACGGACGATTGCAGGTTAGTGCCCGGGCGGTAAGTATCTTGACGCCTTGTGGCCTGGTGTTCTGGCATGTCGACGCCGCCTTTACGCACTCTCTAAGAGACGAGTGATACCTTTAAAGCGGCGGTTATTATCCAGGGAACGCCAGAATAGCTCAGCCTTTTATGTCCTCAAGAACATAATTTCGCTGTTTGAAGGTACGCCGTACTTTTTCCATGGGAAATTTGCTGATGTCTTGCTTACACTCCGTCTGGTCATAGGTTTCCATCCTTCTCAAAAACGAAGTCTACAAGATACCAGCAACAAAGACCACCATCGAAAGATATTTCTCCTGGACGCGTTCAGATAGCTATTCTGTCTACAATGGCTTCGTCAGAAGAGGATGATCTCATGGAGAATGTCGGCGACGAAGATCTATTTGGTGGGGATGAGGATGATGCCCAAGTAGAGAAGACTCGAGAGCTCAGCGACAGGGAGCTGGACTCGGGAGACGACGAGGATCGCAATGATCGTGCGCCTCAAGAGGAAGAGGTTGACTATGAGAGCGGAAGAGATGCTCGGGTGATGGAATCTACGATATGGCGGCATCCATTGCCAAAGCCAGTAGATGGGGAGGTAAGTACTCCTGGAATATCATCTGACGGCGCAACTAACATGTCACAGTTCAGTTATCTTCGACTTCCAAAATTCCTGGGTATTGAACCTCGCGCCTATGAAGCAGACACATTCAGAGTCCCAGAGACTGACCACCACTCTGATACTCGGTCTGCTACGTTCTCTGCCAGCGCCGTCTCTGCCTCTACAATGCGCTATCGCAAGAATTCAACGACCGGCAAGCTCGAGAGCAACACGAATATCTACAGATGGAGTGACGGAAGCACCACGATTTCTGTGGGAGACCAGCACTATGAATTGCAGACAAAGCCTCTGGCTCCTCCGAAGGACACAAAGTCGTACTCAGAAACCCAAGACTCTCACTTCTACCTTGCAACGCCTTCTATCGCTTCTCAACTACTTCTCCTGGTTGGACATATGTCTAATCAACATACTGTAAGACCCAACGAAGCTGTTGAAGATGATGCACTCGACAAATTACAGAAGAGTCTGGCTGCAGCTGCGAGACGAGGTAACAAGAATGAGAAGGGTCCGGAATTGATTGCCAGCACACAAGATCCCGAGCTTCAGAAGAAGCGGGCTGAGCTTGCTGAAAAGGAACGAATGAGAGCTCAACGTCGTCGGGAAACTGCAGCAGAGAAGGCTAGTCAATCACACAGACCTGGAGGCGGCCGTAGTGGTGGTCTATCTCTTGATGACTTAGAGGGACGTGGTCGTAGAGCACCGACTTCAGGTCGCAAGCCACCAAAGCCTCGAAAGCGTCGCCCAGAATACGATTCTGATGATGATCTCCCTAAGGGCAGGAGTAGAGAGGATGAGTATGACATGGAAGATGATTTCTTGGCACCTAGCGACGATGAGGAGGCTCCAGAAGGAGATGACGACGAAGATGAGGAAGAGATACTGGATGATGAGAGTGATCGTGAAGAGCCGAAGGCAAAGAAGCAGAAGGTTTCTCGACAAGAGGAAGTTAGTGATGCGGATGCAGATGCTGAAGCAGATCTGGACGACGATGAAGTTCCAGCTGCTCCAGTGGTCACCGAAGCAGCCGGTAGAGGCAGGAAACGTAACATCATTGAGGACGATGACGATGAGTAAGATCGATTGGTAGCGTGGACATAATCTCGAATTGAGACATTTGGTCCGATCTCATTGAGCCTACCCAAAGAGATACCCACAGCGGCAGGGACGTTCTACTTTACATTTCGAGTTTGTAGGATTAGCATCAAGGGCATGGAAAAGTTAAGCAGCATCCATGAGGCGGGAAGCTGCTCTAGACATTAATGAAATCATCAAAACCATGACTAGTATCGTCGAGCATATATACAGTGTCCCCACTGTATAAAGTACCTACTCATGGTGCACCTATTCGAATTATCATACATTTTGAAGAATCTGATTGAATCCTGGGAGATTTGCAGACCCAAAGGATCAGAGAGTATAAATTATAGCAAGTGAAGTATATGTATATCGTACAGAGACTTTATGGCTAGAAAGTCTATCTCAAGCGCTTCTATCTGCGATTTATAGGAGGCGCAAATCCTGTGCACTGATCAGAAAAGCAAAATCCGGGGGTAGAGCACTAGTCTTGGATAATCCTTGCTGGATCACATGTGAGCTACGAGCTTCCATTCCAACATTCCTCACTTCCCCCTCCTCGTCATTGCAATAACAGCGGGAGTCTCACATCCTCAATGATGCTGTCGCGTCGGTTAGAATCAAGTTCTACTTGTTAGCGATTCCTTCTGCCATCTTCTTCTCGCTGTTCTTCACTATGGCGGGTGTTTTAAACTCCATTTGGAGAATGCTCTTCGACGTTCTCCTCTTCTGGCAAATTGTAAGCTATTATTAGTCTCGTTCAATTGCTCTTCTAATGCGGACGGCAGAGATTCTTGAGATGGTTGACGCGCAAGAAGCCCGAGCAGCTGTGGTTCGAGATTCTGCGGGACTCGAAAACGTACGAGGAATGGGAAGAAGCGGCATTTCAACTCGATGTGCTGCTTGGTAACGACTTATGGTTCGGGCCCTACTCTTTACTGAAATAACCAATGCTGAGATACTGCTTCACAGGCGCCAAAATCCCACGTCGAAGTACTATGATTACCGACTCATCCACGAACGCCTACAATCAATCATCATTGCTCGAGAAGAAGGTGATATTCTGCAGCTAGTCAATCTGTTGCGGTCGGGACTAGTACGAAACTTGGGCAACATATCTACACCGCGCCTCTTCAATCGTGCATTTGCAGGAACAAAATTGTTGATCGAGGACTACATTACACAAGTTGCACAAGCAATTGCCGATGTCACGAAACTGCCAACCTCTCCTGGTTCCGATGGCAATGGCCCTATACCTGGCTTTAGTAGCCAAGCGAAGCTCGACTTGCTTCATGATACCAGACAAGCTTTCGGAAGAAGTACTCTGGTTCTGCAGGGAGGGGCAATATTTGGCTTGTGCCACTTAGGAGTTGTGAAAGCACTCTTTGCTCGTGGTTTGCTGCCAAGAATCATCACCGGAACTGCTACTGGAGCCCTCATTGCTGCTCTTGTTGGAATACACACTGAAGACGAGCTGCCGAGATTCTTGGACGGAGAGAGTATCGATCTTTCTGCATTTGCAGGAAAAGGCATACCTCTAGAGAACGGGCACGATGAATCGATGTCGTTTGATGGTTGGTGGAACACTCTTGTGAGAAGAGTTCGGAGATTCCTACGTGAAGGCTACTTCTTGGATGTGACAGTCCTCGAGGAGTGCGTTAGGGCCAATGTTGGAGATCTCACGTTTGAGGAAGCTTATAATCGAACGAAACGGGTGCTTAACATCACAGTTGCAACAACTGGAAGAGGCGGTGTCCCAAATCTCCTCAATTACCTGACAGCTCCGAATGTCGTACGTATATCTCCCACTCCAAGAACAGCAATGGCTGATTACATCCAAGTTGATTTGGTCTGCCGCAATTGCTTCAAATGCGTCCTCTCCAACCCTATATGGCCGATCGATTACTCTGAAATGTAAGGATACATCCGGGGCGATTGTTCCTTGGTCTGCCGCTTCTGACACGACCTTCCGACCCTGGACACACGCTTCATATTCAGATCGGGATTCGCCCTTATCTCGCATTGCGGAGCTGTTCAATGTCAATCATTTCATAGTTAGTCAAGCTCGACCATATCTTATTCCTTTCCTACAGAGCGATATGCATGGTCCATCTCCCCTCTACACCCGCGGCGGGCGGACTTCCATGACCGGTGGTCTGCTGAGACTTATGACCATGGAGATCCATCATAGATTGCAGCAACTTGATAGTCTTGGACTACTCCCTCTCTCTATCAGACGCTTCCTTGTTGATGAACATATTCCTGCAGCTTCCGTTACGCTGGTGCCTGAACTCTCTGCAGGTGACTTCATCCGCCTGCTCGAGACACCAACACAGGCTAGCCTGGACTACTGGATCCTCCGGGGAGAACGGAGCGTGTGGCCCGCTGTTGGTGCGCTGAAAGTTCGTTGTGCCATTGAAACGGAACTTGATCGAGGGTATCAAGTAGTCAGGAGGAGAAAAGCAGGCGGCTTACGAAGAAGAGGCAGTGCAGTTGATAATGCCAACGACAAAGAGCGAGCAAGAGAACGTGCTAACAGTGCCGGTGCGAAGTGGTAAATATTTATTAATGGGTATTCGGATGCATGATTTCGGGCGTTTCTCAGCATTTACACGGGCATAGGGATGGCGATACGGGGTCTTATCAGGATCTATATCATCGGCATTGCGGGGGTTTAAGTCGACCAGGGTTGTATGTACAACATTCGTATTCCAAATGTCTGCAGGGTTCTGATGGATGCTGTGTATCGGAGGATATGGCCTGCATTGGCATCAATATGGGACATCGCTCACGAGGGATCTTGTGCGTGGCCAAAGAGCTGCAAGACAGAGACCGAGGCATCCTTCACAGCAGCGTAGAAGCCAGCTCGAACACACCTAGCAAATGCAACATGCATCTCGTCTCCGCTTGGTTGCATGAGGCTCACAGCGGAGAACATACGTCTTGCGAAACCGGCGGCTGAGGCATTGTTCAGCCTTGCCAATGTTCTTCACTCTCAGGGCGAAACTGACGGTGGTCGGCGGCATCCGCCAGGTTATAGGCTTGGAGTAAGCACTATGAGTCAATTGAGCGGCTCGGAGACATTTCGAAAGACTTGTTCTTAAGATATCAATGTGGATATAAAAAGATGGAGTTTGAGTGTGGAACTGATTCCGGCCTCGGTTAACCACGGAACGCTACTACTCGGTCATGGACGTCCCTTCTCCATTCCTCCCTCCATCCGCGTCGAGAAAGTCAATCTCAATCTCAATCATGATTACAAAACAAAGCTTATCGAATGGTCACGGCCTCAAGATACACGATATGTAACCATGAGTTGTCATCCAGCCCTAGACATCAAAATGTACATACAGCTCACGTTACACCTTCGATAACCGAAAGTCAAAAGATCTACCATCGAACATGCAATGCCAACGGTCAACGCTTCCAGAAACCAAGTCGGTTCATGCAGGGTGGCTTCCAGCTGAAGACCTCCTGCAGAGTAAGGGTTCGTTAGTACCCAAAGGGAAGCTCATGCCCTTTCCGAGGAGAAACATTGGAGCCAAGGCCATAGATCTCAAAAAGTGAGGCTGCCTGAGTTATTTCTTGATTGGCATCCAGCGATTTTATTTCCCGACATATGTTCGGGTCAGTGTTTCCTATGTGCCAAAATTATCAGAGCTCAGTCCCCTTTTTGAAAACCCCGCTTTGCTGCTGCTCGTCTATCAGCGTATGCCTTACCTGCAAGATCGGGCGCAACAATTGCATCACTGATGTGCAGGATGATAACAACGAGGCAGGCAACTACAGAATCCCCTACCCGGCATCGGAGTCCCGTTACCACGGGGTTCACCTGCTGATCAAGCCCCCCTATCTCCAGCGAGATTGACGTTGGTTTTGGTGCTCATGACCGATCTGATGAGGGGAAGGAATGTCTCCAACAGAGGTTATAAGAAGCTCAAACATCTCCTCTGGTTTTACCATCTTCAATCTTCATCTCTTTCTTAAAGAAGTCATCTCAAATTTCAGCTTGCTCAATTCAATTCAATTGTTATTCTTTGCGATATCATATCATTGGCTTCTGCATATTTGCCACTTGCACCTGCTTCATTTTCTCCCACGATCAAGAAACACCGCCAATCTGTCTTCGTTATTACTGAGCCTCATTGTTCGCCCCCAATTGCCAGCCTAGTAAGCCATTATCTCCATCCCACCCCAGACCACGTCTCAACCCCACACAGTTCTCTCTGGCCCTTCCGACTCCAACCATTCAACATGGCGATCCCAGACCACAACAACACTGACTCCACCCACCACTACGAAGAATCCATCGATCAATGGATCTGCTCCCAATGCTTCAAAACCGTCTCCCCAACCCGTCCTCCTGTATTCAACCCCGAAAATTGCTCCTGCGTTGAAGCAGGTGGCGGCGGTCCCGTCTCCCAACCTAGAACGGAGGAACAGCCATTGTACGGCTACGACAATACCATGAATCAACCATCCTACGCTTCATCCGTAGTCTCCTTCACAGGTCCCGAGGGCCCAGAGAGAGAAAACCCAAACATGCAAATCACGAACAACTACCTCCCCCTCGGCCCAGACACAGGATTAAACGAGACCCAACATCGTCGCTCGGCGAGCTTCGAATCCGACATGTCGTACCAGATGCGGCGATTCCTCGTCGAGGAAGGGTACGTGAATGAGGAGCACCGGTTCCTGCAGCAGGATGTGAAGATCGGGTATGGGGGAACTAGCAAGAAGGTGAATAAGGGGAGTAAGCCGAGTAGTGGGGATAGTGGGAGGGGGAGCGAGGAGGTGGGGTGGAAGAGTTGGGGTGCGGGGGATTTGACTGTTAATGTTGGGGCTTGGATGGAGGATTTTGGGGGCGGGTATGGAGATGTAGGGAGGGGAGAGGGTGAGTATCCGTTGGTTATGAGTGGGGTTACAGAGTGTGATGGGGGGAATTGAGGGTTGGAAAGGAGTTGTATGATTATTGATACCCGGTGCTTTGCTTTGACGAATTTCCTTTTATGGTTCTGTGGTTGGGCTATTGTTTTGGTTTTGGTGGTACATTGACAAATTACTGGGATGGGCTTTTTGATTTAGTTTGGGTGGAGACTTTGCTTTGATGTAAGATTACTACCTTCTTTGTATTATATACATACAGCAATTGGCGGCCTTCTGTTTGCTTTGGTTGGAGTTCATACCGGTGGGGAATGTGTTTTGATATCCACTCTCGTTCAGATAGGTAGCAATGGGATTGCAACATCATCAGCGAGCAATCTCTCGTTTAGGTAGTCCCTTCCCTGTTTACACACATATCATGGAGTTGATGATTGTCTTATGTAGAGACATTGCAAGATCTTATCGATACTCCACGCTATCCAGAGAATCTTCTCCACAGCATCACAGCCGAAACGGTAGACATTGTGAACTTCACATCTTATGATCACCCAGTGAACCTTCGTCCAGTAAACATTGACAAAATATCGCACATTGTGAAAATTCACCATCTCATCTACAACCCGAAAACCCTCAAAACCAAACCAAACGGTGAACATCGCAAAATTCACCCTCCCACTTGTAAACTAAGCACTTCAAAACCCAGCTCGAGCTGCGTATATAAACACCCTTTTTTTTTTTTTTTCCCTCCAACTTCTCCCATCATTACTTGCAGCCGTACCCGTCCCCGCCCCCTGAGTGGCTGGCGTTCGTCCCGGGATCCAGGGTGCGCGAGTAATCTGGTTCATATTGCGGGGTGTATAGTATAGTTGTAGGGGCAATCTTTTTCTTTTATTGCGGATAGTTGTGTTGTTGCCAATGTGACAATGAAAGTTGAAGTGGCGCTGGAGAGTTAGTTGGCACTAAATAGTTAATTGATAATAAGACATTGGTTGACAAGGATAAAATCAAATCATATTGTAAACCTTTGCAAGAGACAGTTTTTTGATGTATCGTACATACTTACCGTGGAAATTGAGATAATAGTGCACCAGACTCTGTAGGACAATATGAGTAAGATAAGTCCCAACCAGAATATCAAAATTTGAAGGATGAAGTGGTGTATATTACAATTTCTACAGTATGCTACCTATCTAGCTCCCTAAGGGGAAGTATACTTATAATTATACTGCTCCTTCGCCTCATCACCCAACTTCTTCAACTTCTCCTCCCCCTCCTTAAACTCCGGCTCCTCCTTCAGCCTCCTCAAATACGCACTATTCACAATCTTACTCTCACTGGGAACCTTCAACGCATTCCTTACCGGTTCCCTCTCCTCGATCCTCTTCCACCACTTCTCCAAGCTCGGGAATTGACTCAAATCAACCCCGGCAAAATACCCCACGTTCACCCAGCTGAAATTCGCCATGTCCGCTATGGAGTACTTGCCCCGACCGGGACCAACGAGGTAATCGCGGTCCGAGAGCTGCGTATCGAGGACTCCGTAGAGACGCTCTGTTTCGCCGACATAGCGTTGAGTGGGGTATGGGATTCGTTCTTTAGCTAGACGGTAGAAGTGGTTTGCTTGGCCTTGCATTGGTCCCTAGTTATTTAATCAGCCCTCTTCTTTCTTTCATTCAAGTTTTCAAACAATGAAGACTCACTAAACCGCCATGCTGCCAAGCAACCCATTGCTCGCACCGACTCAGATCATCCGGATCCTCAAACGAAAACTTGTGCTCGGGATCATAATGCCTCGTTAAATAAGCCAGTATAGCCGCTCCCTCAAACACGGAGAAATCGTTCCTATCGTGATCCACGATCGCGGGGATCCGTCCATTGGGCGAGAATTTCGTGAACCAGGGCTCCTTTTGGATGTTCTCCATGATGTTGATGGATTGGTAGATATACTCTTTTCCGTATGCGGCTTTGAGCTCTTCGAGGATTATGGAGGCTTTGTGGCCATTGGGAGTGCCGAATGTGAGGAGCTCGATGCCGATTTTGCCAATTAGGCCGGTGGGGCGCTCGGAGGAGGAGGAGGAGGAGGAGGAGGAGGAGGACATGGTGCGTGCGGTTGTGGTTGTGGTTTGGAGGAGGTGTTTGGTTGTTTGGTAGAGGCGGCGGAGAGGTGTGTTTAACATTAATGCAACGAGGACCACCACGAGTGTGATGCGGAATATGAGGCGCATATAGTTTGGAGTGACGACAGAGAAGAGAAGAGAGGAAGGCTAATTGAAACGGCACTTACGTTGCAGAGGCTGGTGGTGGAAAGTAACTGCGAATGCTTTGAAATCATTTGATATGGAGCTTTGAGGAGCTATGACCTCGGAACATGGAAAGTGGTACTGTATCTTGTCGATGATGTCAGCAATTTTCTCGGCAATAGAGTATCTAGGTAATAAGTGGGGCGGAAACTGTAAGCGGGAGATCGGCAGACCCTACTTTTTATGGCTGATGTTATGAAGTACCTTTTGTGATCAAACTTTAAGAGGTTTCTTTTTGATGACAAGACAAAGACAGAAGTTGACTTTGGGACAGAAATTAATTCTTCTTGGAAGGTTCATCATCAATACATCTCTTACCGAACACAAGGTCTCCTCTACTCTGATCTCAAGTAAATGAATTCCCAGTAACCTTTCGGTTTCAGTGTTTGTGTTCCCATAAAAGTGTATACGGCTTATCAATGAGGAGCGTGGTTTTCACATTCGAAGGAGTAAAGATGCCGTTGCTTAATACTATGTCTATAGTAGAAGAAGCAAGGCTGGCGTTTGTGGCAATGTTTGTGATGTTGATGGCAGCTATTGCTGTGTGAATGGGTCGTGGCCATAGGGGGCGTCATGCTTACGGGTAGAGTAGTGGTGTTCTCTAGGGGAGCTATCCCCACATGGGAGGGTTTTTGGTGGAGGTAGCTTTTTTGATGGAGGTACGGTACTATACCGAAAAGTATTATTGATATGTACACTCAAAGCTGTATTGCTTGCTCGAAATTCTACAAGAAGTTCTAATCTATGTGATTCTTCGCACCTATGCGGCCACAGCTGTAAGCTTCTTCCCTTTAACATTCTTCCACTCCACAAAACAAGCGAAAATCGTCGCCAATCCACCGACTGCAATAGCAATAATATATGCCTGTTGCAGAGCGGCCATATATGCTTTCAACACACCCGGAAGATCCGCTACGCTGACTACTCTTCGGAGATAAGTCGCTCCTGCATTGATGACTGTTCCGGCGGAAACATCTGGGGCGTATTTTGGGAGCTCCGTTTTGAGACCGTTGGAGAAGATATTCTGAGCGACGGATATGGAAATGGCACCTCCGAGAGAGTTAAAGAAGATGGCGATTGCGTTGCCGGTGGGCATGTCTTTCGAACTCAGGACTACTTGGATAGCGATGAATGGAACTATTGGATGAAATTAGAACGGGGTTTTCAAGGATGTGGGACAGACTTACTCTGAACTCCTCCACCGGCACCAAAACCGCTGACTAGTTGATATCCTACCCACCTTCCGACCGACGAGTTGACAGTGAGAGTATAGATCAAGCCAGCTCCGACCGTGAAGATTGCACTACCAACGATCATAAATGGCTTGTACCACCCGAGTGCAGTGATGGCGCCTCCAATGACAATCGATGAAATGATAACAGAGCCTAGATATGGGATTGTTCGAATACCAGATCCTTCAGCACTCGTACCCTTGACGGCTTGGAAATAGAATGGCAGATAGTAGATGTGAGACTAGAAGAAGTCAGTCGTAATATCATTAAGTTGATAAATAGAAGACTTACGTATAATCCCATAGACAGGAAGCACGAATACAAACTGGCAAAGAGCACAGTCCTTTGACCAAATATTCGTGGAGGAATGGTAGCTCTGTCGCCTCTCCGGAACTGCTGGCCAATAAAGATGATGATCAGAAGTCCAAAGCCAAGTAAACAACCCCAAACCTTGGAGTCGTGCCAAGGATATGTCGAACCGCCCCATTGCAAAGCCAGAAGCAAGCAAACAATCGCACAGATCAAGAACGCTGCACCAAGCAAATCAATTTCCAAAATCTTTTGCTTCGTCGTGAGACCGCTGGACTTTCGTTGTGGTGGCTTGAAGAAGAACCAGACTACTGCTATGGAAACGGCACCAAATGGCAAGTTGATCTGTACGGATATCAGCTAGTATAGTCACGAGTTGAGGAATGAATACTTACCCAGAAACACCATCTCCAAGATACGTTATCGGTCAAGGCTCCACCAAGTAACGGTCCTACAACGGATGAAATGCCGAACATAGAAGATAGAGCTGCGATGAAAATTGGTCGTTTGGCGAGAGGCACACTGAATCCGACAATTGTCATACCACCAGAGAATAGTGCACTTGCTCCCGCACCTGCAACGGCACGACCCACAACTATTGATAAATCAGTATACACTTCTTTCAGCGACCTAGGATTCAAGTAGCTCATCCGAGGACTTAAGACGCATTATCTTTGATGAAATACTCCCGAGGACGATTTTGAAGAGCTCGGCTCCTAGAATGGTACAAAAGAAGGACAGAATTTGACGTACTGAGCATTTCAGAGTTCTTGGTTGCTGCACATAAGATCGAGCCAAGTTCGAAAATTACCAGCGCCGTTATATACGTATATTTGACATTGAAATAGGTGTAAATTCGTCCAAAGGAGGGTTGTAAGGCGGTTGTGGTAAGTAAATAGGCAGATCCATACTATATTTTATCAGCTTAATATCCGTCCTCGAACCAAGAACACAAGTTGATAGTCTCTGGTCGGGATTTGTAGATTGATTTTGACTCTGATGGTTTGGCGAATGAGACAAAGTCGGAACCGCAAAGCACAGACATAACTTGCGAAGAAAATATAACTTACCCAACCAACATCGTTCAATGAGTCGAAGACAGAAGTAATCTTGGGAATTGCGGTTGCAATAATAGTATTATCTGGATAATGTTAGTAACTTTCGCTTACTATATAACAGCATGGACGCGCGATGTTGTGACCCCTGGGAGCATAAACATCGAATGCTGGTGCCACGTTGAACAGGGAAGATGTATCCCAATGACCCGGCATCCAGACTTCTGGGATGATGTGGAATCGGTAAACTTTACATGAAAGCCAATTGACATACCAAGAGCTAGAATACTGTTAGTATATATCTTATATTGAGGAAACGTGATACTTTCCGACAGTGAACGTAGCAAGACAGAGGCCTAAAGTGAGCAAAGCAAGTTGTAATTGTCCAGGATAGACTATCTCATCGTCCTCCTCTCCTTCAGTCTCTGCCTCGCCATCTTGTACTATCGTCGCAGAAGTTCCCGCGGATCCATCTTTTTCGGGCACAACATGGCCATCTTGGGCATGTTTGAAAGCCGTAGCAGCGTGTTCAGCTTTCTCCGACGGCTCTAACACGAAACCAGCGCCTCCCACCACAGGTGCCACTTCAGGAATAGGCGAAGAACCGTTGTGAGGTAAGGAAGGGCGCCTCGACGTTGAAATACGCTTCTCTTCTTCTACTGGGCGCTCAGCCTCTGTATTTGATGCAGCGGAATTTGCCATCGGAAGCTCGGGTGGCTGCTCCATCTGATTGGATGGACAAGGACGATCAAGGGTGGATTCTCCAAGCCACGTTTCTGTTGGCCGTTCAAACGTGGGGAAATGTGGAAAAGAAAGTTATCGCATTACAATGATAAGGAAGACAAAAGACGGTCGCGAAGAGAATGGGATGAAAAGGAAGACGACTTGAAGGCGATTTCGAGCAGTATTTTTGAACAGTACGGATCGCTCGCATCCGGGGGATCTGAGAAGCCTGGGACCAATGAAGGCCAGCTTCGAATCCGAAAACGAGTCCTCTAGAGCAATCTCGGCCTACTTGCTACGAGCGGTGGTCTGCAATTTGTCCAGCATCTTTTGCGAATTGTTGTAAGCGATGGGAAGTGATGAGTGATTGGTGGTAAGGAGATAGCAAGCAGCAGGGAATGGATCATGGGCTGCATTTACAGGGTCAAGACTTCCCTATTCGTATTCATTGCCGCACCCTGACCCGTCTTTTGATAAACGTTCATTAAAACCCATTGCCACGGTATTGGATTCTGTATTCTGCCAAAAGCTTCGAATAGCATCTCAATTATAGATACATTTTGAAATGTATTGCTCTTTCACACACTCGCGCTGGGGCGTAGCACAAAATGTCATAAGATTGAGGGTTGTGGTGAGAGCGCAGAACCCCACCGCCGACAGTAACTTTCTCTCACATCGATGCTCAGGTGCGGCTTGGCTTTTAAGTGTTGGTGGTCAGACTGAAGTCTGTTCTGGGTAAATGTCCAAATGAGGAAACCGACTCGAAGATATGTAATGTAATGAGAGGCTGCGCTCAACAAGCACAAATAAAAGGATTTCTCTCCTCTTTTGAAGTTGTGCTTGGTCAGTTGATGATACAGCAGTCATGAACTTTTGATCTGAATTTTGTGACATGGACATAAATAGCAAGAGCCGCTTCTAGAGCTGCAAACATTATTGAGATGATGGACCCTCAATACTTTGCACCCCGGGATGTGGGTAAATCCTTCAGGATCTTCCGAGTACGAACTTCTCGCATTGATGTTAGATTGGTTGGTACAAAAGTCTCTTGTTGTCTGCAGACTATTAAACACGATCGCAAGCATTTAAAGACCTTCTTTCTCAAAGGTCTTGTGCTCTCTGGGACAATTCGAATGGTATTTCCCGAATTCGACTTCCAGTTGTGCTGTACTTCAAGATACGTTTTGCTGGTTTCGTTTCTTTTCACATGGATATGTTGGTCTTTACAGCTCAAGGATTATAGCCCAATGTCGCAAAACAGAGAACATGAGAAATGTTGTTAGCACTCGACGTAGTGTTGTGAATACCGGGAATAGTTGCAATACAATCTGTGTTTGCCGGATACATTCGACAGAGAGGATACATATGTATTTGGATTTCGCAAAATAAGGAGGAAAGAAACATTGGTATTTCAACAGGACACCCATGACACAGCAAGTATTTGAGTTCTCGCTCTATGGGCAGAGAAATGCCTAAGGATGGATCGAACTCTTCGGAAAACGGAAGTTGCTTTTGTGGTAGGTATAGTACAAGCAAATCCCAGATGTCTTCCGAAACTGGTGGTACATAATATCAACTCCCAAATCTGTCGCTCCCTTATGCTGTTTGCGCCGCATTATTATGACATGCCAGGGTATGGCATTTCCTTCTATACAACCCGCTTGACCTATAAGTCAATCAGCTACCGGCTCAAAACTCCAAAGCGCTCGGCACTGTTCTTGCCTACCTCGAAGAACCGCTTCAACCACCAGACTTGGAAGACACCTTCGGCAGCCAGGACGCCCATCTGGAAAATGCTCCACCACTTCACTCGGGCATTCGTGCTTTCAGCAGTATTTCGGTGGGTTCGTTCACGGACAACGATATAAGATTGCTCATCCTTGACTTGGGCAAGAAGTTCGGATAATTGGCGTACTGTGGTTTTGAATTAGCATGTCGAAGCACTGCTGCTCAATTGGGCAACATACCTTCTGCCTCTAGAGGATCTGATGGAGCCTCGGCTTCTGGAACGTAGACAATGCCGTGGACATTGAATGACACATCCTTGCTTGATGCTGACCAGTGCTCATTGCTGAAGCAGTATACGAACTTTCCATCGTGCTGAGCAGTGAAGGAATGATCTCCATTCGAAACAGATCTTTCGTGTGTCTCGTAGCCTCCTGAGGGGTTCTGGATCTGCCATGCTGTCAGAAGATGCCCAAGCAGATAAGAATTGCCATGTCCGTACCCAAAAGTCGACATGTAAGTTGCCTGCACTACCAAATTCTCTGTCACCAACTTGGAATGTAACCGTCATCTTATCATCCTTGTGAAGCATTTCGTGAAAGCATTCTCGGCCATGTGCGGCAAGTTGAATATTGTGTGAGAGCGCTGTGCCTAGTAGGGTGCTGGCCGCCAGCAGGAGAGAAGAAGTTGAGACCTTCATTGTGTTGTCGCTGGTCAACCCTTAAGCAAGTTGATGAAGGCCAGGGGTCGAGCCAGCGCGTTTGTTTGCTTGCTTATTCGAAAAAACTGGCAGACTGTTGAAAGGACAAAGTGTCACCGGTGAAAGAACGAGCAACCCAACCGACTTGAAGATATTCAGGTGAATGGCATGTATGTCGCGTCGTCAATGAACGAATTCACCGGCCATGGAATTTCAAAGGGACACCTTGAGTTCACCTGGGTCGCTAAATTAGCGCCAAAATGCGGCTTCCGCCAGTTTGGCCGCACTTTGTCCTTAATAACCACCTCATCCTACACGACATATCAACACCTCGCTAATAACTTCACATCTATCTCCACCTGGTCGTCGTTGACCTTACGGAATTGTAAGCTGTCCCTTCTACCCTTTCCGACTGCTATGCGGCACTTGACAGATGGTGGCGGATATCAAATGCGCAGCGCGTGCGCTCGCAGGATCCTGGATACGATAGTGCTTCTTTCAATCATGGCAGCCTATTTGGGTCCAGAATGACTGCAATGCATCCTGAACAGAGCATCTGTCCTTTGCTTCTGTCTGCATATAGACTTGGGAGTTCACCTTCTATCGCGCAATGCTAACCTCCTGTCTCCCATAGAATCGACTTTAGTCACGATCAATATCCGATCTCACCCACACAACACAACCTCATCCCGCAATCATGGGTCTCACATTCTCAAAGCTCTTTGATAAGCTCTGGGGAAAGAAGGAGATGAGAATTCTGATGGTTGGTTTGGATGCTGCTGGAAAGACCACAATTCTCTACAAGCTCAAGCTCGGTGAAATTGTCACAACCATCCCTACAATCGGTATAGACCCTTCATTCTCCGATCATCGGCATCACTTGTTGAGTTGGCACTGATTTGGCTTTCCAGGATTCAACGTTGAGACCGTCGAGTACAAGAACATTCAATTCACCGTATGGGATGTTGGTGGACAGGACAAGATCCGACCCCTGTGGAGACATTACTTCCAAAACACCCAAGGCATCATCTTCGTCGTTGACAGCAATGATCGTGATCGTGTTGTTGAGGCTCGAGAGGAGTTGCAACGTATGTTGAACGAGGATGAGCTTAGGGATGCCATTCTTTTGGTCTTCGCCAACAAGCAAGATTTGCCAGTACGTTCGACTGTCTGCAATATGCAAGAATTTGCTAATCAATCTGCAGAATGCCATGAACGCTGCTGAGATCACAGACAAGTTGGGTCTTCACAGCTTGAGACAACGTGCCTGGGTAAGATTCCTCAACAAAAAACGTTCTGATACATTATACTCATTCTTTATAGTACATCCAATCCACCTGTGCTACCTCTGGAGATGGTCTTTATGAGGGTTTGGAGTGGCTCGCACAAACCCTCCGAAAGGCTGGTCATCAGTAAATCTGGCGTCCCTTTTTCCCTGCAATCCGATTGTCTTTCAAGCTTCCAAAACAATCGAACGTCCATATCATAACGTCTCCATATCGACCATTGGTGCCCCGTCCTATGAATCATCTCAGTCTCTTCGGTTCTACTTCCATGAGAGGCGCAAGGGTGGTTATTGTACGATGAATCAAGCTTCTGCGTTTTCCTGGGCTGCTGCATTGCATTTAGCTTTTGAGAACATCGCAAGGCTTTCTCTTTCCGCGCGTTTTCGGCCTTTCGACTTTCCTACATCTGGCTTTGCCATCTTGTGTTTCAGCATGGTATAAAAGCAGTCGGTAGATGGAGGATCATGGTAGTCTAGTCCGGAATTGATCTCACATTAGAAAAATAATCTTCCTCCTGCTTTGAGTGTGCAAGTCTGACGCTAAGAACAAAAAACTGACCAGATTTCAAGTCTCAGGTTTGTATTATCTGCAGCCTCAAACCAAGTCTGAGAGTCAAGGAGTCTAGCACGTCATAATAGAACTAAACCAATCATGTTTACAGACGAAGCACATAAAGTTTCGCAAGGACTCGCTAGCAAATGTTGTTTCTTCAACCTGTCAATATGGCACGGCACATTGAGCTCAGCTCTTCTGTTTCTATCTTTTTGCTAGTGCAGCTTCGGTCTTTATCTGGGACACTCAAGACTCTAGGTAGTCGAATTCCTACCGTGGCTATGACTATGATCATGAGCCTCATGACCAACGCCATCTTCTGCAACAGTAGTCCCCCAATCTTCGAATCCATCTACGATTCAGTCAGCATCTGTTGTATTCATGTGATCCTCTTGCTCGACGTACCTTTGAACATTGTAGCAAGTTTATCCTCGATTTCCTCAACAGTATACTTCTTATTCTTCATTACTCTCTCCCACCTCCTCATCTCACTATCAGTCAACAAGCACTCATCGAGAACAGCGAAAACGGCATGCTGCTCTACTTTCTCGCCGATGAAAACAAGTTCTTGACGTCTGTCGCCCCATGAGCCCGAGAAATCCGCTTCGATAGCTGCTACAATATCCATGTCCTCAGGCCAGGCCTCTGCTTCACAGTTAGTTCGACGCGAACTTTTGTGTTTGCTTGAAGATTTTACCACGTGGGACGACACAGAACCAAGGACCGCCTCCTTGGAGTGTGAGCATGCCGCCTGCTTGGCTCCATTCTCCGTGTTGACTGGGTCGAGTGGCCAGCCAAAAGAAGCCTTTAGAGCGGAGGAGACCTGAGAATGCCGGATGTGCAGCTTTATTTTGGAGGATCATCTGCGTTGTCAAATCCTGTATGTGAGAGATGGGCCAGAAAAACTACTTACCTTGGGGTCGATCTCCTTGGGATATTCTTTATCTTCGACATCTTCTCCCATTTCTGTGTCACTGTCTTCCCCTTCCTCGGCGTTTTGGTCCATGTCTTCATCGTCGTCTTCTCCGACCTCATCTTCTTCCACCACTTGATCGACGTTCTGCATAACGATGAACTTATCGTATATGAGATCCCATAGTCGATTGGGGTGGAATGGCTTCCTTGCACGGTATACGAAGCTTGAGATGCCGTACCTATGTCTCGTGAGAATATGATTTCTTCGATTCAGAAACCCATACTCACTCTTCCGTTTCAGGCTTAGGGACCATTTTCGACTTCCCGCCAATTTCCATTTGTGTCAGCTCGTGCAAACTTCTCAGCCAGCCAGCGCCAGTAGCAGCTTTCTCAAACGAGAACATGTTGGTATTGATGATCTCCATCACGTCTATTGCACTGTATCTCGCTTCGAGTACTTTGGCAACAGGGTTGAGTCTCTTTACCAGAGCAAGTATTCTTGCTTTGGTTGAGGAATCCACCATGTCTAGCTTGTTCACAATAATCACATCGGCGAACTCAAGTTGATCGACCATGAGATCTGTGATAGTCCGTTCATCCTCCGGAATAAAGTTGTCCTTCCCATACCTGTCAGACAAGAAGTCTGCCGTAGAAAAGTTATGGAACAAGTTAAAGGCATCCACAACCGAGACCGTAGTATCGAGTCGTGCAAGTTTATTAAGGCCCCCAAGATTCGCTCTACAGGATCGTCAGCTTGGCTCAAAGTCCAGGCAATCACCTACATCTCTTTTAAGACCGCACTTTCCTCTCCATCATCAAGGTTCCCCTCTTGCTCAATCATCATCCTCGAAAACTCAGTCGTAAATGTCTCAGCTACCTGCATCGGCTCACTGATACCTGTACTCTCAATGACTACATATTGTACTGCATCCGTTCTCGCCAGCTTCACGAGTTCTTCCAGCAAGTCGCCACGAAGTGTGCAGCAGATACAGCCATTTTGCAGCTGGATGAGTTTTTCTTTGCTTTGGGAAACGGTGTGTTGTTGAATGAGGGAAGCGTCGATGTTTAGTCTAAGGAGGTCAGCCATTGCTTTGGATGGATGGAATTGGGGTCGGACGAGGACATGTCATTGACGATGACGGCGATTCGGAGACCGTGAGAGGGGGATTTGAGGATATGTTCTAGTAAAGTGGTTTTCCCGCTTCCTAAGAAACCTGACAAGAGCGTCACTGGTAGTTGGCGGATCTTGGGCTCTTGGACTGCCATGTGGCTGTCTAAGGAGGATGGAGTTAACTCGTTGGTTGAGATTGGTGCCATTCTGACTTCTGAATCTTTTCTGGACACGAAATAGAATTTTTGAGCAGGACAAATTCGAAAGTAATTTTCAATTTTCTGAACTGAGTGTACGAAACAGTGTTCGAAGCGAGGTACAGTGCCATCAGGGTAGGAAAACTCAGGGAACATCAACCATCAAGGTGTTTCTCATATAAAGTTCAGGTTTATGACCAATCAAGCTCTAGATGTTGGAAATACTGTTTATGAGAAGGCCGCCAAAAGTAAAGTTCGTTCGAAAGTCTACTTTAGTGGTTGGCGTTGTCTTGTACGTGTGGATCATAGAGGATGGAGGGCTTCTGGGAATAAGGGTGGCATGAGAGCATTATATTTGTCGAATGTTGTTACTCGGTGCATGAAGAATATCACATCTTTCATCTTTCAGAAGGTCCAAGTGAAGGAAATCCGTCGATATATATCCAGAGATAGGAGAACATGTATTATACACCGTAGTTCTTCTGACTCCAACTCCACAACCCCCATAGAGTAGAGATTCGCCACCCAATGCCGCTAAACACACTTTCTTTATAGTAATATATATATATATATTTAGTTCTCAAAGGACTCGGTAGTACCGACATCCAAACCATCTCCACTCTTATTGATCTTGACCACTGCTGTCTCACCAGTCTTCAGCTCTCCTCGAATGATCTTATCCGCCAGTCCATTGCCAATTTCCTTGGAAATGAGCCTATTGAGAGGTCTGGCTCCGAATTTTGGATCATAGCCTCGCTCAGCAAGCCAGACACGAACAGTTTCATCAACGGAGAGAGTGATACGACGGTCGTGGAGACGTGTTTGAAGTTCCTTGAGACGAATGTCTACGATGTCACGGAGAGCGTCCGTGGAAAGGCGTTTGAAGATGATGAACTCGTCGATTCTGTTCAGGAATTCAGGTGCATCTACAGCAAAATTAGCATTGCGATGTTATAAGACTCAAATTGGAACTTACAGTTGTGTTGTACGACGTCCATAACAGCGTTCTTAACATTAGGAGCGATGTCGCCATTTGGTTCTTCGTGATAAGGGTGAATTGGGTCGTTGCCAACAAGTATATCTGCTCCAAGGTTCGAGGTAAAGACGATGAGGGTATTGCGGAAATCAATCTTGTGGCCTTGGCTGTCAGTCAAGAATCCTTCGTCCAGAACTTGTAGCAGAAGTGCGGAAATGTCTCTGTGGGCTTTCTCGAATTCGTCGAAAAGAAGTACAGCATAGGGCTTTCGTCGGACTGCTTCTGTAAGTTGACCGGCATCATCGTATCCGACATAACCAGCAGGGCTACAGCATGTTAGCATGGTTTACCATTGTGCTCCTCTATGCACTTACCTTCCAATTAGACGAGAAATGGTATGCTTTTCTTGGAATTCGCTCATGTCAAAACGAACAACGGCTGATTCTGTGGAGAACAAGAAGTTTGCCATCTTTTTACAAAGTTCTGTCTTTCCAACACCTGTAGGGCCGAGGAAGAAGAAGGAGGCCAATGGTCGTTTCTCTCCATTGAGGCCAGCTCTTTGCATCCTCACTGCGTTTGCAACAGCATGTAGAGCTTCATCCTGGCCACAGACGGACTCCCGTAAAGTGTCTTCCATGTGGATCAATTTCTCGGCATGTCCAGATGTCAACTTGGTGACTGGAATGCCAGTGACTCGTGAAACCACAGCAGCGATGTCATCAGCAGTAACAGCATCGTGGATCAAAGTGCCTTCTCCCGAGGCTCCGGTTGGCTCGCCATCTTTGGGTAACTTCGCCTCCATGGCGGGGATGACCGCATACCGCAACTCTCCAGCACGCGCAAAGTTGTTCTCTCGCTATTGAAGTCAGTGGAGATTCTAGTCAAGTATGTCTTGTCGTGGGGTAGCATTGGCTTACCTGTGCTTGATCGAGTTCTATCCTAGCTTTTTCCAAGTCTTCCTTGGTCTTCTTGATGGCATCAATTTCTGCTCTCTCCTTTTCCCACTTCTCCGTGAGCGTGGCTGCCTCAGCTTGGCATTCCTTAAGATCAGATTCCAGCTTCTCTCTTCGCTCTCTGCTAGCAACATCGGTTTCTTTGCGTAAGCTTTCCAACTCGATTTGAATCGTCATGATCCTCTGATCCAGGCGCATGATATCTTCTGGCTTGCTTTCTTGTTGTAATCGCAAGCCGCTGGCTGCTTCGTCCATAAGATCTATAGCTTTATCGGGTAGGAATCTGTCTGTAATGTATCGATTGCTGTATGTGGCTGCCGCGACAAGTGCGCCATCTGTGATGCGCACACCGTGGTGAACTTCGTACTTCTCTTTGATGCCTCGAAGTATACTGATAGTGTCTTGAATGGAGGGTTCATTGACTTGAATAGGCTGAAAACGTCTTGCAAGGGCAACATCTAGGAATGGACTGTTAGTATATGAACTTCAACTGGTATAAAACAGAGATCAAAGATCGGAAATTATAAAATCAAAGTGCAGATGCAAATTTAAATAGTATCCTATGCATTAACAAACCATCGCTGTACATTGAACACATTGACAACAACGTTGTACAGCAACAAGATTTTAACACAGAAAAGTACAACACTTCACACAATACCAAGAGCAATTCGCAACGAGGAACTAGATATTTCAGCTTACCCTTTTCAATTAATCGATACTCATTGAGAGTTGTAGCTCCACAGCATTGCAATTCGCCTCTTGAGAGTGCTGGCTTGAGAAGGTTACTTGCATCTATGGATCCCTCTGCTTTGCCTAGGCCAAGCAAAGTGTGGAGTTCATCCACGAAAAGAATAATGCCACCATGAGCTTCTTGGACTTCTTTCAAGACAGCCTTCAGTCTCTCTTCAAAGTCGCCACGAAACTTCGCTCCTGCGATGAGCTGGCCAAGATCCAATGATATAACCTTCTTGTCCTTGATACTCTCAGGAACATCGCCTCTGATTATTCTTTGAGCCAATCCTTCCAATATAGCCGTCTTGCCAGTTCCTGCACTTCCGATGAGTACTGGGTTGTTCTTCGTACGTCGAGATAGTACTTGGATCGTTCGATAGATCTCTGCGTCTCTTCCTATGACAGGATCTAGCTTCCCGTCTTTGGCTCGAGCAGTCAAATCGACTCCATATTGCTCCAATGCTGATTTCTCTTCCCCACCCCCCCCTAAGTCCATACGATGTGTGCCACCTGGAGGGTGTGGACGTCCACGTCCATTGGCATATGCGCGAAATGCCGTGAGAGGGACGACGTAGTGTTGTGGTACGAGGGTATTGCTCCGAAGAGCTACACTACTGAGAGGTATCTCTGGTACTCGAAGAGATCGTTCTGTCGCACTTGCGATGCGCCGGGCAGGAATTCGTAGTTGTCGGACAAACATGGTGAAAAATGTTCAGTATAGTCAGAAACATTGGTATCGACAGGACAGAAGGAAAGTAAACATCTTCAGATACTCAAGTGGGAATATGTACCGTGGCGTGACAAAAAGTTTTTGTCTGTTGATCTGGAAGCATCAGGCTGCTTCTATTTGATAGCCTTGCTGGTCTGGATCTAGCCGGAAATAGACTAGATTGGGCGTAGACCTAGCCAATCGACCGAGCACAACCCAAAGTTCAGTTTTAAATTCTGACCACAACATCAAAACCCCACCACCACAAAAACATTCTTCAATTCCTTCCAAACCCTTTCTCCCTTTGTCAACATCAGAACTCGACACAATGGGATTCGCCGATCTTGTCACAGATGCTGGTCTCACTAGTAAGTTTCCTTGCTCTGATCAGGCATTCAAAGTCCTCGATCGCAAATTTCGAGGCCATTCAAAATTGACGTGACTCACTCAGTGCTTAACAGCTGGTTGGAGACTCGGTCATACATCGTCGGGTACGTTTTTATCTTCAGTCTACAGTTTTCCCGCGTTTGCAGAAAGTGTGGCATACTGTGCCAGTTTCTGCAAACTCGAATTCCTCCCTAATAACAAATTTCATGATGAACAACATTGGTCCGTGTTACTGAGCGGCCTCAAGAACCGTGTTATGGCGATCACCAAGCATACAAGTGCACTTCTGAATACAATTTCTACCATCTGCTGTTATTTTCGCTGCCATTAGCGATCACAAGGCTGACCTAAAAGAACAGATACTCCCCATCTCAGGCCGATGTTGCTACCCACAAGGCCTTGAAGTCTGCACCTGATGCCGCTAAATACCCGTACGCTGCTAGATGGTACAAGCACATTACAAGCTGGACCGAGGAATTTGCCACTCTCCCTGGTGATGCCTCAAAGGCTTACTCCACATACGGCCCCGAGGTCACCACCGCCACCCTGAACCCAGCAAAGGCTCCTGCAGCAGCTGAGGAGGAGGATGACGATGTCGATCTCTTCGGTAGTGATGATGAGGAAGAGGACGCAGAAGCTGCGAGAATCAGAGACGAGCGTCTAGCTGAGTACAAGAAGAAGAAGGAGGGCAAGACCAAGCCTGCTGCCAAGTCTGTTGTCACTATGGATGTTAAGCCTTGGGGTATGTGTTCATGTACGGTTCTTGTGAAGCTTACCCTTACTAACTGGCACTGTAGATGATGAGACGGATATGAAGGCTCTTGAGGCTTCCGTTCGTGGCATCGAGAAAGATGGTCTCGTCTGGGGTAAATCCCAGCTTGTCGCTGTCGGTTTCGGTATCAAGAAGCTCCAGATGTAAGTATTCCTTGCGGTGTTCTCTATCAACCTCCAAATCCCCTTCCACCTGGACTTCCTTGGTGTCCCTTCGATTATTATAATCCTCCCCGATTGTTTAGCATTGTTAGCGTTCTCGAGATCTTCTCTTTAGACATCATGACCTCACATTTGCCATATTCGTCGCTTTAATCTTGACCGGTAGCCTCAGGATCCAATGATACCTCAGAGTTTCTTCAACATCTCCATTGGCTTTGATAGATTTTTGAACGCAGACTAATAGCCTTATTTAGCAACCTGATCATTGAAGATGACAAGGTCGGATTGGATGATTTGCAAGAGGAGATTGTAAGCAAAGTACACTCCTGTCCATGTAGTCTCGCACTAACAAGTCTCAGGCCGAATTCGAGGACTACGTTCAGTCAACTGATGTTGTAAGTACTACGTGCTATATAGGTAGATATCTACTGACATCCTCCAGGTAGCTATGCAAAAGCTATAGAGCACTCCCTCGCTTTAGACGACTTCTTCTCTACAATTATCAGCGTTCTTGATTCCAGATCATGCTACTGCTGTTTTTATGGCTTCCCGGTTAATGAATGACATGACGATGTCATGGATAGCATAGAAATAAAATGCCAAAACCATGATGACCTCCATTTAATTTTCATACCTCAATGTTGTTCGTGACTGTGAAACCCTTTTTGTATGCTCGGAAAAAACCACGCTGCAGCCCCCACATTGTTAGCAGAGCCTCCACCGAAGGCGCTAAGTTTTGCGGCTCACCAAGTAATCAACGCCAACTTGCAGCTTGTCCCACTTGCAAGCCCAACACAAAGACATCACAGTATGACCTGGATATCAAAGTCTGTCACCGGCCTAGGCCTGCTGTTCCTGGCGCATGCGTGAGTATTTTATGCGACGACGTCTGGAAGCCCCGTCATTAACAGTCCACGCAGATGTTACTCGGCCTACGAACACTCTGCTCTCCATTCCACCAGTACAGCTTCTCTATCATCAACAGCAGCTCATACCGCGATCACGTCCACTTCTTCCTCACTACCTATCGATATATCGATCGAAACACTTGTGGCGGTATTCACAGTTTGCCTGGGTCTGGTCCTAGGCACTCCTGAATTGCGACCAATACAATGGCGGGTTTGGGCAGGCCAAATTGAGCGTGAAGGAGAAGCAGGATTCACAAACATCGATGGGCAAGTGGATAAGGACTATGTTGGCAATCCATTCAGAGTGTTGGAAAGCAGACCGGGTTTCGTGGATATCCGGAAGCAGAGGAAGGAGTTTGCAGAGTGGGTACGAGAAGGCGGAGGAATTGATGAAGCAAAGAAGAGCTGAAGTCGAATCACAAGGCATATGTAAAAATGGCGCAGGGTGGTATTCTCAGTGGACTTCTCACTGGTAGATATTTGCCGTATAGACTCTTGCAATTAGTGATGCAAGAGAAGCTGCGACATAGCACTACTTTACGCTCAAATCAAGAAATTCATGAGTGTATCATAAGTTTTGTCAAAGTATGATATTTCGAGCCCCTGCAATCCCTTGATTTTTAATTAGTGGTGGCATGAAACTTATATCTCAGTGTTGTACAGTACCTCAGGGTGGCTCGTCAACAAGACACCTAAAATTCGCTTTACATTTCCTGCTTCCGTCCTACATCTTCCACTCCCCTGACTATTGAGCGACCAAGATTTCAAGATGGCCTTCAAACGCCGTCGATTGACATCTGGGACATCATCCCGATCTCAATCATCCTCCAGACCACAGTCATTCTCTCGACTGAGCTCTGTGCCTCGGAGCAATGCAGCGTCGTCACCTGCTCTACCACCACTCCAACCTCAGAAAAGACTTTCCCTTGGGATTCGCGGCTCCAGTGTTGCCAGTAGCACGCTGCGGGGAGAAGAAGATGTACGAGCAGAGCATCTTGAAACGGAAGCTGAAATACAAGCTCGTGAAGACGCGGATGAAATGAACGAAGTCATTCTTGCCGTCGACATGAGAGACCGTGGCACAATAGGAAGTGCCTACTACGTTACGAGGGAAGAGAAACTCTGCCTCATGGAGGACATCAAGATGGCAGGGCTTGATATTATTGACACATTAAAACTTCACGCACAGCCAACTCTGATTCTGATCAGGACACGATCGGACGAGAAGTTGGAGGATCATCTAGCCAAAGATGCACGAGGTATCGATCGAGGAGATGAAGCTAGTAAGTCAACCCAGACACCATTCACTTGCTGTCACTTACTTCGATTGTGATAGATGATATTTTCGGATCTTATATCCTTAATTCCCGAACGGCAGGAGATTTCAATGAAGAGAAGGCTAAGAATATGCTTATCAACCTCGAACTCACTGCCGATGAAGCTCCAAACATCATTTTCACGACTCCAGCAGATGAAGCTGCTGGTGGTATGCCGTATGAGGATAATGGTGTTATGGGTCGCCAAGGTAGGCTCTTAAGGCTCGCTGGTTGGATTGATCTTGACAGCAAAGTCACTGTAAGTACACTGGCACTGCACGTCTTACGATACATTGACCACGCTGTAGCTTGGATGTGCAGGTGCCATCCTGAACTACATATCCAGGCGAAAGAATGTTGAGTATCTTCCAAACGATCAGGCTGCTCTGGTTGCGTTTCGAATTCGCACAATTGAGATGTTCACTCTTTCAGACATGATGTTTGTCAACGCTGATACGTTGGCTTCACTCCAAATCATCCAGTCGGAGAACCATCCTAATTCGCACATGCAAGGACCCAACAAGTCTACATCTGGTGCAAAGGAGAGCTTGTCCGTGTATGGTCTATTTTGTCATCTTGCCCAGAGCCCGCAGGGAAAGCAGAAGCTTAGACAAATTTTCCTCCGCCCAAGTACCGACTTGAATGTCATCAGGGAAAGGTTGAGTACTATCAGCGTCTTACTACGGCCCGATAATTCTACGTTGCTAGGAAAGATCAGTCGTAGTCTGAAGAAGATCAAGGACCTACGATCCGTGATGATCCACCTCCAAAAGGGCATCAGCGACACTCCAGGCCAGAAGAATGCGTTCCGCAGAGGTCCGTGGGGAAGCATTCAGAGCTTCACTTTCCATGTTCTCCTGATATTAGACGCCGTTCGTGAACTAGCTGGTAGTCGGACAGTGGCTGTTGCGAACAAGTTCGTCGCTCAAATACAGGTTGCTCGAATCAAAAGTGTGGGCGAAATGATCACGAATACTGTGGACTTCCAGATCTCGGAAGAGCAACATCGTACGGTTGTTATGCCGGGCGTAGATCCCGAGCTGGATAATTTTAAGAGAACATATGACGGCATGACCAATCTTCTAACCCAGGTCGCAACCCTACTTTCAAAGGATTTACCAGAATGGGCAACACAATATGTACAGAATTGTATCTTCTTTCCTCAACTAGGATTTCTGACCGTGGTTCATTTGGATCCGACAACGGGTAAAGGCAAGTATGAAGGGGAAGGCCTAGAAGATGATGTCTGGGAGAAGATGTTTGCTAGCAACGATATGGGCTACTACAAGAACCGGCGCATGAAAGAGATGGATGACTACTTTGGAGATTTATGGAGCATGATTTGTGGTAGGTCAAGTTCCCAACTCGTTTTCGCAGCAGTTGCTGAAGCCTGATTCAGATAGGGAGATCGAGATCATTCATGGGCTCGCCGTCAAAGTTCTCGAGCATGAGCAACTTCTTGTGTCCGCCTCTGATCTTTGCGGAGAACTTGATTGTCTTGTCGCATTGGCGCTGGGCGCTCAAAAATACCGATACAGTCCGCCGCAAGTGACGAGAGCCAATGTGATGAGCATCGAAGGTGGTCGCCATCCATTGCAAGAGCTCACTGTCCCAGCCTACATTGCAAATGATTGCTTTTTGAAAGGAGGAGTGGGCGAAGACGATGAAGAGAACAGCAGCCTCGTCGAATCGCGAGCTTCATCGGTTTCGCAGAGCATTGAAGGTCCTAGCATGCTCATTATGACTGGACCTAATTACTCAGGAAAAAGTGTATACCTCAAACAAAATGCTTTGATCGTCTATATGGCACATATTGGTAGTTTTGTGCCTGCTGAGAGAGCAGTCATAGGATTGACGGACAAGATTTTGACAAGAATCGCAACAAGGGAAAGTGTTTCGAGAAACCAGAGTGCCTTCATGATCGACCTGCAACAAATTACACTGTCTTTGACTCTCGCCACCAGTCGTACTCTCATCATCATTGATGAGTTCGGCAAAGGTACCAACGCCTCGGATGGTGCAGGTCTCTGTTGTGGAGCTTTCGAATATCTTCTCAGTCTTGGTATTAATCGACCAAAGGTCCTTGCAGCCACGCATTTCCATGAAATCTTCGAGAATGGGTTCCTTAGCGATAGACCAGAGTTGTCGTTTGGGCACATGGAAGTTCGTGTAGATACGCAGGCGGAACTGGTTGAAGATCAGATTACGTACCTATACAACTTTGTGCCAGGTCGAAGCATCTCTAGTTTTGGCACCACTTGTGCTATGATGAATGGGATTGATACAGCAATCGTGGAGAGAGCTGATGAATTGATTATCTTGGCGGCTCGAGGTGAGGACCTCATCGCTGCTTGCGCCAAGGTCTCCCCGGATGAGCAACGAGAACTGGAAGACGCAGAACAGATTGGAAGACAATTCCTTGAGCAGGAGTTTCCGCTCCCAGAGGACAAGCAAGCAGCCGGGTTCAACGTCCGAAGTGTCTTGCAGAACATTCTTGCCGTGAGTTCGAACTAAGGCACCGTGAATACTTGAAACTTAGTTTCGAATTTGCATTATTGCACATCATACTCAGGTGGCGGACCCATTAATAGCACATGACATACAGTACGTGAGGGATTTTGCGCTGGCTTGTTCAAGTCTAGGTGGAATCCAATTTTAGAAGAGGTAGAAGTCAGTGAGCACGAATTTGCTGAAGATCTTGCAGAATCAAGGAGGCTCTATCTACTTTAAGCTTCATTTCCGGAGACCAAAGTTTCTTCTGCTTGTGATCATCCCATCAACCATGAAAATTTTCTTTTCTAAACGTTCAACGGTGTTTGGACCCTCGACCAAACAGTCGATGAATCCGAGCCCTCGACAATACTTGACTGACTGCTTGGATGCCAAGGATGTTTTACCTTGGCGAGGAAACAAGCCCTGACCAACCATGAGAAGACCGAAGAATCGAAACAAGTGAAAATTCTGCAGAAGGGCCCAATTGTGAGCATTGAGACTGGTTCTGTTTCGAAGAGCTCTGACGATGTCTCAGTATTGGACTGTTTGGGGCATGGAAGCAGGGGTGAAGCGTGCCGAAGTGAGGCCTGCGTTATGTCCACCTCGGGATTTTCTCCAGATTCTGGCATGTTCAGCCTCTTTCCTTCAACCTTGGAAACGGGTCCCGGTCGACTCCATTTTCTGCAAGCGCACGTTAAGCTTGTATGAGATTCGTCGTCCCCTATTCGCCCGTCTTCTCTGCAGCCGTCTACATCTGGACCCTCTGCCGGCAACGTCCCCATGTCTTCCATCGCCAAGAAAAACTCATCGCGACACAAGGCGACGCTCTGTGCGTAGTGTCAGTGTTTCAACGGCCAGCCACTCCTCTTCTCGAGTCGACCCTCCGCTATTGGTCGTCGTGAGGTCCAAATATAGCCGATGTCGTCGTCGTCTCAATTCAGAGACAAGGTTGGCCACTGTCAAGGCATAATGTGCCTTCGACTGCATGCCGCCTCTCGCGATACCTGTGGCAGATCAGTTACGCGGTCTCCTTAGAATAACTCTCGAGGTGAGGGAAAACAGTCTCGAAATGTTCAGAGCAAGTCGAAGAGAGAAGAGAGGCGTTAGCACGTTGGTTTGAGGTCTCATCTCGAACCCTTGCGAAGTGGAGATTCGTCCCAACATGGTTCGAGCAAAAGCGCCGAACATAGAGGAGACGTCAGGTATGGTACTTTTGTGGAGAATACAGAAAAGTGTTCAAGGGAGTGGCTGTTGACATATAAGTATGTGCTCATGGACTCTCCAAACTTTCATTCCTCATTCTCATCATCTTCATAATAACATCATCGGTCGATCCGTCTTCAATTCTTCAACTTTTCATCAATACCATTCAATTCTATTCTCCACCAACCTTCCAAACCAATCCTCCAACCTTCAAAATGCAATACTCAAACATCATCATCCTTGCTCTCGCAGCCGGTGCCGTTGCTCAAAACGTAAGTTTACCATCTCATCTTCTACTGATTAGATATCATACTAACACTCACTTCAGTCAACCACAAAGGCAGGAAAGACAGCAGCAACCGACGCTTCCGCCACCGGTTCCTCCACAGCAAAGGCTGGCAAGACAGCAGCCACTGACGCCTCCACCAGCGCCGCAGCAAAGGCCACCGGCAAGACCAACGCCAACTCCACAGCCAGCGGCAAGGCTTCAGCAAGCGGATCCGCAGCAAAGGCCTCATCAACAGGCAAGACCAACTCCTCATCCACCACCTCCGGCGGAACTGTCAAGGCCACCACCAACGGTGCTCCCTCGATGTTGGCACAAAGCGGTGGATTCGTCACGGTTGCTGGTCTCGGTATTGCTTTCGCTCTGTTCATGTAAAGGGATGAGTGATATTTGGGCTTGCTTGGGATTATTGTATAGATTATTGGTGTTGGGAGGGGAGGGTTGTTCCCGTGTTGTGGAGCAGGTCTCTCAATGAACATAGCATGTGGTAACACTCTATAACAACATAGCATTTGCATGGCGTCTAAAGAAATGAATGGACATTGATGAACCTTTACTTTCCCATATTTGCCACTTGATCGTGATCTATTGGACATTCAATTTTCCATGTCCAATTATCGCCATTGGCTGGTTGATCAGGAAGTAGAGTCTGGAAAAGTCTGATACAAAAGACACTGACAGCCGGGGTTTCTAGAAGAAAAGGCTATTGGGAACAACCTAGTGGAGAACAGTGGAGACAGGATTAAAAGGCATAAGCTCGTGTGTTTCAATGTCGCCCGAGCCACGTGATGAAAACTGGGTTTTGATGTCCCAGATATTGTGGATCTTGAGCAAGACGTTCGGCATTTGGAAACTGGTATTGTTCAGGACAAGTCTGGTTGAGTCATGCTAACGATTGCTTGAATGTCTAAGTGCTCAAGGAGTGCAAAGTGCTTGATTGACAACACGGAGATTCAGGAAGATGTTTGACTGCAAGGAATTGTGAACTCGAACATACTTTTAAGGTCGGATGTTTGACGTTCACGTGAACACTTCCAATTCTTTTGTTGCAGATCGCAATGTTACGACAATTCACAGATCAGTAGCCTTAATCACAGAAAAATTTGTCCCGCGACAACTACTGATTAGAGCAAAAACGGACGAGCCATAAAGAGCTTCAAGTGTATGAAGAATCGATCCCCGTTTTGGTTTGCCCTTTTTCATATTTTGTTGGGTGATTTATCTTTGTTGAAGGTTGAGGGGTGGCTGCTCGCAGGTTTGAGAGGTTCAAATTGAAGGTAAGCAGAAAGAATTGGCGCTTGCGCAGGGAAGGTATGATAGAGTTGCGCCTAGTCTTCTTAAGTCTTGAGACGTTGAGGGACATTCAATGAGTTTTGTTGCATATCGAGTCCGATGTCGTTCCTTCCTCTACTATCAAGGGAGATTCAAATTGAGTTTTGTTGCATGTCGACCCAGTCGTCGCTCCTTCCGCTATCATTCAACAGGGAGACTTTGAGTTTGGAAATTTGACATTGAAAGTGAACTTCGGCACACATTGCTTCAGCGAATGAATGTCGTGCGTCAAGAGTGCTTTGAAGGAAGGATACTAAACGTTCCACTGGAACGATATTTGAGCATTTTTGTTACTTATACCTAGTATTGAGCAAGAACTCTAAGTTTTGTTGCACATCGCTCCCCTGCTCGTTCCTTCTTCTTATGATAGGGAGAGAGATTACTGAAAGATCAACTACTTGGATTTTGTCATTTTTTCTTGCGCACAACTGTCTCTTCCACCCATGCAGGCGAAAGTTCCACTTGGTTGGATTTGAAATTCAACTTTCCAATCCCTGTTTAATTATGAACGAATTGCTTACTTGTAGCGTGCAGCAAAACCTCTTCTTGCAATATGACTGGCTTGAGGCCTTGATTCGAAAGTGAACTGCTTGTAAGGCAAGGACGTCCAGGTGTTTGTAATACTTTTTGTCTTTGCTTACCCTCAAATTATTGAAGTTTGAGCTCAAGTCTTGATACAGCCCATAGACTCAGATGAGGAATGACATACATCGAGTCGGAATTCTAGGGGGTCGACACTGTCAGCGCCCAGCAAGGCTGTGTTACCCTGTTGACTTGGCTGTCTGCTCCTGTTCACTTTTGATGGTCCGCATGTGATGCTTGGCATGCTTGACTCGACTCATGATGATTCATATCTCAACCTGACTCTGCAGCAGTACCAAAGAGGTTGGAATTATGCAGCTGCAATCTTAATCTCCGTGCCTTTTGCATTTCGAGTTTTGCCGACGTGTCAAAGAGCACGTAGCACAGCATAAGCAGGCAACAGCAGAAGAAGAAAAATTTCACCTTCTTTCCATTTCTTATCTCCTTTTATCTCCAACTCTGATTCACCGTACTTTCGGCCGAAGAACGCAGACAAGAGTCCCGAGTCAAAATTTTATACGAGACCTTAGACGTCAAAGAGTGAGAATGGGATTGGGCGCCGAACAATTATTAAGTATTTTCTGCAGTCGGGGCAAGAATAACGCCGATAGATAGAGCTTAACACCGAATATCAGACCCCTATCTCTTGGCGATCGACATTGCGGTAAGCGGCTGAGAAAGGCAACGCGGCACTTAACCCCCTCGCTAACGCTTGGCTGCTTACACTACGCGGGGCCTCTTCCGTCATTTGTTTTTCCGACTCAACCAACCGTGTGGGCATCATCCTTCACTTTGTTGCGTGCTTGTTGATTATTAATGGCGGTACCGCAACTCGGAACTCCTTCCCTATTCCAAATCCAAATCTACCTCCATTCTCGTCAACGGCTCCCGTTGCCCTCACCGTTTGGCTCCCAAAGTTGCTTAACTAAGGCTCCACTGCAATTCTTTCTCAATCTCACAGGCATCATATGTGATTGGCTGATTCGCGATCTCCTGCGGAAGGATTGCTGGTTCCCGAATTTCTGATTTTCTATCGCTTGCCGGTTCCCTACCGCAACCTAAGGTAAATAGCCATGGGCCTAACTCCAAGACTAAGTCCGTTTCCTGACGTCTATCTCATAAATTTCCCTTCACCCTCCCATTTTTCTCTCTTATGATTCCTTTTATTGGGAAGTTCATCAAAGCAAAGTGAAAACTACGCTTTACAAGATGTTCTACACCAAGTCGGACCGCATGTTCACTGAGAACGCAGAGGGCCGCGAAGGAACTCGTGTTCCTCTGCATAATGTTGACAACAATGGAGAACGTCCTCATCAACCCGAAGAGGCGTCCGGGTCATCGACAGGTGTAGATACTCCTGCTGGCGAAGGAACCTGGGGCGAGAGGGACATTGGTGGACCAGTCAACCTTCGAAATGCAATGATTGATTTCGAGGAGATGAGGAAAGAATTATCCCATCTTTCGAAATCAAGAACGTCGAAGTCGGATTCGAGACGACCGGGAACCTCTGGCTTGAGGAAGGTCGCGAGTGCTGGGAGTCGTGCAAGTCGACGCCGGTCGAGAACTCACAGTAATGCTACTGCGCCAAGGGACCCCGATCTCGAGGCTCAAGACGATGAGAAGCCCGCTGAGGAGGAGGAAGAGGATTTCGAATTGGGGGACTTCTTGCAGGACGGCCATTTTGAGAAGAGACAGGAGGGAAGGTCTGCGAAAAAGGTTGGAGTCGTTTATAAGAATCTCACAGTGCAAGGTGTTGGTGCCACAACGACCTTTGTCAAGACTCTGCCCTCTTCTGTTATTGGGGTGAGTTCTTCTTTTTGCTTCTTCATTGGAGCCGATAATTGGGCTTTTACAATGTCCAAATGACCTGTACACATTCGAGTAAGGAGTAAACGCTGATCAGTATCACAGACATTTGGACCAGACCTGTATAAAATCCTGTCAAGATTCATCCCTTTCCTCTCACAGCCAGGTTCCCACGGCCAAAAACGACATCTAATCAACGACTTCACCGGTGTTGTTCGAGATGGAGAAATGCTATTAGTTCTTGGTAGGCCAGGAAGCGGATGTAGCACTTTCCTCAAGGCCGTGGCCAACAAACGTGGAGCTTTTGCTGGTGTTGAAGGAGAGGTCTCCTACGGTGGTATCTCTGCCAAGGAACAAGCGAAGCATTATAGAGGAGAGGTTAACTACAATGAGGAGGATGATCAGCATTTTCCTACACTGACGGTGGAGCAAACACTCAATTTCTCATTGTTGAACAAGTAAGTGTTCTCTGATTTTGATTGAGGGCCACACGTTCTTTTTGGAAGCTATAGGCTAACATTATGGCAGAACAAAAAAGCACCAGAAAGGTGACATCCCAGTCATAATCAGCGCTCTCCTGAAGATGTTCGGAATTACACACACTCGTCATACTCTTGTTGGAGATGCATTTGTCCGTGGTATATCGGGAGGTGAAAGAAAACGAGTGTCCATTGCAGAAACTCTTGCCACAAAATCCACAGTCGTAGCATGGGATAACAGCACACGAGGTACATCCCCTTTCTACCTCGCCCTATATCAGATTTTAATTTGAATGAATAGGTCTCGACGCTTCAACTGCGCTTGATTACGCCAATTCCCTCCGAGTTATGACCGATATCTCCAACAGAACAACCCTGGTCACGCTGTACCAAGCGGGAGAAGGAATTTACGAATTGATGGACAAGGTCTTGGTCATTGATGAAGGTAGAATGATCTACCAAGGCCCAGCAAATCAAGCTCGAGCCTACTTTCACAACCTTGGATATTACGCTCCCGATAGGCAGACGACTGCGGATTTCTTGACCGCCTGCACAGATCCGACCGAGAGAAGGTTTAGGGATGATTTCGAAGGACCGATTCCCAAAGGCCCCATTGAGTTAGAGAAGGCTTACCGAGAAAGCGAGGCATACAAGAATGTCCTGAAAGACGTGGAAGATTACGAGAGGATGTTACGAGAGACGGATCATGCTGATGCCAGAGAATTCAAACAGTCGGTCCAAGAGGGCAAGTCGAAGACTGTTTCGAAGCGTTCGTCATATACCGTCTCCTTCGTTCGACAAGTTCTCGCATGCACCAAACGTGAGTTCTGGCTCACATGGGGTGACAAGACGACTCTCTATACCAAATTCTTCATCATTTTCTCGAACGCCTTGATCGTGGGATCTTTGTTCTATGGTCAATCGAAGAATACAGAAGGTGCATTCTCCCGAGGAGGCAGTCTCTTTTTCTCGATTCTCTTCCTGGGCTGGCTCCAATTGTCCGAATTGATGAAGGCTGTATCCGGTCGAACAGTCACCACCAGACACAACGATTATGCATTCTATCGTCCCTCGGCTGTGGTAATTGCGAGGGTCCTACAAGACTTTCCGTTGATACTGGCTCAAGTCATTCCATTTTCAATCATCATGTACTTCTTGACAGAGCTGGACGTCAACGTCAGCAAATTCTGGATCTACTTCCTTTTCATCTACGTCAACACGATTTGCATTACAGCTCTCTATCGAATGTTTGCAGCAATCTCTCCAACGATCGATGACGCAGTTCGATTCTCTGGTATTGCTCTCAACCTCTTGATCATCTACACAGGATACGTGATCCCTCGACCACAGTTGTTGGAGAAATATATTTGGTTCGGCTGGCTTTATTGGGTCAATCCAATCTCGTACAGTTTCGAAGCCGTCATTACAGACGAATTTTATGACCGAACTCTGGCATGCGCTCCCTCTGAAGTTGTCCCCAGCGGTCCTGGATATGATAACCCAGCATACCAAGGCTGTGCCTTTACTGGCGCAGAGACAGGATCACTCAACATCCCTGGTGCAACATATCTGGAGGTAGCATACAACTACTCTCGCAGTCACTTGTGGAGAAACTTCGGAGTCGTAATCGCCTTTACTGTACTGTACATTCTCATCACCATGATTGCCACCGAACTGTTCGATTTCACATCAGGAGGTGGTGGTGCTCTCGAATTCAAGAAATCCAAAGCTTCTAAGCAGAAAGTCAAGGCTGCTACCGCACCAGCCGACGAGGAGAAGGGAGTCAAGCCGCAACCATCAAGTGGAGGTACTTGGGAAACTAGTCAGACCCTCGATGGACCAGGAGAAGAGGAGGCACTTCAGGAGATTTCCGGTTCCGAAAGTATCTTTACTTGGGAAGATGTCCAGTACACGGTGCCATACATGGGCGGCGAGAGAAAACTTTTGAATAATGTAAATGGATATGCGAAACCTGGTGTTATGGTTGCTCTCATGGGAGCTTCAGGCGCCGGCAAGACTACTTTATTGAACACGCTTTCGCAGAGACAGAAGATGGGAGTTGTGGCTGGTGATATGCTTGTCGATGGCAAACCACTCGGTCCGGAGTTTCAAAGAGGTACTGGATTCTGTGAACAGATGGATCTTCACGACGGCACCGCAACAATTCGTGAAGCTCTTGAGTTTTCTGCTATCCTCCGACAAGATCGCCATATCCCAAGATCCGAGAAAATTGCCTATGTCGACAAGATCATTGATCTTTTGGAGCTCCGCGACATGCAAGATGCTCTCGTCCGGTGTCTGGGAGTCGAACAGCGCAAACGTGTCACAATTGGTGTTGAGTTGGCGGCTAAGCCGAATCTCTTGCTCTTTTTGGACGAGCCTACATCTGGTTTGGACTCTCAGTCTGCTTATAGCATTGTTCGATTCCTTAAGAAATTGGCAAATGCTGGGCAAGCTATCGTTTGTACGATTCATCAGCCTTCGTCCGTTCTTATTCAGCAGTTTGATATGATTCTTGCTCTTAATCCTGGTGGTAAGATACCTTCTACTGACCCCATCTAATGCAATCCTAGTTCTAGGAAATTCTCCTTTATCGAACATGTGAGGCTAGTATACTAACTATTGCTCCCAGGAAACACCTTCTACTTCGGTCCTGTCGGTGACAACGGCTCCGCTGTTATCAAGTACTTCGCCGACCGAGGGGTTAAATGCCCACCCAACAAGAACGTCGCTGAATTCATCCTCGAAACGGCGGCCAAAGGAGGAAAACGCAAAGATGGCAAGAAACTAAACTGGAACGAAGAATGGGCTAACTCAGAAGAAAACAAAGCCATGAAAGAAGAGATCCAACGCATCAAAGCTGATCGAAGTAAAGTCCAACGACCGGAGAATGTTGAGGAGTATGAATTCGCCTCTCCAGTCGCTCTTCAAACAACAGAACTTACGAAGAGACTGTTCATCCAGTATTGGCGTGATCCTTCTTATCTTTATGGAAAATTGTTTACATCGGTTATCGTGGGTATTTTCAACGGATTTACATTCTGGCAATTGGGCTATAGTATTGCGGATATGCAGGATAGGATGTTCACTTCGTTCTTGATCTTGCTCATCCCGCCCACTATCGTCAATGCAGTCGTCCCAAAGTTCTACCAGAACAGAGCACTTTGGGAAGCTAGAGAACTGCCTTCGAGAATCTACGGATGGGTGGCTTTCTGTACCGCCAACGTGGTGGCCGAGATTCCCATTGCGATCCTGGGAGCTACGATCTATTGGGCGTTATGGTACTGGCCCACCGGTCTCCCAAGCGATGCCTCTACATCCGGCTACGTCTTCCTAATGACTATGCTCTTCGTACGTCCTCCCCACCGCTCCTCACATGACAATAAAAGTAACAAACCTAGTTCCTATTTCAAGCCTCCTGGGGCCAATGGATCTGCGCTTTCGCGCCCTCCTTCACAGTAATCTCCAACGTCCTCCCCTTCTTCTTCGTCATGTTCTCCCTCTTCAACGGCGTCGTGCGTCCCTACTCCCAGCTCTCCGTCTTCTGGCGCTACTGGATCTACTACCTCAACCCATCCACCTACTGGATCGGCGGCGTCCTCGCCGCGACCCTGAACAACACGCCCGTTATCTGCGCCGCCGAAGAAGCTGCGTACTTTAATCCTCCTCCAGGCCAAACGTGCCAGAGCTACGCTGCTGCGTTTCTGCAGACTGCGACAGGATACCTGACGAATCCAGATGCAACGACTGATTGTGGGTACTGCCAGTATAGCTCGGGGACGGAGTATATGGCGACGCTGAATATTAGTCCGAAGGATAAGTGGGGGTATTTTGGGATCTTTTTGGGGTTTTGTGTTAGTAATTGGGCGTTGGTGTATTTTTTTATTTATACGGTGAGGATACGGGGTGGAGTTTTGGGTTTGGGACGTTGTTTGGGGGGTTGGGAGCGTTGGTTGGGGTGGTGAAGAGAATTGTGAAGGGGAAGGGTAGGAATTGAGGAGAGGTTGAGAGGTTGATGAAGGAAGCATCAGGGAGGAAAGAGAACAGGAAGGGAGGAGGGCAGGGGTTTAGGTATGATAAGATGAAAGTGGATTGCTTGTCTTTGCGTTTAGCGTGGTGCTTGGCAAGATTGGATTCTCAGCATGGTTCTCTGTTACAATAGGATTAATAGATCACTGAAACCAACTTCATGAATTTCGAAATGCGTTATTGTAAAGCGAGAAATGTCAGTGAAGCTGTTGTGTGGAGTTGCAATATCCGAGAACGAGTGTTTGCTTCAGGTCCAGGACTTGAGATCGAAATAACATTCCTGCCAGTGAGCGAACTTCACAAGGTCATAGAGCCTGATTGATCTGAGAAAGTCTGGAAGTCTGTACCCCCACATCCCATACTCAAAGCACCTACCTGATACAACTCAGCAACGGTTCAAGATATACTTGCAGTAACAACCTTTCATTATCAGAAAACATTACATGAATTGGTATCCCTCTAACGCCATCCTTCATAATTCATTACATGTACAATCTCACCGAAACCCCAGGACATCATATCATATCCACACCAAACAAACAGCCACCACCATACCCACCCACACCCAAACCCTCGAACCACCTCCCATCCTCACACCACCACTATTCGTATTCGTAAAAGGCGCACTATCCGTCTCCGCCGGATCCGAAGCCTTCGTCGTCTTACTCCCCAAACTACTCCTCAGACTCGAACTCGTCTCCTGAGCCGCAACACTCATCGAAGTCGTCGTATCGCTACCCACAGGCACCGAAGAAGCCAACGTAATCGAGATCAACGACGTCCGCGTCCCAGGACCCGGGTCCGAGACCCAGAACGTGTATGTCGAGCCGACGCTGTTGGTGGTCGTCATCAACACAGGCGCCAATGATCGGGTGATGGTCGAGCCGGTGATGGTTGTGGTGCTGAATACCGTGACGGGGTAGATTTCGTAGACGGTGGTGCCGGAACCGATGCTTGTGACCGTCACGGTGGTGGTTGCTTCGGGTGATGAGGAGGAGGCGCTCATTGTTACGGTGGTGGTGACTTGCGAGGCGAGGCTGCTGGCTTCGTTTTCTGCGTTTCTCAGGGCAGCTGCGGGGATTGGGACGCCGGCAAGCTGGCAGGCGAGTTGTAAGGGTGTGAGGAGGAGGTCATTGTCTAGGTCGTTGTCGCAGTTCGAGTGAATGCAGGTGATTAGGTCGGGGAGGAAGTTGCCGGCTGAGGCTCGACAGAGACATTTAATGTCCGTGGATTGGCAGTTGTCGTCTTGGGATTGAGTGATGCAGTCTTGTACGCATTGTGGGAGAGACGACACGAACTGAGCCTGGATGAGAGGTAGAGACAGGAAGGAGAGCGCAAGGAGAATGGCTCTGGTTCGTGAGATCATGTTGGATTTGGAATAGCGAAAGTGCTGAGAACGATGATGTTGATTCTTGAGGAATCGCTGAAGCTCTCTAAGCGGCCGTGTCTGTCTATCGCGTCTTCAATATCCAAATGTTTGTCCCATGTTGAAAGTCTGACACTGAGAAAATGATCTGACGTGCCAACAAGGCTGGTATTATCTCTTGGTAGACCCATGGCTGTGGCAAATGCACATCTTCAGAAAACCCATGAGAGCTTAAAATTGCGGTATCGTTGATACGTCAAGGCGAAGTTGGTTCCTTGTTTTTCACGTAGTGCGGGGTGGGTCAATCCCAGGAACCTTGCAGATACAGTCCATTTCTATTCGTGGATGAGAGTCTGTGGCGTAAGTCCCTTTGCACCGCCACATGCAGCAATCTCAAAGCACTGGAGATCAACATAAGCTTCGTGGAGGTGGCTCGTATTGCGTGAGCCGAGAACATGGTGCTGGGAAGGCGATCAAGTGAGTCAAAAAAAGGTTCAAGAAGTCATACTTCCGAACAAGAAAAGCAACCTCTATTTGAACACCAAACCTATCTATCAGAGCTCTAAAACCTAAACAATGATCTTGACACCATGCCCAGGAAGAATCATACATTCGTCTTCTCAGAAGTTGCGGGGTACTTCATCAGAATCGCCACTCTAGAACTTTCGGGATAGGTTTCCTGGATCAAAGATACAAAACCACACTTCTCATACAAATTCTTGGCGGGAGTATTGTCTGCATCGACGACAATACTGCAGACGAAATTCTTTCCAACCTTATTGGCTTCTTCTTTGCCATGCTCGAAGAACCGCTCGATGAGCGCCTTTGCAATGCCTTGACCGCGAGCTTCAGGTAGTGTGAACATCCCGTTTATACGGAAATGAAGTTGCGCTGTAGCACCTGGGTCTTTGCTAAGTTCCCAAGGATTCTTGGTAGGAGAAGATCTGAAGAGGTAAAATCAGAAACGAGGTCCTGTGTTACTTTGCTAAAGTGGAGCTAGTACATGCTTCAAAGAGAACAGTTTAAGATATTGGATTTTCGAAAGTTTGGATTGGGGCCGAGGGGACTTACTCTTCTGGAGTACAAGGCAAAGGACCAATTCCAACTAGCGAACAGACTATCTGATTCGATTGTACTGCGATACATGTTGTTGCTACCGGGTTGGCCAAGCGGTTATACCAGTCTTCGTCGGTAAATGCGATTTCTCTCGCGTACGTGGATCCAAATGCCTCTGGAGCAGTCTTCAGAGCGTATAGTCTAATGGCCTTGCATTGTTCGACCCAAGTACGAATACTTTCGTCGTCACGCGGGATCTGGATTATCTCGTATGGCATCGTGACTCGAGTAACAAGAACTAAAGGATAGGACGAAACGAAGTGCTACAAATGACGGTCGCACGAAGTCACAAGACTAACAAAATCGCAACACATATTAAAGCAGAGGTTTATCCAAGGAATTGAGGTCATATTTGTAGCATCTGATGTTGGGATCGTGACTCACTAGAAGAATGGAAGGGCTTCAGAGTGACAAGCTTCGGGCTATTTTCAGTTGACGGCACGCTAAAAGACCCCTGGTCGCTCAGCTGAACACCATGTCTCAGCCTCTCTGTAGCCTTGCAGAGGTACGCGCTTCCTACGATGAAAGCAAACAAAACCAGCATGTCCTCCACCTCTTTCAGACGTGGAATATACCTTTCAAGAGACCGCTGCGACCATGGCCTACGATTTACCATTCGAGAATTACGATGATGCCGGGGTCTACCAACGCAGTACGAATCGAGGTCTGCTCCAGGAAACACGGAACTTCGTCGTCGAATTTGGCAGATCACAAGCTCAGATAGCTTTCGATGTAGAGGCTGAGCATGTGCAAAGTCTTCTTGATACTCCTGCCCCGGCAGAGCGACCTGTACGATGGATGTACATATGCCCAGCGTTGAAAGGAGATTCGAATCCGTGCTAATACGTTTGGGTTTTGTAGCAACTTATGGGGTCCTCACACACAAACGGATATAGTCGAACTGCTAGGAGAGCACTATAGCTTCTCATATAGATTGCTGGCTATCATGAAGACCGAACCTCCAGGGGCGAGACTGAAAGTCCAACATAAGCATGCCAGAACCTTCAGGGCAAGATTCTATCGGAAGCCCGATGTTGAGACTGCTGTCATACCCGCAGACATATCAGACTCGTCGGATGAGAAGCTTTCTCATGGTGTTCCCTTGGAGAAAGCGGAGCCGCCAAGAATACAATCTGTGGATGGGATCAGTCACTATGCTCTGGCGGAGCAGATGACAAACTATCATTCTATCGATGTTGGTAGTCGTTGTAAGGCCCTTGACGAATACCAAGGAATTAAAAGTGCTGACGAAGGATCTAGTCATTTGTGTTGGTGCAAACTTCATGCACGAAATTGCCTCGAAGTGTGAGAGGTCAGAGATCGAGATTATCTCAGAAGGGGTTCAGAAACGACTATGGTCTTGGCTAGTACTTTGCGATGATCGTAAGAAATCTACTCTGGGAAGCTGAGATCTCTCTAACGGTGTGTAGATACTGTTCTCTCCTTCCACGAGCATCCTGGCAAGGTACATGATGCACGAGATCCAAAGTCTTTCCGAGCGAACACACTAAGTGTCCTGAGTCAGTTGTCGAATTATGGCCATGGGCAAGTAGATCCTATTTCCATGCAAACGGTCCGCCAAGCTCTGAATGAAGACCTTTCTCATTCCAATCCGGGTGTAGAAGGTGCTAGTTTGTTATTCTACTATCTATTTGATGATTGGCAAGCCGTGTATACCACTGTGGCTAAGTACTCGAAACGTCTGGCGCAATTTGACGATGCAATTCTGTTCGACATGTGGAAGAAATCGTATCAAACTCCAGATGTCGAGATCATACCTCGACTCCATCGCCTAGGTCGCCAGGGTCGTCAACTGAGCCATCTTTACTCGGGATATAAGAATCTCGTCCAACGAATCCTGGATTCGAAAGCGATCACTATTCATGTCGCTCATTCTACCAGTTCTGGCGATCTTGCGTCTATGAAGGGTCATAAAGGCGTCTTATTAGCCCAGTCTGCCAGTCAACGCTTCGAGCGTCTTAGTGATAGGTTAGAATTACTTGTCATCGAGCAAATGAAAGAGTCACTCGCAGAAAGAGACGCGCTGGTCACTACAGTACTTCCCCCACTCACCCCATATCCCCCTCTCTCTAACAGTATCCAGTACTTCAACATCACCGCTCAAAAAGACTCGGAATCCACAGCCCGCCTCACACGGGCAGCAACCTTACTCGCTAAACTCAGCGTGCTGTTCCTCCCCGTCAGTCTGATGACCAGCTACTTCTCTATCCAAGTCAGTGATTTGCAAGGTGTGTATACAGTCAAGGATTACTGGTATGCGTTTGCTGGTATCATGAGCGGCTCGTTCGTTGCGCTGTTCTTTTTTAGTAGGTTGCTGATGTGGATCTCTGAGAATTTGGATGCGAGGTTGAAGCAGGCGAGTCATTCTGCGAGGATGTATTTGGCGGATAGGATTCGGAAGAAAAGAGAGAGAGATGAGTAGGATGTATATTTATGGGACTGTATATCTGTATTATTGCGCGGTGGCTGGGGGGAAGTAAATACAGGACCAGTCATATTGATGAGGAGATATAGCTAGCTTAGAAAAGTATATATGATGTTAGGCATATTCACACATATTCACGCACCTCCTTCCTCCCTCGCTCAGCCTCATTTTAGATCTTCGGTACGCAGCCTCCTTGTCCGTTTTTGTCCCCTCGACAAATATTTGTTGCACATCGCAAGGCCTCGGGTAGTCCCTAAATTTAGAAAATAGGTAGTCCCGACATCTGGAGTTGGGTGGTCCCTAGACAGCCGCGTGAGGGACCTCCCGGATCTTGCAATTTCGGGCTGTCCCCTCTCCGAAGTGCAACAAAACCAAATAAGGGGGCCTTCCTATTCTATATTTAGGGACAGCACAGGACCTGCGACGTGCAACAAAAGAAATCTCGAAAATGTTCCAGGCTGTAAAGGTGATTATCGATGGGGTATCTAAGATGGAACTTGGGAGAAGAACGATTCACTATATAGTCTGTTCAAGATTTAGGAGGTGAGTGTGAAGGTGAGATGTATGTTAAAATTCTCGTGATTGTACTTTTCATTCTACTCCTATATAAAATACTAAAAGGATCAGACAAGCTCTACGTTACAATCGTGATATACATGCATTCAATGATGCAATCCCTCCAAATACAAAACGAGGCGCTTTTTGATTATCACTCCAACAATCTTTCCAGTTCCCTCTTCAACTACCATCAAATGTCGAAGTCCCAGCTTTCCAAACATCTCGACTGCATATTCCATAGGCGCTTTGGCGCACAATGTGAGCGGAGTCCGGTCCACGAACGCAGAAAGTGGTCCTTCCAGTAAATCCACCGGTTCGTCATCTTCCAAGACTCCTGCTTCGCTGATAGCAAATTCCAATTCCCCTTGCGCAAGATAGCCATGCAACATGCTATTTCCGTCCACGAGTACTAAGCCGGCGTCCATGAGTCCGCGAGCTTTGAGCTGGGATAGCTTCATTGCTAGTAATGACTTTGAGACCTTGCATTCGGGGCCTACGTCCACGGTGATTTCTCTCATTGTCTGCGCTGGTGGGATGAGCTCCTCTACCAAGGTCCCTTCAGCCCGCACGATCTTGAGTGCGTGTTCTGGGTCTAGGAAGGGATGGCCTAAGACGGTCTGCGCAAGATCGTAGACCCCCTCACTGCTCAGTGCGTCTGCAACCCATTTCGCGACCAGGATGGCGATCATGAATGGAGGTATATATCCAACTTCGCCAGTGAGTTCGAACATGATGACGGTTAAAGAGACAGTCATCCTCGAAACGCCTGCTAGGAAAGCTGCTGCACCCACCATGGCGAAGATTCCTGGGTTGATGTTAGGTATCGCCTGTCCGACCAATCGTCCGAATAAGGCACCTGCGTCGAGAGCTGGTATGATGATTCCAGATGGTACTTTACATCCGAACGTGATGATCGTCAGAATCAATTTCACCAGAGTACCGTAGATGAGCCATCCGTAATATCGACTTTTGTCCTCGGATGCTTCTTGGGCACAGACCCAGGATCCTTCTGGCTCGCGACAATCTACTAAGAGATTCTTGATGATGACATCGCCAGGTTCACGGGTTAAAGGGTTAGGATATTGAAGTAAAGCTGTGACTAAAGTGACCAGGGCAAGCTCGAATACAGGATGATTGCTGATGATGCTGTATTTCCGGAAAGACTTTGACCAGAGGAAGTTGGCTTTGCAGAAGACGCCGCCGAATAACCCACCCACAAGACCAAGGAAGATGAACACAAGGTAGTGAATTGGCTCATAGTCGATGCCATAGTTTGTTTCGAACAGGACCAACTTTCCTGTGCCGTTTGGATTCAAAGCTTTGAGTACGACAGCTGCCCAAAGAGAGCAGAAGAATGCTCGCCAGAGGACTTTTCGAGGGAAGTATGTGCTTATTTCCTGACTGATTAGCATACTCATGCGGAATAAGGTGGTTAAACTCACTTCGTAAGAGAAAAGTACACCTCCAATTGGAGCACCGAAAGCTACACTCAGACCAGACGAGCAAGCGACGCTCAGCATCTCTCGCATTTTCCGCCCATTTTCTTGGTATTTGGGAAATCGGCTGGCAACGAGATAACCGACACATGTCGATATGTGAACAAACGGCCCTTCTTTACCCAAGCACATACCTGTAGCAACAGCAAATGTTGCTCCGACCGCCTTCACGAATAGGACCTTGAAATCCAAGAAATGTGGAATGACGAAACCAGACAATATTGTTTTGATTTCAGGTATGCCGCTTCCAGCAGCCATGTACATCGACTTCCCTACAGTTCGACCTTGGCCTCCGCCGACATTCTCGTCGTCGTCGTCTCCGCCCGCTGAAGGAAGGTTGGCCTTGGTCGTCAGCGTCACAGCGCCCGCTATGATGCCAAATAAGACAGCAAAGCCAACGTAGATGGCAAAGCCACCCCAGTAATCATTCGACCAAACTTTCCATGCTTTACAGTCTTCCCCTACATCCTCGCTCACACGTAGTAGAGGGGATTTCGACGTACAGCATCCTTCGCGGTTTAACAGAGGATTTCTAGAGCAGAACCCTTGCTTGTAATCGGAAACTGTAGCTTCTGCGACATCGACCATAAATGCCACGACAGCAGTAAGGATGCCGATCAAAGCTGCTGCGAACCATCCTTGACATGAATCGTATGCTGAAAACAGTCGGCCCTTCAGACTTCTGTTTGAAAGTATCGCGCGGTGTCGGAAAGAATCTTTGATCTGATACAGCTACTTAGCAATGATAATTGATAAATGTCGTCAGCCAAGCAATCGTACCAGATCATGAAGCCAATCGATTGTTGTATAGTCATTGTAAGGCAATCTTTCTCCCACAGCGGTCCCAGCAAGCTCTTGCTCTTCTTTCGAGACCTGGGAAGAAAGTATGGAAGAAGCATCGTGAGGAGGAAGAGATTGTTCACTGTGCCGACTTGGCTTTCGACCAGTTAATTGAGCTACCCGCGGATCCAAGAGTCGTGTGTGCTCGTTGGCTTCCTCGTCTCGAGACATTGTCTATGTCTTTGTAAAAGATAGCGAATAGAAGAAAGGAACTCATGACTTGGGAAATGACATCGATATTGAATAGATATAGTCTGCCGCGATTGATTATCTGGGGTAACCATACTTGTTCTAGGCCACACTGGTGGCTGAGATATGTTTCTATCGTTGAGCGTTGAATGGCAGACAAGGGACAGTGTCAAGCATTGCTGATAAGAAGATTTGATCGACAAAATGGTGGGGCGAAGCGGGATCACAGAGATCACGTGTCTGCTCATATGACGTATCTTATATAGCAAGATCAAGATTCTCAAGCGATAAGAGAAGATGATTTTGACGTTGCGTCCTCGGAGCTCTGATTGGAATCACTGTAGATGATTCTTGTTAAACTGATGCACGTGAATTGCATGTGAATTTGAGAGGTACCTAGAAGGAAGCTGGAACTTGCCGATCGTGCCTGGCGAAACCAAAATTGCTAGCACTCAAATGGCAGGGAGCCACGAGACCAATGTGAAAGTAGCGACAAAAGACCACGCAGTTCTTCATTCGTCCTGTTCCAATTTCAAACGCCTTCTCTCCTCTTCCTACTTCACTGGACCTTCAATCTGACAGAAATCTGCACGACATTATTTGTACACGAGATCACTTACCAATTCCGAATTCGAGCCGCAAGAACGAGGGGCGCTGCATTATTCGACTTGTACCCGGCGCGACGTATCTTCGCTCTTCAACTGCCCCCACTTCACCGCTAAGTCTCAAAGTGTCGAACTCAGAGTCTCAGATTTGTCTGAAGCATCAAATCAATCACTCCTGCTTCTGGGGAATCCCAATCATTTCTTGTTGTTGTCGTTCCTGGGATTTTCAGGGTTTATGACGTCGTCGCTTCACAAATATCTCATTCGCCAACCTAACACCGGATTTACTCGGAGAGTACAGAGGACCGTGGCATTTCCTGTTTACTAGATTTGGTATCTCGAACAAAGACTTGGTACATGGTCTTGACCCCTCTGCTGATAATTGTTGCTAACATTTCCTAGAGACTGCCTTTCACACCGACTTTTCCAAACAATCTACAATAGACGCAACGCGCGGCATGTCCACAATTACCTCGAGGCCAGTAAATGGTCGTACGAACGGGAGCATGAATGGGAACACAAATGGTCATCACAAAGTTCGATTCATACCTTTGACCTACAACCAAGCCGAGTCGCAGACATCAGCTCTGCGACTGATTCTCACACTTCGGCCTGAATGGGAGGATGGAAAGATCGAGTTTGTTCGATTCACAGACGGAATCACAAACACATTACTGAAGGTTATCAACAAGAAGCCTGGGTTATCTGATGAAGAGATAGACAACGATGCAGTTCTGCTGAGAGCCTATGGCCAAGGGACTGACCTCATTATCGATCGCGAACGAGAAACACAAAATCATGAATTACTCATGCAACACAACCTTGCGCCAGTTCTGCTTGCGCGATTCCAGAATGGAATGCTATACCGTTTCATACGAGGTGCTGTCACATCCCCAGCGGATCTTAGAAGGGTAGACATTTGGAGAGCTGTGGCTCGCCGATTAGCAGAATGGCACGCAATTGTTCCCTGCATACCAACTCCTCGAGAATCTTTGACAGCAGAAATAACTGGGAGCGAGCAATTCGGGATGCCTGCTCCAACTCCAAGCAGGAAAGACCCTGCATTGCAGAATGCAATTGATAATGTGGCTCCTGGAAAGCCTTCACCAAACGTGTGGACAGTAATGCAGAAATGGATATATGCGCTTCCAATGGAAACAGAAGCCGAGAAGGGACGACAAGCAAGCTTGCAAAAGGAACTGACTCGACTGGTTGCGGAATTCAGCAATCGGCCGGGTCTTGGAAAGAATAGTGTAAGTTTTTCTGATGTTTACCACAATTCTCACGACTACTTCGCCTGTGCCCCTGAAATTAGCGAAGGCTTGCACTAGTGCTTGTTCTCCTGATCACCACCATCCATACGTTCAATTTATTCCTGCTAACATTTTCCAGCTTGTCTTCGCTCACTGTGACTTATTGAGTGGCAACGTGATCATACAACCACGATCAGCAAACAATGCCAACGCGCCAGAGACAGTCAGTTTCATTGATTACGAATATGCCACGCCTTCGCCGGCAGCATTTGACATTGCCAACCATTTTGCAGAATGGGGCGGATTTGACTGCGAACATGATCTGCTTCCAACACAGTCACAACGGCTGGACTTCATTCGTGAATACATTCAGAGTTATTTCACCCAATTAGGTCAACCTCTATCCAAGACTGACGAGGAGGCCGAAGTCCACCGTCTATTCATGGAAGTAGATGTCTGGCGAGGAATTCCTGGCTTCTACTGGGGAATATGGGCCTTGATCCAAGCTACCATTTCCCAAATAGATTTTGACTATGCATCTTATGCTGAGATCAGACTAGGTGAGTATTGGGCATGGCGAGCAGAAGCTGATGGCAGCCGAAAGGCTTCTGGCAAGGAAATGGCCGTGCGAGAGAGGAGATGGGCACAAGAGTCCTGATTGTTGAGCATAGACGTGGAGTGGAATTCTTTTACATACCACCTTGTTTTTCTGGCATTTGCATATATAATAATGAGAAACGTAAGAGCGGAGGTTTGACTACCTCGTAGCTAGCAACGGTTTGGCTTCAACGCCCCAAAAATACTATTAGAGCGGACTGGCGGGTTGATTAGATAGGGCAGTAGCTAGTTCTTCAACGCAAGCTTCACACCCTGAGCGAGGACTTCGATCAATCACTCGAGTGAAGGAAAGGATAAACTCCAAACAAGTGAGACGTGTCTTCTCATCACTCTGGACCCCATACTACGAGAACTCGCACCTCTTTCGCTCGGTATACAAAACATGGCGTCTTGCACTAAGACCAATGGAAGAACTTGCGCCGTAAGTGGTGTGAAAGAAGCTTGCATGATGAGAACTCCTCCCCGTTTCGATACTCGCAGAATAGACCAACGAGAAGCTGCAATTCGTGTCTGCAACGCAAAGCACAAAGTGAGAAAAAAAAACACGGTTGGCATTGAAATCTGTGCCTCTGGAAAGCAAGGTAAGTGTATACCCGTGATATATGGCGGGTTTGTGGCTGAGTCGCCCCCAATGTTTCAGGGATGGGTTCATCGCCTCAACGCTTGTGTTACCGCTCTTTCGTTTCGGTTCATTTCATTTCGCTTTCTTGCCGCAACGGTGAGGTGAGCCGCTGTCTTCGTATCGCGTTGAATCAAAGTCATCGTGAAGATGAGGAGGTTGAGAACGGACCCCCATTCTGTTTGATGGTGTTGGCAAACGACGAAACGTCGGACAGCCCGACGGGATTGGGAAGGAAGGAGATCAGATAAATCTACACGTGCCGCCGCAGGATTTGGGGGACGGACGGAGGTAAGGTCGTCGTTAGGTCGTTAGGCGCTCAGGATGAAGGGAAAGGGAAAGGGAAAGGGGAAAAGGGGGATTCACTGCCCTTGAGGAATCAATGCGAACCAAGAAAATGTGGCTGGATGTGTGCTTTTCTTGTCGTTGTTCGTAGGTCCAAGTTGGCTGTTTTAATTGCTTGAACCGTAAGGTACAGCAATGCCCAGGCGGGTGGAACGGTAAACTAGCGGGAATTATCCATATGCGGTACCAGTGAGTGCCTTTTCTGCAACGGCCGAGTGAGCCGTCGGTATTTTTGGGGGTGGCGCTTCGGCCATTGTCCGAGATGGTGGTTGGGTTTGGTTTGGTGCAGGTGGGTTAAACGGAACGGGTATCCTTGACGTTTCTGAGAGCTCTTTTCTTTCATGTGCTTGTTTTAAGCTCTTTTACTGCTATCGGGTTGCTTCTTTTGGCATTTTGCTACGCTCTCTCGCGGAGGTTTGGACATCCATCCATGATCCATGAGCCAGTCGGTTGGTGAGGTTAGTTTGCGGCACTTGGGTAATGATCTGGGGGCCATGTGGGCTTGGGACTTGGGTTGCTTGCTCGCAGTGAACATCCCAAAGGAAGACGGCCCGTCATGGGATTCGGAAGCGGCATCATCTTGCATCGTCAGGGTAAGAGGTTTGGGAGCAAGTACTCGTATGCCAGGACAGGATGAGGTCTGATGGAATGAATCTACAACAGGAAAGGATGAAGTCGTGTGAATGTGAGACACGCCTTTGCGGGAACTATTCGTCTTCTCCTGTGTGAGATCCGTCCTTGCCGTAACCTCCTCTCTTCTTCCTGTTCCTATTCGCTTGGTCCGCACCTCTCGTAGGCTCAATTGAGATGCTCACGATGCTAGAGAGGAAAATACGAGGTAGCCAATGCAGAGTGGGAGCGAAGGGCGACGGCGTGACCGATCAAGCAGACCTTCGTTAATGCTGATGCCTATCTCGCCCGCGTGCAGGAAGGACGACATGACATGGTAAAGTCGAGACGAGAGATGCCAGATCAGATCTTGTACTCCGTACTCCTGCCAATCTGCAGCACAACCCAGGACAACGGGCTGACCATCCCAAACCAAGGATGCCAATCACATCCTCGAATAGATCTCGCCAACTTTTCGCCAACCCTTGCTGGGAGACGTCCTGTTGCTCATTCCCAGCACAATGGATCAAGATCTCCAGCATCTCGGAGGGAACCCGCGACGACGTCGATCATTAATGGGACAGAAATCCTGTCGGGCTCTCCAGCGTCCTCCCATGGGCCTTCTGGAAGACTTCTGTAATGCTCAATGCTCAACGCTCGGTGCTGATTGCTCGGCCATCATCGCCGCAAGGCTGAAGTACTCACTAACGACACTGCGCCCTCTCCGAGTCGAGTTGGCCACCGTCGTAGTCAGAATCGGGGGCTTTGTGGATTCGCTTTCGCAACCGACGGGATCTGATTCTGATTCTGAATCATCCATCTGCTGTTTTTGCTCCCTCTGTTCGTCGGTTCGCACGCTGTGACGCCTCACCCACGCACGGCGTTCAGGTACCAGGAACACCACCGCGAACATGCATGTCATTGAGCCCCCAAATCGGAGTAATAATGATCGAGGGGAGAACAGCAAGCAACCAAGCAAGCAGGCCATCAACGCAGTGCTGTATATCCGCAATAGCTTCAGGAGTGGTGAGAGGCACGAAATAGTGAGGGCACTGTACTGTAATGCGGTAGGTACTTGTTTCACCGCCTGTTGAGCGGAGTATCCGCTGGCCACCAAGAAACAGCGCGCAATGCAGTAACCCTACAACGCAGCGCGATATTCTTTCTGGTGACTTGGCCGTGAAGCTGTCGATCCTTGCTGACAAAACCCCACAATGCAATGGCAAAAGTATGGCTCATGGCTCATGGCTCATGGCTCTCACGACACCACGCCGTTTCCGCATTAACGCGCTGGCTCTGTTGGCTGCCGGGCTTGTGCTGCTGTCTAAAATCTGACTCTTTTTTTCCTCCCTCTCTCATGTCTCTATTTCGAATCACACGGCGGCGAGGGCACGCACGTCCACGTTCCCAATCCTATCTCTCCCTATTTTGCCTCGACTGTCCTCATTTGACAGATGCCGAGGCAGAGATGGTCCGTTCCATCTTGCCTTCATTCATTCCATCATCCATGAGGCCTCGCCGTGGCCGTCCGCCTCTGCCTGCCCATGTTTGTTTGCCTACAGGATTGGCCGTGCCTTAAGGTTTTAGGTTCACAGTACCGGCCGCATCCATTCGACAAGTCGAGTCCCTCTGATCGGGCTGAAGCTTCACTCGTGGATGGATCAACGAGCGGCTAGCCTTTCCAGACAGGAACGGTCTCTGTTGAAAGGCTCAGCCCAGCATCAAGCCAGCATGGAAATAGTAGGTCCGGGCTGATTCGGACATAGCACCTCCACCTCGACCGAAGACTGAGGGTAGCTGGTTGCAGTAAGGTTAATCGTGGAAAATGACTGCGATGCCTGATGTAAGCGCAGCGGCGTGCGATACTATACTAGACTATACTATGCTATCTAAATGTGTGTGCAAGCCAGGATGGGAGAGGTATTTCCCACCTTCGAGAAAACGTGGAGAAGCAAGCGGTGCTCAAGGCGATCGATCAAGCTCACGCCGCCAGGCACATGGCATCGACTTAACAGCATCCACACAACCCAGCTCCTTTTTTGCTGGAATACCAGGGTTGTCTTAGCCTCCAAGGCTGAGAACTAATTAAGTACAAACTAACTTGGGGGTTGTATTTGCTGCCTTTGCTCAATGGAGTAACTTGTGGCGTCCAGCATATGTAGTTGTAGGATGGGGCAGGGTATATGATCTTACTTAGACCTAGTCGAAGGATCAAGTCGTAACTTCTGTAGAATTTCTGTGACTTCCCATAAGAATTCAATAAATATCTTCTGTACTTCCTTCCACAATGACTCTTTCAGCAACAACTACCACGCGATCCTCAGGACGATATTCCCTCAAAACCAGTATGGATTCATCACAAGATAAGGAAGAGCGCAAGCGCGAGGTACGTCCACTGCCACAGCCTCAATACTACCTACCCATCGAACATATGTTGACAAGTACACAGTATAATCGTCTTGCTCAGAGAGAATTCCGTACGCCTCCCAGACAGCAATACTCATGGTCTCAACCATGCTAACTCGATGCTTCAGGCCGCAGAAGAAAGGAACATCTCAAGAACCTCGAGCAAGCACAAAAGGAGCAAAGCTCTGAGCAATCGGAAGAGATCGAGCGTCTACGGTACCAGAATGACGAACTGAGGAGGGAGAACGAGGCACTACGAGCACAGATCTATGGATCGTCGTCTTCATCAAGTCATCTCATGTCTGGATCCATCAACGTCCCATCCATCTCCGACGCGCGCCAATACTCTCTCTCCCCATCACTCTCAGGCACATCTATGTCAGGCACTGGGAGTCCTCCAGCTACTATGGCTTCAGACATGATGCCAATGGCGGCTCTATCACTAACATCGTCGATGTTGACACCTCCGATGCAAGCTTATGCCGACCCTTCTGCGTTGTCATCTCAGCCATACTCTATGGTACATCCATCCGGACTCCGTCATAATTCACAAAGCTCACCTGAGTCATCAGGGTTCCGAAGTTCTCGATCTACAATGGGACCCTCTTTTCAGTCTCTGAATCTCTCCCAGTCGGTCGAGGCAGCAGCACCCCTGGTGCCAGGCCAACAAAGAAGATCCAGTGGTCAACCACCGTTCGTGATCTCCTCTTTCAACCCACTCATCCGATCTGTTCCTAATTTTACTACAGGACTATGGTGATGGTTCCATACGATCGAAACAAAGCCAAGAACGAGATCCTGGACCTCTTTCGACCACTCTACTCTGATCCTTCAGTCACAAATGACTCCTCGCGCCACCTCACCGTTCTGCGAACCATGAGCGAAACCCTCCCACCCTCTCTAAAACCGAGTAAAGCCCAGCTCGAGACTCCTCACTACTACGGCATCGACATGATCGCATCCTCATCGCTGCGAGAGCGCCTCATGACAGTCACCACCGAGGTAGCGCGCAGTTTCTGCGCAGACCTAGGCATCATCGGTGGTGAGCGGGACGAGGTGGGGCAAGTTATCATCTGGGGCGACGAACCGCTGAATGAGATGTCGTGGGAGCTTTCTCAGCCTCTGCTTGAGCGGTGGGGATGGTTACTTGGGACGGGGTGGACACAGAGGGCTAATTTCTGGAGGAGACAGAGAGGTGCTCCGTTGTTGACGGAGTGGTGATGATTATTACTACGGGAACACGGTTTGGGAGGAAATGAATGCATAGCGAAGGGCGTTTTTTCCCATGTACAGTACAGATAGCAAGCAATCAAGCAGATTATGAGCCATGTCCTCAAAGAAGAGAAACGCGGAAAACTAGCAATCCAAATTCCCTCTCTCCCTCTCTCTCAAAACGCAGAATATTCCTCTTTCCGTAATCCAAACGCGCCATCGAAGATCGTCAATGACACAACTGGCACCTCTCACTCACTCACGGACCGCATGGGACGAAAATCTACAGTAGTGGGTGGGGTATTGTCCGTGTCCGTCCGTATTCCCTCCTCTCCCAAAACTCAAAATTCCGCTTGATAGATACTACAGTCCTCGCGCAAGCAAAACAAGGAAAACGCCACAACCCTCTCTCTCTCTCTTTTCTGCACTGCATCGAAGATCATGTCAGCAGCATCATACGGGGGGCTATCTCTCATTGGGAATAGAGCAGCGTAGGTAGGTGGCTATCAAGGTTAAGCCACCCATCCAGCTAGCCATCCGGAACTGTGCCCTAAATCTCGTGGTGGGCTAAGGAGGAGGGTGGGTTATGCTGTTTTGGGAATTGGATTGGGAAGTGGAGTTTAGTTGAAGTGTGATGGCGGTTGGTGGTTAGTGTTGTTTTTTCTTGTGGTGTTTTGTGGCACGGTAGGTTTTTGTGGGGGCCGTCACACGATAGTGTAGTAAGACTACTTTATTGAGGCTTAGGTTTTTTGGGGGTGGAGAAACACAATGGAATTTTGGCGAGCGAGAGGGAGGCTAAGCTAAGGTTGGTGGCGTGGGGGAGGGAGAGAGGTTTGCAACGTTTCATTTTATTTGGTATGCTGCTGCGGATAGCGGTGCGGTGCTGTGCTCTTGATCTGATTAGACCGAACGATCGAACGATTAAGCTACTGTAGGTGAGAAAGAGAGTGAAGGGCGCTTATGCAAGGATGAGCAAAAGCTATATGGTGCAGGTCGTTATGGGGCACGGTGTTGGGGAAGGAAGGGGAGAAAGAACAGGAGAGAAGATTGTTCTTTTCTGTGCCGCGGGGCAGTACGGTAGGGGAGGTAAGTAATATGATGTTATTGAAATGCCGTGCCGTAAGCTGCGGAGCAGAGGTTTCTTCTTTCTTTCCGGCGCATGTTTCCAGGTTGGTCACTCGCATCTCGACGTGGAAACAAGAAACATATTAAATTTAAAGTAGCTTAGTAGATGAGTCTTGATTCCCTGTGTTTGGAGGCTGAGTCGATGAAGAAGCTTCGACCACACGAGGTTATTTTTAGGGTATGGGTACGTTTTAATTCCGCCGGGAGAAGAACGAAGTATCCTAGTCTCAAGATCTTCCATGATCCGAGCCCATGACCGTGGGTAGCAGACTCGATGACAACAAGAGGTGAAAACTGCGCTGGACGGCCAATCTTAGCACCGGGAATCCGAAATAAGGTTAGACACGGTATAGAAGAGGCACTATCGTGTCCATATCCGTATTCCTACTATTAGGGACCCGAAGAAGTAAGGTTGAGCTACTACGTGGGTGGGTAAATGATGAAATGGAATGGCAAACGGGGCTGGTACATAACATTAACCTTAAATCCCATACAGGAAACGGGAGAGCCGAGTTTGGGGTTCGGTACGCCACAAGCGCCGATCGCGAGGCCTCCCTGTTCGTTTCGTTCCGTTCTGCTGAAGAAAGATAAAACCGAACCTTGATTGGCGCTGTTGTACGAGAACATTTTCTGACGTTTTTTTCTCAGGATTCTGTATGCTGCTTCGGAGAAGACGGATAGGATCCTGAATTGAATTGTTGGTAAATTGAACCCTTTTCGTCTTTAAGCGCAGGATTTTAGGCGACACTTTTCGGCGATTGGTTAGCATACGACCGCCACCGTCTACACGCTTGCTCCGAGCGATTTTCCCTTGATCTGCAACGATGGATTCTGTAGCAGTACCCTCTGGGACCAGATGATTGGGATTCCTCATAGCTTGCACGATGCACGTTCTGTCCGGCTTCTAATCAGCTGGAGAGCGCTCTTATTGGATAGAATGCGACGGAAAGCTCAATTCGGTATCGATTGAAGGATGTCTTCGGCCTTGCTGCAATAGCGGTAGTCGTTGTTGTGGGGAGAAGGATGAAGCATCAGGAAGATGAAGCTTCCGTTGCGGCATGGCCGTGAGAGCCTCGATCTGCCTTGTGTCAGGATTGCAGATAAGATTGGGGCTCGGGAAGTGCCTGAGATAGCATTGGGAGTTGCGATGAGGTGAGCACTTGAGAGTTTGGTGTTTTAAGTGCTGATGAATATGTACGATTATCACCGAAGGAGAGAAAGGATGATACGAACCGATCGCGGATCTTTGGGCGAGAGAGTTCTTGAAGGTCGAATGTGACTCTGCCTGGAGCGAGTATTTTCGATATTGCACTTTTTAGGGTTGGAAGTCGAGATCTTGTTGGCACGAAATAATGTCCCAAGTTTTCGAAGCATTCGTACTGTTTGTTTCACATCGCAATCTAAGATCCCGAATTTCACGTCCGATTAACCAGTGTTGAGGACAATCAGACCCTGGTAATGACCTTGAAATCAGGATGCAGCTTGCAAGTTCGATTTACATTGTAAAACAATTCTCAAATCGCTTGATTTAGCACAATCTCATTTTATGGCAAGTACTCGAAGTAAGAAAGGAGATCCGATAGAATCATAGTCTGATTGTCTCACTCGTCAATTGAACATTCATGCAGATCCCCAATCGAAGACTAATTCTCAATGCAGTATGATCGATATTGTACGAGTCCAAGGAAGGGAAGTCTAAATCGGGGTCTCCTGTCAGATTTGAAAACCAGCATACCATTTTCTTAGAGCCCCAGAAAGATACGATGAACAAGTCGTCCATTTATGCTCCATCTCTTTTATACTATTCGCACAGTCTCCTTGACGAAACAACTAGTTTTATTTTCTCAAGCATTGTGTTTCTCGTGGATGAATCCCTTCTCTTCAATGGATGTTCAAGCGATCCGTTCGACTGGAGCCGAAAAAATAGCCGAGAAAGATAGGGGTTCCGTGTGCTTCATGTTACAAACTTTGTTCAATGTCCATAGTCTTAACGTTATCTCTAGGAACATATCTCCCTAAGATAGCTAGTGAAACTCGTCTTATTTTGACGTTGTTGGCCCTTTCAGAAGATAAACCGTGGGTACCACAAGCCTTGTGCTTGACCAATTTATCTATTATTCTTGAGATAATTTTAGATCTAGTCAATTTAGTCTTCCCCTTAATATCCTCAAGACTCTTTTCACATGTTGGTGAGTTTTACGAAGCTGTATCTGGAAGGGCATTCTCATATCATGACATAAGTCTTGTCTTTTGTATTCATCCCCTCACTTCCTGACAAACGATCTCATTGTACACCCACAATTCTCCTTGCTTTGATCACCACTCGAAGTTGATTGTTAAGCTAGATATGTTTGAAGAATATTAAAGCCAGATTCAAAAAGACGGATACTGAACTTGAGTGCTTTGAGGAGGATGTATTTTGCGTTATTCAACATTATCTCGAGCTGCCAAGAGCGGCCAAGGGTCGTAAATAACAGGAGATCCCTTGGCCAAAGAACGTCTTTGCCTGCTCCTACTTTCTCTTACTCACTATCCCCTTGTCATTTTTGCCCATCTGCTGAATTGTCACCATGTGTATCCTTCGATTCTCACTACTCGTTGCTGGAGTCAACTCATGTGACGGTAGCTATGATGGTCTGAGTTTGCGGGTTCAGGTACAGGGGGCTTTTGATTTACGTAAGGAAAAGCTATGATTTGTTGAAGAATGTATGAGCGTACGTATTAAACAGGCATGAGAGGGGTTTTTCGGGTTTGATATCTTGAATGATGAGGCTATGCAGGCGGAGCTAGGTGAATAATAAAGCAGAGCGAAATTCAAGTATGCAAATGTGTGAAAGAATATAAAGTATGTTAGGTTGATCGTCGTAAGTGCATATCGTACAAGTGATAAGTAGATGGTCGAATGAGAGAAGACACACGCCATGCATCCATAAAAATGAGAAATTTAACCCCGTCGCCGAAGCAGTGCTAGGATATGAATCCAACTTCGGCATCCTTTAAGTACTCCTTCCATGCACAGAACTTAAAGCTACTTCAAGAGCCCCGTAAGAATAACATAGAAAATAAAACTCAAATTTGGCCATGCACGTGCTGCATATGACCCTTCAATTTCTCCAATCTACACCACCCTTTCTTATCGTTATCCCCACAGCCTGACACTCGGCAATGATGTCGTATCCGAAGATGGATGCCATCAATATGGCGTTGGAGGTCAGAGGCCCGCGCGAATGATAATTCGCAGTTGGGACAATGAAGTGTCTTGGGTCTTAGACGTGATCGCGATCTCGAGGCTCGTGTAGAGCGGGATGAGGCGGCGTTATTGACAAAGAGCGGTGAAGTGGTGTTTTTATCCCGAATGGTGTGATTGTAATCTGGTTGGTGCTGGATCGGATATGATGATTCAGTGGCTTCGGTATGTGTGTAGAACGGTGAGGCGAAAGGTTGGGTGGCCGAAGAAACACAGATTTCCCCGAGTCGCATAAGCGGGCGTTCGCAGTTCCAATAGCTCAAGGGCGTCTCGGTGAGCGGAGATAGAGAGCCATATTGAAGGGGCTCCGCGGCAGCATGAGAGGTCCAGACGATAGAGGATCCTAAAGAAGATGCAATGGGACTGGGACAATGTTGATTGAACGTAGTACTATCATAGCTCCATTCATCGAAGCTGTTGCAATCGATAGTCGGAGGCTCTGATTGGGCTGTGACAAAGGAGTACCATTCCGAAAAGCTTTCCGAGTTTGCTTGAACGAAATTTTGCTTTTGGAGAAGAGACCCACTGGCATCATAATTAGTATTTGTATACGAGATCTAGGTGGCTATGCGTACTTGGACAGCCCGTTAATGTTTTGGGGATGGATGGCTGCAGAGTCACTGGCTGAGGACATGGTTGCCTAACTTTTGATGCAGTTTGCCTCGGCGCCGAGAACCAAAAAAAGCAAAAAAAAAGTATGGACAGTGATCTTTCAACACGTATGTAAGGCAATGAATATCAAAATATGAATAGCTAGATCAAGTAGAGGAACGATGTAGGACGTAGGATACTTATACTAGGCCCGTTGACGGGCCATGCATTCCACGCATTACAACTTCTTGAACATGACGCGGAATTTAAGAACTCGACCGCAAGACTTTTGTGGTTGTTCATGGAACAATTTGCAAACTTCAGGAAAAAGTTCATGAACTCCAGGGTCGCATTGTTCAATAGTGAGGCGAGCAGTCGTGGCTTCGGCATTGAAGTGCAGTCTGAACTGGTCAGCAGGGTGGAATTGAGGGAAACCTGGGCTTTAAGACAGCGAAAGCAAGCGTGGTACGGTGTAAGGCAGCTGAATACGAGCTTGGTCCTGTTTCTGCGAGCCGCGATTGTGTTTCATCCCGTTCGATCGGAGAGCTGGCCGAAAGCTTCAGTAATTGCGTCTTTGTGATTGCATGATGCATGGAGGAGGAGCACACACAGTATGCAAGGCGATCGCGGCCCCGGACCTGGTGATTTTCGAGCTGCAATTCGACAATCTCGACATTCCAGATTGTAGATACTAGATACAGATACAGGGAGAAGCAGAGCAGGCGGTATTGCCGGACATCCGGCATTGCTGAGTATGAGAAGGTGGGTATTTGGTTGCGAGGCAAGACTCAAACATTACCAAGCCGGTCTGCAGTTAATCTCCCTCTGAGGCTCTGCGCTGTTCCCACTAGTCGAAAGAAGCTTAGCTGGCAAATGCCCTTTCGCTACCGACGTCCTCACCGCCTTCCAATATTTAAATTCTCACCGGCTGACCGAAGCCTCCCTCACCGAATACAAGGACGGGATCATATCCCCTGTTCCATTCGCCAAAGAATATTTGAACTTTCATGCGTAACATTCAGTGTGGTGGAATCGTGTCAATCATGCCCACCTGTCTATCATGCGAGTGGCTTCGTGGTTCGCACATTCGGTGCGCATCCCACGAGGCTGACGTCTTGAAATGAGGGTAAGTCTGTCCACCGTGAGGTCTTCTCTCATTATCCTTCCAGTCTGCTCGCGGCGTCTAGCAATCTCCTCAGATATTCTTGTCATTCCTTGTTCAACCTCCCTTTTTGATCATTATGGTGCCGCACGCGTTGGACAAACTCTGGAGGTTCGACGAAACCCCCAATGTGAGCCAGCCGCCGGCCAAAAAGGCTGGTAAGCCAGCCTTGCAATGGACACCATCTCGAGAAAGGAAGCTCTTTCGATGTGTCGCAATGGCCAATGTGCCAATGAAACATATTGCTACCGCCATGTATGAAGCGGCGGTACCTGCAGAAGATGGAAAGCCTGAACAGCCAGAGTTCGCTCCCTGGTGAGTGTCAGCGCTCCCTATGAGCGAATGGAGACTGAATGACGTTTCTTGCAGTCGCTCGTCCTGCCGAAACCATTGGCATGAAATGACTGAAATGAAGCCAAAACAAATGCTCATAAATAATCTCTTCAGTAGAGAGAAGCAGAGGAAGCAAATGACGGCAGCTTTTGAAGCATATTTAGAGCGAAAGTCGAAGACAGATTCAAGTAACGAAGCCCAAGTTCCAAATACTGTACCAAGTATGCCCAAGACTTCATACGAAGACACCATCTCCACCACTTCGTCTCAGATGGGAACGGCTACAGATATGTCCACGCCTCTCCTGATCTTCGAAGGAGAGACGCCTATCGACCATGGACCAGTCTTCACTCCCAAATCACACGACACAGCACAACCCCGCATTGCGGACGGTGCCATTCGTCCACTCAATTGGGGAACAGGACCAATCGGACTGGACAGTGGTGAAATGTCCCCAGCTGCACAGATTACTGCAACCAAACGCCGTGTCCCTATCGACTTTGATGAGGTTGGCGAAGCCAGCACACAAAAGATACCAAAACAGCACCTAATTGCTAGCGTGGAAGGGGAAGCTTTCCAGGTCCGTACACCCTCGGGCCAGACCACCGCGCCTGACCGCCTGAGCCGCACAGGAGTTGCCAATAAACTCAAGCCTGTGCAGGAACATTCGGATGAACATAACGAAACCCAACTGAGCATATTTGAGGTTGAGGACGAGATGGGTGTGCCTCACGGATTCATTCCTTGGGTTCACAGTGTAATCTCTGCTACTGGGACCATGGTCTCTCGACTATCATCACGAAGATCTTCGCAGCGCCTATCCGTCGAAACCCAGTCGCCGGATGAGCCCAATCCACTCTTCCGTGATAGCCATATGTCCAGTTCAATTCTATTTGAGAATGTTGGTCGACAAGACCTGGATCTGTTCGATGAGTTACGGCGTGACAATACAACGGATCTGGATGTGGCATCACGGATACGCCACTTCCTTGGGCAGTTGAGCGTTGCTCGAGCACGGCAACTGGTCAGGACTCGCAATCATCGTCACGAGACTGCGCTGGAAGTCGCTCTTGCTCTGGGGAATATTCCTGCCTGTGAAGTCCTCTTGCAATTCGGCGCTGACGTGTACGCAAAAACCTCCAACGGGAAGTCACTCTCTGCCTTTGGCCGAGCAGTGGGAAGAAAAGACATCCCGACAAAATACTATGTTGCTATTGGTGCTTGCAGAAACAAGATATTCTCCAAAGCCGGAGAAGACGAACTTAAGAATAACCCGGACCTTCAAAAGGCAAAACGGGTGTCCAGTATCAATAATGGTGCTTGGCCAAAGTCGAAAGCGAGAGCTCGCAGTACCACATTCCCCAAGAGGGCAAACACTACACACGTCCCACCTCCGTTATCTAGTGGCCTGGCCCGGCTGGGCTCTCTTGTCGGTGTAAGCCGCGATCGGCTTCGTCACAGTAGACCAAATGGTAGTAGAGAGTCCAGCAGATCGTATGGTCGACCAGTCTCTTTTCAGAGAGCCCCCTCACTGGCTTTTTCTGATAATTTCTGGGACAGAATATCAGATCCCCGACCAATACAGACCGACCGCATGAACAGTGCGTCTCAAGAAAGTCTACAACTCACGCAGTCTTTACATTCGAACTTCGTCGTCGAACGTGGGACTCCAGTACCTACCCTACCAGACTTTGATCCTAGCCTCGGAGTTTGGGAACTGCTACCCGATAATCGCATGGTCTTCGTTCCTCACTCTCAAAGGACTATGGAATTACCTATTCTTCCAAATCCACTGCCACATCAGAACCCCCCTGAAGCTGAGATACGTCAAAGCACGATTGGGCTAGCACAATTTCCCAACCCACCAGCTCGGATTGAGTTCAGGCAACCAAGCCAGAGAAACTCAGTGAACACGCGTCGACATGGAATGATTTTTGACAGTGTAGCAGCAAATTCCATCATGGAACCCGCTGCTGCTACCACATTGAATGATGTCCTGCAAGAATATCATCAGCCGGATGCTGTCGCTGATACCATCAATAGCCTGCCAGACAGTGATCTGGCATTCATGAATGCTTATGACAACCAATCTTACAATCGTCAGAATGAGACGACAGCAAACGTGTGGGACACCTTGGAACAGATTCCACCTAATGAGAATCCCACTTTCATGAATGTCCCAGAGGCAGAACTTGCCAACCTTTTCCCTGAAGAGATCCTTGATAACAATTTCGCACCGGGTTGGATCTAATAGGTAGCAATTGGAGCATGTACTTGGCGTTTTTGGTGTACCCACCTTGGAGCATTGTTGTTGCTCCCTATATTCAAGTTCAGACATAACGGCCTCACGGTATCAAACTGCTCACTTATCTTCGACATTTCATGGAGTTTTGAGTTCGACGAGAGGAGATACCCAAAACCAAGATTCTTTTCAGCGTTGGAGTTAGGTTCTCTGATGCTTAGATTAGCGTGTTTCGCTGGTTGTATTTTGTTTTGATTTTTCGAAATTGAGATATTCTTTCGAGTTTTTTGGGGTTTGGGTAATGGCGTCAATATTACGACTAAGATTTGGGTTGCAACACTTGCTTGGATGTACATGAGAGCTCCTTGAATGAAGATAAATTTATTAATGCCTACAAAACATGCATTCGTCGTTACCGCCCTCGGTTCAACCTCGCTTAGCCTCCCCACCCAAAAAGGTAAAAAAAATATACAAAAGACAAAACATTAACAACCAACCATGATGAGACGGGTCATGGATGATTGCTTAGTACAAGGGCGAACCATTGTTTATCATTAGCATCTTCTTGGGATCTGGCCGTAACCACTCCTACTCCGACTTGATCTTAGTGGTGCAGATTACTGTCTCTTAAATCTATGCGCTCCACTTCGACCAGCTAATTCTTGGGGTCCAAAATGCTTATTTAACTCTATAACGAGGGTTGGAGGATTAGTCGCGACATCGATTCACCTTTAACACTACGTCAACCTTTCATGGTAACGTTCGAGTCCAATACGGAATTACTCGTGGATAATTATCAACATCATTATATCCGTGCCTAAACACACGGTCATTGCGAACACGCGTAAGTGCCTCAAACCTTTGTCTTCTCCTCTACCCACTTCAAAGCATCATCCGCAACTTCTTCCCAACCCTTCTGATTAACAATCCCATGCGTCCTCCCCTCAAACACCTTCAGCTCCACAACCGCTGGCCCAACATAATGCTTCCTCTCCGCCTCAACCACCTGCCTAGGAACGACGTGATCATTCGTTCCCGCAATCAGCAAAAGCGGCGCTCTATTCTTCTTCCCAAAATCCACGCTCCCTTCACTCTTTGCACTCAAGAGTCCTAGCACACCCTGGAACAGGATATGCCCAGCTGCTGGTATGGAATATTTCTCCCATAAAACCTTGGAGTCGACCGCGTTGAGGTGGTTTCCGAAATTGTAATGGAACTGCGACTCCGTGATCTTGACCGCTTTGTTGTAATTCAACGGATTACCCAGGACTCCGAATCCGGCCTTCACGGTGGTGAGTTTCAGCGTTAAAACACCAGATGGTTGGGCTGGACTTATGCCTACGCCCGCGATACCGAATCCTTTCGAGAGAAGAATTTGAACGAAGAGGCCTCCAAAGGAATGGCCCATGAGGATCGGAGGGGATGGTAGAGTTTCAATGATTTTAATGTAGTTGTTGATTATGGCGCCAATGGTGACACCTTGAAGTGCTTCTGGGTGCGCGCGGATGTCTTCGACTGTACGGCCGTCGAGTCCGGGCCAACCAGGGGCTATGGCTGTGTAGCCTTTGCTGGCGAAGAAGGAGATCCATTCTTCCCAGCAAGATGGAGACATCCAGAGGCCGTGGATTAGGACGATTGTTGGCTTTGCAGAGGCTCCATTGGTTGTGGGGACATCAACCATCTTGAAGCTTGTTTTGATCACGTGTATTTTGGATTCGTGAAAAGCGTCTGCTAAGATGGAGAATCTTGAGAGAGATATATTCCGAGGACGGAATTAAAGAGTGATTGATTGCCATGATAGTCTATGAGAGCTTCATAACCTGATCTTTCGCCAGCCAAGATGCTGTGGTTGCTCAAGCCGTCTGCAATCGCCGTATAATAATGCACAGAATGACAAGGGGGCAAGCTCTCGTAATCAAGATGCATGCATATTCTAAACAGTGCAAACTGGGACTCAAAATGTAGTGATTTAGTGGTCTGCCAAGTATTGGCTGAGGGCTGGTGATAGTAATTCGTGAGTGTCTGAAAGATGACAAAGTAGGATTGGGAGAATGATGGGCAACGTCGTGGACTTGGCGGCTAGGATCTTCAGCCACTTGATTACGTGGTAGCAACCCAGCATTTGATTATTGGCTGTAAACTTTTCGTAACTAAATGGAAGTTGAACGATGGCAACTTTACTCCAGTGTGATATTCTCACATTTTGCTGCTGGTAGGTAGGTGATTGAAGGAATTGGAACGAAAGAAAATTAAAACTCTGGAGGATAAGGAACTCTATAGTAGTTTTCATATGCTGAACATGTGCGCCTTCCTCGAGAGAGTCCTTGCTCCTTCATATTGCAGTTAATTGTGGAAACTTTATGCCACTGGCTATAGGATACGAAGTAGCATTAGATGTCTCGTCTGACATGTCCTCCCTCCCATCCATATCACCATAATCCGTTAATGTAGACGCTCAAGGTTAAGGGAGGTCCCAAGTCTAAATCTAGCCACATGGTTAGCCCTACGACGTGTAACAAAGCTTGATTGAGTGGACAATAGCTCAAGAGAAGGTTAAGGATCAAGCGCTCAACGAACATTTGAAATGAGGCTGAGCGGGGAGGGAAGAACTGAGTGTATCACACAGCTAGTATTAACAAAAATTCAAGCAAAAGTTACTTGGCCCAAATAGAAATGAAAGCTTGCCCAAACACACATCTCTCCTCCTCCTCCACCACCACAGCGCCGTTTTTTCTCATTTCCGATGAGTTTAAGAAGGTGGGACAATTGGTGCGATTCCGAATTGAAGTGAGTTATCGCTAGCATACCCAAAGACTCCATAGTACGCATTGAACATTAATTCTCCGTAGATATTTTTTGGAAATGATCCTCTATCTTGTAGAAGCCCTGCACACATGGTACCTGCAGAGTTGGTTGTCCCACTGTTCAATAGACTGCCAGGGATAGTAGCCCATATAGTGTCGCCAACCAAGAAACTAAAGCTAGGCAGCTTACTTGAGCAAGGGAATTGCCAAATATTATTGGAGAATACTCCACCAACCTTCGCGGACATGTAGTATTGTTCTAACGTAGCGTTAAGCATCAAAATCCCAGCCGTGCCGGTGTCTGATATCCTCGTTTGGCCGGCAATATTATATGTTGTATCTCCAACCTTATATTGGACGGACGGATATTTCCAATATCCATTACTCGAAGTGACTGCGGTGTACTGAATGGTACCTGTATGGCGACTGTCCTCGGTGTAACCCCAGTCGTAATAGCCGTCCACAGCACCAGGCAGATAAACAGCGAAAAGCGGGCTCTTCAAGAGGCTTACTATCGAGCCGAAGAAATTCTGGGTATCTCTACAAGGAGTCTGACCGTTTAGAGGTGCGAGACCCAGCATATCCTGCTGCGCATAACCGTCAGAGGCTGAATTTTCAAGCCCAATGCCAAAGCCTCTGAATCCGACCATATCACCCGTCATGTCCTGCGAATCTCCGACTTGGACAGTCTCTAGGCCACAGGTTCCAGAAGACCACCCTCCAGATCCATAAGTTATATCAAATTTTGATGATGCGGGAAGTGCAACGTAGGTCGCACTTTCGGAGGGCGAATACAGAGCTTGCGTATTTTGCAGACTCGGTGGGAGCTCGGTAGACGGAACCCAGCTACAAGTCCATGGTCAGGATAAACTCTGATACAGCGCTGCTCTAATACAGCAAAGGTGACTTACAAAGTAGAACTACCTGTATCAAGACACATTGGAAGGACCTGGTTGGTTGCAAGAAGCACAGAAATATGATACTGATATGAAGACCAGCATTCTCGTCGGCATACGACCAACTAGCATATCGGTGTTTACTTTGATGTCTGTCCAGCGCATCTTGGAATGCATGGGACACTTTGCCAGTCGGTGTCAAGTTATGCTTTGCATATGCGTTCAGCAAAGCAGTTGTGGTATTGTGGACGTATTTTGGGTTGCGCTTGTAAAGAGTTGAGAATTTCCTTTTGCCTCCTTTGCTGCTAAATGGGCCTGAAGCGCCAGCGGTTGGCGCAGCTTGGACTGCGACTGCAAGAGCTGCAATGATCATATATCCGATGATAAGCATGATGATGATTAGGGATGTGATGCATAAGATTTTCTTAAGCACGATGCATAGTCCGAAGAAGCATATATATAAGAATTCAAGAATGTATTGAACCCCGCTCCTGCTTCATGTCTGTTTCAATAGGAAATCCCAAAAATTCCTCTTCTCAACATTCCACGAAGTTCACATCGCGACCAATATCAAATGCGCCAGAATTTGGCTTGGTCCAGGCCAATGCATAGGTGAAGTCAGAAGTCACCTTCGAGACATCAGACCACATCGGAAGGATAGACGCAACGCCTGGAATGCATCTTGAGGAGGACCTCTCAAGTGCTCGAAACGCTGAGTACATTTGAGCATAATCTGGCGATCAAAGTTTAGTGAGGCTTAGCTAACGATGAAGTTGTGATTCTGACTTGTTTCGGGCCGGAGCAGAGCCCTAGTCGGGCTTACCCGTCAAGAATGTAACGGGTACACCCAGGAATTCTGACTTTCGGCAGGAGTGTCTCACTTTGAGAACGAATAGAATTCTAGGGATTCTAATCAGTAAAACATAGACGTAGCACAAAATTTAGTGCGGAGTACAACCAAGAATGCACAATACCCGCAAGAAATTTATACCGGTGCCTCTGCGTCAACAAGTCTAAGTAGATTACTCATCCACCAATATTGAAATTGGTATAGCAATTAGCACATCATGGCCTAGTTTGTCGAATGGTTTTTTCTTGCTCTGGAATGTGGCTGCTTAGTAGCTGTAGGAATGTTGAACGATGGTAGCACTACTTTTGTGTGAGAGAATTTGCTGGAACAACCAGAACGGCGTTGCACGAGTATTCCTTCTTGATCCTCACGTACTTCTCGTGCTGGATACTAAAGCTCGTGTTCTTTTTCAACTTGCCCCTTTCCATCTTGGCTACAGACGAAATTGAAGGTCGACACTCGAGACTTAGAACATCTGCACATCAGATTAATCTTCGTTGGAAGTCTCACTGAGCTCGCCCACATCGAATCTCAGCTGAATGTGCTGCAAATCCACATTGCCCTGTTTGCGTCGAACCCGACAGCAAATCTCATTCTCAACGAGGATATTAAAAAGCAATAAGAAAACACCAGCTTAATTAACACACAAAACTCAAACTTCTGAAGCTCGACACAAACAGGGCGCTTCCAAAATTCAATAGCACGCTTAAGTATAAGATTCCATTATACTCATGACATTGATCGCAATTGACATTCATCGCATTTTGGGATGGCAAGCACTTGAAGCACGTCCACGTCAGTCTTAGAGATCGACTCCAGACGAGACGAAGCGTAGATCAGATCACAAAAATCCGTTCCAAATTGGCACTGCACCGTTGTAGTCAGAGGAAGAAGACCTCAAAATCTCACAGAAGCCAGCTTGTGCATTTGGACGCTAGCCGCAGTTCGTACAGTACCCGTCAGCAGGGATCGGCCTCTAGGTACCTCAAGCGCTGACCACGAGAACTTCATCTCACGTTCCAGCATCAATCACTGAATGTATTACAACTCCTTAGTCGCCCAGGTCTGTATGCTCAGCTTTCAAGATGAAATCTGAAGTCTTCAACGACAACTCTACCATTTCGGTGGTTAGAATTGTGCCGAGTCCGCTGTCCGGAGCTGCAAGATGACTATGTCATCTGCGGACATTTCTAGCTTCTTAAATCCGACTGAAGGCTACAATTCGCATTCGTCTGCCCATGCGAATCATTGGTCTTGCGCGTACGAATAGGTATTCTTGTACAGTACTTTATATGTCCTCCATTTCTTTCTCTGCACTGTCTCTCCCTCCTTCATCAATGCGCTCATTCTTTCAAGCTCTTTTACGGCGTCGACCTCGCTCTAGTCAACCACAGCAAAGAGTATCAGCCATCCAAGCAAGAACTATATCTGGCGGAATGACAGCCGCAGCCTTGTACGCGGTCTCAATGACCACTCCCACGGCATTGGGAGCTGTGCCAGAAGACGCAGAAGCCAAGTCGCACCATGCGAAGAATGGAGTAGGCTTCATCAACCCATGGGATTCATTTAAGGATTTTAGTGCGCCGGAAATTATGAGGAAGATAATATGGTTAGTTATTTGCGTGCATATGGTATGCAAGCCTCAATGCTAATTGAGGCGAAGGGGTCGAGTAACAGGAAGCTTCAAAAGTCCAGATACGACACCTCCAACCGTTCCTGTCGTAGCCCCAAAGTTCCTCCCAAATCGAACAGTATCCCCCGCTCTGCGAGCAACTTGGCTTGGACATGCATGCTATTATGTGGAATTCCCCTCTGGTCTGCGAGTACTCTTCGACCCCGTCTTCGAAGAACGCTGTAGTCCTTTCTCCTGGATGGGACCAAAACGCTACACCGAAGTCCCATGCCATATCAAAGACCTCCCCGTCGTCGACCTTGTCGTTATATCCCACAGCCATTACGACCATCTCTCCCACCCAACCGTCGTTGAACTCCACAAAGCACACCCCGAAGCACAATTCCTCGTGGGGCTAGGTCTGAAAGATTGGTTCCAAAAATGTGGAATCAAGAAGGTGCAAGAAATGGACTGGTGGACCGACATAGACATAACCCTCTCTCCTTCTACTGGCGAAAAACGAATTTCAACTGCGTCGAGCACAACCGTTCCATCCACGACTGCGCCCACCGACTCCTCCAATATCACAGCCCGCATCTCCTGTCTTCCCTGCCAACACATGTCTGCACGAACACCCTTTGACAAGGCACACACACTTTGGTGTTCCTGGGCCGTATCATCTGGCGGTAAAAGCGTCTGGTTCGGCGGCGACACCGGATATCGCTCGGTCCCACAACTGCCTGAAGGAGAAGATGACTACGGAGAGAAGTATAAAGATCTCCCTTACTGCCCTGCCTTCAAACAAATTGGTGATTTGAGAGGTCCTTTTGATCTGGGTCTGATTCCTATTGGAGCATACGATCCGAGGTATATAATGAGTACTGTTCATGCGAATCCATTCGATAGTGTTAATATTTTCATTGATACGAAGTGTAAGAAGGCTATGGGTATTCATTGGGGAACTTGGGTCTTGACTGGTGAGGATGTTTTGGAGCCTCCGAGGTTATTGAAGCAGGCGATGAAGTGGAAGGGGTTGCCCGAGACTGGAGTCTTTGATGTTTGTGACATTGGAGAAAGTCGAGAATTTTAATTTGTTTAGGAGAGCGTTTCGGCCTGGGTCATCAGAGAACGTGTAAGAATTAGATGACTGCTTAGCAGTGTAAGAACAATCACATCTTCAAATGAAAAGTTTATGGAGAAAATTGCATTTTCGTAGGAGTACAATTTGATGAGTCGACCGCAAAAGATCTATCCATCCTTATTGTACATCCTCCATTCTGCCCTGGAAATATGACAAGAGAACGTGTTGCTTTTTCAAAGAGAGTTCCGACCAGACGTTAGCGTTTAGGAAATCGTGTGTCCACATCAGTGTCCTATTATGATCAAAGAAGTTGTGCAATATGCAGAATCCCGCCCTAGTTGACCATCATAAGAACGTATCACATCCTGCGGTTTACAAATCTATGCTTGATTAGCATGGAAGAAATATCTAAAGCAGACCCACTTACCAGTAACGTGGACGAGGGCGCTCATAGTCGTAAGGAGGCTCTCTTGGTGGGTAATCCCGTGGGGGTGGTCGGTCATAGGGAGGTCTACCATTGACATATGGGTCAGGAGGGTAGTCACGTCGGTAAGGATCCTCGAAGCGGCCACGTGGTGGTGGGTAATCATCAATAGGACCACGAGCTCTTGGTGGAGAACGGTAGCGACCACGGTCATCATCATAGTAACCACGGCGAGGAGGGCTTCTTTCGCGGTAACCATCACGGCGAGGGCTGTATCCACGGGAAGGTCCACGGCGGTCATAGTCGTCAGCGGGGTAAGATCGGCGAGGACCAGGAGAGCGGGAGCGAGCTCGATCACGGGGAATATCAGGTTGAGTCTGTGAGGTTAGTTGAACCCAACAAGACACAGAGTATGAATACGCACATCAGCAACACAAGTGACACGGACTCCCTTGAATTCACGGCCGTCAAGCTTTTCTACTGCGGTCTTGAGATCCGCAGCAGTTTCGAACTCAACAAAGCTTCTGATTTGTTAACAATGTAGCGCAATACAGAGGACTCGAGATACTGACCCTTTGCCATCCCGGTCACGGCCGGTTTCGGAGTAGACGACATCGAGGCTGGATTGACGGGCGAAGTCTTTCAGATCCTATATCCAGAATCCATGTAAGTCGTTATCCAGGTTATGTTGTTTGCAAAAAGCCAGGGCAGAGGTAGTTGCCATCCAAATAGTAGCCTGCACAACAGTCCCGAAAAAGGTACATGGTCCTACGGTAGAGCTCCTTGCTGTGCAAAGTAATCGCTGTCCAGGTACGAAAGGGCAATAATTGACATAGCAGAAAGAAGTCGAGACAGGATAAGAAAGGCCAGACAGGGGATAAAGACGTCCATCAAGTCCAAGGCTGCTCAAGCAAATGCACTAGCACACTGCAATAGCACTGGTCGCCTGGTAGGGCGTGATGTGGCCAAGACTATGTAATACTAGGCCGCAAAGGACCTGAGTACACTGTGGGCGTCCAATGAATAATGTTGTTTAGTCCAAATAGCAAGATGTTCAGATCCAAGAGCCCGGGAGAAGGAAGGGAGTACAGACCTGCCAGCTGGTCTCACCTGGAAGTCCAGAGATTTGCATGCGATGCGGGGTGCGTCGGGGACGAGGAGCAGTCCGCTCAGTGTTGGCGAAAGCATCGCGATTGCGAGTACCACGGGCAAACTGAACAGTCAAGCGCTCGCCCATGAAGTCCGAGCCGTGGAACGCTGGAAGAGTATAAGCCTATGTATTGAACCTTGGGAAGTTATGCGGCCATACCGGGAACCACATCGCGGGCATCCATAGCATCCTTGTACTCGATGAATCCGAAGCCATTCATGAGCTTGATCTCGGTGATCTCTCCAGTACCATGAGTATTGAAATGCGTCTCGACGTCCGCCTTGGTGGCTGTTGAGCATTAGCAGAGCTCTTTCCCGACCGACGAGATGGAATCCATCAACAGTATCAAATAGAGGCGCAGAGCAGGAGCGTACCATTGCGAGGAAGGTTTCCCAGGTATAACCTGGTGGAAGAAACTTCTGTCATGATGAAGTTTGGTCGATGGGTATGGGCTCAACGCGCCAAAGAATTGGTTGGTGTTGAGGAAGAAGTTGTGCCACGAGGCGCGATCCTGTCCTTGTTATTATAATATGGAAGAATCGATGCTGAGGGTATGCGCGCAATGATGGAGGTGTCGCATACGATTGCAACCCGGTGAATAGAAGACGGGCGTTGAAGACGAGGGAGCAAGGCGGAAAGACAGGATGAGGCGAGAAATCGATTGGAAGTAAAGAAAAGAGCGGGGCGGGCGAGAGCTTGGACCTCTTCACGTGATTGATGACTTAGGTTTCTTTGCGACAGCCAGCTTGCGACTTCGGTCTTATTCCTTCATGCTTAGAGGGTCAAGTCAGAGAGCAAATGACTATCTACGAAGCCGAGGGTTTCGAGGAGATGATATTGGAGAATTCCATTCTGCTTAGTCCCATCTGAAGATAGGCAATTCTACAAAAGAAACGCACTCGTTGTGTTCTTCTGCTGCCCAGTGTTGGGAACCATCGTTAATCTCTTAGTACTACAGCATCAATAACGCTTGCGCACTGTGTCTGCCTTTCTCAAGTCATATTTGATGTCTTTGTTATCTTAAGGATGGCTCTCGATTCTGTTGAGTACTTGCCTGGACTCTTTAGATCTTCTTTCAGAGACTGAATCATTACAGTTCTGCTCAAATGTAGCATCGGTAGTCCTGCAAGTTGTCAAGCTGATGGCTACTTAAGATTCTTCTGAATATCCTTCATTCGCTCCTCGGCTGGCATTAGATGAACTGCAGAGGTATAGAATGACAGAATGCGTTCTTTGTGTGACAGGTGGTTTGAAAATGCGAGTCGAATTAGTTGCAATGTCGACCTACCAAGGTGAGGTAAAGCCGCTTCACACCAAAAAAGATATGGCATGTTGAAGTACAGTATATCTCAACTCAGTAGGAATTATATTCCACAACTAGGCTTCCTGCAAAATAGTCCGAGTACTTGCGAACCCCCTCGCTTAGCTCGAGTTTCTCTCCCACTTCGCTAAGCGAGTACTTCAACATGTAAACAAACCAAAAAAGCTATCAAACCTCCACAGCATTTTTAAAAATAGAGAACAAGAGCAAAAACTCAGACCTAACCATCTCGAGATGGGTAGGTCGTAGAAAACTTGCTCGGTGTCGTATGCAGTTTTTGAAGTCGCGATCGTTCGTTCGTATGCGGGCCAGGCGATTTTATCCCTATCCTCCTCTTAACCCACACTTGACCTGAACCACTGACCTAAGTGGAATGCTGTAGTGGGTGTGGAGTAAAAATTGCTTATTTAAATCTATAAGGTATGTTTGCGTTAGGGGTCGTCTCTCGCTTATTTGGACGAGGCTACGAGCAAACAAGCCAATTATCACCAAAAATCGTGGAATGGAGCAGTGTGAATGTCAGTTTCCGCTTTTATTTGTATTAATGTCTTATTAAAGCAAGCTGTATCTTCATTTTGATAGTGGTTAACCTGATTCTAGAAGCAGCGATTTCGGGCTTCTCATTCTCTTTATCCGTCTGCAGATGATTTTGACTATTTGTGCTCACAAACTACGCTTACCGCATAGTAGAAACACTTCTTTCAAGCAAGAACATGTCACTGTGATCATCCATTGACAAGTTCCTAGCAATCTCTGCCATAATCTGATTTAGCTAGCTTCGAGCTCGAAAAGAGAATAATGAGGTATGGAACCTTGCAGCTCCGGCTATAAGACTACATCTGAGAATTGTTTTGCAACCAAGGGCAACGTATGTCGAGAATTATCGATGCTCATTCATTTTATGAGCTTTAAGTAGCGAAGCCTAACATTGTGGGGAAAGAGCTGCAAAAGCAGATGAAGATTTGCCAAGCCTGCAATTGCCATGAACAGAGGCAGCAACTGAAAAAGCTAGCAAGCAGCATAAATATATCTCTACATCCAACTTGACTTTGACAAAAGAAGCATAAGGAGAAGGGATGGAACCGACGTAAAACTAGATTTAACAAGTGAACAACGTCGAACACTTCACAGCCGGCGGCTTGACAGACATCCTACGTGAGATTGACTACGCGTTATATTAGCAAGGATTGAGTTCTACTTGTCAATCATTGCCAATGTGGTCTAGAGTATGTTCACTGACCGAACGCTTCTAAATGAAAGTCTGAGACTAGATCGCCTTGAAAGATCAAGGAGTTACTCTTAGAACTTAATCTGAGGCGCCAAAAATTGATCTCAATCCAACCATTGTAACCGAAGACAAGATCACACAATCACACAAGACAGAGCTGGTAAGTGCTGCACAGTCGAGACATGAATCATTACAACGTTATGCTACCCTAACCAGAACGCCCACCGTCACCTCCTTCCACATATACGCAGACGTGAAGCTGCAAACCGCATTTTATCCCAAATACGCAGTACAAGAACGAAGTGACACTGCTCTTCAAAGACAAATCATCTCATCTCAACATCCTGGGTATCTTCGGTTTCCTCAACCCCAGGCTCATTTTCTTCCTCATCCGTAACAAAGGTTTCATACTCTTCCAGATTCTTCTGTATGTGAACTTTGAACTTGATGATGTCGTTCAGCATCCTTTCAATTTCTGTATGTAGTTCTTCTCTCAATGCATTGGCTTCAAGAGTCAATTGTTCATACCTGGTTCAAGTTAGCATCAATGTGTCAAACATGGATGGAAGACTTACTCAATGTTCGTGTTCATTTCACGTTGCTCCATGAGTTGTACAGACTCGGTGAGACCTGCGCGCATCTTGGCTAACTCTTTCTCCATCTTCTCAATCTGAGTATCAGAGGCCAACTTCTGGGTTGTGGTGACCTGAGCGTGTGTTAGCTTCTGTAACGAAACATTCAATGCTTTTTTCTTACCTCTTTGGTCTTCTCATACTCCTCTTCTGCAGCCCTGACACGATGCTCAAGAGCCTGGACCTCGCCTCTCTTGTCTTCGATCGCTTCCTTGATGCCGTCAAGCAGCTCATGATGCTTCATCATTTCATCCATAGCAACAGTACGTCGCTCCGAGATCTCCTTCCTGAGACTCACAAAACTGGTCTTCACATGCCCTCTAAGGTCGAGGTTCAAAATGTGAGCAGGTTGGTAGCCAGTAAGAGGGTCTGCTAAAAGTCGATCACTGTCGGCGTTCCCACCTCGGGAAGAACCAATTTGAGAGGAGGAGAAGTTGGGGCCTTCATTGACAACCACCTGCAGCTCGTAATTCTTTCCCTTCGCATTTGGCGCCGTCGATGGGATGAGACCTATTTGGTAGCCTAGGCTGTTGTACTTGTCGACCATCCTCTCTAGCTCATCAAGTTTTCGACTTGCTTCTCCTTCCTTGTCTGTGACCTTCTTCTTTGCTTCTTCTAGACGTTGTGATGTTGACTCTATGCCTTTCTGAAGTCTTTCTCTTTCGGCAGTCATACGATCAATATCAGCCATGCTGATTCCTTGCTCATCAACTGCTTTTTGCAGATTTGATCTTTCATCGTCAGCTTCTTTCAACTCAACCATGACCTTGTCGAGCTCTTCTTGAAGAAACTGTATCCGGGATTCGTATTTCTCGGACTTCTGATTCATCCGACTATCGAACTCTTCGAATTTGACCTTGTCGTCCTCCATGATCTTGAAATTCTTGTCCAAAGTTGCAACGTCGGATCCAGATTTCTCGAGAGCCTCGATTTCTCTCTGAAGCCTTTCATGCTCCCCTTCCAGAATGTGCAGTTCGTCAAGGTATTTTGAGTTTGCTCTATCGAATTCCTGCGCCATAGCTTCAACATGTGGAGCTAGAACCCTATCTTGGTCCTCGTCTCCAGCGTCGTCATCCATGGATAGCCAATCTCGATATGCACGACTGAGAAAATCGAAGATGATCCGGTCCCCACTCACGTCAACACCAGTCTCGGCACAGGCATCATCGTAATGGTTCGAGGCATAGCCCTCAAGCATCTGAGCTAGCTGCATCATCCAGTGAAGCAGGCCCAGGAAGAGATGCCATGAGTTCTGGGATCCCACAGCCGAAAGAGCGCTTTTAGTGATTGACTTTTGGTAAGGATATCTGAGTTGCTGCATGATAGGCGGTACTTCTTGGTCGATGTTTTTCTGAAAGCGGTAGCTTGGATCGATACGATGGTACAACCATTGGAACATGTACACGAAGTCTTTTTGAGTTGGAGACTTCACCATGTTCTGCGAGATCATATGTTTCATCTCCATCTCGAAATTATTGGCAGTCATATAATCGAGGATGTCCTGCCCAACCTTCACCTGAACGGAGCGGTCCTTCAGCTTTCGAGGATCTGTAGGGGCGCCTGCTGGTTGTGGTGCTTGTTGAAAAAAGCTCTGGTGGCCCATCGGACCGCTGTTCGAGCCTCTGGATCTGTAGGTATGCACGCTACTCCTTCTATCGTTCTCTGCAGACGAACGTCCCATTCCACTTGTCATCCCACCAGGCGCATAGCTTTTGCGCCCACTGGTGTTTTGGAATGATGTCCTTTTTACTGATGACATTCCCATCTCAGCCAGGTTCGTTCCCGAGGAAGAGCGTTGAAACTGTGGCTGATTTGGTCGTGGAGGAGCAAGAGAAGCGCGCGATCCTGAGATTGAGCGTACATGACTTGCAGTAAAAGGCGCGTTGCCATTTGAGCCAGACAGAGAGTTTGAACGCTTCATGGCAGATGCTGGCTGTGGGATGTTGGAATTGTAATTTATGCCACCTAGAGTCTATCAAAGAGTCAGTGCATGGTCGCATAGCAAGATGCAGATGAATGGGTGTATCCTCAATTGCAAGAGCTATATCAACGCTTCAGGAACATACCTCTCGAGGCCGTCGCACCGAGAAAAGACCTGTGTCTTGCGACATTCTGACTGAAATTGGATTTCCAGTTGATGATATAGGTATGGTATATCGAACAGGAGCAGTTCTATGTTGACTGTACAATCGAAATTTTGCGAAAGTTCTTGTATGATGTTGTAAGGTCAATAGTTGTGGTGCGCTTGGGATGATAACAATCGATGAGACGATTTCATAGGTCGCGGCTGTCGAAAGTAAACAAACCAAATAAAGCTTAGCTCCAACCTTGATTAGACTCCCTCACGTGCCACTTTAGCATCCAGCCTCGGCTTCCGGCCTCCAGATTATCGCGATGATATCCCCAGATTCTGAATAATTTGTCGCATCTCAACGCCGCTTCGCACCCTTATGAGACAATCGACAGCGGGCGGTCATCAAATATGGCAATTCGAGAAGATATCGTAGCGTCTGCCGTAAGTGAGGCTCCGTTCTCTGGATAGCGAATACTGATTAGAAGCAGGTTACATGTGAGAATATGCGATGGCAGGAAACTATTCTCCATGCTGATGTTTGCTTGTAGTTCTCCAAGACCCAAGTGTTGCCGGATCGCCGATCGAAAATCGAATAGCATTTCTACAGTCCAAGAATCTTACTCAAGAAGAGGTTGACACAGCTCTGGCCAGAGCCAGCGGCGAAACTGCTCCAGCGAATTATTCCAACTATGCACCTCAACAACAGGTAGCACGACCACCACAGCCAGGCTATGGCGGATACCAACAATACCCATGGCAGCAACCACCTCCTCCAGAATTACCAAAGAGGGACTGGAGAGATTGGTTCATCATGGCAACCGTGATGGGAGGAATGGGATATGGTCTGTACTTTGTTGCAAAGGCAAGCTATTACAGACTCAGAGATGTGCACTTCGTCTGCTAATGTGCTCATAGCGATATGTGTACCCAATGATAGCGCCACCGACGACTCCACAATTGGAACAAGATAAAAAAGACATCGACGACTCGTTCGAGAAAGCATTTGCACTTTTGGACCAATTGAGCAAAGATACTGAAGCTCTGAAGTCATCCGAACAAGCTAGAACGGAACGCTTGGATGCCGCGTTATCAGAAGTTGAGAGTGTCATCAGTGATCTAAAGACTGCCAGTCGCAGACGAGAAGAGGAGTCTCGACGAATAAGTGACGAGGTCCGTGGATTGAAGGACTTGATCCCGAAAGCTATGGAGGGACAGAAAGAAAGTACAGATACCAGGTTACGAGAGCTCAATACTGAACTGAAGAGTCTGAAGACCCTAATGGGACAAAGAATGAACCCTGCAACTTCATCGAGTACTAGTCCATATACTCGAGGACCAACCATAGGTTCGACCCCCACAAATGGTAGCAGTGCCAACACAAATGGGTCTTCTGGTACAGATGGAGTCACTCCGAAACCAGCATCAGTGAGCAATGGAGCCGGAACCGAATCTGTAGCTTCCCTGCAAGGACGCAGCTCAAGTCCTTTCAGCACAGGCATGCCAGCTAGTAAAGCTGCAATCCCATCCTGGCAGCTTGCATCAGGACACAAGAGCACGAGCTCTACTGGCACAGGAAGTGGCTCACCAGAAGCTACTGGATCAGCCTAAAGGAAGTGGGATTTATCTTGGACACGGATGTATTTGCATTGGTGGCGTTCTGTGGCTATCTAGGTGTCAGTGATGACAAGGGAAAATAATTGTATTATGCTTCGAAAACAAATGGATTCAACGTGAACAAGCTATACTATTTGTTCCCTAGCCAGTCTGTGCTCACAGAAAGTCTCTAAGTACCGCTCGGGTAAGACAAAACGTTTCGTTACATCAGCCTTGCCGATAAGGTTGCACGATGTGGATGTGCCCCTTCGCAAGATGCTTGCAACGATCCGTCTCAGAACCGAAATCCGGGGATCCTTCCTGAACTTCTGATAGACCACGATGACCAAAAAGCCACAGCATTTCTACCCAAGCTACCAAAAAGGCTCAAAAATATCACAGACGATGAAACACATGCGACGGCCACGAGGGCAAAATGGAAAATCGAGCTAGGATGATGCCTCGGCATCTGACTGTTGAAGACGGGGCTTCCTTCCCGCCTTGTCTAGGAAGGGTGAAGCCACCCACTTCTAATGATTCACGCCAAATGAATATTGGTTATGGAATAGGTGAATCATTTTCCCCCGAGTTTATTCCTTTCTTCCTCTCCATCTCACTTTTCCACCTTTCGTTGAGATTTTGTATTCTCACCGAAAAGATGGAGTCGTCACCGCTTCCTCTTGTGAAGGCCTTCCTACCAAAAGTGCCACTCATTGGAAGAACAGCAGTATCTCACACTTTGGGTTTCTCGGAGCATTCGAAACACTGGGACTTGCGAACAGAGTTGATCGTCAATGTCCTTCGATCCTTCATTGTCGATTCGCCTCCGGTTTCTGTTTCTAGAACCCAACGCCTGTCCTTGAGAGACCCGGGAGTCAAAGGAAGAATATGGATCAGCAGATTCACAATACCGAAACCAGAGGAAGACGATATCAGACAAGCATTATTCGAGGCAATCGAAGAATGCAAGGAGCCTGGAAGTTTGCCTAAAGGCTACCAGGAGCCGGAGACGGTCCCAGTCGAAGCGGAATGGACTGGATACCGAGCAGGAGCTACAAAACAGTCGGCTGAGCTCAAGATCAGCGAAGAGCAGAAATATAAGGAGATGATGAGAGAGGTCACGGCCCCGACGACTATCCTTTACTTCCATGGGGGAGCATACTATTTGATGGATCCAGCTTCCCATAGACCTACCTGCAAGAAGCTTGCTAGACTTACGCAGGGTCGATGCTTCAGCGTCCGCTACAGACTCGCACCTCAGAACCCATTCCCAGCAGCTCTATTAGACGCTCTCGTCTCCTATTTCTCTCTCCTTTACCCACCTCCAGGCTCTTTTCATGAGGCCGTAGAACCGCAGCACATTGTTTTCAGTGGCGACAGCGCTGGTGGCAATCTCTGCCTTGTCCTTGTCCAAACACTTCTCATTCTCCGTCGTCAAGGCCGCAAAATCCACTGGAACGGACAAGAGCGTGAAGTCCCACTACCAGCAGCGGTAGCAGTCTGCAGCCCTTGGCTGGACATCACTCACTCTTCTCCGTCCTGCGATACAAACGGACGATACGACTATCTCCCACCATCCACCAAGAACCCCGAAGGAATGGAATACCCGCCCTGCAAAATCTGGCCCGCGAGTCCTCCCAGGAAGAATCTCTACGCCGATGACGGACTTCTATGCCATCCACTAGTATCGCCAATAACAGCAAAGAGCTGGGAGGGAAGCTGTCCCCTTTACATTGAGACTGGCGAAGAGCTTCTCACAGACGAAGACCAATACGTCGCAATGAAAGCAGCATCTCAAAATGTACCAGTGGTATACGAACAATACGAGACTATGCCACATTGCTTCGCGATGGTTGTGTCAGATTTGCCTGCCGCGAAGAAATTCTTCAATAATTGGGCGGCGTTCATCACTCAAGCGGTCGAGCATCCCGAGGAAATCAAGACGAAGGGGACCATTATTGCGCCAAAGACTTTAAATGAAAGGGGAGTGGAAGTGGCGTCCTTGAGCACGTTTAAGGAGGATGAGATACTAGCTAGAATGAATGAGCGAGTGAGGAATTTCAATCCTAAGCAGCCCGACTCTATGTCGAAGCTGTGATTTGGTTGGTGTGGTAGACTCTATGTTAGCAAGGCGTTGTCGGTTAGACTTGAGAAGACATTCTAGTCTCGATTACTGTAAACTATTCTCCTTGTTTTGCATCGTTTGTAATGTATTCACTATTCAATAAACAGTAGTTTAGTCCACGATTAAGTCCATTGATCTTTGTCGCGAGATGCTACATGCATGCAAGTACTGTACGTAAAAAGCGACTATTAGTCTATCCCATTCCATTCCATGCTCGAAGCCCGCACTGTGCTATAGGCGCAAAAATGCACAACGAAGTCATATTAAAAGAAGAAGAACCACCATGCTCTAGGCCTCTATGCCGCGGCCAAATGGTCTAGTGAAGAAGAAGAAAGAGCCTATCTAAATTCCAGACAGCCGGAACACCGATCGATGGTACGCATTATTGCTTATTTATGCCTTGATGCTGTATTTGCGGCGGAACATGTCGTCGACGTTCTCTAGGTAGTAGACACCGCTGGCGATGGTCTCTGACTTGCCTGCTGGCGAGTAGTCCTTTTGGAGATGGGCCTTCTTGCGGAGATTGCAGAACTGTGGTGGTTGTTAGTGGGAGGGATTTGATCTGGGAATCTGGGACCTTACCTCTTCGTAGACTTCTGGGGCAAGGGTTTGTCGGGCAGCCAATCTCTCCTTCAGGTTTACGACTTTTGCCATAGCTTCTGTCGAGCCGACAACCTTGAGGGAGAACAAGCTTGAGGCGAGACCACTGCCGTAGCTGAAGACTCCTATTCTCTTTCCTTGCAAGGTTTCACTGTCAATGTTGCTGATGAGACTGACCAACCCGCTGTACACACTCGCGCAGTACATGTTTCCGCACATGGTGGGAGCAGTGGTACTGGGTTGAACACGCTCGTTGAAGCGCTTCTTGGTCAAGCCCATGAAGGTTTTCTCAACGACCTTGTCGGCGAGAGACTTGGAGTAGTCCATATCCCGAAGCTCGGCAGGTACGTCAGCAAACGCTGGGGAGGATGGGTTGCTAAGGTAGTCGTTATAGAGCAGGCGGCCATAGGACTTTGCGACAAGTTTGCAGTTAGGAGCGTGGAAGCTCATGTAGTCGAATTTGTCGAGGGTAGTCTTGGTGGTTGCAACGTCTTCCTCAGTATGCCCGTTGGTGCCGTTGGTGTGTCCGTTGGCAAGAGACTTGAGGTGTGCTTCTCTCTTATTGTACGCCTTGTAGCATGCATCGACAGCCTCAGTATAGCATCTGTTAGAGAAATGACCGTCGACAACAGGATACTCGCTGGTCAAATCTGGCTTGTAGAAATCGTAGGCATGTTGCATGTAAGTTCCTCGAAGACCTGGCTCGACAACAATGGGTGCATTGGGACCAATCAACATGGCAATGATACCAGCACCTCCGGTAGGACGAGCAGCACCCTTAGCATATAGTGCGATATCACCAGTGACAACGATCGCATCTCGTCCATCCCAGCCTGAAGATTCAACCCAGTTGACGGCGTTGAAAAGGGCGTTGGTGCCTCCATAACAAGCATTGACAGTGTCCACACCCTCAATATTTGTGTTGTCTCCAAATAATTGCATCAGAACTGACTTGACAGACTTGGATTTGTCGAGGATGGTCTCAGTTCCAACTTCCAGGCGTCCAATCGAGTTGGTATCGATCTTGTACTTGCTGAGAAGGTTTGAGAGGACGGTGAGGGCGAAAGAATAGATGTCTGTGAATAATTTAGTAGAGTTCCAGATTTTAATCTGCGGGCATCTGACTGACCTTCTCTATCATCGCAGAAGCTCATCTTGGTTTGGCCAAGACCAATTGTATATTTACCCTGGCTAACGCCATCGAACTTCTCCAGCTCGGCTTGGTCGACACACTGGACATAAAGTCGTTAGAATCTCTGCGCAAGCTCAAGTAGAGTTTGTCTGAAAATCGAAAATGTTTGTGCGTACCTGGCTGGGGAAGTAAAGCTCAATGGCCTTAATGCCAATGTTTTGAGGACAGGTAGACATTTCGTTGGCGGTGAAGCTTCAATCTTTAGGATGAATTGGACCGATTGAACTTAGATTTGGAGGAACTGGATTATGTATTCGAGGTCGACCTATGGTGAGAAAGGATAAACTGTGAGAAAGTATTTCTTGCAATTCGTACACAGAGGGGAAGAGAATTTGTTATCGGCATCAACAGATTAAATTTTGTGGTTTTTAATTTACCGCGTCCCAACGAACTAGAGAAAGGGGTTTGCCGGACTCACCACAAGATTGCTTGGTATGGGGAAACCTGGAGAAAGCAGAAAAGTGAACACGACAAGAAACGAATAAATAAATAGTGTTTTTATTTCTGCTGCCTGTCCTGTGTGTTTCGTTACTGCGGGTTCTTGAAAGACGCAATAGTGTTGCGGCACGACTTATCTCGACCGGCAGCACATTTCTTGCTGGTGGACCCCTACCTTGCCTGCAAGTTGCACTGCCACGCCACTTCGACTCTTCCGAGGGCTGGCCGATTACGGGCTTGTGGTGGACAAAAAGCGGCCTTAAGAAAGCAGAAATTTCCTGCAAAACTGTGCTTTTCTAGTGCCGCTTTTCTGGCCCGCCGGTTGCATGCCCCGATGGCTTGATGCAGGAACCGGATATCCAAAGCACCGTTCTCTGCAATTGTTGGCCTTTGAGAAGCACGCGACCTTGTCTCTCATCACCATTTCGAGATGGGCCTGACGATCATCCGGAATTGAGTTGAATTTGACTTCTAAGACGACTTAAATAGGGAAAGAATTGAGAATCTCATGTTCAACCTTTCTTTTACTTTGACCGCTCCTCAAAAACAATTGTCCCACACCTAGACCGCCACGGCAACTGTCCTGCATTATCGCACGTGCGAACTGCATACCGCTGCTGTCATGCTGCAAGATTCAGCCAGTCAAGGATCAGAACGGTGTTGCCTGGAAAACGGTTCATGGCATCTCTTCGGTCGTCCTATCATTGTTGTTTATATACGACGTATCTCGTGGAAGTCAAAATGTCTTGAAGTGTTGATAATCAGACCTCGACTGCCCAGTGGCAAGCGTTTTCATCAGTCGTTCGCCAGATACTTGAACGCAGGACGATTGGATCTCGATTGAGGCTCGATCCGAAACGGGATCCATGTTGCCATTGAGCTTGTGGATTCGTTTCGAGTCTGACGATGAAACGGGCATTTCAAGTTGTGTCAATCTCAGACACGTGAGATGCAGTTTCTTCAGACCATCGTGTTGTAAGTTTTCTGCAGAAGTTTTACCTGCAACGACTCATAGACTGGAAAAGCTCAGTAGCCCGTTTTGGTTTTCTCGGACTTTATTGGAATTTATTGGACCTGTATTGAAAACTCAGGATTCACGTGGTGAGTACCAATCTTTGCCGGCCTGAATACAGCTTCGAAAGGCTTTTAGAGAAGTGAAACGTGAAAAGATCATCTCGATCTCATTTTATAATCATTCTATCTACTTCATGCTGCTAATTCGCTGTCCGTGTATCACAAAGCTCGATATAGAATACTTTTAGTTGGGCAGCTCAGCTTCTAACAGCTGGATGGATCAAATCTAGGAAGTTTTCTCTTAGGACCTCCCTTTCATCTCGCAGTTTCTAGCAGTCCCATGATTACAATCAAGTGTAGACCTTTGTAGTTCGAGATAAATGAACAATTGAGGTGCATGTGTCGATCATGTTGTCTATTTTCTTTCTAGAATGTTTAGGTCATCCGTAGATCTTATTTGAATGGCACTGGCGATATAGGGTTACACTTTTATCTATACCCGAGCTTGTTTCATACATTGTAAGCATCGTCGAAAAGAAGATAAGATAAGAAAGGTTGTGTTTGCTTGCGTTATAAATAGTTTGTCACGAAGTGGAATAGAATATGAGGCTCAGAGACAAAAGCTTGATCTTGGATCAATACCGTTCCCGAAATTGCCAACCATATCCGATTGTCAATAAATATAAAAACATGAGGGTAAAGTTCGGATTGGGAGAGCCAAGCTTCCGGGAGTGTCACAATTTGTGGACGCGAGGCGGCAAAACCTCGAGTGTCGCTGATTGACTCTCGAATGATTGGACGGCTCATGGGAACCTTTGTCTTTCAGACCTTGCTTTTCTAATACGGATAAGGAATTCCACTTTTGCATAATACCGAAGCTACCCCACGAGGACAATATTATGAGATGAGGCTAAATTTGTGAGCGATCCCCAGCACATATCCTGCGGCACCAGCCGTCATGGTCGACCCTGCTGATCGAGAGAGTTCGAGGATGGAAGGAAATAATGCTGTAAACTTGTGACACCACCCAACATTGAACGAGTGCGAGCGGACGTAGATTCGAGGCATTCAAGTGGTGATGGAAGTGTCTCCTCGTATATTGCTACTGTCGGGCTAAAAAAGCTTGTTTTTGCAAGTGCATTTCCACCAATACATTTTGTGCGCAGCGGATGAAGGAGGGGAACATTCGGAAGGTGGCAGTTAGTGTATGTACGAGTAGTGTTGTTGTTAGGACCAGACGGTGCCAATCCAGACGAATGGGTGCATCATGGACACCGGCTGATGCCAAGCTTTCCGTCAAGCGGAACTCGACCCTCCTCTTTTCGTCTTTGCGTTTGCTGTGGGTGTCCCTCCTCGGTTGTGCCGGGATATCGATGCGGTCTCTGTTCCTGTGAGCACTGTATTATTGCCCTGTGTGAGGCATCGTGTGAAGAAATGCATCCGCATCCTTCATTCGAACGGAGCCGAGTGCGCTTACATGTCTTGTAAACCCTAAATGCTGTGTTGCCCTGCTATTGACAAATCAAGAAGGCGAACAAGGCGAACAAGGGCGAGATCCATGATGAAGATATCGAGACGCCGTGACGGTGCATAGACGATTCCGAGCAGCTGTATAATTTCACAACAGGTACGAGGTTGTTAGATTTCCTCTTCAGAGTGACGCTTGGCTGGAATCTCGCAGATGCGATGCGATTAACCTGAAAGAGGCATCCAAGTCGGTTTGCCCCTTGCCGCGCTCCCCGATTTGCACTTAAAAATAAGGTCGGAAAGAATTGTGGTCCCAAGTCTCCGCAGCCCCAAAACCAAGGAAGAACCTCCTCTCACCAGATGCCGTACTGTGCGCGAAATCACACAATCGCACAACATTGGAGTGACGGTAACGCTGGCCGTATGGTCGAATGATCCTGCGTCCAAACGGATACTTATTATCTTCTGAGCACATTGGGGACTCGTCCTCGTTCTACCGTTGTTTCCGCTCAGGTAAAAATAGTCTGTGCAAGTCTCTGGCCTGAGGCCACAAGGGGTTAAGCGTGTTTGAGACTTAGAACAGCGTTGATCGAAGACTCCATCCCTCTCACCTCAACGACAACACTCACAATCAACGTCCCTTCTCTCGACTTAGTTCACGACCCGATCAGGCCCTCCCTCGATGAATTACGCTCTATAGGAATAGGAATTGATCAGTATATCAGCAACTGGGCGGATTGAGCGCCAAAAGCAGAGTGTCTCAGACGCTGCGGGCGCAGAATGGAGGGAAACGATCGTCGTTCGTCGACAGGAATCGACAGAAGAGCATCAGCGAGGATATCAATGACACAGCAAGATAATGAAGATTATGATTTGGAGGCAATGGGAATTTCTGATGGATTCCGACCGGCAGCAGCGATGACAGGTCACAATAGAATGTCGTCTCAAGCCTCACAACACAACACACCTGGTCGACGAACACCCCCTCCACGCCCATCGTCCACCACGAAACCGAAACTCGATTCTTTTGCATTACGACACGACGGTGCGATGGGTCCAGTCGCAAGAATTAATACTACTGTTGCATCACAACCATCGAATACGGGTCCGACGAGGTCGTCGAGTGTCTCCACCGACATGGCATTTGTGAGAACTGAGAGTCCTTATCAAGGACCATCTGGCCCTTCACATCCATACCAGATGTATCCTCAGGAGTCCCGAATTGCGAGGACAATGAGTGTAGCAACAACTTCGACTGTTGCAGTACCCGATAGACCATATAACGGTCCTGGTGGTCCGACACATCCCTATGGAATGTATCCACAGAATATCGTTCCTGAGGGGGAAGTGGCCGAAGGATCGTCGATACCACCCGTACCTGTTGGGTTTCCAGGCTTGAACAACAATTATCAACGTCGATTGGGCCCTGACGGAGAAGAGATCGCGGACATCATTGGACCAGATGGACATACAGAACAACTTCCACCATACACTCAGTATCCCGACGAAGCATTTGCTAGGAAGACTCGACCTAATGTTCAAGTACCGCTTGCAGGTGCTGGCGGCATTGGTCTTGCAACACGCAATCCTGAATTCGAGTCACAAGAAGATCTCAACACACCTCAATCTCGGCAATCCACTCGAAGCATGATGTCCGATAGCAGCCATCAAATCAACATGGCAGCAGCAGGCATTTCGGAGAAACCTCCACTGAAGAGATGGCAAATTGTGGCTAAGAGAAAGGTTTGTGGAATCGTTCCGATCTGGGCTATAGCATTGGCTGGAGCAGTCTTCATATTGTTTGGAATTATCCTCGGCACGGTGCTTGCCATCTTAAAACCAAAACACCCTATGAAGCATTATAAGCCAGATACTGATGACCAACCGTAAGTAACTTCGTTCTGGTGTCTTGGGTGTAGACTAATGCTCTGTAGGCAAACCGTTCTCGTGAGCACGATGACCACGACTTTCGACGCGACACCACTAGCTACGGCTCCACCTGGAATTTCCTCACTACCAACAGGGACCTACGCTCTGCCAATCACCATACCTTCAGCCATCCAAAATAGTTGCATTCTCAACACCGCAATGAGCGCTGCATGGACCTGTACGATACCTATGACATCTTACACTATTGATGTAGAACAAATCCCGGGTGCCACCAGTAATCTAGACAATAATGAGATCAATCTCAGTCTTGGAAACAATACTTTCGGGAACTATTACGCATACGGTACTCAGCCACCAGTGCTACCAGAACAGCAAGTTCTCAACCTTGTCACTGACTCCCAAGACCCGGGCCGGGGACCCGCGTGGTTTTTTGAACTACCTTACAACAAACTTGTCATCGTTCCAGAGATGGCTCTTACAGCGCCTAGCAGCAAACGTGACTTGGACAGTCGAGATGGACACCCCACTTCAGACTTCATGTCGCGGAAGAATGTGGCGGAGCCTGGAGATAAGCCATGGTTCTGTTACTGGAATGGCACTCTTCTTGAAGCTTTTATATATGTGAGTAACCTTTTTACTGTCACAGTGCCCAATGCATCAAACAATGAGCACTTTGAAACATTTCCAGGAAACATTACGTATTGACTATTCTCAGGTCAACCTCACCAGTAGTGCCGGCCAGACAGCCTCTTCATCCTCGTCCTCAGCCCCAACCTCGACCTGGAAACCAGCGGCATCTCAGACATCTGCATCGGGTGCCGCAGCCACGTCCGGTCAATCTTCAGGTTCTTCATCAAGTTCTTCCAACCAGATGACATGGACACCAGCATACCCTCGGGTACTGAAAATAGAAGAGCGCCGAGTTCCAAGAGGTGATCAGTCTATCTCCCCTTATTGTAAGTATAATTTTCGTCGCTCCTTGTGTCGTCTCTGAGTTCTTGCTGACAATCTTGCAGGTATTCAGCACATCATCGATGCGTATGGAAACGCCGAGCCATACATGAATTCCACTAATCAGCCGGTCACAATATATCTTAACGAGTCAGAGCCTTCAGCCGTTTCTCAAATCCCGGGCAAACGCTCGTATGATGCTTTGCTTGGACGAGATGTTGAGGAACGCCAGGGCTCCAACAGCTGTGGCTGTGTATGGTTATGGACATGATTATGCATGAATTTCTGCGATTCGGGGATAGGCGTTTAGTTCGGATAATGTGTACAGTTCCTGGGAGCCTGGCTTGGCAACGGCGTTTCATGGGATATCTTTTTCAGCAACTCGATTTTGAGGCATTCTGGGCAACCGGCTGTGGGGGAACGACATTGATGGGTACATATAAAAGGGGGATTGGGCAGTGGCAGTGCCATGTGATGCGGTAAGATCTTAGTTGAGCAAAGTGTTCGTGTTAAATGTTATTTTTGTGGTATATATTTTAGCGATTCTTGAAATGCAAATTATCTATCAATAAACAATATTCTAGTGCATTAATGATGTCTTTATGCTTGTTTGGTCCTGTGGGTCAAACTCCTCAAATGTCCCACAAATTAGATGTTCGGACGCAACTCCGAATGTTCCACGGAACATCGATGCATTTGACAGCGGGAATTATCGTGAAACTGGTTTGATCTTCAGGTATGTTTAATTGATGTGATTCTATGGATGTACGGCGCTTGGCATTCTCATCTTGTGCAGCCACATAGTATACCTCACATATGGTTTCTCCATAGCCGATTTCCATTCGAAAACATCCTAGTTTGAGAGGAGCCGAAGAATTTCCAATGGATATTCACAGACTGCAGTATGTTGTCTGTGATGGTCTCCAGCTCTAGTACCAGGCCTTGGAATTGAATTGCCAGTCAATGGAGGTCACTTGCCTAAGGGTTGGCAAAGTAACTGGTGAGGAAGATAGGGCCATAATGTCTGACTTGTGAAGGATGGTCATCCGAGATTGGATGTCCTTCCTCAGCTGTGCCTGATGACATGCAATGAGCAGTTGTCTGGATCTTTCCTTTCTAGATGGTGGACTCAGCCTCCTTCCGCTTTCTCAGAAGACTCGAGGCTTGCTGATAGTCCGTCCAAGAAAGAGTCTGCCTGCTTTCTGGCTCTTTTCTCTCCGATGGCCTTCCTTCTCTCCTCGATTTCCAACCTCCTTTTCTCCTTCTTTGCCTCTCTTTCTTTTCTGACTCTTTCAGTCTCTAACCTCTCCTTCTCTAACGCCTCCATCTCCTTGCCTCTCAAACCTTCATCCTTCGAGAAGCTGTAGAATCCAACGCCCTTGCTCCTAATTTCCTTGTCCGCTTCGTAGTGCTTCATCTCTGGCGGCGTCATACTCCTGTCCCTCTTCCTCGCAATCTCCTCCATCTTCTGCACCACGCTTTCCTCCGGATTGAACGCCATGCTCTGCACCGTATCCCCATAAATAAGTCCCGTCTTCGGCATAGCCGGTCTCGCACTCATCCTATCCAGCTCCTCTGCCCCTAACACTTTATTCATCTTCCTCCTCTCCATCCTCTCGGCCTCAGCCCTCGTCCCCCTTCTCGCACGCCCGTACTCGTCCTCATAATCCACCATCTCCCCCTGTCCATCGTCACTCTCAACCTCACTCTCCTCCTCCTTTCCGCCCTCAACCCACTTCCTATCAAAATCCACAAGCCCATCTGCTTCCCCCTCCGCGGCCACATAATCACCCCTCTTCATCCTCGAATACAACTTCGCCTTTTGCTCCATTTTCCGCTTCGACCTATGCAACACATCCTCATCCACACCTCCAATATCCTGTCTCCCCCTCTCCTCATCTTCTAAATCCCTCGCGGCCCGCTTCTTCGTATTCCTATTATGCGAACTAAAGATATCCTCCTTATTCTTACTCGGTCTTGGCCGTCCCGCCGCAGTCTTCCCATCCTTCCCTTTCGAAGAAGACAGTAAACTCGACAACGTAGAAGTGAACGCTAGACTAGTCGAAGAGGATACTTCTATCGGGGCGTTCTTCGGTTTGCGGATCCCGTAGAGATGGGCATCTGATGCCATCGCGGAGAGATTTGAGGGATGTCGGTGTTTGCGAAATTAATTGTTCGGTGATTGTTGTAGAGCTTTGGTTGGTTGTACAGGAGCTTCGTAAGGCTGAGTTGAGCTTGGACGCGAGGCGTTAGTGGGGCGCAAATTTGGAAGAGCGAAATCGGGCTTTGGGACAGACCCCGCGTTGAACACTCGCCTTCTTAAATTGTTTGTTGCTAACTTAACATTTCTCTTTACGTCTGAAACCGAGAGGTTGAAGAACAGCTGTCAGTATGCCTTCACCAAAGGACGTTTACATCGCGGTAATTGGTACGTTGATGATCTCAGTATTGTATTGGCAATTGAAGGACTAAAAAGCAAATACAGGCGCTGGAGGGGTAGGCAAATGCTTTCTTTCCCAGCTTGAAGGTCTCTCGAAACGGCTTTCTGCGAGCCCACGTTCCCCCAAAATATCCCTTATCTTTGTTTCTCGAAGCAAGAAGGTTCATTACAGCCAAAATTACACCGCATTGTCATATGGTGATCTCGCAACCTCTCTCGACAAATCCTCCCAAGAGCCTCTGGCTCTTCCGAAAATCATCGAATTCCTCGCTGCAGCTCCGGCAAAGGTTGTTTTGGTGGATAATACAAGCTCGCAAGATGTGGCAGATTCATATCCTTCATTCCTCTCGAATGGCATCTCCATCGTTACACCCAACAAGAAGGCTTTTTCTGGTTCATACAAGCTTTGGCAGGATATCTTCGCGTCTGCAGCTGAATCCGGAGCGAAGGTCTACCATGAAAGCTCTGTTGGTGCAGGCTTGCCTGTCATTTCTACTTTGAAGGATCTGGTCGAGACTGGGGACGAGGTCACCAAGATTGAGGGTGTATTTAGTGGCACAATGTCGTTCCTGTTCAACTCATTTGCTCCGACCGAAGGCTCAGGTGGAAAGTGGTCTGCTGAGGTGAAGAAGGCAAAGGAGCTTGGATATACAGAGCCAGATCCAAGAGATGATCTGAACGGACTGGATGTTGCCAGGAAGTTGACCATCTTAGCTCGACTAGCCGGACTACAAGTCGAATCTCCTACTTCATTCCCTGTCCAAAGCCTGATTCCCAAAGAACTCGAGAGTGTTGCTAGTGGAGACGAGTTCTTGCAAAAGCTGCCTGAATTTGACTCTCAGATGGAAGAGACCAAAGTGGCCGCAGAGAAAGAAGGAAAAGTTGTCAGATTTGTTGGAAGCATCGATGTCGCAAAGAAGGAGGTGAAGGTTGGACTGGAAAAGTTCGACAGATCCCACCCCATTGCTGCACTGAAGGGCAGTGATAATATCATCAGCTTCTACACCAAACGGTACGGAGCCAATCCCTTGATCATCCAAGGCGCTGGTGCAGGTGGCGAAGTCACCGCGATGGGTGTAACAGGAGACTTGATAAAAGTTTTGGAACGATTGTCTTAGTGGTCGATGAAAGCCACGAACCAATAAAAGTTACGCTCTTCAGTCGTCTTCTGTTATGACATGATCGCTGTGACTTGTACTCCCCAAGCGTTTCTTCAAGCCTTCCACTGTTTCCTCTGCTACTTCGACTGCTTCTTCGACGGCCGTAGGAACTCCTGGCACGGTCAGACTGAAGCTTCTAGGCTTGCCGCTAGGACGCTCACTTAAGCTTGGTGCTCGAGGTCTTGGTCTGTTCCTCGCGCGTCCTCCAATGTAGGGTATCTCGTAGGTAGCTGTTCTGAATATGTAAAGGATCATATCGTAGACAATCAGTAGAGCCCATGGCCCTATCACTAGCATTCCAAGGACAAGCTGTTTTGCAAAAGTCAGATAAGTACTACTCTTGGGCCTCCCTTCATTTCACACTTACAAAAAGACGAATGAGCCAGGTCTCGACGAATGCGAAACTCTCTGGCAGAATTGAGAACCAAGCCATGGCAGATATTGATAGTATGTCGACAAATCCGAGCGATCCGGGAAATTTGTTCCTTGGGAGTTGGTGTCGTAAAGGAGAAAAGAATGACCTGATTAGGGGCTTTAATGAAGCTTGAAGTGCTGATCTCCCGTAACTTTCCACAAGAATGATGTAACTAGAAGACCAAGATGAGTGTGATACTCTTCATATCGAAGGCTGGAGTGAATTCATCTGGGAAGGAACGCTGTACAATAACATGCATGATATTGGGAAAGGGTTGAGCCGGATCAATCCTCGGGGTTTTGCATCTGCACTGCACGTTGCTGATGACGAGGAACCCAGCGAACCCCTGGATAACCTTATAGTGGACAAGCGGCCGCATGTGAAATCTAATCTCGAGAGCCACCAAAAAGTTCTCAGCCTTGTGTCGACCCCTCAGCTGAACGGCATAAGCTCCTTAACACAGTCACTCGACGGAACTTCAACACACAATCTGCAACCATGGTCGGGCCTGCGAACAAACGTCAGAAGAGAGAGGAGTATAAGAACTCCAAAGGTGATAAGCCTGCGACTGAGCTGCCTAAGAAGAAATTCTACAGGCAAAGGGCGCACGCAAACCCGTTCTCTGATCACCAATTGACCTAGTCAGTATTTGCCTCTTGGTGTTTATATACTTCATTTCTAATAATATTGTAGTCCTGCTAGTCCTGAGCATATGGATTGGTCTTCACATTATCCAGCCTTCGTTCTAGAAAACTCACAAGAACAAATCGATGCCGAAAGTGAAGCCAATGTCCAAACGGGTCTGGCTGTCAAGAGACTGAAGCAAGATATTGAAGTCGCAGACATAGGATGTGGATTTGGAGGACTGTTAGTTGCATTGGCTCCAATAATGCCAGATACTCTGCTGCTAGGTTGATCCACCTCCTTCTGCTCTCGACTTGGACTGACAACCATACCTTAGGTATGGAGATTCGAACACAAGTAACAGAGTACGTTCAAGAGCGAATTAAAGCGTTACGAGCTCAGCACCCTGGACAATACGAGAATGCTGCATGTCTGCGAGCAAACACCATGAAATTCCTACCAAACTTCTTCAAGAAGCATCAGTTGTCAAAGATATTTCTTTGCTTCCCAGATCCACATTTCAAGGCTCGAAAACATAAAGCTAGGATCGTCTCTACTACCTTGAATTCGGAGTATGCGTTTGTGGTTCGGCCGGGAGGAATTATTTACACAATCACTGATGTGGAGGACCTACATAACTGGATGGCGCAGCACTTCAATGCTCATCCATCATTCGAAAGAGTAGGAGAAGAGGAACAAGAGGCAGATGAATGTGTAAAGGTGATGAGGGTAGAGACTGAGGAGGGAAAGAAAGTAGAGCGAAATCAAGGCCAGAAGTTTGTAGCATTGTTCCGGCGTCTGGAAGATCCACCATGGCGATGAAGATACCCAATGATATTTACAGTTACACAAACACTGAGAAAAAAAGATATGCATCGCAGACTTTCTTCATCATTCACAATCCCTTATATGCACGTGCGTATAAAGTACCTCGCGTAATCTTTCATTGGATAACAGGGTACCTTTAAACAACTAGCAGAGCTTGCCAGACCATCATCACTCAATCATGCCGCTGTCCGATGAGTCACTCTCCCGTCACAGATTATGGCCCTCAGTCGAAGGGATGTGATCCTAGCAGCTATCGTGAGCTTCGTCGTGTGGGGATATGCTATTGATTGGGTACCAACGTTGCGCTGGGCTGGATACGCTTTTGTGGTGGGCCTGGTGCTGCCCGCTGTAGGGTTGGTCGCAGTCCTGGTACTCAACTCCAGAGGCAGCAAGTATGGAGAAAGAAACGATATACGACGTCCGAGGGGGGTGGCCTTCCTGACAGGGACATCATGGAAGAAGGAAACCACTCTGCTGCGGGCCCGACAAACATACGAGAAGCAGCCCCTCTACCCCGAGTCCTTCCTCGTCTCGAATGCGCTGGACGACCTCTTAGGATTGATTATACGGGACTTTGTCAATTCCTGGTATTCAAATATTAGCAAAAACCCTGTGTTCACAAATGAGGTGGACAAGACAATCCGACTTGCGTTAGCAAGTCTTCGAGACGAATTGCTGGCCATAGACTTCACGGAAATGGTCACCACACGATTCGTACCGATTCTCACAGCACACTTCAAGGATTTCTATGATGCCGAGAGAGCTGTACGAGGGAAGGACCTGAATCGCAGCGTCACGGAGTCGGAGGAGCTGGATCTTGCAATTGCTGCGAAGTATAGGGAAGGAAAGCTGCACCCTGCGGCATCTTTGGCATACTCGGACACGAAATTGGTCCAGCAAAAGTATTTGAGGAAAATCATAAAAGGATTACTGCCGAGATTATTGCCAGATTCTGTTCTAGCAAGTCGTGCTGTTGGAGTGCTCGTTCAGGAACTGGTTGCTTGTGCAGTTCTGACCCCAGTGATGGGTATGCTGTCTGACCCAGATACGTGGAACCAGCTCATGGAAGCCTATGTACGTTCATTTTTCAAGCATGGTTGGTCGTATTTATGTTAATAATCTTTAGGGACGGTCTATGCTACAGGATCGATCAACAGTGCGAAAACTTCGAGCTGCCCTTGATGAGCATGCTTCACCCGCTCCAAAGTTGAAAAGGGCTGCATATCCCAGGATTTCTCCAGGTGATCATGAGCGGAGATTTGAGAAGTTTGTACGTGCTATCAGAAAGGTCAATAACCTCTCGGATGCAAGGAGGTTTCGAAGCGAAATCTCTAGCCAACTTAGGAGAGATGCTTTGCAAGAAGGTCAAGATCCTGTATATTTGCGTCGGTTAGACATTGGAAAGCGAATTGCAGATCAACGCGTCAATCAACTTGCTGCTGGGGGCGAGGCATCTCACATTGGAAATGGTGCTGGACGCAGCAATGGCTCACAAGTTTCCAAGCTTGAGACGGCTTCCCTGGTAGAACTGCTACACGACCCCTCGGGACTTTCATATTTTATGGAGTACATGGATAGGCAAAGGATGATGTCTATGGTACAATTCTGGATTGTGGTTGATGGATTTCGAAACCCTCTCGAAGACGACAATGCAGAAGATGACGAGATACCTACCACTCTTGCTCCGTGGACGGAATCTGACCGAAACGATCTTGCTCAGATCAATGAAGCATATCTGTCTAAACCAGAACTAAAAGTTCCTGAAAGCTCACGACAAGTAGTTCAGGAGTTTCTCAAAGCCGGTAAAGATGCAACTCCAAGACAATATTTCCTAGCTCGCAGGGCTATTCTACGAGCTCAGACATCCGCCTTGGAAGTTATGCAGTATAAGCATTTTCAGAATTTCAAGAAGTCGGACCTCTTCTACAAGTGTTTGACATCGCAGGAAGCCTCGAAACCCATATCCCAGCCAACATCACCATTAGGCCCATCCAGATCGGAAACCCTTCACAAACCACAAATGCCACCACGTGCGAATAGCTCGCAACCTTTTGCAACGAAACCACCACTGTCTAGAATCACGTCTAAATTAGTTCCCAAAAGAGGCGACCTTCGGCGTCAGGCTACTTCTTCAGTTGATCTGACCAATGCTGGCAATGGAACATTGGATGGCACAAGTTCTAATCGAGGGTCCGCCGACGAAGGGACTTCTCCATTGTTTGATGACGAAGAGTTCGATAGCGATGCGATGGGCAATTCAGTAGCAAGCTTGGAACCAGAACCAGAAAATACTGGACCTGATAAAAACGTTGTCCAGGCCATGGAAGCAGCCCTGACAAACATTATGGAAGACAAACCCGATGTTGATACTCTTCGAAAGTCTCTTTTCGGTGACGACGAACATTTGGACTCTCCAGCAGGCAGCATATTGTCGAATGGCAAAGGTTCAACTAGAAGCTCCATTGATCACAAAAGGGCAGACTTGTTCGGTGAGAGATCTGAGAGGGCTGAAAGGTCCGAAAGACCCGAGAAGCCCAGCATTGCTTCCTTGGGACTAGTAAATACATCGTCTAGAATAGGTGTGTTCACTGATGATGATCTCTTCCCGGACGAAGAGAAATTTCTTTCAGACGAACATGAGGATCCGGACGAAGGCAAAGCTGAAGATGATGTCGAAGACGAAGTACATGAAGCAGCACCAGGCGATTTAGGTCTAGCTGAAGCTATCACCGCTCTGACAACCGACATCGACAGGCTCGTAGCCCAAGATGAAGTGGTTGACTCCTTAACAAGAAAGGCAGAGTTGACCAACAATACCGCAGAACTACGAATTCTCAAGAAGTCCAAGGCCAGCTTGCAACGAGAGATTCGCCGGAAAGAGCTTCAACGACAGCAGTATGTTGTCCAAGAAAGTGATAACAGCCTGTATGGTCGATCGACCATCAAGATCAAGTCAATCATGGTTGGCAAAGAAGATGATGGAAGAGAATACGCGGTTTATGTTGTTGAAGTCCATCGAAAAGCAGGCGAGCAGATGCCAGCAGCAACTTGGACTATCACTCGCCGATATAGCGAGTTCCACGATCTCCACCAGCGTTTACGAACAAAATATCCGTCAGTACGACATCTTGAATTCCCAAGGAGAAGAATGGTGATGAAATTACAGACGGACTTCCTCCATAAACGACGCTTGGCGCTCGAGAAATACCTCCGCGAAATTTTGCTCTTACCAGAGGTGTGCCACAGCAGGGACCTCCGTGCCTTCCTATCTCAGAGCGCTATTATGCCGAACACTGTCGATCTCTATGAGAACGAAGACAAGAAAGACATGGTGACAAGATTCTACAACTCGGTTACGGATGGCATGGAAGACATCTTAGGGAACATTCCAGTCCTGGATCAACTCTCTATTGCTGGTCAGAATCTTCTCTCTGCTGCGACCAATCAACTTATCACAATGCCAGCGACTATTAGCGAGGACCCATTGGCTGCTGCAGAGGCAGAAGCTGAGCTTAACGCCTTTGAGGATCGAGAGCTGGAGCCATTCGTCAAGCCCATCTGCGATATATTTCTAGAAGTCTTCGAGCTCAATCGTGGCAATAACTGGCTACGAGGCCGTGCAGTTGTCGTTGTCTTGCACCAGTTGCTTGGAGGGACCATCGAACGCAAGGTCCGCGAGAATGTGAAAGGTCTCCTCTCTGACGAAGCAATCATCAGATACGTCAACCTGTTAAAGGACTCGATGTGGCCTGGTGGGAAGCTCAAACGGGATGGGAAACCTCGAACAGCAGCAGAAAAGACAAAGAGTCGCACAGAAGCAAGTCTCATGCTTGCGACTCTTGTGCCCGATTTAGCTGGAAGTGTGGTGGGAAGAGTGAATGCACAGGCGGCAAGCCGAAGGATATTCGCTACTCTGAACAATCCACGACTAAAGTAAGGACAACCATTTCGACCAATGAACACCATTTGCTAATGCTATATAGTGCACATCTAACATTCACGTTGTTAGATGAGATCATTGATGTACTATTCGGAGAGACACGCACATAGATGTAAATGGGGGTTTAGCATTGGCGTTTGGGATAGGTACAGCTCAAGCTGCATTTCACGGCGTTCACGACCCTTTACTGAGGCAACGGATTTGCGACATGAACAATAATACGTTAATACCCTTCGACTGCTTGGTGTATATAGCCTCATCCACATTTAATGCAAATATTGAGGTTCGAGTTGAGAACTTCGAGTGCAAATCTTGTTCCTACTATTCCTACTATGCTAGAAATGACCTGCACATGCAATATGCGCGAGTGCTGAGTTGATGAATACGGTCCAGACAAGGTTCTGACAAGGCTGAGCTGACATACATGCCTCGGATCCTTCTTTCCTCCTGCTGTCACTCCTGCAAGACCAAAAGCTGGAGCCTTGTGGGGTCCACGCACGCACAGGCCAAGCAAGGCTGATAACACAAGTTATTTCCTCCACAATCCTCTTCCCAAACATCAACACTAAACTCCAACAATGACCTCAAACCACGACCCCTCAATCCTCTCCCCAGACCGAACACTCCCACCCTCGAACCCCCCCTCTCAGAAAACCTTCCCCTTCCCCCGCGACTACCACTTCCCACCCTACTTCACGCGCCAACCGACCCTCACAACCCGGCATGCTCAGCTGCAGAAATGGTCCTCTCTCATCCTCTCCTACTGTCGGTACCACAAGATCTGGAAGCTCTCGCTCGCAGACGCCATCGAGTCTGACTTATTCTGGAACAAGAAGTTAGGGAAGCGGCTGAGTCGCGAGGATGCGAGGGAGGTGCTGGAGTTTATGAGGAAGGAGGGACGGAGTGAGGCGGTGGGTGGGAAGGATGGAAGTGTGTTTTGGGTTTGGTGGAGGGATCCGGAGGAGTGGGCTGGGTTGATTGCTGATTGGGTGAGTGTTGTATTGTATTTGAGGACTGGGAGGGGAAGGCTGATACAATGGATAGGTTGATGATACGGCGCAGAAGAATACGGTGTTGACGTTATATGAGTTGACGGAGAGTGAGGCTACGCTTTCTCAGGGTATGTATTCAGACTAGGATATTCTGCTAAAGCATGACTGACTGACTTGGTGAATATAGACTTTCATGGTATGGATCCTGATCTATTGCAGAAAGCTCTGAGTATTTTAGTCAAGCGGGGCAAAGCTCAAGTCTTTGGGCAAGAGGATCAGCAGGGTGTCAAGTTCTTTTGAATGATTTTATATACTGTACAATGGTCACAAGATGCATTGGGAAGGAGTTTGAAAATCAGGCGTAACTTGGCTATTCTTAAAACCCATCTAACGCCTAAACGCCGTTCGTTATGGGCACCTCGCTGTCTTTTGACTCCCAATCGCGTTCAGGGTATGATTACATTTGACAAGTAGCCTCCAACGCTGATATAGATACACCAACCGAACGGCTTAGCCCTTCTTTCTCTCTGCCAAGTAGCTCTGGTTCCATTTGTTCTGCTGGGACAAGGCAACATCTAGAAGCCATTCCGAATCTACAATTCGTGGGGTCATATTCCCTTCCTTGGCCATTTCCGTAAACTTTGGCCAGAGGAGTTTCTCCGACGGCTTCTGGCCACTGAGCAGATACACTGGCTCAGCTGGACCATCGTCCTCCTCTGGGCTTGTCTTCTTGACGAACGGACGGCCGGTGTAGATTGCAAATGATCCCCCATTAGCGTTAATGATATCCTTGTAGGTGTCGGGTCCGTTCGTGATATCTGCTGTACAATAGATAGGAACCCGACGGAGAAGGCTTCGTTTGTTGGCTTTTGCCCGACCAATAGCGTCTTTCAACTTCACACCAAATTTCCTCTCGTTTTGCTGATCTTGCAGTAGGAAATCTTTTTCTGGGGGTACTTTGCCTTTTGCGATACATGTATCGATGAAATCTGAGGTCAAGATTGTCGGACCAGAGGCAAGGGCACAAAGAAATTTCTGTGTCCTTACCATCGCAGGGGCAGCAACATGAGTACATGTGACTGGGTTTGTCGTCACTAAGATTCCAATATCTCGAAGCTTTTTCTATGGACTTGATTAGCATCAATAGTATTGATAAGATCAAAAAAGCTGACTTTGTCCATTTCCTCCTTCGCTAGATTGCCTAGCCATCCTTTGTATCCGGTGGTTAGAAGACGTATTTGAACCGGGGGAAGACCACTTTTATGTCGTTTTGGAGTTCTGGTTTCATCTTCCGAGAGATCTTCATCATCTTCATCATGCTTATTTGCAGGACTGGAACTGCGTTCTAACGTCTTTTCTTTCTCGATGCGACTTGCGGCACGTTCTCCGCCCCATACACCACCCTTGCGTTTCTTCTCTTTCTCGTAGAGCGCAATGTCAGGGGCAGCAGCATGAATCCTCGAATTAGCTTTGTCCTTGGCACTTCGACTGCCAGTCGAAGGTGTATCATTTTCTTTGCCCCCACTTAATCCACTGATCCGGCGAGAGGCAGGAGTAGAAACCTGTTGTCCGAAAGATGGTCTGGACTTCTTTCGAGAGAGGGCTTTGTTGAGATCCGCTTTCGGCCGAATCTCCTCGTCTTGATCTTCCATATCCGCATCGCTATCTGTCCGCCTGGAACTGGGCGCGTTGCGATCTTTCTCCCGCATGATATTTCGCCTCACTAGCTTTGGGTCACCTGGACTGGGTGTAGGATCTCTTGGGAAATACTTCCGCTCCAAAAGAGCTCTGTCGAACTGAGTCTGGCCAATAATTTCGCCCAGGTTTGTCCGTGGAGGGAAGTGAGTGTATCTAGGATCGGTCAAGTTTTGAACCTCGCATTTCGCATAGCTTTCCTCGATCCAAAGGTGGTTGACCATCTCGATATTCCACTCCATGGCAGCATCGCATTTCTCGCTCGACTTCCTCGCCGTGATTAGATGGGTGTTGTCCTGCTTCATACTTTTCGTGAATTCGGCACCAGCGGCTGTGACGAGATTCTCCAGGTATATTCTAGCCTCTCCACCATAATTCGAGAGAGTGATGCGGAAATCTTTGAATCCTGGGATTCCATTCTTTGGCAAAGGATAATGAAGTAACTTCCGCATTGGGGATATCCACTCATTATTAGCAATTAAGTGATAAAGCCACGACAAGTTCCCGACGTCAAGGCCCATACGTGATGCTAAAACATACTCTCTACCCTCACGCCAATGGCAGACAAACATGTCGGATTCGTGAACCGTCTTTGAGACAAATCCTCCTCCGCCGACTATGAGATCTTCAAGGACTTTGCGTAATCTGCTGCTGATATCAAGATCTCCCGAGATCGTAACTATCTTGTTGTTGAAGACTGTTAATTTTCGGATTGGCGAGTCTGTTGGCATAGGAAGTGCTCCTGGTCGAGAAGATGAAGCCCCGCTTAGTATATCGGTCGAAGGCATTGGAATAGGATCGCTTGGATCTGAACGGAAGATTTCTGGATCTGGCAATATGTACGGTCTCTCATCGATGCGCTTCCCAAGCTTCATGCAGTCATCGAACCTGTATATTCTCAGCAGATGTCGGGATAATTGTGCAAACGTAAATTACGTACCAGTGTGGGAGAACGATTTTGCACTTCAATCTCTTGCCTATAGCCTGCTGGCACTTCTGGCCATCCACGGTGAGGGCGCAGATGTGAGTCGTCATCTTCGTAAGGCTACTCGTCTCCATGCCACCCATGGCCAAGACAGCGCCGATGATTGCATCCTTATCGCCCGTAGGAAGCCCTTCGCAAGTGATGGTAACGTTTGCGAAAATCATACTTGGATCAGGGGTGAATGGTCGAATAGATGCCTCCTTGTTCTTGTTCAGCGAAGCAGTGATCCAAGTAACCGTCACCACTGGCTTCAATTGTAATCGTGCTTCGGAATATTGTGGGAAATCGACCGTGTCGGAGATGATGTGCGTGATTTCAGGGAGATCAAAGTCCTCGTCGAAGGGTATCACTTCTCCCCCATTCTCTTCCACGATTGATTTGGACTATCGGTAACATCAGCAACGGGTTCGCACTTATCACGGCTTGTACCTACCTCTTCCGCGAGGCTCCTGGGTAGAGTTCTGCTTAGAATAAAAACAAATACACAGTCTTCGAAAAGCGGTCCATTTGGGGCACCCATATTCGCGAGAAGTTGAAAGTAATAGGCATGCGATAATTAATTGGTAGCAAATATGGTGGTTTAATGCTGGAGGAAGTTGCTGTTGACGCGCTCGTGCTTTCGTGAACGCGCTGCTGCCTTAGCGCGGCCTGTTCAGAACACGAAAACTTCCCCACTAAAACCTCGATTTATCAACCACATTTACTGATTCTATACGCAAGCTATAAACGTAAAACTACGTTCATTCGTTTCAATCAGAGTCTACAAATCTATTAGTAGTGGCACATACGACTGAAACCGATCACTTTCCAGTTCTTCCCAGATTTTATGGCACGTGATTCATTTTCAGTTCAACCTGGAAGCTGTGAATCTGTGGTGAAAGTATCAGGAAGTTCTTCAGGAAATAAAGTGACTAAACTGCAGTAACATTTACTTCCGAACGCATTGTTGTGGCGTCCCGTTCCTCCATAGGTATCCTCCCCGAGAACAGCGACGGTGGGACGGTGGGCTGGGACGAGCCTCGGCCTACTCAGTGTGAATAGCCGGCGATATCGACCAACTTCAAGCAACTCAATATACCTCTTCTTTTTCATAGACTTCCTGGATATTGTATGCATTTGTGTTTAGGGGTCATCTGCCATAACACCTCTTCACACATCATCTATTGCCTGGCATCGGCCCCACATAGCGGCCAGAGGTCATGTCTTCCTCTGTCTTTGAGATTCGAGAGCATACCGTAGAATGCCAGCATATTCGCGAGTATCCTCGGGGTACAGCAAATACTCGAGAAGATGTTCTCCATCTTGCAGTCAAGCAATACATTCCCTTAGACAACTTAAGTCCGAGTGAGGGTGATCTCACCATAATCGGCACTCATGCCAATGGCTTTCCCAAAGTATATACATTGCTTTTCACACGATGACAAGTCTAATGCTGAATAGGAACTATATGAACCATTATGGGAAGATCTTCATGCTAGATCGAAAAGCAACGGCTTCAAGATTCGAGGTATTTGGATAACAGATATTTCGAATCAAGGAGCTAGTGGTATTCTCAATGAATACCTTCTTGGAGATGATCGTACGTGTCTTCTCCATGACTGCTTACAGCTCTAGCTAACAAGACTACAGCATCGTGGCTTGATTATCCACGAGATCTTCTTCATATGATCAATCACTTCCGGAAAGAGATGCCCATGCCAATCGTAGGTATCGGACATTCCGTCGGAGGCAACATCTTGGTCAACCTCTCTTTGATGCACCCCAGGCTATTGTCGACAATAGTACTGCTCGATCCAGTTGTCCAACAACACGCAACTGCACCATCAGGACCAAATCTGGTTCAAGCCTCAACCTACAGACGAGATCTCTGGCCCTCACGAGCAGAAGCAGAAGCAGCCTTCAAGAAATCCAAATTCTACCAATCCTGGGATCCCCGCGTCATGGAAAGATGGTGCAAATACGGCATTCGAGAAACCCCGTCAGCCCTCTACCCTAACGAGAAAGGCGCCGTCACGCTCTCAACTACCAAGCATCAAGAATGCTTCACTTTCATGCGACCTAGTTGGGATGCTATGAGTCCAGACGGCCAAACGGTTGTACGCCGGGACCTAGTCCCAGATATGCGTCCAGATAGTCTTGTCAAGTTTCCTTTCTATCGTCCCGAGCCGCCAAATACGCTTGCAAGATTATCATCGTTGAGACCGAGTGCTCTTTACATTTTCGGAGCAGAAAGCCCAATGTCAGCTCCTCAGTACCAGAAGGAAAAGCTGGAAATCACAGGGTCTGGACCCGGCGGCAGTGGTGGTGCGAAGGAAGGAAGAGTGAAGGGAGTTTCGTTGGATGGGATTGGTCATTTGGTTGCAATGGAAGCGACTGAGAAATGTGCAGATGCTGCTGCTACCTGGTTGGGTCAGGAGAATAAGAGGTTTGTGGAGGAGAGGAAGAAGTATGCTGAATGGGCAAAGCAGAGCTTACAAGTAAAATCGACGTTCTCTACAGATTGGCTAAAGTGGATTGGAGAACCGCCTCGACCTGTCAAGAGCAAGATGTAGAAATATAGATCGTTTTTTGATTTTGAACATTGAGTGTCAAGCAAAGCAGGAGATGTTGAGAGTAAGGATCTCCGCGTACAGCGCAAATCGCGCGAATGGCGCGCATAGCGCAACCAGCGCAAATCTCGCAGAGTTCAGACAAAGCAGCACTACTGTGTCTTTACTTCTCCAAGTTGAAATACAGCGTAGATGATACATGAAAAAGAAGACGAAATGGGCATCGGTAGGCGTGGAAAGACATGCATAGAGTCAAAGAACTTCTGACTTTCTCTGAGCCAGGCTCGGCCTCGCATGTCTGTTATACATTTGTGTTCTAAAGTATTCTCCATTTCTTCTACAGTATTTCCCATCTATCTTGACATAACACGAGCAACCATATCCGTGTGACCTCCTCAAGGAGTCGGTTAAAGGTCTTCTTCTGGAGGGACCCATACCAACAAGCCCTCCTTATCTTGCTTCAACCCATCTGTTGGTGCTATTTTCAACACTTTCTGAAAATATCTATCCCGAATCACACAATGAATAGGTCCAATCCAATCCCCTCGAACACTCGGCAACAGGCGAAACTTCACCGTCCTTCTCGAAAGTGGAACAAGCTGTAATGTGGACTGCTTCGTTCCAGAGAATGCAAACTTCTCGCTGGGTTCCATCGTTAAGCCGAACGTCAAAAAGTGATTCGAAGGATTCTCGATGGTTACATCGAAATGGACCATGGAGGGAATCTTCGTCGAATATGACACGGCAGCAAGTACTCTTGGCTCGCTGCTTGAGACAAGTAGTCGAGGAACAGCTAAAATTGTGGTGTTTGACTGTGATCCTTCTGAATCACGCCGCCACTTTATCGCGAGTGATATGTCCAGAGTAGCAGTTCCACGATCGTCAAGGGACAACTTCTGTGTAAAACAATCGAATTGGGCTTCCTCCAGACTTTTCGGGGCGACCCTCAAACCACTTCCAGGCAAAGCGACTAGTTTCTCTGTGTAGCATTCAATGCCACCATTCGAGCCAATGACTTCCACATTAATGTCATCCACGATCAAGTCCTCAGTAGCGAAGGAAGCATAACGTGCGGTTAAGCACCACTTTTGTGCTAAGCCTCGAGCCTGTGTGCCTTGTTGATTTTCATCGTCTCCTTCGTCATGAGTGAAAAGGCTAGGCCAGGGCGCTGGATGTATGCGAGGAGAGAAATCGTAGTTCGCCTCGAAAGGATTGATGACCTCAAGTTGCATAGACATGGAGCAGTATACAGGTGTTTCTATATCTGACACCAAATGATAAGCAGCTTTGACCGACAACTCGTACGTTGCAGGTACATCCAGTGCCGGAATACTGATTGTGACGACTCTGGTCCCAGCACTGGCAATCTTGCCCAGCGCTGTACCCGCCAGATCGCTTCCTGTCTCGGTATTCTCCGCAGAGGTTTGGTCGAGATCATTTGTTTCGATAGAGATGGCAGGTGCATTCTCTCCAGTAAGTTGTACGTCAAGACTGACTACAGAGTCAACGTCTTCTCCATTCAACACCTCGAGTTTCAACAACATTCGCTCATTTGCGTAATATTGTGATTCCATATTAACGAAGCCAAGCTCAAGCTTTGGCGGCTTCGGTAAGACCGTAATCGAAGACGGATTTGGTCGTACGATTCGCTTTTTCACACCTCTTTTCCCCCACCAGACATCTGGCATGGTGGTTTGTTGGAAGGTGTGAATGTACTCAAGGTCGAATTGATCAGTAGCGAGAGAAAGGTTTGCCGAAGCAGCATTTGCATCTCCAGCTTCCCTCAGCATGCTGCTGAACTCGAAGACTCTTGTTTGGCCAGGTCTAAAAGTCAAGTTGGCCTCGCCTGTCAATACAGCCCGATCATTGTGCATGCCTTCGCTTAAAGATACCATACTAAGGTCTAAATTATCAGGACGCATCTCGGAGCTGTCACTATCAACTGCCTCGGGTTTATGCTTGAGAACTAAGTGTTTCATGCTTCCATCAAAGTCAAGCCGAATTTCGGAAATCGTCAAAGGGGCAGCTGTAGCGAGCGCATTTGAGGTGAAAGCCAATTGCGATGAGCAGTGCTCGCCTACATTTCCTTCGGGATACTCAAAAACGTAACTAGCAGAGAGAAAAGATGTAATCTCGTTTGCGTGAAGTACTACAGCAGGCTTTGCTTTTAGAGTATCCAGGCCATCGAGAGACTTCGAAAGATCATAGTGCCATGAGGTGTGATGTGTAAAGCCTAGCAACATTTAGTGAACGACAGCGATAACCTGGTGAGAATGCCCTCGTACATTTGTTCATCAATTCCCAGTCCACGGCTAGGACGGAGCCACCATCACCGGCGCAGGCGGCTGCTTTTCTCAACGCCCAGCTGATATCTTCTACTGCATTCCACCAGCCTTCTGATCGATAAGACATCTTTTGCCATAATGGACGGAGCACTTTTACTGCATCATCCCAAGCTTCCCGTTTCATACTTTCCGCGGCGGACAGAATTTGCAGCTCTTGAACAAGTCGTAGTTGACCCCTTCTACTGAATTCGGGAATTGCCTTGCTTAGAGCTTCAATAATGAGCAATGGATGATCAACCCCTTCACGACCTGGCAATGGACTCTCCTCATGAGGCTCGGGGCAAAGATATGTGTCGTACGTGTATGCTTTACTTGCAATCTGAGACGCTGGCGAATACCCGGGTGGCGATCGATCTTCCTCGGGGATCTCAAGGGCTAGAGTGCGGCGTGCCATGAGGTGCTTTGATGCAGCACGGAACCAGTACCCTGGATGATGGAGATATTCCCACGGCTCTACTCTCTCCCCGATGGCAATTGTTTTCTCAGTCGCCAAGAATATCGCAGAGCTCCCAAACTCAGAAATCGAGGCCTTCTGGATAAGCTCACCCATAACCATAGCCCAGCGAGCTTCCCAAGCTTCCCAACCATAAGTTGCCGATCCTTTACCTCTACGATCAACAAAATCTCGCATCCTTTCACGATGTGACTGCCATCGACGTACTGCGGCGGTACTATTCACATTCCAGAGTAAACAGCGCAAGATGCGTATTGCGAAAATGTCTGCCAGTAAACGTGCTTCATTCCATCTCGGACTCCAGCTAGCTATTGCCTCAAGGACATCTAGTCCAAGAAGCACTTCGTAGCCGCTTTCATAAGAACGAACTGCAGAATCCATTTCCTGCCGAAATTCTGCAAAAACACCGAGTTTGAAATCATAGCGAACATTCCAGCCATGGCTTGACAAAGTTTGAGATGTTCCTGAAGTTGGGGGAGCGGTCGGAGGCGGGACAACACCTCTGTTTCGTTTCCTTCTTGAATGCTTGCTTAGATCTCTGTAATATTCAATGCATATGGGGTATATCGTTGAGATGATGGTTTCCACAAACGCCTTCAGCTCGACCGGAGAACTTTGGGGTGGTAAGAAGAATAATGAAGTTTTGCCATCAAGACCAGTCGCCTTGCGAATATTAGCCAGCCGTTCTTCGACATCTGGAGACTGGACAATAGATTTCTCGCTAAGAAGGGCAACTATAAGTCGAGTTTTGTAGCCAGATCGGCTTAAGATGCCCTTGATACTGTTGATATCGGTCTTCAATTGGTTATCATTCAACGTCGATAGTGTTGGATCAGACGTGAAGGTATAGAAGGAGAGATATGCACTTGGAACAAGCTCTTGATGTTTCTCTATCCATTTCGAGTCAAGTAAGCCATCCGGAAAGACCGACGATCCTGGACTGAGAGGGGAGAGTGCTGAGTGCAACACAGGCTTTGAAGTTGGGCTTGTCGCTTGAGAAGGAGGAAACTGGGCATTGCGAACAGGTAACGTATAATCCTATCGAGGTTCAGTGACTAGCAGAGAATTCATTGGGTCTCCTTAAACTACCCTTCCAACAAGCTTCACTTTGAATTTGTTCCTTCCACCATATTCCCGCGAGTTCCAAGCTAATGTGCTACCGTCGCTGTCCTTGAAATGTCTCCGCACAGTTAACGCGTCTTCAGATTCCACAAGGGGTATTTCGGAAGCAATTCGAGGACCCTGTGGTAGCCTTGTGTGTTCTTCCGACTGTGTACCCAAACCAGAGACTACCAGCAGTGGGATGTTATGAGCCACATAGGCCGGCGCATACCCGTCCATGGCGTCGTAGACTTGAAGTCTCCATACGCAGATGAGTCCCGTTTACCATAGCATTTGACGAATTCGAAGTCTTGAAGTTTGTCCCGGTTGCGGTGATTAGCAGACGACGCTAGGAATTTCAAAAACCAATTTCAGAAACCCAATACACCAGGCCGCATAATTGTGTTAAAGACTGACTTTCTGAAAATGTGATCGAGCTCCTGGAATCTGTGTGGGAGCTTCCAGATCCTAGCGCGTCATCCACGGCATATTCCGAACCTAGGGTCCAACTCAGATTCACGCTCAATTCACATTCTCTCCCACAATCTCAGGAACTGTACAGTTCAGATGTGACTCAAGCCCACCACTCTACTATTCTTGGAATCTAAAAGAATCCTGGTCGCGGACCTGTTTTTACCCCAGAGTCGAACCTTTTCAACCCTCGACCCCTCAACGGACATTTGCAGATGACCGCGAACCTGGTTGCAAGCTGCCGAACATAATCGATTTCCACTCCTCAGGACCTTCTCAAGTCTTCCTATTAACGATCATGATGTCGCAGGCCGAGATCTTCGCTGAAGCGATCGTTGGCATGAAAAAGGCCCTCAAAAGGAAAGCCTACGACTCAGATTCCGACAGTTCGATTGAGCAACTCACGAATCGAGGCAACAAGCTGCGGAAGAAAGCAAGATTTGTACATGAAGGCCAATTGGCGCCCCCATCAGGTCCTAATGTCTATAAGAGAGTAAGAAATAACAAATAGGTTTCTGAGGGTAGCTAACCTCTCGGCAGACTATCGACCATGCGGGCTATCAGCGAGATATTATAAGTCACAATCCTGTTCTGGTGGACGAAGATGGTTCGGAAATAGCAAGCGACGACGAGGGAGAAGTTGCACAAGCTGCGAGGGCCACCGCCGCGGAATTTGACCCTTACGCAGATGTGCGGATTGAGCGTCAGTATATCCAAATTCCTCTATACATCTTAATTGACAGTTTTCAGAACTTCTCGCGCCCCTCACTGCAGCTTCCGATTTACCAGATCATCCAACGTTGTCGAAACCTTTTACCTCGAAAACACTCACAGAGCTCACGAAACATGCTGGCGACATGGTGCAGAAGGAGAAGGCTTCACTTTGGAGGATCAAGCATCTTCTCACAAGATTGAGCGGCGACAACACGTGGATACCCTGCGAGAGCGTAGAGACAGAGAATGACTTCTCTCTGTTCTTAGATGAGCGGTATCAAGGCCACGGTCTACTCAAGAGGGGCACTGTAAGGGACGAAGCCGATCAGGGGTCCACAGGAACAATGGCTTCAGACGATGTGGATCCTACAGCCAGATTGTTGACCATGCAGGCTCATGCCAACGAATCAGCTGAAGAAGGCTCCGGGAACGGCAAGCAGGTCGTGAATGAGGATGTTCAAATGACCTCCGTCATAGAAAACGCAGCTCCTGAACAAGGAGCTCCCTTACCAAACGGAGAGCCAAGTCTTGAGGGTCCTTTAACTTCTTCGAAGATGGATCAGTTGGTGGAATTACAAGGAAACGAAGACGCGGATGGATTATCTGCTCAACTTCCCGGTGGACCATTGCCTAAGACCTCAGATGAAGCTGTCGATGGAAATGCAGACAATGTGGATGCAGACATGATGGACACCGAGGAGGGCGTACCAGTTCCTACACGAATGCGGACACGAGCGCAGGCCCAGGCAGCTTCAGATAATACAGCTAGGACAAGGTCGATAACGCCCGAAGCCGGCAACGAGGATTTCATACACCCTTACTTTCTAGCACCGCCTTCGTCTCATCCAGACCGTAATCTTGGTTTACCCCAACATGAAGCAGACGAAACTCGACGACTACTACAACTCTACATACAGAAGCAAGAAGAGGTCTGTCGTGGTGCGGAAAAGGTATACAGTGGCTTGTTAAGAGCAGATCGATATCGAAAACTCGTTATGAAATGGGCGAAAGCTGAAGTTCACGTCAGGGACATGTCAGACGGAGAAGATTGGTACGAAAAGGAGGAATGGGGTCTTGATGAAGATCTCAAAAAGGGACAGGATGAAGAGGAAGAAGACGCTGCAACTACTGCCAAGAAGACAAGAACGAGGCGGCAATAGTTGCAATTCATTATCAAGGCTTTATCTTTAAGCAGGGCATGGCGTGGATAGTTTTACTGGCGTACCGATATCCAAGGGCAAAGGGCATTTTAGGACGTTGATTTTTTATGGATTAGCAACACATATACAGAGTCTAGCGTAGACAACAAACATTTACACCTTAATATGTCTCAGATTGAGCTGTGACATGAGAGCCTCAAATACCTCCCCGGATTTCGGCCTCGCTCCGACGTCATTGGATTTGGCGAATTTGCTTGTGACTTGTGGTCCGTTCACCAATTTATTTACAAACACTTGTACAACCGCAACTCGTACGCCTCAGTCCATTCCTTTCTCCTTCTTCAGACACACTCTTTCGAAACTGTACTGAAATCAATCTCGAAATCATGACGAGTTTCCTAGGTTCTAACAAAGGTCTAATAGACTTTGACCAGAAGAGTCTTGCTGGTATGCTTGAGCTCAATAATGTATAGACGCAAAAGCTCATCCAAGTCTGTTAGTCGCTGCTGCATCAATTGCATTCAATCCCATCTTTTGGAAGTAAGCTTCATCGTTTGCCCAACTGCTCTGAAACTTGTCACTAACTTGTCTGCAGCACTGTGGCTCGCCAAGGTAGCTAAAAGCACCTCTGTCACCTCTTCATCCTAACGAACCCCTCAGAATACCACAACAAAGTCTTGACGAAGCTCGCGGGCGGCAACTCGCTACGAGCATGCTACGGACTTGCCATCACGATCTTCTCCCTGGGCATCTTCCGTGACTTCCTTTACGAACGAGCCCTCCGCGACCAACCTGCACACCCCCTCCTCGACACCGCAGTCTCAACCTACATCGCATACGCTCTCATGGCTGCCGGCAATGTTCTCGTTCTCTCTTCTATGTGGGCACTTGGTCTCACTGGCACATACCTTGGCGATTACTTTGGCATCTTGATGGACGATATTGTGACTGGTTTCCCTTTCAATGTCACTGCTTCGCCCATGTACTATGGCTCTACGATGACCTTCCTAGGATCCGCTCTCTGGTATGGAAAGCCGGCAGGTATTCTGCTTACCGCAGAGGTTCTGATTGTGTACTTGATTGCTTTGCAATTCGAAGATCCTTTCACCGCCGAGATCTATGCTAAGCGGGAAAGACAACGCAAGAGTGGAAAGAAGGAGTTGTAGTAAGGGTTTGTGAAGAATGTGAATAAGGTCTTCTGGCGTGTAGTGAGACCTTTGAAGACGTTGTGCATAGAGATGATTGTCGCAGAGAGGATTCAACAGACCGAGAGCAGCTATGATTCAACTACTAGCATTACAGGCGTTTGGACGGAAAAGCATTCTTGTAGAGCCGTATAACCCAGAGCACCAATTGTTTGATATTCGGCAATAGACAGGCACAAAGAGCATTAGAAGACTCAATTGCCTTGCGAAACTACCTTTGAAACTGCCATCCGAGGTCTGTGGCCCTGTGAGGTATTCAGAGCCTAGGATTTAATGTCCTGATATCAAACTTGATGTTTCAATTCATATCCCGTTTCAAATCTCAGTGTAGATATCACTACAATTGTCCGCGTCAGTGACGAATAACAAAACAAACAACATCAAACTTACGTTCTCCTCAGCAGCGGCATCTCACTCTTGATCTTCTCTCTGTAATCAAGATCAATATCAACCACCCCAATCTCAGCCTCGTTGCCCTCTCCTGTCATATCTACAAGCACCTTTCCCCACGGATCAACCACCATTGAATGTCCATAGCTTGTCCTTTTCTCATTATGTGCTCCAACTTGAGCTGCAGCGATGACATACGCTTGAGTTTCAATGGCTCTTGCTTTCAGCAAAGTCTCCCAATGTGCTTGCCCAGTCTTCACTGTGAAAGCCGATGGGTAAGTTATGATCTGAGCGTTCTGACGCTTCAATGCCAAACTGATTTCAGGGAATCGCAGCTGGTTTAGGTTAATAAATAGGTGGAAATTAACGGGCTTTTACTTACATCAAAGCATATCATCAAACCAACACGACCAACCACAGTTTCAATAGGAGGTACGATAGTCTTTCCGCCTTCTACGCTATTGCTCTCCCGTAATACGCCGTAGTCGAATAAGTGAAGCTTGTCATAGTAAGATTCGATCTCGCCCTTTTCGTTTATCCAGCAGCTCCTGTTTGCGAGCTTTCCACTGTTCGTAGACACATGAATACCGACGTTTATTGCTAATGCAGATTCCTTCGCAGCTTCTCGTAGGCCTAGAACGAATGGGCTTGTTTCCATAGGGAGAGCGAGGTACAAGGATTCTTGAGAGTTTTGAGCAATGTAGTCCTAGGTCTCGTCAGTTGTCATATAACTGATGAAGATTGAGGTTCCAAGTGAAGGATAATGTCTCAAAGTCGAACAGACATTCAGAACATAAAGTCTTGGTTCGCTCTCTAGTGAACAGATATTGAGGACGAAAGTTTGTTTGTCAACCAACAAATATAATATTCGAAATCTACTTCGATTCCTCTGATGGTCCTCCCATATCTAACATGCCTCCGAAATGCAAGCTGTCAAGATGGGGTAGTTGAAAAGTCGTGATTGTGTGACTGAGCAATAGGGATTATGGTGTCTCAATAATCATTAATAATCCCAGACACTGAAGCAGACGAACGGCAATGTGTAAATCAGAAAACATCTTACCGTTGCTTCCGGGAGGAAAAGTGCCTGTATTACTGTGAGAAGACAAGCTACGCAAAGGCTCTTGGACATACTTTTGCTCCAGCGGCCACTGCCTTCTTGACTAGCACTTGGCAAAGCGCAAGGTTATGGCTCATGGAACCTGTCGAACATAATTGGCCTATGGCCTGCTTTGACTCAGTACTCTGTCATGACTTCGGGAAGGACACTGACTGCTATAGCCATCTTATACTATTCTCCGGAGGACCGGACTTTATGTAGCGTTCGATGACAATATAGGTAGATCTGAAGCCTTGTCAGATCTTGTTCTCCTCGTTCGATAAGAAAGTTCGGGAAAGGTAAGCTTTGAACATGACTGAAGTGGAATTGAAACAGAATGGATATAACGTTAAGTGCTCAAGAGAATCACCTAATGATATTTCAATGTGCGATCTTTCTGTGAAGCAGCGCTAAATTATACTCCAACGTCCTCTTATGGAATCTGTCCTAGAAGTTCTCGAGAAAGATTGATTTGCCTTTACTCACACAGAAATTCGTGGTTGTTGAAAGTCGCAGAAGTGGACAGGTGCATGGTGGAATTCCGCACCCATGCTCAGTGACGTCTCGATTGGTCCCGAGATTCGGGTTCACGAGGAACTTTTTCTGACTCTTTCAGTACAGTAATCGCAACAAGGCAGCTTCAGCCCCGTCTGAATATGAACTCTCAATAACCTTCGAAGTATTCAGACTTCCTTCCTCCCATTATGTCGTTGTAAGCAATAAGTCGAAATGTCCAATGGCCGTCAAGCTGGGAAATCGTCAACTTGTATGCCCTTTCTCTACTGAACCTCCACAGCTGCTAAAAACTCAAAGCATTCCACTTCGCAGCTGGTCTGGGGTCTGGCGTCCTTTCTGCAGTCCTTCTGCAACCTGCCGACCTGCTGAAAACTCGAGTCCAGCAATCTGGACATAGTTCACTACTAGCTACGATCCGCGAAATCTCGAAATCATCAACCTCGATTCGGTCTTTTTGGAGGGGAACTCTACCCTCAGCTCTGCGGACAGGTTTTGGGTCTGCCATCTACTTCACGACGCTGAATGCCTTACGACGCAATGTGGCGCGTTCGAATCTGCTGGCATCCATTGGGGCCATAGACAAAAATGCCGTACAAACCTATTCTTCCTCACTTCCGAAGCTATCGAACCTTGCGAACTTGACGACGGGAGCTGTTGCTCGCACAGGTGCAGGATTCATATTGATGCCTATGACTATCATTAAGGTCAGATATGAGTCTAATTTGTATGCATACAACTCAATTGCCGGAGCCGGCAAGGACATTCTGCGAACGGAGGGTCTCAAGGGGTTCTTTTCTGGTTTTGGAGCAACTGCTATCAGAGATGCGCCTTACGCAGGTCTGTATGTCCTGTTTTACGAACAGCTTAAGAAACGTCTGAGCCTGGTCTCGCAAAAGCTACCCGTGGCCGGAGAAGTACAGGCTGGGATGAAAGGCTCCAAATCAGCATCAATCAACTTCGGCTCTGGCGTATTAGCAGCCGGTCTGGCAACAGCTATCACGAATCCATTCGACGCGATTAAGACCAGAATACAACTACAACCCAAAAGATACCTCAACATGTTACATGCCGGGAAGAAGATGATACAGGAGGACGGCTTCAAGTCTCTCTTCGACGGCTTGGGCTTAAGGATGGGTCGCAAGGCTATCAGCTCAGCCTTGGCTTGGACCTTGTACGAAGAGCTTATTAGAAGGGCTGAGCTTGCGTTGGGCAAAGCTCACGCTGTATGACGATATCTTGTACATCACCACTTCAACAATAAGATACCACTCTGTTATTACTTTCAAGCCGGTCCAATGACTGATTCAAACTGCATATCTCGGTCATCAGCATCAAACATCGCAATATCGGGAGGCAAGAGGTATCATCGCATTTTCCTTTCAATATATCATTGAGTGGGTATTCAATTCATAAAGCATAAAAGGCCCTCCTCAGCCGTCAATCCCGCAGCGAACTCCTAGCCAGCCAGATATCCCCAAGTTTTCTATATTCTGCCGTAACAAATGTCATCAATGCCTGCTACTACCAGCGACCCATTGCAAAATTGGAGATGGAGATGGTTTTCTCTCGTGTTTCTTCTTCTTTTCAATCACAAGCTGAAGCTCATCATCATGCTTATGGTGCCTGGATTTCGTCGTTTTGCGTTCTTCGATCATCAAAATGGGTTCTGCTCTTCTGCGTTCTCTGATTTCGCGAGTATGAGACCACAGGAAATCTTGCTCGTATTCTGGAACCCATCGTTTGATCAAGATATAATCAGGATCCTGTAACTAGTGTTAGTCTTTGGTTTGAAGTGGTTTGAGAGAGGTTTTACCTGGTCAAATTCATAATCAATCCTGTATCGGTTCAAAGTCTCGATGGAAAGATGTCGTCGAGACATCCTGGTGTAAGTTGGACGAGCAGGATCCACTCCCTTGTCTTTCTTGAGCACAACGGCGATTTGTCGCTCGTCCATCCCGGATTTGCGCAAGTCCTCTTCCATACGCTTTTGATACTCTTTCTCCCTCTCTTCTTTCTCTTTCTTCTCCTTCGCTGCCTTCTCAGCCATTTCAATTTTGTATTTCTCAATTGCGGCTTCGGCTTCCTTCTTGGCACGTGCCTTCTCATCTGCAGCCTTCTTCTCCTCAATTAGTCTCTTCATTTCCATCTCCTTTTTAATACGCTCCTCCTCAGCCTTGCGTTCCTTCTCGGCTTTGTATGCGTGAAGCTCTTTCTTTGCTGCCTCCAGCTCGAGGTCTTCCTTGGTCTGGGAGATCTGCTTCTTGATTCGCTTCTCCTCGTCAAGACGTTCCTTCTCCAGTCGGTACAGCTCGATCTCTCTCTTGGCCTTCTCGACTTCGTATTCGTCACGGGTGTGGGCAACGCGATATGCCTCCAGCTCCCTCCTTATCCTCTCCGACTCATACTCGTCACGGCGACTAGCGGCTTTGTATGCGTTCAATTCCCTCTTTCGTTTCTCTGCCTCATATTCATCACGGCTGTGAGCAGCTTTGTACGTCTCCAATTCTCGCCTGGCCTTTTCTGCTTCGTACTCGTCACGACTGTGAGCGAGCTTGTATGTTTCGAGCTCTCGACGAGCTTTCTCGACCTCATAATCGTCTCGCTTGCGATCATATTTGACCTCGTCTAATTCTCGACGAACTCTCTCTAGCTCCCAATCATCTCTTGAGTCGCGAGGAGACACGAACGAGGCAGGACGAGATCTCGAGCGGTCGCGTTCGTGACGGCGAGGCGACACAAGATAGTCATCGTCCTCATAATCATTATAAATGCGATTATTAATGATAACCGGCGCCGCGGGAGCAGGCGCAAGGGCAGGAGACGGAGGAGTGAGTGGTCGGCGACGGCTCGTAGATCTGGATCTGCGAACAGTGGTCAAACCGCTGCTGACTCCCGGAACGAGGTAACTTGTACCCTGATCATAGTAAGGTCGAGGCGCTGGACGATATCTATGTTCTGGGTAGACTACCGGCTGTGGAGAAGCACGACCACGTCGTACTCGGATATCCAGCTCATCCTCCTCATCGTACAGGTCTTCTCGGCTTCGATAAGCCATCTTGACGAGGCTCTGAGAACGGGGTAAGATTTGGGTTTATTGCGCCTTGACTTCCGTAGGGCTAACCAATAAGTTGGTGCTGCTGGGCGTGCACTCAAGGCTGTCGGGCGAGAACCCCGCTTTGCGATCGCTGGGAGGGACTCGAGAATGCGCCGGGCCTTTTTCGATAGGCGATAAGCAAAAGTATATATCTTCACTAGAATGCGATAACGAAGAGACAAGAAGGGCGGACGTCTCTTATTCAGCGAGAGATACAAAAGATGACAACGGAGGAGAAAAGGAAGAGTCGGTGTCAATCCAGTGTCAGCAGGAGAGTGGGCATGGGCTGATGATTTAAGGTGAGACTACTGGAGGGTCTCAAGAAAATGGGTGCTTGCTTGCTTAGGCAAGACGTTACTCCGTATGGGCGTGCATCCTACCAGCTCATTTTCCACCGGCATCGCTCGCTGCCCTGTGAGCTGTGCACAAGACCAGCCACCGCAGGGGTGATTGTTCGTCCTCACCATAAAAACCTTTGACAGGAGCGGCGAGAAAATCGCAGATGATTTTGCTTGGCCGAAACTCGCCGCCATAAGCTGGGTCTGCCGTTTGAGCTGAACATGACCTGCAGCTGCTGGACAGCCCTAAGAGAACCCGCGGTCTCTGGATCCTTGACCCCTCCATTAAGATTTCCAGCCTCTCTGTAGTGGGGAAATTGAGATGTTCACTGGGACCAACACTACTGCGGCGCTTCCCTAGCTTTTCTCGTAAAGAGAACCTCTGGAACAAGGAACAACGAAGCAAGTGAATGCGAACTCGGGGCAAAGTGAAAGTTGGGTCCATGTAGCCCTGTAGAATCCCTATTTCGACCTCGACTCGAGCTTGGCGAGCGAGGCTTCAGTTCCCCCGGCCTATGTTGGATTTTTGGGTTTGCTAACAGATGGCTGTCAAACGGGACCCAAAAAGCGATACGCTCAAGGAGCGGGCCGCATTAAATGAGTATCTTGCTGCTTGAAGAAAAATCCATGAAAAGACGAATCCTTTGAACGGTACCTAGGTAGTGGTTGGTGGGCTTCACTCAAACGGCCCCCAACACAGCGAAGGAGGGCAAGTGCATCGGGAAAGCGTCTCGACGGGGTTAAGAACTGCGGTTTGAGTGGGCTGGAATGTTCTGGGTAAGAAAGTGAAATCTTGTTTTACGTTTTGGGTTGCATGTTGTGGTTTGAAGTCTAAGTGCTTACACAACGGACATTTGAGAGGTCTCGTCATGGCCGAGATAGGCAACAGGTCAACATGCATTTTAGGAACACCAACTTTATCGCCAGAAATCGCGGTGAAACAAATGAGTAGGATTTTGAGATGAGATTTTGCCACTTTGCGAATCATCATAGAAATCTTTTCGTCTTTTTGTGCTGGCGACAAGCTGACTCCTTATCCCTGCCACCAAGTCTTCAGCCCCCAACACCGTGAATGGACAACCTGCCACGATGGCGTACATCTTGGATGAATCATAATGAAACTCCCCATTACCATTTCTAAATTTGGCCCATTTTCATTTCCTTCCTCTCGCTGCTTTTTCAAATCCTTCCCAGTAGGTGAGCTTTCTCCATAAAATCGATTGCGCCGTTCTATGAGCGAGTCACCATCGAGCCCAGATCCTCCCTCATGCTTCATGCACGCCCTCCGCTGTTGAAGATCTGATCCATGTGCTCTCGACTATTCTTGACAGTAGTCTCAAGATACTGAATTTTTTTCTCGAGGTTCTTGATGTCCGATTTGAGGTCCGTCGTTTCGGTCGTTAACCTCTTGTCGACCTCAGCTGTAGGGCTGAAAACAAACCTGCCAATGAGACGTAAATATTGTTGTCTCGTGACCTCTTTTCACTCATAGTCTTGAGCATGATTGTACCCAATGACGAGTACAGTGGGACTGGATTCTGGAGGAGATAGAAGACTTACATCTTGCCGACACCCTCGTAGACATTGGTACCAGATGGGAGAGTTGATACCTCTTTGGAGGTCAGTTCCAGCAGGCGGATCTCACGAGTCTTGGATGCTATTGACTGCTTGACTTTGAGCAAGTCTCGCTGAGAATTTATAGCCTGGCTCTCGATTTCTTGGACAAGCTGAGACTTTATATCAGTTTTGTTCTGTTGCACAGATGTGGTATGCTGGTGGAGTTGAGGAACGGAGGCGCAACGACGAATGCTGTTTTCGGGCCGAGACTTGCCTTTTGTAATGCCTCATTTGAGATGGACATCTTTGCGGTGATAGATGCGAAATGGTTGATGTGAAATGCTCGATGCGAGAGAGGAGGGACTCTTCAAGTAGCAGCGGTTTTGGGAAAGGGACCGCGGGGTTTCTAGGCCAAACTCAAGATATTTTGAGAGTCATGTGTCGATAAGATTTGATAAGGAGTCTTTATCGATAAGACATGAGATGAGTTACGGCGGAAACAAGGGCCTCTTCAGCAGAATGAGCCGTCCACTAGTCGATCCCCACGTGTAGATTGACTCAATTGAAGCGTAACTGATTGGTTTTGGGCAGTACCGGTACTTACCTCCGGCCTCTAGCTCTAACACATGCTTTTCAATATCAATGTCACTCGACGTTGTGTGCTTTGTGATGACTTCTATCTCCAGGTCTGACTGAGATGTCTCGGCTCGCAGGTCTCATCGGACCTAGGCCTGGGGAAGCTGTATCGTAAAGACAAGTATTCTGCGACAAAGAAATCGAGGCTCTTCAACAGCGGTCAAGCTTTTTTCTACTGAGGCTTTCGGCACAATGCAGTTTGAGTAGCTCCCGCAGTACCCGAAGCTCAGGTCGTTCTACAGCTGCATGACGTTGCAGATGAGCCCAGGTCAATACAGGGATCATCCGGACGTTTTTGTTCCAAACCACTCACTAAGCAACATTTGAATTTGTTCAAGTACAAAGCTCTTTCCCTTTTGAAAAATGTGCCTGGCCACCACACATCTGCAGACGGAAGGCTGCCGAACATCTGCGTGACGGACATCGTCAAGCTTTCTTTATTGACATAGCAGATATTAATTCGCTGCAGCCTTCTCGTATTCTGCCACGGAATATCCCACTCTGGCCAGGACATTGAAGCAAAGATGGGCTTCCTTCCACATTTCAAATATCCTCCTGCAAGACCAGAGGAAGGGTTCTGGAATCCGGTAACCTCAACGATCAATTGGTGTGAAGGTACCTATTCCGAGGCCTAATTCCTGCGAGATCCGCTGCTGACCACCCGGACTGCAGAGGACTATTATGCCACTATATATTCCGCAGAAATTGTCAACACCCTTACCAATCTCCTCTTCATGGCTCTGGGTATCAAGGGTGTTCGAAATTGCTTGAAGTATGACCATGATAGTGTATTCCTCGTGGCGTTTATTGGATGTAAGACCGCACACTTCACCATACACCGACATAATGCTAAGCTTTAAAAGACCTCCTTGTTGGAAGTGGATCATTTGCATTCCATAGCACTCTCAAGTGTAAGTCAATCTGGATATCGCCAATATCCATTTGCTTATTTTAATAGATCCTATGCAACTTGTTGACGAGCTATCGATGATTTACACCGCATGCTTGATGTGCTATGCCACTTTCTCGTTCTCCAAATCCCAGATCACCCGCACTTTGCTTGGAGGGAGCTTGTTGTCACTGGCTATTTTCATCACGGTAAGTGCATGTCACAGAACCAAATAGCAGACTTTGACAGTGCGATTAGTTGTACTATCACTATCTGCAAGACCCAGTATTCCACCAGAACGCATTCGCCATTATTACGGCTACCGTTATCTTCCGAAGTATGTATGTAATGGAAGTCAACATTCGACCATCATTGAAGGCGAAGTGGAGAACTGTACCTCCAAAGTCGGACTCTGAGATACTCTCGAAGTCAGAGCGCTTGGCAAATGAACACCGAGACCGGGCGATCATCAAGGAAATGTGGATCATGGTCGCGTTTGGATTATCCATATTTCTAGGAGGCTTTGGTATCTGGGGGTTGGACAGAATATACTGCTCTACAATTCGACGTTGGAGACATGATGTTGGATTGCCTTGGGGAATTTTGCTTGAAGGGCATGGATGGTGGTGAGTTTCTCCGAAAGGTAGGGAGAACTTTGCTAACAGAATTCAGGCATATCATGACAGGAGTTGGATCTTACTTCTACATCGTCTGGGCGATTTGGTTGCGTCATTGTTTGAATGAGCGACAGGATGAGTACATTTTGAATTGGCCAAGTCTCTTCTTCTCAGTTCCTGAGGTGGTACCTCGGTCTGATGCTGGAAAGCAAAGCAAGAAGTATCTGAACGGTCACACTAAAGGCGAAGAAAGAAAGTCCGTGTAGATTGGGATTCGATAGACTTTGGGAGGCATGATTTTATTATACCCATTGCATTGTCGTCGAAAGCGGAAAAGAGAAAGACCGGGCTGCATGTAGATATTGTCAGCGATGCAGCTACTAATGATGAAAGTTATAAAGTTCGAAACCAAAACTAAAGGAGTATGGAAGCAGAGTGTAGGTGAAGTGATCTGTGATTGTTGGAGAAAGTTGTAAACAATATTTAGGATCACGATTCCTATTTCAAATGTTGGTCCTGAAGTAGATCCTGATCTTTGAAACGTACATTCTGTGACCAAATGTCCAGCACAATGTTGGTTGGCATCCTGATCATCAAAATAGAAGACAGTAACTGAATGTAGGCCAGCCTTATGGGTTATATTAACAATCGTAGCCGCATAGCTGGCCCGTGGGGGTGTTTGAAGACAGGGGTACTGATCTGCACTGCTCCCGTTGGAATCACCAAAAATGTTCAGAAGCGACAAAGACACGCAATCCAGAACACCTCTTCGTATTCCTCCCACTCTGCAGACTGCGCCTCGTTCTTGGATGAATTTCAGGCGACACTCATAAAGAGGAGATTTTCCGGTATTCGGCTTCTTCGCAAATAATCCTTTGGCGTACTCGATTAATGCAACTCGGTACAAGTCAACTCATGTCTTCTTGACCTTTGGTGATGTCCAGGCACCGCTTCGAGCCACGCGATCCCTTGAAGGAAACAAGGCGGGGTTTCGAACAATGGCGGCTCCGCAGAAGCAGGGCTCGAAATGGGGCTCTTTTCTTCAGCAGGCTGTTGCTGGAGTAGAGTCAAGGTTGGACAATCTGCTAGCTGATGGCATTGAAGAGCAAGCTCCCGCTCCAGCTCCCACTCCAAAGAAACCAGCAACACCAGCACCGGCAACCCCTGCCACAAGCTCTGAAGGTGAGGACTGTTCCTAGGATCAATCTAGAGCTATCTGCTGACACAATTGCATTGTAGTTCCGCGAGCGGCGTCGACGAATAGAACCAATGATCGATTAGCAGAACGGTTAGCAAGGGCTGTTGCGGCTCGGAATGCGAATGCGCAAAGGTCAGAGAGACCAGACTCGTTAGCATTATCCTCAGGCGTACCTTCACGGACAGGCAGTCCTGTGACAACAAGTGGCAGTCCTCGAGCGAGTATAGATGTGCCTTCAGCAGGCTCCGAAGACAAGGATGCCGCAAAGGAGCCTGTTTCCCAGTCTGCGGCTGAGTCGACTAAGGAAGATGCCATTAGCTTGGATGGGGCTTCTGCAGGAGTCTCGAGGGCAGCTAGTCTGGATGCTCAACGCCCGGTACCGACACAAGAAGAGCTCAGTGAAGCTGTCAACAAGGCAGACATTGAAGCTCCACCCCGAGCATCTGGAGACTCTGTTCGTTCAAGCCTCCCTCGAGACTCAATTGATATTTTGAGATCAACACCTCCTCGATCATCTACAGACGTTCCTTTGAACGAGCTTCCAGAGGTTGGGTCGGCAACGAAAGCGCCAGCAGAGTATGAAGCTCAACTAAAGCAGCTCCAATCCAATTATGAGACCTCAGAGCTACAACGGCAAGAGGAAGTGCATGGCTATATTGAGAGAATCGACGCTCTGCAGGCTAAACTTGCCTACTTAGCGAAGGAAAGTGCAGATGCAGCTCGAAAGGCCAGTGGAGCAGCTCCAAGTGGCAGTATGGACAAGAAGCTAGCAGACAAGGAAGAACAAGTTGCTCTGTTAATGGAAGAAGGCCAACAACTTTCGAAGAAAGAGCTAGCACACCTCACTACCATCAAGAAGCTAAGGACCAAGATTCAAGAGGATAGCAAAGAAATTGCAGAGGCAAAGGCAAAACAGGAAAAGGCCGAGAAGGACGTTGTCATAATCAACGAACGATTGAAGAGAGCTGAAGGCACCGAAAAACGCTTGACTGACAGCCAAAGGACTGTTTCACAATTAGAGAGGGATATCCAGGCGCTGAAGTCCGAAAATAGCTCCAAGGATGCTATTATTGCTGATCTCAAGGTTCAATTGGACGACGCTGTTGCTCAGCAGAACTCAGCGGAAATCAAGGCAGCGAGAGAAGATCTTGACTTCGAGAAGAAGCGCGTAGCAGAGCTCCAAGATGACCTTGCGAACATGAAGATCGAGAAGAGCTTAGTAGCCGACAGAGGTCAAGCTCAAGTAAAGGAGTTACGCGAGAAGATGGAAAAGGAAGTCGAGCGAGCGCGGTTGGCTGAGATGGAGATGAAGAATGAGCAACATATGTTGGAAAGCAAGCTGGAGCTGATGAGAGCAAGAGTTGAAGAGGTGTCGTCTGGAGCTACTGGCGATGCTCGTGCGAAACTTCTTCGACAAATCGAGACGCTTCAGACGCAATATGCTGTCGCAAGCGAGAATTGGCAAGGAATGGAGGCTTCGCTCATCGCAAGAGCGACTAGTCTCGAGAAGGAGAGAGATGAAGCTACTAAGAGAGAAGCTGACATTCGCCGAAAAGCGCGAGAAGTGGTACGTAACTCCAGAACTTTCGCAACCAGCTTATCTAACTTTGTATAGTCCTTAAAAGCCAAGCGAAACGAAGATGAGTTAGAAGAGGCCAGGTCGCAAGTACCAAGCTTCCAACAAGAACTCGCTGAGCACAAAGCCAGACTAGACAGTCTCCAGCAACGTGCCGAGAAGGCAGAAGCAGCTTTAGTAGAAGCCAAAGCTTCATTCGAGCAAGAGAAATTAGCCTGGAAAGCAGAGATGCAAAACCGCGTAGAGGAAGAAAAGCAAAAATGGCACGAGGATATCCCCAGCACACCGTCTTATGGATACAATCGAGCAGAGTCGCCAGTAGCATCTTCTCGGAGAGGTCTGACTACCGAATTTCTTGGGTTGCAAAACTTGCAAATTCGACGAGCTTCAGCGAGATCTATCAACAACGACGTCCCAACTCCTACGACTGCAGGATTCCTCAACCGCAGGCCTTCTGCTCAACCACTAGGTCGGTCGTCTGGCAATGGTACCCCTACTAGACAAGAGTCGATGCAATCTCTAAAGACAAATGGGGAGAACTCTGATGCGATTTCGATGCATACAGACCATGATGACTTCTTCACCGACAACGTTTCTCCCTCGTCACCACACCAGACTATCAACGACATGATTTCAGTCTCCACAGCTGGCGCGGGTCCCTCTGTCCAGCTCGTCGAAAGAATGAGCTCCGCGGTCCGTCGCTTAGAAAGCGAAAAAGTCGCAACAAAGGAAGACTTAGCTAGACTTTCTGCTCAGCGCGACGAAGCGCGAGCTGAGATCGTCTCATTGATGAGAGAAGTGGAAACAAAGAGAGCAGCAGACACTAGAGTTGCTGAATTAGAAGCAGAAGTCAAGGATCTTAACCAGAGATACGAAACTACGTTGGAGATGTTAGGCGAGAAGAGCGAGATGGTTGATGAGTTGAAGAGCGACATTGACGATATCAAGGCGATGTATAGGGAATTGGTGGAGAGGACCGTGAAGTGAGGTCTAGCGGTAGCACAGCATAACATTTCATCTGAAAGAGCTCAAATTTGAGTTTCTTCTTCTGGGGAAGCATGACTACTGGCACATTTGGAGCAAGTCCAGATGATCAGATCAGAAGGAAGCATGTTTGGGGGATCTTCATAATGAGTATTACTGCATGAAGGCGTTTGGAGAAAGAACGGGGGGCATTCTGGGCGCATTCTTCACATTTTCAAATCACAACCTTGCAAAGAGATGCTTGTAAGAATAGGGTATTGGATTATGTTAAAGGAGTACAACAAAGGCTAGATTAGATTCATAATTCTATGCCTTCCTCTTCAGCTGCTCGGGCGATATATTTTCGGACTGCGGAATCTGGTGCGAGGTCGATTGGTAGGCAACCGTCTACGTCTTTCTTGTCTGTCTCTGCGCCGGCTTTTAGGAGTGCTACTGCTGTGTCTCCTGTTGAAAGTCAGTACTAGAAGGAGCTTGAGGCAGAGAGAGACTTGCCGTGACCCTCGGCAACAGCGTGATGTAGAGGTGTTTGACCAGCTATATCGGTAGCGTTTAGTGGACTCTTGTTCTTTAATAATAGCTCTACCATTGGAACCGATCCCACGGCAGCGGCTCGGTGGATGGCGTATTGGCCTCGTTTGTCTTTGACCCGAGCGCTGGCTGGTGGTTTGTTGTCTAAGAGGCGGCGGGCAAGGTCGATGTTCTTTTTTGAGGCTACGAAATGGAGGACTGTTTGGCCACTGAAGTCTAGAAAATAGTAAGTAAGTGGTATTCGAGGGGAATGAAGTGAATATACTCTTGGCATTGACATCTGCTTCCTTGCGGAGGAAGAGGTTGACTAGATCTTCACCTTCCTTTAAGCTTGCGGCTATCATCAATGGTGTCCAGCCAGAGCCATCCTAGTAGCGAACGTAAGCTAGGAAACATATTTACCCACGGAGTGAAAGGAAACTTACTTGAATATCAGGATCAAAGTTCTTGAGGTTGGCTAGCAGGATAGCGATATCTAAGTGGCCATACGAAACTGCCCAATGAATCGGCAAACGCTCATCATCGTCTCTTCTTTCGCCGAGCTTAGGATTTGCCTATAATTAAATTGAGCATGGCATTTCATTATCATTTCTGAAAAGAACTCGTACAGCTAACAGTGATTCAACAACACTTGCTACTCAACAGTCAGTAAAACATGTCCCGTGGTGGGGTCAAAGAGGGGCAAAGCGTACTTCTGCCATCTCTGGCTGCTTCGTGGATTGCGAATTTAGATGGTTCTTCCATTCTGAATTGATGACTTCAAAGTGAGTAGGTAGTGAGGAGATTTGTTTTAATGTGAAGAGTTGATGAGATATCAAAGTCTCAAGTTGTACTCGTAGTCCTATGCAGCCTAGCTTGCCACCTGAGGCACTCGATTTTTGTAAATGTTTTGCCAGCCTGCAAAGAGAATGTACTCTGAGATCCCGGAAACGGGTTCAAATAATATCCATTGAAAGAAGAGCCTAGTTTGGTCAAAACATTGGGTTCAAGAATGAGATGAGGTTGAGCACGTGAAGACGAGGCAAATTCACGCTAATAAGTCTTAGCGCGAAGAGAAGTTGATGGAGCGCGAGGCTGCGAAGTATATTTTGAAGCTGCACATTTCGTCAATCTCCCACCTATCTCGAAACATCGTCGAGATGGCTGCCGCTGTTGTCGCCCATGACCAAAAGTCGCAAATTGAGCATCTTCAAGGTCTCATAAAAGAAAATGCGAAGCGATCAAGAGCTTTATTCGCAGATGGACAATCTGAGAAACAGGACGATTTCACCGAAGCTGCAGACAAACTCGTGATAGCTGCACGAATACACTCAGAATACGATCATGTTAGAGAACTACCGCCAGCATTGGCTGCAAAGTTTGCGAACGCGGTGGGCTCTCGGAAGAAGGCGAAGACAGCTACGGAGCCTACAGAAGCAGACGCGAGAACGACAAAGCTGATTGAGGGCGTGGCATCGAAAAGCGAAGGCGCAGGAAGCTCATCTACAGCTTTGACTATTAGACGGCAAGGACCTGCGGATGGCACGCCGCCGAATGCCAATGGACCTACGGCGCAAAAGAACCTACCGTCATCGAGTTTAGTACGCAAGCAGACTGTTGTGCAAGTGAAGCCAGATTGGCATGCTCCTTGGAAGTTGATGCGTGTTATTTCTGGCCACTTGGGATGGGTCAGAGCATTAGCTGTCGAGCCGGAGAACAAATGGTTTGCCAGTGGAGCTGGAGACAGGACGATTAAGATTTGGGACCTCGCGACAGGATCTTTGAGATTGACCTTGACTGGACATATTTCGACTGTACGAGGTCTCGCTGTATCACCACGGCATCCATATTTGTTCTCCTGCGGTGAGGACAAGATGGTCAAATGTTGGGATCTGGAAACGAACAAGGTCATCAGACATTACCACGGACATTTGAGTGGTGTTTATACACTCTCCCTCCACCCAACTTTGGATGTGTTAGTTACCGGAGGCCGTGATGGTGTTGCAAGAGTATGGGACATGCGAACTCGAAGCAACATCCATGTTCTGTCAGGGCACAAAGGTACGGTCTCTGATGTCAAATGCCAGGAGGCGGATCCTCAAGTCATTACTTCATCCTTGGACTCGACTGTCCGACTATGGGATTTAGCTGCAGGAAAGACAATGGGAGTCTTAACACATCACAAAAAGGGCGTTCGAGCGTTGGCCATCCATCCCAAGGAGTTTACTTTTGCTAGTGGAAGCACTGGAAGCATTAAACAATGGAAGTGCCCTGAGGGAGCATTCATGCAAAATTTCGATGGCCAGAACTCAATTATAAACACACTGGCCGTCAATGAGGACAATGTATTGTTTTCTGGTGGAGATAATGGTTCCATGAGCTTTTGGGATTGGAAGTCAGGCCACAGATTCCAAGCACTAGACACAACTGCTCAGCCTGGTTCTTTGGATGCCGAGGCAGGGCTCATGAGCTCTACATATGACAAAACTGGACTTCGATTAATTTGCGGTGAAGCGGACAAAACTAGTAAGTCATTTCACTCCCGGAGACATGTAGATATCAGCTAACGAATTTTAGTCAAAGTTTGGAAGCAAGACGAGTCAGCAACTCCAGAAACACACCCTCTGGAATGGAAGCCAACATTAGGAAGACAAAAGTTCTAATTGCACTTGAGTATTGCACTTTAGTATCCCATGGGATGACACAATATGCATGATAGGCGTCTGGCGCAGGAAGGCAGGGAATGCCCAGGATGTTGTATGATAATTGCCTATACTTGACTAGAATCCAAGATTCTTGACCTCTGGATCATCCTTGAATGCTTGCTTGACATCTTCCTCGCCAATACTCAGTCGTATCTTCCCTGTCCGATCAGCTCTCCGTGCTTCGAGACCCACAATCCCAGCTTCCATGAGATCAATAGCTGACGTACCCATTCCCAATACTCTCGGGACCTTCCTTGGCTGCTTCGAAAAGCTGGTCGTCCGTTTCTCCACATCATCTTTCAGTAGGTACTCAATGACATTACTACCCGTATCCATCTTCGACATCCTCTTTGCCTCATCAAGCACATCTCCAAGAATACTCTCAGCAATCCCTGTCCTCCTAGTCTTAGCTAACAAAGCAGCCAGCAACAGCTTCGAAGCAAGAGGCAACGCTCTCAAATACTGCTGCAAAGGACTAGTCGTCGCTTCATTAATAGCTCGCTTGATAGTAGCAATCGTAACTTTGCCAAAAGATTTTGAGATCTTCTCCCCTTTGCCACTCTTACTAGGTGTATTTGGTGCAGTCTGGCCGAGAACGTCGGATTCAGCGAGTTCGACAGCTCGTCTGCAGATATCGAGTGCGCGACGCGCGTCTCCGCTTACAGCTGCGACTTTTCGGCTGGCGAATTGGACGGCGTCTGGGTCGACTATATCGCCTGGGACGCCTTCGAGACGTGACTGAATGATCCGCATAAGTTGTTCGTGGGTGTAGCCTGGGAATGTGATTCTTGTGAGACCTTGAAAAGAAGTGTTAGTGAGCATTGCAACCAATTCACTGGGTTACTTACCAAGTCTACTACTGATCTTATTGCTGAGCGTCCTTTCTGGCAAGTCCATCGTATTTGCAACAGCGAGAACGATCAATCTACTGTGGCGCAAATTAGGCCAGTTGAAGAAATTATACATAACGCTCTGGTTCTTGGTAACAAGTTGGTCCAATTCATCCATCAACACCACGCAAGGCACTCTTCGAGGGCTTGCGTGATTGAACTCTCTCTCGAGCAAATCCAAAGCATGCGTTGGGCTGACTCGATCTCCTTTAAGTGCTTCCCATAATAGAGAGTACGACTGATGCGGATCTGTGACTTTCATCCCGTTGATTTCAACGAAAATGAAATCATCCAGTTCGTCCGCCATGACTGATGCATTGAGTTGAGCAACAACTTCTCGGACAGTGGCTGTTTTGCCTGTTCCTGGTGTACCAGAGATATAGATACAAGCTCCGGTGCCTTCGTAGATGGCAGCTTCGAGGTGGGAATATACAGATGCGAATTCGTCTTCTCGACAAGGTAAACTTGTGGGTACTGAAGCTACATGAAGCCTCGAGCGTGCTGTTTGAAAAGGGGACGATTCGATATGCTCCGGATCAAGAACTCTAGTTCCAAGAGGTGTGAACTCCAACGGCTTTTTGACGACAACCCTAAAGTGCTGTTAGTCTCCGTAGAAATACACTTCTGTGACCGGAATACCTTTTATGGCTGGGTGTTAATAATTTAGAAGGTGTCCTGGGTTTCCTTGGCGTAGATACATTTGAAGTCTTCTGCTTCTTTCGTGGTGTACCTTTCTCAACAATTTCCTCTTCCTCATCGCCATCGTCGATAAAGTCGTCTTTTCGTTTCCGCTTGTTGCCCTTCTTCTTCGGCCCAGATCCCGTCATAAATTCGATTCGGTCTGCAAATTCAGCAATTTCTTCTTCCGTGTCAAGAGCAACCTCTCCCCATATTAACTCTCCCGAGTAGACAGCGGTTTTAGTATTGCAAGCTCTTCGGCAAAAGAATGTGCTTCCATAGTCCTTTGAGCGTCTTGGAATTGTCCCCTTCGGAAACTTGTCCATAAAATCTGCTTTTGATAGAATCGTTGCGGCTCCATTAATTGTGTCCAGAGATTCTATGTCCATAGCCGGGGTGATATACAATTCGTGCTATATTGTTTAGTCCTTGGACTTCGTAGGATGTGTAGCAATCTTACTGGTAAACAATCACCTCTCTTCTTATTCTTTGTCTTGTTGGTAATAGGAATTTCTTTTTCAGTTACCAGCCCTAGATTTTGTTAGATATCGTGCATCGGGAAGGCTTAGAACATACTCACACAAGAGATTGGCCGACATCTCGTCATTATGCATCACAAAATAACATATAATAGCCACCCATGGCACATCAGCTTCATTTTTGACTGAGACAGTATCTCCAATCTTGCAACTAAAGCTACCCTTCTTGGCTCCAATGATGGTATTATTTAGCGCTTTCGCAGCAGCTCTCCGCCGTCGCTTCTTCGGTGTAGCAGCATTCTCCTCGTCTTCTGATTCATCTGAGTCATCGTCGTTCTCATTGTCGCCGGAGCTGTATATCCATTCCCATTGTTCGTCTTCGTCTTCGAGATCTGCCCTTTGAAAAGATGCGCCCTTTAGTAGTGTCCTGGCACGAGCTTCTTTCTCAGCACGTTTCTGCCGTGGAGTCAAAGGCGCCATTGTATCTGAGCAATTCGAAGATCTCGCATCGGTATCCGAATTGGTTGCGCTGACGTTGAGTTCCGTTGTGTTTTGTTAAAGTGCTTGCATTAGCTTGAAAGACGCGTCTGGCGACTTTTCGTGTTAGACGCGTTCAGGGGTAAAATGCAGCGGGTCGCTAAATGACAGCAACCGTCAAGGAAAAAGTAACAACACAACAGCCTACATCTAGAAAGAATAGAGGCATAAAGATGAAATCTAGAAAGACTAATTGTATCTTATGACCAACCTCATTTAAAGAGCCTTGTACCACAAAGTACCTTCAAGCTCGTTCTGAGATTGCTAAAGGGAATGTGGGGTAGCTGCACGTGACCCTACTAGCACCTCCAAATATCCAACCTCAAGCCGACAATCGCATCCTTTCGACAATCAGTCCAAGTTCCGCCAATAACTCCCAAGATCAGAATGGCTTCCCCAAAAGGCCAACAAGGTACCTTGTTCCCATTTCTACAGTATGAACAGAGTTAACAAATCCTACAGTCGACCTCACATCCTTCTCAACTCAACAACTAAGCCAATTCAAGAAACAGCTTGACGACGAACTCGAGCACCTTACGAACTCCTACACACAATTGCGCGCCGCACAAGCCAAGTTCAGAGAATGTATTCGCTCAATAGCTACGGGTGTTTCGTCTAAGATTGACGGTATGCACTTCTACAGTTCGTGAAGGGATTTATGAACTGATGGGTGTGAATAGGCAAGACGATTTTGGTACCGTTGACAACGTCACTGTATGTGCCAGGAAAGCTAGCAGATACGGAGAATGTGATCGTTGATGTTGGGACTGGATTCTATGTCGAGAAGGTAAAGCTTCTCCAAGTGCTCGTGGAGTGAAAGACTAAGGAAAAGCAGAGCACAAAGGATGCGACGAAGTTCTACGAGGCTAAGGTGAAGGAACTAGAGATAAACATCAAGGACTTGGAGGCGATAGTGAAGCAAAAGTCGAGCAATCTGAGTATGGTAGAAGATGGCAAGTCACAGTTCCAGGAGGCACGAGGACTTATACTGATTTTTTTGTTTTTTTCCAGTTTTACGACAGAGGGTTCTCAGTGCTGGAAATGCATCCGCAGCTACAACTACAGCATGAAGAAACCAAATGAAAATAAATCCTACAATGTAGATGCCCTGAAAGGGTTCCACACTATCCATAATATCAACACGTATCGGGTGTAAGAGGAATGCCCAGATGCCACAAAATAAAACTGGACCATGAAATAATGGCTCAGCGATATAGAGTGACCGGGACTTTTGTATGTGGAGATAGGAAGACAGGAAGGTAGTGTGAGAGTACAGTCGACAGAACATAACTTGACAAATCGCACCATGCGTGCTGGAAATCCTTGGGATGAAGGTTCAACCAGAAGATGTTTGCATCACAAACGGGGACAAATAACAATCCTATCAGAATGTCAGCCACGACGATCGAAATCAAGTCGAATTTCGTACCATTACTCGGCGCTATACAGGTCCTCGTAGAGGTCCTCTCCTGCGCTTGCATTTTGGGTTGGGTCTTGACCTGCGTCGGAAAACTGGACCAGCGAAGACATGGTGTCAATGCTTTCGAAGTTCTCCTCGTCTGGGCCTATTTCGGTTTGGCCTGGGGCGTTCTCGTCAACCTCAACCCATGGTCCTTGAGCAGCATCTTCCTCGGCCAGCATTTGTTCTTGTTGCTTCTTCGTAGCCTCAATCTCATTGACAGCGTCAACCAGAAAATCGCGAATGTTTTCAACATCGGCGAGAACGCTCTCAACTCCTACGTTACCCTCAACAGCTTCAATTCCCTCACTAGAGTAACGACCAAAGAACAGCTTCAATGGATTTTCCCATCTTCTGATTTGCGTCGTGTCTTTGAGAGATCGCATATTATAATCCCAATTTCGATTATACATTGCCACACCAGCAGTAATCTCGGGATCGTTGTTCTCTACCAATTTACGGTAGACAGACAACTCGACGACGTATCCGCTATCCTTCACCATGTATTCGGCGACGGTTTTCACCACGATCTCATCGATGATAAGACCAGCGATCTTGCGTGGATTGACTGCGGGATATGGGAGATCCGTATGATCCCAAAGCGCAGGTGTTTTGGGTGTAACGGACCCCTTGGCCATGTCCAACAATTTAGCGGGGATCTCGGTTATAGGTATCTCATTATCCGTAATAATCTCAATACTCCAATCAATTTGCCTAGAAGTTACATATGTTAGCATCCATATTCTTATCCCTGCTTGGCAACTCACTTTTCAACGTCAACATTCGTTACTCGTATGCGTTTGTTTCTGTTGTTGTCTCTGAATAGTCGAATTGATCCAACTTGATATTCACCTGTCTCGGCCAGTGTGTCTATTTCTACCTCCAATCGAAACGGTCCATCTGTCGTACGAAAGAAGATGACCTCAGTGTCCTTGAATGGAACGTCCTGCATAAGTTTGTATCTGCCGTCTGCTGGAACAAATTTCTCGGGCCAGCTGAGTATCTTCTGGCAGAGTAGTTGTACGATAATGGCATCATCAAAGCTGTAGTTGCATTAGCTTCATGAGAATCTGCGGTTGTAAAACAACCTACTTAGGCTTGAGTGTGCTAGTCAAAAGCACATTGTTCATCATGTTGAAGAATTCTTCCCATGGCGATTTACCGTTCTTGAAATTCGGCCTCGCATTGTGGAGGGTTACGTGACCAAATCTCAATCTCATCTGCATCCAGCCTTTGTATGGAGCAAGTCCTCTCAAGCCCTTGGTCATAGCGTCCTCGAAAGTCTTGCGACATGCTTGTAGACGTTCTGGTCGCTCGCTCATCCACTTCAACTTCTCTTCCTCCGACAACTTCTCCCCTGCTAGCTCAAGCGCAGTGACATGGTGCCGTCTCCCGGTTGAAAGAACAATTGCTGGCTTGACAATAGTGGTCATGGCCTCAGCGGTAGGCGGAATGACAATGTGCGTCGGTTGTGCCATCAACTGGATTGCACGCCGATGAGCAATAATTTCTCGAATTGCGCGAATGGCGACTTGGAGCCGGTTATCTGGATCTTCTTCTTCCGGAACACGGGAGCAGATCTTAATGCAAGTGTCGTCTTTATTCAAGTGTACAAATACTTTGTAGTCTCTTCGGACTGCATTGAGCTCCTCCAGACCTTGACCGAGTATTTCTCGAGGTCGCTCTGCCTCATCATTGCTTGGCCAAATATAGTATGCCTAGGTAAAGTCTGTCAGCACATGTACAGTATTTAAGCAAGCTTTACCCACAATTGCCGGGAACTCTTCGTCTTTGTCCGGTCGTCGCATATATTGCTCGTCTTCTTGTTGCTTTACTGTCTTCTCCTGATAAAAATCGGCCATTCTATTTGTCAACAATGGGGGAGGCTCTGCCCAGCTCTGAAACTTGGTTGGTGATCGTCGGCCTGTATGACGAGGAGTTCCTCTCGACTGATGATTAGGGGCTCGTAGGGGTTGATAAGCATTGCCTGCTCTTCCCCCAAGAGGCGGTCCTACTCGAGATTGCAGACGGGGAGGAACAAAGGCTTGCGGCTGTCGAACACCGTATTGAGCGTCTTGCATAGCTCGAATGTTTTGAGAATTGCCTGCAGCTGGTCTTCCTTGCTGAGCAGCACTTGTTGGCCCCTGTGTACCAGCAGTGGATGGGATTTGAGGTTGTCGAGCACAATATTGGTATTTGCCATTTTCAAGGAGGGTCAAGGTTTGAGAGGGGCCTATATTAGCTTTGGAGTCAGCTTCAAGCCGCTGCCTTCGAGAGACCTGTAGACATACTCTTTCCGTAAGTTGCAATTGCAGAAGGCGCGCCGGATCCTGACGTCTCTTGCTCTCCGATTAGCTTTGGAGCAGAGACCACAGCGGGTGTATTCCTTGACAATGGCTGCAGTCCAGCGTAATTGATTCCATGTGCCGCCGAAGGAATTGGTAGGCCTGCTGTTGGTGGCAAGGTCCCTACTTCCGACACGTCGTCCCATTCTAAACAAGTCAATATTATAGATCACAGGATGTTGAATTGTATATGTACCCTTGGCGTTGTCCCTCTCCAATCTAGGCGATATTAGCTATAGCTTCAGCATATCAATTGATAAGGTACGCACTTCTTGAAGGGATCCATTTTGGTTTCGTTCTCTTCGATCTTCGAAGGTACCGAAGTTTAGTGCTCTATCGCTTTGCTTGTTGAGATTTGACTGGTGGAGCGTTAGTTGTTTGTTTTCGGCCGTTTGTGTTTGGAGGTAGACCTCTCGTCTCGAAAGTCAGACCGTTTATTCCTCTTCGGACGAGCTCTTGTTGACAACAACAAAAAAACTGGCGGCAACAATGCACCTACCCAAGCAACCACTAGTGCACCAGCAATAATTGTAAATCTTATTACTGCACTCCTGGAAGTTGTGTTGTTTGCAGACAGAATTTCGTTTGGAGTGGAAGCTGTAGCGCAGTCCACGTCAAATTTGGCAACTGCGCACAAGTTTCGCTTGTCGCTTGAATTCACCATGCAACCATGCCTCTTGAAAAGTTTATGTTGAGCCTTCAATTCAGCCTTCTTCCGTACACTACATATTCAACTTCAACTCATATATTCCAACGCTCTTTTCAAGCCCCTTTTTGATGATCCCGATTATGACCCTGTGGCTGCTCTCTCATAGAAGAAGTATTTGATTTCTGGCCTATCCTTCCATTTCTCAGCCACTGGTACGAACAGCCAGTCATCAGGCACTGCCTTGAACCCACAGCTTTCATACAAATGTTTGGCTGCAATGGTGCCTTCTATGAAGGACTCTACTCCCATAGAGTCAGCTATCTTTATTCCCCACTCCACGAGCATGGAACCAGCCCCACATCTTTGATGATCAGGATGTGTGGACATCATATCCAAAACTGAACACGTGTCAGTGTATGCTTTTCAGAAGTTGCTGTATTTACTTCAGAGTGTACCAAAACATGGGCACTCACCGCAACACCGAGCACCCTTTGTTCTTTGCAAACGACGAGAATGGATTTCGTGAATGAGATACTCTGCCCAGGCATTTGTGTCCGGACTTTTGTGCCAGTCGACATGTAGTGACTCGTTCATTTGCTCTTCTGTTAATTGCTCTTCATAAATGCACCATTTTGCTGCACTGATTATGGCCCCTGTATTACTCCAGATCAGCTGATGATACCTAAATGACAATGCCACCCCAAGAAGAAGATTCGGTGAGTTTTGATCGGATTTGAGCATCAAGGGACTATACTTGCTGAGAAATTGGGAATTAGGCATCAAGGAAAATTCAACGTACCACTCTCCTCATCAACGACTTTCATGTATCGGGCAGTCTTATCACCCAACCACCAATCCAAAGTTCTCTTCACAGCTTTCTCTCTCTCTTCATCTTCAGGAAATAATACGAAGAAGAATGGTTCATGAGGGTTGCTGAAAGCAGCAATCTGCCCAGCCAATATTTCAGCAGCATCAGCTGGCTCACAAGGTAGAAGTTTGAGATTGCCCATTTCAAATGTTATCTAGGATCTAGAACATCAAAATGTGGTACGTTGAGGGAGTCAGTTGCAGCACGAAGTCTTCCTGCTCTAAAAATGCATTCGGAAGTCTAGACATACTGGTTACTGCCGCGCCTGCCGCCAATATTGTCTCATCTCAGCAGCCCTGTCATATCTTGGAGGCTCATCAACGTCTTCCCGGCTCAAACATATGGGATATCGAAAGAAGAACAAAGATTTAATTTAGCAGTCCAACCTTTATTTTGACGTGGAACCCGCCATTCTGCAATCCAAGTTCAGCATTTTGCACCACGCATATTCAGGGTCCCCATTTTCGATCCCTGCTTATCGGTATGCCGGTTTGCTGCAACAGTGACATCTTCTCGGATTACTGTGGCTTTTCGTGATATAATGCTGTATTTGCTTTTTGAAGAAATGGTCTCACTTAGCGTGGGGAGCTGAAACCTATCTTCGGAACCGAAGACCCTTGGCCATGGAGCTGGAATCTAGTGTTGCACGCGGGACGGAACGGAGGAGGGATGGGAGCGGGGTGGATGTCCTTCGGGATTTGAGATTGTTGGTATGGAGTCTGGATGTGTTTTTTCATTGAACCTGGTACAGCAGGATTACCCCACGAAATGCAGATACGAACCGCAATCAAACCTTGGAAGACAAACATTCAGATTTTGGAAAAATGGGAAGTTAGATGGCGATACTGAATGTTGTTACAATACATCAATTCAAGCCTCCCCTATCTAGACGCAATCATACTTCTAGGGTATCCCGAAAACAGCCTCCAATCTATCAATCTGCCAATGTATACTCACCTTTTACAAGTCGCTTTTGAGTGAATCATCTCATACTGTATCTCCATGTCTTGCTCCTCATGTAGGCACAGGCGTAATCTCATCATCGACCTTCGATATACCCTCTCCATACTCAGCTCCTCGATCATACTCATACGACTCTTGCACTTGCCAGCCCGTGGTGCGCTTGATGATCATCTTATCACTTCCAATGGAACTTCTCGCCGAGCTCCTCTCTGGCGTCACTCGTCCTATGTGACTGAAACTCGTAACTTTGTCAGGCCTCAGCGTACCTAGGTCTCCTGGTGACCCACCAGTCAGACCAAAGTGGAAGCTAGGCGACTTATCAACATCGTCTCGAGGAGTATCTGGAAGCTCGAGTGCGTTGACATGCATATCCGAAAAATTATGAGATCGAGAAGCTCTCGAGTCGGTGACGCTGTCCATCATATAGCTGCCTTTCGGTTTGGACGCCTTTCGACTCGAGTTTCCGGATATAAAGGTGCTGAACTTGCTACCGGCTCCATAAGAACTGTCCATTGGCTTTAGAGTTGAGGCAAATCCGCCCGAAGACATGCTTTCCATGAAAGGTTTGAGGAAGGGAAAACAGGCGACGAAGATTGCGAAGTTTAGTTGGATTGTGGTTGCTAGATAGGCGTGGTAGGATGTGAGTGTTTGGTCTGGAAGGGAGGGAGAGCTGATAGTGTTGAAGAAATAGATTCGCATTATTGTTAGTGGGGTGATGCTCGAAAGGTTAGCAATTTGATGATGAAAAGGTAGGCATATCTCACAAGATCCGAGTTCCAAAGACTAGGAAAACCAGTAACTTCTTCGATCTTGGCATTTGGACAGCCCAAAGAAGATATATCGGTAGTGCGATGATCGCCAGATCTGTGAGGATATCGAAAGTTCCGGTTGTGTTCCAGAAAGGGACGACATTGAAACACTTTGTCGTGATAATTGCCCAAGCAGTTGGCAGACTACATTGAAAAGCGATGGCAAGTTCGGCACTGATAGCCCACAAGACAACAAATATTTCGACTGCGATGTTCGAATATACATATGGTGTGTCCGGGGATAATGCTCTGAGGTAGACAAGGGTTGAGAGCTTTGCAAGACAAAGTGCTGGGATGTATAGAAGTTGCGAGACATAGCCATACTGCCAAAGACATCAGCCTCCTACTGTCGTTTCTGTACAGAATACTTACTTGCTCAAAATCCTCAATCATATCATCGTTCAGGCTTTCTTGGGGCCTCCCAAGCCCATTGACAACCATCATAGATAAAGCGTAGGTGTGCGCAATTGCGAAGACCTAGAATGTGAGCACGTATTTCGAGAGGATGCTTCAGGAACTTCTCACCATGGTAACTCCAATCAGTACATCGTCAAGAGTGATTCGTCGTATCACATTGTATTTAGAGAAAAGTCGAGCGCCAACACAGAGAATCATGACCGTCATCCCGAGCCAGGCAGCGATATTGACAACGGGTCCCTCATTCTGATCAGAGATCAAAACCTGCCGCGAGAAAATCATTTCAAAATACTTCAATAATCGATTGACCAGGACGTGAATGCGTGGATATACCGAAGTGATAGACCTAGAGATGACAGTGGTGTAGGATCATTAATATTGATACTTCACATGCTTATGCTCGTGTATGGGTCTGTTATCCTCCACAAGGCTAGGAGCCTGCCGTACCTAGAAACCCGCCCCTGATAATCATAAGAGGTGTGCTTCGTTTGAAAGCTCCTAAATAAGTATTCAAGTGGTATCAAGAGGCAGTAAAGAAGTGGTGATATGATGCCATCCCAGATTCGTTTTTAGAAGCCCAAGATAGTGCCTTCTTCCAACGAAAGAATTCTGGAAGGTAGTCAAGTCTAAAAGGCTTGATTCGTCCCTCCTATGTTACACTGGCCATACAAGGAAACCCTGGATGTCTTTCTTTTCATAGACATGTCTGGGCCGTGTGTATCGCATCCTTGAACAAGGCTTCGACTGCCGTACCACTGGTCACTCACATACCATCCCACGTTCTGTGGCGCGCAATAATCAAAAGGAGAAGCATATGAAAGATAGGTATGGGAAGAGGGAAGAACAAAATCCACTGCAGGAAAGGGCACACTCCTGATGCAAGAGACATTCAACGGCGTTCCATTGCTTGATGAAAGAGACTTGAAACTGCTTCTTCCGATCCCGAAAATAGTCTTAGAGGGACAGAGGCTTTGTGCCAACGAGAAAAAGCAAAAAGGTTTTCTTGCCGCGCGCTCCAGCCGTGCCCGTGTTCTTCGACTTCCCAGCCCCGGAAGTAAGCTTTGGAGATCAGTACTTTCTTCAGTCAAACGCGGTATGCGAGAGAAAGTCTGACAGGTCCCGGAGGCTGATGAGGATCTTAACGATGTCGGCCGCGTTCATGGAACACAGGAATGCTTTCAGCTCCAGCAGCCACGGGATATCCAGCGGGATATCCTTTCTAAGTTAGTCTCAATCACGTGCACCTTAGCCTGGATTGGGACATCAGCGGGACGGTCCTTTATCTGCCGCTGCAAGTCTTCGCTTGGTCTTTCACAATGGACACAATGCCCCGGCAGTGTGGCTTTCTCTTGTCATTTTATCTCAACTCCTCGTTTGAACGTGCTGTCTGGATTGGACGGGCAAGAATACGCCCGCATTATCTGCAAGTTGGAGGCTGGCAAGGGTCCAGTCTGCAGACATCATGATTGGAATTTCTTTCTTTTGAGTCATTCGATGCTTGGAGACTCCAGGCTTTCTCCATGGGCTAAAGCTCAGGGTGGCTTGTTGCGATAACAAAAATGATAGCGAGCTTGGTCGATTCGATGCCTCGATCATCTGGGTATTTTCCACCCTCTTCCCCTCCTCTTTGATCACTTTGTTTCTCAAATTTTGTATTTTCATCGTGCATTACTTGTCCTAGGGAAGGAATTCTCCATTTATCGTATCATGGCCGCAATAGACGACAAAGATGTTGAGATGACCGGCTATGGTGTGGTGGAGCTGAATGGTGAGGTCTCAAGCGGCGATAGCAGAGATGGTGGAAACAGAGATGATCAAGAAATGGCATACTATGGCAAGAAGCAACAACTCAAAGTGAGAATATTCAGGTGCATCAAAATGCCTCAGCCCAACTGACAGGAGTCAGAGAAATTTTGGGTTCTTATCCATCGCTGGATTTGTTTGCAGTTTATTGTCTACATGGGAGGGCATGTTTGCGTAAGTTTCTCTATCCCAATAACTTTCGAGTTGACTCTTACAATTTTGCCAGTGTCTTCCTTTTTGGCTTTCAAAATGGAGGTCCGGCTGGTCTGGTTTATGGTTATATTTTCTGCTGGATTGGAACATTGGCAACCGTAGCCTCATTAGCAGAAATGGCTTCAATGATGCCACTATCAGGTGGTCAATATCATTGGGTTTCAATTCTAGCCCCAGCTAGATGGGCAAAATTCCTCAGTTATATAACAGGTAATTAGCCTTTGCATCGCAAAAGTCAAAAACTAACAACTTCATAGGATGGCTCACTGTCATCGGTTGGCAAGCCGGCCAAGCCAGCGTAGCATTCATTGCAGCCTCAATGATCCAAGGAATTGCTATTCAGAATTATCCTAACTACGTGCCCACCAGATGGCAAGGAACGCTTATCTTTTACGCCGTAATAGCTTTTATTGTCTTTATCAACACATTCCTAGCTCGCTGGCTCCCTAAAATCGAAGGACTGATTCTCTGCCTCCACATCATGGGGTTCTTCGGTATCTTGATCCCGCTGGTATACTTGGCTCCGCATGGAACTGCTTCAGATGTGTTTGCGACCTTCATTAACGGTGGAGGCTGGGCGACCGATGGTACTTCGTTCTTTGTAGGACTTATTACTAGTGTTTTCTCTTTCCTCGGAGCAGATTCTGCTTGCCATATGTGTATGTTCATCCCTATCTCATCCTGTACACTTACTCACCTCCTCGTAGCCGAAGAAATCCACAATGCCTCAACAGTCGTACCGAGGGTAATGCTAACCTCCATAATGCTCAACGGAGTAATGGGCTTCGCACTTTTAATTACCCTCCTTTTCTGCCTGGGCGACGTCAACTCAGCTCTTCAAAGTCCCACTGGCTTCCCATTCATCGAAGTCTTCGTCCAAGCCACGAACAGTAACGGAGGAGCAACTGCCATGACTGCCATAATCATTGTTCTCATGGGCGCAGCGGCGATTGGAATCATGGCCACAGCGTCTAGACTCTTGTGGTCTTTTGCAAGAGACAACGGTGTGCCGGGTAGTAAATATATTAGCAGGGTCCGTACTCTCCTCCTCGCTATCATAACCAACTAACCCTTCCCTCGCAACAGGTCCACACCGGCACCGCCCTCCCCCTCTACTCCATCCTCGTCTCAACCATAATCTCCCTTCTCCTCGCCCTCATAAACATCGGATCCACGGCAGCCTTCAACGCAATAATGTCCGTCAACGTAGCAGCCTTCTTCGTCTCCTACATAATACCCATCTCCCTCCTCTTGCACAAACGTCTAAGAAAGGATCCCGTCAAAGACAATATCCACTGGGGACCATGGCACAGTACGCTCCCCTCCTCTTTCTCCCTCTTCCCTCCTCTTCCGCTCTCCGTCTCCTTTCCACCCCCCAAACTAACCCCAAACCAGTGGGCTCCGTCCTCGGCCCCATCGTCAACATAACCGGCCTAATCTACACCCTCATAACCCTCTTCTTCAGTTTCTGGCCCTCGACCGCCGTCGTGACGCCCGTGACCATGAACTGGAGCTGTCTGCTCTTCGGCGGGTCATTGATTTTCAGTGTGGTGTTCTATATGGTGTGGGGGAAACATAGTTATAAATGGCCGATTGTGGATCCGGGGCGGAGGAGTCTGTGAATAGAGAAGGGGAGCAGGAGGGGGGGCTGAGTAGATAGATAGATGGGCTGAGGGTGGGTGATGAGTATATATTTATCGAGACTTTTTACCTGGTGCTTTGGATTGAAGCGGTTCTCGCACTCAAATTCGGTTGTGACTTCTACCAGAGACTCAATTGTCACGGACCTTAGGTGGTGCAAGCCCTAAATGTGCAGGATTTAGATCACTAGACTCTAGGAAGCTTCAGTGAACGGAATATCACACGAGTGGGTACCCTTCCGCTAAACTCATGCTTGCAACATATCTTTAAGACTTACCAAGCCTAGAGAAACGAATCCCTTAAAGTCTGGTCAATGGACGTGCTTTCAAAAAGTGTGCAACTTGCGCGATTTGCGCAAAACGCACGAATCGCGGGATTCGCGCGAAATGTGCAAACTGCGCGGAATCATAAACATTACGAACATTATGAAGATTACGAACCTTGTGAAAATTACGAATATTACGAGAATTACGAACATTGTAAAGATTAGGAATAGTACGATAATTACAAAGACTGCGATAATTGCGAAGATTGCCATGACTGCGAGGATTACGCTAAAAATGCGAGATGTGTAACTCCACAATTCAAATAAACTATATACAACCAGCACAAGCTCGTACTTAGCTAGCAAAAATCTATCTACATACTATCATCCACCAATCTATCCCCATCCGAACTCAAACCATGGGTAACCAACCAAAAACCAAAGGAACCCCCCAAAAGCCGTAACGGACATCTCTATGTAAAAGTTCACATCCAAGGAATCTAAAGACTACGCCTCCTACTCCTCCTCACCTTCCCACTACTACTGGGCGCCGTATACATATAAACATCCAACAAGCTACTGCCGCCACAATACTCCTTACTATTGCCCTTACACAACATATTACAACTACTCAAGCTGACGCTCGTAGCAGTCGACGGCAACGAACTCGAGCAGTAACATTCTTGCGAGTATTCGACACCAGCATACACGCCACTCGTGCCTTGTGCTTGACAGTACGTGGTGCACATCTCGACCGTCATTCCAGTCGTGTTACTGAACGAGGCTCCGGACAAGAGACGACCTGCAGACGCTTCCTGGTAGCAGCCTTGCAGAACGTAGTTTCCGGAATTAGTCGGTGCGACGGGGGAAACGTAGGCAGTGTTAATAAAAACTGATAGTCGGTTACTGCCTCCACAGAACTCGGCTGGGTTACCGCCGCAAGTCGTGGAACATCCTGTTTGGCCGAAGGAAGAGGCGGATGAGATGCCGTTTCCGCAGTAGCATTGGGTACCGTATTCGACGCCGGATAGAGCGTAATTGTTTTGCGTGCAGTAGGCGTTGCAAGATTCGATGGTCATGGAGGAGGATGTGTAGGAGAGACCGGAGAGAGCACGGCCGGAAACTTCGAGCGCACAGCCTATGTATTCGTAGTTTCCGATAGAGGAATTTACTTGTGGTGTACCGGTAAAAAGTGGTGGTCCGGTACTAGTACGACTAGCAGATGAGGAGGTTGCTGTGCTTGAGAGTGAGGAGGAAGAGAATGATGTAGTTGTTGCTAAGATTTGTTAGCAGGGATTGATTTAGCCTTGGAATATAAGCATACCACTTGAGCTTCTCTGACTCGTCGACGAGCTGGTGGAGCTGAGTGTGCTTGACGTCGTCAATAATGTAGAGGTTATAGCGACTGGGCTATGTTAGCAATGAAATTTCTACATAAAGCTTAAAAGAATAGCGGCTTACCAGATGAGCTCGAACTTGAGCTTGATGAACTGAGGCTGGATGAGCTGACGCTGGAGCTAAGACTTGACGCAGACGTCTGAGAATGAGAGCTGGAAAGGCTACTGGACAAGGACACCGTTGATGAAGTCGATGATGACACCACCAATGACGTGGAAGACAGAGTCGTCGACGCCACCGAACTCGATGAGGTCGAGGAGGAGCTCAAAACGCTGCTTGACACGGATGTAGACGTGCTGGAAAGAACACTAGACGATGCAGATGGTGAAACTGTTGCGGCAACTGTGAAACGAAGTTAGACCCATGCTCTTAGCGGACAGGTCCAAATATCTTACCAACTGAGCTGCTGGTGCTGGTTGTTGAGAGTGTGTACATCTCCAATCGGTTACCAGCACCACAGTATTCATACTTGTTACCCGGGCAAGTGAACGAGCAATCAGCTTGGTTGGTTGCCAAGACAGATCCAGCGTTTAAGGAGTTACCACAATAGCCTGCACCTATTAGCTAATCCCCAAAGACAGAAAGTGTAGAACACTTACACTCTCCACCATACTCAACTCCCCAGTATGTGAACTTAGAGCAATAAGTAGCACAAGTTTCTAAAGTCATTGCTGTGTAGTTGTAGAGAGGAGATGCTCCTGTCAAAGCCCTTGTATTTGTGCCTTCAGTGTAGCCTTTGATGAATTAGCATAACATTCTCGCTGAAATGAAACACAGAAGTGGAAGCTTACATCCAGCAAATCCATAGTTGCCAATAGTCTGTCTGATTGCCAAAGACTGGACTGGGCTTGTTGAGGATGATACTGAGCTTGAAGTGCCTGTAGATTGTCAGTAATAATTATGGTCATTGGATTGCAATTTAGCTAACTAGAAGTGGAGATTAAGCTGGTCGTTGACGAAAGAACGCTGCTGCTGCTGGTGCTAGAAAGTGCTGAAGAAGTGCCTATCAAGACTGTCAGCTAATTGAAGAATTGAGACGGAATAGTATTGTGTATCTTACTGCTCGTACTGCTGAGAGAAGACGTCGAGGAAATAGATGATGATTTGACTGAGCTCGAAAGCGAGGAGCTGGAGACCATGCTGCTTGAGGATGAGAGTGTTCCAGAAGTCGACGAGGAAGAGACCGTGCTGCTGAGAACCGTTGACGAAGAGCTCGAAACAACGTTGGCAACTTGGTACATATTCAACCTGTTTGAACCACCACAGTATTCTCCAGTGTTGTTCTTGCAAACCATGCTGCAACCACTGACTCTTGGAACGGAACTAGTCTGGTTGACGGATCCAGTGTTGATAACATTACCGCAATAGCATTCTTGTGCGTATTCAACTCCAAAGTAGGTGTATTTGACGCATGCCGCAGCACAAGCCTCGACAGACATGCTTGCTGCTGCAATCGGGTTTTCGAGACCGCTCAATGCACGCGTGTTTGTAGCTTCGGAATAACAGCCCAAATAAATGTAGCCTGCCAAATTTGTGACAGTGATGGGTCCAGTGGGTGTGGGAGTCGCGGTGGACGAAGTGACGGAAACTGTCCCAGACGAGGAGCTGACTGATGAGCCTGAGCCCACAGTTCCTGTTTGACTTGTCGAGGAGCTGACACTTGTGCTGGTCGAGGTTGAGGCTGTTCTATTCAAAGCGTAGAGATTGAGACGATTTGAACCTCCACAATACTCTTTGGAATTCCCGGTACAGACCATTGAGCATCCGTTGACACTGGGAGTACTGGATGTCTGATTGACACTGCCTGTACCAAGAGTGTTCCCGCAGTAGCACTAAAGAGTATTAATTGACGATTTCCACTGAGAAGTGGATGAAGCCTTACCTGGTTCGAGTATTCCATGCCGAAGTACGTGTATCCTACACAAGCAGCTTCACAGAGCTCGATAGTGAAACCTCCAGTTGGTGCAGTAGGAGATTTCCCAGACAACGCTCTCCCGCTAGTTGCTTCGGAGTAACAGCCTTGGTAGACATAGTTGCCAACACTTTGAACTGTTTGTGGGCCATACAAAGCAGGGTTAGTGCCTGCAACATACTTTGTTGGGTCATAATAAACCGAAAGATAACCTGTAGCACCACACTGATCATTCGCATTACCCGGGCAAGCAGTATTACAGAGTGTATCCGTAAGATCTTGGTTTGCAAGCGGCGGTGGGGTATTTCCACACCAACATCTGTCAATCAATTAGCTTCTTCAAACGACGCAACTGCTTCGAAGTAAACTTACTCATCACCATACTCAGTGCCAGCAAATGCGTACTGAGCAGAGTTATAACAAGCCGTTTGGCAATTGGCATTGTCGTTGGTGGTGCTAGGTGATAAAGGCTCACTAGGGAACAAACGAGGGCCAGTCGTTGCTTCTTGGAAGCAGCCCAAGTACTCGTAGATGTATTGGCCTGATGAATTCTTGGGACCAACAAATGTGTCCGCTACAGAACCTACACACTCGACAACATGAACACCAAAAGTCAAATCGTCAGTGTTGAGGGTCCAAGTGTTGTTCTCTGAGAACGTGGGAACATTGTACTCCTCGGTATTTGGCGTGAAGATAACCGTTCCATATGCACAAGCATCCGGGGTGATAACCTGAGTTTCTTCCAACTCTGTTGGGTCGGCAAGGTGGAATACACCATTCGGAGGTTTACTCTTGTCAATTGTGAGAGCAGAGCCACCCTCATTGCAGATTCGGATTTGAAGCGAAGATGAATTACCAGGGGCGACGCTACCAAAGTTCATGGTGAGTTCGGATCCAGGAAGCCATCCACCCTCTCCATTGCTAATGGAGAAGTTGGCAACAGGAGCTGTGGAAGCAGAACCCTCAAGAATGACATTCTGTGCTCCACCGTTGGACCAGATCTCGAAGTACGAAAGGTACTGACCGGTGCCATTGATTGGGTTGAATACAGTATCCACAGAGATAGCAGTGTTAGGTGCGATCGTGGAACCAACAGCAGGTAAATCAGTTGATGTGAATCCGTAGCCCATATTCCATACCCCATTCACGGCTGTGGCATTCGTATAAGTTGGGTCATCGGCCAATGTTTGAGTTGTGAAGGCATAGCCTTCAATTGTCATGGCTGTCAAGCCTTTGTTTGAAATGGTGAGGATACCTGAGATCGTCTCAGCATCGGTGGTATTGCTGACAACAACTCCTCCGTAGTCCAAAGTTGTAGGAGCGACGGACAAGTATGGGCTTTCCGAGACCTCGGTGCCAGTCAGACTGATGGGGAATGCCGTGGAATATCCAGTGACTGCATTGTTGGTGAGAATTGTCAACGGCGTACTCTTCACTCCTGGGGTAACATCTGGAGACGAAGCGTTCACAGCGTTGTTGGAGTTGGCATTGGTCAGATCCCATGTTACCGGAAAGGAGAAGGAAGCTCCTTTTGCCAATGCACCAGTTGGCAGACTCGAGTTGCTTGCTGAGAAAGTAGTGCTGCTAATCTCGAGGCCAACGATAGAGTTGATAGCAATCAAAGCCGTGCAAGTGACCCTTTGTGTGGCTTTCGATCCGAGGGCAAGTTGGCCAAAGTTGACGGGTGAAGTACAATTAAGTGGAAGTGCGACAGGAGAGCCGAGACAATACAAGATACCATTGGAGTCCGTAACATACACTAGTCCGTTGCCGAAAGCGGGTCGTTGAAATTTGTTAGCACCACCGACCTGTGGCAATGGAATGTTCACGAGGACACCATCTTGCGGGACTGCATACCAGGCACGAAGTCCTGCGTCTGGGTCTGTCATCCAGAGTATAGCACTTCCTGCTTCACCATTCAATGAAGTGACAGTCGGAACTCCAACACCAACACGGCCCGCAGAGATCTCATTGGTCTGTGCTACCTTCGACAATTGCGGGATACCAGCAGAGGTAAACCCCAATTGGTAAGCGAACGTCGCATCGCCGACCGGAGTAGTGTAGACCCAACCACCTTCGAGAGGATAGGAGCCAGCGGCTCCGAAAACTGAGCCGCCTTCAGTGATTGTTTGGATGACGTTATCCGTCTGTCCCGTTCCTAGTTTGTAGCCTCCAAGATTGCTGCATTTGTGTTAGCGGCAATCATTGTCCGGCTGGTTGCAGATACTTACTTGGCATTCAAAACATATACTTTACCATTTTTACCAGCGGTGACAGCCATCTTAGTGACTCCACCACCAGTAAATACTGTAGAGTCCAAAAGGATCAAACCTCCGGCACCGAAGTCTTGATCACCTCCGTCCATATTCTGGTAGTCGTAGGGTTGGAAGTAGTCGGAAACAGATACTTCACCAGTAGAGGTGTCGACTCCAAGATTTACTGCTGCCTCGCCCAACGTCGAGCAACCACTTTGGCCAGTGGCTGGTGCTCCGACATTTTCGTGAGCAGCTCCATTTCCGGTGACGAAGAAGAGCCTGTTTCCATCTGTCGATAGACCCATGCCACTCATCCAGATTCCACCTTCTCCTCCTCCACCATTCTGCAAGAGAGAGTTTGTTTGAGGGGCGAGGGGGCCACTTTCAACTGCCCAATGAGCGACAATTTTGGCTTTGTTGACATCCATACCAATTACTAAGCCGGTATAGTTGAAAAGATCGCAACTTGCTCCAAAGGCTCCATATACAACACTGCCGATTTGGACGAGGGAAGGGCGTTGTAGAACGACGCCCCCAACAAAGTACTTCGCGGGAGCATTGTCTGCAACAGCACCATCGATGAGTATGGGAGTGAAGACATCGGCCAAGGTGTTGACGTTGACACCATGGAAATAATAGACGCCGTTCGATGTGCCTGTGCTTCCTGAGACGCGGTAGTTTGGAATGTAGGTCTTGGCGAAAAAGTAGGCAATATCAGTTGCAGGGTCTATCGTGGGCGTTCCAATGATACCAATGTAATTGGGAATGTCTGAGTGATCAGTCTTTGAACACAGGTACAAGAGCTAGAGTTGGATAATCCATACCTGTACAGCCGATATCAGATTGCAAAAACGGGGTGTGAACTTGTCGGGAATTGATCAAAGCTCCGGTCTTGGCGTCCAGGGTTCTAATCCAGTTTTGACTCGATGCCAGGAACAAAATCTGGTTACCTCCTGCAAGAGGTGTATAGGTCAAAGGCTTGGCATAGAACTGCAAGAAAAGTGACGTTAGCCAGGCGATCGGGAAGACAACGGCCCATTGATCGTTTCCCCAAGTCAAAAGTGTTTCTTTACCTGTTCCTCTGAATTAAACGCAACTTTCCATAATTGACCGAAGGCTGCAGAATTAACAATATTAGGGTCCATGTTATGGTTAGGCCTGAGATTCTAGTAAGTGTCTCTGCTTTGCGGTTCCAATATCATTTAGACCTACAGATAGCCCGATTGCCCGATGTCTGCATCTCTATATTCATCGTACGATGCGGCCCCTAGGACTCGAGGGAGGAAAGCCGCTGAGAGCAGCAGCAGATTATATAAATAACGCATAACGAATGTTTTGGACGCGTTGCGAACGAATGTGGGAGTGAAGAATTATCTATTATTCGGGTCCTGTACCGGACGTCCAGAGGAAGAGAGGGCGGTCCAGTTCAGCGAGATTCCGTCATTAGGTGACACTGGACAATGGGAACGAAGGGAGTTCTTCTCAAGATCGTGGAAGGGGGGGAGTCGAGGACATGAGCCTCTTCATAACGACAGTGAGGTTCCGAGATGCTAACAATCTAGGCCGTCAACTAGATCTTCGCCAGATATCAATGCAGATAGTCGGAGGGGAGACCGAGGACTGGTGTCGCATAGTGCAGTGGAGTGCTGCATGCTTCCAAAGAGAATGAAGAGTCTGTTTTCGGACGAATTTAGGAAAGTTGGAGAAAATATGCAACCAGAAGGCAAGCTGGATCAAAGAAATCAGCGCCGTTGACATTAGGGGCGTGATTAGACCGTCCGAGAATGACTGCAGATGCAGGGGAGTAGGGATACCAGGGTATAAATTGTACGAAGGAGGAAAGGTGAGTCGGAACGACGAAGCGAGGAAGTGCAAGCAATTCGAGCATGGGAAATCGCATGCCCAGATCAAACCAGGGTATGCACGAATCATACGGGCTTGAACTGGCACGACAGCCAGAATGGAATAGAGAAAAGAGCGCCACGTCGAGCGAGTACAACCATATCTTGGTCCGAGTATTCTGTGTCAAGCCTCTTGCGGGTATATTGCTGCAGGGGATCAAGATGTTGGCCCACACCCACCCATAGCCACTAGGAAGAAGCTGTCGCTTCGACCGAATATTTCACTTAGAGAAGGTCGGAACAGGAACGAACAGGAAGTGAGTGGGCTCAGCCAACTCAACGCCGCAATACGAGTCCGTCGCCCCTGAAATCTCTGCCCCACGTCGTGTCCAGCTGTGCCTGAGCCCGGTCCCGAAATGCCCTCCGGTCCATTTCTCGATCCACTATGATCCACCATATCCCCAAGGGCCATCTCAAGCATTCCCTAAAACATCGTGGTCCGAGTGGATTTACGAGTTAAAATCGCTTCTCAGTCCGGGGCAAACACAAATAAGCTTGAGATAAGCTTCAATCTGGACTGCAATCGGTGTTTAGTAACGAGTAACCAGCGAGAATGCGTAAGATCCACCGGATCCGTCAGTTTTTTGCTGCAATAGATCGAAAATAGGAACTTGACACTATTGAAGATTGGAGCTTTAAGCTTTCCAGACACTTAATTGCTCCGAGGTGGGTGGGCTGGAACCTGTCGCTTGCGATACTTCTGCATGTCTTCAATCTATGCGGATGCAGCGTGCAGCGTGCAGGATACTGTACAGTAGCAGCGCTGATATTGTGAGAGAAATAATACGGAGGAAGGAGGGGTTAAGTCGTCGTTAAAAGGTTCAGTCTATGCGCAGCGCCGTTTCTCTTTTTCTTTTTCTCATCAGATCGGCAACGTCCCGCCTTCACCATCTGTATGCTTCGCAGCAGCGCAGAGCCCTTCCCGTCAGCCGGAATGCAGTCTTGGCGGATACGAAGCGTGCAATTCGAAATGTTTCTAATTAGTGGTCGATGTGGCTGCGACCGCAACGGCGAGCATCGAGCCACCGACGGAATCCGGATGCAGTCTTGCGTGTTTTCAGCTTGGCAAACTCAACCAGAGTTCAGTCAAGCTTTGAGGCGTCCGAAGGCGTTTGCAAAGGGCAGCAAACGTCCGAGACATACTGAGAGCAGGAGCTGGGCGCCGCGTGGCAGTGGAAATTATCTGATCGAAGATGATGGCTGACAGTGGACAAGTCCTTGAGTACATTGTCAGATTTTCCCGTGGCTTCGTGAAACGTGACTGCCCAATTTATGATTTTGCGTGCTCTTTCGTGCTCATTTCACCTCGTGGATAGAGCGGCATGCTCTGCTGAAAATAGAAGTCAAAGACCAGGACCATGACCACTCACAGCACTCTGAGAGCACCTTCTTGGATCGAGGGTTTGCTGCGCCGATCTTCTGCAGGTGCACGGGTAGAAATGAAGCTTCTCTCTGCAAGGTCATTAACGGGCACTTCTCCGAAGGCGGGCCTGCCGCGCTGACTAAGACAATGTTACTTGCAGGCCGAATTTTCAATCAGAGATTGATATCTTGAAACAAAATGTGTGTTCTGAGATGCCTTCTATGCTGTTCTTCTGTGGAGTTCTTCATCTGAATATGGCTGAACATTTGCGGAAATTGTGAAAGTGTTGAGTATACGGAGTATGAGTTGGTTATCTTTATAAAATCAAGGTATATAATGAGAACAATGTGGAGGTAAGCATGTCCGAAGACTATATAGAAGATATTGAAGAAAAAGGAGGTTCCGGGCAAAGGGATAGATTGGAAGCAAAGCATATAAGAGAGAATGAATGATGCACTGTCTGTCAAGATGAGTCAGCTTTTCTTTGCCAAAGATAGTGATTGAGGATCACAAATCCTTTGCACAGACAGAATTGGATGTTAATGAATTTTATTTGGCAGGCTCCTCGCTTTCGTGTACTTGCGATTCGCACTACCTGTTCCTCTTCTGACTTTTTTCTTCATTTACTCCTGTTCTCTTCATCCCATCATTGTGGCCCAAGACCGGACGGCTACTGAGTATATTGTATGCCCTTTTCAAATGGCATTAATTCCTTCCTCTGTTCCGGAGATACCTCATGATATCGTGTATGTCATGACCTCGAAATTCGTCATGGCGTCAAGTTTCAAGGCAAGAACCAACCACCCTTCTCCCAGTGTCCAGGAGTATATAAAGCCTGCATCTTCAACTCTAGAGACTTCGTACCTTGGAGCAAGAAATCCAGTCTCCCAAAATCGATGGGCTTGAGTAGCCAAGCATCAAATCTAAAGTTATCAGTATACGATGATGATATCTGTTAAATAATTATACATACCCGCTTTGAACGTAGTCAAATCTGTTCTCCTCGGTGAGAGAGGCTGAGACTGCGATAACAGGAACTCTGTATTTGTTTTTCTTTAGCTCTTCGAGTTCTTTCTCGTGTTTCCGAATCATTTGGGTGGAGACTATGCCATTGACCAACGGCATCTAAATGCAGGTTAGCACGCAGTATATCAATTTACTTGGGGGGAAATACCTGGATATCCATAAGAATAACATCAAAGTCCTGTGGCCCGGAAATGAAATAATCGTGGCATTCTTGACCATCCTGGGCAAGATGGACTCGATGCCCGAGTTTCAAGAGTCTGCGGCTTAGAATTCGGGAGTTAATGGGGTTATCCTCGGCTATCAGCACGGATAGAGACTCTCGCTGAGACTCTGGAGGCATAATATCGAGCATGGAAGGAAATGGATATCTTGAACTTGACGATTCCGAGACGTTCGTTACGATTGGGCTAGCTTGACTCTGTGGCGTTGGAATTGCTGATGATGATTCACCGCTGACAGAAGGCGATGGGGCTACTTCTGGTGCTGGTATTGACTTGATCTCTGGGATCTCCTCTCCTAGTTTTCTTTGAGTGATGATCGTAGATCTTGCGCTGCTCGAATCCGACATAGCTCGCGGGAAATTATAACCTCTCGATTGTCCTTCTTCTACAATCTCCTTTGCATGCTCGAAAGGCAGTTCGATTCCAAAGATTGTGCCCTTTCCTGGTTCACTGTGCACTCGGATCTGGCCCTTCATATTCCGAACATATCGAGCTACAACGGCAAGACCGATTCCCAGGCTCCCACCGCCCTCGGCAGATGGTGTTGTGCTTTCAGAAATTGGTGTACCGTCATCGTCTATGACTTCTTCGAATTCTTGGAACAGTTCCTTGAAGGAAGTCAGTACAATTACGGGTTCATCTGGCTGTGCTAAACTCACGTCTAATTGGCTTTCAGTCATGCCAACTCCAACATCTTGCACAGTGATAGCAACAATGGAACTGTTCTCTTTCGACCGAACGGGACGGATGTCCACTTTTATACCCCCATCAACAGAATGTTGGAATGCGTTACTCGTGAGATTTGAGAGAACCTGCCGCAATCGAGAAGCGTCACCTTTCTATTTGAAGTAATCTCATGATCAGCGTACTTCTTCAATCTATGGACCTGTGTGTCTCTCAAGAGTGAGGAAACACTACTTCCATCGCAGTATAGAAAGATCGCAAGAAAAGTTCTCTTCGGGGGATTAGGCTTACAACCATCTCCGGGATGCCTTGATGCGTGGATACTGTCAAATCTAGGCCTTTGCGCATGGCCTCCCTTCGAAATGCAGTGATGGTCTCTGAAACAGTTGCTCCTAGATCAAAACTCTCTTCAACAGATAAAATGGGTCCATCTTCTATCTTGGTTAGATTCAGAAGATCATCAATGACGTAGATCAAGGACCTCGAGGCTTTGTGGGCTTTAGAGAGGATCTCTCGAGTTGAATCGTCGAGTTTGTTCTCTAATGCCATTTCGAGATAGTTGACAATAGCGTTGAGGGGAGTCCTCACTTCATGTGATGAGTTTCGAATCAAGAGCCGTGTCATTCGATTGTTCTGGCTTGCAGTTTCTTTCTGGCGCCAGATCTCGATGAATCTGCCGTACAGTAAACCAAGCACAACTGCCGTCTCCCTAAATTTGTAGACTCGTACTTAGTACGGTACATTTTACTTATACAGCATGTCGACTTACATATGGTCGTCTGTCCATTCCTTCGACATCCCCACAACCGTCTCTGACCAACGCTTGAAGCTTGTCCTAGGTTCGAGATACTCGCTACCTGCTCTTTTAATCTTCTCATAAGGATTGCCAGCCCACCGAATCTCTCGAAGCTGACCTTTGCGAAAGAACACAATAAAATCTTTTCCGCCGAGACTGAGAGGCAAGACAAGGAGGCCTGCAATACTCTTGATACCTGGCGGGTATTTAATATCTGGGAAATCGACATTGATACTTTGCGATGTCATGACAGTGGTGTATCGTTTTTGTTGAAGATATGCTAGAATTGCAAGTGCTTCCCGATACGGGTGTAGCTTTCCGATGGCACGGGCTTCGTCTTGTATTGAGAGCAGACCAAAATCGGCACCAAAGACACGGAGTAAATCTGCAGAAGATGCGGCGATGAAAGCTGCTGGATCCTGTGTTGGGGGCGTCCTGGTTGGAGGCTTTCGGGCTTCTAGTCGAGCCATCATGAGCAGTCGTTCGACATTCGTAGCTGCGCATTCTCCGATATTCCGACAGAGCTCTCGAATTGGAAGTGTCACACGAATTCCTTCATCACCATAGCCGTGACAAGCTATCAAGCCCCACAGATCATCGTGTTGTACAATAGATACTGACATGGATGACCGAACCCCCATATTTCCCAGATATTTAAGGTGAATTGGTGACATTGCTCTGAGGTATGAATGAGATAAGTCGAGCGGCTTCTCGAAATCGGTAACATCTCGACAGACCTAGATCCGTCAGTCCATGAAAGTCTTGAAATTGACAAACTCATTCAAACAGCGAGAAACTCACTAGCCGAGCGGTTTCTGCATCACGGTCGTAGAGGATACGTATGCGATTGATCTTGTAAAGCTCTCGGGCTTGAGTTGGAATATCAGATGCTGGAAAGTGAAGGCCTGCAAACATTGTCAATAACAAAACCTGAACATCTATGTCAACAATCATTGGCCGTGCATATAGGCCTGCTCAAGATGTTTCCCATGCCTCCGCCTGAATGTATTGAAATAATCCCTCTCACCTCTGAATAAATCTTCGCTAGCCCTAGGATTGATGTATTCAGCATCGACACATCCGTTCTTCTGTTTGTCGAAACGATAAAACATCACTCGATGAAATCCAGTAAGCTCTGCTATTATGCCAACCACAACATCCATAACTTGTTGCACCGACTGAGCACTTGCTAGTTGAGCCTGGGCTTGGGTCATCGCGTTGAATATGTCCATGGATGAGACACCGCTATGCTGATTTCGTCGCGCGATTTCCAGCACTTTGAGAGATTTACTTCCACGTGTCGTACTCTTGAGTCTCTCCTCTGGAAGGACCTCAAGACCAATAGTACTGATAGGGCTTTTGGGCAAAAGCCGTTCTCCATGAATATCGTGAAGGTAGAAGATGTCTGAGTATTCTTCAAATTCGCAAATGATTAGATCCTGCGTCCCTTTGGCGATGTGAATGGCGCACCAGAGCGGGCGATGAGCCCCATCCGGAAGGATCACTGAGATCTGGAAGACGTCCAGATTGGTGTCCTCCGCCATAACCTCCGATGAGGAAGCGTTGTGGAGAGCATTTTGAATCCGTGCAACCATGTCATCGCGAGCCTCTTTTGCTAGGATATGAAGAAACGAGTCGAGTTGAAATAGTTGTTCAGGACCGTATTGCAACACTTGATGTGAATTTTCGCTCGCAATCCGGACTATTAGGTCTTCATCGCCATCAACTCGAAGTGCCACCAGAGCGCCATATTGTTGTATGGCACCAGGTGTATGTATTGGCTCGTCCCTTTTTATGTTTTAATCTAGTTCAAAAGATAAAAGCACGAAGTGAAGACTTACTCACACCTATAGAAAGTGCTTTGCGCCGTCTCGGAAGAGACTACACCAGGAAGCACACCAGGAGGGCCAGAAGTTGCAGGAACAAGCTGAGTCCTTTCTGTTCTCCTTCGTCGACCGCCTTCTCCATCACTTGACATCGAGAAGTCCGACTCTGCGCGCTCCGGCCTTAGCTTCCGGATGGCATCTTCTGGAGGTATGGAAGGATAAGGTGGAGGCAAGTAAGGCGATGGACTAGCTTCTGACTCTCCCAGATCGACTTCAGCATGGCGTTCTGCTTGACCATGAACGGCAGATTCGTCGGTGGACTTTGTGCTTTCCACATCTTGCACAGGCTCTGGTGTTTCTGGCAAAGGTGCTACAAGGTTACGAATAGGAAACACCCGCTCGACAGCGAAGTCAACAGTTGACAGGAAGACGACGCCTTTCGAAGGCTCTTGATCTGACATCCTCATTCATCGTTGTTGACAAGGTTGTCGCAGTTCAGATCTGTCTCTCATCTCTGCATCTCGAGTCCAAGATCAGGTCCGTAAATGATAAAAAGATCTCGAATGTTCCGACATCGAATTTTGCAGATGTAGACCAGGAGAGTCAAATATCCTGGTTGTGGTTGTGGCTGTGGCTGGTGCGTTGGGGAGGGCCTAGACCAGATCCTTGGTATCACACCACTTTCCACTCCAACCAAAGACCAGACCGTGTAAAAAAGAACGGACCCCTGTGTTTCGCTGACCATCAGCAAAATTCACAAGGTACATTATGAAGAATTGTCCTCCGTAGGTCGTAAAGAGCTGGGCCGCTGGGCTCGAGTAGTGAGATCTACTGTACTCGAATTGACTCAAAGCTCAAAGGATTCTGCGATCGTCAGGAGACTCGCGATCCCGCGATTGTCTGGTCCTTTGGCATAGGACACATCCACTGCGGGGATTACCTGGTCGCCTTATCGCACAGTTGTCTTGCAGCTTTCGGGAGCTAGGAGCTGACACCGCCACAATGCTTTCCTCAATCTACAGTACGAAGACCAAAGATCACATCTCCATTACTGGATCGAGTTGCAAGATGTCCGTCCCATAGATATTGAATTGCTGTGAGATGTACTGAAATACGGTACATCGCCGACCTCAAAGTATTCGAGAGAGGACGAGAGAAGGAAGACACCGCAAGATCCTATTGTTAGATTACTGGAGGTCGTTTAGATTGCGGACGATCGTGGTTAAAGCGTGTCAGATTGTAGGGCAGTCGACACAAATGTGTGTGTACTCAAAGCCGCGTCTGAGCAGCAAGCATGTTCGTACTATCGAAAAGGGACCTCGTCCCGGCTCACTGCAGAACATCAGTTCATGAGACCACACCTGGGAGTATCTTTGGTGCTTCTTTCTCCTCACCCTAGTCCTTCTATCCTCTTCCATTTCCGTACAACGAGGCTGGCTGGGGGGTTTGACTGGCGCAAGGATAATTTGTATCTCGATCAGCCTTAGAAATCGGTGCATCCCAGAATGCGATGTTAGGGACTAGCGCGAACGATCAGAACCTGTCCTCCGGCTGCAACCATCGCACAAATCAGACGCTGGCTCGTGGGCAGCTGTAGTCCGTGTCTCCTCCACAGCTAGAGTCTTGACGACTATGTGGCTTGACTCATGGAGCGCAGTGGATATGTCAAATCGAGATAGCTTAGCCAGCCGCCGAGCTTATGCCACCATCCGGCTTATGCTTCTGATAGCTGCCGAAGATGAGGCTGGGGAAATTCTAATCTTCGATCAGAGAGAGAGCCGTGAGTGGATGTGAAACTTGCCCATGACTCGACGTCGAATTGATTTGCTGTTGATTTGCATCTGAGAATGTATAACACAGTACCGACTCGAGGGGGAATCTTGCACCAATTGTGGCATCGATCCCGCTATCACCGTATCGATCGATGCGACGCTCACAGATCTCGCAATTTCATAAGTGAGGCCTGAGATGAGTCGCTCTTCGGGAAGCAAGAGACATTTTATCGATCCTGCCTTCGAGAAACTTGAAACGAAATACTCATGTTCTGACTTCTATAGAGCCAGTGGCTCTGGGGCCGATATGAAAGATTGATAGGACACCTTGGGACATCGCATGTGGGAGCCTGAAGGGAGATGTCAGTCAAGTTCCTGCTTTCGTCAAGTTGTCCAAGTATTTAGAGCTCGCACTAATTTTGGCGCTAGTCCGATTAACACAAGAACAACCCTCCATTCGGAGTTCTAAAGATCCTCAACTTTCTTAAATTTATACGTTTCCACTTCTATGGCTTCTTATTGCATTCATTCATGTTATTGTGTTCATCAAGATATCGTGGTTTTCTGCCTTCTGACCCTCATATCAATCGAGTGCTTCTGGAGATATGCCAGAGACTGCCAAGATATGGTCATGAATACATCAGACATATATGTTTGGTTTATCAATCTTCCATTTTGATGTGATTCGAGTGAACGAATCTGGATGAGAGCCAACTCCTACCATGCATCCGCATTTCAATGATCGAGCATGAAGGTCTGGGTAGGAGTTGCAATGTTTTCATGTGGCACTTGCAACCAGTCCAGTATTCACACCCTGATGTTGCTGAATTGGCTCTATGGCCATATTCTCTGCGAAATAGATTTACTAGCCACTGAAAATCTATCAATGCCTAGTAAGCAGTCCGACAAGGTCCGATAGAAAGGAAAACAATATTTCTTGGGTCAGTGGGAGCGTCGTATCAAAGGGTGGATAGTCGCAGGACAGTTTGAAAAGTTAAGTATTCTACTTGTTCAAGCGACTTTGCTAAATGCTAACTCCAAGTGTACATCTCAAAGCTTCGCTGTCAGCCAAGCTTTTGCAAAAATATCCATGCTTACGACATATTCAGACCTCTTTGGCAGCCATCCCAAGATAGTTCTCGCTCTCCCAGCATTCAAACTAGCACTGGCAGATATCGCCTTGGCAAAAAGATGTTCTCCGGCACCCACCAAGTTCACCTTACCATTAAACCCCAGCTCCCTCGCCGCGGCGTCTAAAATCTCCCTCATACTTTCTTGGCTAGTCACAAGATCAAAGACAGGGTACACACCCGTCCCAGCGATGAGTGGTAGCTTGTCAATGGCAGCATGAAATCCCGTTGCCACATCGTCAACATGGATCAAGGCTGGTCGACTGTCAGCCTCTACTCGGACATCCACGCTCTTCTCGCCATTCTGCGCGGAGATATGTAGAGGTTCGAACAAGGAGCTCCAAATAGCGCTCGATCGACCATAGACCAAAGCCGGCCTGACAACCATGACGTCCAAGACATCACTACTTGCAAGAACGACCTGTTCGAGCTTTGCTCGCCAGGCTGTAAGCTCAACGGGAGGTGTAGGTGCATTCAACGCCCCTACGGGATACAAATCATTCACAGCTGTTTGAGAGGAGCCGTGAACCCAAGTGCCCGAGCAATAGATATAACCGAGCTTGGGAACTCGAACGCCAGCTGTGGCCGCTTGCTTGAATTTCTCAGCGCCAATGTACTTGAGTACATGCAGGAAGGACTCTGATTCTTTGGGATCCCCAGAAAGATCGACAACGACGTCAATGTATTTAGTTGCCAGACTTTGGATCAAGCTTTTGGTGTCGGTGAGTGAGCCCAGGATGGGGATGATTTCGTCTTTCTCCAATAATCGTGCCTTCTCGGGAGAACGTGCGAGGCCGAAGACACGATGGTCTCCAGAGCGAATGAGGGACTGGCAGACTGCGGTGCCAATGTAACCAGTCGCTCCGATGATGAGAACGTTGACCATTGTGAACGAGGTAAAGTCTTGAGCTGAAGTTGTTGTGGTTGGATGTCAAGATTTGATGGTCCTGGAGGTTTCTTTACGAGAAGGCTGAGCGTGTTTCTTCTCTATTTCTTTTCTGATTCGAGGGCTAGGAGAGTGTTCTCAGCTTAAAATTATCAGGATGCGATTTGCACAATGGCAAAGAGGACTCTTGAATTTGTATGGCTTACAGGTGTTGGAACTTATCAACAGCTTTGGAGAGTTTCTCCCAAATATATATCCATCATTTCACATCTTGAACACCTCAGCTTCTTCGCATTTACATGACGATGTCATTGAAACTTGCAAACTCCGGGCACCATTTAAGAGTTTAAACCCGAAATCAATTTATCCTTTTTCGGGCAAGTGAGAACTAGCGAGCCAATAGGCACCAAGCTTTATCTCCTTTAACGCCGATAGCCTCATGGCGGCCGACGTAGATCCGGTTACTCATCATTGACTCGCATGAGAGTTGGGGTGTAAGAGCTTCAGAGGATGGAGGTATGGATTTTCTCCGTGGATATACTCCCATATGGAAGGAGAAAAACCGACACCGTGTACATCATGTCATTTCCAAGTGTAAACACTCAATCACAAGACTTTATTTTGGATCTGTGCATATACGCGATACAATTTTGGAGATAGTCATCAAAGGAGAAAGACGGTGATATGGATATTACAATGTTTTCTCCGACAACAAATAATTATTCAGATAGACCTCAAGGTGTTATTCAACCCTCAAGTGAGTACCCAACGTCACCGCTCTCTCGTCCCATCTTAATCAGTCTCTCCCTCATTCCATCTGCCCTCTTCCTTTCAGCTTCATCAAGTGCTGAGAAATCCACATCCTCAACCCACTCTCCAATACCGTGTTGCAACACATTTCTCGCTCTCAATCTGCTTCCGCCGCTATGTCCCATGCTGCCATGTAGCGTCATCCTCTCCTTGGTGCTCACATACGCTCCTCGATGTAAGATGTTGTTGTTATAGAACACCACATCTCCAGGCTTCATCCTGACTTTGATCTCTCCTGGAATCTCCTTCTCGAATGGTCCTGCATTCCTCTCAACCTGCGTCCTTGCTCGGGTATGACTACCCGGGACCACAATCAGAGAATCATCCTCATAAAGTGCCAAATTCCACTGCGCATGCCAAGCTGGCTCCCTCAATCTCTCCAACTCCTGTTCTGCGGTCGCGGTAGCAGGAATGTCATCCCTATGCCACACCAACTCAAAATCCCTATCCGGCCTGATCAAAATGTTGAACAATTCCATAACCAGTTCCTCATCCTCACACTCAAGCAACTCCTTCACCACGTCTGCAATTCCAGAAGAAAAGTAATTCTTCACGAAGGTGGATGAGTTGGGCAGGGAGGGATGCATGAGGAATTGTACGCCCCAGATTCCGCCTGCAGCGGGATTGGCTCCAGGCTCGATGTTCCAGGGTGGAAATTGCTTGGGAAGGGTTCGCACATAGGGCCAATTCCCAGATCGGGCTAGGGTGATGGTTTCTGCAGAGGCGCGGCGGAGGGTGGAGAGTTGTTCTGGGGTCAGGACGCTGGGGATCAGGACGAAGCCGTCCCGGTTGAGAGAATCGAGATACTTGGTCTTGGACATGGTGATGTGTCTGCTAGCCTGTATGGTGATTTCGTAATTTTTCTGGTCTCTGAGGAAGTGGAAAAGTGTAGAAATCGACTCTCTATATATTCCCTATATTCTTTCAAGGCTCGATATTAATTGTCGTGGTCTCTAATCAGGTGATAGCTGCTCAAGGTTGAGGGAAACTCCTGAAGATCTCTTGGGTCGGTATATCAACTGTGCCGCTACCACATGCTTCTTGTAGCATAGTATGTAACGTAACAAATGGATGGTTGTTCGTCTCAAGCGGCCCTCTGACTCTGTTTGGTCGAATTTCGTAATGGCTAAAGATGGAACATCCGATTCTGACCGTGCCGGCACTCAAACACTGTCATCGTCCCCTCGAAAGTGGGGTTGACTATCCAAGCCCCGCAGCACGTGAACCTGGAGACCCTTGCTGTCGATCACGATTGTCGGGTTTGTTTCATCTTTGCTTGTTCTGCGAGACCGGATAGAACTCGGATAGCTTCATCTTCTTTCCCCAATGGAACGAAACAATGATCATGAAAGTAACCTGAGACAGGATTTGCACCGATGCCGAATGCTGTGAGCTGTCTACTAATAGCTGCCATGAATCCCACAGCCTCCAGGCTCGAATGAATATTTAGCGTGATCATCTTGCTAGGAAATGTGTACTCGAGGTTGTGAGATGCCGCTGAGTCTTGAGTTGTGATGATTGTCAAGCCTTCCGCTTCGTGGAAACTCATCTGAACGAAGAGCGATGGAGGGGCAGACTGAGAGGGTGGAAGTGTTAGGAAAACGAATGTCCGAGGATCTATGGACAATTGAAGCGTTGATAGGAGTGCTGTGAGGCTGGTCTCTCCTGGAGCAGGAGCTGGTGCGGACATGGTGAAGTTGGTACGATCAGGTTGCCTAGTCGAGGATGCCTGGAACAAACTCTGTCTTATTCTTGATCAAGAAATGCCAACAAAGTGACAAATTCTACAGAACACTTTGGCGCTCGAAGTCAATAACTTTTCCACGCCCTGTATTTGACGAAAAGAAATTCCACTTCGTGGAACGGAGTGGACCTGCAGATTTTGCGTGCTTAGTCAGTCCGACGGCCGACGCAATTTCTCTACGCTCAAACTTTTGGCTTCTTTTCGATCACCACGAACACCAAATACTCGGGAATGCAAAGCTGCCACGAGTGTGTATCGTATGATATCACCATGCTATGCAAGTGAAGCTCTCTAGTCATGTCACGAAGTCGGGCTATGGACGTCTTCCAACATTGGATGTCAGATTTCAAAGCAATAACGCTCGAGATGAGCAGCTTCAAAGAATGACGCTCGATATGACGCTGAGCTGCAGATTGCAGTATTTTCGGACTTATAAACAACCACAATTATTATAGTTTCGATGTTTCTTCAATCGAATTGTGCTTCTCATCTCCTTTGACGTACAGCTCGCTTCGCGGAAAACCCCTTTGTATTGCATCAATGTCAGAGATGGCTTCAGCACTCGGACCAAGGGAGCACATCGCTACAGTGACGACCGACGGTCAAGATGTTCGTCTCTTTCATATTGATTATCCACAGCGAGGTCAATTTAGAGAGAAGGGAGTAATACTCCTCATTCACGGCTTTCCCGAGACCAGCCACCAATACCGTCACGTCCTCGAACCCCTCTCGAATGTAGGCTATCGACTTATTGTTCCAGATGTCAGAGGTCATGGAGCTTCATCGCATCCTCAACTAGGGTATACCAAGGCGGTCTTGGCAGAAGACCTGTATCATCTCCTACAGGATCCATCTTGGCATCGAAAGTCCCATTTATGTCATTGGACACGATATAGGAGGGATGATAGCTCATTCCTTCGCTACACAATATGCCTCATATGTAAAATCACTCATTCGGGGAGAGTGTCCTCTGCCTGATACAACAGAATTTGAGGGAACGAAAGCAAGCAGGAAGCAGTTCCATTTCACGTTCCAGGCTCAGGTCGATCTTGCTCTGCAGCTGGTCACCGGCAACGAAAAGGTGTATCTAAACCACTTTTACGACAAACTTTCTTACAAAAGCTGCTGGAATACCACCGAATGTTCTCGATCATTATTCTTTGATGTACTCTCACCCGGGTGCTTTGCGTTGTGCCTTTTCAGTATATGATGCGTTCGAGCTAGATGCAGCCGAAAATAGAAAACGACTAAATGAATATGGAAAGTGTGCTGTGCCAACACTTGGGATGAATATCGAATTTAGCAGCCATGCTGGTGATATGAAGAGAATGCTACCGGAAATGTACGAAACTTTCGGTTGCGAGATAGTACCGGATTCTGGGCATTACATTGGGGAGGAGAACTCGGATGCACTTGTGGCGTTTGCCATTGCATTTCTTCAAGAACACCCTCTTGTGTAAGGTAACACGATTATTTACCACGTTCGTAAGCATTAAAGCAGTCGGAAAACAATCTTCCTTGTAATTCGAATGAGTTTTCTCCAACACGCATGTTGCAAGGTGCTTAGACGTGCTTTGAATGGAGAAAAAAGTACAACGCTCCCTAGCATCTAACAATCCGACTGGGAACATTCGGAAAGCTGGACCGACATCCACTTTGAATGCAGTGTTTAAAAGAGTTCCCACGATCTGAAAAGGATGTTATACTGATGCAGCTCCAGGCCCATGCGTGGAGAAGGCGGGGACATGTCAATCGGCCAGGAAGGCCGACAAAACTTTCCCGATCTGCAGAAGAGCGTCACAAGAGCAGGCCAAATTGGACATCCGATACAGTGACCCGCAATCTTGTTCAACGATGTTTAATCCACTAATCTTATGTGGCAAACGAATCATAGTCAATTTCATGTGTTTTACTTGGTACTTCATATTACTCTACCACGAGGTTAAGTTTTTCCATATTGCTTTCAATTGTTCCGTATCCCAATGGAGGTTGATGGTACAAAGTGTTCCGAACATCTGCACCTTGGCTAATGTCAGTTCCAGGGGCCAAGATCCTCGTACCCAAGCATTAACATCAGCCTAGAAATTGTTCGGCAATAACCCCAAAATAGCGGTACCCCATCAAAAAGTATAAGGGGTAGCATGAGCTCGGATCTATTTTTGCAAGAGTCAGGTACTCGTTCAAACAAATTCTTATCGCAAAAAGATACTGTTCTGCTATCGCACTTCCAACATCTTTACTCTGCTCAATCATGTTCAGTTCAGCGGTATTATTTCTCCTGGTGGTAGGGCTGATGAGCGTGTCGGCACTTAGCGAGATCGTCCCTACGACGTTTTCAACCGGTATATAAACCCCAAATATAGCCACAATAAATCAAGCTGCTCACATCATCATACAGCATTACGACGAAATCCAACTTCTTTCAGCGACGGGCAAGACATTGATGAAGTCCCGATTCATGATGTCGACCCAGAAACTACTTCTTCGCCATGTACTAATACTATCTTTTGCGGCTCGGGAAGCCATCAATTCTTGCAACCGCTGAAAGATATTTGTACATGCGAGCCAGACCCTGAGACGGAAAATTGTCCAGTAATGAAATGCAGAGCAGGCCAGCATGTTGTATTCCATAACGAGACCGAGACATGTGTTTGCCAGTCAGAATGTCCAGCTATGACTTGCAGCGCTGAAAAGCATGCCGTCTACGACTTTGTGACTCGCTCTTGTTCTTGTGAATTGGTCTCCGAACTGAAAGCTCGAGCTGAAGGTACTCCCGTCGTCTTGAATCCTGGAGCGGTGGTGTCGGCTCTGGCATCGATTATAGAGGACATTGAAACTATAACGATCGTGAAAACGACGTGGACGGGTCCGTACACGAAGAGAGACGAAGCTGACACGACCGCCCTACTCAATCCAGGGGGGCCGATGATCGCAATAACAACTGGAGCTTCCATTCCTGGAGGACCAATGATAGGAGCGACTGCGACAACAGCAACAGATTCGCCGTTCCTGAGACCAAGTCCAATCAGACCTCATCCTGGACATTCATGTGGGAATGTCACTTGCAGCGCCGACATGTATGCGGCCTGGAACATGACATTGGAGACTTGCGAATGCAAATACATGAACGCACAGACGACACTCGTCGTACCAGGAGGACCGACAACTTTCGTCACTTCTACGACAAGAAAGCCGAAACCGACATCTTGCCCTACACACAATATGATGTGTGAAGTAGGCAAACAACCAACTTTCAACCTTCAAAACGGACTTTGCGAATGCCAGACCATGCCAAGTCTCTCTAATCAGACTTCATCAGCGACGACGTTGGCGCCGCTACCGACGGGATGGGTGGGAAACTGTCCGGAGATGTTGTGTATATCAGAAATGCAACCAGCTTGGAATGCAACTTTGGGTGCATGTTCATGTGTATGGATTGATGGATTTGGACCTAATCGTGTGCGTTAGCGGGAGTTTTTGATATTTTTGTAAGGCGTTCAGGAATAAAAATGCATTGCTGGTTGAGAATTCTTGCTCGTTATTCCAGAGTCATCTGAAATCATTGCGAATCACGTGTTGGTGTGCTAAATGAGTGGGCGATGAAACTACCTAAGTTACCTAGCTTAAGCTTTGGTGTGACTCAAAGTTTGTTATTTATTTAGTAAGTAGGGCAAAGGTAAATATTGACATACATAACTAGCTGTCATAAAAACTTAGTCACAAGATTAAAGTTTCGAAAGCTGGGGTCTGACTTCGTGAGGCGCTGGGTGGCTTTTCTGTTGCATTTCGCTATGACGAAAGCGTAAGCGAGGGGGTGAGAAAGGTTCAGGGGCTCGTCTTGGCACCTTGAGATCATTCAACCGCCGATAAGGATTTATGAAGCTACGATGCCTTAGAGAAGCGAATCATAATACAGAAAAACGAAAAAAGTTAATCTGTTTCTAGGAACCATTCTACTGCAGGGTGCTGACATGGAAAGGATTTAAGAACGGATTTTGACGACAATTCTCCTGCAGCGGCCGCGTGCCTTGCATTGGGGCGAAGTCGGGTCGGCCGCTTGCTTGCAGCTCGCTTCGTTCAAGCCATAGGGCTCAATATAAAAAGGCTTTAGAGGTTCTCACCATAATAGGAGATTCAAAACGTGTACTTAGTACATTTACCTATAGCTTTACTTGTGATAAATATCTGAAATGGCATCCTCGTATGAAAAGATCACACGCTGGAACTATCACTCGACCGGGCAGGAAGTGGTACAGGCTTTCCCAGACAAAGTCAAAGACAAAACGAGTCCGCTCTCTTTCTCCTCCATATTCACCCCTACACTGACATGTACACCAGTTCTCATTACCGGGCCCTCAAGCGGTGGAATCGGTGCAGCCACAGCCCTCGCTCTCGCAGCCGGATCTCCTCACCTCCTCCTCTTAACCGGACGTTCAGAGGCGAAGATCACGCCCGTGATTCAAGACATCAACCAGAAATATGCCAATGTCGATGTACGATTCGTACACTGTGACCTCGCAGCTCAGTCCTCTGTTCGTTCAGCTTCTGTCGAGATCTTGAAAATCCTTGGTGACAAGGGCCTCGACATCCTAATCTGCAACGCTGCAATCATGGCTTGTCCTTTCGCTCTGACTCCTGACGGTATCGAGAGTCAGTTTGGTACCAACCATATTGGTCACTTTCTACTTGTCAATTTGCTGTTCCCTCAAGTCCTGAAGGCGGAGAGGCCAAGGATAGTAATGGTGTCGAGCTCCGCGCACAGAAGCGGCGTGGTGAGGTTCGATGATTTGAACTTTGATGGTGATGGAGAGAAAGGGGAGGGGAAGGCGTATAATGCGTGGGAGGGCTATGGACAGAGCAAGTTAGCGAATATCCTTTTTGCGAAGAGCTTGGCTAGGATCTTTGAGAGTAAGGATATGCAGGCGAAGGCGTATAGTTTGCATCCGGGCTGTAAGTTGTTCTGCATATATTCTGTCAAGCTTGAGATTGATACTGATGTGAGCATAGCTATCAGAACTGGTCTCCAAGTTCATATGCTGGCGGCAAGTGAAACGCTCCTGGCTGAAGGATTGGCGAAAGCTATTGCCGCGGAAGCAAAGCATGGTAGAGTATTCAAGCGCGAAGCCCCGAAAACTTTGGAGCAAGGGTGTTCGACGACATTGGTTGCGGCGCTGGATCCAAGCATTGATAGCATGAGCGGTGTGTATTTGGTCAACGGTGATGTTGCGGAGTATCCGCCCGAAGAAGGTAGCGTGACCATCGAGGATCAAGATCGGCTTTGGATATTGAGTGAAAGATTGGTAGGCGAGAAATTCAATTGGTAGGTAAGGCATAAAGGCAGGCAAGATAATGTAATCATATCAAAAGTTCTTCGTCCCCATCCAAGTAGAAGTGAAATGGGTGACTTGGGAAAACACAACAGTCGGCTCAAACAGGTTTTGCCATTTTGGACATTGCCATGCTTCTTCCTACGCTGAAGACTTACTTCGATGTTTTCATTCAAAGCTAAAGACTGAGATATGGCCTTCTCTTTCTTTGCTCAGTGAAGAGTCAAAAAGCTGCTAAGCGGGCACAAACAAGCCAAGGAGACTTCTCCCCAGTGAAGTGAGCTATCGCTCGATAATGATATGGAGGAGAATTACTGAACCTCAAGATCTTTGATACTGTAATACGTGCGTTCTTGGTTGATGCTGTCACTATCATTCAGCTATCAACAACATCCACCCCGCTCGGCAAAGCGAATACTTGGCTGTTGGCTTCATACAGACAAGCCGCAGTAATGACGCTCTCATTTGGCGCCTCGGTCAGACATAAATCTGAACTCCTACTCTTCACATTCCCAGAATACAGATAGTCCCACTGCTGATTTTGTCCCCGCGAACAGGGCGCCATGGTCACTTTGCCGTGACCAGTATCGGTCAGGCACGATTTCACGTTGGCAAGGCTTCGTATTGTTCCATCGTCGCTGGCTTGCCATACTTGCCCGTCAACTCCAGTCGAGTTCGCCCATTTTACGCCTTGGCCTTTTGAGGTCAAGGTAGTCAATGAGTACGTGTTGAAGATCATGCCTGTTGGTGTGACATCGCCTAGCCCGCTGCTTGCTGAGATTCGGAATACTGCTGTTCCATGGGACGGGACATGGCTTGCAGTGAGTTTTTTGGACGCTACGGAAAAGTTCCCAGTCCATAGATCCGTCACATTGACTTCACAATCTGACGAAAGTCCGATACGTGTGAAGGGTACGGTATAGCTCGCAGTGAAGTTACCGCGATTGATGATTGTAAGTAGTCTGTCACCATTTTCGAGATTCTTTGTTAGAACATCCCATGTGCCGTCTTGACTAACAAGTGTTGCTTGAAGAGCCAGTGGATCCTGATTAATAGCTATCATATCCTTGTTTGTCAGATACTCAATTTCAGCAGCACTGAAACCAGGTATCCATGCAGAGATAATGAGAGGTGCAGATAGGGAAGCCCAGATAGCGAAATGAGACTTCTTCTCATCTAAAGTATAATCAAAATGATCGACATTCAGGAAGTCAGGATCATTGAAGTAGCCAGGCTTCTGATAGCGAGCTAGCCGCACTTCCTGACCATAATTGAACATGACAGAATCCCAGCCTGTGATGTCGGGCCAATAGGCAGTGGAATTCCAGACAAGTGTGTCTCGAGAATGTCGGGCGAGTTGTCCGTATTTGGGCACCCAGTCCATTACGGCATACCAATCTGTCAGATTCGCGGCTTCTGCAAAGTATGCGGGAGCTGATTCCGAGAAGACCATAGGCGACTCCATGCTGCTGAGAATTTCATGCCAATGTCCGTAGACCTCCTTGTACTCCTGCTCGGTCCCCGTTGGCATATTACACCCATCGAGTTTGAGATACTTAAAGCCCCAATCAGCAAAAGTTTGGGCATCAAGCTCTTCGTGCCCGTATGCACCTGGGTAACCACCACAACTAAGATTTCCTGCGTCCGTATAAATTCCCGGAGTGAAGCCAAGACTTTTGAGATAACTCGTGAGCCAAGGAAGGCCCTTCGGGAATTTCTCCGGATTCCATTGCATAGACCCGTTCGGAGCTCGTTCGAAGGTCGACCAGCAGTCGTCTAAATTGATTCGATTATATCCGGCAGCCAAAAGTCCATTATTGACCATTGCATGTGCGGTGTCTACGAATACAGACTGATTTAGGCCACATTCGAATCGGGACCAGTCATTGAAGCCTTTCTATTATTAGATTGCTACTGAATGGGGGTGTACGGAGGAACTGACCCATTGGAGGAGTTGGCTGAAGTACCGACGCCAAGGTGAAGGCATGGGTTAATACCGTGGCCCCTAGAAGCATGCTTCGAAGTCGTTGAGCAGCCATGGTGGTGAGTTCCTGCAGGAAGACACTGTCCTTGCGAAGTGACAGTGGGCTGGGGTGAAATAGATCTTCACTCTCGACTTGGATCGAGTATCCTGCCCAATTGAGCAGCATTGCAGCATCTTCATACTTATAGCATCTGGTTCAGGTCGATCGGCAACGATACCGCCATGGCACAGTACCATGAAAGCCCGTCGTGACATCGGAATACTTCAGCCGGCATGTTCCCCCGCACCGACATGGCTTAATTGCATGGAACGACACGTGCTGAAGAGTGGGAGAGGGCATACGCAGTCTGTCTTCTGACTGAAACGTTACTCTACGCCACGTGAGACTAGTTCAGTAGTAGAGTCAATCGTAGCAATTGACGATAAAAGGGACGGATAGATATCGACAGAAGTTCGTTCTGTGCACGATGCTGACTGACATCCCGCGTCTGTATCGAGCGCCGTACATCAAACCCCTTCTCCATCTTCACAACATGTCCCAAGCATCTCAAAACACACATCTTCCGTCACCCCAGATTCCAGAACTGCCAGCTGATTCAGATCAATCTCGGCACGCGTGCGCAATCTTGCCAAATGCTGGTTAGACCATTAATGCAGTTGTCCAGAGATGAAGGCTCAATCTATGATTCAGCCTGAAGAAGTTTCTTCTCCATCCCGACGCGTACTCTCAGCACGGCAGCCAAACGGAACAGGCACAATACTTCCAAGCTGACGAAAATGGAAGGATCTCTGATGTTAAACTTCTGGTCTTTTGTCAACTTTTTAAAGTTATGATCTTGACTCTGGGCGCGAAAGATTCACCATTTCACTATCCTTCACGGCCAACATGGTGCTCTCTCCTTTTGTCTTTCTGCCCCTGTATCTGTATCCATACAATATTTCGTCCTGGAGCAATATTACAACCTCGATTGCTGAGCATCCTGATTTGAACTTCCATGTTGTTATAGCACCAAATTTGGCCAATGTCTTCCCGGATAAGAATTGTATGTCACTTTCTCTAAGAGATTTGTTCTGCCTCTTCCAAGTCACAGCATTCCTCAATGTCCTATGTGTCCTAGAACATCCTCCTCCAAAGACTGTGGGACATTCGTACTGACTCCTGCTGTTGGAGAATAGACGAGGCTGCCCTCACTGCACTCAACAATTTCACCAATGTAGTTACACTGGGCTACGTTGCTACGTCATGGACATATCGAGATATATCAAGTGTCATGGGAGACATCAGCTCGTATGCGGCATGGAACAATTACACCTCTGGCAACATTTCCGTGCAAGGAATATTTTTCGATGAAGCGACCACTTCCACGACGAACGACAGTATGTCTTATATGAAGAACATTACGACATTCGCGAAGTCATCACTTGGCCCAGGAAGACAGCATATTTCCTTCAATCCTGGGGTTCCAGTTGGGTCCGCTTTCTACGACTTAGCGGACACTATCAACATTTTCGAGAATGCATGGTCGGAGTTCAATCTCACGGCGGTGACCATGTTACCATGGGATTTGCTGGCCAAATCAACCTACGTGATACACAACTTCACCGGAGACAAGTACTTGCAAGCCGACTTGGTTAGTAATCTTACAGAGTCGAATGTCAGTGGTCTTCTCATTACCACGCAAGACAGCTACAATGAGGTCTCGACACTCTGGCCGGATTTCTGCGATTCGATGTCATGGGAGCTTGATTCTGGTGATTTGAGTGATCGAAGTATCGCCCGTCGCCAAAGCTGGACGAGTACCCTCATTACGAAGGCATGGCGAACAATGAGGCGATGGATATTATGACAAACAGTCAGAGATACTTGTTTTGCATATGTACATATGGGAATGCATTCACAGGGGCAAAAGTGTAGACTAGGCGCTTTTCTGCTTTCTTGACAGGTCTCGAACTGTCAGTGGACTTTAGGGTACGTTCTCACTCATACTTTGTATATACTTTTGTTCTTGTAGAGCCACCAACGGGCATGGCATGGAGGGACAATCAGCTTGCATCATTTTTCGAAATCTAGCAATCTGACGAACTTTGACAACAAGCTTTACCATCTTGAACGGATATCAATGGACATCAAGCAATCATCCAATCCGAGGCTTCACAAAGCGCATTGTCCTTACTGGTCGGTTGGGCGTTCAGTGAATCTCTATCTCAGGAATATCATGGCGAACAGAATCATATTCTAATGTTCTTTCCTAATCAGTTCATGCGTCGCTTGTCGCATTCAAGTTAATTGCGCAGCTTCTCCACTCCACTTTCTCTTCACATTTCAAGTTGGGGTCACGATCCCTCTCTATTTGCCCGTCTTATTGGCTACCAGTCGCACAATATTCTGCATGATACTCAGCTTCGGACCGCATCTTGGCCTACCTTCGTATTCAAAGCAAATAGTTATGTGCTGCTCAGCATGGCGATCGTACTGCACGTTGTTCGGTACTGGTACCGACTGTTGGTGCGTGCGTCTCGCCATACTGCAGCCAATCTCGAAACTCTGCATCTATCGGTGGTTTCGTTGGATCCGAAAGATGCGAGCCAAGGAATCATACCTTCCATAAGCACTAACACAGCCTTGTCTCTCGGGACGGAGCCAGCCTTGTCAGACGTTTACCCCACCTGTCACATATGTGCGAATCAGAAAGTTAATTGGCGCTTCCATGAACGTTTTCCCAGACTTGAGAACAAAGCGGTGTGACTCTGGATGATTCATTCGGGATCATTCTCCAGGAAAAGCCTTGGCGAGGTGGACGAGTTTGTAAGCATCATGATCAACACGGAATGTATGTGTTTCCGGGCCGCATTTTTAACCTCAGGGTTCAAACACGTCTTCGGTGTGCCTGTTTAGGAGGGCAGAGCGGAATACACTCGCTAATTGGGCTCTTGGACGAGAGCACATTGATAACTTTTGAGCTTGTCAAATTGTCAATAGTCCAGCAAACCCCTCCTCCTGTCATTCAGTGGAAGGAAACCGTTGGTAACCCCTCCTGTTGTGCTACACGGGCATGCACAGCGGGCAGCGCGTGGGAAGCTGGGAACATTCCCACAGAGATTGAAGTCCCACCGCATGCGACTCCTACAACGCTTCGTGCGTCCCAAGTAATCTAATGACTCGGGTTCGAAGGGCACGGGGCATCGAACTGACCCTGCGAGGCCTCGCTACTGTAACAGTGACCGAAAACATTCTTAGGGTCATCAAAATCGCCATCTCCGTGGCTTGCAAAGCAACCCCACTATCCGAAGCTGTCCTGCAGCGAGTAAGGTAAGGTTTAGGGCAAAGTGCGGACAGCGGACCAGGGCCATTTTATAAACTCTACACGAGTATGACCCACACGCTGTGGGCGTGCTCTGCAGCCTGCACTGCAGCAGTGGATCCTCCAATGTTTTAGTCCGATCTTAAGCCCGGCCGGATGCCCTGCCATGCCCTAGAGCCCAAAGCTGTCTGAGATCTCAGTGGTCCCCTGCTCCAAAAAATAGTTTGAGGTCTTGTTTGTTATTTACTCAAACTTCTTTCACACCTCTTTCCTTTGCTTTGCAACAAACATCTTTCATTCCTTTAATTCTAATTCACACAATCTCCACTCAGTCCTCTTTCCTTTCTCTATATTCAGATCCAGAAACTATATTACACACCTAGACCCTGCAATAGCCAAACGAAATATCCGGGGATTGGCGAGACCGCCGCCCGCCACCAAAATGTCTGAGAAAGAAACCTACGAGCCCTCTCCCAAAGCACTCGAAGAATCAACCACGGGCGCTGCACCGACCACAGCACGAACCTCAATTGACACTGCCACCGACACCGAATCGATACGAGAGAATGTGCGACACGCAAATCCCAATGGGTTCTCCAGCACTTCTCAAGGCGTCAATATCAAAGCTGCCGAGGCAGAGTTTGCGACGCTTCAGAGAGAGCTTTCGGGCATAAGTCAGGCGAGCAGGAAGCTATCTAGAACTCAATCCAGAAAAGTTGCCTCTGAGAAAGATGTTGAGAAGACGGCCTCGGATGGGTCGACCACTGAGGAGGAGCCATTCGATTTGGAGCACGTCCTGCGGGGCAATCACACTGTGAGTCCAGTTTTCTGACTACACTTCGGCCGCACACAGGGAGCCCATACGGGTTTGCGAATATGCGACAGAGTTCCGGACAATGCAATTGTTCTTACATTACCTACCATTCTTTCCGGACTTTTGGTCTCGTTGAAAGTTTGACATGTTTTTCAAAATCAGTCACTAATTCCAAACTAGGCAGAGCAAGAATCCGGGATTCGATCGAAACATATCGGAGTTGTATGGGAAAATCTTACTGTTTCTGGCACTGGAGGAGTGACCAATTTCGTCAAGACATTCCCCGATGCGTTTGTCAGCTTCTTCAATGTCGTGGAGACGGCCATGCATCTTTTTGGTGTGGGGAAGAAAGGGCGGGAAGTCAATATCTTGAAGGATTTCAAGGGAGTTGTTCATCCTGGAGAAATGGTACTGGTACTTGGTAGACCTGGATCCGGATGTACGACATTCCTCAAGGTCATTGCAAATCAGCGATTTGGGTATACTGGAGTGGATGGCGAAGTCCTGTACGGACCCTTCGATGCTACGACTTTCGCTAAACAGTACCGAGGAGAAGCTGTCTACAATCAGGAGGATGACGTCCACCATCCTACTCTTACTGTTGGTCAGACTTTGGGATTTGCATTGGATACGAAAACGCCCGGAAAGAGACCTCATGGAATGTCTAAAGCGGACTTCAAAGACCGGGTAATCACAACACTCCTGAAGATGTTCAATATTGAACACACTCGGAACACCATTGTCGGAAATCCGGTTAGTACATCTTATCCGCAATCCCACGAGTTTGCTGACAGACATCCTTCTAGTTTGTACGAGGTGTTTCAGGAGGTGAGCGAAAGCGAGTCTCTATTGCTGAGATGATGGTTACATCCGGAACGGTCTGTGCATGGGACAATAGCACACGAGGTGATTTTCACTATTGGTCACCGTCAACAACTGCTAATCATCTCACCAGGACTTGATGCGTCAACTGCGCTGGATTATGCCAAGTCACTCAGGGTTATGACAAACATCTACAAGACGAGTACTTTCGTTTCATTGTACCAGGCATCTGAGAACATTTACAAGCAATTTGACAAGGTTCTTGTGATTGACGCGGGACGACAAGTTTACTTTGGACCAGCGAAGGAAGCAAGAGCCTATTTCGAAGGCCTTGGATTCAAAGAAAAGCCACGTCAAACATCGCCCGATTTCTTGACTGGCTGTACAGACGAATTCGAGCGCGAGTATGCAGACGGAAAATCAGCTGAAAATGCTCCTCATAGTCCCGACACACTTGCACAAGCCTTTAACAACTCGAAATTTGCGACACTCCTGAACGATGAGATGACAAGTTACCGAAAGACAATCGCCGAAGACAAGCAAAGACAAGAAGACTTCGTGACTGCTGTGCACGACAGCAAGCGCAAAGGAGCCTCCAAGTCTGTCTACAGTGTCCCATACTATCTGCAGATTTGGGCTTTGATGCAACGACAATTCCTGATCAAATGGCAAGACAAATTTTCTCTCGTCGTCAGTTGGATCACAAGTATCACTATTGCTATCGTCCTCGGTACCGTTTGGCTCAACTTGCCAAAGACTTCTGCTGGTGCTTTCACCCGAGGTGGTCTCCTCTTCATCAGTTTGCTCTTCAACGCCTTCCAAGCATTCTCAGAACTCGCCAGTACCATGATCGGTCGTCCAATCGTCAACAAGCATAAGGCATACACCTTCCATCGTCCTTCAGCTCTTTGGATTGCTCAAATCATCGTCGATACGGCATTTTCTGCATGCCAAATCTTCATTTTCTCCGTCATTGTCTACTTTATGTGTGGTCTCGTTCGAGATGCTGGAGCATTCTTCACTTTTTATCTGATCATTGTTAGTGGTTATCTTGCCATGACGTTGTTCTTCAGAACTGTCGGATGTCTGTGTCCCGACTTCGATTATGCTATCAAATTCGCCGCTACCATCATCACACTTTTCGTCATCACTTCTGGATATATCATTCAGTACCAATCTGAGAAAGTATGGATTCGATGGATTTATTGGATTAACGCTCTTGGTCTGGGATTTTCAGCTCTCATGGAGAACGAATTCAGCAGATTGACGTTGACCTGTACTGATGAGTCTCTGATCCCATCTGGAGAAGGCTACACCAGCATTGCCAACCAAGTTTGTACTCTCGCGGGTAGTGTTGCTGGTACAGATCAAGTTTCGGGCTCTGCTTACATTACCGACGGCTTTTCGTACAAGCCTGACCAATTGTGGCGTAACTTTGGCATTATCGTTGCTTTGATCGTCGTTTACTTGATCACCAATTCGACGTTGGGCGAGTGGCTTACATTTGGAGCTGGTGGAAACGCAGCAAAAGTGTTCCAGAAGCCAAACAAGGAAAGAGATGAGCTTAACGCAGCTCTGATTCAGAAGCGTGATCAACGCAGATCTACAAAGAATGAGGCTTCAGGCTCTGAAATCAATATCAACTCCAAGGCTGTTTTGACTTGGGAAGGGTTAAACTATGATGTTCCAACACCTTCTGGACAATTGCGTCTCCTCAACAACATCTATGGGTATGTCCGCCCTGGCGAACTTACTGCTCTTATGGGTGCATCTGGTGCAGGAAAAACGACTCTCCTCGATGTCCTGGCTGCAAGAAAGAATATTGGTGTCATTTCGGGTGACGTCCTTGTCGATGGTATTGCTCCCGGTACTGCATTCCAACGTGGGACAAGTTACGCAGAGCAATTGGATGTTCACGAGCCAACCCAGACTGTTCGGGAAGCTCTCAGGTTCTCGGCAGATTTGCGCCAGCCGTTCGAAGTTCCCCAAGCCGAGAAGTATGCATACGTGGAAGAAGTCCTCAGTCTGTTAGAGATGGAAGATATGGCAGATGCTATCAGTACGTTTTACCCCTTTTAACAGAAGCCCCCTCAGTTGTTTTGCGAGATCCCATTTGGGTTATGAGACTTCCCTCTCAACATGTTGCTATTCATTAGGCTAATACTCTGATAGTTGGTGATCCAGAATCTGGTCTCGCTGTCGAACAGCGAAAACGAGTTACAATTGGTGTTGAACTTGCTGCCAAACCTGAGTTACTTCTCTTCCTGGACGAACCCACCTCTGGTCTCGATTCGCAATCCGCCTTCAATATCGTTCGATTCTTGAAGAAGCTGGCGAGTGCTGGCCAAGCTATTCTCTGCACTATCCACCAACCTAACGCTGCTCTCTTTGAAAACTTCGACCGTCTCTTGTTGTTACAACGTGGTGGACAGACTGTGTACTTTGGTGATATTGGAAAGGATGCACATGTTTTGCTTGACTACTTCCGAAGACATGGGGCAGACTGTCCACCCGACGCCAACCCTGCAGAGTAAGTACCACCACTACTCATTCCCTAGGAATGCAATTGCTAACGCATCCAGATTCATGCTCGATGTCATAGGAGCAGGTCAAGCCCCAAGAGTAGGTCCTCGTGACTGGGCCGATATATTCGCAGATTCTCCCGAGCTTGCCAACGTCAAAGATCGCATCTCTCGAATGAAGGCCGAACGTCTTGCTGAAGTTGGTAGTAACTTCAAGACTGATGAGCGCGAATTCGCAACCCCACTCCGTCACCAGCTCCAGATTGTTCAAAAACGCACGAATCTCGCTTTCTGGCGCTCGCCCAACTATGGCTTCACTCGTCTGTTCAACCATGTCATAATTGCCTTGCTTACCGGTCTTGCATACTTGAACCTCAACGACTCTCGACAATCACTTCAATACCGTGTCTTCGTTATCTTCCAGGTCACGGTCCTTCCGGCCCTGATTCTCGCCCAAGTTGAACCAAAGTATGCCATGTCAAGAATGATTTACTACCGTGAAGCTTCTTCAAAGATGTACGGACAATTCGCGTTTGCTTCCTCTCTTGTTGTAGCCGAGATGCCGTACTCGATCCTTTGTGCAGTCGGCTTCTTCCTCCCGCTCTACTACATGCCAGGTTTCCAGCACGCAACATCCCGAGCCGGCTACCAATTCCTCATGGTCCTCGTCACAGAACTCTTCTCCGTCACTCTCGGTCAAATGGTAGCAGCCATCACACCCAGTCCATTCATCTCTGCGCTTCTCAATCCGTTCATCATCATCACCTTTGCTCTCTTCTGTGGTGTCACCATCCCCAAGCCTCAGATCCCGAAGTTCTGGCGCGCATGGCTCTACCAACTTGACCCCTTCACCCGTCTGATTGGTGGTATGGTCGTCACTGAACTTCACGGCCGTGAGGTGGTATGCTCTACCAATGAGCTCCAACACTTCACTGCACCCTCTGGACAGTCGTGTGGGGATTATATGGCACCCTTCTTCGAGCGAGGAGGAGCCGGCTATATTGTCAACGACGCAACAAGTGCTTGTGAGTACTGTGCGTATAAGGTTGGAGATCAGTTCTACACGGCTCTTGGATTGGATTTTTCCAACCGATGGAGAGATTTGGGCATCTTGATTGCTTTCATTGGAAGCAATTTGATCTTCTTGTTCTTGGGTGTAAGTTGTTCCATGTCGGTCAGAAAATTAGATGATGCTAATATGTTCACAGTCGAGATACCTGAACTTCAACCGCAGATAGATTGTGATAGTTGTTATTGGCACCGTGTGGGTCCAGTCAATGCATCACGCTGTCGTGTACTTGGCAAAAGTTGCTTTGGGTCCCACCAAATAGGCGGTGATAGACTTATGTGTTGATAATTCTGCCTACCACCGACGAAAGCGGCTAGACCGAAAGCGACTTCCATCAAAATATACCTACGGTCGACCGACGTCACTGGCTTCTCAGACCTCATTGGCTAGTCCAAGCTGTACCTTTGCTCCCTTAATAAATTCAAATAAGCACTTTTTCCACCACTAAGTCCGGAAAACCAAAGGTTGCTAATATACTGTTAACTCAGTTGACAGCAACCAGATGGACTTAGGCACGCCACAACGAGTACACGCCATAACGCGACTTCAAAAACTGCACCCGACACCGAGCAAGTTTTCTACGATCTCCCCTTATCGACAGGTGAGATCCGAGTTTTTGCTTGTCAATTCTCTTGTTCATCCTTTTTGGTTAATCAGATGGTTGCGAAAATCTTTTGTGGGGATATTCAATCTTTGCCAAAGTTTGTTTACTTTTTAAGCGAGGGCATCTCAAAAGTTCCCTTTGTTCATATTAGCGTTACTGTATCCTGTTGCCGATAAGCGAGCATGTATGAGCGTAAAGGTAGATGGATGGATCTGGTGTATATATAGAGAGGGTATGCTGGAACATATAGATATACCAATGGTATCTCTGAATTTACGTTTACTTGGTTGCTGAAACTACACGCTTCTTTCCATCTAGCTTCTCCTTGTACTGAAGATAGCACTTCTCAATCAATTTATCCTGCAACCGAGTACCTAGGTATATATACTCCTTCAGAACTATTCTTTGGACCTAGATTTGAGAGTGAATTTAACAAAAACCCTACTGTTATTGAAGCAGTGACTCAACCCTCCAAGGAACCAAACTTCACTACCAACGGCCGCCGACCGCCGACCCCCCGACCGCCGCCGACAATCCCGCCTATAAATACACCCAGTGGACTCAGCGGAATCCTCACCACCGAATATCAAGCTTTATGCGAAGAGATGCTGGGCCCAGTGCCAGAAGGTTCAATATGTGGTGCCCCCTGCGGCCGGGTGCCGTCACTGAGGTGGCACGGATAAATCCAGAACAGATATTAACATCTTGAACTCCTGGAATAAAGAAGAGATATGATCTTCGTTAACAATCATAGGTAGCATTTGTTAACAATAAAACAAATATATTGACAGCAAACAATATACAAACAGCAGAATCAAATTCACTAAAATCTACGTCCCATGAGCCTTTGTACCCTCGTCCCAGTCATCTGCACTTTCCGGAATTGCCCTGCGCTCGTCAAACAATCGATTCAACTTAGCCGTTCTCTCACCATACCACGCGCTATTCACTCTCTCAACCGACACAAGAAGCGCTTTTCCCTCTTTAAAAAGCTGAACATGATCCACCCTCTTCTTATTCACCAAAGACCCCTTCAGCGCCCTATCTAACCCCAAAAATTCCGAATACAAACCCACACCTTCCTGCGATCTCTGCGCCTCATTAAAAAAAGCCCGCTTAAGCTCCGCGTTTGTTTCTGGTACGCATTGCAGGTCGTGGATCGAGGTTAGAAGTGAGTGTAGCTCTAGGGCGGGATCGTGAAGTTGGGGGTGCGGAATCCGGATCTGAACCAGGGGTTTTGGGTGGCGAGTTGGTGGATGAGGAGGGTGCCGTGGGTGCTGGTTGTTTTGAGGTTTGTGGGGTCGTTGGGTTGGAGGAGGGTGTGGGTGTGGGTTTGAAGAAGATCATGGGTATGGTCGGATTGGGGGTGATGATGATGAATTTTGGTTGCGAATGATAAGTGTGGTTTTGGAGAGAGGGTGATGATGAGGTGTGCCACGTCGTGTAGCGTTCGGGTTTAGCTATGTCTTCAGTGATGTCTCACAAGTACCACTTTGAAAAACTTGAATTGTCGACTCACATGTGGTCATCTCTTCGATAAATTCATCTTTTTTCGAATCTGAATGTTCCAACTTTTCAAGTTGGAGCAATTCGTTTAAAAAGAATGAGGCGTGGATTGACTAGGTCATGGTGAGATGTATACATCTAAAGACTCAGTTCAAAACCGAATACACGAAGCAGGGACGTTGATCGACACCTTAGTTGTCCATATTCTACCTACATGTACTTATAATAGCGACAATAAAAGAAGCTCAGCACATCATACCGATATAATAAGGTCCTCTTGCGCATTTTGTTCCTTCGAGTGACAATGTAAGCGAGCCCCTGAAATTAGCGAGTTCACTGCAAGGGCCTAAAATTGTGAAGTGCCGTATTAAAATTTTATCGAAGTTTTACTAGGCCGGTAAGCAATTGAGCGTCAATCTAAGCATATTCGAGCATAGGTACTAAGTTTATGTGAATCTGAAGAACATCTAGTAAGTCTTGAAAGCTTTGCAAGTGTCCGTTGTCAATACATCATGCTTTCGCACGTCCAAACGTCGCCGCCAACGACTTGCTGAAAGTCGAAGTTTCAGCTCACGGACCTTGAGTCCGCAAGTAAATCTGTAAGTCAGTAGTTTCGGTTTGGTTAGCATGAAAACTTTCAATGTGATGCTCTCGTACTGTCCAATCTTTCAATAGCTCTATAGTTTGCAATCATTGAGCGGGTGGATACAACACCGAATCTCAATAGCCTTGGATGCTTGCTTTCACTACTTTCGTGACTTACTTAATAGTCAGTGCCTCATGTAATAAGAAGATTATCTATGATTTGTATCCTACTTTCCCATTCCAGCCAAAGAGTTATACGGCGTTAATACTTAGCTGGGCACGTGATCGTGCAGATTTCGCGATTGTCTGACGCGTTGACCACACAACAACAATCTGTTTTTCGCATCAATTCACCAACAGAAGCTATGTCTGAGTTTTAAGACCGCCGCCAATTCAATGTATCTGCGACAAGCAGTTTACTACGATTTGATTACCACCCAGTTGAGGCATTCCTCCCTCACGGCGCGTCAAAAACCATGAATCCCCATGGCCTGCTTGCACACCTCAACCCCTCTCAGCAAGCTGCTGTATCATCCTTCGCAGATACATTGGCTATACTCGCGGGGCCAGGCAGTGGAAAGACACATACGCTAACCTCACGAACGGCCTGGCTGCTTGCACAAGGTCTACAGCCATGGAACGTTATCGTTGCGACGTTCACGGTCAAAGCCGCTCGAGAGATGAAGGAGAGGATTGGGAAGCTGATTGGGAATGGCATGGAATCGAAATTAGTCCTCGGAACCTTTCACAGCATTGCTCGACGATATCTTGCCCGATACGGCCACCTCATCGACATCAAGAAGGATTTTGGAATTGCAGATTCTGCAGATTCGTTGGCGATCATAAAACGTATTATCAAGAAGAACAACTTCATTATCGACGCGAAGATCACTCGGTCACGGATTAGTGGGAAGAAGTCAAGGGGTGCTAGGTACAGAGATAAGGAGAATGAGAACACGTCTGGCGCGAAGACGGTCGAGGCACAAGAGTTTGATATCTGCTATGCAGAGTATGAGGAAGCGTTGAAGAGATCAAATCTCCTCGACTACGATGATCTCCTCCTCCGATGTGTCGACCTCCTCCGATATCATCCCTCATGTGTTTCGAACGTCGAGGCGGTACTCATCGACGAGTTTCAAGATACCAATATCGTGCAGTTCGACCTGATGCGTTTGTTTGCTGCCCATCGAAAAAGGGTAACTATCGTAGGAGATCCAGATCAGAGCATATATGGTTTCCGGGCCGCAGAAGTCAAAAACTATAAACGATTACTGAAGATGTATCCGGAGACCGTGACGATCGCTCTGGAAGAGAATTACAGGTCCTCGGGAGCCATTCTTCTCACATCTCTGAATATTATTGAGCAGGATAGCTCAAGAGTTGCGAAGTCACTACTTGCTACCCACGCAGTGGGAACTCGCCCTGTTCTTCGGAGGTTATGTGACGCTCATAAGGAGGCCGAGTGGATTATCACTGAGATTCAGAGGATTAAGGGATTGACAGGAGAACTATTAGATCTAAACGATTTCGCTATTCTCCTACGCTCCTCTGCACTCTCTCGGTTGATAGAAAGTGCTTTGGGCAAAGCAGGAATAGCATACCGCATGGTTGGTAAGGCTTCAGTTTCCACTCCATGAAGTCTATCCAGGTCATCGAAAAAGCTGACATGTTGCAGGTGGGTTGAGATTCTATGACAGACTAGAAGTCAAGACTATACTGGACTACCTGAGGGTGATCAATCAACCAGACAACAACGACGCTCTGGCACGTATCATCAATGTTCCTTCAAGACGAATCGGCGAAAGTACCATCAAATCTCTTTTGGAAGAAGCGGACGAGTCTAAGATAACTCTGTGGTCACTAATCTTGGGGTTCGTGCAAGGCAAGAAAAGCGCGAAGACCAAGCTTCCGAAACAGACTGACCAAGGCCTTTCCCGCTTCGTCAACATCATTTTGACGGCAAGGGGGAAGCTGACAGCACCGGAAGAAGAGCGAATGACTATGCCAGAGCTCATCAAATTCATATTGTTGAAGACAGACTACGAGACATGGTTAGAAGAACACCATTCCGACATACATAAAGCACGATGGGCCAACGTAGAAGAACTCATCACTCAAGCCACTGACTTCCAAGACCTGGTATCTTGTAGCTACGAGGACGAGTCTCTACCGCAGATCGACGGTCTGGATCAGGATGAAGGGCCGGACCATCTCTCGAGGTTTCTTGCCAATGTAGCATTGGCTTCAGAAGTCAAGAACGATGAAGGAACAGCAACTGCACAAGTCACGATCTCTACGATCCACGCTGCCAAAGGCCTTGAATGGCCTGTCGTATTCATACCAGCCACGTACCAAGGTTCAATCCCCCATTCCAGGGCCGAGGACACGAACGAAGAGCGGAGACTGTTGTATGTCGCTATGACCAGGGCTAAAGCGCTCTTATACATGAGCTACCCTGTCAAAAACTCTCAGTCAGAACTGACGACATTGTCTCCTTTCCTGTGTGCGACATCCCTAGCACCTCTTCTTGATCAGAGAGGGCCATCATTTAGATCGTCAACCGTTCAGACGATGGCACAGATCCTCCGACGTGCTTTGCCGTCTGCCACATCAATTTCTAAATCTTCTGCGTTCGTGGTTAGCATGGAAGACGATATTTTCCCACTCAATGGCGAGGAGAATAAGGACGAAAAAACTTCGAGATGGAACTCTATGGCGGGCAATCCGAGCTTTACGATGGGTCAGCAAGCACCAAAACGCAGAAGAGTAGAGATGAATCGTTCGGTGAGTAACATAGAAGAAAGATCCGCACCGGACTGGAAGCCTGCGTACCATACAACAATGGACCAGTCCGCCAGTTTCACGTCTGCGTCGATTACCATGAAGTCCAGTTTTGTGAGCGCCGGCTCGCATTTGCAGGTGCTCAAGGAGCAGGCAGTAGATTGTGCTGCCGCAACATCGCTGGATCCTGCTCCCGAAGATACACAATCACAAGCAAGGAAAAAAGTAGCTCCCAAAGCTAAGTCCAAATCTTTAGAGGGTCAGGGGACTTTGTTCGGCTTTTTGGGTAAACCCGAACCTAAAGTCGCAGAACTTGTGAATATAAAACCACCCAAGACCACTACAAACCGCACTGAGACTTCAAACTTTCCAGTAGCAGCCGCTTTCTGTTTACCAAGGCCTCTTGCTATTGTCGATAGGCCGATCGAAATTGCGCCATCCCTTGCTAATCATCGTTTGGGGGGCGGCAAGACGATTATTCGGCCACGACAGAGTGTTCCCATTGAGGATTGCCACCGGAATGATTATGTCTTCTTGTCAAGTTCGCCGCCAAGGGTCACTCGAATAGAACCAATTCCCGAAAAACAGCCCGGGTTGGTATCAAATCCACCGATAATGAAGCTCGTACGTCCAGTAGTATCTATGCATGAGACGAGTATGGACAAGCTACAAAGCGGGTCTGCTGCTAGGAAGACGTTGGGAGTAAAACGTAGTATGAACGGATGGGAGAATCGAAAGAACCAGAGCTTCAAGCCTCCAACTATTACACGACCTGCTGAATGACATAATGAGGGTATGAGAGATTTGACATGGTATGGCGTTTTGGATAACGGGTTACAGACTCTGGCTGAAAGTATATTTTGTAGCTGCGCATAGCTGTGTTACCGCTGTATTTTTCGAGGTAGACCGGAATAACTTTGTAGGATTCATTACATGTACTCGGTTGTAGCTCGGCGAGAAAAGGGGAAGCGAGAACGAGAAAGAGCGCGTGCCCTTATCGAAGGATGAATGACGGTCGGAGGAGTTACCCCTTAGGTTTTACCTTGATGATTCTCTCCTTTCCAGAGGCATCAAAGATCAATGAATGTCTGGTAGAGCCCCACAAACTTTCTCATGATCCTTTACTGCGCAATGGTTTGATTACCAAGATATATAGCCACCTCGGCACGTTCCAGATAATGTTGCATGTTGAAATCGGATTTACCAGTACTACTGCACCCCACATGTCAATTCCTCTTCGTTTTCGGATAAACCGGCACCAAATGAGGCGCATGGACAAGAGCGGTAAGAAATGGGAATATTCCCAACTTCCGCCTCCTTCGCTTCACCTTCCCAGGGTGTTTTCCACATTTCCTTCTACCATCATTGTCCACTTTGTGGCTTGCAGTCCACTTGGAAGTGTGCTCTCCGCCGAACTCGGTCGATTCCATGTCGCAAGTGAAAGCAACGTCGCCGTTGATGAGTGAGGCCTCCAGATCAAGATTAGATTTGGTTTCATCGGATGGATGTTTCCCGATCAGACCCACCCGTCGCATTGGAACACACAGGGACGCCGGAGAAATCAAGAGTGGGCTAATAATCGGTCAAGGCTTTTGGGTTGCCCCAAATTCTGTGCCCTAGGTAAGTTTTGGCGGTGGCTGTCCGTCATGAGGCTCAATGCGAGAGGATGGAAGATGCGGGTGCCGCCAGCTGAGTTTCTGACAACTTGCTCGCAATGGAAAATGATGGATGTCTCTCAAACGCTTCAGCACGGAGTATTCCCTCTTTCCGTCGCCTGCTGTACGAGAGTCCGGAGTATGGCGTGGCCGGGTTACCAGATTTGTGTCGTACCTGCCGCAGCTGTAATGCTGTGCCGCAGGATTCCAGCTTTTGTCTGAGACTCCTCTGCGTTGGGAGAGTTGATCATTGGATCGGCGAGCCTCATAGGGCGGAACCTAGCCCTCGTTGACAGCTGAGGCCTGACTCAAATTCGCCTATAGATACCTAGACCGTGATTCAGATGCTATCTTCTCTACTGTATCTTCTGCGGCTGTTGCTGCTGCTGCTATTATATGGCCCTTCCCTTCCAATCGAGTCTCTGGGATTACCCATTCACGCCTAAACCACGCGGATAAATTTTGCCCTTTTGTGATCAAGGAACTTCATGCTCGCGCGCATAGCTGTGTGAATCCGTCATAGCCGTGCTCGGTGCACCCTACTCTGCTTCAGGAAGTCTATGTCCGAGAGCAAGAGGAATTAATCGGTAATAAGCTGCCACCACTGGACGCGCCACATATCGACGCTGTTTCATTATCATGTGGCGCATTAGGCGGGGTGTGCCAAGACACCGCAGAATCCCCACAACTGACGCTCTCGGGATCGTCCAAGGTGAGCAAGGTTGGCAAGGTTAGGCAAGGTCCCCCGAAGAAACTATGAACTTACTCTCTCGTCAACGGCTCGCTCCCGTTCCAACACAATGGTTCCGTCACGATGGAGGCTCAGAGCCTGTCGACCTGCAATCAATGCGGAAAGAAATTCCAAAGGTCACATCCGCCCCTTCGCTCTCTCTTTTGGACATCATCGTCGAGAGCCGCTCATCCAAGAGGACGTTTCTCGTGATCAACTCCTCGGGATTTGCTCTTCGGCTCCGAGATCTCTGTCGAAACGTCCATACTGACTGGTATACAGGAAAGCCCATCTGTTGCGACATCAGCAGCAACGTGAGTAGATCTTGGAGATGAAAGGAAGCACATGCTTCTCAGATGCGGCTCGCTGATATCGGTTCTCAGATTCCGGCGATAGGCCGTATAGTTGTAAATTCTGCTCCAAGACTTTCAAGCGCAGGTACGTCCTCCGATATCAATCGGAATAACCTCCGCTCATTGTATACTTCCTATAGCGATGTTCTTCGAGACCACTTCAGTCGATGTGAGAAAAGAGGCTCGTCGGCAATTCCAAGTTCGCTGGAGAGAGGCAGAAAACGTCATGCGTGTGACGAATGTTCGAGGTTGAAAGTTAAGTGCGACAACAACGTACCGTGCGGGAAATGCACAGAGTTTGGTAGGAAATGTGTCAAGACTCGATCGTCAGGTTTGTTATATGGAGCTGGGTGCTATAGAAAGGAGATTGACCTTTGCGATCACAGCAGTTGCGTCAAGTCCAGAGGGCACCCCGAATCCGTCGACCCCAGACACTGGCTCAGACAGGAACTCGATTGGATTTCTACTCAATTGTCCTAGTGAGTCGGACTTCATCCAGGAATTTCCTAAGTCGACTACTTTAAGTCCGAATAGTAGACCAGATGGCTTCTCAAGTCTGGATCCTCCAGTACGAAACTTTCACCAAATTGGAGAAGCAGGTAATGCATCGGTGTACCAAGAGTACGGACATATGATTCAAGAGAACAATATAGACGTCCTTCTTAGCCATCTGGAATTCTCAAATTTTGAACAGCAAACAAACAATTGGCAGATGCCGGGTGAAAATATGATACTATGGTCCGGACCTGATGCTTTATTCCTCGACCGCGGAGTCCTTGAGCAGAGAGCCTTTGATATAAGGTCGAAATTGAAATTTGCATCAGATATCATGAATCCGCCGCACACACCACCTCCCGAAGTACTACAGGCGCTGGAGTTAATTACTGCGGACAGTATTGCGGCATGGATCAAGTTATACTTCAGGCATTGGCATAAACATGCGCCTATGGTTCATGAAGCCACGTTCAACCCTTGTCACGCTGCAGTTCCTCTGGTTCTTTCATTGATGAGTCTTGGGGCTATGGTAAGTTTTGCAAAGGGAGTATGTCCTACCTAATTAACTAATTTCTTTAACAGTACTCTAAAGAGACGGAACATGTCGCAAAGCTTAAGATGCTCTTGGACACCATGGAATGGTATATATTTTCTCTTCCGGGCCTTAATGATGAATACGAACTACCAGGCCGAACATACGTTAAGCAAGGGGATAATGCTTCCCAAGAATGGCTGCAATATCAATTGGAAGAGCTGCAAGGCGCATATCTTATGATTGTATTGCAGTATTGGACTGGAAACGCTGTAGCCAGGACGAGAGTCCGTCAGCAGAGATTTCCGCGAGTTGATGCCGTAAACATCCCCGCCTAAATCTATTTTATAGATATTGACTTTGGCAGATATTTCACCACCTCGAAGTGCTAACGATGCAGCATTCGCCTGACTTCGAGATCAAAGATCAATCGTCGTTTACAAAATGGATACGGAAAGAATCATACATTCGGTCAGAACCTATATCCTCCCTACTTCTCCGCTGCTAACTTGCGTATAGAACGGCAACCTTAGCAATAATGCTCGATCATGCATTTGGCATATTCAACAACGTTCCTCCTCGCTTCCAATGGGCCGAGATTGACCTCCCGTTCCCATCCGACGATCATTTCTTCAAGACGACCAATTTCGAAGATATGGTCGCGAAGTCGATCCAGCCAAAACGAAGCATGAAGATCAAAGACGCCTTTCTCAATCTATTTACTCCGCCAATGTCCATGGAACAAGACCTTAGTTCTTTGAGGCAGAGAGCACTAACTGCTCTTGACATGCAAATGCTCATACATTGTTTGTCCTCCGTACGTCCCGATGATGGAGCAAGACTGACAAGACATAGTCCTCTACACCCACGTCTGGACCTCCACATTCTCGAACCCAATGGCCTGTCTACCCAGCACCGACATCCACCACCTCACCGCACCCTTCAAGACCGCGCTGCACAACTGGAAGCTCATCTGGGACGAAATCAAATCTTCGTCCTTAGAAACAGAATGGAACAAGCTCGGCTTCCAACGAACAGCCGAAGCGTACTTTGACGCCGTGAACTCGATCCTCGCCGTGTTTGAGAAGAGAGAGGGCAAGTTCCCGCCGATACCGAGTGATTGTGAGAAGGGGAGTCATTTGAAGAGGGTGTTGAGTTTTTAGATGTATAAGGAGGGAGTGGTAATGTCTATAGCTAGATCTTTTGGAGTTGGGTGGAGCCACGTACACGGAGGCTGGAGCATTGATGCGTGCATGGGTCTGGTGTTCTTGGGGATGTTTTTGTCACATATTTCTTAGATGCATAGCCATGATTGGTGTTTTGGCATGCATATCGATGTCATGTTCTTTGTGGTACTTCATAAGGTGCTTTATTCTTATAGCTGTCCTTTGCATGCTGTCTGTAATGTCAACTAGTGTTGTACAGTAACAAGACATCATTTGTCTAACTTCCAAGTTTTTGTGGTATTTTTCCAAGATGCTTTATTTTGTTAATTCCTAATGTTCTAGGACGTGCGGTTCATCGTGAATTATATTTCACGTAACCAATGCTATGTCTCAACCATCAATCGGCTACTTGCTTTAAGAAATCACATGCCATATCATGACCCGAAATTGATACTCTTATAAAACTTCTTTGTCCGCCGAACACTGAAAACGAGCAGCCGATAATCAAGGTTTTCGCTTTTTACTTAGAGTTAGCTTCCTTCATTAAATCATCAATCTTGTTTAACAACCAAAGGCGACGCCGAACATTATTTCTCAACTCGTTTTTGAAAATGTTACCCACACGATTCTGGAATTAATCATCTACTCGTCTTTGGAGATGGATGTTTTGTTCGGTTTTGAAATCATGGCTCTGTTATTTCTTGAAATCTACACTAGCTAGTATCCCCGCTGAACAGCTCTGATCGCTCTTTTCTCAGCTCTCGTAGGTCTATCCGTGGCAATTTCGACCTGACCTGCAATCCTCACTAGCTTGAAGCTAATGTACTTTCCTCCCTTCTTGTTCGTCTTCTCCTCAGATCCGGTCACCTCATAAAGTCCGTCATAGCGTAATCCAGCTTTGGGTGCTTTTGGCCACTTCGATGTCGACGTTCGCAGGACTCGGATTGGCTTCTTGGTAGTGATTGAGCGGAGCAAGGACTTCGTTCCATTGTTCGTACGGTCTGCGGTCAATGCGGTGCTTTCTTCCGCATTGGCGGCCGCATAATCCAATTTATCTCCATTGTCCTGATCTGAGTCCGCATATGTGCCAGCAACAATGATCGAGTACACTCCAGAGTCTGGTGTACCGCAAATGCCGGCAATTCGATGTCCTGGTTATAGTAATTAGGGTTAGAAAAATGTTCGATAGCTACAAAAGACATAATCAAGCGCTAAGTACTTACCATGGACACCGTCTCTCAGAGCAGCAATCTGCAATGCCCAACAATCTCCAACGGTGAAGCCATTGTCTCCAAATTTTCTGAAGTCTCTGCCTGCGTAATGTGCGCTGACTCGGTAGGACTTCTTTCCACTCTTGGTTGCCTCGATGTGGTGCATGATCCCGTTCAAGCCGAAGATTGGGTGGTTGTCCGGAGCCTTGACAAAGACACCTTGTGGTTGTGCGGCAATTGCTGAATTCTTAGCACCCGCTAGGGCACTACTTCCCTCCTCGTTATCCTCCAGAGCATCGGACTTTCTCTTCTTCGATGTTGCCTTGGATGTGTCATCTTCGTTCTTGCATTCGACTATGCCCCAGTTGCAAAATTCGAACTTCCACTTCAGGGCCTCTCCGCATCTGAGAACCTCAAGCGGGAGATTGAACAGAGGGTTTGCGAAATTATCCAGGACACTTTCCGCATATACTGGCGCACCTCTACAAGCATTAATTAGCGGGAGTTCCGTGTCCTAGGATAGTGCGAACACTTACTTGAACTGAGCACCCAAATCCTTGTTGTTGAGATACAACCAGATCAGTTCCTTGATTGCATTACGGCCATCCTCAGTGCCATTGTCCCACGATCCATAGCGCTTGCTTCGGACCAGAGTTATCTTGATCACGTCCTTCAATTCAACCAACTTCGTGATTGTGAGATCAAGGGGCTTGGACCGAATGTTCTCAGGAACGAGGGCAATAATAACTGCTTCAAGGTCGAAGTTTGTGTCCGACATCTTGATTGTGATAAATGCGCTGCTGCTGCCGGACAATTGCAGTTAAGTCGATTTTTCCGAAACTTGAGGGTTTGATACTCCTAAGTTGAAAGTTTGGACGAGTGGCGGACCTTTATCGTCTGTGTATGATGGCGGCGGGTGCAATATGTAACACAAAGTACCCGGGGACAAGGTGTACTGAGTCTTGTTATTGTTAGCATTTTGCATAGATGAGACTCAAGACAAAGGTGAAGAATAGGGAGATAGGCAGATGTGAGATAGATTGGAAAAGATAATAGTGAAGGATAGGTTAGGAGCATGTGTTGAAGGAAGTGAAGAGAGGTGGTGAAGTGAAAGGAAATGGATGCTTATGTAGAAGCACATGAAGATGCACTGGGCAGTGAGTAGGAGTAAAGAAGCGAGTGAAGAATTCAGGGGCTCATGGAGTGGAAGTGCCTTGAGCGAAGTGAGGAGATAGAAGGAGCGAACAAAGACGCCATATCCACGAGCGAAGTTCACATACCTAGTAGGGTCGCGCTTTCCTAGCAGAGGAGATATCAAGTGTAATGCTGAGGAGTGAAGAAATCGTCGCTTCTAATCTGGGTATTGTTCAGTGGAAAGAGCGAGTTGTGAAGTGTAGATCTTCGCTTCGAGATTCGCTTCGAGAGAGGGAAAGGGGTGAGTGTAGAGCGTGTCAACAGATAGACGTGCGTTGATCTTCGCTTCGAGAGATCGCTTCGAGAGATGGAAAGGGGTGAGTGTAGAGCATGTCAACGAATACACGTGCGTTGATCTTCGCTTCGGGAGATCGCTTCGAGATTCGCTTCGAGAGAGTGAAAGGGGTGACTGTAGAGCGTGCTTTATTGGACTTCGACTTTTGAGCTTGCAACCGTGAAAAGTTGGAGTTGCGAAGAGCGTGTCTGCTCGTGAACGTGCGTTGATCTTCAATTCGGGAGCACAGTAAGAAGGAGGTGTAGCGAGTGCCCTGTTGACCTTCGAGATTGAGTCTTGATCTTGTAGCGGTGGAGAGTTGGTTGTGAAGATCTAGGGAACGTGTAGAATGGAGTGGTCTGTGAATATGTTACAAGAGAGCGTGTGAAGTGAAGACGACGTCCTTGTCAGAACTCGACTACCTCTTGCGCTTGTGCTGTTGACGAGACTAGCGCAAATGCTGCTCGAGCGTTGGGGTTGGATTCTTGTAGAGGTAGTGGAAGGGTGAGGCTTAAGAAGTAGAGAGTGTAGAGTGGATTGCGAGGAAATATGACGAGAAGTGAACGTCAAAAGGTGAGGCGTGCTAGGGGAAGAGTAGGTTACGGGGGTCAATTGGTCTTGAAGCTTGTAGCGTGTCTTGCTTAGGCCCGCTATTCGTCCAGTAGCAAATGGAGAGGGCAAAAAAGCGGAAGAACCTCGATTGTGATGTGAGGAAGGCTGGGAGCCATGTGCAAGACAAGAAGTGAAGGGAGCGCTTCACTCTGAAGGCTCAGGCCGTTTCAACTTTGTCGAACTAGGAAGTAGCTGAGAAGATACTGGAGAGCGAAGCACAAGTGGTGAAGCGCAAGTGAAGATCCAAACAAGCGTTTTTATCGATTTAAGTTTTACAGAAGAACAGAAGGCATTCCTACTAAGACTATGAGCTTTATTTGAATGAATTGTTAATAAGTGAACATTAGATGAGCGAAGCGGAGCACATCACATTACTGACTCGAGTACGGCTAACCGTTAATTAGAATGCTTTAAAAACAGTGATTTGTCTGGAAATTCGTAAAAAAAACTGCGATTTGTCAAGTAGAAAAAAGGATTTGTCTGAGGGTAATAATTAATTTACTTTTATTATCAGCTACTTCAGTCTTTGCTTATTTACTTCAATATTGCCTACTTTACTGCTGCCTATCTCATTGCTGCCCATTTCACTACCGCCTACCCTCAGTACTACTTAGCTTGAAGGAGGAGTGGGCGAGGGAAGGGGTAGAGAGACATAAGTGCCAGTGGGAAGATCTTAGGAAATTAAAAGGGAATTGTTTCAGCTTCATTTGAGTTTTCCAGCGCTAGTGAAATATTTGTTTGCTTCCTTTTTTACACTTCCCCTATTTTCACTCCTCTTTCACGCTTGCTCTTCTTTCACTTTCGCTCCTCCTCCACTTTAGTTAGTATCGAGGGCAGGCAGCACTATAGCAATAGTGAGGTGGGTAGCAGTGAGTTGGGAAGCAGTGAGTGAGGTGTGCAGCAGTGAATTGGCTGACAATAAGTGGGCTGGCTGTACATAGATGGGTAAGGTGAGTTACTTAAAACTGCTAGACAAATCATAGTTTTTTAACTTGTTGCCAGACAAGTCCTTCTTTTTCACAAATTGTTAGACAAATCATAGTTTTTTTTTACTTGTTATTAGATAAAACTTCATAAATATCCTTTTGTACTAAGGGTCAGCCGTACTTTTCGCGCAGAGTGATTTTAGTATTGCTAACATGCTCTGCTCGTTCTCGGAAGGCTGATCCTTTAATACCTTCTGATCATCATCACGTGTTATGGCCGAGAGGGGACTCATTTTACCTATTCGGATCAACAAGCGGCACATGTCTAGATCGCAAGTCGCGCCGCTTCCCGCAGAGGTTCTTGCTGTTCGTCCCAGAAACTACCGTTCTCACTAGCGCCACCTTCTGATACTGTAGCAGCATCCGTGCCGACTCGTACCGGTCTCGTGAAGCTGAACAACTCATGATGATTCGTATTAAGACAGTGTTGTTCAGGCTGTGGTGTTTCCCCCAAGAAAACTCGCATCGGACCAAGCCCCCTGATGCCGTGGACTTCGATGAGCTCAACTGTCATCTTCGTCCAAATAGCGCTTCCCTGTGCCAGGCGAGATAGTGTCTCCGTTACGAGTTCTTTAACGTCCTTCGACAAATAGAACAACTGCCTCTCGACTGTCTTTTCAACGATAACCTTGTCTCGCCCGGCGTCAGAACCCAAAGCAATCTTGGCCACTCCGCTCAACTGCTCGAAGATCTCTTCTTGAGGGTGGGAAGAAAGTAGAATTTTGAGCCTCGGGGACTTTTGCGATAGATTTCTTAACGACTTGAGAAGACTGTTCCGGGAGGCTCTATTGCACTCATCCAGACCATCAATAACAAGGAGAAGTGGGCGATCAAGTGTTTCCAGGGCTTTTTGCAACCATTCGTTTGGATTCTTGAAATATGTCGCTGGCTCGATTCCGGAAGCCGCGGCTTGCTGGTACCATTCGAAGAAAGTTCTCTTCAAGCCAGAGAACTGTTCAAGGAGTGATAGAAGTAGGACAGAGAATGTGCAGATAGCCTGGCCAATCTCGTCGTTCTGGCAATAGTGGTAGCATATCTTGGGCTGAGGCAACTGGTGCTCATTTCGTCGGCGTAGCTCGTCTATGAGATACGCCATCATAACAGTTTTCCCGCAACCTATATCGCCAAGAATCACTAGCTGCTGGGAATCGGTAGCGTGACGCCAGTTAATGAATTTAGCATCTTTCAGCAAGAATTTGCAAGCCTCGTCGACTCGAATCTCCTGTAAATAAGCATGGTATTGGCTTTGCCGGCTCATCTTCTCACTACCTAACCACCTCGCAACTAGGGATTGATTAGATTATACTTAACATATTTTAGTGTGGGAAAACATCCTTTCATGATAGTAGAGCATAGCTTTGATATCCTCAACAATTTCCCACGTCGCTTTTTGCACAAAGTTCCAGAGGTTGTCAGCATATTTCGAAAACTCTTTGACAATGTTTGGCAGACAGTCGTTCTCCGGAATCATCTTCATCACCAGCTTCACTCCTTTCCTGGATAAAACCTCAAATGCGGTGATGTAGAACTCTAGGAGTTTCTGATACACCAGTACGAGTGCCTGCAAACTGTCAGAGAGGCTTTGAATAGATACACAGGAGATACCTTGTGCATATCTCTCTTGTCTGTTTTCTGGCCAAGCGTGTCACAATCATCAATATAAGAGAGCTGTTCTAACATTTCCCCGATTTGCTTCGCGAAGTCGAGATCAGCTGTAGAAATGCTAATAGCAATCTGTGTAGTAGGTATGTCAGTGCTTCCTACCTAATCACTCTCGCAGAAATTACGAAGTGTAAAATTCGGTAAAATAAGCTCACCGCTGTTACGCCTCTGACCACACCAAAGGCCATTGCGGCAACGGGTTCAATGCTCGTCAGTGGACTCGCGAGGTCTAATGCCAGCTTGAAGCTCTCCAGTGGTACTTGGCAAGCATGAAGATATCTCAAACCTCTCAAGAAGACGGACTCCTGCGTACCTCTTTGTCAATCTTTTCGAGCTGTTTGAATAGATCCGCAAGATTCTCGTCCTTGAGAATAGCAAGGTGTATGTCTTTCCCAAGACTATCTACTGCTTCACGGTATGCTGCGCTCCAAAGGTCCGAAGAGACAATGACTAAGTCATTTTCAATGCCAAGTATCGAGTTATTGATGAAGGAATCCTTTTCAAGACCGCTTGTATGAGTCACCGCAGAGACAGTGCTCTGATCGATTTGGGTTGTGCTGCATCATTCCTGGTGATAGTTGTTTCCTTGGGGGCATCATGTGTTTGGTTTAGGGAATTCGAGCTGGCTTGGGATGTCGCACGCTTGATATGTGAATCTGGGCTGCTTGACTGGTCAACTTTGATCTGACTGCAAAGATATGGCACTCACTTCCTTGCAAGTGTATTTGGATCTGCTAGGGTTTTCGGTGTTGAAGCAACATGGGCATCCTTCGAAGGGTCTCTAGATCTACGCCTGAATCGATCCAGTCTCTCACGACCAGAAACCAACATTTCTGCCTGCGCATGCTCGGCTCTTTCCGACTCCTCTCTTCTCTATACGCAGAACAGGGAAGCAAGGGGCGATCTTGCACGCTGATCGCCCAACATCAACAGGTTCACTTCTCAATTGACCACATCTCCGAGAATTGAGGATTCTGTGATTGTGCAGAGCGCAAGACGTTGAGCCACCACAAATCGTGCATCCTACGTGAAGCGCATCTAACACATCTGCTTTCAGACCCTCATTGCCCAGCCAGTCAGTCACCCTTCGCACTACTCAACCAAGACACAACTGTCGAAATCTTCATCTGTGCCTTCGCTGTGTTCTATCATAAGCTTTGCTTGTCCGCTGTTTGCTTGCGTCAGAAGTCGATAAGCTTCCTTCGCTCCACTCTACATTTGCCAGGATATTCTGTTCGCGCGGTTCACTCTGCCATGGATCCTTCTAAAACAAGCAGCATCCATACTTCGCATACAGCATCGCCTCTCTTCGGCATTTTCAGCTTGCCTCGCAAAGTCCGCGATGATATTTACCGAAGAGTGCTCGTTGTGGCGCATCCACTATATCTTTTCCAGCAGACAGGTTCTGAAGTGGTCGAAATTTTTGCCCCGGAGAGACCAGTTCGATGGCTTGCATTGCTGTATACCAATCGACAGGTACACGAAGAGGCTGGCGCAGTGGTATATGGGTTGAATCATTTTATGTTCATGGATACAACGCGGCACCAGGCTAACCTCCTACAATCCTTTCTGAACTGCATTGGGTCCTTCAACGCCGGTCATCTGTCTCACATATCCATCAACTTCCCGGTCGCGGAGATTGTGAAGGGTCAACCAGGAAAAATTGTGCTCAGGGAAGATGACTTGCACAGTCTGAAGCTTCTTCAAGAGAAGTGCATCAAACTGACGAGGCTGGAAACTCTCGTGCATAGTTACAATTCCATAGGTCTTGCCAAGGAGAGCCAGGACTCGGATGATTCGCAGTTCTGGCAAGAGGCATTGTCGCAGATTGATGCGCAACTAAAGGTCATTCCTTCACTGAGCAAGACCATCGTCAGATTCTACAACGGACCTCCAACCTCTGAGGTGGTGGAGTTGATGCAACGCCTAAGGTGGGTGATCCTGCCTGGGTGATGAAAGGACAATGGAAGTGATAGGGCGAATGAAAGACACGCGTCGCTCAGGAAAAAGCAGGAGCAAACGAGGGGCTCTTTGTTCAAAGTCTGATCCCATGGTTATCCGTTTGCGCTAGGCGGCAAGAACAATTGAAATAGGTTCAATGGAGTAATATACCAGAGCTACTGTGGCTTTGGAGTCCTATCATAGCAAACGTATACTGGAGGCTGCTGGGAGGTCCCATAGAATAACCGTCAATTGATTTGGCCTTCTCTCCAAGAAGAAACCGATTCCCACCCAGACGTGAGGTTCTCCTTCGTGGCTGCCGATCTCAGCCGAGTTTGGTTGAGGCAAATCCCTCGCTTGATCCAGGTGGTGGGGTTGGAATATTGTTTAGGTAACGTGTCGAAGAGGAGAAGCTGCGTTGCTAATTCCGTTTTTGATGCGTCTCCAGTTGCGCTTCCCTCCCTAGTATATTCTCAGCTACTTCCCGATTATACGAATTCAAAACGGGTCCACTTTACAGAGTGAAGCGCTCTTCACATGTCGTCCTTTATTTCTTGTCCGCAGGCATTACTGTTAAGGCTGTGTGGGCCTATTCTACTACAAGTGACCACTAGATGAGCGCAGCAGATCAAATTCACACTCGAGCTCATCTTGCGCGGGCTGTGGGTTGTGCTAGAGGTGCTAGAGCGTTGGCGGAGGAGAAAGGTGAATTTAGATACACTCTCCAGGTCCTTATTAATATGGACCTGAATTTGAAGACGATCTACAAGTTATCAAAGATCCAGAGCGTGCGTAAGTCGAGAGATCTTTGCGCCTTTGATTCTGTAACAGATGTTGTCCGTACACAAAGAAAGGCACAGCAGGTACCACTTATCTATAGTACTTCAATATCATATGCTGCCATCGATAGAGATCTGGATATATATCATGTATGGTGCCAAACTGCATTTGTCATGACATTCAGTACTCCGTCACCCCATGTAGCCTTGCGCACGTTGACATGTACTCCCAAGGCTACGTAGGTATTTTATGTGCGTATGGGAAGTACTGTACCTCTACAATTTGATATATGAGGAATGAACAACCGACCACTAGGTACACGGGCCCAATACAGTAAGGACTCCATGTGACAGGAGAGGAAGGAGCGACCAGTCGCAGCCATCGCTGCTCACTTGCATTTTCTGCTTTCTCTAATTGTTGAGCATTAGAGTTCCACTGCCTTGCAGTCTAGCAAAAGCTTAACACACCTCTATCACATGCTTGGTAGGTTGTGCGTGTGTAGCGACAAGGCCGTAGTGATTTCGACAAGTGAAGAAAGAACGACAAGACATACCCAATATGGTAAGCGCAGGCAATCAAGCGAATTCTGAACAATTAAAGGGGGAAACGACCGGTTGTTAGCGCCTTCTGTTTCTTTGGCGACTGTCGCTAAGCTGTAGCAGTCCAAGCTTTTTTACCCTTGTAGTGCACAAGCAGCTGATTTTAATTAATACTCAAGTTAGACAAACGAAACAGCAAGCTGTGCTCTTATCTCAGAACAAGATGCTTCGCCAAGAAGCAAGCGACGCTTCCAAAAGAAAGCTACCGCACAAATGATTACACGGCAAAGACAAGTGTGTAACTACATATAAACAGTTTAGTGACTTCGGACCTCTATGGGAGCTTGAAAAGATTCTTTACTGACCTTGCTAAGTGAGGAGCCTCCAAGCAGTTTCCTCGCTCTAGTCGCGGTGGCGGGGTATAACGAATCGAGATGTTATGGGAACGAGCCGATAATAATTCGATAACGTATCGATACAAGAACGGATCAATGCAAGAACGGATCGATACAAGAACGGATCGATTCAAGACCGGATCAATACAAGAACGGATCGATTCAAGACCGGATCAATACAATATGAGAACGAATCGACATAACAACAAAATGATATGAGAACGGATCGATTCAAGAACGGATCAATATGATATAACATCGAATCGACACAATTCAAGAACGAGTAATATAAAGTCTACACCCTTCGAATCAAACGTCATCCTCTGACAAATCACTCTTTAACTCAAGCTTTTATAATACTTTACTTTAAACCAAATGAAAATGAGTCTATGAAGAATTATCCGTTCGATTTTGAGCATTGAAATCGAATCAATAGTAGATTAAAAACAAGCTAGTGTGAGGAGCTAATGGGAGGAGCGTAGTGTAGAGAGGGGTTTGTACATGTTTGTGTGTTTGTGATCAAGTGGACAAGGATGTGAATTTGCGTGAGGGCTTGTTTGTAGGATGCTTTTGTGCTTGCTTGCTGGACGTTGAGCTGACTACTGTCTAATGTGCTCGGAAGCGAAAACAACAAAGCACGACAAGGAGAGACAAACCTTCAATGTTCCAGGGTTTTCTGGACATGTTGTAATACTGGATACTAATCATCGAGATACCGACTACTGTAATTGTATTGGACACTTGCCCTATTACGGTGAAGCTGGCTTTGCTTTACTAGCTGAAAGAAAAGTACTTGACTCCCTTTACACTCCACGACAAAGCTTCCAACACTTGCTCGCTCAACCTGAAAGATATAACGTATATATAAATCTACCTCACAATATACACCATCTGAACCCCTACTTCCCATAAGGACCATGCAACTTCTCCCCCGGCCCCATCCCTTTCGCCTTCCCCAGCGCCCCCATAACACTCGCCTGCAAGATCAACGTATCAGTCGCCACCGAAATCATATGGAACCCCATCTCTGCATACATCTTACTCTGCTCCCCACTAACACAAAAGATGCCCGCCTTCTTCCCCGCCCCATTCGCCGCATCCAGCACCCTCTTGATCGCCGCATGCAGATCCTCATGCATCACACCGTTGATGATCGGATGCCCGATATTGTTCCCCAGATCAAAGGGTCCCACGAACAGGACGTCGATGCCGGGGACCGCGGCGATGGCTTCGACGGACTGCAGGGCTGAGAGCGTCTCGATTTGGACTATGGTTAGTAGCGCGGAGTTCGCTTGTGTTAGATAGTCGGCGGAGGTGAGGGAGGGGTGGAATCTCTCCATGGGGAACGGGGAGCCGAATCCTCGTTGGCCTTCGGGAGGGAACTTGGCGCTGTTGACGAGCTTGACCGCATCTTCGACTGTGTATAGTAGAGGAACGATAACTCCATGAGCTCCGGTATCTAGGGCGCCTGCTTTGCTGTTAGGAGAGAAGATTGTTTGGGGTGGGGGAATGGGAAGGCGCTTACGCTTGACCATCCAGCCTTGGTTATCTGGTATGCGTACAATGGGACTTACGCCACATGCCGCGATTGCTGGAACAGCATTGTGCATTGCAGCATCTGTCTAGTGTCAGGTCCAACACTGGAGGAGAACGTGACGTGCTATGTGCGAATAGGAATTGCCGAATCAAACTTGACTCGTGGATTTGGGGGTGACAAGACAACCCCACCCCCCACATGGAGAGGGAGCGGGATTTTTCGATAAGAGATGATATCTAGTATGCATCGTGACATTTTGAGGGTGTGTTGATAATTGCGGGAGAAAGGGTAGGGCCGTTTGCCGCCCCTTTAGAGCTCGGTACTTATTTTGGCGAGGTTGACAATATGGTACTCTAAGGTACGAGAGTGACTTACCATCCATGTTTCCATGTTCACCTCAACGAGCTTACTGTTAGTCCGTGAGGCCTGGCTATGTATAGGCTTGGGCAGGAACTCACAGTCGACAACTACCCAATCGACACCAGTCCTCGCGAGTGTCCTTGAGACATTGGCTCCTGGAATCATTTGCCTGTGTGACATGAGCTCTCATGTGCTGAAGCCAAGCGAAATCACTTTACCAGCAGCCAAAACTGGGACCTTTCGCTTCGTCAAAAGCAACCTTCAAGCGACTTGCTGACTTCATTGTTGCCATCGTGAGATGTCTTGCTCTAGAACCAACAGGAAATCTATTATGTCTAAGGATGATTCCGGTCTTGCCTGAATGAAACGCCTGTCGAAGAACAGATCTGTGCACACAATGGAACAATGGAAGAACTCGTAATGATGTCTGAGAGCAGTAAATATGAAGCATGTTTCATCGAGGACGTTGAGGTAGGTATCCCCGAATCGGCCGGCTATTGCACTTGGAGATGAGGGGTCGTCTCATCACGTGACTCGGATGAGGTATTTACCTGAACCTCTTTCTCCTGACGGCTAATCAAGGGGTAGATTATGTACGCACATAGATCTGAGATCTGTGCTGGGTGAGAGGATCTTGTACTCTGTTTCATGGTTCTTGAAAGGTCTCGACTCTGTTGAGAGCTGGGGAAGTTGCCTCTTTGTCTCCAAATCTAGTATCTTTCAACGAAGATTTAAATTACCCCATTGAGAAGGGCTTTGGCCTAAGTCACTAGGCTTCGGCTTCGGCTTCGGCGGTGTATCCCATGCTGATCCGGAAGTGTTCTAGTTCAGCCCTTTTCCAAAGTCTTCGATGTGGGTGTCTTGATGTGGCTTGCTCGGTGGTGGGGAAGTCCACGATAGTTCCATGTTCAGGAATACAGGGTCAGGCGACGTCCCGCTGTTTCACTTCATCTTTTGCCCTCAATGAATCTGTTGAATCGAACATTCCACCATGGAATTAGTAATGTCAGTAAGAACGCTGAGGTGAGCCCATCGGAAGTATGCCAATGAAGTGCATGTTGTCTGTCGACTTTTCCTTTCCCCTCAAAATGCAAGCTTCTCCGCAGAAAGCACACGCGGGCTTGCAGGCGTCTTTCTGGGACGGGGACGGATCGAGGCGAGAGCACTGAGGCTCGCTCAACCCCGAGTAATAATACAGGCACTTGCGGTTATAATATGAGTAATGGATACGACATACAGTGCCCAGAATTAAGTTTGGCATTCTCGATCCGAATTCCGCGAGTGCCAAGGCCTCTCCTTTGCAGAGAAAAGCACCCATCCGATTTGCCGGCAGGTAAGATTGGTGGACAGTCAGCTGTTGCGTACATTCTGCTACCAGAGTTCGAGGAGGAAGCGGTGTGCCGTAAAAGAATAGTTGAGTATGTAAGTGGCAGGAAATTCAAGATGAACCCGCATTGGTTTGTGCAGTGCGGTGCGGCAAATGAAGGCACGAAGCCGAAGGTCTTGCCCGATGGGACTTTGGAATAGATCATGGAACTTCTGCAACCTCGACCTGCCACTTGAGCGGAAAGTCTGTTCGAGTATTACGGAGCTGTAATGCCAATTTAGCTCTGGTGTCAGTTAGGCCTCGAGATGCATTCTGGCAAAACAGAACAAGGCATGCCTTGCATGCAAGGCTATTTCCAAATGCCAATACCGGCCATATACTTCCCCCACGAAAATTATCCACTTTCACCCACCGAACTTGCTTGATGTGCTTCATTCCCGCCTGCACTCTTGGCCGAAAGAGGTGTGACGCAAAAAGCCACCGAGCATGGCACCCTGGGAAAAAGCGGACCTCGACGCCACTGCACACTCGCATCCTGATGGTGTTACCACGGCCGTGGGTGGAATGGAGTAGTTGAAGAGGGTCGAGATGGAGCGTCTGGTCGACCACGAAATGACAGAAACATCGTCGGAATTTCCTCCTTTTCTCCAGCTCTTCTGGTCCTCGGAGCGTCTTCTGGCCGAATCTGGCGGTGTCCGTCGAACCCAGGGAAGACCGAGCGAGATACGATCCGGCAGCAGCACAGAGAGATAGAGAGCTCCGATATCGAAACAGCACGACCATACATGGCAATGCGTTCATCCCACGCTTGTATGCCGTGCATCTCAGCAAAGAGGCCTGCACGAATCAGAACGCAGGTAATGAAAAACTGGTTGAAAAACTCGAACCCGGAAGAGCAAGTTTGAACTTTTCTTCCTCAGATCAGATTCCAGACATCGTGGACTCCAGAAGAGCCCAAAATAAAATGGCCGGAGATTTCTCAGTGGCCAGCTGACATCATCCCTGGATCACCTGAATCACTTCCAGACAGCACACGGGCCGCGGGCCAGGCGTTGCGGCGCTCTTCCTTGCGAGTGATTCGAAGTGCAGACAGACAGTGCAGTGGAAGGAAGTGAAGCCTGTATTATGGTTGTTTGGGGGAGCGTATGGGCATGTATGGGCCTGTATACGCTGTCTGTGACGGCAGCATCTCTGCATGCATCCATCCTTCCAGGCCTCGCCATCGCCACAGGTGATTCCACCACATACGCACTGTGTGTTTGGGATGGGAACGGTTCAATGATCCAGCAATCATCATCAATGATTTCAGCGTCTCACCCGCTCTCGGCCGGGACCAAATCTTCTTGCATTTCGGCGGGTGTGTCGTGCCCTAGTCTGCTAATTTTGAGTTGCTAGTCTTCGCCATTGTCGTAAGGATCGATCCCTCCAGCGATCCGGTTATTGACTGTCAGAGACTCGATACCCAAAGCAGTCTGGCGTAGTCGCTCTCTGGCGGCTATTGAAGTGCCACTAGGCCTGACTGTATGATGCATTTGTTCACTATCCCCCATTCTGGGCCTTCCGAGTCCTCCACTTTTCGCCTTCCGGACTGCGTTTCCGTCATTATTCCATGATTCCTGTGGTCGACTCCCCTCAATGAATGAATGACCTGCAGACTTTTCCGATTCGGAAATGCCAAATGCAAGATCGTGTCTCCCTTGTCTCATCGTGCTAAAAAGGAAAAGGAAAAGGAAAACAAGCGGGCTTTTTCCTCTTCCTCCCACTCCTCTCGCGCTTGCCCTGCACCGTCTTTCTGCCACTTACTTCTGCTGCTGCGCTGCACTGCAGCGCTCTGCACGCACTTTACTGCACCTTCCTCGCCTGCACTAAAATGCCGCTTAGTACACATGGGACTCTAAACTAAACCGACTTAGTGTGGGGACAGGCAAGGACGCAGACCCAGGTTTTCTCTTCTTCCTGGTGCAACGCCGTCGCCGTTGTGGGTTGGGCTTCAGTCCTTGGGTCAATGCCAGTCCCATTCCCATAAGAGGGAGAACTTACCCGCCACATCGTGACTGTTGCAAAATTGCCTCATTTTCTGCTGCTGACTGCGGACTGTACCCAAAGAAAGACACTGCACTCCAATCTGCGCAGCACATTCAATGCTATACACTGAGCACCGAAACTGATCGCCCTTTCCTACTCTACAGTCTCCTCCTCTCCTCTTACTCAGACTTTACTACTGTCGTGTGCCATCTTACTCATTTCGCTCACATCCTCCTCTTTCCCTCTCTTCACTCTCACCGAACTTCATCATCATGCTGTCCTACGAGAAGAGACCCGCCATGGGGAACCCGACACCGGCGACGTCAGATCACCTACCTCTCAACACTTCCTCCTCGAGTCTGCAAACCAATGGCTTGACATCCAGCAAGAACCAGCCAAAATCCGAACATCACCACCTCTGGCTGGTAACTGGCCCCGCCGGTTGCGGAAAGAGCACCGTTGCACAATTCATCGCCAATGCCATGAACCTGCCCTACATCGAAGGCGATGAAGTATTACCTCACCTTCCCTCTCCATTGGTCTTCCACTAACCAAGATGCTCAGTTCCATCCTCAAGCCAATGTCGACAAGATGTCCAAAGGCATACCTCTCACCGATGCCGACAGATGGGATTGGCTTACCCGTCTGCGAGACGAATCATTACAACGTCTGTCCTCTGGGTCTCAAGGTGTCGTCCTGACCTGCTCTGCCCTCAAGAGAAAATACCGAGACGTCATCCGCGTCGCTCCTTATTACGACCACGACGTCCGCGTCCATTTTATATATCTGCATGCACCAGAAGAGGTCCTCATCCAGCGGGTTCAAGCCAGACAAGGACATTTCATGGGCGCGAGTATGGTACATAGTCAATGCAGCATCTTGCAGCCGCCCGGAAAGGAAGAGACCGACGTCATTTCCGTCGATGTCAGCGGGAGTCTCGAACAAGTCGAAGAGGAGGCACTTTCGAAAATCGAAGATGCCATTGCGAGAGAACTCATGCGCGACTCATAATCGTGGTGATCGGCGTTGCGCCTGCATGTTTGCGTTTTGCGGGGAAAGAAAGGCTTGTTGCTATCATCGTGCATGGAGTTTAAAGTTCTCGGACCATCAATCACCACGGGCTTTCCTTTGCTCTACCCTAATTCCTTCTCCTCCTTGTTCTTTCCTTCCACCATCATCTTTGGGCGTCTAATACCGAGTATGCATATCCTCGATTCCAACACGAGGGACGCTTCTCCTTTTTGGGGGTTTTCAGCATTTCATCACCACTGGTTTTGGGCAAAATTGGCGTATGGCTTTTTCCTTGCTTGCAAATACTTCATGCGAGTATGCGCTTAGATGAAATGCATCCATGGATGCTGGGGCTCGGGGTTCCTTTTCCACAAATCTACATGTAGAAGCAAGCAGCACAAGAGATTAGATGAATATGCAAGAAGTGCTTATGTCCTCGTCATTCAGTTGATTGTTTCGTTCGCACTTTTCAACACACACTGCTAGTCCTTACCGAATTGTGTATATGTTCATTCAATCCAAAGCATCATCTACGAATCGCTTCATTTCATTTCTACTGCTCATCTATGCAATGCAATGCCAGACTCCCTCCCACATGGCGGGGTAGATTTTTTTCCTGGGTTGCCCCGCACATACCACACTCAATCACCCTAAGCCCTGTCCTGTCCGACAACACCATCACCAGTGAGGCTGATAGACTAGACTAGGGTCCAAGCACCATTGGTCGTTTCCCCTTTACACAACATTTCGTCTGATATCCCGATGTCGGGAACAGGCTCACCGAAGATGAATCCCCATCCCCTCCACGCCCTCCACGAACCCTCTCACCATCTCAGCAGCCCTCGCCATCGTCGCCCCGTCAATAACCCTATGATCCGCGCTCCAGCTAAAATTGCACACTTCCTTCCTCACCACCGTGCCCTCTTCGTTAAACGCTGGAACACTCCTCACCTTCCCAATACCCAGGATGGCGACCTCGCGCTCCACGATCACGGGCGAGACGTAGGTCCCGCCTATCGAGCCGATATTCGACACCGTGATCGTCCCGGACGATAGATCCGCGGACGAGAGTCGAGATTCTGAGGCCAGGGATTGGAGTCTCGATATCTTGGCCGCGATGTCTAGGATTGACAGGGAGGCGGCGTCTTTTATGACCGGGACGAGGAGGCCGGATGGGGTGTCCATTGCTATGCCGATGTTGTGCTGAGAGCGGTACACGAGGGTGGGTTTAGTGGTCTTGGGGTCGGTGTCTACGCGTGCGTTTAAGATCGGGTATTGGGCTAGGGTCATGGAGACGGCTTTTATGATGAAGGGTAGGAAAGAGAGTTTCGAGATTCCGTTTTGGGGGGTGAGGGAGAGGGATTTATTGAGGCGGTGGCGGAGGGAGGAGAGTGTTATGAGGTCGAGTTCTTGGGCGTAGAGGAAGTGCGGGATGGAGAGGGATTTGGTCATTGTTTTGAACATTTGGTGTTGGGTTGTTGAGAGGGGGGTGATGGTTTCGGTTTGTTGGCCTGGGGTGGTGGGTTGTTTGCTGGGAGTTGAAGGGGTTGTGTCGCGGTGTTTGGCGTATTGGTAGACGTCTTCTTTTAGGACTCGGCCGTCTCGGCCTGTGCCTTGGACATCCTCGATGTTGACATCTAACTCTTTCGTTAGATGTCGGACGGCGGGCGTAGCTAGTGAAGCATGTTTGCCCTTTGGTGGTGATGGTGCTTCCTCCTCCATAGCGGGAGTCTCAGGAGCAGGCTCAGCTTCTGGAACCCGAGCTTCCGTATCCTCTGCCTGGATCTGAGATTCCTCTCCCTCAGTCACAGCAGCTAGATCCTCCTGCTTGATCTCTCCCTGTATATCGATATCCACCAGAGGTTTGCCCACTTTGGCCATTTCCCCGGCTTCATAATGGAGCTTCTTGATCACTCCTGCGAATCGGCTTGTGATTTCGACGGAGGCTTTGTCGCTTTGGACTTCGCAGAGCTTGTCCCATTCCTCTACTCTGGCTTCTGGTTCTACGAACCATTGGATGATTTCACATTCTCGGATTCCTAGTGCAGATATTAGTTATTGTGTTTATTGAATTGGAAACGAACATGCTACGACCACCCTACGCCTGATACCCTACAAGCAAACTATGTATAAACCAAACAATCAGACGAGAAAGAAAAGATTTCAAACCTTCTCCAATGTCCGCCAGAAGAAAGGGTTTTATGACCAGAGCTTTGGCAGTAGCATGAAAGCACCGAGCTGTCCGTGGTGACTGTCTCTGAATCAGACCACTGTAATTCAGCCAATGACGCAACGCAATCCGCGAATATGATCGTAAATGCATCTTGAACTAACTCCGAACTCCTGAAATATTCTAAGAGAAAAGGAAATCACATTCTTGGAGAACTTATTGAACCCCAGATCTCCCCGCACATTGTTTGTGAGTAAGGGAAGGCCGCCGATAACCGCCTTTGACAGGGATCATGCCTGTCTCTGTCCTCTCGGCTTAGAAGTTTTTGATAATGGCCTTTTCGAGCTTGAGTGAACCGACACTGGGACCGTGACAAACAAGATGATCACCACTCGGACACCTGCCCAGATCTTGAGGAGTGGGGTCGGCGTTGATTCAGCAGCTTGTCTGCTATGTCAATGGCGGTCATTCAACTCTTCGTATCGCCTATTGGCTGATAAAGAAGCTTCTAAGTCCTCACCACCAGAAAGCAAAGCTACACCCAAGGAAGTTCCAGACCCACCACCAAAACCACCATCCCCTCTCGCAGATGCACCAAGATCCTACGGTAAAGCCGTAGAGGAGTTCACACCCAAACCTCTCAGTCGACCAATTGGTCTTCCAAGACCACCGCGATCAGGAGAGAATGCTGGAGTAGACACCCGATCATGGAGACAGAGACGAGATGACTTTGTGGATTACGAAAAACACATTGTTCGGAGAAAAGAGCTGTAAGCCAGGTCAAACTATATGTCAAGATGGGATTGATGCTAATAAGACAATAGGACTAAGAAGATCTCCGCACCCTACTTTCGAGATTTCTCAAATATGCGCCATCATAAAGGGAAATCCTTCCTAGCACCTCCTAGACTATTCAAAGCAGATAAAGCGTTGTATTTCCCGAATTTCCAGGGACAGACATTGTTGAAAGATAAGACACCCAAGGATACAACACCGTTATTTGAGGATAAGGTGTCCGTTGTTAGTGTGTTCAGCAGTCAATGGGCGGAGAACCAAGCAGCTACTTTTGCTTCGGAAAAGCAGAATCCGGAATTGCATGAGCTGGTCAAGAGTAGTGATGGGATGGCACAGTTGGTGCAGATCAATGTGGAGGAAAATGCTTTGAAAGCTTGGATTGTTAGGATGTTTATGGGGAGTTTGAGGAAGAGGCTTGGAGAAGATAACTGGAATCGATATTTCCTAGTTCGGAGGGGGATTACAGATGAGATTCGAGACAATATCGGACTACTGAATAGCAAGGTCGGGTATACGTATTTGTTGGATGGAGAGTGTAGGATCAGATGGGCTGGCAGTGGTCCAAGCGAGGGGGATGAAAAGGAGAGTCTGGTCAAGGGAGCCAGGCGACTGGTTGATGAATTAAGGGCTAGGAGGAAGTTGAGACCCCTTTCAACACCAAAGGAGGCAGTGAAGCCTGGAAATGTCGAAAAGACCGCCGCAATGGCTGCATGATATTGAGGATATACCCATACTTGTACAACATAATCTGGCTAACCAGCCACCTTAAACGCCCGCTCAATGCAATATTCGTGCCCTTCCTCTCACATGAAATATATAAATGCCAATAAACAGAATGCAATGAAGCTTCCGAAGATGATCCCATCTCTCCTCTTCTTGGCAGATATTCTTCCAATCAAGCTGTTTAACCCTGGAACTTGTGCCGCTGCTCCAGTAATCCGTCGATTGATGGACATCAACGTCTCTCTCTGTAACCCAAAACTCTCATTCACAGCGTACGCTTGACTGAGTACGCTATCTGCCATATTGTGACTATTGTCTATCCTCGACCGCTCATCAAGCATGTAATCTGCTTCCGCTGCTTCGGGATTGCTGGAATGATAGGCATCGATATCGTTTCGGACATTCGATAATAGATTCACCCGATTCCGTGCATCTTGGATTTGGGACTTTAATCGTGAAAGCTCTTTTCTGTGCTCCTGCAGTATTTCTCGGTGGCGGGCAAGGTTGTTTTGTTTGAGTGCGGAAGCTGTGAGTTGTGCTTCTGAATCGAGGAGGCGGGAGAGTTGAGCTATGAGGGTTTCTCGCTGGAGAATGTTAGCCAAGCAAGGACAATCAAGGGCGGATATTCCTCACCTTTTCTAGAAGATCCTGTATCTTTGCTTCTGTTTGTTTCTCATCCTCTGAAGGTTTCGCTGGTATGTTTGGTACTGAGCTGAACTGCGAGTATGTGTGGAATAGTGTTTCTGTCTGTAAAGTGGTCAGTTCTCGCCTCTTTCTTCTGTTGCTGGTTTCAGCCATACCTGAGTTTCTAATGATCGAGCTTGCTGACGCAGTTGGGCCCAGCCAGTTCCTGTAGACGACATTGTGAATTATTGTTGATGAGAATGGCACGTCACCCAAACCATCAAGAGATGCCATCGGAAACCGAATCGGGGTCAAAAGAGCCGCCTCCCGACATTTGAGGCTAAGTCACGTGCGAACAGGGATCTCTCGCTTACTTATACACCTCAGGCAACTACGCCCACTGAACTTTTGCGAATTTGAGGTCGAAATTGAATCTAATATTTGACCGTGACAACATCGACTACCGACACCTCGACAAACCCACCTACGACAAACCATCATCATGGTAAGATATGCCAGTTACCCGCTATTCATTCGAGGATCTGGATGATATGAGAATTGTAGAGGAAGAAGGCTAATTGCGCATGCGACAGTCGTCCGGAAAAGTCAAGACTGGCCAACTTTGGTCGAAGAACAAGGCGGATCTTGCGAAGCAACTGGGCGAGCTGAAGACCGAGCTGGGACAACTCCGTACACAAAAGATTGCTGGAGGATCTGCTTCAAAGCTGACCAAGATGTGCGTATATCCTCGAAATTTCCGTTTCACCAAGCCTCGAGAACCCACAAATACCTCTACCAATTCAATACACATCATATCAAGCCCAATGGGAGAAGGAATGAATAGCTGATATTTTGATATAGCCACGATCTCCGAAAGTCAATCGCCAAGGTCCTCACCGTCATCAACGCCAATCAACGCTCGCAACTCCGCCTCTTCTACAAGGAAAAGAAATACCTGCCCCTCGACCTCCGACCCAAGCAAACACGCGCCATCCGAAGACGCCTCAGCAAGGATGAGAGCAGCCGGGCACTGGAGAAGACCAAGAAGCGCGCCACCCACTTCCCGCAACGAAAGTATGCTGTGAAGGCTTAGAGGAGGTTTCGCGGCGGCGGGTTGATGTGCATTCTGGCTTTTCTTTTGCGGGGAATGGGCGCGGCTTGATTTGATGCAAGGCAAGGCAAGAAGCAAATGGGTCTGGTGTATCATCGAAAAACGATTGCGTAAATCGACATAGCATGGTTGGTTGGTATGGGAAGCCAGCCCAAATAAAGTCACGACATTCGAGCAAAAGCTTTCGTTTCTGGGTGCCATACGTGATGTGATGTGGAGGGTTCTTCTAGGTGTTTGGTTTGCAATATACAGTCCTTGGGCCCGAGTGGACTCGAAGTCATGAGGCTGGTTGGAGACATTGAAAGTATCGCTGCAACTCGTTGACCCTGAGGATGTTCCTACATTTCTCCAATTTCACTTGTCAAATGAACCCCCAGTGACTGCTAAACTCATCCTCGTATCTTGGTTCTGGAAACTACTCTACTTGCCTTGGCTTTTGAAAGTCAAGTTTCGGTTTTTTCATGTTGAGAGTCTTCCTGATTACCCTGTTGTCTCCCAAAATCCACCGCGAATGTCTGCAGAAATACCCCTGAAAAATTCTAGCCAGAACCTCAGAAATACGACGATTCCAAAGTGTTCCATAACTGGTGAAGTGTTCGTCTTCAGATTTCCAGAAATGGTCTTCTCCAAAGTCTTACATCAATACAGTAAAATTTGTTGAAGAGGTCACATTCAAATACCAGCCGCTCGCAATCTTTCACTCTGATCACCCACTCTCCAAAAAGAAGATGTATCATATAGTTATTGATATGGTAAAACCAAAGCTAAGCGCATCACGCTCACAGGTATCCTATTCCATTCATCCCTCTACTTCCTATCACAAAAAGCCATGTCACGCACGCTATGCCAAAATCATCTACCTAATTATATCCCTCCACCTCCACCGTCAAGCAGTCCCAGAACTACTCCCCGTCTCCGTCCTCTCCGTAACACTCTCCTCATCCTCGCCCCCCTTCCTCCTATGCACCAACCGATGTCTCCGCAACTGATCCAACCTACAAAAACTCTTCCCGCACCCCTTGAACGTACACTCATGACTCTGCTTATCCTCATGCGTCCTCCTATGCTTCGACAAATTGGACGATTCTGAGAACTTCATGCCGCATATATTGCATTCCAATGGTTTTTCCTTGGTATGTGTTCGCTCATGGATTGCTTGGTCCTCTGTTAGTAAGGAATAATAGGGAGAGGAAGGAGGGGACCTACTGCAAGCGCTTTGCTGGGGGAATTTTTTGCCGCAGTGTTTGCATACCCATGGTTTTTCGCCGGTGTGGAGGAGGTAATGCTGTCTCATGGCTTGGGGGGCGGAGAAGAGTCTACCGCAGCCGGGCCAATCGCAGCGAGAGGATTTATCTGTATATGTTAGCTGTTGCTCATAAAGGATGGGTGGTGGAGACTTACAGTTGGTGTGAGTAGCCATGTGACGCTCCAATTTACCCCGCTGTGTGAAGCCTATTTTATCTTTGGGGACTTTTTCTTCGCGGTTGCAGCCTTCCCATTGACACTTATATCCGGATCGCTTGTCTAAGAGGTCTAGATGTGCGGTCTTGATGTGCTTTTGTAGTGCATCCTCGGAACCGCAGTCCATAGAACATACTACACCTGGTTGGAGTTTCCACTTGCATATATGAAGATCTTCCTCCCCTTCATTCTCTGCTTCTGCATTCGGTTTGGCGGCTGCATCAGGTTCGTCCCGCATCAATGGTTCTTGTATTGGGACGGGTGCTGTTGGAAAAGCAAGGTCAATGTCTGAGTCTTTGGGCTGCTGTGGAATCTGATGCTCTAGCGTAACATGCGACCATAGTTGATTGTAGTCTTGGAAGTAATTCCCACAAGTGTCCACCAAGCATTGTAACGAGCCATGAGCGGGTATGGCATGAGCAACATCGAAATGATTGTGTAGCATTGCTGGGTTCAAAAATGTTTCTCCCTGAGGACAACTTGGAGCAGGACAACTGAAGCCACCGGTGCCCATGTTGAAGTTGTATCCGTGATCATTCTGCAAATGCTCTAGAGGATTTGCCTTGATTGGTGATGGACAAGTGTCTGCTTGAGCAGGGCAGTCGAAGGTCATCTGGGGATCGATATGGTCTCTGTGGAAATGAGAGAAGTAATCGTGCTGGCTAACGAATGGCTGTCCACACCCAGACCAACCACATTGAAACATGAACTGGTAGTTTGCATCGCTATCTTGTCCAAAGTTATGCCACTGAGAGTCCGTTGCAGGATTGAACAGTGCTCCAGTACCTGATAACACACCAGCCGTATTATCTGCTTGCGTTGTTTGAGGAAACAAGGCGCTATGAGGAGTCGGCGCTTCTCCATTGGGAGAATGTGGTGTATCAACATTCTTAGCCATAGAGGGAGTCGTTGGCGCAGGTGAACCAGAAGCAGGAGTCTCTTCAGGACCATCAAAGACTTCCAGAGCTGGATCTAGTAGGCCATTCAATGATCTAGTCCCCTGGCTCACAGCTCTTGGGACTTCTGCACTCCACTGCGTATTCTCCCACGAAGATATCCGCCTTTCAGTTGGCACAATACCATTGTTCAACCTGGCTTCCTGTTGCTGGACTGCCACTTTCAAACAAGGATTTGGACACACTGGTTGTGCGCATGACTTTCGAGTACAAGGCACAACCTCTTCCACGACTTCGTCGCAGTCGGTCTTGTCGCATGGGGCACAATTTGGTTCGTCACAGGGTGCGCCTGAAGGACAGCTACTGCAGCATTCACTCTGCGTTCCATCTTGCCCGTTCCCAAGCTCTTTCTTGTTTATCTGTGCGTGGTTCTCGTCGACAGAAATTTGGGCAATCTTTTGCCGCTTCAACGGTGGCAGAGGTGCTTGGGCTGGTCTCGTTCTTTGGGCGAAAGTATAGAGCTCATGAGGAAGATTCGGCGCTTGGTAATGGGGGTATAGAGGTTGTCCCGAGAAGGCATTTGTATTCGAAGCTTTCAACTGAGTCCCATATCCTAAGATATTACCATAATAGTCCTGAAAGAAAGGTGCTGATTGCGTAGGCTGAGCAGTGTCTGTAAAAGACGTATAATGAGGTTGAGGCCAGAAATCGTCTCCAGGCATCTGTTGACCGAAACCCAAGGGGTTTGAATACTGTCCCTGTTCATTCATGGCGCGGATCTGAGGGGTATGGGTGTCGAATATCCCAAGGTGATTGCTGACAATCCCTCCAAGATTGCAACTGGCGAGACTAGATAGATAGAATGTCTTGGACTTGTAGTTTAGACAATAGTTGCCACAATTTTAGTCTCCTAGAAAGAGATATCAAGAAAAAAATCTCATTACCATAAAAATTGGTTCAAGAGGCGGAAATACCCAGAATGGCGTCCCGCTGCCAGATGATATCAAAAGTTTCGTGAGGCCATCAAGGTTCTCAATCACGAAATTGTCCTCGGCCGCTTCTACGTTGCCTCCAGACCCCTCTTTGAAAAGACTCTGACTAATAGTAATGCGAGTAATGCATAAGATGTCGATTTTCGGCTTTGCAAGTCATGAAAGTGAATGATGATGAGTGAAAAGAGAACAATTTGAAATTCCTACGCAAACGTGCTTTTATTTTGCTCGATGGCCATTGGCCAGCCCTCACTTGACTAAAACCCCACCATGCCCGCATGCGTCCTCAAGCATTCACCTTATCGATAAGATGTGCAAGTGAATGCGTGCGAGCATGCCATGCACTCAGTGGTCAATTGAGGGACAGAAGATATACCTCCTCGTGGTTGCCATGCGACAAAATAGAGATAATTTCTGGTACTAGGTAGCACATTGAACTATTGTATACGTTTCCCAAGATCACAACGCCAAGAGAGACACAGCCATCATCCAAGACAGTAATTTTGCCGCTGATTGCCTTGCTTGTTGTCGCACTGCAAACATCCACTTCCTCCGACGACAACCTCAAGTCCAGCATGCGATAACGTCAATCCTCCACCACAACCTCACCAAAACCGACAATCCTCCCGCAATTATTTGGCTCTTGATCAACACTCTACAGCTAGTACCCAAGATCCCGAAACTTCAGAAAGATGGGCAATCTCTGCGGCAAAGAATCCAAAGACAACTTCTCTCAACCCGGACGAACATTATCCTCTGCGCCCCCTCAAAACCAAAAGCCCATCTCCTCACTACCAAAGAAAGTCGGCGGGCCACCACGAACACTAGGCTCCGCATCGACAGCGCCGGAAGCAGGAGGGAGCGCGGCGGAGGATGCGAGACGGAAAGCTGCGGAAGCTGCTGAGGTATGAGATAAAAAGGGATATAAGAGAATTGCTAATGAGGAATATACAGGCTCGCGCAAACGCAGCGAATAAACCGAAAGGAAAGTTGGGGAGTCAGTTAGCGGAACAGAAGAAGCAGACAAGGACGGATACATTGGATGCGGCGAGTCGGGATGAACTTAGGATGAGAGATGCAGATGCAGGGCAGGAAGCCAGGGTGTACAACTGAATGATTCAATGATTCACGAGCATACAAAGATCACATAGGCGGGCGTTTTGAGTATTTGAGTGCGGGGGCAGGGTGAGAGCGTATTGAAAGCCAATACGGGCTCGGGGTTGTATTTAAAGGGTCAACGCTATCAACGCTATTATTGACAAAGCGGGCTAAACAACATTATATCTACCGCTGGCAGGAGCTCTGCCCTCAGCGTCGGCTGCAGCCATAGTACCCTCCTTCAATAATCTCATCAACTCCCGCATGGCATTGGTGACCACAACTTCCGTGTCGCCTTCGACGAGGATATAAAGTTTTGGATCACCACCAGGTTGCACGTCTTTCCCAGCAGGGTAGAAGCTTCCTTTGGTGGTGATAGATGTACCAGTAGCCTCCAAAATCTTTGCAACATTCGTTCTGTTTGTGACGGCCCATCTGGCTTTTTGAGGGAAGTCGTTGATCTCCAAAGTTGCATGGAAAGCGCCTGCATCAGGACCTTTATTATCAATTGGCACTCCTGATCGTAATTGACCAGTCTTGTTGAGTCGAGCATTGATAGCATCGATGGCTGATGTGACCTTTTCAAGAGGATTCTTAGATCCACTCCCACCTGGCGCTGCGGTTTCGGTTCGGTGCACGGTGATCTTGCCGTCAAGATCAATGCCCTTAGGTACGCCAAATAGAGGAGCTGAAGGAGCTGCGGTCGCCGACTGTACAGTAGATGCAGCTTTGAGAACGATATCATCATCACCGGTCTTGTCTTCCTTCTCTTCTTCGTCGTCTCCATCAGTTTTGTGTGTTTTCCGTTCTCTCATTCTAGCCGCCTCTCGCTCGGCGTCGAGTCGTTCAAGACCTATTATTAATTAGCATCAAGGCTCGATAAAAAGGGACGGAAGGAAGTGATCATAATCGAGATCGATGAAAAAAAGGGAGAGGGGTCATACCTTTACCGCCGAAGCCAGAGCTGTCCTTCATCTTTCCAGTCTTGACCTTGTCACGGAAAGACTTTCGCATATCATTCAGTCGATCAGGTACTGGCTGGCCTGACTGTTCAAGGGCTTTGGCAATTCCAACGGAATATTGCTCTTGATCCTCGGTAACGAATGTGACTGCTGTACCCGTATTTCCAGCCCGACCTGTCCGTCCGGCTCTGTGGACATAATCTTCCAAGTGGTTAGGTGCATCGAAATTGACAACTAACTTCAACTGCTTGACGTCCAGACCACGGGCAGCCACTGAAGTGGCAATCATGATCGGCACGACACCGGCTTTGAAATCATCGATAGTGGAGTCTCGATCAATTTGATCTTTCCCACCATGAATAGACATGCAAGGATAACCTTTGCGCATGAGATCCTTCAACAAATCGTCGGCTTTTTCCTGTCTGTCAACGAAAATCAGAGTACGAGCATCCTCATCCTTGTCGTACAACTCTCCCAAGAGTTCAAGCAAACGATGGAACTTGTCCTTCTCTTCACGAACCTCGACAATTTGAGTAATCTCCGGAGCAACTATACTCCTGCCACCGACAGTGATCTCGACTGGATCTTGAAGAGTCTTCTTGGCTAGTGCATCCATGATTCGAGGCATTGTAGCCGAGAAAAGAATGGTTTGTCTATTCGGCCGAATATTGGCGAAGATCTTCATGACTTGGGGCTCAAATCCCATATCGAACATACGATCTGCCTCGTCCAGTACAACATATGTAACTCGACGAAGATTGGTGACTCTGCCAGAATTTGCAGCGAGAAGATCTATCATACGGCCAGGGGTGCAAACAATAATCTCGGCACCCCTTTTCAGGTCGGCAATCTGATCTTTGATGGGAGCTCCACCATAGGCACAAACAGCTCGTAGATTCATTGCCTTAAGGAAAGGCTTGCATTCCTTGTGAATTTGGGTTGCAAGCTCACGCGTAGGAGTCATAATCAAGCTGATTGGACCATCTGAGCCTTCCAACGGTCGCTGGTCGCGAATGTGACGAAACATGGGGAGCAGAAATGCAATTGTCTTACCAGAACCAGTTTTGGCCACACCAATGACGTCTCTGCCAGACATTATTGATGGGATTGCCTGCATTTGAATCGCAGTCGGTCTCTCATAGCCAAGCTTGCGAATGACTTCTAAAGATTGAACGTTGAGACCGCACTGTGACCATTTTTGCACAGGTTTGGGAACACTCTTGCCCGCAACTTTGATACCGTCTAGCTCGAGGCGCAGATCAGCAAGTTCGGCTTCACTCATATCCGCGAGCTCAGCCGGCTCCGAGTAGAAATTTTTCCGGAACGGTTCCAGATCCAACTTTGCGTAGTTGATTGTTGGCAATTCCTTCTTCTTTCGAGCCTTGCTTGCCATGGCAAGAATGTCATCTGGGTCGGCGTCAAGAGCTTTGAGGTCAACATCATCGTCACCAAATAGAGGCTCTGGTTCTTGCTGAAGATTCTTGCCCTTACTCTTGTTGAAAGTCTTGGCTTTGGGAGCAGCGAATGGGTCACCCATCTCATCCATGAAGGCATCCAGGGGATCAATATCGTCATCCTCCTCCATTGCTGTAGGTTCAACTTGTGGTGTTGCTTGTTCCTTCATTTTAGTGTCGCCATTGGTCTCTTGCGGCGCTTCGACAAGGTCCTCGGCTATCTTTTTCTCTTCTTGAAGTCGTTCTTCTCGTTTCTCTGCTGCTGCTCTAGCTGCAGCGGCAGCCTCCTCTTCGGTGCCAGCATCCTCCATGTCGACATCGCCGTCATCTTCTTCCTCGACACCGTTAGCGAGCGCAGCATCCTCATCTACAGTTTTTGCCAATGGTAGGGTCGGTAGCTTCTCTAACTTCTTCCTTGACCCTTCATCCTCGCCAAAATCCAATGTCCTTTTAGATGTAGATTTGTCAGGGTCTGCTGCAGGTTTTCCACCTAATCCGAATGCACTGAGGTTTCCTCTGGCTTTGGGCAACGCAGATACTAGTTCAACAATGTGAGTAAGACGATCTTGACAAGAACGGGAGGATGAAGACACACCTTTGGACGAGCTGTTGAAAGCTGTTGGCTTTTTGTCAGCTTGTAATCCTTTCACCGAGGAAGGTAAGGTAGCGGACGCTTTAGTCAATTCTTCCAGAGGCAAATCCGTCCCCAGAGTATTCGCAGATGATGAATTGGCAACTGCCTTCTTTGCTATTGCTTTTGGGTCGAATTTGCCAGCATATGGCTGTGGAGAGGCAACGGCGGCTGGTGATGCTGGAGACCCCAAGGATGGGGATCCGTTGGCTTTTTGATCTATTTCTTCAAGAAGCTTGCGAGTTCCACCTGCAGCAAGTTCTTTCTCCTTACGCTCCTTATCTTCAGCCATTTTCTTCTTCCATGCTTCCAACTTAGCAAGACGTTCCGCCTTCTTGTCAGCCTCAATTTGTGCAGCCGAAGCACTTTGTTTCGCCGTCTTTGAGTTGACGTTAGCTCTACCTTCCAGATACCCAAGCTGGCTTCTGCTTACCTCACTGGGTTTCGCAACATCAGATTTATTCGATGATTTTCGAGTATCGCCATCACCTCTGCTACGGGACCACGAGTCAGTAGAGTCCTCCCGGCGCCTTGGTGCCCTGTCATAAGAATCGTCTCGCCTATCACGGTATTCCCGGTCTCGACTTCTGCGCCGTCTCCTATCTGGAGAGCGTTCGCGTTCTCGGTCAAATCTGTCTCTTCGGTCTCGCGATCGATCTCGTCGTCCAGAGCGGTAGTAATCATCCTCCCTCCGGTCTACTGATCTATCTCTGCGTCTGGGTGCATCTCGTTCGCGGTGGCGGCGCTGTTGCAGATGATCAGAATGACGACTGCGGTTGTGGAAGATTTGGTTACTCACATCCACACTGCGAGAGCGGCTCCGCCTCCGTGATCCACGCGGATCATCTCTCCAATCCCGATCGCGTCTACCATCATCCTCTCTCTTTACCCTCTTCGACGAGTGCTGGCTTCCTGCTGGCGATGGTGAGCGAGAGTCCCTGTGCCGAGCCATTCTTGCCCGAGTCAATGGCAGAAATACTTTTTGGCAGGACTAGAGATAGCGCTGCAAATGAGCTCAAATATGCGGGAATACTGAGAACATTCACGGCGAACTCTCTGACTAACAGAAGAGTTGTTGGTCGAAAGTATTTGTGTCGCGAAAAGAAGTTGCTTTCTCGACGCCTTGACGCTGTAATGAGGCACGAGGCAAAAGATTCAATTGCCCTGATGGTTTCAATCGTTAGCCGTAGTAGCTGTCGAACGCCAGAGCTTAATTTTAGCGTCGATGATGTTAAGCGAATTGGGCAGCTGGGCTTAAAGACGGCAGCTCGCGTGCATTAAATTGAAGGGGTTGGGTCAGGAACAACGCCCATCCTCTCCCTTGCGCCATTCATCGTCACTTCCATTCTCCCCGAATTGAGACATCGAAATTCTCGACACCTCGAATATATCCCGTCGCATACACCACTATCATGTTGTCCATTATTGGGCGGGCTGCCGTGAAGAGGGTAGTCGCGGGTGGACCTCAATCAACAAACCGAGCTTTACAGAGCATCTGGCAACTCCAACGCGTTCCTGTCCCTGAAAGCGCCGATAATGCTCCATCCCGATCCCAAGTCCTGTTCCTTTATAAGCGATCATATGCCACGACTACCGTCACTAAAGCTAGAGCTGCGCGAAGCCCGAGGTCGACAACTACAGCAAAACCCAAAACGAAGGCAGCTCCCAAAAAGGCGGTAAAGAAGCCAGCGAAAAAGCCAGCAAAGAAAGCAAAGCCAGCACTCAGGAAGGCCAAGAAACCGGTCAAAAAGCCAGTGAAGAGGAAGGTCTTGACGGAGAAACAGAAGGAGTTGGCAGTAATCAAGGACTTGAGGGCAAAAGCTCTCTCGATCCCTACGATGAAACCACCCTCCGCTTGGCAAGTTTTCACAGCAGACCAGTCCAAAACCTCTGGAGCGCCGCTCACTGAAAGAATGTCTGCGTTCGGCCAGCAATACAAGTCCTTGAGTCCGGCAGAGCTTGAGGTAAGAACCGTTCCGCGGATGGTTTTGCGTACTAAGATTTCACAGTCTCTCAATCACATTGCCAATGAGAACAAGGAGACAAACGCAGTGCAGTACAAGCAATGGGTCGAGTCGCACACTCCCGATCAAATCAGGATCGCCAATAACGCACGCAAGCTGCTGAAGAAGAAGTACAACAAGAAACACCTCGCAACAATTGTAGATTCCCGCCAGCCGAAACGACCAGCTAATGCCCGAGCTATGTTTGTGAAGGATAGGTACGATTCAGGTGATTTTAAGGGGATTAAGTTCGCAGAAGCCTCAAAACTGGTCCAATCCGAGTGGAGCGCACTCTCGCCCAGTGAGCGAAAGGTTAGTCGCTAACTTTCCTGCAAGAGTACCTTTTTCTAACTCCCATAGGTGTATGAGGATAGTGGAAAGTCAAACGTGAACCGATACGTCCAAGAATACAAGACGGTGTATCATAGAGACTCGAGAGCCCAAATCCCAAAGTAACAGGCCTGTTTCGATGTACAACCACCAGATCTTTCCTTAACAGCAAACACTCACGGTGCTTGGCGTCTGGATTGAATTGATACTGCTGTCAATACGCTGGTGCAAAGGGTAGCTTGGGTATGGGAAGAGGAGTTGTAGCAATACCATGGTGGAGGATGTCTGAATATACCTATGCGCAATGAATGCTTTGCTGATTGGACGTTTATTGATGTATTGTTAGGGGAAGCCCTGGACAGACCGAGGCATGTCAGATAAGAAATGAAGAGGCACCAGCCTGATTTGATTATGAGCTGCATTATTTGGGTCTCCATGGGTTGTCTTTTTGGTTTACTGAGGCAGAACTTGCGAACATTGAAGACGCCGCACTATATAAGGTTGCCTTCAACACTTTTCTCAAGGCCGTCGTCCACCTTGGTTCAGGTTGCATGCCAAGCTCTATCACTATCATTTTTGGAAGTCACGCTCCTTCAGTAAGATAACACCAACACTATTGCAGTGGAGAACAGGTCATACCAAGATTTCAAAGTGTACTTACCAACATACTCTTCAAGCTAGTAGCAATTCTAAATCGAGTAACGACTACTTTGCTAAATTGTCCATGATAAGTCTAAAAAGCTTGTTGACTAGTTTTCTCTGCTTAACAATGGTCTCTATGTAATAGCTCTTTCTTTGAATGGCGCACTGAGGGAGCTATTTACGCTGAATGCGCTGAGTGCGCTGAGTGCGCTAGATGTGTTACTCGAACGTGCTACAAAACTTGATCATCTGTTTTTATGAAATAGCTTTGTCTTCTTGGAGCCTCAAAGGGTGTACAGTATGATACCAACTTGCTGTCAGTTGTCTCCATTCGAAGGTCTCTAATCAAGTGATCTCTGTTCAGTAAGTTTTGTTCAACAAGTCTCTACTCAAGAATTATGTAACAAAACTTTATCCTCAGTTATGACTGAAGACTTCACCTTTCTTCTTATGAAAGTTCTCTAGAATGAAAGGAAAAACATATGATTTACTCCACACATTATCTTAGAACCTTAGGGGCGAATTAACCTCCTCGTGGTGGATGAGAACTTTGAACCGTGCTCAGAGGGATTCGTTAGTGCTCCATAATTGAGTTAGGCAAGATGTTTCCTTTTTGGGGTTTATACTACCTACACATGATTCCTTTAGTAGAGAATGCTACGTCACTTGCGATCGCACTCGGAGGGAAGAGAGGAAAGGGAGGGAGTGACGTCGTCACGTGAATGTATTATTCCAATTCGAGATTCTGGGAATTAGAATTGGAGGGAAGGACTTTAGATATTAGTAGATCGAGGATCGTATCTTGTATCAGAAACGAGTCGAGAAATTGAGAAAGAAAACCACTGGCGTTTCCTAATTGCAGTGATGTCCAAATGTTCCTCTGGCTAATTTCTGAAACTCCAACCGTGGATTTGAGAAGATTTCTGAAATAATCAAGCATTTTCGAACCTGGGGATTCGCGGCCTTGTTCGCGGATGGCGATCTTTCCGCTCCACGTCTATTCTTGCTCTCCGCATTGCCTGCCTGCAACAGCACCGTCCAATACAAGTTTAGAAGACTTCGCGCTAGAGCTAGGACTCGGGATACAAGGCCTGGCCTACTATACCTTCTCCCACCTCAGATTTATTCGGAGCCCTCGTCCAAAATCGTGGTCTGGGCTCTAATCAGATTTCAAATGCCTAGATTCGAGCAGAGTCTTAGCTCTTGTTCGTCGGATCTGAGCGAGGCTGTCATCCAATGCCAAAGTGCAGTCCTGCAAGAGATGCTCTGGAAGTCGCTTTCTTGGTGTTCCTAATCAAACAGACGAGATCGTAGCACACTTAGAGAAGGGTTGATTTACTTACCTAGGTACAGGACCTGGGTGTGTTGACCGCCCACCAACATACTCCTCAAAATTCAGCCTTGTTTGCCACCAGCAGTAATGATACAAGGCTGAAGGACGAGACTTCTTGCTGACTAACTTCGCTTCCCCTCCATCTCACTCGCTTGTCCCACTCACCAGGGTCTGCATGCACTAAACTCACTCGAGACTCTCAAATCTTCTCAAATGTGCTCAATCTCTAACCACATCCGACCACCAGTCCCGGTGCGCTGCACCACCAACACCTCACCATGTGCGAACATATGCGCAGGTTTCTCACGGCGACAAGCTTTTGTGGACATCGTACAAGCCTTTTGAGAGACATTTTCAGCCTCTGCCAAGACAACGTACGGGAAATGGCGTTGATAAGATGGAAATTTGATCTAATCTTGCAGATGGGATTCATGATGGTATTTTGAAGAATAAAAAAAAGTTGAGCTGATGTTCTTCTGTTTAAGTATGGAGTTAGCGTTCCCAGAAAAGAAGGACCCGAGAAGGCTTGCACTAGCATGACAGGGTTCTTGCGTGTCAGTGAGCAAGTTGTTCGCGGGCCCTTCGACCTATGCGCATCGAACAATTGATAAGATCGAGGTCTGCCACACTGAGCGTGTTTCAATAATCTTTCTCACGCTGAGAAGCATCTTCCCATAAAGCCAAGCAATTCTTGTCTTTCTGTTGTTGTTGTTGTTCCTGGACTTGCAATACAAGCAATCTAATCAATCTCTTGGCGATCGCATCTGCCGTGGTCCTTCTCGGTACAGTAGTCACTCGGAAGAGATCTTTCTGCGACTTCAATCAACAAACACCACTTTCCAGCTCGAAAGAGGTCAAATTCGCCCAAGATGGATATGGGAGATACGATGACGATGGGCGGTGCCCCAACAGACTCGCCATTGAATGCTTCCGGTGTCGATTTCTCAAATAGTACCCAAGCCGCGAACTTCTTGGGCGAGATCCTCGATGATACAGAGTTCCAAGTCGATGGAAATATGTATGCGAGGAATTTCTGGTTTGGAGTCTGCGCAGTCATTGCTGTGTGTGCGTTCTTCAACTTCTCACAAAAGGCCACCTTCAGGATGAGGTAAGTTTGTGAAGTCTGACTACACTTCCTAAGCTTACTCTGTTACAGATTGCGAGCAGCAGCAGCAAATCGTTTGCGACCTGCCACACCCTCCAACATACTCACAACATCGATAGCATCGATCACGGCTATTGCACGAGAAGCAACGTATTCGCAGTTCACCCCGATACACAATCGATTCGTCAAGGTACCACCAGTCGGTACTATCGCATTGGTAGTAGGTTACTTGGCGTGGGTGATATTACTTGAATTCGTCAACAACAATGTGGATGGCGCACAACACTTTACAGCATTGGGAGTTCGGGCTGCGTGGTTGGCAGTTGCTCAAGTCCCCTTGTTAATTCTCCTTGCTGGGAAGAACAATCTCATCGGAGCCGTCACTGGTGTCGGGTATGAACGACTGAACGTCCTTCACAGATGGACAGCCCGAATTCTGCTCATCCTAGTCACTCTCCATATGCTCTTCCTACATGTGTCATGGAACGCTTATGATCTTGGACCGTTGGAGTACGCTACCGATTCATGTATTCCAACTGGATGGGCAGTTTATGCTATTCTAATCTGGATCAACATCAGCACCATCGCCCCAATTCGGGTCCTCTCATACGAATTCTTCGTGGTACAACACATCATCACCTTCTTCGGCTTCATCATTGCGGTTATGATGCATTTGCCCAGCACCGCACTGTACTCTAGAACCTATATCTACATCCCGATCGCTCTCTACCTCATCGATCGCATCATTCGCTCAGCTAGGTTCGCATGGAATAACATTCGTCCCGGACATGCTACCTTGACTGCATTGGAAGGCGGTGTTACCAGAGTCACTATCAAGAGCAAAGCAATCAAGAAATGGAAGGCAGGCTCTCACGTCTTCCTCTCTATTCCAAGATACGGTTTTAACCAATCTCATCCCGCAACCATCGCTTCAGTTCCGGAATCCCACAATGGCGATCTTGTCTTCCTCCTCAAGTCACACAAAGGTTTCACATCACGTCTCTTCAGAGCCTCCAGCCACGAGTCATCAACGAAGGAAAGTGTCGAAGTAAGTCATTTAGCACTCATCGATGGACCGTACGGTAGCTCTCACGCCGACTTTGCTTGTTTCGATACCATCTTCCTCATATCCGGCTCCACAGGCACCACCTTCACTCTTCCCATCCTCCTCGATATCGCATCTCGAGCTCAATCACAGAAGTTACCGATCAAGCGAATCACCTTCCTCTGGATCGTGAAGAACACTGCCTGGGTATCATGGATCTCCAAGGAACTCTCCTCTGCAGCCGAGAAGCTCAACGCCGTTGGCATCGAACTCGATATCCGTGTTCACGTCACATGTGACGACGATTTCACCACCGGCGCGGAGAGTGGCGACGACGGTAAAGACTGTGATTGTGAGTGTGACAAGAGTCTAGGACCTTGTTGTTGCATCAACGTCGATGATGCCGACACAGTCCGAGAAATCGTCGATGAGAAAGGAACCAAGATCACGTCCAAGAGCTCAGATACTCAAATCAAGGTCAACTCCAGAAGCTCAGGGTCTTCTTCGAGCTTGAAATCTGGGAATGGTGTTAAGAGCAGAGTCTTATCGTGCGCGAGATTCTATAGCGGAAGACCAGATCTTTTCGAGATGTTGTGGGAGAGATTGGAAATCGCAGAGGGCGAGACGGGAGTCGCGGTCTGTGGACCGTTGGGTTTGAGTGCGGATGTTAGGAGGAGTGTGGTCAGATGCAGTGATGAGAGGGGTGTTCATAAGGGAACTGGCGCTCAAGGTGTTTATTTACATGCTGAGTGTTTTGGGTGGTAAACGGACTGGTTCCGGTCATGAGTCATGATTTTTATTAGTTACAGAGCCTGGATACCATAATGAAAATATTTGTACATTTTGGACATATTTTTAGGTTCTTCTAGTCTTTACTGAATCGTAAAACTTGGCGATCCAGTAAGGTTCTGGAGGACTTTGTTGCATATCGAGGAATTGGATGTCTGACCCATGTATTTGGACGTCCGAGACTGTTTCGGTAAGTGGAAGTCTTGGATGTCACACGAATCTGATTTTGTTGCACCTCGTCGTGATGTCCGAGACTATTCGGGATACTGTGACTTGTAGAATGTGGGGTTGGGTTTCAGATATATTCTTAAGCTAGGAGGGAAGAATTAAGGACGAACGTTGGAACTTCAAGTATTGCTATTGTATGGATTCATATTCAGTTCGCGATTCCCGTTCGGTTCTCAAGCCCTTCATACCCTATGTCTTTACATCACGACTCAATGTCTTCGTCTGGCATACGAATCCATCACGGAACCAGAGCCTCCGCACCAAAAGCAGTTAAACACGACCACCAAACCCCACCATCAGCCTCAGAAGTTCTGAAGCTCACCAATTACCCCCTCGAGCTTCAAGAATGGGAGCCCCCACGATCCAAAGTGGGATGACGATGGAGGGGTTCTTTCGTTCTTGGCGGGGTACAACGTTGCGGGCGGGGCGGAGTCTGTACTCTACCTAGGTATGGAGGGGTAGCTCATCTTCCTCTCCTGATCTTATATACCTACCTCCAATACTCAAACTCAACTCAACTTTCTTCTTTCTTACTCTCTCTACTTAACCAAAACATACACCTCTCTATATATCTTCCACCATGCAGCTCCAAACCATCCCAATAAACAAAAACTGGCACTTCAAACAAACCACCCCCCTAAACGCCTCCTGCGCCTCCACCTGGTTACCAGTCTCCCAGTTCCCAACAGTAGCACACCTCGATCTCCTGCACCACAACCTAATCCCCGACCCCTACATCGACACCAACGAGCTCTCCTGCCTCTGGGTCAACGACGCCGATTTCTCTTACCGCACCACGTTACCCCCCATCCCATCCCTAACATCTCCCGCCCAGAAAATCGTGCTGGTTTTCGATGGCTTGGATACCATCGTTTCCGTTTATCTTAATGAGAAGCTTATTCTGGAGAGTAATAATATGCATATTTCGCACCGGGTAGATGTCACTTCCCTGCTGTCCTCCTCTTCGTCATCAGAGAATGTACTGGAATTAAAGTTTACCAATGCACCAGCGTACGCGAAAAGGGAGATGAAGAGGATAGGGTACAAGGGCAATGGAACAGATGTCCATTTCGGCGGCCCCGAGAGGCTGTTTGTCAGGAAGGCGCAGTTCCATTGGGGGTGGGATTGGGGGCCTGCGGTTAATACGTGTGGGCCGTGGAAAGGGGTCAGGATGGAGGTTTTTGAACAGAGGGTAGGGGGGCTGGTTGTGAGGCAGAAAGTGGAGGAGAGTTTAGAGAGTGTGATGGTTAGTGTGAAAGGGAAGGTGGAGGGAGGTGCGGAGAAAGTGGTGCTTGTGGTCACGGATCCGGAGGGAGAGGTGGTGGGGAGGGAGACGGTGGGTGTTAATGCTGAGGGAGCGTTTGAGGGGGAGGTTAAGGTTGAAAAGCCGAGGCTGTGGTGGCCGTTTGGGTATGGGGAGCAGCCGCTTTATACGGTGAAGGCGGAGATAGAAGGTTCTCATCTGGTGGAGAGGAGGGTGGGGGTTAGAAAGTTGAAGTTGTTGCAGCATGGGTTGGAGGGGGAGGAGGGGACGAGTTTCACGTTTGAGGTTAATGGGGTAAGGATCTTTTGCGGGGGGAGTTGTTGGAGTATGTCTTTTCGTTTCTTCATATTCTGTGCAGAGGGTGCTGATGCAGGGTAGTTCCGGGTGATTTTATGCTCCCAAGAATGACGGAGGAGAGGTACAGAGATTGGTTGACGTTGGCGAAAGAGGGGAACCAAGTCATGATTAGGGTTTGGGGAGGAGGCATAGTTGAGTCTGATGATTTCTATAATTGCTGTGACGAGCTGGGAATATTGGTTTGGCAGGACTTTTTGTTCGCTTGTGGGGATTATCCTGCTAGTGATGACTTCTGCGAATTAGTCAAGAAAGAGGTTTGTGAATTTTCTTTCTCGGGGGTGGGAGGAACAGCTTTTTCCTGTTCAAATCATCATCAAAATTCATTTGAAGAAAGTCTACTGACATCTCATCTAGGCAGAACAACAAGTCATCCGCGTAGGCCACCACGCTAGCCTCGCTATCTGGGCGGGCAACAATGAAGATTACATGCTAGCCGAGCGCTGGGGCTGGGAATATGATCCCAAAGATCAGGAAGGACCATGGGACCATACGAATTTCCCAGCAAGGAAGATCTACGAGAGGATCTTGCCAGAAGTATGTGAGCGTCTGGCAGGGGATGTGCCGTATTGGAGGAGTAGTCCTTATGGCGGGGAAACAAGTAACGATTTGCGTGTTGGAGATACACATATCTGGGACGGTAAGCCCCTTTTCTTCTCCTCGCTTATCCCCTCTTTCCCATCGAAAAACTAAGCGAAGAGCAGTCTGGCACGGCAAAATGTCTCCCTTCCAAGACTACAAAGCCTACACCTCCCGCTTCATCTCCGAATTCGGCTTCGAATCCGCGCCCTCCCTCCGCACGCTTCATACCGCCATCACCTCTCCCTCCGAACGCCACTGGCAATCCCTAACCTTCGATGCCCACGACAAAGGACCTGGCCACCAACGCCGCTACGGCATGTATTCCGGCGAGAATTTCCGCTTCCGCTTCAACCCCCTCTCCGATTTCGTCTACTGCACGCAATTCCTGCAAGCTGAGGCGATGAAATACGCGTACAATCACTGGAGACGCGAATTCAGGGGCCCAGGGAAGGAGTTCTGTTCGGGGATTTTGGTGTGGCAGCTAAATGATGTGTGGCCGGGCACGAGCTGGGCGCTGGTGGATGTGAGGGGGGATCGGAAGGCGAGTTTTTATATCACGAAGAGGGCGTTGGTGAGGGTTGGGGTGGGGATGGAGAGGGTTGTTACGGGGAGTGTGCCGTATATGGTTACGTCGTATCCGGCACCCAAGAGGAAGTTGGCGGTTTGGGCGGTGAATGGGTTTTTGGGGAAGTTGGATTGTAAGTTGAGGTTGAAGGCGTTTGAGATTGAGACGGGGAAGGAGGTTGAGTTGGGAGAAAGGGAAAGGGACGTCGTGTTGGAGGGGAATCAGACGACGGAGTTGTTGGAAGTGGAGCTGGGGAAGGAGGCAGAGAAGATGGTTGTTGTGGCTTATCTTGATGATAGCAAGACTGGAGAGAGGTTGGCGAGATGGGTTGATTGGCCAGAACCTTTGAAATTCGTTCATTTCTCTAAGAACCCGAATGTTCAAGCCAAGGTTGTTGGGCAAGAAGTGGTGCTGAGTGCGGATGCGCCGATCAAGGGCGTGATGTTGAGCGTTCCGATAAGTGAAGGAGGAGATGATGCTAGGTGGGATGATAATTTTGTGGATTTGGTGCCGGGAGAGGAAGTTAGGATTGGTGTTAAGGGGCTTGAGGCAAGGAAGGTTGAGACCAGATGGCTGTGTGATTGGGAGAATGAGAAGGGCTTTGAGTTGTGATCGGTGAAAGGTGTCTAGAAACGGAAAAGTAAATGATCTATCTTGGAAGTGTGTTATTGTGAGGGGACCACCAGAGCTTGTGATTTGTCTGAGTATCAGTGCCTTTCTTGATACTTCGATGCTTGAAGCCCACTCAATGAGAGTCATTTAATTCTGCTTGATACCATTGTATAAAGCTTCCTCTGCAACGAGTCTCCTTCAAAGGTGCGAAGTAATTTGTTAGGAATGCTAACGATTGAGCTATTCTCATATTTGTTGTTATCTACGGGCTAGTCTTGCTATGGACAATGCAGAAACTCGCTAAATGGTAAGGATAGGGGCTGCAGGTGGTGTGCTGCATTGGCACTCGCTGACCAATTCCAACTCGCTTCTCCTAGCACCCGACCTGACCTGGAAAGATCACTTGGATTTCTCAACCATGTTCTTGATCCGAGTTATAAATACTGACACTCCCACAATCACGTCGACTCCCCCCCTGCAATGCCGCGGGGCAGGCCCAAGTGCAATGTGCCTCCTTGCCGGTTCTGCAACAGGCAGTTCAAGCGGCAAGAGCATTTACTACGACATGAACGCACTCGTAAGATAGAATCTGTACGAACATAATGAGATCACTCACCATTCGTAGATACGAATGAGCGGCCATTTCTATGTGACTGCGGTCAAGGCTTCACTAGACAGTGAGCAAGAAATTTCCATCCTAGCTGATGTATCTCACAACATACAGAGACCTCCTAGCACGCCATATCAATGTTTCCTGTCATTCACACCACTCGGCACCTCCTTCCGAGGCCGTGGCAATACCCATGCTCAGTGGTGAACTGGAAACTGACGGAGCTGGGGCAGATATGTTGTGGGATCCTGACTTCATGATCCAAGATATGCTACCGGCTGCGCTTTTTGACATTGATTTCCATAATTTTGAAGCACCAAGCACGGAACCTCTGCAAAAGAGCAGTTTTGCTCAGTTCAGCTCTCGACTGCCTACTCTCGATGATGTCGAGAATGACGACGAGGGTGACGCTAGAATGTGTGAGACAGACGACCGGCTTCGTGCTGGTGCCGACGATGAGCCATGGATTCTTAGCAAGTCTTGCTACGAAGGTTTTCATCTCAAAATCCAAGATTTCTCCGCCGTGCTTCCCGACGGATGCTCAATACCTGCTCAAAGCACCTTGATTCGGTGTTTGGAGAAGTATCTTCGATGTGCTCAGGAGTTTTTACCATTCATTCACTGCGCAACTTTTCGGGCTGAACACAAACCACCCGAACTGTTGTTGGCTATGGCTGCTGTTGGATCACTTTATTTGTTCGAGCACGCCCAGTCGTATGAATTGTACTTCGTTGCTAAAGCAATTCTGTTGGAGAGGATGCGACGTGAGGAAGTCCAATCAAAATCGGATTTCTTGCTTGGCCAAAATAATCTCTTGCACAGCAAAGGAACAGAGCTAGAGAGGTTACAAACTTTCATCTTGCTTATTGAGTTCGCCTCTTGGGCCGATCATAGAATTTCAAAGGATGGTCTTTTCATGGCCAGTCAACTGGCAGTCCTAGTCAGGGAGAGTGGAATATCAGAGTCAGACCAAGCGGCACCAGACATCCAATGGCTGGCTTGGGTAGATATCGAGGAAAGAAGAAGGACTTTATTTGCGGCATACGTGTTGTCCAACTTACACAGCATTGCTTTCGACACCCCTCCATTAATCCTGAACCACGAGATTGGTCTATGCCTACCTGGCTATGCAGCACAATGGAGATCGACCAATGCGACTCAATGGCATCAAGCTGCTCACCAACCCGAGCATAGCTTCCAAACCGGACTCCGCCATCTCTTCAGCACCCTTGACTCACCCGAAATACCAAAGATATCATCATTTGCTAATTACCTGCTCATTCAAGGCCTCATCCAAGAAATTTCCAACGAATGCCATAAACTTACACCAACACCGAACTCGGACATTGTCAAGTCCTTCGAAATAGCCCTCCGCAGGTGGCAATCAGGCTGGGAGATGACACAGGAATCCAGACACGATTCCAGCCTGGATCCATTGTATGCCAAAGGACCCTTCGCACTCACAGGAGCTGCACTCCTCCGGCTTGCTTATATTCGTCTAAGTTCAGGACACAACTTAAGCAAGCAACTTCTATTGTCCCGAAATCCGCAATGTATGTTGCAAAGGCAGCATAAGCTCCAGAGGTCCCAGCAGGTCAACAGAGCTGTCATTCACGCCGCACATTCTTTGAGCATCCCTGTACGTCTTGGTATTTCGTTCATGACTACCACGAAAACGGGAATTTGGAGCTTGGAACATTCTATCTGCAGTCTGGAAAGTGCAATCCTCCTAGCTGACTGGCTGGACATGATGTCTGCTACTGTCAGGTCTTTAGGTCCTGCTGCACTTGGAAAGGTCGAGAAACGCCTTTTGGGAATTATAACGGACATCATCAAGGGAACGTCTTTCGCTGGTACCCTGCACATGACAGAGGATTACGCTTCACAGATTCACCGGATGAGTGCAACAGTGATCAAGATCTGGGCCGCAATATTCCAAGGTGTTAACGTGTTGGACATCGAGAATGTCATTGGAGCCGGTCTTCAACTTCTAGCCGATTTCAATCCAAACTAATACACACTTTCCCAAAGTGCTTCCCAGAAGCAACATACTCGAACGCAGCCACGATCTCTTCCCTGTTGAAGCCAAACACCTTGCCCACCGGCATCGCGAGCTCGTGTTTCCCCATATATCGCACCACTTCCTCCAATTGATGCTTCGACCCGCCCCGGACGCCACGCACTACAACGGCCTTGACGAGGGCTGGCATCAAGATGCTAGGCTGGCTCTGCTGTCCTGCATTCGACAAGAACCCGATCAGAGAGATGACTCCTGATGCCGCAACACACTCAAGGCTCTGTTCAATCGTCCCAAGACCGCCGTTCTCGATGATGTGATCTACACCTTCGCCGTTCGTGAGACGAAGAACCTCAGCCGCCCAGTTAGGATGCGTCTTATAGTTAATAGTATAATCAGCACCCAGCGCCTTCGCCTTCTCGAGCTTCTCGTCGCTGGACGACGTCACGATAATTATTGCCCCGGCAGCTTTTGCAAAAACGAGCCCTGTGATAGAAACTCCTCCCGTCCCTAGGCATTGCCCAGTCAGTCAATCACTATACCCACTGCCAAAGGCGAGGAATCATACCTTGAAGCAACACCGTATCCCCCGGCCTCAACGCCACATTCCCATAAAACGCATTCCACACCGTAGCACCGGTACACACCACCGCCGCCCACTCCCTAAACCCGATCTTCGCTCCCGTGGGCAGCTTCACAACAATATGCGCCGGCAACACAACATACTCCCTCAACATCCCATCCTCGACGCTCCCGTACGCATCCACGCCCTCTTTAAACGCGCCATACAGGTACGACGCGCTGACGGGCGGGATCACTCGATCCCCGACCTCGAAACCGGTGACGAGGGGACCGAGTTCGACGACTGAGCCCGCCATGTCGGAGGTCGGGACTACGCCGTCGCGGATGGGGAGCGGGTAGGTGGAGGTTGCGATGGCGGTGTCGCGGTAGTTGAGGGCGATGCTGTGGATTTTGATGAGGAGTTCGTGCGGGCCGGGGGTGGGGATGGGTTCTTGCGTGGCGTGGAGGCCGGAGATGCCCTCTGCCTGGGTGAGGCGGAAGACTGTTTGGGTGGACATTGTGAGGTGGTTGTTTGTATTTGATTTTTTGGGGGTGAAGTGAAGAAGTTGAAGTAGATTGAAGGGGATGGCATGGAGATGGAGATAGGAGGCCTGGTTTATATATCCTCTTTCTACCCCAACGGATCTCACAGTTCTTGGGAATTTCTTAATGACACAGGTACACGAAATGAAGGGATTTGGGGTAGATAAATTGTGATTTATCATCACGATATCAAGACTTCTTTGTGGTGGGTGAGGAGGTTGGGGTAGAAAAAAATATTTGGGGTAGAAATTATGGATACTTGGGAGAAAGCGACTACGCTTCTCTTCGACTAGGAAACAGCTCTCAAATTTTGTACAAGATGCGAGGTAAAGCTGAGATCGTGAAGCATCGCTAGAAACATTCCATACTTTGGCATACGAATATCTGCTGCATATGAACCTCACGCGAAGTGATCAAACCCCCAAACTCCATGAATATAACCACGTTAACTCGAACTCAAGACGCTGCACCTAGTTACAATCTGACCGAAGAAGAGTTCTTCACTTTTGCAGCACACTCCATTTCGAAAAAGAGGGAAATGGCAGTCCATTTTTGTGTGTTCTTGCAAGAAGACTTGTGATTTGTATGTGGGATGAGTGCCAATTTCGATATTTTGATGCTCAAAGCCCACACGATAAGACTATGTCAATTCTACATGTTGCAAACTCAAAATACCGCCTTGGTAATGATGACCCGAGTTGCTTCATGAGTGCAAATAGAGGGAAATGAGCCTCCTGCCCATCTTGGTGGGTCAGCAGTTTCGAGGGTATTGCTCGTTGCACACACAACCTAGACTAAGTACTACATAGCAGCAAATATGAAAATAGCTAGAAACACTTGAACACTTCTGATAAAGCTTTAGTGCTTGATTCTAGCCCCAAGAAACCACAAAACGCCAGTGCTTATTCATATTAAAAAACCTGAAGCTATCTGAAGGACCTGTGACGATGACATGTGGGTAACTAGGCACCACATAATAATCAAGAAATGCTCGAATGTACTCGAGCACTGGCAACTACTGGCCTGGATTAGCACACAATAGCATCCATCTCAGCCATTTGCTTATGTGAGAATCATTCCATTCACATGCTTGAAATACTTGACTCCAACATTGTAGTCGAGATCTTCGGCTGGCAAAGTGAATGAAACTCGCTGTCGGAGACCAAGAACAATAGGATCTCTAAGGTGTTACTGCCTTATTTTTTCTGGAAATGAATTCTGAACGAGATTCACCACAACAGCAAGCATTGTACTGTAAACATTCACCCATAAAACTTCCCGTTCCCATTCCGATTCACCAATTCAATATCTTGCGATTCTCCTTCAAAAGTCTTCGAGGTTTAGATATAAAAAGCCACCCCTCCACGACTAACAAGATACTACTCAAACAAAAAACTCAACTTAGGTCTCGAAGCCGAGTCCAAGTAAGAGACACACCTTAGCTGGGTATCCTCGGGGGAGACGGTATTGGACTTGGAAATATGCTTGTTCTGCACATTTGGAATCGTGTTGTGTCTCAGAGATACATAGTTGGAGTGTTGACAATAGAATGTTATATTTGGGCTTGGTGACAATGAATATGGTGGAATCATCTGGTATCTCAGACAGAGTACAGCGAGGGGTTGACAATAGAATGGAAAATCTCAGCTAAATGACAACGGTATTGAAGACTGGAGGAAGGTTGGGAATATCTTGTTTCCATCCACGTGGTAATAGAACGAGGTCATGATGGCAAAACATTCTGATACTGTTGATGGCTCGAGGCAATATCACCATGAAATATTTCCTAGTCTGAGTTTAGGTATTGTTTGTGAGAGATACAAATGGCAGAAAAAAAGATATACATCAAAACCCGTTGTGATCACCATCGGTTAAATTTTCGATGAATCGGCCATATTCTCGAGAAATGAATCAAAAACGTGAAACCGTATCAAACAAATCGAAACGACTCAAATAAACGAACGAAAGCGAAGAGAATAGATAATTTGACAGTAAAGATGTAAATGACTGCATTTCTGCCCTTTCATTTTGTTGGGCAAGTATAGGGCATCTGCATCACACGTATAATAAGAACAAATGCCGTTGCCAAAATAGATAGCTGACAAACAGGCGAAGCAAAGTAAAACAAACGAACGAAATACGAATCTTAAGAGAACGCACATAATGACCACCTTCGCGCATGACCAAAATTTGCATAGAAAAGAAACTCGCCTTAGCGGGGAAGAAACTTTCATGGCATGCTTATGTCACGATACCTTTCTGCAAAAAAAAAAAGCCACTTTCCATGCAGTCATCTCGCCCTTCAGCAATCAAACGGCGCGCCAATCTCAGCCCACGAGGAATGTTACGTGACTCCAATCCCCAGCCCAACATCTGGAAATTAAATTCGTAGCACAAAGATTTAATTCCCCTCCCCCGCCTGCATAAATCTTGGAATGTGTACTGCGCCTCTTACTTTGCATTGCTATGCGAGAATAATAGGGGGTTTGCTTGGAAGAATAAATTTGTTCTCTACTCTCGTCTGGGCAAAAAGGGGTCAAGTTAGGATTGGGGGGGGGGGGGATAAACTTTCATAAGCACAAGGAATAGTCGGGCAGTTCTTTTTTGCTTTCACGAGGATCGAGGATTGGCCTGAGGATGCAGGAAGAGGGAAGGGAATAGGAGAAGGAGGTTTGTTGTAACAGTCGTGAAACAGATCCACTCTAAGTCAACCAACGGGAAGGTCAGGACTAGATGTTGCATTTCGATGAAAAAGACCGACCGAGATTTGAAGGAAGGAGGAAGGGAGAGAGGGAGGAAACATTCTTTGGAGGGGATGGGAGGTGTTCGTGAAGAATGCTTCGTGATGTTGATTGTTGATGGAACGCCACACGCCGCTGCCACTGCCGAATACCGTTGATCTAGAAAAAAAAATGAGGAAAAGAATATTCCAGCAGGCCGGTGACGGTGACGCACAGTTGCTATTCTTGACCTACCGAGGTGGTTCACGATCTCGTGTTGGGTAGCACGAGATGGTGTCCGTACCAAAGAAGAAATATTGAAAGTTTGCACTGCACAGCCTCGCACTGAGGCCCGTTCAGGCTACCCTGCGATCGAGAGCGGTAAGGCGAGCACCGTTGACCCGGCCACACGAGGCTCTAGAAAGCTGGGAGAAGGGCACGCCGAACCAACGAGACAGCCTCCCAACGCCTATTTTCAGGGTCTTGCTAGGGGAGCGAAGGGCCTAGGGTCGAAGCGCTGTATGTAACGATGCACTCGCCACAGGGTAACCGTTCAGGGCTGCCAAGCGCTCCTGACCTCATTGCTCATGTTTCACGAGAGACATTCCAGCGACCACACAACACAACACACCGCGAACCACCGTGGTCAGCCACCCTCCAAACCAAACGGCTAAAACTAAAACAAAAGTGCTGGCATGACGCTGCATAGTATTTGACATAGCGAGATACTGTATACCACACGAGCCATACGAATGACTGGTGCTCGCATAGTGTACAGTATTGGTAAAGCCAAGAAGAGACCGAGGGGGGCCAAGTAACAATAGCACCAGCTCGGAGATGCCCATGCGATGCGATGCCATGCCATGCCATGCCATGCCGTATCGTGTTGTACTGTCTTCGTACTGTACCTGCATCCCTATGACCAGATCCCGGGCCCCTAGGGGATCTCCTTCAGGGGCACTCAGGCCAAGGCTGGCTCGTAGCTCGTGTTAACGGGGCATGCCAATCACCCGAGACAACGCCTGTTTCCTCCCCTCTACTAGCCTCCCTGGATCTGGCCTAGTCGAGGTGTCTTAATAAGGCTGTGCAGCTGCCACCCACAATCGGCCACTTCCATATCAGACCGCACTCCTCCCGTTTACCTGCACATACCCCATTCCGACAAACACTTTAATTTCTTCACGTCTGCTCATCTCATCTTTTCTCGACCGACTGCGAGCGTTCACTTTCACACAGACTCTCGTTATTCATCTGTCTTGTCTCTTTACCACACTCGTTTGTGCCAATAACAACAACAACACCTCCACCACACCACTTCACTTTCTTCTCCACACACGTTAATTCGTTCCACTTCGTCGCACGCAACCTCTTCCCCACTACATAGGACAAACGAACAATCAACTTCCACAGCAAGACAATTCTATATACCTGAACCATGCGTTCCTCGACTCTCTCGGCCACTTCTGTGGTCCTAGCCATCGCCGGCTTGGTATCTGCTCAGACCTTCACCGACTGCAATCCCCTCGAGAAGAGTATGTTTCCTCCTCATTTTTGAACGTGTTTGGACGTGTCTAACATCAGATAGCTTGCCCTGCTGATGCTGGATGGGGTACCACCGTTACGACCGACTTCACCACTGGTGCGAGCAGCGACTGGACTTTGGCGGATGGAACTACCATGTCATATGGAAGCAACGGTGCTGAGTTCGTTATCACCTCGACTCAAGCTCCTACCATGAGCAGCACCAAGTACATCATGTTTGGCAAGGTCTCGGTCACCACCTTGGCCAGCGCGGGTACCGGAATCGTCAGCAGTTTCATTCTCGAATCTGATGATCTCGATGAAATCGATTGGGAGTGGCTTGGAGCTGATGATACCCAAGTTGAGAGCAACTTCTTCGGCAAGGGCAACACCACTACATACGATCGTGCCATCTACCACCCAGTCACCGATCCTATTGGAACCATGACCACCTACACGATTGACTGGACCGCCGACTCCATTAAGTGGTACATTGGTTCCAACCTCGTCCGCACCCTCAATTATGGAGATGCTCTTGCTCTCTACGGCAAGAACTATCCTCAAACTCCCATGCGCGTTAAGATGGGTTCCTGGGTTGGATGTGCTGATGCCGCTGCTGCTTCTAACCCAGCCACCGCAGGCACTTGCTCGTGGGCCGGAGGACCAGCTGATTTCAGCAAGGCACCATTCACAATGAGCGTCAAGTCTGTAACCATCGAGGATTATGGCTGCGGTGGTGACTACACCTACACCGATATGACTGGAAGCTGGCAAAGCATCAAGTCGAGCGGAACTTGCGGCGCCAACAATGCTCAATCTGGAAGCAGCGCGAGCGGATCTGCAACCTCAGCTACTGCTTCCGTTTCAAGCACTGCCTCAGGTACTTCCTCAACCACTTCCGGAGGTGTCCTACTCCAAACTTCATCCACCGTGAGCACCTTCACTTCCAGTGCTACTGGCGCCTCCAATGGTTCCAATGGCTCCAAATCAAATGGAACTGCACTTGCAAGCACTATGACAACCGCAACCAGCTCTGGCAGCTCCACTAAGGCTACCACCAGCTCAAGTGGCACCACTTCATCTTCACCTGCTCAGGCTACAACCAATGCAGGTGAGAGTATGAAGCCAAAGCACAAATACGGTGTTCTTGACTACTCCGTCATCGTCCTTGGACTTGGACTCGGATATCTCGTCATGTAATACTGGACGGTATCTTTGAAAGGGCGGTCTTTGTTGATTCATTTGCTGCATTATGGCGTGGCGTCGAAGGGTCGAGACAGCATTGGGGCTGGGACATTTGCAAATACCCCCGTTTTGTTGAGGGTTTTACATGGCTTGCTTGTGTTTTTTTGTACCGATGAAAGGGAAAGAATTAGAAAATGGGTTGGTGACTCGCATTTGCATTGCATGAAAAGGGAGTTCACTGTCCATACTTAATAATACAACATTCACAATATCTTCGTCTCTTTTTACTTTGGACGCGTTTGAAATACGCTAGTGACGCGTGAATTTTTTATCCTGCTGCACTTTTTCCTAGCATATTCTCACACGTCACTTCCAAGCGTGAATATTGGACATCGTACGATATGTCCTAAACAGTAATCATTCCATTCCCAAGCTTGAATATTAAACATCGCACAATATGTATCAACCAACGAAGTATATACCCAACCCAACCCAACCAATCCGAAAACTATATTCTCCTCAATCCAACCAAGAAGAAGAAGCCTAGTCTTGCAAAGTCGGATACCGAGAGGGAGCCGGTGATATATGTGATGTTTTTTTTCTTTTTCTTTTTCTTTTTCTTTTTAATAACACCGGGCTTTAGTGGTGTTAAGGCGTTGTAGATCTGTGATTCGTTGTTAAGAAAGGTTTTATTTAGATTTTTTCGTCTGATCTTTGTCGTGGTTTTGCTTTTAGTAAGATTTTTATAAAAAAAAAAAATTTTAAGCGTTAATGTTTAATGTTGTATTGTGTGATGTGTGTTGATTAGTGGGGGGGGAGGGTGGGAGGGGATGGAGGATGTAAAATGGTTTAATTTTTTGATTTTTTAAATTTGGGAAGTATTATTTTTTTTTTTGATTTAACGAAGAAGAAGAAGAAGAAGAAGAAGAAGAAGAAGAAGATTGAAATGCTTGAAGCTGGATACTGAGAGGGGGCCGGGGATATGATATTCTTTTTTCTGTGCTTTGCTTTGCTTTTTGATGATGTTGGGCGGTTAGAGGTGGTGAGGTGGTGAGAATTTGTTTGTTTGTCGTTGTCGAACTGGGTTGGTTTTTCGGAGGAAAGGGAGGGGGTGGTGGTGAAGGGGGGGGAGGAGGAGGAGGGTTGTTTGTGTGGTTTGGGGTTTGTTAAGTGTTGTAGGTAGGAGGATGTTGGTCAGGGAGGGGTGGATTTGGGATTTGTTCTTGTTTGTCTAGGTATCGTGTCTCGCCCAGACAAAGTCCTAACTATATTGTTGGTCGTTGTTTGGGGTTTTTGGGTTATGGGTTGTACGGAGATGATAGGAAGTCTGATAGGGGTGAAGAAGGGGTTGAGAAATAGTGAGGAGTTGGTTGTTTGTCTAATCATTAAATATTTTCTTTTTCTTCTTGTGCTTGCAGGTGGACGGACATTTAGGTACATTTTCGCTCTTTATTTTAGTTGTTGTTGTCAAGTAAAGAGGACTGCTGTCAAGTGATAATTCATCACTTATTACTTACTATTACCAATGAATGGGACGAACGGTTTCGTTTCGTTTCGATTTATGCTCCTCTTCAAAGTTCCTTGCATCCTGCTGTAAAGTCTAGAATGACTAAACCAACGTCTCCAGGCTCTACACACCGTAATCTAGCTGGCCATGTTGATTCTCAACTCTGTACTATTCCTAAAGGCGGAAGGTCGGGGCGAGTATATATAGTCGTCTGAAAGTAGGATTTTGGCAAGAAGGGCGAAGCGAGGGTTTGTTTGATGGGTGCATGATTCTCACTGGAGATGTTTTGTGTCTTTTTGACCTATTTCACTTAGAGTGAATTTGGAGGGCTGTGGTTTGGATTGATGAATAAATGTAGACAGTGAGGTGAGGGGAGGGTGTTCAATGGGGATCGCTTGGAGATGTATATGATCAAATAAGTAAGTGTTCTTGATTATTTCCTTGTCTGTTTTTCATACAATGATTGGCTTCTGACTTGAACGTTGGGTGTATCATGTATATGCAACGAGTGAAATCTTTACATCCATCTCCATGTCCATACAGGGTATCGCGATTCTATCCCATCCCATCCCAGCACACTTTCCAAACAAAACAGCTCTTTTATATCATACATCCCTCCCCTCCTCACCTCCCTTCCCAAACTCCACACCTCATACACCTCACCTAAAACCTCCTAGCCAACCGACTCTTCCTCCTAATCTTCTCCCCAAAGAAGAAAATAAAATAAATCAACGCACACAGCCCAAAACTAATAAACCCAATCGTCGCCATCGCCCACTTGGTACTCATATTCTCAAACATCAGGACACCTAGATGGGCCAGCGCGGCCGCCATCACGAAACTCGGGATCAGGAACGCGGCGATAGCAGAGGCGGCGACGTTCGGGTAGGAATCGGTTATGTAGTTCAGCATGGAGAGCCAGAGCAAAGGGTCGGCAAAGCCGAGGACGCCGCCTGCTACAATGGGGGACCAGTAGGATACGTTGCCGGAACTGGTGAAGGCGAACCAGAGGAGGGTGATGGGGAAGAGCCAGACTGTTACGAGGGAGACGAGGAAGCGGGCTCTGTTGGGTGATTACTTAGTGTGTTTCTTGAATGAAGATATGGGAGGAAAGGGGGAGGGAGACGTACTCAGGACGGGGGTGTCCGTGCTTGACGCGGTCTCGGGTGAAGAAATAGGTTTGTACGGGGATGAAGCAGAACATGACTAAGACACCGACAACGAAGTTTAGGTAAGTTAGGTCTGCTGAGATGATGCTTTTCCTCCAGTCAGTATCTAGGTCTTGATAGAGAAAGGGGAGGGGACGTACGAGAGACCATTGTTAATGGCAAAAACATCATAAACACCATCGAGGTACAAAAACAGAATCCCGTATGCAAATCCGTTATAGATACCCAAAGCCAGCACAATAGGCTCGGTGAACATAATGCGGAAGGTCATCGTAGTAACGAATCTCAACTCCTTCCACACGTTCACCTTACTTCTCAAGATAGCCTCTTCATCCGAGTCAACTTCCTGAGCTTTTGCGGCTGCTCGCGCAATCACGAGTCTGGGCAGAGTTTCGGGCATGAAACACATGATAACAGCATATCCAAAGCCGATGATTACATTGATGAGGAATATCCATTTTAGGCCCAAGGACTCGTTGGCGGTTATCCATCCACCGATTGGGGATCCGATGGATGGACCTACGTTGGCGGATACGACGAAAAGGGCCATGGCTTGACCGGCACCGTCGATGTCGCCGAAGAGATCTGCGATGGTGCCGGCTACGTTAGAGAGCGCTGTTGAACCGGCGGTGCCGGCGAGGAACATGAAGATGATTAGCATGGGCAGATTTCTGGCGTAGGCTGTTCCCTGGGAGTGTAGTTAGTTGAATTGTATAAGTAGTTGGACGAGGGGGAATTACGAAGTTTAGGATGGCGTAGCAGGTGATGCTAGCAACGTAAACCCATTTTCGACCACCGATATCTCTGTTTCCGTTAGTAAAATGGTATTGACACATAAGCGGTTTGTGTAACATACGAGAGTGGTCCCATAAATGCCGGTCCAACAGCATTTCCAACGATGAATAAACTTTGTCCAAGAGTAATGACTTGTGTGCTACCTCCCCACTTCAAGTTGATATCGTATTCGGCGCCGATATATGAAGTACTTGTGATGGTAACGAACATCTGCAAGGAACACTGTGTAGAAAACAAGCGTTAGCAGAGTGATACAAGATTTGGCGCCAAGGCGGGTTGCAGCATAGGGCTGAGACAAACTTGACAAACTGCTAGGAGAAACGTACATAAAGGATGATGATTCCCCATCGTTTCCATGCTGGCCAATGCATTGGGTGATGAACATCTTTGGCCTGAACGAGCTCGAGGATTGCGAGAGTGGTATCCGGATCTTGCCCAGGGTTTTGGGGCCCTTCTGGTGCGACATGGCCCTTTTCGAATTCAGGTCCTGGGGGAGGAGAATCTTGGTGAAGCTGCTTCTCCTTGTCTTGTTCGGCAACTGCGGGGTCCATCTTGATCGCGTGGTTTTCTGAGTAGCAGATTCGATGATTGAAGCGATGAATAATAAGAGCAAGAGAGAGAGGAGCTCTACTTTTACGTCCTTGGCTGACGAATGGTGAATGTCTGACAGAGCAAGAGAAAAAAAGAGCAGGAGGGAAAGGAGCTCTAATTTAACGTCCTTGGCTGACGAGTCGTGAAGGTTCAAGAGAGGAGGAGAGAAGCAGAAGAAGACGCAGCCAACAGAACAGAAAGAGGAAGTCAGAAATTATTCACGATAGAGGATTCGATTACTTTTCTAGCCCGCGAGCAGTTCGTCTTTTTCGATGGCTGCCGTCCCAGAACCATGACCTTGACCATGTTTAGTGGTTCCACTCGTCAACTTTGACATGGTGGATGGGCCATTCCCGGCCTCGGCGATCGAAGGACGTTTGGATCCATGGAAGCGCCGGCTTGAGCTGTGATTCGATGCCTTCCTCTTATCTGCACGAGCTAGAAGGCAGATCCAATCTTTTCAGTATTCGATGAGATGCATTGTTTCGTCAGCGAAATGCGAGAGATAAGAATCCCGGTTTGCCCACTGGCTGCAACAGGTGTCGACAATGCTTGACCTCAAATGGGTGCTGATCTCACCAGGGCCGGGGAATCCCGCCCCTCACGTGCTGTCCAACGACGTTTCTTCATTCGGAGGCACGCGACGACAACCTCGAACGCGAAAGGGGGAGGGTGAATTATGCCGAGGACATGACGAGAGAGGCTCCGCTGATACTGAAATCAGTGGTTTGGACCGACTTGCTGGGTCTGGGGGGGATCAACTCAAACTGACCAGGTTTGATAAGATATTGGGTTGAGTGGACAAGATTGTAGCTTGTGCGAAGGACAAGAGAAGGACAGATTGGTCTCAGAATTTGCTCCGAAGCCGGTGGTTTGTCTGGTTTCGATCAAGTCTCAATCGTGAAACTCATACTCCGCATAGTAACGACAAAACAACGGGCTTTGCTGCTTGAACAACGATGAACAACCAACGCTCCTCAATATCTCATCAAAGTAAATCCGCTCAAATCGATATAATATGCTAAGCTTTGTGCCAGATATGAGGAGAGAACGCACCTCTGATATCCTCTCTCAAAGACAACATGTACTCCGTATATGGACACCGTATTATAACACGGCTTTGTGGCTCTTGAACAACAAAACGGGTTGAAGACCAAAGATTTTGAAAAGGAGAATACAACTTCAAGCAAGCTTCTAATCAATCTTTTCAGCTTCACCTACCCGACGAATTACCCGTCGATTCGACTTGGACAGCTTAGATACCGTTGATGAGAGGTTTGGGAAGTACGAGAAAGTGAAGGTCAACCTCACTGCCAGGAAGTGGTGTGATACCAAAGCCTTGCAGGAGCTGTACTTTTCTTCTTTCTTCAATGCCTCTCTTCGAGATCGAAGTTGACTCATGTCATTGGGTTTGAATGAATCGTCCTCTAGGCGTTCTGTTTCAAGAAGCTGTTGAAGCAATCATGTTGCTCAAGCTCTTTGTCACTGACAAGACTGGCAATGATGTCCTTCATTGCTCTGTTGCATTTTGGACAGCTTCGAGATATGTGTAAAAGTACAAGCTGCCTGCGGTTTGTTAGCCTCTCATGATACCTGCATAGTTTCTACAACCTTTGCTCGGAAATGTTGGTATGTTGTCATTCTACGTATGAGAAGCCTTGAAGAGAGGCAACACGGTTCGTTCCCTTCTCTATGGGTCGCTCCTTCGATTTTGGGTAGAATATATTTCCTTGTGCATACTCTCAACCGTTCCTTCAATTTTGGGTACAGTCTGTTTTCTTGTGGATAGTCTCAATCGTTCCTTCGATTTTGGGTAAAGTCTGTTTCCTTGTGCGTGGTCTCAATCGTTCCTTCGGTTTTCGGATGGAGTGGCTAAGTCCAAGTGGTCTCACAGCCGCATCACGACTGCCTTTCTTGAGGTATACTTCGAGGCTGCAGTATTCAATCATGTTCTAGTGGGCAATATTATGATCCGATGTCACGCCAAAAAAAATCTGGTTGCGCATTCACTCCTCCAGCAGTTCGCTTCGCTTAGAACCAGCGTGAATATTCGCAAACGTTTTTCTATTCACAACCCATCTTTTGTACATCTTCAAATCCGCACCCCCCCCCCTGCAACAGGTTCTTTCATCACAATAGCTACGATCTGGCATCTGGTTCTTAGTTTCTGGATCGGCCGCATTGTGCGCGAGCGTTTTCCGCATTTTCTGCCACCCAAGAACGCATTGCCAAACTCGAACCCGTCGGAACAAATTTCCCCAACACACATACAAGACATTCCTCCATAGAGTACATCATCTCCCTTCTGCTTTGCTTGTGTACCTTGCGGTCACAAATTCCTCCAGATAATACCGAGTTGCAGATTCCCTGGCTGCGGAAATTCACGCGCGAGCCTCGACCCGCAACGGCATCACTTTCACCACACCCAACCCAACCCAAAAACGAAGGTACGGATTTTCGATCTTGCATCCAGCATTTAGATGACGCTAACAGGACATCGCAAGTAGTGTTCGGTTGTGAAGCTATCCACTTCCTAACATCCACCCCCAAGCACTTCCCTTTCCATAGCGCGCAATTCCTCGTTCTGGCCGACAACCTTTCTTTTCACTAAGTCCAGCACAGCAGCCAGACATTGCGCGCTTCCACAAGCTCCAAGATGCCTGTTCCGACCAGTCATGGGCATGCGCCTATGAAGCGTTACTCGGTGACTAAGAGACTAGCTGCACATCAGGCCAAGTTCCAATCCGAAGACGAGATCGAGTTCCAAAACACTCCCACTCGAAGCACTAGGAATACCCGCCATGTTTCTTATGCTGAAAGCGACGACGATGAAGACGAGGAGGAAGATGACGACTACACCAAGCCAGATGAAGACTCCGACTCTGATATTGAAGAGATCTCCTCTCAGGAGTATGAAGCTGTTGTGGCTGCTGTCAAGAGAACTTCGGTCTCGCGTGCTATAGTTGAGGGTACATCTGGCAAGCTGTTCAAGAATATGGCAACTGAGGTACGTCTTTCTTTGTGTTTGAGCTGGATCACAAGATATAACTCCTTTTGTTGTTCCCGCCGCATATGGCTTTACATGTTGGTGGTGAATCAGTCACTGACTTTCACTGTCTCATAGATTCACCAGCTTATTGCTGACGTCCTTCCTTCGGACTACGATGTCGCCAGCTATGCCCTAGTATGCAGAACTACAGGTGCTGCAGTCACATCAAGTGTCTGGCGCAAGCGCTTCCTGCGTACATTCGACTTCGATAACAGCCTCGAAACCGCCGAGATGCTGAAGAAGTATAAATACCGACGCACGGTATCCAAACAATGGACATGCTTCGACCTGGATAAATACGGAGGCGGGAGTAGCAGTTATGAAGTTCAGGAGTTTCAAACTGTCAACCAGGAACATTCCCTAAGGATGTTCAGAGGTCTCATTATTGGTAAGCTGAGTAGTTCATCGAGGTTGTAATCTTGCTGACCCAGGTACCACAGATTCCAATGCTAGTATGGTTCCCGACGAGAACGGCCAGTTGGTACCTCATGGATTGAACCTGAAGTTTATTCAAGACATGATAACTGGCAATAACGGCATGTCCTATGTTGATATTATTGAGTCTGTCTTCTGCACGAAATACGACAAAGACATTGGTCGAAACTTGAACAATGTCATGAGACTTGATAAGCAGGGATGTGCTCTATACAATGTCCAACTCTGCCTGTCAGCGTTGTCCTTGCACCCGAACTATTGCAATGCCAAGGTCTCCCACTTCGACATCTCCCAACATCAAGTCTATTCTGCACCCTGCACGCAGCCACTCTTCCTTGACAATTTGAAGCAATCCGTCAACACTCGATGGTTGTTACACATCGTCAACTTCTTCAAGTTCCACTTCAAGTCTGGCGCCGAAGGTCTACTTGCTCACGCGTACTCTGTTCTTGATGCTGATCAATACCCTCAATTTTGGGTTGGCAAGCTTCAGGCTGGCACTCAGACGTTTGGCACTCATTGGAAGGGAGCATACAGTAAGATCTCAAATCCATTTCACTCCTTCCGCTAACCGGATTTTAGTGTATCTCGATCAACGCACTCTGATGAGTTCCAGATCGAAGAATACTTCTAGGGGAACTGTCCACACGGACTCTTTGGATGGTGGAGAGACTTTCCAGGTATTTTGCATTCTTCTGTGATACATCGCATGTACTAACCAGCCAGGATATGTCATTTTTCTTCGACGATGCGCAGTACGGCACCGATAAGTGGCCTAAGCAATGGGAGAGAATTCTCGGTAGTGATCCTTTCAAGGAGCTCGGCAATCTCCGTACTCGATACAGAAGAAATCAGCCAGAGAGACCCGCGATCAAGCAGTTTTGGGGTACTTCTCGAGGTTCCAAGCAGGGCCACTTCTTCGGTCGAATCCATGCCATGGCCCCTCAAGCTGACATACCCGGCTTCCAACGACTTGTCATGATGAAATTCTATACGAAGAAAGAGAACGGCGAACAAGTTTATGATCCAACGCAAGTCTGGGCATACGAAGGTGTCGTCCTACCCGGACGCCGTATTGTCGTTGGTAGATGGTGGGACGCTCGCGGAGACATTGATGATGAACGCATCAACTCTGGGCCATTCATCTGGTGGAACGTTGACAGAAGTGGAGCTGCGAAGCCAATCGACAAGGATGAAGCCTTTGATTTCCTCGATTCATTCCAAGATCACGACCTGGGTGTTGTCTAACGACGGTCTCGTTCTACATCTGAATAGCTGGCGCTCCAGGTATTGGATGTTTCGGTCTTTTCCGACGCTTAATGGCTAATTTCCTCGATCTGGTACTTGCAGCTACCATTGCTTGAGCCTCGATTTGAATATCATATGTCAACGGCATTCGGATCCCGATATACAAAACTCCCTTCTGACGTTGATTGACTCATCAGATATGATCGGGGTTTCAACTCGACTTTTATGTGGTGGTTGCCACATCTTAATTGCATCTCGTTCTTCATCAGGCGTTAAGTTCGTTTGTTCATCAGCGACACCCGGATACCCCATTCGCAAGCATTTCTTTACGAGCATCTCGAATCGTCCTCAGCACATACGAAGCATCTTACTAAACACGGTCTCTACCATTTGAATTTCTTTTCCTTTTGCATCTCAGCGTCGTACAGGTTCTCCTTGAGGGATATGGAGTGGATGGATATGAAATGATTGAAAGATTCATTAGTGGACTTGGGGTTGACCGAGACGCATTGCGATGATTTTTCCATAGCATTTCAAATAATTGAGATTCTTTTCCTTGACATTGTACTACTTCTCTGTGACTAATTCCTAGTCACTGGGCACTCATACAGTGAGTTCTGGTACTTCATCTCAACAAGATAATATGACTGTGCCATCAGAGCAGATAAATGTCCAACAGATAGCCGGACATTAGGTTACAAAGAAGATTTGACAAGTAGTGGACGCCCGATTTCGTGATATCTTCTTGGATTTTGAATACTAAGCGTACAAGCTTTTCATTCCCAAACGCCATGTTCTCTGCCTTTCCTGCAATGCAGCAAAAGAGCCATCCCCCGGGATATCTATTCCTCGATCGTCTTAACACATTCCCATTCCCCCTTCAGATTCTCCTTCCACAAGCTAACCTTGTTATCACCAGCACTAACCGCCAAGACATTCCCGCTCAAACTCCAGCTGACTCTCCATAGCACAACCTCAAAGTTCAAAACCTTGCTATTCCATACCCCAGGTTGACTCGGATCGCTCGTCCAGATCCTGACCGTCTTATCTTGACTCGCAGAGGCAATGTAGCTTTTCTGCAACACCGTCGGCGACCAAGCTACATCCCGCACCCAATCCGTATGTCCAGTCAACGGATCCCGCTCCTGCTTATAGCTCTGACTCGCCGCATCAAAGCTCCACAACCTCAACATATTATCACTGCCACCGGTAACAAACCTCCGGATGCCCCCCTGCCCGCCCGCGCTCGAGACCAGAGACCCGGGACTCGTGCTCGGGGCCCAGCTCACGGAATTCACACCGATTCCGTGCGCGTGGAAGATCTTGTGGTCCATACTATTATCCTTGAATTCCAGCACGCTGACATTCCCGTCCGAGGAGGCGCATGCGAGCAAGCAGCCCGACTCGTGGGGCGACCAGGAGATGATGTTTACGGATGCGGTGTGCAGGGCGAAGTCGAAGACTTTGGTCCATGTTGAGCCTTGTTCGCGCCAGATGAAGACTTTGCCGTCGTAGCCTGCGGAGGCGAGGATGTTGCCGTATTTGGGGTGCGCCCAGGAGACGGACCAGACGGCGCCTTCGTGACTGAGAATCTGTTAGCTGGGTGTTGGGGGAGAGGAGGGAAGGAGAGAGACCCTTTGAGTGTTTCGGTGAGCTTGTGGGTTTCGCCTTCTACTTCGAAGATCTTGACTGTCTTGTCTGAGGAGCAGGTTGCGAGGCGGCGGCCGTAGTAATCTAGTACTGCATCGTGCTGGGAGGATAATCAGTAACTGTTCTTGAAATGTGGTTTATCAACACGCGCAGAGTCTAGAATGCGCCCCGGACTTCAATGTGCTGAAAATAGAATACTTACAATCATGTCATCATGACCCGAGTTCGAAATTACTTGTGCCATATTGACACAAAGTGAGGAGCGTTGAGGTCAAGTAATTGTTGAAGACACGAGGTTCAAATCATAGCTTCTTCAATTGCTCCTGCCAGATGGCTTTGATGAAGGTCGGGGCAAACAAACGCCGATGGTGGAGGCTAAAAAATGTGGGTCTGGGATTTCGTCAATCTGGCGGGCAGCTTTTCCACCTTTCACTTCTTCACATGCTTCACTTTATTATATATCCTACATTATTCAATCTAATCAAAGGGCTCTTGTATTTCTTCTTGGAAAGTACGCTCCTTTATCGATAACCGATTCTTCCTTGTACATATCTAGATTCGCCTTGCCGTCCATAGCTTGTTAGCCGCAGCCTCGGCTCACGTATATATAAGACCTCGCCTTGGAGACAAAGGCTTTCCAGAACAACGTACGACACAACCACATACAAATCCGCAAGATGGCGGACGGTCTGTGTGGTCCATCGAATGCTTTACAGAACATCCAAAAGCATAGCACCGTCGACCGCACACTTCAACAAGACCGCATAATCTCTCGACAAACACCATCACAAGTAAGTGTTACTTATCGGTTCGAGATCATGCTTGTCTAACTGTGGTACTAGGGCTTCCGATCTACTGGACAAAATGCAGGTTTCATGGACCACGAGTTCGAAGCCTTCCAAGCTGGACAATTGCCTCTTGAGCATGGCTTTCAACCCAATACCTTCCAGCATGCGCCACCGAGTCTACAGCAAGCAGGGCCTCCGAGCTGGGCAGCAGACTTCCAAAGAATGAATATTTCGAGTCCGGCGCCTCAAGTACAGCAGCAACCATTCGGTATGCAAGCTCAACAAAGACAAGATACTGGTGGTTGGCATCAAGACTTCGCTCGGCAGCAGATGGCAGAGAGAAGCGTACAAAGTCCGTCACATACAGCTTCACCCTTCCAATCTCGTATGCTTGGTATGGGATCTCAATTCACCGGCACTTATGCACAGCCATCTCAGCTCTCGGTAGCTCAACAGAAGCAGCCCGAGGACGCGTTTGATGAAGCAGCATTCGAGAGAGCATTCGACGCAGCAGCACGAGCGGAGGCGGAGGCTGAAGCTCTGCATGATTGTGCTCAGCATGAGAACGCTGAGATGGGCCAAGAAGTTATGTTGAACGAATCAGCCGAGGTTCTCATGGCTTCGGATGACCTAGAAGAGCGGGCAGATGAACTACTAAGCCAAGAACGTATCGGCGCGGACACCATTCATGACCCTCTATTCGACGATCGAGATCAACCAGCAAACGAAGACCCAGAAGAACTTGCCAGAACTGCTGCGAAGCTTCTTGTCAGTGTTCAGCACGAGCAAAGCACCAAGTTCCAGAATAGCCAATTCCTTTCTCTGATGCGGCAATTTCGAGACCGAGAGAAGACAGTTGAGGGAGATAATGTGGTGACGAAAAATGGAATGGGTGGAACGGATCAGGATATGAACGACGAGAGATCTCAGGTGCAAGGACCTTGAAGCGTGTAATTTAGCATACCCACATTGACGATCGCCTAGGAGCGAATAGTATCATTATGCGATGCTTTGGAGCATCTGGCTCTTGACATGAATCCGTTTGAAATCACACCTGTGAATGTGAGAGAACTATTACGCATTCTGCTAAGTCTTCAGCTTTTTGCAGAGAAACTTGCCCTGTACCCAGCTGGTGAAAGACTTTCGAAGCTATTGCAAAATCTTCTCGTCATGCCTTGGATCGAGGATCTACATGTCTGCCACTACCACACACTATTCATCCTGAGCCACTGCCCCCAAGGAAAGAACATGCTTCCAATACCCAACCTCGAAGACACAATGACAAAGGACGGAAATCTTACGCTCTTACCAAGCCTCCAAAACACCGACTACCTCCAAAGCATCTCCTCAAACACCTCAAAAGATATCCTAGAAACCTACATTTCCTCCCTCCTCTCCAACAACCCTCAAATCAGGGAAAATGCGTTATTCAACGTCCTACCATACACCATTCCCCTCCTCCACCACACCAACCAGGGCATCCACACCCTCCACGCCAAAGAAATCCTCGGCCCCTACTTCAACATCCAATCCATCTGCACAGAGTACGGAATCTGGTCTCCCGACCTCTCAGTTTCCGACATCATACGCTTCGTCGATTTCGCCAACGGAGAGAGAAATCTGAAAGGGCTACCATTAAACGTCAAGAGATACCCGTTGAGGGTTAAGATTGCGCGGGCAAAGAAAGCGAGAGGAGAGAAGTTGGGGGTGGAGGAGAGGATGAGGTTGTTTCATGCGGAGAGAGAGGAGGGGGTGGAGGGGGTGGAGTGACGCCAGGGGAGGAGGAGGAGGGAGGAGCCGCGGGAGTTGAGGGATTTGGCTGAGGAGAGGGTGGGGAGGGTGAGGAGGGGAATGGGTGGGGTGGTGGAGAGGAGGCAGAGGTATGGGAGTGATTGTGCTTTTAAGCAGGAGTTGGATGGGAAGGGATAAGTGGCAATTGAAGATTGGGGAGAGGGGTTATGAGAGCTGGTTCTCTGATGAGAGTACAGTCTTGGGTTTTGGGGAGAGGGGAAACTTAGAGAACCTTGCACTTACGCTGGTAAGAGCTCGATCTCTTCAAAGGTTTGTTGGTTCTCTCTTTGAAAGAGGGAGAATGGATGGATCACGAGAGCACCAGGCGCTGGATCTCTTCTCATAAACGATTATGACACAGTATGGAAGGCTGGTCCTGGGAATTTACAGTTCGAAAGGTGATCTTGCATACATTAGGTAGCTTGTTCTAACATCAAGTCCTTTTCAATCTCGCAAACCTTGTTCACCCCTACGCATCGACTCATGGTTCCAAAAGACGTCCGTATTGACAAGACAGAAACGCTGGAGAGAAGAGGCTTCTATTAGACATGATAAGCTACCTACTTGGAAGTGATGGAGCCAGCTGTTTCGTAGTTCAAGACTGGAAATTCAATGTTCGGATTCAACTGAAGGCAGGTTTGTACAGCACTTCTATAATCAGCCTTTGAAGAATCATTCTCAGAAAGAGAACTCACGCATCATCTGTATCACAAAAGAGAGATTCTCCAAAAGTAGTATAATTCGTCCAAGCTGTCAAAGCAGCTGAATTACTCCCAGAGCTATAGCTTTTTAGCGTTGTGCTCATTTGCAGCAGGAAAGAGACATACCCAGTGGCGCCGGGGCAAGTATACCTTTCTTGGACGAGAATCCAAGAAGAGCCGTCCGTCTGGGCATGTACAGAGCCGTTATTGCAGCTCATATCATAAAAGCCTAGACTAAAGACCTCCTGTCCCTGCGTCGGACATGAAATGGTACCATTCCCATACGTAACGGTAAAAGAGACATCGCCTCCTTTCCCGCTCACAAACACGAAGTTATTAATCGTGAACATGGATGGGACGGGACAGACCGCATTCCAAGGATTCGTCGGAACAGGCTCATTACTTGCTGTCAGAGGAAATCAGCAAAGTCCGTTAAATTCGGAATGGAACATATACGAGTCGTCCTATGCGCTGGACCAGATTGCGTTGACGTAGAGACTGGCGCATCAGTCTGTTCAGGCAATCTGAAATTCCCCATTGCCCCTGAAAACGTGGTAACAGGGCTGCCGCCGTCACCGGGATTTCCAACAGTAAAGCCTCCTATAGTTGTTGTCGTGTCTCCAATGGTGATGGTGCGGGCCAGGACCGCGACTTCGGGAGGAGTGGCTAATTCTGTATTTGACCGACGGCTCTGTGGGAAGGAATTGGCAAAAGACGAAAAGAGGGTCACGATCGTCAGGTACTGTTGAGTTTTCATGGTGAAACAAGCTCTTGGAATTCTGGCTTGGAGATTTGTCAAATTGGCAGATCTGGTTGTGGGACCCTAACTCCTGACCATGAGATCTAGTTTATATACTCTCTACGATACAGGAGCTTGGACTTGCAGAGCTGCCTAGTAGAGTTTGGACCCCAAGGAAATCTGTCTCTGTAACCTTACATCTTAATGATTGTGTATCGTGACGTGCATAAGCGTACTTGAAGATATATTCGTCGATGCACAACTTATGCAATGCAGAGCACGAGATCCCAAAGATACATAATTGGGACATGCAAATATACGGCGGGAGCCGAGTCGATTAATTAAAGTAACCCTGTTGCGCCCTTCTTCCCCGCATTCTTCCATACGAGTTGGGACAGCTGGCATTCTGCCTGAATGAGAATCTACCTTTGGAGGATGCGTGGGATTGGGTGAAGGAAACGTCACTCCATAGTAATATAGAATCGTCAGCTAGAAGGATTGGGTCATGGCCTCGTCAGCTAGCTGAGACCACTCAGTCTGTTCGAATTGTGGTTGAACATGAAGCTCCCTCGACGTGCATACGCTTTGACACTCGGGACTTGTTCGATATCGTACTATACTTTTCAGCGAAGCATAATAAGAGCAATAAGCAATATGAAGATATTGCCAAGGCACGGCAGTGCTAATACGACATTTGCCCCTCTGATCGCAAACAACTTCGAACATCGATAGGATCAGGCCCAAAGAAGGAGAACTCGCTCCCGAATCTAGATACAGACCAACAGTACTTGGCTGACTTCTTGATACGTCTACCTCGGGCACTCAAAGCTGAATGAATACGATACAAGGGAAAAGTCCGTGTTTATTAAGAACATGATTTGCACATGGCGCTTGACCGTAAGTATCGACTTCTGAGAATTAAGTTAGAAAAAATATGTTGTCTGATGACGCAGCTAGGTGAGAGCGAATTATAGCTGAGAGAGTCTTGGGGGCAGCATTGAGCAAATAAGACAGAGATCCGGAATGACCAAGCTTGGGGGAAAGAGCATCTTGCGTTTGTCAGGCGCGAATAGAGAAAAGGGGCTTAAGCGAGGTCCGAATCAGCTATGTATGGACTTCCGCCAATTTGCAACATTGGTCAATTTCAAGACAGCCGAGTCATTTGTGGACCTCGTTTAAAAACATAAAAACTCAATTGCAAAAAAAGTGCCAAAAAAATCTCAGAGGTCAAAAGCAAAAACTCAAGCCACCCGCAGGTGACTATCCAACACCATAGCCAGTATGGGGTTTAAAGGGGATTATCATGAGACATTCGTATTTCAGGCATTCACGAGAATATAGAGAGGCACGATCACTGTCGCAAGCATCTATTATCCTGGAAGCCGCTGTCTCTTGAGTCATTCGTATTTCATGGTCACACGAGAGTATAAGAGAGGCACGGTAGCTACCGCAAGCGTCTATACCCTGGAGCCAGCTGTCTCAGAGGATGATGGCAAAACTTTGCTTATTTAATTTTATGAAGGACCAGAGAGGGGCAAGGCTGTGATTGGTATAGGGCTTTACTTAGCGTGATTTTGCGAGGCTGGAGGTGATTGCTATCGATAAACATACATTTGGTGTAGGGGGAACGACTGTCATAGTACAGGCTCGGATTTTGGTTCTTAGATCTATGAAGAGAGAATTACCACGCACGTTATCTTTCTCACAACAATATCGTTCTCAAAATGCTCCATTTTGCTGAAACCTCTGTGCAATTCAAGTATCTAGCTATCCTGCCTATCAAACTCGCTCCTCAACCCTTAAAATTCCCCTCCCCATCCTCCCTCTTCTTTCCCCTCCCATACGTCTGCCCAAACCTCTCCCTCATATGCTCCTCCACTGTCGGATACCTCTTTCCCACTTCCCCTCCCCCAAGCGGCGTCAACACACAATCCACATTCCCATCAAAGAAAAACGGCACCGAATACCGATCCCTCCCACTCCGATTCACCACTCGATGCAAACTACTCTTATACACCCCACTCGTCCACATCTGCAGCATATCGCCCACATTCACCACATACGCGTCCGGGACCGGCTTAACATCCTTCCACTCCTCGTTCCCGTAATCCCAAACCTGCAACCCGCCAATCTGGTCTTGCAGTAACAAAGTAATGGCTCCAAAATCGGTATGTGCCCCTGCTCCTAGTTGACGCTCGTCATTCGATTTGTCAGGCGGGTAGTGCAGGAGTCGGATCGAAGCCACGGCGTCGTTGCTGCAGAATTCGTCGAAGACTTTGGGCCCGTAAGGCATCCCGGCTGCGATGGCGTCGAGAACTTTGAGGGCGAGGGCGAACATTGAAGCGAAGTATGCTTCCATGGGTTTCTTGAAGAGGAGTTCTGAAAGGAGGGAGGAGGAGGGCCAGAGGTTGGGGCCCATTAGGAAGGCGTTGGCTTGGATTCGGGGGTCGTCCGCGGGGATGTCTTGTCCTACGTAGAATCCCTTGTTTCTTGTTAGACGGTAGACCTGGAAAGAAAGGAGGGGAGATGGACCTCTTTCAGATCAGGAAGCGTTCCTTCTTGGAGACCTTGTCCTCCGATTAATTCGTAGCCTCTATTGCTGGCACCGACGCTCTTTCCTCTGTCGAGTTTTACTTTTTCTTCCATTGGTAACTTGAACAATGCTTCTGAGCCTTTGAAAACTTCGTCTTGAAGCGTGTTTGGGATTCCATGGCCGATCAATTGGAAGAATCCCGTTGTTGTACAGGCTGTCTTGATGGCTTCGATTATTTGTGATGATTCGGGAGAAGTGGGGTCTGAGAGGTAGGGAGCAATGTCAATTGTTGGGACGGAGAAGGGTATTGGGGCAGCCATTCTGACTGTATATTCGAGGTAGAGAAATGAAATAGAGAGGAAATCTATGTACAGAGAAGTAGAGGTAATGGTCTAAACTTTAAACACGAAGGGTGAAGTCTGCTTACGAGGCCTGGACTCGAGAATGGAGTTGTACAGCCTTGTGCAAAGCCTCATTTACCCCACCTTTGAGATATGAGATAAGATGCTCGGATAACGGCGCATTCCTGTCCAGAGTTGATTGAAGAATCGATACAAAGAAGGATTGAATAGGCTATGAAGTCTGATGCCGTTCCGATTTCTATTCTTTGAGGTTGGATGTCGCCTAATTGCGAAGGCTGCGATGGAAGAAGGACGGTAGCCTTGTGCGGGGCTACGAGATGAGACATAGACATGGACTGACGACAACTTCTGCATCATCTTTGAAGTCTCAGTTCATATAGGCTCTTTTCTTGGGGAAAAGAGGAGAATATCAACCTGATCAGAGTTTGTGGCTCTCTTTTTCGAGGCAGTATCTGCTTGACCCGAAAATCGTTGCTCACAGGAGAGAAATATAGACACAGAAAACCCCACCAGCAACAAACTTCCCTTCTTCATCTTAATCCATAGCAGGAACACTAATACTATCAATATGCCACACCGTCCCATCAGCACTAACACTCAACCCGCTATACGTCGTCCCCCCAGAAACACCAAGCGTATCCCCAAACGCCGTATCAGAAGAAGCAAGCGTAATCGTAGTATTCTTATACGTCTGTGCGGAAACAGTACCACTACAATCATCATCGCATTCCGTTCCAGTCCCCCATCTACGTTTTCGTCAACTCAGTTTCATGATATCAAGGGGGAAGAAGTACATACCCAGTCATCGGCCCAGATTCATGGCTAAAAGAAGAGAGATACGCTCCTGTTACTGCATTCGTGACATTCCTGTACCTCTTCATCAGAGAATGTTCAGCACAGAGAGGGGGAAAGTAAAAACGCACTGAATCCAAACCAACCCATCCGCACTTCTACTATACTCAATCCTAACCTGATCCTCCTCCCCAACCACCCCCGCCTGCCCATCTAGCTGCCCAAACGATCCAAATAGCGACGCCCGCACACACCACTGTCCAGGCGTGGCTCCGCACCAGCTATTGTCAGGCCAGCTCTCGAGCGTGGTTTGGATCAGGTCTCCGGTGCCGTTGCTCATCCCAGGCCAGAGGAAGAGCTCGCCGTTCTGGGAGGAGGGCGCGGCACCCGGGACGAGGGTCGTGATTGCGTGGATTATGTGAGAGGTTGTGGGACCCAGGGAGAGGGCGCCGCCCCAGGTGTCGTCGCGTTTGGTTGGTTTGGCGGATGTAAGAGCGGCGAGGAGGAAGGGGAGAAGGAGGGTGTGGTGGTGCATTTTGGGGCTGGTGGAGTTTGTGATGAAGCGCGAAAGAAAGTGAAATGCAAGAATTGGTGTACAGAGAAGTGAAGTGAGGATGCAGGAACAAGAAGGATGAATGTGGTGTAAGACTTACTGACTTCTGTCTCTCCTGAGCAAGAAGAATATATTCATGTATATACATTAAAGGAAAATCTTAGTAGAATGATGTAAATGCTGTCCTGGAATGAAGAATGTGGAGAAATACTATACTTGCGGAGAAATAATCTGGTTTTGCAGGATATGCTCGAAACAAGTACCGCTTCTATGGGTCCTTCTGTGGAGTTTGGTCCAGGGAATCGGAAGACATTTTTCCAATGGAAGAAAAAGGGATAGGAATCAAGCTTCTTTATAGTTTGCTAGGATGAGTTGCTGATTTCGCTCGGGAGCGAGATGTTGAGGAGAAATTGTTCCACGACTCGTAAAAGGAGGTCGCTTAGCGACTTCGCCAAAAGCGATTGGACGAGTCTCAAACCCGAAACTTTACCACAGCTTTTCGTCCCTTTTATGCTCGGGATTTCCTCTTCGGTGACCTTAATTTGATTTTCAAACGCCTGCAGAATCCGAGCATGCGGCAATAATTAAGGATTCCCCTCGCGAGGAAGTCCCGGACTTCAGCCCTATTAAACACGAGGGGTAATTTCCATGAAACAACCCCACATCAACCCCTTTCACGAGATTCCCCACCACTCGTATTCACGACATATGTCAGGTGTGAGGTCCGAAAGATTTAGGATGATTTGGGAATGAGAAAATACAATTCTGCAGCCTCTTGAAAGTCAATTCTAAAAGCTGGTTGATGGCACTCGCCACTATTGCTCTCTTGACAAACATCGAATTGCATTATCAGTGATGCAATGTGTGTTCTTCACAAAGGCAATGGTTATTTCGGCAGCAGACTGCAGTGACTTATCCAAGTCAAGCAAAGACTTCAAACATTCCTGCTGGAACAAACATTCAAACGCTAACAACGAAAAGCCCAGACATCCGACAACAGCAGCATGGATTCGATAACAACTATACAATGTTGACCGAGGATACAATCCAGTGAAAGAAAGGAAAGTGCTGTATTCAAGAATACACTCAACATCCATTGATTGAAGCTGGCTTGCGCCTGGTGCTTAAGATGTCTTTCTTGTTGACCCAGACGCACAAAAAACTTCTAATGTGAAGAAAATCTTGAAGGGCGAGGATAGATATCCGGTCTCCTATTCATTACATGCGAAAGGTTGCAGCGATGTCAACATGAATTCAAAAGAATGACGATTGAGTTGAGTCAGGACGTGGAAATCAAGATACACTGTTTATTACAGAATATATATTCAGATCGACGGATATTACAAATAGCTGAACTTATCTGATCTAGGCTGGGGACTTTGGGGACTGCAAAGTAGTAATAGGAGTTTGGACTTTGAAAGTGACTTGAGAGATTGATACAGATTTAAGACTTTGAGAGCTTTGAAGTATTGGTAGGGTGCCGGACTTTAAAGCTTTATTTCTATATTATATCACTGATAGCAATTTTTCTCCATTACTCAAGACCCAGACATATATGCGAAGGAAATGTCCTGGCAAGAAGCACGCCATTGATAAAGCAGCTTCCAACATCATAGCAGAACTCCTTTACTGGAAGCATCCCCCTTGCAAAAACAATTCGCAGTCAAAGCTTTGACATGTCATGTCAAGTCATGAGACGAACTCCTGAGCACTGGCTTAGGCCTCATCAGGGATTTGCATGCACACATATCGACAAGCCACCCTAGTATGACAGATTTCTTCATCGAGATTAGATCTCGACAATGAGTTGCTCTCGAGCCCTCACTTTGTTTTTGCGGCCAGGGACATCATCGGCAGATCTATTGTTCCGCAACACTTGAGGCTGAATCCAGCTCGGTATCATGGAACCTTCTACACGTGGTCTCAGAGCTGTCAATCCTTATATAGCCACGTGCCTTTTACGGAAGGTGCCATCTTCCCATCTTCCAACAACCCGCCCCTTGCTTCAAGCAGGCTATATTTAAAAAAGCAAGCAAGAAAGAAAGAAGCGTGATATGACAGGAGGAGGTCACGATAATACCTAAGTTTGCACGGCATGCGATCCGCGCGCTACCTTACGGTACAACAACAGCGTCGTGTGAGACCAGATCTCAGATTGCCCAATTCTGACCGAAGATCTCGGGAAAATGAAATGAGATGGACGCAGGTACGCAGGTACGCGAATATGCAATGATACTTCGAATCTTGGACTGTCTTTTCCAATGTCACCCAATGTAAGAGAGCGGCACGTGGAACGACACGTGATGGGAGAGAGGGGCAGCGCGGAACAGAGGTCTGATTGCTCAGAAATACGGTGCGGGTTCGCGGCGCAAGTTTAACCTGAAGAGTAAGAGTGAGAGCGGGTGAGTGAGATAGGACGTTTTGTGAATCAGACGATTTGCGATGCTCGCACGGTTTGCTGACTTACTTACCCTGATTTCAGGACGAGACTAGAAGCTCGCTCGCTGCACGCAATCTCGGCGTCCTGTGATTCGGCTTCGCTTCTAAATATAAATAGTGCCCGCTTCCTCCATTGTGTTGTTCCATCATCCGGCGTTCAACCTGCAGGCCACCAGCCGATCAGTAAATTAGCAGAATCCGCGCGGGCCTGTCAATTGCGTACGATTTGGATGTGACTATTGGATGGGTTTCAGCTGGACCGTGATGACAATTTGATGCGAAGGAAAAGAAACGCGAGGTGGCGTAGTAATTTGGACGAGGTACTTGTTTGATTGCTGCTGAACTTTCATCAATGCCAACAAGCATGGATGGCTTGTCACCCGCCCATTGGGCATGGAGAGTTTGAACAGAGATGCAACACAAAGGGGCAGAGAGAAGAAACGGAAATGAAATAAGCTTCCGTGAGGGAAAGTCAAAGAAACACGCCAAGCAAGAATGGGGAATAATAAGGATGCTCGAAAGTCGATGTTTTCCCAGCAGGGCTCAAGCATGAAGCTGCGATGTGATGCCGCACAGTTTATTATTATTATTTTTTGAGTTTCCGTGTGCATCTGCGGCGTAAGTGAGGGGACCATGGCCGTGACCGCAGGCCAACCACCGCTCTAGTCGGAAGCTTATTAAGACGCGTCAAATCCGCGTCAGGGCTCGTGTTCCATAATACGTTTATTGGCTGGCTCTTCACGTCTCCCCTCACGCCTCCATTCGCGAATCCTGGTCGATAACACAAAATCTCCAAGAGTCCCCAGTCCGAGCACCAAAGAATCGCTGCTGATCGGTGATTATTAGACGCAGCAAGGTAAATCTTGCGCGGGATCCTGGCTTGGTCGAGGATCCTGGACTCAGATCATACTGATGCGGGACTATGGACTGGCCCATCACTGCAGACAGGGTCCTCCAGCCCAAAACCTGTATTTGGGAATGGCTCACACCCTTTTGTGAGAATGAAGAAGTTCAATGGGGAATTGCTTGCTTGTTCTGCTGGCTGTGGGAATCTTCCACGACCCGGAAAAGCGTTGGAGAGAAGGGTGGGATGCGTTGTCAAACACGGGCGTCAAGTCCCAGATATATGGATCTGCTGCCACCCCGAGCGAGCAAGGGCATCGTGTAGGGTCTGCCCTGGATGAAGGATTTGTAGACATGTGCCGAGAGGAGAGGAGAGGAGAGGACCCTCGGGTTGGAGCTCTTCTCCTCGCGAGCGTATGAGAATGTCTCGCGGCTTGACGGGCTTTCTTTACGTCACCTTGTTCAAGATTTGAATTTTGCCTGTGCTCATCATGCTCGGGCGTTGAGGAACGGAGATTTCGCCTCCTCCTCCATCGTGAATAAATGTCAAAGCGTCCCCGCCGTTGAGATTTCTGGTGGGTCTGGACAGCCATGGACGATTTGGATCTGTGAATAGTATGCAAATCCAAGGGGATCTGGGCTGCACTCATCTCCTGGAATTCTCTAGAGCAGCGTGGGCATTGAGCACGTTCAAGAGGTAAGTCGTGAAGCGCTCTTGCTGAATTGAAGCTCCTCTTTCTTGACCAGATAGGGCGAGCTGACCAAGTCATGGACACTTTTGTACATGCAAGCCAGGACAGGGACAGAGGCATTGGGCTTCTGCAACCTGGGCGACATGTTACCTGATTGGAGTTAAGCACGCGACTCGGCATGAGCAACAACAATGACCGGGACGGGGAGATACATCCTATTCCGTCCAACAGGTCGTGCGGCTGTTTATTGACGGCCGATCCATCTCCAGTTATTCTCCACAGCTTTTGAGGCGGGTTTGTATCAAAAGCGCCAATGCTGGCTGTAGTATATGAGAGCCGTCGTGAGGATTCGGTGGATCCGAGAATTTGATGTGTATGAACCAGACCAAGCGTGAGTCAATAGCAAAAGCGTTAGATCCGAGGAACAGGTTTAGAACATTGGAGAGAGGCGTCGTTCGGAATCTGATGCAGCTTAAGGCCTCGCTTTACTTTGCTTGGTAAGTACGGACATTGTAGAGTGGAGAGAGCTGGAGGATGGCCGACTACTAGTTCTAGCTTGTGGTGTGGCTGGAGAGGAGTGAAAATGGCCAAGACTAGACGCCGGTAGGGTTAGCATGGCGGAATCTCAATGCAAGTGTTTCTTGATCTTGAGAAACTCAAAGACGTCGGCTACACGGCTACCGCAAGATGGGACGATTGCTGCATCTCCATTCAAGATTTCGAGAATGGCTTGTGAGAGTCTTTCGTGGGTAGCTACTGCATTGTTGTCTTGTTGTCTGCTTCCCTGTGCGGACAACGCCGCATGAGATGTTGCGGTCCTGACCTCTCACATCGCCTACCACCAATGTTCCAGTCTATATATCTACACATATTATTAAATATGTGTTTCCTGACACTAGAGCTCTGCCTGATTGGAAAATGGCTCACGCCGTAGCGGGAAACATGCCTTCTCGACATCTGAAACAATGTCCAGTGAGCAATTGCTGCAGCTCTGTACGATCAATCACGTCGTCTTGCACTTCCTTTGAAACACATAACCAGCATATTGAAGCTGCCGGAGATAATGGACGTCGCTAGGATATATCTGGACAAAGGAATCTGACGGATCCATACGGGCCTGCAGAAGGAAGAAATATATCGCGTGCCCTGGTCTATAATTCGACCACCATGGCGGAAAGACATCAACCCTTTTCCTCTTGGTGAGTCGCCAGTAACACAATAATGTCCGAGCAAAGATGGGACAAAGAACAATGGGAGGAGCAGCGAAGGCCGGTTGACGCTGGGCCACGGCAGACGAGAGGAGGATTGCATCCGGTGCTGTGATCATACTCGCTATGCCTTGACCAGACATCGTCCCGAAAACCATGAATGTAGATATCCGGCATCGTTTCACCAAGTATGGATGCGGTGAAAGTCGCTCTCAGGTGCCCGGCGGTACCAAGCCGAGTACGTCCAGCGTGTCCAGCATTGTCTGTCCAGGTAGCTGTTCCTGTCAGCGACATCCTGGTGCAAAGCTTGTGAATTTGCCCTTCCACTCTTGCTTGTCCCCTCTCCCAGGTGTAGTTGCCGTGTGTATCCTTTCGACCCTCACCCTCAGCCCGTAAAGCGTACGCTGGATGGAGATCAAGCGTCACGGATCGTTGTCAACAAACTCAGAAGCCCCTCTTCCCACGGTCTCGCCTAATCGAATGGGGGCGTAGTCCAATTGGCGGGCAGCAAATGAGAAGGAGAAGAGAGTGTTTCCCGTACCTTGGAAACTGCTCCTTTCCACATTAGCAACGTCGGGCCAGCGTCCTGTCAGGGTTATCCCTCTGCGGTGTTTAGACGAGTCGTGGTTCTAGCCTCTAGCGACGTAGTAGTTTATCAATTAGTTAGCCGTTCGTTTTGGTGGTTCAAGTCCTTGGCTTGGCTTGGTTCAGGTTCAGGTTCTGGTAGCTGGTTCAGGTTCACGGCCGCTGATGAGCCTGGTCTGGTCGCCTAATAACACCTACGGAATTCTGAGCACAAGCACCCTCTCCGCCTGCCACATTCTCCAATCCAGTCCAAAAAGCGAAACCCTTTCAGATCGACCACCACTTCACTTCACCTCGTCTCGACTCCATACGTCAACGAGACTTAGACTTGCACGCTCTTTCCTTCTTTCCTCTTCACCTCTCCTGCGACCCGGCCGTCTGCGAGGTCTCCATTGACCTAGACACGACCCTCGTTCTGGTGTTTACTTTCTGCCCCAGGAAAACACTCCCATTCCTCGAACGCAGCAGGTGACATGGACCGACCTCTACAATGATTTTGAGTCCCTCCACGATTTCGATACGTTCTTTGGGGTTTTCCTTTACAGCGGGTCGGAGACTTCGAGAGGATTGATCGAAATGAAGACGGTGCCCTCGGTGAGTCTTGGGTGTTCCTTCAATTAAGATTACAGTCTTGAAATGTCCTGGGTGGAAATATCTACAACCGTCTCCCTGCGTCACGGCAATCTTACCGTCTTGCACCACCCTCGATTGTCTTCTTTAAGTACCAAAGTAACGAACTCTTGCTAACAGCTTCAGCTCATTGCTTCGAGCACGGTTGGGATTGCCGCTGCAGGACTGGCATTAGGAAAGCCGGAGCGATCTCCTCCGCCACGCCCTTCGTCGAAGAAGAGAAAAGCCCACGAGTTCGCAGATGTCGTCGTTCACAACCAGGGCACGTCGACACCTCAATCACGCCCGGCTACAAGCTCGACCGTGATCACGCCAGGTAGCAGACCTCTTGGTCAACCGACCAGCTCTTCGCCTAATCCGCCCCCGTCCCTACAACATCGAGCTTCAAGCACAAGGGTAGAGATACCAAATAGTAGCTCTGGGAGGAGATTGTCAATACTCAGACACGAAGAAGCTTCATCACCACGGGATCATATTGAGGAGGATCATCGAAGGGAGTCTGTATCGTCTCGAGGGTCTTGGATGAGGAGGTTATCTACAATACCAAACTCATACAACAATAGTCCACGGTCGAGTATCGTCGCACCGGAATCCCCTTCACTCACATTCTCCCATGGTTCGGCAGCTCCGATATTGTCCAATCCGGGAAGCAGTCCTGCACAGCTGCCACCCAACAAACTTGTCAAGAGAGCTACATCAGGTAGGGCAGCGAGTGGTCCAACAATCTCTCGGAACGGGTCGAAATCACAAGTACCTACCCTTCGTCGGCCAGCCACGAGTCATCAACGCTCGGTCACCCTCCAACAGCAGTTTAGAGACGATTCCATGGTCACCACACTGCCATTACACCAGACAGCCACTACCCGCGTCCATGCAACACCGTCAAGCAAATTTAGCACACCGGAAACCAGGCATGCATGGCGTGTGTACTTTGAAGCACGGCCAACTAAGCTCACAAAAGAGAGAGTTTCGGGGAGGTCAAGTGATGGAGGCTTACAGAATTTCCTTTCCACTTCCAGGAGGATTATACCAGACGAGACAGCCAGGCCAACTTTGATGAAACCTGAAATGATTAACAGCTCTAACGCAGATGGTACATTGTACTATGATGATAGCTTCGGAATCGACGATGACTTGGACGATGTTGACGAGACAACAGTGCCCACCACGGAATCTGTCGAGGAACCTCAGAAGCGCGCAAGAAGAAGTTTGTCAATGCACTTTAGCTCGCCTAGTTCATGGATTTCAAGGTCGGGAAGTCTAAGAGGAAAACAGCGTAGCACCGAGGGCAGGAGTGGAGGAAAGCGCCATGCATCAGCACCTGTGTCAACTATGCCTTCTCGCAACATTGCCACGGCACATGGTTCAGCTAGTTATAGACACCGCACGGTCATGGACCCGAAACTATTCCAACGAGAACCACTTTCCCCGACAGAGGATCTCTCTCCTCACGATCCATTTTCCACGAGTTTTCCATCTCGGAGCCGGAACAGTTCTTCACCCTTACCGCCACTCTCCAGACTATCAAGCTTCAACTTGGACATAGCTCGACTTGGATTGTCTTCGTCCTCGTCCTCAGCTGCACGCAGGAGTCCAACATCTCCTATGCCGCTTACGAACACAAACCCCACATCAGTGTCATCCACAGGCCATCCGTCGCCTTCATCAACAACCTATTTCGGCTCTGTGCAGATCAAGAATTCTCGGACTGGAGAAGTTGCAGATCGTGCGTCTACACTGGTTGAGTCTGACAATGACACGCGAGGTTTCATTTCGGGAGACGAAGACGATATGGATTTCCAAAGCGAGACAGTGTTCGACTCATTGAGATCTGGCGCCACTGGTAGCATCCGATCCCATAATCCTCCGTTGGATCACATGTTTGACGAGTCTCCACCAAGTCTTAATGGACATGCAAAGAGTAAACGGCTGTCGATTCATGAAATGTTGGCTAATGGTGGGTTTCAAGAAGCAAGCAATAGGATTGTTGAGGAAGACGAAGGCATGTCCACGCCTGTAAAGAATGCAAGATCTTCACAAGAAGACAACTTCCAGACACCTGTGCGGACCGCCACCATGGAATCAGATGAGGCTTTTCCATCATCTCCGCTAAGCTTCTGCCTCGCTACGAAAGATTTTAGCCGACTTTCTTTGGATGACGACGAAGAGGATGAAGATTGGACGAAAGACGACGAAAACATGGAAGTCAGCAACTCTTTGTCACCCCCAAACAGCTCACTCAACTCGCGGAGGGTAAGTCCCAGTTTTCGAGCCGCTTTAGCAGATGTTACGCACAGTGGGAACACGAATGGCAATCCTGTTGGTGGAGAACGCCCAAAGAGCAACCTTTTTGATTGGTCCGAGCCGTCTTCTGCTGAGAAGATTGATCTCATGGGAAATTCTCCTCGGCCAAGAACTGCTCATGTCAAGCAGGTTGCTGATGGCAGAGGCGGAAGAGCCATCGGTCGCAAAGGGCCAAGTGCTCTACATATCAGGAGTCAGAGTGTACCTGTCGTGCCTGACGGAGCGAGCCAGCGTGATCATTCGAAGCTAACACCCAAATTTGGTACTTGGGGTCTAGGTGCCAAAGGTGTTAGTGAGGAGTGGGACGGAGACTTCGAGTTCGATAATGACGAGGGCGACAATGGAGAGTTTGGTGACAGCAAGATGGAGAGTAGTGGAATGCTCGTCCCGCCAGCGATCCAAGCTAGCCAAGCAAGTGTTGCAGGGCATGTAGGACAGATTCGAGAAGTTTGCCTGCTTGTGGAAGATCTCAAGAGACTGCGGCTACTCGCAAAAGAAAAGAATCTGCTGCATGGTCGTTCCGCGTCATTGTGGAAGGAAGCTGAAGGCATCATCGCCCTGGCAGTCCCAGATGAGGAAGATCCCACGCTGTCTCCGCCTCATTCGCCAGCATCGGTTGTCGTCGAGCAAGAAATGGAGGGCGATGATTTTCACGAACATGGCCCGGCTAGCGAGGAAGTATCCATGCCGGACACTCCAATCGAGGTGCTAAACCGGCACGGGAAGCCTACTGGATTCGTCTATGATGGCAACACTGTTCGTCGACGATCTGTATTCTCGCCAGAGGACGACATTTTCGGTGCTGGTGTGATTCAGAGCCCGCAGACCAGAGAGTATCTCAGACCACCTTCAAACTCGCCTCGGCACTCGCTTGCAAGAAGTGCTTCGGATACAGCTCGTTCAGTCATGGAGACTATGCACCAACATCGGTCGACCTCTGATCCCATTCTCCAAAATTTGACTGGCCAGCCTTCAGACAAGATGCCTTTCGATACCACCAGCCTTAAGGATCTCGTCAACAAGGCCAGCCAATTGAGTCGTACGTTAGCAGAAGTCATTCGCAAACATGACGGGTCACAGAGCCCAGAGGACAATTCACGCCGAGATTCGAGTCCAGCTTTTACACGGGTTTTCACGGATCCCAGTGTCAGCCCCCCCAAACATCTTCTCCGAAGCCATAGTAATAATTCGATCCTAGGCGGCTCGATCGATTCATCGCCTACACGAAGCCTAGGTCAACGTATGCATATGATGACTGTCGTATGATAGTCTCGATGGTCCGGATACGGATCTCTTTTGTACATGAGCAGACCCTAGTGGTCTTTATTTCCTTTTCTGCATAGCGACGGTTTTCATTCGGCTACTGCATGCAGCGCTTTTCTGCTTGTAAATCTGTTATATGCATCTTCTGCATAGATCTGGGAGCGTGTCATTGGAGGCGGTCATTGCATGCTTCTAAGCATTCATCAAAAGAATTGCAGCCTGGTTTGGGGTCGACTTTGTCATTCTGGGGCTGTATGGGAAAAAGTGCCAAGCATCAACAAAAAGAGCGAGATTACGTTAATGTTTGCACGTTGTTCCATTTCTTTCGGGTTTGCTTGGGTTTGTGCAAAGGTGGAATGCGTTTAACAAGCATTGAAGCATTGCATTTGTTTTTCTAGTATAGAGCTGGGAGACGAGCGCGGGCGGTTTGGTCTTTGTAATGAGTATATTGTTTTCTGGTTCGGTGGTCCAGCAGCGAGGGTGGGAGAAAAAAAATCATTGCTGTGGAGAGAAAGTGCCTGTACGAGGGTGTACTAGAGCAAATTTGAAGGATGGGTGGAATGCTGGTTCATACAGTATGGCTTGCTATCATGCTACCAAACGCTGTCATGACCGCCAAAACAACAAGGCACATGAGAAATGTAAGACGGAACGAGCAGAACGAATGCAGAGATATGAAGTTATGGCTTCACGCTATCAAATACTTTTTCCACCTGCAAAATGTGATCCAACTGTTCTTTATGTCCATGGTGAGATACTTATTTACCTTATTAAAATTGACGCTAAGTAGCTATATTTATACTCTCGTCTGCCGTTTATACTAAAAAGCTTTATCTAAAGTTATATACCCCGTCCTAGGCTCCTCTACCTAGCTTCCTAATTCCAAGGTCTCCTGCAACATACATATCGAAGATCCATTAGGCACAAGTGGCAAGGTACTTGACGCCAGGCACAGTTTTCAAGCTACCACGTGATGCGGGGTTCTTGCTGATCAGACCCCGCCAAGCTTCATGACGCATTTTCAATGCATCCAAGAGCAACTGCAAAACACTCTGACCATTCAAAAGCCATGCGAGAAATCATTTGCCAATACCATTGGATGGCACACAAAAGGTAAATGAGGTAGATGATGCTCCTTATCAATGATGCGTGAGGCTGCAGTTGCTCATGCGGGGTTCACATCTGCATCTCAATCGCCAAGCCACGACGTCGCATTCAAGATTTCTTGAGACACAAAGCTCTCTTATCTTTCCCTTTATCTTATGTTGTAAACGGCCGAATACTTTTTCTCATTACTTGTCACTATGAAGCTGTTCATTAATATAGTTCTTGGAGCTATCCTCTCCGAGATTGTCTCGGCGATAACTTGCAACCTCAAGCCGACCTATCCTACACCTTCAACCTCCGATGGCTGGCAAGCTCAGCTCGTGGCCAACGAGTTAACTTCTCCGAGAAGTATACTCTTTGACGGTAGTGGAAATCTGCTGGTTGTGCAATCTGGGGCTGGAATTGTGCATCTAGCGTTCGATGATGGTGGCAGTACATGTTTAGACGTCTCCAAGAAGACCTTCTTAGTGAATTCTACAGAAGTAAGTACCAACTCTTGTCATCAACCCCAGAGACTAACAATAAACAGCTGAACCACGGAATAGCACTCTCAAACGACGGTAAAACACTCTACGCCTCCTCCTCCGAAGCAGTCTATTCCTGGTCCTACGACGCCTCCGCCATCAGTGTCAGTACCACAAACCAAACTCTGGTAACAGGCATGACAAACGACGACCACACAACCCGCACCCTCTTGATGTCCCAGAAATCCCCCGGCACCCTCCTCATCAGCCGAGGCAGTACATCGAACATCGACCCCGAAGCCGCTCTGCTAAGCTCCGGCCACTCGCAAATCAAAGCCTTCAACACTTCCAACCTAACAAAGACCTCCACCCCCTACGATTTCAATACCCAAGGCCTCCTCCTCGGCTGGGGGTTGCGAAACTCGGTCGGAGTCGCCGAAGAACCGCTCACAGGCGGTATATACAGCGTCGAGAACTCTGCGGATGAAATAGACCGCGATGGGGTCGATATCCACGAGAACAACCCTGGGGAGGAGATGAATTTCCACGGGTTCTTAAACGGGAGTACGCAGGATCAAGGCGGCAATTACGGATACCCGGCTTGTTTTGCGTTGTGGAATACGAGTATACCTGATCTGGGGAGCTTGGTGGTGGGAGATCAGTTTACGTTGCAGCAGAATGCTACGTTTAATGATTCGACGTGTAATGAGGAGAGGGTTGCTCCGAGGTTGACGTTTCAGGCTCATATGGCGCCGTTGGATATCGTGTTTTTGGAGAATGGGACGGAGGCTTATATCTCTTTCCATGGATCTTGGTACTTCCCCTCTCCCTCCTCATTTTTCATTTTTCACTAACAGAGAACGGAAAGGGACCGAACAAACCCCATCGGCTACAAAGTTTCCTCTGTCTCCTTCTCGACCGGCGAACCAACAGCAGCGAAAGATAGCACGAATAGCACCGTCGATATCTTTGCGAACAAGGATAATTCGCAGTGTCCGGATGGGTGCTTTAGACCGGTGGGCTTGGCGGTTGATGGGAAGGGCAGGTTGTGGGTTTCGAGTGATGCTACGGGGGAGTTGTATGTTTTAGCAAGGACGAGTACGGCGACGGCTACGAGTTCTGGGGCGAGTCCGTCGGCTACGAAGAAAGGGATGGGTATGAAAGTGGAGATGGGGGATAGAGGGTTGTGGGTGGTTGTTTTATTGATGAGTTTGGGGTTTGGGTTGGGGATGATGTAGAATTCCATTCGCTCTTCTTTGGAACGTGATAGAGTGAGACTCCTCCTACTGAGGCAGAAAGTTTTGCGTTCACTTGACGGAAAACGAGACTATCCTATCAAGTCACTACATTGTACAGTAATAGCTCCCACAAAAGGTAACATCTGATTTAGTCCTGTAATGAATCCTAGAGAGGGATTTCAGATTCTTAACAAGCAAGTACAATCGAAGCGAACAATCACCAACATCAACATCTATAAATTTCACTACCCAACTATAGACATCCATCTTAACCTCATTCTGAAACATATGACAGACAACAAAGCAGACTAACATATCGTAATGACTTCAGACATTAAGCTCAGCCGAACATTGTCTTACTCCGAATGTCCCAGGACATTCCAAAGATTTGTGACTTTCATACAAATTTGGATCATTGAAATGTGAGCAGGACAGCTTAACCACTTACCTCTAAATGCAAAAATACTTCATAAACCTTCTTCCCAAAAGCAACTATTTCCTAGCTCTCAAAGACTCAGCCAGATAGTATGAGGAGTGAGACAAAGAATTCTAGACAGCGGCACACCTCAGCAGAAACTAAATCGAGTAGCGAATGAATTGGCCTGTGGTATGGAAATTACGATTCTGCGGCAAAACCAGAAACCGTCACGGTGCGACGTGCAACAAAATTTTACCTAGGTACGTTAGGCCAAAGTTGAATTCACCTTCGAGATTTGGCTCTTGTTCCGTTCTTCAAACCAAGGACATGAGCAGACTTTCAATTTCATACTTAGGGTTCTACTTCGAAATCTATGATTAGTTGATGAGGTGGCCCTGGCCGAGAGTACATTAGGAGTTGTCGGCTGGGAGTAATGCCGCTGTGCGATGAGCAACAAAAATGACTTTCAATGTCTGAGACACAAGTGTATTGTGAGGTAGCATTGCTGTTGAGGTGAACCGGATTTTATTTAGATCATGCTCCTGCACATGTCCTGGTTATGAAGAGTGAAAGCCAAGGGGGAACCCAATGAAGTGTATTCATATCATCATATCCGCTATGAAAATTCCCATATCTCATGCATTCGTGACCCAAATACCATCTCTCAGAGGAGATCCTTTCCAATATACTCCAAAGACCAGCAGGTCTCGCAACGAAGGTATCATCAACTCTCAAATCCAAAGAAACGCCTCTAGCCAGTGCCAATATCTCCTCTATATCTCATCTCAAGCATCAAGGCCTCTTCCACCAGCTTGAATGACAAGCACACTACCTCTCACGCCACCGGAGATCAACGTCTCGGCAATCACACCAAGCGTCTTCTTCATTTCTGCATTGGCTACATTCTCATTGGTGTCAGCAAGACGAGAATGTCGTCCTCTGCCCACCACGATCAAATCACCTGCATTCCTGGGAGACTGTCCAATCTCTTGTCTTGCGTGGGCAAGGCAATCATCGATAGGAGCCGTAGTCGCTACCTCGACGAATACAACACGATTCGCCAAAGCGATCGGAAGAGAATCGCGTAGAGAGTGTATCAGAGCTGTATCCTGAGCTGCACCTGCGTACAGAGCTTCTGTATCGATCCGTTCAGTGATGTCAAGCCTTGACAAATTGCCCAAGCCTGATGACGATTCGTTTACTTGCACCGAAGAAGGCTTCTTGGGCCCAGATTGAATTGGCATGTTGAAGTGAATGATCGTAGCCGTGATATTGGAGTTCTGTGCCAGTTGCAGAACAAAGCGTAGAGCAACACGGTCATCAGCACCTCCGAAGAATGGGAAGTAGACGTGATGGCTTCGGTCGACAATAGGCGGTAAGGGTGTCTGGTGGCTCGTCCTACTCCGTAGACTATGTCCACTGACGGTGCGACTCAAAGAGCGAGACTCAAAGACTGGTTGGCCGCCAAATCCACGATTAAAGAACACGGCAGTATTGCAGGTGGCTGTCTCGAGAGTTCTCTGGATAAAAGCCTCCTGGATCCCGCTAGCAATGGTATCCAACCCCAGAATATCATCCGAACCCTCGCTCCACGGAATCAAAACAAGGTCTGAGAAGTGATCTGAAGCCTGACTTGTCAACGTTTCGGCATAGGATGATTCTGGCACTACAGAAACGCCTCCTGAGACAGCGACATTGTTCAACTGTGCAAACGCTCTGAAGGCGTTGACAACTGGGTCTCGGTAAGCGTGTTCGTCCATTTCTGAACCTTGCATCACTGAAGATGTACGCTCCGTCAATTCCAACATACGAAGCCCGTGAACTTCAAGTGGGCGTTTATTCACTAGCGCAGTCGTAGAGCTAGCTGAATCTTCAGGTACAGCCTCAAGGTCAGACTTGGATCGATGAACCTTTGTTGAAACAGTCGATCGATCTCCTCCAAGGAGAGAAATGAATGTAAAAAGACTTGGAAGACTGTCAAGTCTGAGGTATACGAGAAGTCTCCTGACTTCTTTGGTTTGAAGTTTCTCGATAGGTGGATCGGGAGTGCTCTCGCCTTCCAATTGTTCAGGGGCCAAACGGTCTCCATTCCAGTCGATCTCACCTCTCTTCCATGCATCGAGCTTTTGCTGATAGGCTGGAGGATATAACCACAATGTAAGTGGCGTAGTTGAGACGGTGGTGATAAGTGCCATCACGACAAAAATGGTGAAAGTCCTCGTGGAGAGAATTTTGGCTGATAGTCCAATATTCTGATTTTGTTAGTAGTGAACATGTAATGTTTCAGGACTGTAGATGACACTTACGAGCACGATGAGTTCCACAAGACCTTTGCAACTCATCAACACACCGATTGATAGTGACTCTCGCCATACTAGCTTGCATGCTCTGGCTGCCAAAGTGCCGCCAATAATCTTACCAGCGAAAGCAACCGTGATGACTCCAACAACATATGCCCAAGTGAGTCCATCGTTGAGTAGACCCAGATTGGTGCTAAGACCAGAAAGAGCGAAATAGAGCGGTAAGAATAGAACGGACACAAGATCTTCAATCTTTTCCGTAAGTTTAATTGCAAAACCACCATCATGAGGGCAAATTAGGCCAACAAGGAAAGCTGATTCAGGTTAGCAGGTGACAGGTTCAAGTCATCATATGTACTTACCTCCAAAAATCGGATGAATCCCAATAATACCTGTAAACCATGCAGAAGTAAGTGCTAAGAGAAGGGTAAGAGCGACCATGCCCTGCGTTGGTCCGTTCTGCAGACTACCTGTTCGGCGCAACATCCAAATGAATCCAGGGCGGACGACAAAAACCAGAAAGAGGATCCATCCAAAGCAACACAGGAGGACATAAAGCGCCACGAGTCCCGAACCATTGTTGACTAGCGCGACACAAAGTGCCAGAAGAATCCATCCCGTTACATCGTTGCCAACACCTGCAGCAAGAACAGTAACTCCAACAGGTGTACCGAGGAGCTTGAGTTCTGTGAGGATCCGGCAGAGGACTGGGAATGCCGTGATCGACAATGCAGTTCCGATGAACAACATGTAAACACCAAACGCGATGGGTACCGTTTCAGGCTCGTCATGGAAGTGGTGGAAAAGTCCCCATGCAATAGCACAACCCAGACCAAAGGGCAATGCCATTCCTGCAAGACCCACGCTCAAAGCGACACGCCAATTGGATAAGAACATCCGCATATTGACTTCCAATCCTACCAGGAAAAGGAATAGAACGAGCCCAAGGTTAGCTACCAAACTCAGTCCTGCCATTGAAGCATTTGGAAATATAGCATTCTGAAAACCAGGAATTCGCATCATAACTGATGGTCCGAGTATGATTCCACCAATGACTTCTGCTATCACACGTGGTTGTCGTAGCTTGGATAATGGGTAGTGAAGAAGTCGACAGAAAATAATGATGATACCTGCCTGCAAACGTTGTTAGCTTCCATATCCAACCCATTTTCAATTGCGATTAGGAAAGTGATTTGCTGATCAGCAAGCCTTGTAGACCTGCAGTTCCGATTGTGCTACAATCCACGAGGCACCTTGCAGTTCCGCAGTGACGAGATTTGTATGTACGACCTATGCACGAGCTGCGGAATCATAAACTTGCCTGGATGATGAACAGGATGATGGGGTTTTTGGGGTCATATTTGCTTGGATTTCCGCCCTCCAAGATTCCTCCTTGGGGGGTTGCACGGTCTGTCGAAGTGGCAGTAGTGGATGCTGCTGTCTTTGTTACCGTTTTGGTAACTATTGATGCGATTGAAGACATCTTGGAAAGGTATCCTTGTGTGACGACGATCAACAGTCACGCCGGCTATCAAGGAAGAGTGACATGCCCGAGTTTATGTAGAGAGAAGGAAGAGCAACATGGAGCGTGGAACGATCTGACGGGTGGGGGTTAGACTTCTGACATGTGGAGAAGCGGGTCGAGGGGAGGACGGCCGACGGGTCAAGGTTGTCGAGGATTAGGGACCGGGCAAGACTCCAAGACTCTTGGTAACTTGGAACTTGGAGAGCAAGTAAAGTGATGGCGTGCTGACTCGGGCCAGAAGAATGCCAACGGAGGTGGAGCTCAAGCTATTCGCAGAAAAAGTCGCAATGTGAATGCGACTGTGGCGGGGTTCATGGATGTTTGAGCCATTGAGGGAGAGACATTGGAGTAAAAAAACGCCAATCAATCCTTCACAGCGCTTCAGGGTCATGGCGCAGAACCGCCAAGCACTACCAGGGTCGAGAGCTCGGTCTCCCGCTTATTCTAGCATAGAACCGGAAGGAGCGCCGACAACCTTCCATTGTCCCAACTTCAGTCATATATCAGGTGGAGTCCGCGTGTGTCTCCCATGGATGCGTGAGTGAGCGATTCACGGCCCTGATGGCTATATGTGGAGTACACATCATGAGACCTCAAAACCACGAATAGTAACTATTCACGCGGAAGAGACAATCCATCTGCGGGAAGTCTCTCAGAATTCGAATGCGCTCAGTCGGCCGTGATGGTGGACACCTGTCAAGGGTCCTGACATGTCAGACGGATATCAACTGCAAGTGTAAGAGGTTGTGCTTGCCGATCTGCAAGATAAGATGGGAACACAAAACCATTGTTCAGCCATAATAGCCTTCTTCAACACTGAGGGACGGCTCGCATCTTACTGTGCCGTCTCAGCCATGAATCCCGTTACATTGATTGATGGCGTTTGTCGATGGCGTTTTTCGAGATTCAAAGCTGCAAAGACTGGGATTTCAAAAAGGCTATACAGAGATAAGGAGGTAGTACAATGACAATTGTACAACACTTTCCTCTTGCCGGGGAAAACAGCAGTGTGCAAGGCATGCTTCGCTAAAGCTATCCCTTGTGAGCCCCTATGAGAATGAGGCAAAGACACTCGTCCCATTGGTAGCAAGATAAGATGGGCTTTGACGGCGAGTTGGGTGTTAATGATCTGAGCCCCATGGAATGCCCGACGTTTAGATTTCTGCGAAATATCTGTCGAGTTTCTGTATGATGACATTACAGACAACATCGGTACCTGATTTTGGCGGCCCCTGTCGGAGGGTGTAGTGTCTCCAGTCAACATGAAAGATGATCTTCAAGCTGCGGTGTATGTACTCCTACCTGCCACGTAACGAGCTTAAGTCTCGGAGTTTGGCTAGCCTTTGAAAGACACAGTATCTCTGGAAACTCTTGCTGTAATCGGTCTCGATTGCATTGATTTCGATTTAGCACCATTTGCTAGGTTGCTATTGCGACTTCATCAAGCCTCAGAATTTCCCCACTCCGCGGTTCCTCTCATGGTGGCTTTTACCCCGACAAAGCCTCGAAAATCAACGATTCTACCGCTCTTCTCTCGATCAGGAGTTTTACTCCGACTTCATATCCCCTCTTCAAGTATGAGATGACCACGCACGAATGGAACCTCTCTCAAAGGATGGGTCGTACAGACGGACTTCACCTGCCGCTTGGTCTGTGTTTGCAGCCCTTCACAGGTCCAACACAGCGAAGTAGTCGCTCAGCTTCTCGTTCCTTATGGTAGTGCCGGCTTTGTAGGATGAGTCTAAGCGCAGCTCAACTCCCCTGATACGGAGGATCGACGAAGCATAGAACTGGACTCCTCGCATGACAGGGATCGGCCAAGTCCATTCTGCTCGAATCACAGCTCTCGCCCTCTCTATCACTAGAGAGCCGACATGTATGCCCTTCATGTGGAAGATTCTCTCGGACAGTCCTCGCTAAGCGCAATTTCATCAGAACACTTCGGTATCAATACCAAGACTCAGAAGACACAAAGCAGGTTTACCTCAAAATAACCTTAATTGAAGAAGATACAGCTCAAGACTTCAACTCGCATTGATGTTTGTAGGATTTACACTCTGAAAGCACGCAACCATCTCCTCTCCATCCTCCATTCCACCACGAAGGAACCAGGTTACTCCACTTCTAGCTCAGATATTCCATCCACAAATTCGAAGCCAAAAACTCATTCACATGAGTAGAAGAAATAGTTACTTTGCGGTAGACAACACGTTAACCATCTCAGCCTCGATTATGCTGACAAAAAACCCTGGACTTATACACAAAAAGCACAATGCACTACCTATCTACTTACATACCTTCCATACTGGCTACGGTTGAAACACCGATGATAATCGTCTTACTCCTTGAGACGGCGCACTCGTAGGAAGTCTAGAGGTTCCGGGTCATTCATCCGAAAACGCGGTCCAGCAGACTCGAGCTGTTAACGACATATTCCTGGGCGTCAAAGTGGTTCCCCGCCATCTTCTATAACAATCTCTCCGCAAAGCAATCCTATCAGATCTTAGAAACATACGAGATGCCTCAAGTCATGGAAGATCTTACTAACAACTCAATTCCTGGCCAAAATGCACAATCCCACACACAAAATTCATCTCTGGAATACAAAACATCACCAACTAAAAATGTCCAGACTCGACCCCGCACCTTACTTGAAGTCTCCCAATCACTCGTTGCGCCTCTTCTTCTTCTGCTCAGCTTTTCTGTCTCAGCATCACATTGGTGAAATTTCATCTGCAATACTTCAATCAGTCGAAAACCACACTTTGCCGTCAACTTCCATTCTATTGTCATCCAAACTATCATCACCTTCTCTAGTACACTTCTGTTGTCATCATTTCGCAACCTCATCTTAGCCACACCTGTGGAGCCGGGACTCTTCGAAGTCCCACGCCCGTGCCGGGTCCATAGCAGGCCACGGCTATTCTGGTGCGCGGACTCTTCGTCCTTGCAATGGTCGCCGGTGGCACGGTCGAGGCCCGGTGGATAGGTTGCCACCAGGACCCACGATGGGTTGGTTGTCTCCAGGGCAGACGATGGGTTGTTTATATAGTGTCGAAGTTTACGAGTGAACTCACGTTTCGTCTTTCGCTGTTCATTCACTTCTTCAACGCGAAATCGAAGTGCCTTACTTTTGAAACTGGAGACGATTTGTATATTCACTTTGCGCTTCGACTCAGAAAGTGTTGCAACAACCATTCACCTCACCTCTCCTCTCCTCTCTTCCTGTCCGCTACACGAAAAGACGCTAGTGACGATATAAACGCTCGTTCATACCTCTAAGAATACTCAAACAAGACAACGAAGAGCTACCACGCCATGTCATGGTCGCCCGGCTCTCCTCTTGCCAGTGCCGGGTATGTGTGCAAGGCAGCCTCAACTCAACATTCCAATTCTACATCCGTATTTAGATTCAGATCTTAACAACGATGAAATTGTTTGGCAGCAATATGGGATCCGGGCATCCCACGAAATGATGTGATGTTCATTTTGACTTGTGAAATTTCACCCTAAATATACTGGTAGTAAGTCCACGAGTACATGTCAGACATCAACAGACAAGGTTTCTTCAGACCCAGGACACACATCTTGCCTCCAGTACCTGACCATGAATACCAGTCTCTTTCTGATGTTTGATTTACATAAACAAACAAGCTCTCTCAAGTGTTAACTGCCGTGATACCCATTAACAACACATGCACATCGCGGTTCTTGCGCTGAATGCGCCTTTTGCGCAAATAGCGCGGACGGCGCGGACAGCGCATTTTGCGCGAAAAGCCCAATGTTCCAAGGTGGTGACTGAATAGTGAAAGAAGGTAGAACCCCGAAACCAGCAATGTAGTCAAACATTGATATACTGTACATCCGTGTCAAGGAAAGTACTTAATTCCACCTTGTGAGAAAATGTTGTCCTTACTCGGATGTTCCGCCACACCAAAAGTACAGTACACCTCACCAACATATAGTGTACGCCCTGATTATATGTTAGTTTGCCATAAGTATGGAGATATGCTGCTTGAATTTGAAGAGACTACATAGACAGAATCTGTACAAAGATTTAAAGTCTGTCAATAATTGAGTACTTTGAAAAAGGACAAGTTCTCTCCTTTTCAAGTCAAAGTGAATAATCGTGTGGCAAGAAAATGACGTATAATCAAGGGGCTACACTGTAAGGTGAATTTTGACATATCGTCAATCACAGGCACATTTCTTGGAGCAAAAGGAAATTTGGAATGGTTAATGGAGTGAATAATATAATGGAGTGAATAACAGAGCCTGACTCACACCAGACCCACGCTAACAACTTCTCCCAGGTATATAAACACAGAAACAACCTAACGCTTTTAGGAAAGACACTTGGCATATCAGTCAAGTTTCCATGGACGAAAGAAGAGTTGGGGGTGGTTTAGGGTGACGTGACCAGGCTTTGCGGAGTTTAGATGGATCGAAGAAGGTTCTTTGATGGGAAAGTTGGGTTTGTGTACTCTGATTATCGTTAACAAACTTTTCCTACTGTTAACGAGATTCTTTTCACTGTCAAAAAAACCCCTTTCCCGGAGTGAATGAACGAGAGACTCTCCAAGGTGACTCGAGACTGACCGAACGAACGCAAAAGCCCACCAAAACGTATGTTCATGAAAGACAAACACAGGACATCATCGTCGCGGCAGAAGGAATGTTCTTTTTGAGAAAAAAAAGAAAGAAGCGGTATGGTCGGCCGCCTGTATGTATAGACAGAAGAGAAAGAAAGAGGTTTCTGGAGATAGTAATTCACTAGTGCACGATTTCGCAGCTTTTGTCCGTCATTGAAAGCCCGGGCGGTTGTTCCAAGTGAGTCCAGAGACCCTTGTGCAGTAGAGTTCCAGAAAGTTCGTCCATCGTTAAGGAGGATCTAGTGGCATAAATATTGCAGATTGACGGATTTGGAAGCAATTCTAAATACTGGAGTATGTTGGGAAACGAGTGCATGTATGAATAAACAGTCACACAACGAAAAGTGTGTGATTGTGTTGTACCTTGAGCACCCATGTAAGGAAGATCGACTTTTCCCATTCACACACGGCACAATGAATAATTCGGCGGTATGAGCACATTTCCTCAACCTATAATTAGAGCTCTTAGTCTCTCGAGTTCGACGTGTCTTCACTTGAACATATGCAATCATACTCTGTGAGAACCATACCACATCAAAAGAAAACACTTGAAAAATATTTGAGCTTACTGAGCCTTTCGAGTCGCAAAGAATAAACATGTGTCATATCTCGAGTCAGCTTTACGGTTGCGGACACATGCGAGCGATTATCACCTATTGCGAGTCCTGTACCTTCTTGTCCAAGAGACCCAGTCAAACCAAGATACAAGCCGAAGCCCAATATTACAAAACGAAAGGTCTTTACTGTAATTTCTACGCCACGAAATGGTATGCCAAGCTTATGGAGTGCCCAAATTTCCAATATAAATATCGCAGTGGGTTGGAGGAGGATTGCCGTGGACGAATATTCACTCTCAAAAAGCACTGGTGTGGTACGTCGCCGATTTACCAGTTGTCGGCGCTGGAACCACTGGAGCAACCTTTAATAGAGAACGAGGATTTGACAGACCAGCTCGCGGATCTCGAAAAAGCGTCAAGAACGGAAGTCAACAAGAGGAATGACAAGTACTTCCTGGAGCAGAAGGCTGCCCTCGACAAGCTTGCTGTTGATGGGGAGGGAATGGACAAAGCATATACAGAACTGATGGAAGGACTTTCGAAATTCGAAAAGATGTCTAAACACAAGAGTAGTGCGGAGTGTGGTGATCAGCCCACAACAGCTGAGAACATGCCTGGAGAAGGAGAACCTGCTGGGACGCGTGAGAGGATGCCCGAAGAAGGGGAAACGGTTGACGAGTGTAAGAAAAGCAATGTGCGCATGGTTAGAACGTCAATGACATACAGCCCTGAAGACGTTGTCGGGGAAGTCGTGGAGCCAATGTTCTTTGGCTAATCCAGAGCTGGGCCGACTCGCTTGAAAGCCATCGCGAGTCAGCCATAAGCTTAAAGCTTTGAATAGCGGACGAGTAGAGGACAAATTTGGCTTAAGCGAGCACGGAGAGCGAGTAGAAGAGTCGTTGAGATAGGCCAATTTAGCAATAGGGACTTAGATGATAATTTGTTCTCACAGAGATAAGACTTAGCTATGGACTACAAACAAGCCTTCCGAATCCGGGCGTTGTACTCCCAAGCGCTTACTCGATCATACGTGAAATCTCGGACATATTGACAGTGGAACAGCTCAAAAACTCTGTAACACGCTGCAAGGAGACAGGATTTGAAGGGGCATGACGACCATCAGGAAGTGAAATCCCGAGAGCGAGCTCTGTAGGAGGTCAATCTCTTGCTAAACGATGTTTTGGCATAAATGCAGACCGGAAACAGTAGTGTATTGTTGGAAAAGGAACTGTTGCAAGGCAAGGACGTATGATGGAATATGCTTTCGTTCTCATTGCAGCTGAGAGAACAATTGTGAAATCGTTTGCAGCATAGATGCTATCCTCGACTGAAGATTTACTTGACCATGTCGAAGTGCAAGGAACCCGTTCGGTGTGGGAGGAAAATATGCTTGGAGGTTGTCCTTTGATCGAAAAGTCAAAAAATCCATATCCCAAGTAAATGTAGAAGGCGCTTCTCGCATCAAATCAGCTTTGAGGTGTACCTTCCGAAATGGCCGATGGTCTGGATTGAAAACAACATCAAACAGAACTTTGATGCAACGACAATAATTAACATCAGCAATACACAATCATCAATATCCACACTATACCACACATAACACACGACAATGTGCATGATCGAGAGGATGAAATTCCGCGGCTGCGGACATATCAGATACAGCATCAGATACTGCCACGACATCAGACGACCAACAGCGGGACCGGATAACAGACCAATCGCACGCGAATCCCGAATGGTCAGGTCTACAAAGCGTCTTCGACGGGACTGCCGGGACTGGTGGCGTCAGGTATATGCTTGTCCAAGACACGAAAATATGGGACCCCAGCATGACGACCTCGAGGATAGACCACGAGATGGCAATTGCAAGGAGCAGAAAGGCTCACTCTGTCTTGGATGGTTTTCGACTACTCATCGGTTTGCTGGAAACGGCGATTATCTGGGGAAGAAAGGATTAGGGGAGAAGATCATTCGGGAAATGATGGCTGAGCCAAGGGACGAACCGCATCGAATGATAATGGAGCAAAACTGGAAATGATGCTTTAGAGATGGTGAAGTTCGCATGGAGGAGGAACGGTTCATGAACAATGGGAATGGGATGTTGATATTCGTTCAATGGCTGGTTGGTATGAGTGTGGTGGATTTCAAGGAAGGAAGAAGATGGTAAAGAGGATAACAGTAGGTGTAAGGCAAACTGTATGAGCGTGGGCATGGTCTGTATAAAGACTCATGAGCGATAAAATTCAGTAAAATATATCATCCAAGACAGGACAGTACTTGCGGTGAAACTTGGCAAAATACGCACGCCGCTGAGATTGACATCTCCGTTCGAACTGAGTACACAAGATGTCAGACTTCTGAAGGACTTTCAAAGGGCCTCATGCTGCCGTATGCCACTTCCGAGCAGCTATCCGCTGAACTACATGTAGCTCACTCAAGCTCGAAGACTTCCTTCCAATGGCGGGCCAAAAGACGAATCCTTGAACTCTTTCAACTTTGTTGCAAGTCGCAATGGTCGGCTGTCTGACGGGGAACCGGGCCAGCTCCAATTCTCTGTGTAACGTGCTCATCCTTTCCACGCCTCGAACCCACAGGATGAACACTTCATCAACCAGTAGCTTCAACATGGAATCTGCAATAAGACAAACGCATAAACTCCCAAGCCTTTGTTGCAAATCGCACTCATCGGCAACGTGATGGGGAAACCGGCTCAGTCATGCATTGTTCCATCCCGAACTTCCTTTTCAACACCTCGGACGCTGCATCTCCGCGGCACGGCGAGAACCTCCAGGTACAAGACGACGAAAACAGAAAATCCAGCATGAAAACACCTCATTAAACCTCTCTGTTGCATATCGCACCTCGTCGGCTGCCGACCGGAACTCCATCCCGGACGGCCATGTTCATCAAAAAGTAGCCACTCGCCCTCAAACAGCACACCTCCTGCAGAATGGTATATCCCGAACTAACTGGGACTGCCAAGAAAAGGGAATATAAATCCCTTTTCAGATGAGACGGCATATGCAGTTCGGCGATGTCTGAATAAACATCCCGATCGTAGACATTGAATCGGAATCAGAGTCTTAGACAACGAAAAGTCGCTCTCATATCTGTGCTTCTCACTAGTGGCTTGCTCGCCTAATAGTTGAGTAATCGGAAGTTCCAGCCTCTTGGCACTTCTGACCAGGGAGCGGTGCTCCTTTCTTGAAAACGCCAGATGGACTTGAAACTCAAAATTCGTAACTAGACAAAGCTCGTATTGCGTATTGTCTGAGGCTAAGGTGGGGGCTGGAGAAGGAGAAAAAAAGATGGAGTCAAGACCAGTGCACGACATCCAGTGCGGATGCGGACCGTCGACAATCCAACGTCGCGGAACGTGCTTCCAGACGAGCCGTTTGCATAGCCGGCGCCTGCGACTTGCAACAAAAATCCGCTTTAAGTATGCTGCTGGTAGGGTCTTATAAGAAAGAGTGAGTTGTTCGATATTCCCAGGTGTGGGATTTGATGACCAGGGGAGTTGGGGATCGAGAACGGACTGTGCAGCTGGCCCTATGAGACATTGGGTTATCTGCGGGAGATGCGACATCAGTCGGGATTTTAAAAAAAAAAAGGGTTATGACAGAAACGGACGAGCCGTCTCTGCCCGTCATCTTGCCGACGGGTGCGAAATGCAACAAAAGATACTATTCATGAGATGACTGGAGGGAGAGATGCGAGAAGGAATATTGTTCGCTGGATGAAAGGTTTGAAGTTCATGCTGGGGTTGAGCCTGGCGAGCCTAGGCCCGGTAGAGCAAAAATAGACGAATTTTATATGATCCGTCGTTTGGACAGCCGATGAGTACGACATACAACAGAGTTTACTTTGCATTTTCATGATTCAAACTCCTTGTCCATGGGATTGAGATAGCAACGGACTAGAGGAATGCGTATGCTGGTAAGCTTAATACTTGTGTTTGTAAGCTTAGCCTCATACCTACCTGTTTGAGATATTTGCTTTATTGCTGACTACCAAAAACCGAGACCTCCGTAACGAACGGGTGTTCACTCCGTATTCCGGGACGGAAGCTGACGACATTCGATGTGCAACAAACATATTTTTGGGTGCTTGTCATCAAATGCTTACTTATATAAGAAATATCATTGGATCGTAAGACTTCGAACGGAGCAGAAGTTGAGACAGCGCAGAATTATCCGAGATCCGTGACGAGGGCCGACGGAGATCGATGTGCAACAAAGTGAAGAAGTCAAGAGGCATTGGATGATTTGTTTTTAGTCTCGGGGTTCGTCGAAGATGTGAGATATGTAAGTCCGTACGTCTCGCTCTTTTCTAACAATGCAAGTCTACTCGGGAGATAACGTACCAGATGTACGATACTTTCGCCGGCCTACAATCTGCCCCGAGACCATATTTTCATATCGTACAGGAATTTCTTTACTCCAAGACTCAGCTACTGTATATTGCCAATTTTCATGCCAATTTTCTTCTCTATCCTCGCAAGCACCAACTTTGCGACCTTCTACCTCATCCGGTACATAGCAGTCAGCATTTTAACCACAATACACCTAAGGCTGACGAATCCAGAACAACACCGGAGGTGGTAAGAAAGAAGATCGAAGAATTTGACATCACGTATGTCAAGGCCAGGAAGAGTGATTTCTTTTCCCAATGCTTTCCTCGCTTTCATCTCAAACCCCTTGCTAGCTGGCACCTTCAACTCTACTCCGTACATTCCACTGTCAACTCCATCTTAAGTTAGCTTACCACGATCTCCCTTCAACGACTTCATACATAACTTCAAATAAGCAAACCTCATTTCAAGGACCAAGCTGATGCAATACTTCAGGTCCGCAACTGACTTCCTTAAGTGATCCGATCTTCCGTAGCTCCCAAGCAGATGGATTACACCGGTGCAGGACCACGAAAACAAAAGCGAACCAGTTTACTCCTTCCCCCCAAGAATCTATCAATTCAGGTCTCTAACCAGTACAACATGCTCGCATGGTTGTGCTGGAAGAGCTTTTGCCTCTTTTTGTTCTCAATTGTTTTCTTTGTTTTTCTTGTCAGGATCCAAAAACCCTCAATGCTCCTCGGGTGATTCACGCTCCTCACAGAAACTTTCATCTCGAGCCTGATATAGCTCTTTATAGACTCTCTACACCATAGCTCGGACAGTTCCGAGTCTTTGACAGTCTCTCACAAATCCAACGTTGCTCATGATACCAAGACTCGTACCCATGATTGTTTCCTTGATTTGATCTTTGCTGGCACCTTCAAGCTTTATAAAATGCTAGCAGCATCAGTCTATCTTGTCTAAACCACTTCAGCACTAGTGTCCTTTATTAGTATAAACAAGGAACTGTGCCTGATAGTACTTTTCCTCCGTGTGGAGAAGACCTTCTCGCGAGAGTCGGTACTACTTCATTGTGGAAAGTTCGCGATACCACGATTCAGGATTTTAATGAATGAATGAGCGAGGAACAAGGAGATGTGTGGACAGCTGAAGGCTTGATAATGCTTTGAGATATGAATAGAACGTTTCGGACTGGAGCTGGATTCAATCAGAGCGTTCGTGAGTGCTCAGGACGAAATGTAATGAAGTGTAGAAGCTTGACAACGGGCCCAGACCACGCAATGGCGAGGAATCTGCAGGAAGGTATAGTTACTTATCCACCCCTCTATCTCGCCATAAAACGACGTCCTTGGGCAACCAAACACCAAAAATCCCCTCCCTCTGCCACTCCACCCCTGGCCAAAACACCCTCTCAACCTCAAGCACCCTCTCCCAAACCCCTCTAACCCTCCTTTCCCTCTTTTCCTCCCTCTCCCCACCCCTCTCTTTCACCCAAAACTCATCAATCAACCCCCCCAACCTCGCCACGAAACCCCCAAACCCTCCACTGCTCCAATTCCCAATCAACACCTCCCTCAACGCCCCACCATCTCCATCCCCCTTAAACCTCCCTCCACCTCCATCTTTCTCCTGCTCCATAAACGACCTCGCAAACCCCCAAGCCCGAAAATAACAATACTCCGTCCCCCACAGTAACGTTAACGCGGCTAGCACATCGTCTCTACTACCCTCCTTCTGAGCTGAGGTTCCTAGGGCTTCGAAAAGTTCCCTATACCCCACGACACCTGGGGAGTTTTCTCCTTGTTCGACTCTGTTGACACTTAATCAACATCTCCCTCCCACTTCTTTAAAGAAAGGGAAAAAAGGCAAGAAAAGGCAAAGGAAAGAAAAGAAGAAAAAGAAGGAGACAAAGGGGAACGTACTTATCAGAGATGTTAAGCTTGTATTCCCGGGCAATATCAGCAAACATACCCAATTCCCTCCTAATCGCCACCAGCGCCTCGACGACCACATCCGCGATCCGCTCGTAGATATCGCCAGCATCTACTTTCCTCGGTAAATGGGTCGCGATACCGGCTAGTAATTGCGCTGCGAATTTTAGGTAGGCGTGTGCGTATATCCTATCCCGAATTTTGGAGTCAGTAGGTATCCTTCCAATCTGTTCAAGAGATACAGGCATGAGATTCGAGATTCGAGATCTTGGCTGGGACAGATAAGAGGGAGGGAAGAAGAAGGGAAAAGAACGGACGAACCGGTCTTCACAAAGCCATTTCTCCAACACGGCTTTAGGTAGTGTTCCCCTGCCCGCCTGTTCTAGGAAGGGGGTTTGGGTTGCGGTTTTCAAGTCCTGGTTATAGAGGGAGAGGAGTTGGGTTGTTAGGGGTTGGGTTGATGAAAGGGGTGTTGGGGGTGAGGGTGAGGTCATTGTCAGGGGTTGGGTATTGTGAGATGAGGGGAGATGGGTGTATCAAATAAAAATTATATTGCGGAGTCACTGCTGAGGTGGTGATATGGGGTGAATGGAGCGATGGATGGGTATGGGGTTAGTGAGAGAAGATGAGAGTGAAGGGAAGGGAAGGGAAGGTTGAGGAGGGGTCGTGATTCACATGATGAGAGGTTGTGAATGGGATCAAGATTCACTATGACGTCTACAGACTTTACTTTACTTTGAACGGGGAAGTGTTACACTGAGAATGGGAATTCAATGAGTAGCTGTATCGTAGGAGTATTGAGCCGCCAATTAATTGATCGAGAATACGAGTAAGACGGGAACACCATCGTTCCTGTCAGCATGCACAATCGGGAAGGCTATTATGTAGGTTCGGAATATCTAGGACAGCACCATGTAAGACGGGATCGCCATGTCACAAGAACATCAGAGATTTCAGTCACGGTCATATGCACGATATATGGGTTATAGAAGTTCAACAACTAATCGATCGACAGTACAACGCCTGGGTCACCATCCCTTCGGAAGAGGGGAGACACCAAAGCCAACGCGCAAATATCAGAAGCCAAGGAAAGAAGGTAGCAGTAACAAGACCGTGACAGATCGCTGAAGAATCCCTCCCTAAGAAAAGACTCCAAAGAAGCTGTCGCTATCCGTAAACCCGCTGCCAAAAGCCAGAAAGCAAAATAGGAAAGTACAGTAGAACTTTTCAATCCACGACGAATAGCGTCATTGCTGAGCCCCTGCATCAGCTGCTACTATTGTCTCCGAGGGTAAAGAACCTTATTATCTTCCCCCCAATCCATGAGGTGGTGCCGGCACATATGACCAAAACATGATTCAATGCCCACCAGAGCGTCTCAAAGCAATGTTCTTCCAATGATCCCTCTCCGCCTTCAACTTAGCAATTTCATCCTCGAGTTCCTCAAATCGTTGCATCTTTCGTTGACGAGACTTGCGAGCAGCCAAGGTGTTTCGCGCACGCTTCATCGCCACCGTGTCGTTGGGATCTTCGACAATGATAGGTGGGAGAGGCTTGTCACGCTTGCGAACACCGGAAGCAGCAGTAAGAGTACCAGATGGTGGAGATGTTGCAGTACCAGAACGACGACGACCAGAAGATCGGAGAGCCTCGGAAACTTCCAGTTCCTCTTCTGGGAGAAGTGGAGACTGTTCGACGTTTGAAGATTCCAGTTGGTCATCCTGAGGGAACAGAGGATACCAAGGGTCACCAGCGAGCGCTTGATCGATATCACCGTTGTTGCCTACGAAAGGAGAAACATCGAAGTTGTCGTTGTACTCGGGAGACTCGTTGTAGGTGGAAGGAGATGTCAAGTTTGTGAATGCAGTTGAGTTAGGAGCAGAGGCGAATGGATCGCGAAGTAAATCTTGTGGAGATACGGTACCCATGTTGGTGGAGCTCGAAGAGGATAGGTTTGCGCTTGGATCGTAGATCGTTGGAACGGCTGGCGAAGAGTAAGCCGATGGGAACGCGTTTTGAGTTGTCGAGGCTCCACCCTCGAAGGCGGTGAACTCGTCGAAGAGATCCATGTCTGCATGTTTGTGTGAGTCACGAGTCCTTCCTGCAGACGAGTATTCGAGTGAATTACCTTGCATAGCCATGTTTGGAGTTTGTGGGATTTGACCAGTTGATTGCGAAAACGGTGGCACTGGAGGACGTGTCTGACGCTGTTGCAAGTGTGTGGTCGAATTAGGAGCAGAAGAAGCGTAGAATTGCTGTATAGAACTCTGCTGAGGAGTAAACCGGTTGGTAAGAGCCGAAGTATTGATAGAATGTCCAGTAGATTGAATGATCGCGGCGACTCTTTGATTCTGCAACGCAGCGGCAGAAGACGAAGATTGAGATGAGTGACGACGATATTGGCCAGTTACGGCTTGGCTGTTGGACAGACTAGGGGTACTGCGAACGCTCGGAGACCTCTCGAACAGAACAAAGTCCTGATGCGATGGTTGTGCTTGAGAGCTTGAACCGGAATGGTCCTGATACTGTGTTTGCGGTGATTGTGCCGGCAGGCTCGATGAACTGGAGGGAAGCCATGATGATTGAGGATCCGTGGTGAAGAGGTTAAACTCTTGTGAAGGTATGTTGGCGGTTGGAAGACTGAAGCGGAAGCGTGAAGCTGGGCTTGAAGTCAGAATTTCCGGGAAGGGAAAGTCTGAAGTGGGGAGTTGAGGGGAGTGGGTTGGTAGGTTTTCTAGTTGGGAGGGAATGATGACTGAGGTGTCAAGAATAGTCGCGGAGACTGATAGTTTAGAACATCTTTGCTGTGACGATGTTCTGTGTTGTTGTGTTGAGTGTGTCAGGATGTGATGGGAGATGAAAAGAAGAGTCAGAAAAAAAGAGGGTGCCTAAGGGGCGAGGGCTGGATATTTAATGTGTGGGCGCGCGACGAGAAGCGAACGTCAGTCAGCACGGGCGGGCCTCTCGCTCACCTTCGCGGTTGCTGGTGTCTGGGCTGGTCGGGTGGAACATCTCGCTGTGACTCACACTTTTTGACGCTAAGAGAGGGGCGGAGCCAGCGCTGTGATTTGCTGGCGGGGACTAACTAGTGGGTGGCCCATATTGGCAGGCACCGGCGATTGGGGATTGCGGAGTTTGAGGCAGCACAATAAATTCTCACAGCCTCCCCACGAGGAATAACACAACGCAGTTCCCGTTCGTTCGTTCGTTCGTATGCTGTCCTGTCGCCATGCGCTCACGATATAGTTTGAATCTCCCCTTCCCGTCGTTTGTTTCTAGGTCTCTCCCTCATCCATCTCAATCTTATTCCCCTACCGGTCTTTGGAGTTTGGAGTTTGGAATTTGGAGTTTGGACGGAACAAGGGCGGAGTTCAATCTAATCCGCCCATCGAACAGCCCGGACCAGATTAAGTTTAGCCTGTCCCGCACCACCACCGTACTGTACGAGATAAGCAGCACGAGAAAGGGAAGTCACTCTGCGGCCAAAGTTACGAGCGACACTACTGTACTGTACTCGGTCTCAAGCCACAGGGCAGTACAAAATTAAATAAATGTTCCTTCCTTCTCTCTGCACTGCACCTCGGATTCGAGTCCTGCAGGATCACTGCTGATTCGCGCAATACGAACGAGTCTTGTGTCCTCTGTCAGGCTCTCTGTTCCGTATCTGTCCTTTCCTTCTGTGAGAGACGTCTCTTAAAACAGCATCACCTTCATCTGAACAAATACGAACTAGCATGAGACGGGCTTTGAACGTTCCTTCTCTTCTAATAGTACATACACCGAACCTCAAGAAGGATACCGTTTCCAACCTTTCCGCCCTCTTCCCGCCGAAGCAAACCGCCATGATTCCAGGCATCCACTTTTGACCGGTATCGAATGCGATTGACATGGGCGCGCCCTTCAAATCAATGATTATCTGTCCTGTCAGCTATCTTTAATCGCAGCTCGAGTTTTGCGCAAGTGCGCATCATGATTTCTTTCGGTCCCAAAGAAAATCCCCCTCATTTCCCCCACAATCTCCCATTGTGACTCACATTCGCTGCTTCAAGTCACTAATTCCCTCTGCACGCAACCGCATCTGATTGGTGTCCTCGTTCTGAAGGTTCGTGCTGCGGCTTGCGGCCTGCATAAACTGGGAAACTGCTTACGTGAAAGCAAGAGCGGAATGAAACGGAGTTCAAAGGCTTCTGCATTTCGAAGTTTGGATTTCGATATGCAGGTGTGCTTCGTAAGCCGCGTCAGAAGATGGCGTCTCCGAAGGCACGTGTAACGCCGGAGGCACGTGGAATATCACTCACGTGAGGACTCTATTGCACGTGGCTTCCTTGATCGCTTAGTGGGCGTTGTGGCTGTTGATTACAACTGCAATGCTCTTCTGACTTCCATATGTCACCAATAGTGTTGATATAAGGAGATATTGTCAGGCTAACGGTCATGATCACGAGCACTAGAAAGCTCTAAGTGATCATGTGGGGGATAGCTTATCTAGGTAAGGAGGCAAGGCGATGGGAAGGCTTTAATGCTATAACGTGTATAGAAAGAGCGCCAACCTCTCGTCGTGTTGAAAGTCTTTTATGTTTAAGTTTCTGCCAAATAAAGTGTTCTATTCTATCTTTATTTGTCTTAGAAATACTAATTTTTAAATCAAGAGGATTTAGGGACGAAAGGTGCTCTTTATCAATATCTAAGTTTTAGTCTAATCAAATTGCTACATTACAACATTTTCACTATCTTCTCTAATGTATCTAATCGTAATGTCAAATCCTTTTAATATGCAAACCCAAGACGATGAACCCATGGCATCACCGACGGCCAAGCTCGCTTGCAAATACTTCCCCTTAATAATACTCATGAGCGAGAGATGTCTAAATCGTGTTCCCATCTGCACAAGTCTAGGGCAGCAGACGTCGTAGTGCATTGCAGTTTTCTTAATCGGATGGCAAAGGCTTGGGATAATAGGAAATTACTTTTGGATTGAGGAAGGCCCTGATGAGAAGCAAAGTCGCTGTGGATTTATTCGACAGAACGCGACTGGCAAACGCGTCTCCCAAAAAGGGCCCTGTGACATCAATCGATGAACAAGGCGTGCGGCAAGATCAAATCTTTGATGCCAATGTCGAATTGATCAATGACCGAGATCTTGGCAGTAACTGAGAATTGGGAGGATCGCACAACTGCCAGAAACACGCAGGTGAGATAAACACATCACCATTGTCCAAGTCCCCCTTAATGACTATTATATCTAGACCATACCCCCACCATCTGCGAGCACTAACGATCTCCTAGATCCGCAAACCATCAAAGAACAGCTGCGAGACTGTCTGAAGAACATCAGCAAGGAAACGCCGCCTGGGTTTGGAGGTGTATCGGGGGATTTTCCCAACCCTAGATTATTCCTCGAAAGACACGACTTCGTGCAATTCTCGCTTGGGCATATCGGATTTTCGGATGATTCGAGACGGTTCTCTCGAATCTGCGATCAAGGATGAAGAAAGATCAAATCGGGATATTGAGGATAGTTTGCTGGGAGGTACCAAGTGAGAAGCGTCATCGCCGTTGATACTGCCTGTCCCAAAACCATCGCTCCCAGCCTTGCTCTTATCGATATAACTTCCATATACTAGCGCAGCCTTCTTTCTTTCTTACTAACTCGCTAACCACACATATAGATTCCAATAAGCAAATCTTCTACCATCAACCACTCGGCTGGCCGTATGGTTAATATTTCAACAATGCTTTGCGCTTGGGCACCAACAGCTCGCAGCTCCCGATCGTCTCCGACGGTGAGCGCGAGTTGTTGATGTTTTGTTTTTGTTTTTCATTTTTTAATTTTTTTTTTGGTTTGGAGCTCTTTTATACTTGATTACAAGTGGAGGATCGAGAATGTGATGTGGAATACTCGGTTCTGAAAATCACCAGATTGGATTACGTGCACAAGTATGCCGTCATTAGATGGAAGGACCAACGCGATAAGTAGAAGGATGAAATACATCGTATCGGGGATGAATATCTCAAGAAAATGTTAGGGACAACGGATTTCGAAGAGGTCATGGAACTGCGACTCACCGCAACCGAATCGGCCACCAAACCTCCCTCTGCGAAAAGACATGAAGCACCTGCTCCGGTAAAGCTGCCCCCCCCCCTTCTTCCCCATCCATTGAACAGTAACGAAGTCGCTCACCCTTCAGCTTCTGGAAAACGCAAAGGGTCTGCGTCGCCGTACACGAATCTTGAGATATCTAAGAAGTAGCGTCTGGAAGATTGAGTGGGCGCTTATCAGCTAGTTTCCATACGCAAGGACAACTCTCGCATGGGAAGCCCGGTGTACGATCGGTGTGACACTAGTGAAAGAGGCAGTCACTTGACTTCAGGCTTACGACTTGAAGGCCCAGGAGTTGATTGTTTGGGATGGGTTTCGGCGATCTTTCAGCTGTACCACCAGACTCCTCCCTTGTTCGCCTAACTTAGAAGTGTCAGCCATAGTGCTATCACAACAAGGACAACAGTCCTGACCATGGGGCACTAGAAAGCTCTAGTCTTCTGGAGACACATAACTCAACTACCTAGGTAAGGATGTAGGGCAAAGAGAAGGTCTTTATGCTATGCGAGGACAATTCCCTTCTCGCATTGATGTTCTGTCATATTCGAGTCTACTGCTTTGTGGTTCTCAGCGGGACACAAATTCTGAGCCAAAGAAGGTGTTTCATTATATCTTTGTTAGAAAGGTAGGATTTAAAATTCAGCTCTATTAGATTAGTAGAATAATGCGCCTTCTCGCTCAACTATTCCAACCCATGCATTCGTAATACGTCCAGGCATAACATATCCAAGACATCTCCCCCAAAAGCCTCTATTCCCACTCCCCCCTCAACCACTCCCCCTTCTCCACCACACTCCTAGTAGCCTCCCTCAAAAACCCCGCCTGCCGCCCCACCTCCTCCAACCTCCCCAACACCCTCCCATTACACTCCACAAACCCATAAACCTCATACCTAACCCCATTCTCCGCGGCCCAAACCTTCACAACCTCACTCGCCCTCCTCAAGTTATGCCTTGGCAACCGCGGAAACAGGTGATGAATAGCCTGGAACTGCAACCCGCCATGAAACCAATCCATCCACGCCGGACAATCGACATCCATCGTCGTCCGCAACTGCTGGCGGACCCAACTCTCGTTCCGCTCCCCGGCTTTGGCCGACATGGCGAAATGCGAGAGCGTGAATTGTACGTGTAGGGGCATTGTGACGGCGTGGGAAATTACGACGAAGAGGACCCGCGAGGAGAGGGTGGGGAGGGAGTGGTAGAGGAGCAGGTAGCCGAACCAGTACCAGAAGGTGAGCTGGCCGAGGATTTCGAGGGGCCGGTGCCAGCGCATGGAGGGGTGTTTGGGGCCGAGATTTTGGTACAGGTGTGTCCAGGAGAGGAAGTAGAGATTGAAGCGGCCGAAGCAGAGGAGCGGGTAGTAGAGGTGGTGTTGGAAGCGCATCATGGTGGAGGCGAAGGGGGTGTAGGGCATTATGCGGGAGTAGCTGCTGGAAATTAGCTTGCTTTCTTGAAAAAAGAGAACTTGTTTGGGAGCCTCTTAAACACGGTATTGTAAAAGGAAGTGAGGATAGGGAGTAAAGAAAGGGGCTGCTTACTAAGTTGAGTAGAGGGAAGAGAAGAAGGACGGGGTCACGGCGAGGAAGGGCAGGTGTTGGATGTCTGGGTCATGGGAGGGCGAGTTGGTTGCTAGGTGGTGGACGTTGTGGGATGTTTTCCACCATGATAATGAGAGACCTCCCAGTGTTGAGGAGAGGAGGAGTCCGATTGCCGTGTCTATTGTGTAGTTGTGTGTTATGCCCAAGTGGCCGGAGTCGTGGGCTATGAATACTAGTTCTGGGAGATGTTAAGTCAGCTGCTAAGATAGGGAGCATGAGACTTACGATGCCAGAATGTTCCTAGGGCGATGGAGGATAGGATGTATTGCTTGAAGTGGAGTAGAAGCAGCATAATCGAGAAGATGATCGAGATTCTTATGACATCTGTCAAGTAGGCCCAGTAGTTGCAATCATACAGTCCTTGGGCCTCGATCTGTGCGACGAGCTCTCGGAATGAAGCGACAATGGCATCTTCATCTCGTTCAACATCTCCTTTGCTCTCGGGTGCCAGAGCGTCCGTTGCAAGCTTCGAAATATCCTCGGACGAAGCAGAAATCGAGGAGGCAGGAGACTCGGTACCAGCAGCACGGCTCCTCAACCCATTTGTTTCAAAAACACTGGAAGCTCGCGAGCAGGCACTACTCTCACTGTTTTCTTCATCTCTATCTCCATGCTGCCCAATCTCAAGAATATTCTTCCCATCAGAAGCCCTTTGAAAGAGAGGAATGATATTATCCCATTTCCCCTCAATCCTCCCAATCTGAAATCTCTCCATCGATTTCTGCGTCTCTACCGAGTGAAATCTATCTAATTATCAGCTCGGTTGAGAGTGAGATAAATTGAGGGGCAATTACGCATTTATTTGGTCAGTAGCATCTCTGCCCACCATGTGAAGAATAGTCTTTTCACCTCCTGGGTGGTATCTAAGCCATGAATCGAGTTTTAGCACTGCTTTGCCGTAGATGACAAGTGTTGCGCCATCATTGACAAGTTCCTCGATTGCTGAGGGGGAGAGAATTGTGGATTTGGTGGTGCTTGGATCCATTGTAGCACACGATTCGAGGTAATTGAACTCAATTGGACACGACAAAGCAGAGCGATGAAAACATAAGAGGACAATAACTCAATCAAGCATTCAATTAAAAAAAATACAGTACTAAGATACCGAGATACATAGAGAAAGGTACGTACCACTTGGAACAGACCTCCAAAACACATTCCAGGCACCGGAAACTGTACCCTGCACACCGCTCAAGCCATCGAGACAAGGGACGACGCAACGTATCATGCCACATACATCTTCACAACTTTATAAAAGTTATGCATTGCCCTCTTCTCTCCCCTTGATCGTCAAAGAAGCCAGGAGCGGGAATAAAAGATCCCCGAACCCGAAAGCCCGACGGAGTTTATTTTGCCACATTCTTATCAGATGGATCTGATAACCTTATTTCCCCTGCTCGCTTCTTAGGGCCATGAATCAAAGAATTCACCGAGTGGGGCTGAACGGAATTTCCATGGACAGGTAGGGGTTGCTTGATCGCCGGGAAGGAACTCAGGTATGAAGTGAGGCTTGGGAGATGGGGAGAGTAGGAATCGGGGACGAAGAAGGTCCGGTTGGAGACGTGGTCTTATGGGTTGATGGCGAATATAATATTGTCTGCCTATCCTTCTTTTTGTTATTTATATTCTCTCTCCTTTCAGTCATCTTTCTTATTCCAAAGTTCTTAGATATACAGGCGAACTCATGGCAAACGACAAACTCCACCTCTTCACCATCCTTCCCCGCCTGCTCATCACCTACCTCCCAACCCTCCTCCTCCAGCGCCTCCAAGCCATCATCCACTCCCTAACATACCGCTCCCTTCCCCCCTCCTCCCTAAAAACAGTCCTCGTTCTCGGCGGCTCCTTCACAGGCACCGCGCTCGCCCGCCGCCTGAGACAGACCTTGCCCACAGGGTACCGCGTCGTCCTCATCGAGAAAAACTCCCATTTCAACTACTCCTTCAACTTCCCCCGCTACGCCATCGTCTCCGGGCTCGAAGAACGGGCTTTCATCCCATACACTAACCTCGCGTCCTCGGCTCCGAAAGGGATCTTTGCCCAGGTGCAAGGGAATGTCGTTTCGGTCGATGGAGTGAAGAAAGAAGTTGAGCTGGAAAACGGGGAGAAAGTCGGGTTTGAGTTCTTGGCTGTGGCGACGGGGAGTAGGCAGGGGTTTCCGGCGAAGGTGCAGGCGACGGAGAAGAGGGATGGGGTAGAAGAGTTTAGAGAGTTTCAGGAGAGGGTTAGGGGGAGTGGGCGGATTGCGGTTGTGGGTGGTGGGGCGGTCGGGGTGCAGTTGAGTGCTGATGTTAAGGAGTGGTTTCCGGAGAAGGAGGTGCTGTTGGTGCATTCTAGGGAGAGGCTTTTGAGTGGGTTTGGAGAGAGATTGGGTGATTATGTTGCTGGTAGACTCGGTGAGATGGGGGTTAAGCTTAGGCTTGGAGAGAGGCCTAGTGTTGGGTCGGGAGAGAAGGCGACGACGTTGAAGTTTAAGGATGGGAGTGAGGAGGTATTCGATCTTATGGTAAGTGAAAACTTGGTAGATGGAGGATAGAACTAATGGAGGCGATAGATTCCTTGTACTGGCCAGATACCAAATTCCAGCATTATCAGCAGCCTAGGCCCTGACGTTCTGGCAAAATCTGGGAGGATAAATGTCAAGCCAACACTTCAGCTTTCCGACCCAGCATACCCTCACATTTTCGCCTTAGGAGATGTAGCTGAGACATATGGCCCCAAGATGGGAAGAGCTGGCATGATGCAGGCTGAGATCGTGGTTTCCAACATCCTCTCCATGATCAAAGGAGGTGAAGCTTCAAAGAAATACGTGCCACACTTTGTGGAAGGTGCGCTGAAGCTAAGTCTTGGGAAATCGGAGAGTGTGATTTATGTCAAGGAGAGTCCTGAGAGGGATATTTTGGTGCCTGGGAAGAGTAAGTGTAAGAATGAAGACTTGGGTATCGCGCAGGTTTGGAAACATTTCGGAGCTGATACCAAGGATTACAGCGTTTAGGGGAATTGATTGAGGTTGAGAAATTGTATAACACTTTTGGCTTGTCTTAGATACCACTCCTGCAATAGAGAATTAAGAACTGAAAAAGTTGGTCTTGATCTGGAGCATTTGATGGGCTAAAGTCATGGTTCAGGGAACTTTGAAATGTACCCTCGAAGGTTATCAATCTGTGGAGATTTTATTCTCCTCCTTCTGCAAAAACAATATATACAAGTCTGTGACCGAACCCAGGATCGACATCATACCTTCGAACACCACGCTCTTCCAGCCCAACATCCCTTTCATCCTCATAAAGCTGAAGATAAAGTTTTACGCATTTCTCCAATACACATCTCTGGTGGTAGCTGCAAGTTCTCCACGGTGCAAAGCTCGGAGCTGTTTCTAGTGGAGGAGGAACTGGTTCCGTGAATGTTCGGATCAAAGTTGGGAGATCTAGAAATGTCCTTTTAACAGACGCGGAGACCTTGTCCCTATGCTGCTATTCCGACATCATGACAGTCTAAACTTCATTTCCTTACTTTTCCTACTTTTCTTGTGCCTCATTTGTCCCATTCGTCGCGTTCTTGATTTCTCGTGCAGCACCAAGGTTTACTCTCGCCAATATTGTTTCTGGCTCAGAAGTTGAAGAGCCGTTTGCACAACTTTTGTAGGCTGGCTCCGGCGCGATCATGGCTCTAGAACCCTTTGGTGCTCCCTCAACACCTTGACCCCTGGCTTGAGTATTCTTCGGCGTTGGTATAAAGGTCTGCGCTGCCGCAGACAAAGGCCTCGAAGGTGGGTCCCACTCTTCCCATTGCGTTTCGCGGTCGGTTGGCAGGGCTTGGCCGACTGATTGAGGATAAGAAGGAAATCCTGCGAACGAATTTGGCTGCTGATAAGCTTGATATTGGAGTCTAGGATGGCGAGGGTTGGGTTGAGAACCCGTAGGGCCAGAGAGTTTCTTTACGACACGATTTGGCTTGTTTGGATCCAAGGCTTCATAGTATTTTTGTTGGTCTGCAGGAATGATAGGTTTATAAAATATTGGACGCTCGGCGGTTTGAGACGATGCACCATGCGTGTGTATGTGTGAATTGGCGTGCATGGAAGTGTTGTTCCCATTGTATTCGGGATGAGCAGTGGTAAGGAAACCCCGGCTATGCTCCGCACACATAGGAGGAAATTGCTGTGGAGGTTGACCGACGAACGAGCTAGTGGTTCGTCCGTAGCTGCTCTGTGCGGAGAGGACACTGGTCGGGATGCTTTGGATCGGCCCGTCAACCACAGTGTCAGGCTGTTGTGAACGTTGAACATCGAACGAACGAGACGATTCGTCATTGGAGCTTTGTTGAGGGAAAAATCGGCTAACCTTCTCGATGACTTGAATATGTTTCGGAACGACAGAAGATTGACGTGGAGGCTGAGTGGCGACCGAGAGAAATGAATCGCCAAGGTAACGCTGCTTAGCATGGACTTCTGTGTCTCCTTCTCGTTGGCGTGAAGAATATTCTTTACGAGCTGAAGAGGAAAATGATTTGTCTTGGTGGGATGGCAAGCGTTCTTCAGAGGCTGAGAAATAACCTGGTCTGTATTCCTTCCGAGTCGAACCTCCAGCATTGCGGAGATCGTCGTATTTCCACATGTTCTCTTTATCATAGGGCTCCTTGGTGCCAATACTGAAGATGCTACCTGGTTTGCCAACTGTATATTTGGATTCCGATTGCTTGTGCAGCGTGGGTGTTGCATCACCTTCTTGTGGACGAAGCGGATATTGAGATACTTTCTGAGGTATCAAGCTAGGCGGCGCGATTGGCGTAGGTCGATAAGATGCACTGGGTGTGGCGGTTGGCAATGTTGTTTGCTGAGAGGCTTGAGAGTTGGTAGCTCTAGTCGATGATGGCAGAGCTCCCGAGTCTCGTGCAAAGGCGGAGCCAGCAGGGAGAGTGCGGTTTTTCTGAATATGGATATACTCATCGCTTTCTGAACCAGATCTGTATCTTGATTAGCTTTCGTTGTCATGATAGTCAGATAAAGCAAGCGTTGAGGCGCTCCTTCTGTTTCTGAGAAAATGGAAAACTCACCTTGCGAGCGGAGCCATGATTTACTTCTAGCTCTAGTGATGTGCTAAGTGAAGAATGTAGTTGAACAGATTTGTGAAAAAATTCAAATGCCTGTGGGAAAATGTATTCAACGAGAGTGAACGAATGAAAATATTTCAACTGAAATGTGTTCAGAGAATGGAATTAGAGAAGGTATATATATGAGAGAATAGAAATAACTAAAGTGCCTAGGTCGTGGGTAAGAGCGTTAGTACTCACCTTCTACCATGGAAACCATGAGATCGTGGGCATGAGCTAGGTTAGTACTCATCTCATACCACGGGATCGTCAGGAAACGGGAAGTCTAACTCTCCTAGAAACGAAGCGACGGTGACCGGAAAAGAAGCGAGCACTCACCAAGTCAAGAGTCTCAACCAAATAGAGTTTAGAGGGAGATAACGCGCTAACTTGCAATGAAAAGAGATTGCTTTATTGCGACGTTCTATTGTACCTGCATCTCCATTTTCCTCGTGTACAACTCGGTTCGCTTCACCACCAAGGGAATCAAGTCTTCCGAAGCATAAAAAAATGCCAGAGCTCCAAATCGCACGCCATGCGAGCCCCCAAAGAAAACTACAAAAGAAAGAAGCGAGCCATGCTTTCATGAATAACAGACGCTATGTGAGCTTTCAGCCCTACGCATCGTGGGATATATTAGACCCGTAAAGGAATAGACATATGAAAAGTGGGTATCGTTGGAATGCTTAGCGCAGACCGATGACACTCATTTCCAGCGTCCAAACCCTTCGGATCCAAACTTTCAATTTTCCTTCGACTCCATCCACGTTATCAAGCTCCACGCCTTCCCACCAACATCTTCGTGCAGGCTTTCTCCAGAAAAGGAGAAGCTTTTGGGCCATTCCCACGGCATTATTGCCCATGTCGCTTCGGATATCGGTGCGGAGCCTAGCGAGTGCTAGACTGCAGATGACGGCCTTGTTGGGTTCATTTGCTCGGTGTCCCCAAGTATCATCGTGGTTGAAACCACTGTTTAATCATTAGTCTGGTCTTGAAGGAGGAATATTTCGAATCTTACCCAGCAGTAAGCATTTCGATGAGATGTTGCTCCGTAGTTCCTGTCTCCTCACTTCGACGCAAGCCAGAGAATATACCGTCTTGTCTCAACAAAGCTTTTCCAGCAGCTCTCTTAACCTCAATCATCTCCGGCTGCTCAATCTCGGCTTTGGGTGGTATGACATAAAAATCCAAATCCTCCCTCAACACGATTATGCCTGCACGATCTTGCAACATCTCTCTCGCTGATCCGGCCATCGGTTCGATGGGCACCGCATCGGGTTCGGCAGATGGTGACTCGGAGGTAGGAATTGTCTGGGCTACGTTCCTGAAGAACTCAAGCATGTATTGAAGTGATGCAGGGTCATACTGTGATGCTAAGTTAGCTATGTTTATGTCTAGATTACTCAGTATATTGCGAGTATATTTGACTTCACGGACATCAACTTGGAAGGCATCTCCTTCATGGTATGTATTTAGATGACCATCTGGTAGCAGGCCATTTGGGAAGAGCGACAATAGAACGAATTCGGGAAGCGTTAGAAGCTCGTCTCTGGAAAGTGTAAACCGTTGGCCCCTATAGATGTTAGAATATTGCCCTGCAGACTTATTGTAGATATGTTACCGAAGGTCCATGGTAATGTTCTCGTCCGCCCCGACATCTGCAGATCGCATCAGTACATGATAATTGACACTTCGAGACTGCGACGCGTCTTACCTCCCAAGGTATTGATAGGTGGTGCACCACCTTGCTGCACCTGAGTAATTATACTCGCAGCACCTCCTGCGGCCGCCATGAGGTAGGTGAACGATTCGAGGGGGCTGGAGCCCTCTGAGTATGCTGGTGGTGGTTCGCTGTCCTCGTCTTTCTTGGACGATTCGCCCTTTGTATCTTGTGGAAGAGCTGCCTTGGTCTCAGCACTGACGTCTCGATCTCGAGAGTTCGAAGGCTCAGACGCAACAGGCGCGTATGCTGGGACGGAAGCAGAAGCGCCGGCTTCAGTGACAGCAGTCTTGTAAGCTTCGACGGCTTCTGCGGTTGATGTGTATAGCGAAGAGAATGGAGGCGGTCTTGGAGATGGAGGTGAAGAGCCAGAAGCTTCCGAGATTGGGTATTGAGGAGGTGGTGATTGAGCGCGGCTAACTTCTTCGTCCAGCTTCGATTCGTGCTCGTTATCGAGCCCGACGAGGGCTTGCGATGAATTAGACAACGTGATGGCGGAGTTTGCGAAGAAACGTGAATCTTTAATTGGTTGCGAGTTACTAGGTGTGAATCAATGGCATTTGCATGGGGTCGAAAGTGATGTGATATTGATTCTGTGCTCTGGTAAATTGACGTTGCTGAGGCTATCGATCAACTCCTAATCGCCTAATTAAGTTAGACTGACCCCTGGCCTTGATCGACAACCTGATGAACAACACCATAAGTCAGAAGACCACGTTCTTAATTGAATTGTTCAAAAACTCCATCCCGAACTTGAACATCTACGAACTATATTCACTGATATCATTGAAGACATTGATATTTTTGTGGGCTTCATTTTCGACAGTTGATACGGCGCTTAATGAGATTAAGCTTTCCAAGGACAGCCCCTGTCGACTCACGAGGATCATGCTCGAATGTTGGATATGTTGGAGGGCTTCAACATTTACGGAGTATGAACACAGAATACGATACTGCTGTATGTACAGGACTTCGATGCTGAGCTTAATTACAACTACGTCAGTACTTGATCAGTCATAAGCTTTTGTAGCAAGCGCTACTTCAGGCCAACCTCAATGTCTTACAGCTCGTGGGGACTTTCCTGTTTGTCTTTCTCACACGGCAATAGATCATTATGTTATCGTTTTACCATCAAGGACGTACATTAAGATGATTATGAGTTTTCGCAGCAATGTCATTACTCCCCTCATATCATTATTACCCTGTATTTATCAATTTCCATTCCCCATCATCGCCCCTCGTCAACACAACTCTTGTCCTCTTTGCAACCTCCTTCATCTGTCCAAGACCTTCACCTGCATCTTTCGCTACCCCCTCCAAACCATGGAACAATAAAGCCAAGCTGCTCGATTTCCAAGCCATCCCTCTCTTCCTCTCATTCTTTACTATGGTAGCAACCAAGAACACAATCGACAGCCCAACTAGTCCTACTGGCAAGCCAAGCCACTCCCATTTCACCTTGATATAAGTTTCCACCTTATGTGATTCTCCAACAAGCACATTGACTGAAGCAGGGTTGTCTGGAACCTGGACGTAACTCGACATGGACGTGGTGATGTTTGCCATGAGACTATCCCAATCGCTTGTCGAATCCAAGGCTTGGAATGCATCATTAGGCCAGGCTGTTCCGTTGAAAACACTGAACGAAGTGTTGTATGTGCCTTGCAGAGTAAAATTGAGCCATGATTTCAAAGTCGCCAATGTCCCTGCTGGGATGACATAGGTTTCGTTTCCGCTCGAAATATTCGCAGGTCTTGTTAATACCGCATCTTGAGTGCCTTCCATTCCACCTGGCTGAAGAGCTCCACCGACTGTGGGTGTTCCTGTATCGCTTGTCCAAGATCCGACAATAGTTGAGTTGACAATGGTGTTTTGGATGGAAACTTCGTATGTATTGATGCAGAAGTAGATGGCACATTCTTGAGTGACCGGTAAAGAGCTCCAGTAATTACCTTCCGTGATTTGCTGTTGCACATTTGGGAATTGAAGCACTGCGAGCATCAGAAGCGGATCTTGAAGACCCAAGATGTCCTTGGAAATGTTGGCTGGAAGGACAGTGGTCGATATAGTATGTGGTCCGACCAACAGATTCCCCTCCTCGAATTGGGCGGAGAAGTGGATTTCAGCGCCTCCTGGTATTGTGTAGCTGATGTTCTGTGACCCTCGTAAGACACTTAACTCCGGTTCCGGGGTGTTATTGACCACTTCATTGGTAACATTCAGGCATTTGCTGCAGACTGCCAAAGAGTCGAAGATTGGGAATGTGCAATTGCCGGTATCGCAGACAGGCTTCTGATTTGAAACATCTTGTGGACTGAATATCCCATTTAACACCGCAGCTTTCCTGTATGCCGAGCCTCGGGTCAGTGGATGAACAATGCGAAGAGATCAGAGTCCCGGAGATTATAGGACATTCAGACATCTAGAGCCTGCTCCAAAGACGAGATACGAAACACAACACCTTTCACAAAAAAATAGGACTCACATATTCCAATCTGGGCCGTCCAGAAGACCACTATCCACTGCGAGAAATGTCAGCTCGAGACTCTGACCACGACAATCGAAGCTCATTGAATGATATAACCGCTCAGATTAAGGACAATAAGACTTCGAACATTACTTACAAGTATTCAAGGCAACTTGTTCATCGTAAGATTGCGCTCGCCATGCCTCGGCCACGCCAGACGGGACCGTTCTCTGTGGATAGGAAAGAATCTGTTGAGAGAAAGGATCCATGACCAGGGACAGAATAGTAATGATTCCTCCCAAGGTAGCCAAGTGAAAGGCACTTGTCTGTAAGATAAGTTTGGCAGCTCCGAAAGGACCTCGACTCGCATCATCGAAAGTCTGAATTTCTTCTAAAACTCTAGGTTGCCGAAACCATCTAGTCCCCAACATCTCGTTAGCATAGGATCTTTACAAAATGCTGAGAGAAGCTTGTCCCAGAAGTGCTGGTAGATAACGAGATATCTGATGTAGGACATTTCAAGCCTCAAGGTTTCAAGCACAGCACAGGATATGGGGTAGTACTCTGGGGCAACTTACAACCATTTCAGCTGGCTCAAGCACTCAGCAACGGCAAATAACATGGTAGCTTTCGCGATGGTAGCGCAGAAAGATATATAGGTATTGACAGTAATGTCAAGGGGAAGCTTTGGAAGAGTTTTGCCATCGAAAATGAACAGAAGAACCACGATGGCCAGGAGAGCAAAGATACTAGTGACGACGCTGATAATACATATCCACCAGTTGTAGATGAAAAGTGCGAGACGGTTAGACAATCGGGTCGACCTGTGGAAACTTGGTTCGTATTCGCGAATTAATGGTATGTATTGTTTGTTTGGTTGTCCACCACTGGGCGGACCGCCAAGAGAGGGCGAAGGAGTAAAGTCCTCGTGAAACTCTGGTGTTAACGGACTCTTGGTCCATCGTCTTGAAGAATAATCCGGTGAGCTGTATGGTGGGTAGGATGGAGGTGAGTTCGGATATGCGCTGTAGTCCCCAGCCGAAGCCATTATGGGCAACGTTGTGATGCAATTTGGGCAAAAGCAAAATCGCGATGCAAACAAAGGATGTGGATACAACCTAATCAGATGCTCACAAGGGAGAAAGACAACTGCGATGGAAAGAATGGATTTATCTCATGTCAGAAAGACGGCAATTGGTGCAAGCCACAATTACTTTTTCCTGCAAGTCCCGCTGGCGGCCGTGAGCACAGCTGTCTTCATTTCAGCCACCACTTCACCCACTTGAATGTTCCCGCTAGCACGCGCAACAGCGAATGGTTAATCTTGCTGGATCTAGACGCGTCGAATGAACTCTGATAAAGCTGAAGGAATCCTAGAGGTGTTGAAAGTGTACAATTGGATGGAGATGCAGCAGTATGGCTGAGAGTTGTAGGGCTGTGAATACAGTAAGCACTAAATTTAAACTTACGAGTTACATTGATTGGCGGGGAAGAAGCTGAAACTTTGGGAATGTGGAATGGATCAGATAAAGAAAACCTTGCATGTCATTCAGCAGGGGTGATCGAAGCGACACAGCAAGCCGTACAGATATATCTCATTATTCCGTGAGTTGTCTAATGAGCTTGCACAACACCTGAGGCATCCGCTTGAGCTGTGATCCTCTTCTTATATGCCTGAACATCACCAGGGAATTTCTCTACCGTCCCGTTGTCGCATACCCACAGACTCGTGCATACCGTCTGCAGCATAGTAACATCGTGACTAACCATCAACACACCACCTTGGAACTGCTGAAGAGCCGTACTGAGGGCGTCCATAGCCTCGATATCCAAGTGATTGGAAGGTTCGTCGAGAACTAAGATATGGGGATTGGTGAGGGAAAGGCATGCGAATGCAACACGAGATTTTTGACCTCCAGAAAGCAGTTCCATCTTCTGCAGACCTGTCATGCCTGTGATACCAAAAGCTCCAAGGTGGCGTCGATATTCTTCGTCTTGTTTACCCGGATAATTCTTAGCCATGAAGCCTACTGCACTAGTATTCAAATCAAGAGCATCGACATGATGTTGTGCAAAGAAGCCAATGCGTAATCGAGGGTTTTGAGAAATGAGACCAGACGTTGGTGACAACTTTCCAATAAGAAGCTTGAGTACAGTGGTTTTGCCAGCACCGTTGGGACCAACGATACCGATTCGGGAATCAAGTTGTACGTCGAGGTCAACGTGTCGTAGCAGTGGCTTATCTTTCGTATATCCAAAGGAAACATTGGTCATCTGCACAATAGGAGGTGAGAGCTTTTCTACATCAGGAAACTTGAAGTGAACTGTGTAGACACTCTCAGGGGCCTCGAGGACAGGCATCTTCTCGAGCTTCTTGATTCTAGATTGAGCTTCTGATGATTTCGCAGCGTTGTAGCGGAACTTGTCGATGAAGGCTTGAAGATGTGCACGTTGAACCATCTGGTTCTCGTACTCTCTTTGAGCTGTCTTTCGCCGTTCTTCCTTGGTGGCATAGAACGACTCGAAATTGGCTCCCTTGTAGTAATCCAAACGCTCGGAGTGTTGATGTATGATATCTGTTGCGACTTCATTCAAGAATGCTCTGTCGTGACTGACTACCAGAACCGTGCTCGGATAACCTTGCAAATAGTTGGCCAAGAAAGTGATAGATGGGACGTCCAACATGTTCGACGGTTCGTCTAGAAGTAAGAGATCAGGTTCGCAGAAAAGGGCTCGTGCCAAAGCCAAACGCATACGCCAACCTCCAGAGAACGTCTTGGTAGCAAACTGTTGTCGTTCCGTTGAGAATCCAAGACCTGCAAGAATCGATGCAGCTCGAGATTCTGCTTTGTCTGATTCCATTTCTGCCAGTTTGGCTTGGATATCTCCAAGAGTTTGATCTAAGCCCTCTCGATCTCGGTCTAGCTTTTCAGCATCAACGGAGGTATCGGCCATATTCGATCGCTCTGCTTCAATATCTGCGAGCTGCTTTGTGATTTTCTATGGTATTGTCAACATCCACGCCTATGACGATGAGGAGATGTCTCCGTCGAGTTTGACTTACCACTTGTTCTGCAAGCAAGTGCTTTCTCCACACATCTGCGTCTAGAACGGCCTGTAATGCAGGGGTATCGTCTCCAGTAATCTGATGAGCAATTAGCTTGATGATTTTACCCTCTGTGACGGTAGTCTAACCTCTTGTTCAACGTGAAGAATCGAAATGTGGGTTGGAATTGCCAGTTCTCTGCGGGCCAGAGCTCTTAAAAGAGTGGACTTTCCGATACCGTTCTGACCAACTAAACCGTATCTTCGACCAAACGCTAAAGTTAAAGTGGTATCTGTCAAGATACGTAGACCGCCAATTGAGACATCGATGCTGTCCAACTTGATATCCTTGCTCTTCTGTCCCTGAGAGCCCCCCAGTTGCAAAGGATTGACAGCCATGAAAAATTCTTCGTATGATTGAGCATCATCGGTTTGATTGATCAGCTTGGAAGCTTCGTACTCAACCGTCTTGAAAGTCTTCTTATTCTGCTTTGCAGCAATTTTCCGCTCAGCTTTCTCGAGTTTCTTGCGGTCAACTTTGGACTCAAGTTTCCTTGTTCCCGCTGACTCTAAATCTACGCCACCAGTAGAGACTCCCAGAGTAGATGACATATTACGTTGAGCTCCAACTTGAATTGCCTGGTCTAGCCTTCTGGCCGTAGACGACATCTGCTTCCGTTGCCCATTTGCGGCAGCATTGAATTTTTTCACCCATTTGTCCACAAGCTGACTGATTTTGGCCTCATTTTCCGGCGATGGGTCTCCTGAAGCAGAGACAAGAAGAGAAGTAATGGATACAGCTGCCTCTTCTAGAGGTGATGGTCCCGTAGATTCTGCATCTGGCACAAAAGCATTGGATGCATGTGTGAGGTAACCAACGGAGTATTCCGAGATGATAGGATCAATAGTGGGCAGGAAGGACTTGATCTCGGATTCCATCGTGTTCGCGAATGGATTCAACAGTTGGGTGATCGAACTTGACAGATGCTGGACTGATATTATATCCTTAAATCTCAGGATGCTGGAATTCGCCTCAATCCACGTGATCCCTATTTTATTGTTTATTTCGCTGCCTTGCCGAGAGACTAGCGCCTGGCGCTGGTTGGCCAAAGCACCTTCCTACACCGCTTGCACAACAAATCCCTCCACTTCAATCAACAAGACCTTAAACCTTTCAACGTCTTGCTCTTCAATCCTCAAATCTTTGCACAAACCCATCCGCAACTCGAAAGCAATACCAACTTCATCATGCGTGAAATCGTAAGTCTTTACCCCCTCTTGCGTTCTCTGCAAAGCTTTTCGACGCGTCTGTTGTTGACCCCTGAATTGCTACCCCACTACCTCATCTACCTCATCTGCCTCAAGTATCCTCAACTATCCTCAAGAGATCACTTGCTGACCATGTCTTTTACAATACCTAGGTCCATCTCCAGACCGGTCAATGCGGTAACCAAATCGGTGCTGCTTTCTGGTGCGTACAACTCGAAATCGCGCCCTCCTGATACACGTACGCGACACGAGGACTTGCAGTACTGATAAACATGCAGGCAAACAATCTCTGGCGAGCATGGCCTTGATGGCTCCGGTGTGTAAGTATTCGAGATGATTCTGACCTACAGTCAAGCTTGTGTACTTCTGCTAATCCAATTTTCTAGCTACAATGGCACATCTGATCTCCAATTGGAGCGCATGAACGTGTACTTCAACGAGGTTCGTGTTCAAGTTTCATTCTAAGTCCACTTTGCTAACACGATATAGGCTTCTGGCAACAAGTATGTTCCTCGTGCCGTCCTCGTCGATTTGGAGCCAGGTACCATGGACGCCGTCCGTGCTGGTCCTTTCGGTCAACTATTCCGACCTGACAACTTTGTCTTCGGCCAATCTGGAGCTGGAAACAACTGGGCGAAGGGACATTATACCGAGGGTGCTGAGCTTGTCGACCAAGTCTTGGATGTTGTTCGTCGTGAGGCCGAGGGCTGCGACTGCCTTCAAGGTTTCCAAATCACCCATTCCCTCGGTGGTGGAACTGGTGCCGGTATGGGTACGCTTTTGATCTCCAAGATCCGTGAGGAGTTCCCAGATCGTATGATGGCCACCTTCTCTGTTGTCCCATCCCCCAAGGTATCCGATACCGTCGTCGAGCCTTACAACGCTACCCTCTCTGTCCATCAATTGGTCGAGAACTCTGATGAGACCTTCTGTATTGATAACGAGGCTCTCTACGATATCTGCATGAGAACCCTCAAGCTCTCCAACCCATCCTACGGAGATCTCAACCACTTGGTGTCTGCCGTCATGTCTGGTGTCACCACCTGCCTTCGCTTCCCTGGTCAACTTAACTCTGATCTTCGCAAGTTGGCCGTCAACATGGTTCCCTTCCCTCGTCTCCATTTCTTCATGGTTGGATTCGCTCCTCTCACCAGCCGTGGTGCTCACTCTTTCCGTGCCGTCACCGTTCCCGAGTTGACCCAACAAATGTACGACCCGAAGAACATGATGGCTGCTTCTGATTTCCGCAACGGTCGCTACTTGACTTGCTCTGCTATCTTGTAAGTGTACACAACCCAGACCGTTAATGTCTCATGCTAACCTTTGTGCAGCCGTGGTAAGGTCTCCATGAAGGAAGTCGAAGATCAAATGCGCAATGTTCAGAACAAGAACTCTTCCTACTTCGTTGAGTGGATTCCCAACAACGTCCAAACCGCACTCTGCTCTATCCCACCGCGTGGTCTCAAGATGTCATCCACCTTCGTCGGTAACTCAACCTCCATCCAAGAGCTCTTCAAGCGTGTCGGTGATCAATTCACTGCCATGTTCCGACGAAAGGCTTTCTTGCATTGGTATACTGGTGAGGGTATGGACGAGATGGAGTTCACTGAGGCTGAGTCCAACATGAACGATTTGGTTTCCGAGTACCAGCAATACCAGGATGCCTCTATCTCTGAGGGCGAGGAGGAATACGAGGAAGAGGCACCATTGGAGCCAGAGGAGTAAATTACTTCTACATTGCTACACTGATTGGACAGCATGGTCTTCTGATCATGTTGCATATATTGTTGGCAAGGTTGGTGATGTTCTGGCGGGCTTTGTTTTTTCATTTGTCTAATTGATAGCGACGGTGCTTTCAGAGAGATTGAGTGGAGGAAATACCTCATGGAAGAAGTGGTTAGTAACAGTGATGGAGTACAAATCAAGACTATTAACTGTCCACAATTGCGTGCAGCATGCATGTATACATGGAGCTTCCCCATAGTGATTGACCTATCCGGTGCAGTACATCACCTCATTGCCTTCACATATGCAACAGAAAATTTCTTCTTTCAACGCGTGATGCACATTGCGGAAGATCTCAACACGCTTGCGAAAATTTAAAAAACTGTTCACGTCTCCCCTCCTTTAGTGGAGCTTGCCTTATCTTATCTTAGCGTGCCGAGAGCGGGCTGTTTACAATAAAATTTCTGAGCTGCTCTTCTGTTTGTCCATTGACTCACCTCTACAACAGAAGCTAGTTGGCAGAAGCAATATAATCCTTCCAAAACTACGAACACTTCCATCAAATCTCTATTCCAATTACGAGGCTTCACAATGGCAAAAGACAAGGTCAGTTGTATTAGCACTCCTACCCCTCACCGCCAAAAAGCATAGGGCTGATAAAGATTGACAATTCAGGTCTGTCTCGCATACTCTGGTGGTCTTGATACTAGCTGTATCTGTAAGTTCTATTGTTGGGAATTGGCAATTCGAAGCTCACAATTGGGATAGTGGCATGGTTGCTGGAGAAGGGATATGATGTGAGTCAACAATCTACCACCCCACGTATCGTGATCCTGACAAGGCATAGGTTGTGTGCTTCATGGCAGATGTAGGCCAAGAAGGTATGATACAGAGTTTTCTGAACAGAAAGACCAATTGTTCACTCACATCACTACACAGAGGACTTTGATGCTGCGAAGGCCAAGGCGAAGAAGATTGGCGCTTCTGCTTGCTACGTTGAGGATCTGAGACGTGAATTCATTGAGGAGTTGTGCTTCCCAGCTATTCAATGCAATGCTATCTATGAGAATGTTTACCTTCTTGGTACGTTTCCCCCGGAACCAATCACACAAGACTTAGCTGACTTTCGGATAGGTACATCCCTCGCCCGCCCAGTTATTGCACGAGCACAAATCAAAGTCGCACAAAAGGAGGGCTGCATTGCTGTTTCTCACGGTTGCACTGGCAAGGGCAATGATCAAGTTCGATTCGAGCTCGGATTCTATGCTCTCCAACCTTCCATCAAGGTCATTGCCCCATGGCGTATGCCCGAATTCTACGAACGCTTCGCTGGTCGCAACGATCTCCTCGATTACGCAGCAAAGGCTGGTATCCCAGTAAGCAGCACAAAGAGCAAGCCATGGAGCATGGACGAGAACTTGGCACACTGCAGTTATGAGGCTGGTATCTTGGAGGACCCAGATGTCACCGCCCCAGAGGATATGTGGAAGTTGACCGTGGACCCATTGAAGGCTCCCGATACCCCAGAGGACTTTACTTTGGTGTTCGAGAAGGGTCTGCCAGTAAAGCTCATTACCAGCAAAGGCAAGACCATCACCGATGCTGTTGAGTTGTTCTTGGAGGCCAATGCTATTGCCCGCCGACACGGTGTTGGACGTATCGATATCGTTGAGAACCGATTCATTGGTCTCAAGTCCCGTGGCTGCTACGAGACTCCGGGTCTGACCTGCTTGCGCTCTGCACACATTGATCTCGAGGGTCTGGTTCTCGACCGTGAGGTTCGTGCTCTCCGTGATCAGTTCGTCACATTCAACTACGCCAAGATCCTGTACAATGGCCTGTACTTCTCCCCTGAACGTGAGTTCCTTGAGGAGTCGATCATTGCCTCCCAAAAGACCGTCAATGGAACTGTTCGTTGCCGTGTCTACAAGGGACTTTTCTCTGTGCTTGGACGTAGCTCCGAGACTGAGAAGCTTTACGATGCCAGTGAGAGTTCTATGGATGAGATTGGTGCTTTCTCTCCACAGGAGACTGGTGGTTTCATCGCTGTTCAAGGTACGTCAATCTGCTTTTCTTGCATACACCCAGTGGCTAGCTGGGTCATCGACTTTCTTCCCCCAGATTATATCCCACTATGCAACATCGATAATGCTAACGCTATATAGCTATTCGCTTGAAGAAGCACGGCGAGGCCAAGTTGGCACGAGGCGAGAAGATCTAGATACCCTTTCGCTTCACTTGGGAGGAAACTTGAACAAAAGCAAAGCATCTGGGGGCTTCTTTCATATTTCTGACGATGAGGCTACTTTACTTATCCTCTGAAGACTCGGGCAACTAATTTGGGGGACTTGCACTTGAATTCGGTTCTGAAACGGAAAAGCTTCTAGTCCTTGCTGCACTTGCTTGCTTGCTGCTTTGTATCTCGCAGTCTATTCGAGCGTGCCTTTTACTACCCTATTCAGACGCAAATAAAAAAAATACAAACAATTCAGAATAAATTCAAATGCGAACGCCTTGCGAAGTCGGTTCGGGCGAAATCGAGACCGATGGGCTTGACTTAAGTCCGTTCCCAGAAGGGCGTATGGTGACTTCCGTCCGATGAATCCGACGTTTGGTAGCATACCCCAAAGCAGTCAACGATTCCATTACCCTTGCTGTTCCCTTCCAATATATCTCCGCAAATCCCGGGCGAGAGAGCCTCCAAATTCCAAATCCCGATCCCAGAGCCTGACTTCGAAAGCGATGCTACCCGTCACCGTTGTAGAACTTGAATATTTACAGGAAAGAGAAAAGATCATCTGGAGTAGTTGTTTTGATTAGGAAACCGCTGAGTCAAAGTGCGCTGGCTGAGTCAATGGGATACCTTTTTCGTTCGGTTGTCCACGATGTTGCCCTACATCGGTTAAAGGAGGCTGCCATGCGTCCGCAGTTGACATCTTTTGGGATGGAAAGGGAAGGGGTTCGAGAAAGATGCGGTGAAGGTACGTACCTTTCTTGCTTCCTGGGATACTCGGAAAACCAGCAGGACGGATACGGAACGAGAGGGGTGTCAGGTGTCCCGGTGATCGTTGCCTGTGAATGGACCGATCGTACCGATGGGGATATAGGCACTGGTGAAGGTGGGTGGGATCCCTTCGGCTATGCCGGTCCTCGCGTTCGTTGCGTTTCTGAGGGGTGTTGGATGGAGGGGTTGTGTTGTAGGGCTGTGTGGGTGCCAGACAGACAATACCTAGACAACGACATTTCGCTGCGATGCGTAATGCTGGTCAGGCGTATGCATACACCGGGGAGCTTGAGCTCGGGCGTGCAGGATGGGAAAGAAGAATTAATTGTCAGCAGAATAGCTTTCGGATTCCATTGTGGGATGAAAGGCTGGGGTATAAAATGGTAATTGTCATTGTTTGCTTGGCACGTATCATATTTACTACGTGTACTTGTGCAAACACACGGGATTTGTGAACAAATTCGCTAATCAATAATCCAGGTGGAGGAATAGAGTTCCGCTTACGAGCCGTTGAATAGAAGGGTTGATTTTTGATTATACTGTATGATTGCAAAGCAGCCTCGGCGGTCGAGGTGTACGGCGTCGACTTTCGACCGACGGAAATACGGAGGCACGCATGCAGTACGGGAAAAGGGGAGAGCGAGGCAAGGGGTTTGGTGGCTTGCATATGCGAGGAACATGAGACTTCATTTCATCTGAATGCCGTGCGCGGCTTCGAGAAGATCTGCATGTTGTCTTGCATTGCAAATTGTTGTATCAGGGCTTGAGCGCTGCAGGGTGCTGCACGAACAGTGCAATTAAAACCCGTGATGGTTTTCCTATGCTGTGTGACCAGATTGTGATTCGGCATTAGACTTGCATGGTTAGGATACGAGCGAGTTCGTTTGTGTTGTCGAGAACACGATAGCCGAGTACATTCAGGGGGATGCGTACTAGGATGGTTTGATGTTATGTTTGTGCTTTGAGTTCAATCCGTCTGAAAGAGATAAGGCTCCAATTTTCTGTTGCTGGTATAGGCCAACAGCAACATGATGCTTACTGGCAGTTCGAATGCGAAGTCAAGAAGATACCCGGTATTGATTCTTTTGATTTGGGTAAGGCGGGCCTACTAACTGCTACAGAATCGGGAAAACCAACCAACCCAACTTTGTTGTTGTTGTTGTTGTTGTGCATCTGATGTGTTGTCAAGTCCATCACCAGTCCAGGGCACTGAAGTCTGATTCGGGTCGTCGTGATATGGCTCACCAGTGTCGGCCGAAGTATCCTTTTTATAGAATGCCGAAATCGACCTGATAGTGAGAGAGAAGTCCCCCTGTTGAGTCCCAAAAAAGCTGAGAAGTCAGTACCGCATTGTGATATCGAGTCAGGCACTCTTACCTTCTCATCATTATGCTGATTCTTTTGACGTGCTTTAGATCCAATGGCTTGGCATCCTTCTTCTCCTTTCCTCGATATGTAGCCTTTAGCTCATTCCATGAGACGAAAACCTTCTCGCCTTCCTTGTCCGCCTTGAAGTCAAATTCCCAGCTAGTCGTACTTTGTTCCCTCCCGTTTGGACTCTTGGGAAGCAATTCATCTTTCAATATCAATGTATACTGCTTCCCATCCGTTTTCGCGATGTCGAGGAGCATGCCATCGTATCCTGAAAGATCCCAATTTCTATCTTCCCCAGTAGTCCGTTGTGATGCAAATCCTGCGCCGCCTAAGGTGTCGATGTCTAGGTTGCCCTTGAATACAGCTGTGGGGGAAAATGGACTGCAGGAAAGCTCTGAGTAAGACGAACCGCCGCGAACGCGATCATCGCTGCTAGTCCAGTCAAGAGGTGACCATGGCCTAGGGTGTATTAGCATATCGAACTTCAGAAAAGGTATGGAGCGACTTACAGATCACCACCGAACAGAGAGTTCTTAGTCACCGAAGCCATTAGGAGAGTTATGAGAAGGTTCTGCACTTTGCAGTTTGTAGAGAACCGAGAAAAGAAAACCCAGGGACAGAGACGGAAATTCCGAGAAACCTTAAAACTGTTCGGGAGGAAGCAGGAGATTTAGAGACAAGCTTAGTGTCGCGATGATTCAGTGAAAGAAGAGCGTGAAGGTGTGATAATACCAGAGGTTGTAGACAAGACTACCAATTGCCGATTGGAAATCTTTCTGGTCGTCGACAATGCTCTCACCTTTCCACTAATCGGAGAATGAGCGCATGCTAGTCGAGCAATTGCTAGAAACCCAAACTGGATCGCACTGTGCCAAAAGTCGAGTTTCGAATAAACTTGACTCAAGAACAGGAGAAGTTCTCAAAGATTGACAGACATTCAGTCAGTCACAGCCTGGTTTAGACATGAAGTAGAATTTTGGTGATGACTTCACCATCGCTAGTGTCTTGGCATCCCCAGTCTTAGCTAAGCAATCTAGCGTTCCGCGGCTCGGAGATTTCCCATGGCGTAGCTGGGACTTCTCCGCGACCGGTGCTCATCGTTCATTCTCCAATCATTTCGACTCATCATGAAGCAAAACAAAATGGTTTCTTGTTGATCAGAAGAAGATCTTCGTACGACTTCACGCTCAAAGAAGGCTACTACTCGTCTCCGCCACATCGATGCCGCCGGGCGCGGGAAGTAACGATCCTTTGCTTCTCAAATATACTAATTAAAAGTTAAGGCTGTGCTACTTGGTCGGATTCCTACAACGGGGGTAGTGGGCCCTGTAGGATCCAAGTGCCACGAGACGACGCTAAACTCGGGTTCGCATTTTACACCAGACCTGGAGAAGGAAATTCCCGTGCTGGCCATCGAACAGACGACGACAAACGGCGTCGGCCAAAAAGCCTTTGACGCAAGCACTTGCTTGGTCTGGAACTTTCGGGATATCGAAATTCTACAGTCGAATCACAAAGTTTACGTGAAGGCGGTGTTTCGAGGGGCGATCATCGCTATCACCTACCATTCGTTCCTGAGAATCTTGAGACTCAATCATGGGACCCTAATCGGAGCCGAGCCATCGCGGTCGGAGAGTATCTTGCTGCGAGAATGCGTGGCCCCTGCCGCACAGTGACGCAAGGCTACGACCTGCTACCTGCTACCTGCGAACGGAGTAGGCGGAAGGAACACGAAAACAACACGAGGTGAGGCATTTGTTTGACTTTGACAGATCTGGGAATTTTGCGTTTGTCCCGTCTCGTGGCGGAAAGTTCGACGTCGGAGACGTCGGCAGACATTTTGGTCACTGAAGCTATTGGCTGTTTGAAAGTTTACTGAAGTCAATATCGAAAGTGCATTGAAGTTTCACGGCAAGCAAGAGTGGAAGTAGAGTATTGTTCATTTTGCATTTCCTCGAAAGTTCGAGCTCAAAAAACGTGCGGGTATGTACAGCAGAAAATAAGCAAAACCATGAACACCAGACGACCATGCTTTCGAATCCTTCTTTTAAACCCAATTTCGTAAAAACATCTCTAGAATGAGTGTCGAGCGCTTCGTACTCAATTCCATATACCCGAAAAGAAAGCCATGTATTGTTCGACTCTTATATTTGTGACAAGAGTCTTGGCGATGGAGGCATTGATAGTGGGGTACTAGGATAGTGGTATGATGAGCCAGCTTCTGAATGCTCATATGAGTGTGAAAGAGGAGGAGTCTGGATTTGCATGTTAGATCATTGTTTATATAAGGTTCTGAGCTCATAAGTTGCTTACATGAGGATTTGAATCATCATAACCGTGGGATGCGTGGATATCGATAGCTGGCAGACCTTGGTTGTACATGTTGAAAGGGTGCATGGTATCGTCTTCCCTCTTGATAGCTTCGTTGAAGTGCATCATCGAAGGAAGCGTCACTGGCACAGGAGCCAAGTAATCTCTGTACTCTGCGGTGGTAACCGCGTGGTATGGCTGCGACTGTGGGTATGGTGGGTAGACGATTTCCTCAGGAGCTGGATATGTGTGGTATGCGAACAGAGGAGGTGTTCGAGATCCATCGCGCTCAAAGGCATGTGTAGGAAACATGAGGTTGTCCTCCATTGGTGGCGTATACTGGTTTTGCATCATTCTGGGTGATGGCTGCCTGTGAACAATCTCTGGGCTTCGCTGGTATTGCTTGATGTTCTCCTTGCGTTCTTGGTGGAGTTCTGCGTGCATCTGAGGTGGGGATGCGGAGGAAGATCCAGCACGTCTTTCGAGGTCTTCGAGACGTCTCTTGAGCTTCTTGCCTATCCAGGAATCAGTTACAGGTCACTTCAGGAAAGCTGCGGGGTTACTCACGGTAGTTGCGTTGAGCAATGCGGTTTTGAATTCTTCTCCTCTCGGCCAAGTCGGATATCTTGGTCCAGTCCTCATCTGGGTTTGCTGAACTGCTGAAAGCACTGCTGGTGCCGTGGCCGGTAATATGCCTCGACGCCGTGGCAGTCGAGTAGGAATAGCTTGCTCGAGACATGTTGATATGTTGGTTGCAGGTGGTCTTCACTCTGGTCACGTACGACGATGATACAAGAGAGAAAGGAAGATATCTTCAGAGTGGAAGGAGACTGAAGAAGGCTTTGAAGGCTGGTGATAAACAAGATCCGAGAAGCCTTAATTGGGGGTCCTACCTGAAGTATATATGTTGCTGCGGGACGACACATCCTCCGCGAACATACCGTACCCTACGGACTTTACAAGGCCACATCCACTGATCCCTGACCTCAGCTACAAGAGCCACCCTGGGATTGACAGTCCCTAGGGTGTGGTGCACCCACCCCTGCGAGTTTCCTGCCCACCCTGCCGCCTTTCGAACGTTGTGCGCATGCAAGCCACGGTGCTGGTCCGCTCTTCTGCAGGTGTCGACTCCTGGCCCGAAGAGGACAAGCGCGACGGGCGCACCTAAAACGCAAAAGGACCAAATCTTGTGCCACCCCTGCGGCACACCCAGGACTCTATTAATGGCTAATTGTCCATTTTGGGAACACTTAGCTATCATTAAAAACAGCCCAACGCTCGTAAAGCAGCGCCAATTGGGGCTCTTGCTCTACTGTCTCGAGTCTCCACCAGGCAAGGCTGGTGGTGGTGGTGTTACCACGAATAGATCTGCGCTACGAGACGATTGCCAGACAGATAGGCTACGAAACAGCCCTATGGGATGTGGCAGAGAACCTCGACGGCGAGCACTGCGAGGAGGCGATTGTGTCAATCCCGTACGAAGGACTCCGTCAATTGCAAGCCTTCTACGAGCAGGACGAGACCGGACAGCACATGCCATGGCCATCCTCTTCCCCCCTTCTGCCAGCTCGCATTCTGATTCGAAATGGTTACTGTGAGGCGCATGCTGCGATCTAATCGTGGACAGAGGGCGGAAATGGCTTTTCTGGGAGCATCTCTCTCTCTTTTCGGCATGTGTGGATCGGGAACGGCGCCCGCAAGTCAGCGCGAATCGATCGCCCATCTCTCATCGTCCCCCACCACCGGTAAAAGACGTCCCAGCACAGAAGAGAAGGGTCTGACGCTCACAACAAGACGAAATGCGAGATGCCAAATCAGCATTGCACATTTCCAGTATGGCTCCAGAAATGGGTGCCTGGGCACGGTTTAGGAAACACTGGGAAACCCGCCCTGGAATCTGTTCCCACGACGGTCGGACTTTGTCCCAATCGAATGGCGCGCTTTGCTGAGTGCTCATGCCCTTTGGAGATCCCTGATTCCATGATTTCCGCAACGGGGGTGCGCAGTTGGGGAACTCTCGGGTACGATCGACGTTGCGACGAGATGATGCAGTGACACAACTCCAGGGCAGCCGTGACAGCTTCACAGTGCACACCCTCGACCACCCTGTGCACATGTCCAGCATTCACCGCATTGGAGATTGCCCTCGATGAATATCGGGATTTGAATAAACACACACGCATTGCCAACCGCGGTCCCAACGAATTGCCGAGAGTAGTTCGCATCACTCGCACGAATAGAATATCTACAGGTAAATTTACATGATAGCTAACGCCCACCACCACAAATACAAATTACCAAGCAGATGATTCTATTTCTTGCCCTCTGGTGGTTGCGGTCGTTGCTATCCTAGGGTGGAACTTGGCAATTTAGACTGCTACGAGATTTAGAGCTCTACGAGCTCCCAGACAGGCCGACCCTCGCACCCTGAGGCATTCGCCGTATCCTCTACCACTTACAGAAGCAGTTATCTTAGCATGTTGATCCATCTTATCAGGTCGTCGCTTGTCGCATAGCTCCCCAAATGAGTGACGGTCTCCACGCACTTGCCCTGCGCCAGGCCCGGGCAAGTCGTCGTAGAAGCGTACAGTAGTCTCTTCTTGTCGGGGGAGACTGGGTGGATAGATAGTGGAGGTTCTTCTTGGGTGCTTGGCTTTTGGCCCCAGGTGTCGGGAGGAGCCAGGGTGGGGATGACGCTGTGCAACGGTGCGAGCTTCCCCTGGTCTTCTCTTGCCTTCTTCTAGAAGCTCCAGAGCTTACTCATAAGTTTATTTTTGCTTCCCCGATTATCAAGAAAGTCCTGGGTCCGAACGATTGGACGAGACGTTGCAACGCAACGAAAGTGATCGGGATCCTGGGCAGACACCAAGGAGAGTCCTTGCACACGGTGGCCTATGGCACCATAGGGCCGCTCGCATCCCTGCCCTCCGCCATTTCAACGCGAGAACTGTGGAATCCAGGGTATAGCACCCAATCACTGCGCGCCCATCGTATTTCAGGGAGGATGAAGGACGGTGAGTTCTAAAGTCGCTCCAAAGCCTCTTTGCTGGACGGACCGATTGCGCTTGAGGGGTATCGTCCAGTGAGCAGTGCTTTCCCCTCGCACACCCCCTTCAGCCCTACCCGGTGCTTGCGTGGTGTACCTTCGACATCTGTCCCAATGTCCCAATGGAGTGCGAACCTGGCCACGCTGGGAAATAACCGTGGCTCGACATGCATCCACGTCGCCGTCGCCGAAGCCGAACGGTCACGATGCAGGAGAAGCTGCGCGGGATCTCGATGGAAGGAAGGAAGTTCAAGGTCAACTCGTGGCGGCTCAGTCGCAACTGTACGAGATGCGTTCTGGGCCCTAGCCTGGGGCAGCCGGACGATCACGGGCAACGTCCCAAGTGCTTCAATGTCTGGTCCTGCAATGAGGGGGTCTTTCTTGTCGCAGTTCTTGCGCATTTCTAATGCGGCCATCATTTCCCGTGGATGTATCGTTCCTATTCATGTCATCCGATATCAAATCTCCACCGTAGTCGGTACTGAGGCCGAAATTCAGTGTCGGCCGCGTTTACAAACTTTGCCCCTGAAGGAGCCTATTTGGAGGTATCGCTCAAAGGCGATGGTGCGAGCTCCGTAATTTGTCATTTGTGCTGTTTATAGTATTTCATTATTTCAGTATCATTCTATTTGCTTCTGTCTGGTCCTGCGTCGGCCGAGGGTCTTGCTTGGCTTCCAAATCCAAGAGGAAGGATTCAGAAAATCCGTGGCAGTGTATCTATACGATACATCCAAAGACCAACCATATTGGTGTCAATGGATATCAGTGATGTGTACATGATGCCTGGCTCCCTTTTGGTGGTCATTGGGAACGAGCTTCATAGCCTATCACGAGCTCAGAGCGCTTGTTTCTCTTTTCCTTCTGGAACGGGAAACTGTTCGCCATCACTCCCTAAATCTCAGCCATACACGCCATCACTTCCATCAAGAACCAATGTGAAGCATGCGGAGGATTTACCGTTCACCCGCCACTACCCTCCGGCTTTCAGCCCTCTGATTATCTGTCGTGCTAAGGCATCGAAGACGCAAACCGTCAAGCCTCCGAAGTTTCACTTCATGTCGAAAGGACGAGGGTACGAGATTGCAGCAGCAGCCTTTTTAAGAAGGTATGATACTATTAAAATGCTGATTCATGACACTACTACCGTCGGGTCGGAATTCCTTCAAGCTGATACCATTATGGAGAAGGGAGCTGGGACATGGATGAGATGGCCTCTGAAGCACACTTGACAACTGTGACGGCCTGCACCCACTACACAGGTTCACTAAATGCTTATCCCGTGCAGATGCCAGCATATATGGTGATGGTACCTTTTCAGTGGCTTAACAGACGACCCCCTTACATGACGATCTGGTTCAGTTTGGACAATGGTGTAGTCTCTCCCACAAACGCACTCGGGTTCGCAAATGAACATGAACTGGCACACGACTCAAGGATGAAGATCACTTATAGAAAGCATGACAATAACGAGGTGGATGGATTCTTCCTCTGATCAAATTAGGAATACAGTATCCCTCACTTCATCTCGTCTCGTCTCGTGCTGGGCTCGGTCAAAGCTTCCTCACTGCGCACCACGTCGGATCAGGGGGAGCCGTTAAAGTTCTCACCGCATCCCATCCTTCCCCCCCCGCTCACAGGGCTGTGAGGGAAAGCTGCGTGCGTTCGGGTACGGACTGTTCCAAGAACGTAGCTGCGGGACCCGTCTGTCCTGTAAGGGCTGAGCACCAGCACCGCGCACCCGTAAATGGGAAGCGGCCATCATCAATCTGCCGCTGACGGTGGCTTCCAAGACGCTTCGCATAGCGCAACCTGTGAGAGTCCTGACGCCTAAGCGCCGTTTATTCATCAAAAGACAAATAAAGATCTTTGAAGGTCGTCCGGATGCTATTTGGTTCTCGTCCCGAGGAAGGTCATGTTGCCTTTCTTCTTCTTCTTCTTCAGCGCGGAGAATTCCTAAACGGCTATGTCGTTGTACTGTACTGTACATACGAGCTCGAGCCTTTCGGGAATGAGGGCCTAAGGACTCTACTAAACAGGAACAATGTTTCCAAGGGATCGACGACTGTTAGACGCCTATCTCCCGCGCACTGGGAACGAAGAACGAATAACGACTAACGATCCTGGACGACGAGCGACGTGGTTGCCAAATTTGCGAGTCAAAACGGGGATTCCCATGATCGTCGCATCTCGTCAAGCAAATTAGGAGAATTTCGCTCGCGCGGATGCATACACGCAGTTGATGAGATCCCATCCCATCCCCCAAGCAAGCCCGTTATTCTCGTCACAAAACGTTTGACGTGCAGATATACCCCAAGCCTGTAGCGTAGCCCCCGGGCTTGCTTCATTGGTGCAGTCGTATTTGGTGGACCAAAGAAGGCCCCATAGAACAGCCCCTTATCTCGGTACTGGTATTTACGTAGATAGATCTCGGGAAAGCAGCAAGCAAGGCAAGAAAGAGCGCGGTTGAGGAGAGCTTCCCCCTTCCCCCTTCCCCCTTCCACCTTCCCAAACCGTGGAATACCCGACAATTCTTAAACGAAGGAGAGCTGCCAATTGGCCAGCTTTGACGATCGTCACTGGACCCGAGCTATAGCTCCAGGATGGATGGATTGCTGGGACAAGGAGCCTTTCTTTCTTGGGGTCTGTTCGTAATTCGTACTTGGATTAAGCGACGCTATCAGGGACGAGACTGTTTCCCACTTGGTATCTTCCTTTCCTGTCAAAAAAAGCTTGTGTCGGAAAAGACGCCTTTTCATTCGACCAGAAAACGAGGAAATGAAGGATAGGATAGGCTATGCCAGTTTAACTTTAGATGCTAAGGCTAAGGAATTGGGAATCATTCGACCTAGCCTAGCCTAGCCTTGCGACTCTTGCGCCTCAGGCCAGCTTAGCCGTCGATCGTACCATTGGTCGTATGCTCGCCAATGAAAAAGGGGGGAGCACAGCCCAGCACGTGTCTTCTTCTTGACATGAAGGAAGGCCGCAAGGCTATGCATACATCACCCAATCTCGATTTCGCGTTCGTTTCGTTGCAGCAGCACCACAGAACAGCACAGCACAGCACAGCATCTTTTTTCCTAATCTGCAACATTACGCCATTGTTGCAACGTGACGTTCGCTTTTCCTCCCTACATACATAATATATTGCCTCCCAGCTCGATTGAGTCATCGCCGAGGAGTTCTGGATCGTTTTTCGGGGTAAATTGTAAATGCCACTGCTGCAGCAGCACGCCGACCAGCTTAATAATGGCATGTTGAGGCCGCCGCTGGTGCGCTAGAGGGGTCGGTGCTTCCGTAGGTGGAGGTGATTCATAAGGCTGAAGGTGCCAGATCCTTGAGACTCCGCTGTCTCAGTGCACGCCGAGCAACGAACGGCGAGAAACGATTGGTGACGCGCACGATGGACGGGGAAGTGGGCGGCGGGGAGCAGCCGCAGAAAGGCGTGCTTCTGCGAGGAGAGAAAGAGAAGGTCGGCGTCTTGAGTGAGGTTGCATGCCTGTCGTTGCAGTGATGTGGTTGTGGTGCGGTGCGGTGTCTGGTGTCTGGTGTTGGTCGTATCGGGGTGTTTGGCTTTAGACGCCATCGCGAGAGGCTCGCAGAAGCACGACGTAGGCACCCCTCGAGGCACCTCTGTGCCTCACCGCTGGAGATCTGGCGTGGATCTCGCAACACTACCACGTTGGGACAAGCGCATCTTCCTAGCGCCCTGCTCGGATGTGCATCCAAGCTCTGGTGTGGCACAGCCCACCTTGCTCCTTTGGGATCTATTAACAGTCTTTTTCTCGGGGAAGGACCCTTCTATCCCTGACGCGCCATCGCACAGTCCAGTGACCCAGCCTTATCATTTTCCCAGTGGGGGCCAAGGGAGTCGGCCGCCTCTACTTACTCAAGTGAGTGATTGAACGTAAGGTTCTGACCAGCGTGCGCCCACCGAGCACTATCCTTGCCCTTCCACTACTAGTTGCAGGACGACTAGCGAGTTAGCTACCGTAGAGAGAGAGAGAGAGAGGGAAAGGGAAAGCGCAAGGTTTCGGTAATCGTATTTCGTACCAATCAAAATGGCCGTTTCGTTCAGTTCGACCTCATACCGGTCCCCATTTCTGCTCTGCGCCTTTTCCTTTTGGACCCCACCCGGGCCCTACGAGATTCCACACCCACCACTACCCAGATGCCGCATAGCGCGACCGAGTCGGTCTACTGCTTCCGGCTAGAAGAACTTTATTTTCTGTTGCTGCTTCTCTGAAGCCTTCTTAACTTCGAACGCTAAACCCCGATATCCGTGAAACTGCAGAGCAAGCCAAGACATGAAGGGCGCGGATGTACGAGTATACCGGAATTGGGAGTTGAAAGGCTATCAGAGTTCACAGTAACATCCGCAACGACGATCATCGGAGTCCCATTCAGAAATTCCCAGGACGCTCGAAAGGACCAGGCCAGGTAGTTAGTTGAACCTTGCTGTTGTTGCCCCAGCCATGTTCATCACATTTTCCCTTGAATACCCTATTACCGAAAAACCCGACTCCCCTCGTCAGTCGTACCCGTCGGCCAATCACAGAGCTGATATCGCGTGCTTAAATTCGTCCGAATCCGAAGTGCGGTTATAGGGAAACCTCATATCGAGGATTTCCCTGCGATGCCAAGACGCATTTGAATTCTCCTCTCTCTTGACGACGAGACCAGGTTCTTTGGTCTCTGATCTTTTTCTCCCCTTGGGCTTGTGGATTTCCCTTGCAATTGTTGGGGCTTGGATACCTACCGGTATGTCTGGGCCACGGGTCAAGGTCGTGGCCGTTCCCGCTCCCAACTCCTTCCTACCGTACTCCTTCCTTCATGCTTTCCCACCTCCTACCTATCCGCAGCAACTGAAGCACCTCTGTTGCTCCTCCAAAAGCCAAACCAGCTCTCCGGATTGGCCGCGCGCTACGAGCCTACGAGTGATCAACGTCCTGAATCTCGTGCTGCTGGCAAATGTTTCAGTTCGCTGCACACACACAACAAAAATATGTTAGTTTTAGCTCAGGCTACTTTCTTCAACATGATTGATTCACAACACGCAATGAAGGAACGGAACGGAAAACGATTGTGGGGGCCTCCTTCTCCCTGCATGTGCCCGTTCGTGGTGGTGGCTTTACGCCACTCCTCTCTCTGATGAGAACTTTGTTGTTTGATCTTCTCATCTGTTGGACACGATCCTGCCATGCCATGCTCTGCCATGTGCTTGCCTTGTCTACGCTGATGTGTTGTGTGACCACGAGTTCGCCCCCAACCAACACCATCCATCCACACTCCAGTCATCAATCGAGCAGCAGCCTTTCGGTGCGAAAAGCGTTAACTTCGGGAAGTTGAAACTAGCCGACGACGAGGACGACGCCGCTCAGGGGCACGGGTGCGCAATGCTAGTAGGCAGGCAGGCAAAGTTCTTCTGCAGAATAATCCAGATCAATCACCTCGCGATCCTGTCTACGGCACAGCACGGTAGGGCACTGCCGTGTTTGTGTCTGTCCACTTTCTTGCTTTGCTTTGCTTTGCTGCATAATCCCTTCCTTCCCTCGGCCGATGTTTTACCCATATTTTTCCTTTGGAGCTGCTATTTCTATTTGTGTTGTTTTAATTCAAACAACACTTGAGTTTTGAGATTGGGGATTTGGAAGCATTTTACTGCGGCGGCCAAGCGCAATACAGACATACACCCGCCAACCCGATCGCGAGATACGAGCCCTGTTGATTCCATCATTAAGCGCTGCTCGGTCGAAGCTTGGCCCTCCTCCGCGTTTAGGGTCATAGACCTCTCCATAAAATTGTGGGTGGATTTCATACCAGTGGACTTCGCGGAGCATGCTTGAAGAGGCATTCTATTCGTTTACGTTTCCGCATTCGCGAAACTTAGATTTCAATCAAAATGTACGTCCTGGTTAGATTACGAAAGATATGCCACATGCAGCAACCATCAAGTCGTACTTAGTTGTTTCGTGGTTATGTGCGCGTGCGGCTCAGCTCCTCTCCTCGCCTCCCCCTCCCGCCTTCTTCTTCCAGCAACGCATCGGTGTTGGGGTTACGTGGGAAACAGCCACGAGCATCTGATTGGGTTCCTCGTTCGGCGTTTTTATGAAGTGCCGGCATCGCGACCAATGAGCGGTGCTGCCCCGCGTTTGGCCGAATAGGATGGATAGGGCTGGTGCGATGTGATGTTCTTTTTCTTTTCTTGGGAGATTCTAGGTGCTGCTGTGAGCGGCGGCGAGGCGACGATCCAATATTTCATATCAGACCATTGCTATGCGACTTGTAGGGAATTTGGCAAGCAGTGAAAATAACCACGGACGAGAGAGCAGAATGGGGACTTCGCTCTCGCTTTCGAGAAATGGTGGTGGTGGTCTAACCACCCGAAAGGATGGAAGCAATATGGGAAATCCTTCCTTTCCTTTCATCACTCACTCACCTGTCTGTGGCCCAAGATTACCGAGTATGGATTGCATGGCTGGCCAGCATTGTCAAAGCACAGCACAGCACAGCACGACCGGTGAAGCAAAGTAGAAGGAAAGGATGGAATGGGATGGATATACTTGACCGCATCTTCGTATCTGTACAGATGCAAATACGCAACCAACCCCTTTCCTGGGCAATATGTGTGACATGTGTGGGCATTCTACCGTACCAACAACCCAGTGCTGGCTGCATTATCATGGATAGATGCCCATGTAATGCATATGCGATCTACATCCAGTATGGATTTGATTATTCCAGAACGATTCCCTTCTTTCCTTCCTTTCCTTTCGTACGCGGTTAGATAGATAGATAGATAGATACTGGCAACGAGAATCCAAATTTGATTCCTCCACGTCTCTCTCTCTCGTACGGTTACGCTTCTAACTGATTGGTCGTTCCGTATGCCATCCCCGACGGGAACGGAAACGGAAACTAGCTCGGCTCCGGCGACGTGGACAACGGGCTCTTCTCTTTTCCGATGTTGTTTTTTTATCTTGGCGAGGAACTATTCTTCCTGGTGGGTAGGTAGGCATGAAACTGGACTGGGCTGCTCATTTACTGACTGTGCGAAGTACCGGAGTTAGGTAGGTTATGGGTTGGCATGCACAGCAAGCAAGACCTCGCGCTAGAAGGAGAGCGCGAAACGCGGCGTCGCGAGCAGTCGGGGCCGATGGTGAGTTGAAGATATCATGGGATGGAAATGTGCTCACTCACGGTGTAGACTCACCCCGCGGCATCCAGTGCGAGATGCGAAACAGCATTAACTCCTACTGTGGTCTGGGGATGAATATCACAACACGAGGTCCCAATGCAACATGACGTACTCCCCCAAGTAATACGAAAATACGACAATCCTTCCATCTAACTAAAGACATTCTGGAAAAGGAAGAGAAGACAATCCCTTCCGCGATCGAAACCTTATCCTCGAATTCGGAGCCTTTTTTTTCTCCTTTTCTCATGATTCATTATTCAGCAGCGCTTCGAGAGATTCTCTGTGTGGTCGCAAAGCTACCTATTTGAATTTCAACGATCGACAGAGCAACGATCGACAGAGCAGCGATCGCCGTTCGTACAGCCGCCTCTATGTGGTCTCTATTCCTAAAGAGGCGATGGCTGCGCGGAGACTTTTTGTTTGGTTTTTTGAGTTTCTGAATTTCGTTCATAGGTTTGTTTACGGGCTAGTTGGCTTGCCCGCGGTCCGCTTCCAAGGTAATGGGATGAGATGAGGGGGATCGACCGAACATACAGCATACAGCAAGCAGAATGAGATGAATGCGTTGTGAAGTCATAACTTGCGCCCTACATGTGGAGGGAGGATTATCTGATCTGTTGTTGTTTGTGTGGTGGTTGCCGGATTCAGGTAATACTGCTGTGTTTGGTGGGCTCAGGGCGGAGAGATCGTCTGTCCGCACGTAAGGTTGTGTGATTATTCATGCAGTGAGCGAGTGAATTAGTTGGATGCATGCATGTATGTACTGTATGTCGGTATTGCCTAGACTGAAGATAAACTCGATTGGGTGCGTCTTCTTGGTTCTTGCTACTGTAGGAAGATTGACTGCAAGTGAGTCACTCGGGGAAAAGAATATCGTGAGAGAGAGTTGGTGTTATTGTTTTGTGTCTAATTCGACTAGTCTGCAGTAGGCTTCGGAGATTTTGAGGACATGTGTTTACTCAAGCTCCCCTTCGATTGTTTTTCTTTTTTTTCCAGCTTTGGTTCTGTTAAATCTCCGTCCAGAGCAACGTTCCTTTGTTTGGGAAGGCCGGTTCGAACTTAGTGGTTGTAATCGTAAAACCAACCTCATAATAGAAAAGTTTCGTTTTATGATCGGTCCTTTTTTTTTCTTTCCTTTTCAGCTCGGCTGGGTCAGAATACATACACGTCGTTGGAGCAGCAAGAGTTTTTCGGGTTCGGGTGGACAGAAACAGACTTCCATTTTTGGATGAATAGTCTTTGGGATGGTCTGCTAGATTGGATCTAAGTTCACCGTCAAGAACATTGAGAACGGCCTGGCTTGGCAATCACACACCGTTAAGATGACTGCCGAAGCCTCATCACAAATCAACACTACCAAGAACTCCTATAAACCCATCTTAAGTCCGAAAACTAGACGGACTACGAACTTTATTCCCCATAACACAACGTGATGGCGGGATAGAGTCCCACTGGCCCATATTTTAAGATGTGTCTTGGCTCTGGGCTGAACCTTCTTCGTTGCCATCTATCATTTGCCTAGAAATTACGCGTATCAGAGATCTGGCCGTCTTGGTTTTCTTGGACCATCGGCCAGCTTTCGATGAATTCTTAGCATTGATATCAAAAGCACATCTTCGTTTGCCAAGTTCATGTATGCTGCTGTGAGATTTGATAGAATTTCAAATGACCAAGACTTCTAAACCAGCCATTTACCGGTGCTGTATCAGCACTTGAGATGAGGCTGTGTTTCGCGCGATTGTCTTTGCAGCCCAAATATTTGGCGATGGGAATGCGCCTTCTTCACATGGCAAATGCCCAGACGTGAGTCGATGACGAGTCACCATTGTGATACCATGATCTTTATTCTTGGCTCGCTGTCATATTGCGTCTCCTTGCGCAGCCACAAGAGAAATGGGCTCTGAAGAGGGCACATGAATTGTTGCTCGCTGACATGGAAAGCCTGGATCTCTGTCGCTTGATCGAGGCTTTTGATTTCAGCTAATGTCTGTCCTCTCTCTGATTCATTCTTGGACTGACAACACACAGCGAAATGTCGATCATTGTATCAGTGCTTTTGGGTGTGCTAAGTAGCTATAGTTTGCTATTTGCCTGGTTGACCTCAGGCAACAAGTTGAAAGACTGTTTGTTTTTGGGTCAATGGTTTGCACTATGGTACCTTTTCTGATTCCGTATGGGAGAGCACTCGCCTTCATTGTCTGGCCAGCGTCTCCGTTCACTATCAAGTTGGATCTTAGTCATTCCACAATTACCTCAACTTCCAGATCTGGTCAAAGCAAGATGCTGCATGGTTAGGGGCCTCCATGGCCAATTGAAGACTAAACAGCTAGACACCGAATTATCAGCAGCAAAATCTTCAACCACAAACTCGAGAGCATAAACAAATCACCACCCTCCACAATCATCCTCTACCTGAATCAAAACAAGTCCAGCTACCTCAATCATCCTCGCTACCACCACCTCTCAAACCACCCCGCATTCTCAAGTACCACAAACTCCTCCATAAGATCACCACCCTCGTCCTCCTCACCCACCACACTCCCCCTCCCATCAAACCTCAAAATCCTCCCCCGCTCCAACCCCCTACACCTCTCACCCAAACAAGCTCCGCCACCCCGCGCTCTCGAAAACTCAAACCTCGTCTCACACCCCGCAAACCGATTCACATAGATCGAGCAGCACAACAACAAGCACCCTTAAACTACCAATTGCCCCTCCACATATAAACCCCCATAGCCTTGATGATTCTCCAACGTAGTTTTCACGGTCCTGGCCGATCTACCACTACTCCATTCTTATCATACCCAATGAGTCTGTACCGCGTCCCAGAGCACACACCGCCCTCAGCCAAGCAAGTCCCATCAACCTCGATAGTCTCATAGTTCTTGATCTTTGACGGCCAGTTCGGACAAGTCTCCAGCTTTGCGATAAGATTCATTATTTTCTTGTAACCCGGGGGGAAAGTTACTCTGAGGTGCTCGAAGATGTTAGGAACAGATTTGTAGGCAACGGTCTTGCAGACGCCTTTTATTGCTCCAGGATGATTGCGTAGAGGATCGGATGCACAATGTTCGTATATGTTGATTGAGTGTTGGCATTCCGTGAACGTCCTTATGGTTATCCGGCACATCTTGAAGTGGCGGTGTTGCTGTTTTTGTTGACCAAGAGAATGGATGCAGGAAGCAAGTGTGTGCGAGTTTCTTTTATGCTCTAAAGCTCTAGACTGAGTGATTTTCAAAACTCAGAATCATCGCTTCTATGTGAATAATGTTTGAAGCCTGGGATCGTACTGACTGTTAGATATGTTCGACCGCTCACGGCCTTGAATCATCTCCTGAAACATACCCATTCGAAAACCATAGCAGAAAGAACAACATTATACAACTGACTGACAAGTCCAAAATGCAGCATCTGGAAGAAATATAAGGACCCGCACACAACAGAGCACTCGCGAGTCTTCAGCAAATCTATGTCGTTCCAATGCTCTGACACAAACTGGGCAAACCTTCTAGCTCTAAGCTAAGAAAACGTTTCATTGCATACCATAAGCATTAAATCACGCTCCCATGAGTCGATAACCTAGGGTAGACACTTCACTTAGCAAGCGGGAAGCAGATATGGATAAGCAGACTTTGGAAATCAGACTATGCGGCTATTCACCCCGTGCAAGTCCGCAAGCAAGCAATGAGCTTTGCAAATAGCCAGGAAGACCTCCAGAACCGTCGGCTTCTGCAGTTTTTTGTTCATAATATTTTTTGCTTGGCACTTGAATTCTAATGCCTCCCTCTAAACGATCTGCATCCACGAATTCTATTTTCTCGAAAGATGCTTGAGGTTAATCTAGTTCAACTTCCGGCTTGGTGAAAATCTCGTGATGGGGCCACTACCCCTACCTCGTTTTTAAAGCAAAGCTTGCGGAGGACTATCCCCGGCTACTGTATGAGATTAGCTTAAGACATTTAATTCCAGGCATAATCAAATCCAGTATGGAGACTGGCATCGGATGGCGAGCTTATCCTTCCTCTGCAACTGCTTGCCCTTGGACTCGAAATGTGTTTCTCACAGATATTCAGAGTTACCACATCCACGAGTGAAAGAAAGCTCGTGATTAGGCTGACTTGGACTATTCACGCATATACTGGCTTGATTATATTCACCAATAGTGAAGTCATGGCACAGCACTAAGCACGACAGCACGAGTAGGAATTAACCTCTAGCTCGGAAGACTAGCACCAGCATCACAACTTCTGGTCTGACAACTAACATCATAATATACTCTGTATGAAATGCATCAACAAAGCCAACAAGTGAGTGGCAGAGCAAGCCACTTGGCCAGTACATAGCGCTGGACAATGCTAACCGCCAAGCCTCATAGCAGTAGGTAAAAGCCAACCAGCCCAAAACGTGAATAAGATATATTTTGTATGCACATAGGCAAAACTCCATTAATCATCATCACTATCATCCCCAAAAATTGCCTTAAACACCGCCTCCCCAGCCCTCTTCCCCTCCAACGCCTCATTCCTCTCCTTATCAACAACGACAACAGCTACCTCCTTCGGTTTCTCGACCTCCACCTCTACAGGTGTTGCTCTACCACGATTCTGCTGATCGAACGACTCTTTCATCATATCGTCCAATGCACTTTTAGACACCAGATCAGGCGCGGAATTTTTCGGTCCAATACTAGCCTCCTCGTCGTGTTCCGTAGCGCCGGGTTGCACGTGCGCGGGTGGTTTGACGTTGAATCTTTTGCATAGGAGGCGAGTGGGGTACCAATCCTTCGTACTCCTCGTCATGGGACCGTACATTCCCAATTTCGCAGCTTGTTCAGCAGGATCTTCTGGTTTGGGTGCCGGTTTACTGAGGAGTGATGAGGAGTCTGGGGCATCGGAGGCAAGTTTCGGTGCGGTGGAAGATGAGGTGAAGCGTGTGGCCATCATTCCGGACATGGGTTTGAAGATTTGAGCACAGTTTGCGAATTCTTTTAGTTCTTTTAACCAGTCTATCCTTGATACTCTGGGGGGCTTTTCGGGTAAGGTGGGACTTATGCCTGCTTGGTTCTCGAGGTATGCTCGGTAGCGGTTTCGTTTCGCTTCGTCTTCGCCGTATGGCATGAAGCCGCTGGCTCCACGGCTGAGTGCTGCGTCGGCGGTGTATTTGTCCACTTTGGGGATCTGTGAAAGGAACTCTTTTTGGCGCTCTTCTTCGGTCATGCTGTAGCCTTCGGGAACCTCGCCAAGAGCTGCGGGCAGATTGTCTTTTCCTGAAGCTGCTGCTATTTTATTTCGTGCAGCTGGAGACAGGAAATCGAAGACAGATTTCCCTGGAAGAGCTGCTTCACCGAGGATAGAAGCTCGAGACTTTGGATCAAGTTTTGACGCTTTAGCTGCATCTGATGTCGATAGAAATGCCGCCTGTTGAGTACCAGCTCTAGGTTGTTTCGAAGACTTCCATCCTTCTGGTATCTTGGGAGGGGCGTAATTAGTCGCAGATTGCAGGACAGAAGAGAATTCATCAATGCTGCTCAAGATGAACCCATCTAATGGTAACCGGCCATCGTGACATTTCCGGAATCCCGCAGCTGCCTTTGCCATTGCGGTCTTCTTTGAGATGAAGATAGGTTTTGACTTCAACAGTGGGTTCACAGCCCCACTGATAGGCTTCTTCTTCTTCTTGTCTCCTCCTATGACGCGATTGTAGGATATTCGAGGACCGATTTCGTAAGGGTCCTCATCGTCTGAGCCAGTATCGTTCAGAATACCAATCCCTATCCCGCCCACTTTGACCTTCTTCTTCTTTGTAGGTTTCGGGGCTAACGATAATCTGCCATCTTCTTCTTCATCCTCTGACTTGACATCGTCAGAGCCTGTCCCTTGTAACGAAGACAATTTTGTCTCCCCATCGAATCCCAATCCTTTGTGATCGTTCTTCTTTACAAAGCTTATCATACTTGTATCTTCTGGAGCAAAGAGGTGCATCTCAGCAGCATTATCTTCAACTCCATCGAGACGAGCTTTTCGTCGAACTTTGGGTCCAATGCCTTGCCCCTCTTTCCAACCCATCTTCCTCAGCAACTTGACTCCAACTGTTTCGCCATCAACCCGAAATAAATCAATGAATGCTCCTCGTCGGACAGCATCGTCTTCAGTAGAGCCCAAGCCAGCAAATCCTTGCGTGGTTTCCACTCTCCGCCCTTCTTCGGCATCTGCGATGTCCTCTTCATCCATAAAATCTTCCGGTCGTTGCTGGGCCGTTTTTGGACCATCTTTCTTTCGATTCGTGCGTGAAGAGACGAAGGTCGATGGTGTCCATCCCTCTTTAGAGCCAACGGTATTGTAATATCTGCAAAATGACGATTAGCCCATGTTTGAATGGTAGCTTGAAGATGTATTGCATACCCTGCACTGAATCCTCCGGTGAATGCGCCATGGAGACGCTTCAATCCCCTCTCGTCTCTAACTTCCTGCTTCCATACTGGCACATAAGACCCATCATCTCGTACATCTGGATCCAGGGGAGGGAGAGGAGTTCCGAAAGTAACGAATGGAGATTGCTGAGCCTGTAGGTCGGCTTCGTAAGTCGCACGAGAGCGTTTCCCGGACATCGTACGACATAAGCGCTGTGCTGCTCAATTCGGAATGCTCTTAAGAAATATCGAGATGCACATCTATGTAGAGAAGGCTACGATACGACGAGTTCAGCCTTGTGGTTTGAAGGAGAGCAGTGAGCTGTGCGAATCTATTGGTTTACAAGCGCGAAAGCAAATCTGGAGGCTCTTGGATTAGCCGCGCTTCTAGCAATAGCGTTTTCGGATTAGTTTTATGGACAATAGCGCAAAGCTGGAAATTTGGTCGGAATTGCAGGGGTTATGTTGGTGCAAAAATTCATGCGACACTGAATTCAATGTCCCTTGGCCCCCACACGGTTTCTGTTTGCGACCTCAGATAATTGGTTGTTGGGGTCAAGTCTTCAGGCCCGAAGCAGGATTATCCCCATGATGCGGGATTATTACGAGGCTCGGTTGCAGAGCTTGACGTTTTGACAGCTGTCCGCATACGCCGGGGCGAGGCTTGGAGAAGTGAAGGAGCAAACTTCAAAGGATCTTAACGAATGCCAGCACCTTTGCGAGGATTCGAAAGCCCTAAAATAAAATACAATGCTACAAAAGATGTCAAGGGCCGTTGCAGCTGAAATTCGGCACGGCACATTTCATTATCATGTTTGCTTGTTTGCTCTGGGAATGACGGCAAGGAGCCCGCCAAAAGCCCAGGGACCCACCGACTCGTGCCTATCCAGCTGCAGCTCCAAAGCCAATCCAAGCATGTTCGCATCGCAGGACATTGGCAGTATTGTGAACCCACTTACCCATGAAGACACTCGAGTTTTCGCAGCGCAACTCTATCAAAATGCAACAATAATAATCTCTTTAGACTTTTAAAGCTGGTCAGGCACGGATTCACTCCTGTCCTATCTGAGAGCAGCTCCCAAGGTCTAACGCTTTAGTTCCTTCTGATCGTGGCTGCTTCGGGGTCTAAAGAACTGACCGAACCGTGACCAGCAACGAGCAGCGCATCTGGAACCTGGAACCGGATCTCATTCATCAGCCTTGTTGTTTGCCTACAGGATTGCTTTTGTGTCTCATACCGACGACTGACTCTCATTCATTCATTCACTCATTCATCCATCCATCCATTCCATCGCTCAACTGATTGTGCCTCGCTGACGTTGCCACTATCATCAACCGTGATCTTCTTCCTGTGTCATCATCTCCCTCTATTCCGGCGCCTGTTGTTCCCCGCGAAAGTGCCAGCTGAGCCTGAGTGACTGCGCGAGCGAGGCCTGACAACAGCAGTAACCAACCTACGTTGCGACCAAGCAAGCACCACCAGCCACAACAAGAATTCTTCCTTCTTTCCCAATCTCACCCCTCATAATTTTTGTCTCACACACCGACGCCCGCACCCGGATTAATAACATCTCCAAAGCTTCTTCCTGCTCTTCTGCTCTGCTCGACCGTTTCAGAAGTGACGTCGCCAGCACCAGCACCGTCTCGTGAACCTAGAGAGGTACCTTATCCAGGGGGCGGCAACCAAATCAGGACTGGCCCGACAAACGAGATGGCAACAACTGTCGAGCGCACCAGCAGCAGCGTAACACCTCGACGACATCAATCTTCCTCGACCTCATCGCGCTCGCAATCCGTGAGAGTGAAGAACGCTCCACCGCCGCCATCGCCCTCGCGGCACGCATCACACCACACACATCACCGAAGCTCGTCTCGCTACGACGGGGCTGCTGCTGCTGAAGAAGCCTTGCAGCAAACCAACTATGAGAACGCGCAAGCATCGAGAAGAAGTTCCAGTAGAGATCGTCCTCCACCATCTCGCTCAGAGTCAGCACGAAGCGCCTCCGCACACCATCGACACTCCTCTCGCCATTCCACAGACATGACGACCGCCGTTGCAAATGGGGGAGGCCCTGCCCCCGTGATCACTGCACAGGAGACGAGGCACTCGGGCAAGACGAGCAAGTCGCGGACGACCATACCTGCTTCGACAGGAAATTGGGTGCTGGGAAAGACAATTGGTGCGGGGAGCATGGGCAAGGTGAAATTGGCTCGCAGAATTGAGGGCGGAGAACAGGTAAATTTCTCGCCCATGAGACGCGATGCAGCGATCAGGAATAACTCTTATTATCAGGTTGCCGTCAAAATTGTCCCACGAGGGTCGACCGACGATAATCATAATCAGAGCCGTGCCGATCGAGAGCGCGCCGACCATTCTAAGGAAGTGCGAACCGCAAGAGAAGCAGCCATTGTGACTCTTCTGGATCACCCATACATCTGCGGGATGCGAGACGTGGTGCGCACCACCTACCATTGGTATATGCTCTTTGAGTATGTGAATGGTGGTCAGATGCTCGATTATATCATTTCACATGGACGGTTGAAAGAGAAGCAGGCTAGGAAGTTCAGCAGACAGATTGCCAGCGCGTTGGATTACTGCCATCGAAACAGCATTGTGCATCGAGACCTTAAGATTGAGAATATCCTGATCAGCAAAACAGGGGATATCAAGATTATCGATTTCGGCTTGAGCAATCTATTTGCACCCAGAAATCATCTCAAGACCTTCTGCGGTAGTTTATACTTCGCTGCTCCTGAATTACTCCAAGCCAAGGCGTATACGGGACCAGAGGTTGATGTCTGGAGTTTTGGGATTGTGCTCTACGTGTTAGTATGCGGGAAAGTACCTTTCGATGATCAAAGTATGCCAGCCTTGCATGCGAAGATCAAGAAAGGAATCGTGGATTATCCCAACTGGCTTTCACCCGGCAAGTGGTGCTTGAACTGAGTACTGACATTTGCTTACATGTCATAGAATGCAAGGGCCTCATTTCCCGAATGCTTGTGACCGATCCCAAACAGCGTGCGAGTCTGCAGGAGATCATGAACCATCCTTGGATGGTCAAAGGATTTGGCGGACCTCCTGAGAACTATCTACCTGTCCGAGAACCACTCCAACTTCCTCTCGACCCAACCGTTGTCCAAGCCATGACAGGCTTCGATTTTGGACCTCCCGAAGTGATACAAGCACAATTGACTGAGGTTCTCGAGTCGCAAGAGTATCAGAGAGCTGTAAGACTGGCGATGCACGAACGCGAGAATCAAGGACCACCTAGGGATCCCGAGAAGAAGAGAGGTTTTGGTTTTGATTTCTACAAAAGGAGAAACTCATCTAACAGTCGCGACACACTCACAGCTCCAAGTGCTGAAGGATTAGCATTAGGAAGTGATCCGACGAACGCCTTTCATCCACTCATCTCAGTCTACTATCTTGTTCGAGAAAAGCAAGATCGTGATCGCTTAGCAGCAAACCCAGGAGCTACAAGCATGCCTCGGTCACCAGGAGAAGCACCTTTACAGATTCCACAGGTTCCAGATATACCAGCGCCTAAGGCCGCCCATACCAACTCTGCAGCTTATGAGATGCCAGGTGAGAAGGCTACTGGAGGCAGATCTAGACCGCGAGCTCGTACACACGGCGAGGATGAAGTAACTGAGGGTATGAAAAACGTCAAAGTTGGATCAGGCGGTCCTACTTCCCCAGCGATCATTGAACCACCTCCCACCGAGCAACAGCATATCCGCAAAGAGAGCACCGCTGCCGGTATTTTGAGACGATTCAGCACTAGGCGGCGCAAGGATCCATCAGAGAGATCACACCCACCTCCTGTCACTGTGCAAACCCCCCAGGAGCACAATACCCTCAGGAAGAGCTTCAGCGTACGAAGAACGCGTGAGCGTGATAACGATGGCCCACCTTCATCTCTACTCCGTTCAGGAAGTAGTCAACCTCAACATAGCGATCTACTATCACCACCAAGGTCCGCAGACAACAATGCCCGTAGCAACAAGGGCTTGGGCCGTTCTACGAGTGTCAACTCTGCAGAATTCCGTAGAAAGGAGAATCGTCGAGGTGCTTCGGAAGCTCTTCCTCCTCGTGTGACCTACAAAGAACCACCACCTACTAGCGGCTCAGATCATTCTACTGTTAATGAAAAGTCTTCTCGCGATGGAGAGAAGGTGGGCGAGCAACAGAAAACTCACCTGAATCCCAGATCTGCTGCGATGAGAGCAAAGTCACTTGGTCACGCTCGAAGAGAAAGCATTCAAGCAAGACGTGCGAAGAGGGAGGAAGCGCGTGAAGCCAACGTACCAGAAGAGACTGATGGAGAATTGGGAGATGCAAGCGGGCTGTCTAATGAACGAGTTGATAATGCTGATATTGCGAAGCCTGTCTTCCTCAAGGGCTTATTCAGCGTTTCGACGACATCCACCAAACCAGTGAGTGTCATCCGGAACGACATAATGAGAGTCCTAAAGCAATTGGGCGTTGAATACACGGAAATAAAAGGCGGCTTTAGCTGCCGACACACACCATCCATCGATCTGAAGAAGGTTGTCGATCTTCCTCCCAGCAGCCACGGTAACCAGACACCTGGTCATCGTAGGCGCATCAGCTTTGGAGGTTTCATGAGTGGAAATAATACGGATAGAGAGCGGGAAGACTTCCGAGAGGCTGAAAGATCGCCACACACCCCAAGAACTCCCGCAAGACCACGAGGAGACACAAGCTATACGAATTCAGACGCATCGGATGAGAGTGTCAATGGCCATCATCGTGGCTCTTCCGCACGAGCTGTTGGTGAGACAAGCACACACGTGCAAAGCGATCTTGGCGGAAGCATGATCCTCGAATTCGAAATTTTCATTGTCAAAGTTCCGCTTCTGTCACTCCATGGCATCCAATTCAAGAGACTGGCCGGAGGCACTTGGCAATACAAGAACATGGCGGATCAAATATTGAGAGAGCTTAGACTCTAGTTTCTCGATGATGACGACGACGGGATATATACACGCATGGACATGGACGAGACGAGACGAGTTTCCTTTGTTCTTGAAGCAAACCACAGCGAGCATCGCATAAGATCGTATCATCAGATTAGGACGTACATCTCTCATCTCGAGTTCCCTTTGTTGAGCGCGGAGCGTCATATGTAGGATTCTTTACTGGTGCGTCGAAAGAAATGCATTTGGGTATGAGTAGTAGCTGAGGGCTGGGAGTTTACGGGCTATTAAGAAAAGATAATTAATGGGCGTGGAATTTTCGTCTTTGGTTCTATGAAAACCGTTCCCCTTGCTGCTATGCGATTTTTGACCTTTCCAAACAAACTTTGGCATGAGACAAGGTCTCACTCTCGCTGGTCGAGGAAGCAAGCAATAACCATCCCACGTGACAAGCCTCCTCCCACTTTTGCCACAGTGCTTCGGACTCCGACCTCGATAAGGAGAACACTTGCCCTATCTATCGCGGGCCAACCTGTCTCTCCCAATACCAAGGTCCCCATTCCCAGTAAGCCAGATAGATCTGAAGTCAGATCCATAGGCCTGGTCGTGCGTGCGTCGGCAAGCTCCTCCCGCCATTTCTCCAGCGGAACCTCCTTCCTGACATCGACTTCCACTTCCGATAGAGGGGGTGGGGACTGTCGGAATGCCTATCTCGATGTGTGGGCTGGCTGTATGTGGGTTGGTTCAAGCTAGATCTATCGTCATTTGCTTTGCATTCTCTTTTCGTTGTGTGTTTTGTTTGTATTTATATATCTCCCAGTTTCTTTCTTGATGGCCTGATCTTTATCTCTGTGGTGTAGTATTATTGGAAGGAAGGAAAGATGCCCATCGCAAGGTTCCTAGGCTGTTTTCTGTGCGGGAAGGATAAAGGTGTTGGCGTCGTTGAGGATGGAGATGTGCCCGTCATCCGCATCGAGGGCAAATCCGCACACCATCAGCTCTCCGACTCGTCCTTCGATTCCGAACTCGAGTTCTCGTCTGCTAAAGACGAGAAAGACACTCCCCTCTCAACTGACACCGAACCGAGAAGAACGAATAAGGCGTTGGTCGTAGCGGCAAAAGGCACGTACGCTCTCGTCGACCACGAGTTCCCGAACCTAGAACATGGCAGGGAAGTCGTGATCCGGAATATGGCGACGGGGCTTAACCCGATCGATTTCAAGAGCGTGGATTTCAATTTCTGTTTACCGGAGTTTCCGTGGGTTACGGGTAGGGAGATGGCGGGCGTGGTGGAGGTTGTGGGCGAGGAGGTCGAGGGGATCAGGGTTGGGGATCGGGTTTGGACTAGTGAGTTTTCTTCTTTCCTTTCCATTTTGCGCACAAGAGAGAGAGAAGGGGGTACTGATAAAGATGGCGCACAGGTACATATTACCGCGACCGTCGCGCGGGCTGTTTCCAACAGTTCGTTACGGTGCCCGCTCATACCGTGCTCCCGCTCCCGTCGAATCTATCGTTCGACGAAGCGGCTTGTCTGGGCGTCGCGGCTTTGACGGCTGCGATGACGCTTTGGCGGTGGTTGCAAGTCCCGATGGTTCCTCCTGCTGAGCGGACGGGGAGGGAATACCTGTTGGTATGGGGCGGTTCGACGGTCACGGGGCAGTTTGCTATTCAGATCGCGGCGAGATGTGGGTTGGACGTTATCGCTGTTACGTCGGCTAAGACTCGGTCGTTGGCTGAGAGTCTGGGTGCTAGAGTCGTGGTTAGGGACGGGAAATCGAATGATGAGATCGTCGATGAGATTAGGGGGGTTGCGGGAGAGGACATCACGCGTGCAATTGACCTTGTAGGTCCTTCTACGGCTAATTACTGCTTGAAAGCGTTCTCGAGAGATGAAGGGAGGAAATGTCTGTTTGCGCCTTTAGCGATGATTAGTTCGAAAGCGGAGATTCCTGCGAATGTGGTAGTGGAAACGGTGGAGATGAAGCAGTTTGTGCTGGATGGGGAGAGTAGGAGGTTTGCCGTGGAGCTTAATAGGCTGGTTGAGAGCGGGGAGATTTTGTTGCCCGGGTTGGAGGTTTTGGAGGGTGGGTTGGGGGTTGTGGTTGTGGTTGAGGGGTTGGAGAGGTTGAAGAGGGGTGATATGGTTGGGAGGAAGATGGTTGTTAGGATGGAATCGTGAAGGGATGGGATGGGGATGGCGGAGCATGGATGGAGTTTGGTGTTGCATTGTGAGTTTTTGGAGGGGCATTTATGGGTGGTGCATTGTGGTATAGATTGTATATAGACGGACGCAAGCATGTATAGAGTGCAAAAGTTGGAATGAAAGATATGTTACAATTGTTGCCAAGTTTTAATATCTACACTTGCTCGTCTACCTCACTTTGGGAATTTTGTAGGAATTCTTCCTTCCTCGTAGGCAATGTAATTATCATAATACAAAAGCTCTTCAGCCCCTGTCATGCTCTTCCCTGACACTCACTTCATCTAGTATTGTGATCTTGCTACATTAAACATCTCACTTCTAAGATCCAAAGACTAGAGCATCAGATCATGCATGTCAAACCTGCAGCGCGGAAGCAAGTACCGTCGGAAAGCACTCCCGTCATCGGGAGAGAAGCCGTGGCCACGTGATTCAGATACAATCTGACGCCTCCTTGATCCTTATAGTTCTGAACAATCTTTAATGTTTCTAATGTAATCTCCCTGTAGATGTCAACGACAAAACCATCAGTACTTCGAAGACCACAATTCTAATCATCAAGCCACTTGAGCTGGAGGGTCTCCAAACCACCCAAAAACTTTCAATCGCTCGGGTAAGGCAATGTCATAGTAACTAAAAAAGAATAGCAATGTAAGGATTACAATGCACGAATGTGGCTTCATCATTAACCTTTGCCCTGGTCTTGTTCATGCTCCTACTCCTCGTCCTGTGCGACGTGCTACAAAACTTTTGGGGCGGAAGGTGAATTCATATTCGAAGAACCACGAGAGCAAGGACTTTTACTTGCTGTGCAACTCGAAACATCAGAAAGTGAACATATTGAAAATACTGTGCCCCTCTTTCTCCATAAACTGCCCAACAAAATATCAAATGCCGTAGACTAAAGCTGGGAATCGATACTCGGTATATGTTGTGGTAAAAGATTTTCCTTGATGAGCACTGCTGGTGCTGTTGCTGCTGTTGCTGCTGCTCCTGGGCTTGCGATGTGCAACAAAGATTTTCGAGGTTCACGTGAACAGGATGTTCCAAGGGAAATTGAAGTGTACATCGGTTGTTAGATCATTATCAAGAGTGCTAGACGACGAAGTGACTTGGTTTTGACCTCTTCCCCCCTTTAATTGTCCAGAATTTTTTTTCAATTGCCGAGAGGCCTCGCTAATGATGACCTTTTGCTCTCCTCACGTATGCGTGCCTTGCGAAGCACACTGCGTAACATGTCAAGTTTTTACAAAGTATTTCTATAGATATATTTACGTATGCATATATTTCATAATAGCCTGCTACATCTCAGTACACACCCGATGCAACCGAACGCCGAGTATGCTGCCTCTAATACCAATCCTCGTCATCCTTCTCGCTCCATATCGTCTCCAGGACTCTCTCACACCTACTCTCCCTCCAAACCAGCCCCCTCAACCTTTGCCCCACATCCTCCCTCTCGCTCCAAAACATACTAGGCATCAACGCTAAGAACGTGATCTTACTCTCTCTATCACTACTGGCTGCCACGCCCACGAACACCACCCAAAGCATGACATCTAGCTCTTCTTTACTGAAGCTAGGAGTCTCCGGATGAAGAGCTGGATCGAGATTAGACAGTGAAATTGGCGATGAGACCGAGATTTGGGTTGAGATATCATTCACAAGTCTAGAGAGCTGAGAAAGAAACCGGCGATGTAAGAGCGCAGGATTAGGAAGTTCGCGCATCATGAGGTGCAGATAGAGGTGTGAGGCGATGTGGAAGGCTGCTGTGAGTTTTTGGGGTGTTGTTTTTATTTCTGTGGGTGCTGGAGAGTCAAAGTCTTGGAAGTGCGAGAGTTGTGGCGAGGTGAGGATTTTGTATTCGGTGTGGTAGAGTGCGTCGCTTATGCTTTTCTTGTCTTGGGACGAGAGGTTGGGGACGTCGATTGTGGAGGAGATGTAGCGGAGTGTTTGGAAGATTGAGGTTGTGGTAGGATCGTTAAAGACGGTCGAGTAGCGATTATTGGTCGGGGACGGTGGGTGGAAAGAAGATGCGAAGTCTTCGGAGATGGAGGAGAATCTGGGGGCAAATCCAAAACGAGTTGAGAATACGATGTCGGACCTCAGTACTGTTAGCTGCTGGTTTTGAGTGCGTGGATTATGTACATAGGCATACCAAGCAAGAACTCGCAGCACAACTCTATGTAGTTCAAAGTTGCCGATCCCTCCTCGAAGCTTCGTCATCTTCAATAGTCCGACCTGGTGCGCGCTTGCTGCTTCGAATGTTCCGTTTATGCTCTGCACTGATGTTAGCTTCCAGAACTATGGCATGTGATCCAAACAAATCATACCTCTAGTATCACAAAAATCGCAACAGCTGTGATATCCGCATCACTAAGGCTGTGCCAGTTGTCCAACAATCTCCTATTCATTAATCTCATTGCCTCCCCCTTGTGAAACAGATTTTCCGACGATTCATCCGTCCCCCGGAGTAAGTCCTCATGCTGAGCCACAAGACACAGTGTTGCATGGAAGAGGGCCGAATCTGTGATACTGTATGGCTTCCATGCATTGTCGTGGTTGATGGCGAAAGTGTTTGAGATGAAGGCCGTGTTGTCCGTGCAAGGTGCCAGACATAGCGGGCAGAGTGAGGGAGGGAGGATACAATGATAAAGGAGCTCCCGAGTGCGTGCATTGGTGAGTGAGATCAGGAGTTCGTTTCCGTATGTATCAACTGGTGTGGAAGGCTGGCTCTGTGATGGCACTAAGTTCATGTGATTAGAGAATACATTCGTACATCTCTTACCTCAATTTGGACGTCCTCTTCTTTCACTGCAGCAGGTTCGGCAGTTTCTTCTCTGGTCCATCGAGTCTTGACCTTCTTACTCCTTGGTTTTCGCGACCAGGAGGCTAGCTTGAACTTTCCAGAGAGCTCTTTTGGTGTTTGGGGGTCATGCTCCTTTGCTGGTCCGAGTCTTTGTTTTGCTTTATCTCCATTTGCATTCTTCTTCTCTCGTAAGAATGCTTGCATAGCATGGGAACGGACTGTGTGGGAGTAGTCATTCTTTTGTGATGCTGGTCGTTCTGTGAGAGTGATGAATTGTAGTGGCGGAGGTGGAGAACTGGTTGACGATGGAGATGCTGTCTTGCTTGAAGAAGGACTTGCTTTGAGGTCACTACTGGACGACATTAGACATGTTTATATTATAAATTGGGTTGTTAGAGCCCGCCAAGTCAACTTGAGTCTTCGAATGTAGATGTGCAAGCCTTTATGGAGCCATTAACTCTTGACACTTACTCACTTCAGACTGGAGACCACTGTCCCACCCTCATCACCAGAGTGTAAACCAAAGCTTTTAGAACGCGTTGAGCTCATTAGTAAAGGAAAATTGGGAATGTTCCCAAAAGATTACTGATAGTAGACTTTCTACTTCTTTGATGCACCGAATTTTGTAAAGAATATATATTCACGTGACGACAAAAGATGAGTAATTGAGATGCAGACAAATGGTCAGACTTTCATCTGTACCTTTTACGAAGTTTAAAAAGCATCAAAAAGTCCATACGGCAGTGGCGCAAAGCCACGCGGGACTGTGTCGGCATGACCAAATTTAGCTGAGTGCCACTAGCGAGGCAAAAGGGGGAGACTCACTAAGCAGCCCATATACCGCATCAGGCAATTCGAGCAACCTGCAGAATTGACATGACTTAGGATATACGGATGTACCATTTTCAAGGGATTTGCAGCACCTGAGAGGCTGGAGGAGATGCTGAGTTGCTGACAAATGCGATCCCTGCACCGGCCGTAGCCCTCGCTTCTCGCCGGATCCGGGCCGGGGCTTGATCACTAAACACCTCGAAGTCGCCATAGAGGGCATTGGTTGGTCAATTGCTGGGTCTTTAGACGCTGTTCGGCAAAAGCAACCCTTCAAACCCCTAGACACGGCGATAGAATCCCATAATTCCAATTCTCTCCTCGTATTTCGGGGAGCCTAGCATTGAAACCCTAATCTTCTTCCTCGACGTAGTCTTTCCTAGACTTCAGGTTGTATCCCGGAGGAAGGATCTGCAACAGTAAGCATGAAGCTGAATTATTGAGGACGAGAATAGAATATAAATGTTTTGCTTGTATGAGCCGTTCAGCTGATAGCGACCCTCCTCCGAATCTGAGATCCTCGGAGATACTATCACACAAATGCCTAGACCCCTTGGGAGACATCCGTCATTATATTTTGTGTTATGCTGTCGAGGCTTCTTCGATCTGAACTCTTAGGGTATTAATGTGGACCAATATCACTTTGAAAGATCTCACCTTGTGCCTAAGTTGAGGGCATAATTTTTAGGCCGTATCCTCGACTCCTCAGCACTGCGTCCACTGTCAAAGATAATCGACCACGACTCCAATATCATCAATCCAGGAGCTGGGAACACGCTGAGGCAAAATACGGGATGAACAGCACAAAGTGGCCATTTTCGCCCTGCCAAACTCTCGCTGTCAGTATTGTTCTCTGTTATGCAACGTTGAAAACAACCATACCTTCTCTATTCCATACTCCAAAATCGGTTGATGTTCAGCCAGTTCTGATGATAGACTGCTACATAAAGCCTCTGCTGTCTTCGCAGCTAAATCCCGTTGACTGCAGGCTTCATAACGTAGACAGAATGTTCTAGATGCTCTCACCATCAACTTCAAGACCACCGGCAGAGTTTTGAGAACGAAGATCTCCAGTCCTCGAAGGCAAGCTGCGAGTTCCTTGCCCAGTCCTCCTCGTCCAACTTGGAGATTACGATTCGCTTTGCCCGAAAATGTGTTAAGTCATATTCTTTTTGACCGTGGAAAGCAGTTGCCATAATGGGTTCGATTTTGGAATCTGCCTCCACGATCTCGACTCCGAGATCCAGAGGATAGCGAGGGGTTTGTTTGGCGCTGTCACTCGTTTGGAGGGTACGTGGATTGAATGTCTGCGAAAACGTTTGACGCCTATATTGCCTGTAAGTGGTGTTGGGGAATATGAGTATTCGTAAAGTATTTGTGCACTTGCAAGTCGTGGAATATCCTCATCTGAAAATCCCCATCTGCTCAGGACATGTGGCCCATTACTTCTGCCGAAATCTCGTTTTTCTTGAAAGTGAAGACTGATATGAAGAAGAACAAAATTGAGAATCCTACCTGCAATTGGGCATCTGGGACTATAGTATGGCTAAGAACGCTCTGCTGTTTGATGTGTTTGTGCGATTGTTAATTGGGAAGCTAGAGGTATGAAGAGGACGACTGAGTACGAATTGAGTACCAATTAGCAGATTCCCCGAAGGACAGGTCAATGGCCTTACATCTGATGTCTTCTGATCTGGGTTGCATGATATGGGTGCAATTGTTCGTGATCAACAAAATCTGAACCCACGTACTTAAGTAGCATTGTCCAATTTAGGACATCTTGATGAACACACAAAACTAAAATGGGCTTAGGCATAGTATTCCCTGGTAACGAAATCGAAAACGTAGAGATAAAAACCTTGGCGCATTGAACTTGAAAGTAACCATGGGAATGTGCATGATGTGTACATAAATCTGGCATTGTTGCCCCTAGGCTCACAGCAATGGGCATTCTGGACCACAATAGGCAGATAATATGCACGGGCACGCAAGGAGAGTTCTTGAACTCAACTATGACACCTACTCAGGAATAGAATGGAGATGTAGCCATGACTGCCCCTCTTTCGACCAGACATAAGCTTACAATAAATACCTAGGTAGTATTTGTTCAGTGACTTGAACTCTCTTGTGCAGTACTGCACAAAAAGGTGTCGCTTATCAAGAGAAAATAAGTGAACATCTGGTGAAGACACCATCTCCAACTAAGATTGGTACTAATGATAGCTGTTTTTCTGCCTCAAGTGTTGCATTGACAATCAGCCAAAAGCAAAAGCAAAAGCCTGCAGCTTCCTCTGGGCAAGCTCGGACCTTCCACGTGATGCCAAGCCAAGCACTAGTCCCCGCAGCCATTTCGTACACCGACCACACGAAGCGGCTCCAATCCTCTGCCAACGACGACCTCATTCACCTCAGTGAAGCAAGTATTACACACTTCATCTTCTTATCGCAAGTGGGGAGCAACGCGATTGCTTTCACCTGCGCCCAAGAACTCCTGCGCATCATCAGTTGCAGACTGAATCGGTATCCATTATCCTCAACTCAGCCAGCGAGCCGACTCGTTGCTTTATCGACCGAACAAGATGCTCCAAGGGGCACACGTTTTCTCTCACCAGCAGCAATTCAATCCTCACGGCGAGCCAGCATGGATGCATCAGCAAAGTCACCATCAACATGCCCAGCAAGCTGCCGCCGCCGCTGCGTCTGCCGCTCAGCAGCAGCATTATAACCGCATTGCTGCCAACCACAATTCTAACGCTCCCTCGATTGTGTCAAATCATGGTCAGGATGCTCTTATGGAGAACGTATCCGAGGACAATAGGAAGACACTTGTCTGGATCTCGGAGTTGCTTAGAGAAGAGACAAGGGAGTCGGCTCTTTTGGAGCTCAGCAAGAAACGCGAACAAGTCCCTGAGCTGGCTTTGATCCTGTGGCACTCATTCGGTATGTTGAACGATAACATCAGGCTTAATGGTCAATAACCTCATCTGTTACAGGTGTCATGACATCTCTTCTCCAAGAGATCATCTCTGTCTACACTCTCCTCAACCCGTCTCAACTCACGGCAGCAGCTTCTAACCGTGTCTGCAATGCGCTGGCACTTCTGCAGTGCGTTGCATCTCATAACGAGACTCGGGCACTCTTTCTGCACGGTACGCATATCCCTGTGCTTGTAGAGAAGCATGAAGCTGATGACAGTAGCGCACATCCCTCTCTTCCTCTATCCGTTCCTCAATACTACATCCAAGTCCAGACCTTTCGAATATCTGCGACTGACATCCCTTGGGGTTATTGGTGCTTTGGTCAAGAATGATTCATCCGATGTTATCAATTTCCTATTGACTACGGAGATTATTCCCTTATGCCTTCGTATAATGGAGACAGGATCCGAGCTCAGCAAGACAGTTGCCATTTTCATCGTTCAGAAGATTCTCCTCGATGACCATGGGTTGAATTATATATGCGCCACCTATGAGCGATTCTATGCTGTTGGGACAGTTCTCAGTAACATGGTCACCCAACTTGTGGAACAACAAACTGCGAGATTACTCAAGCACGTCGTACGCTGCTTCCTTCGGTAAGAAAGTTGCCTTTCATTGTTTTCATCTAAACTAACGGTGCCTTTAGTCTCAGCGACAATGCCCGGGCTCGCGAAGCTCTACGCCAATGTCTTCCTGAGCCACTGCGGGATGCGACCTTCTCCTCGGTACTTCGAGACGATGCAGCCACCAAGCGATGCCTTGCCCAACTCCTGATCAATCTATCGGACAATGTGGTTGATTCTCAATCTCAGCATCAACAGAATCTCTAAACGGAGAGTATTCTTCCACTGTACCATTACATACCGATTACATGCTCTCACGAATCAAACACGCGGGGGATTTTTTATCTTCGGTTTCCATAGACGCAAAGATACCCGGTCTCTATTTCGGAAAAATATTGCCAGACTAGAACACTGGCTACACAACGGTTTCCTTAAAAGCATTGCGGAGGATTGTGATTTGGCTTGGGGGTGTTCAGAGCGTTTGATCTTGCTTTCCATGGCTGGGTTTTGCTCATGTGGCTCTTGGTCTGGAGTGGACTTTTGGTCTTATTCTTTGTGACTACCTTATTTATTTGTCCATTTACCTGGTGTCTTGGTATTGGTCTGTTGCATTATGGATGGCGTTACATCGGTGCTGATACTGGAGCTTGTACAATAGCATTAGGAGGCTGTTGAGGAATAGGATGAGAGAGCTTATATTTCATTTCGTGACATTAGAACTATTTTCCACTTGTGCCCTCATACCAATCCCATACAGATATCCCGAGGGCTTTGAGCCTACCTAGGTAGACGCTTTTGACGGGTCATGACGCAAGGCTCTCGGGATGCAAAGCACCTCATCTTGTCACAAGGCTGTGCTTTGGAAGCAGTAGGCTATTATCGGCCAAGTACCAGGAGGTTTCGGCGTTATGATCCCTGGACACCAGACCGCGACTAGGACTAGATCATGTACCCCATACAATATGGCCATTTCTGTATAATGCAACGGGGACACATCGGCGTTGCTTTTCTACTTGTAGAAAACGCAGACTTATATAATAGCGCATAAGTCAAAGAGAAAAACCACTCATGGCAGAGATCTTAATGTGAACATGCGTCATTCAACTTGTCGAAGGATGAATAACAATCAGATCCCGGATGTGCGCATGCGGCTTATTCATCACCTTCACCCGCCAATGTCCGCCAAATCCCTGAAAGTCCGCAAATTGAGCAAGGATTCCATTGGTCCCCTCAAGCTTCTGACTTGCATGCTCCTTTCTGCTTGCCGCAACGACATTTCTGATCAGTAATATTGCCAAAATAACCTCGCTCCGAGGAATTCCAGAACCAAAAGAACCAAGTCGGTACTGATGTACAAACTGGAGCCGCTCCGTCAAATCCTCGGGTAGGCGAACCTCCACGGCTTACCAATATTTGCGTGCGAAAGTCATTGCCCATGCTGCGGTGAGACTAACGTGGGCTTGTTCCAAGATCTATAAGGGAGCTGGGCTCACCGGGCGAGCAAAGAAAAATGGAGTCAGGATTTGTTCTCCCACAAGATGATTATGCTCTCTCCATCTTGACCCAGGCGGCAATGTCCCAAAACACGAACACATCCAATCAGCATTCTAGCTACCCGCGTGGAACTAACAACCTTAGTCTGCAAAGAGCCGAAGGTTCGTCAACGTCGATCAGTAATCAGAGCAACGACATCCTTCGGACTCCTCAATCCCAAAGCCCTTTATTGAACAGCTTTGTACCCTCGTTACGCAGCATGGAGACCCTCTCTTTCAATCCAGGGCGGATGAGACAGCATCCATACATGAACGGCAGCTTTTCCGAAGTCAACTCCCATATTCCACAGAGTTTCGCCAACAATTTGGGCATTCTGAATGCGGAGAGTTTCGACGATGCGTATTCGAGAAGCAGGGGCAATAGGACTTCACATGACCGTGTGCTTCCATTTGGTGTTGAGGATAATCCGGAGCTGAGATTGGACTTGGACATGAAGACCAACAACAGTGACGAGTATGAGAAAGGGACAAAAAAGCGAAAGAAGCACAAGATTGATACTCAGCACGACGATGAAGAGGAAGAGGCGAGAAAGAAAGCTAGAGGAAGGCCTCGAGTTGATACCAAGGATGAGACTGCTGCGGACGTGAGTTTTCCCACTGCTGTTTTATCTGAAGCTTTCTTATCGTTTGGTTTAATGGCACCTCTGAATATCATTTTTGCTTTTTTTTCTCGAAAGATTTTGAAATGCCTCATCTCTAACATCACTGTATCGTCACGTGAAACAATCTGGTTCAACATCTAACCGTATACAGAGGAGAAGGACTCAGATTCGTATGGCTCAGCGGGCTTATCGCCATCGAAAAGAAACCACCATCACCTCTTTGGAAAAACAAGTCCAAGATTTAAGGGGCACCAATGAAGAGATGAGCAACATCTTCATTAGCCTCTACGACTACGCCGTGGGGCAAGGACTGCTTCAACGAGAGCCGGAGTTCGGTCAGCAACTTCAATCGACCACTGAAAGGTTCCTCGCTTTAGCCAAGTCAACAGCACAGGAGGAAGGAAGTCATGATGAGCAACCCGAAGAAACTAAACAGGTGGAGTCTGAATCTGCGCGAAGAACGAAAGCCACACGAGCATCATCCAAGAAAGCTCAGGAACAGAGTCCTAAAACTTCCGACGCACCAGTCCATCCGTATGGAGGCTACATTAGCAGGTTGTCGCCTTCGGACAGTCCAGTTGAAGAGATACCACTGGATTCTCAACTACAGACGTACGAGCATCGACCACGTCCAACAGAACTTCAAGTTATCACTCGGCCAACCGAAGACAATGCAAGCTTTCCCTTCGACCTGATGGATCTCCAACAATACCGAGTCGATATTCCGCCTATGGAAGACTACTCCCAGAACTTTTTCTCACAAACTCAGCTGCCACTGCCTACAACGCACTCTTACGCAGAATTCTCGTTTGCTCGTCGGATACAAAGAGCCTCAGTCGAAAGAGCTTATAAGCTTATTACTGCAGAGAACCCGCCCGAAGTACGTTTCAAGGAAGTGTTCGGTCTCACATTAAGGTACGAGACTAAAGAAAATGTTATTGCGCGCTTGAAGAAGTTCTTGCGAGCTACCGACAAGGAGACACTTCATGAATGGCGTAATCCTTTTGTCCATATTGGTGGATCAGGCACTTTTTATCCCAACCACGACAGCGAGATTGAAACAGATTTGATGCCCAAATTCCGGACTGGCTATTCTATGGGGCCATTCAACCCGACCGTCGGCCAAGCACAAGAACTTATGCTAGAGGATATGAAGTGCACTCTGCCAGGTTTTGATGGAGAATTCTTCGATGCGAACGATGTTGAAGGGTATCTCCGTGGCCGTGGCCTCGAGATTCCTCCATCTGCGGATTATGTCACCGCTGAGCTCGACGCATCCATCTTAGATGAAGCTATATCTCCTAGAAGTGACAGTGTCGACACACTCCCAACGATTCCATCTCCTAAAACGCCGAAAAGTCCTTTGGACAGATCGCTGGTAAACAACGGTCTGGGCCAGCGCTATGATTACAATAAACCCAACATCAATGGGTTTCCTTTCCCGATAACCCTATGGTCTATGGACGCATCCCCAAAAGACACTAGCAACATTGATCCGATCTTCAACACACTTCCCAGTCAAAGCACATCGAATCGAGCAGCTGAGAGCGTGCGGTCGTTCACAAACAAACGTTTGGTGACGATCAACGTCAATGTTCTGGTGGATGGTACGTTCATGACTTCTTTAGTGCTGCAGCCGTACTAACAAACACGAATAGGAATATTGAGTCGTGCAGTCTGCTTAGGTAGAGGTGCTGGTTTCAGACTCTCTGACGTAAATGCAGCTATCGTGGCAGCTATCAAAGCTGGGTTCTAGTGGTCCCCTTGCCCCGATTCTGGTCAAGCTCCCGCAAACTTGCGGGAACTATAGAGTTGTGATTTGGACTATGGTGCATCACGCCCAGACTTGCCACACAAATTGTCTTGACTTGAGAACTTCAAAATTCTGGCAATATAATCTCTTCACTAAAAAGTTCTTGCTTCGGTTCGACTTCAAAGGACACAACAAGAGAACAACGGGCTCGAGATCACAAAATCCGTGAATCCTTCGACCTGGATCCGGAAGTACCATGGCAAACATGAAGCCAATATATACAGAGCCCACCAAAACCACCAACTTGGTCGATCGCATTGCTCAGTCTTCGGCAGGCCTCAAATTGAAGACTGAACCACCGGCAACAAGTGCTCCAGAAGATCTCGCTAATGCGCAAGCGAAGGAGCAACACAAGAACATCGACGGAACTCCTGAGAATTGGCGCTTCACGGTGCCAGTGCTTTTCCGAAGAACGCATTCTTCGTCCAAGATTCTAAAGCAACCACAAACAGACTCCGGAGCAAGCTTAGAGCAGAACGTCAACCTTCCTGTCAATCAATTCCGAGGGAGCAGCTTGCAAAGAGCCCACAGCAAATTTTCGTCATTCACGCGGAGGATATCAAAGCGTCTGCGTTCTTTGAGTCCTAGGTCTCCTCTGTGGAAGTCACCAGATGAGAAAGTATCAACTCTAGATCGTCCTTCTGAGTGGCCTGATATGACCGAACTGGACTATTTGAGACGGAAAAACCGTAAGTCTACCGTGCTTTGATTGTTCCATTGCAGGTCTAACTTTCTCAAGTGGCTGAAGCACGTCGTGCAGAGGTCTACGCTGAGGGTGTTCTCGAGTTAGAGTCTGCTGCTACAAATAGTGGTCCACCACGGGCTCATCACGAGCGTGTACAATCAGCCCCAGCCATTGTCCAGCAGCATTCGAATTCTTCCAAGCCGCTTAGCTCCGGCATGCGAATCCGCTCTTTCGAGGCCCTGTCCTTCCTCCCAAGATCGCCTGAAGACTATTCTGAGTACGATTTTCCAGATGTGGAATATCTCATTCGATTGGATCAACCGGAGAAGTTGATGTATGCCCTGAATGAGATCATTGATCATGAAGAGAAGTGCAATCCAATGAGCGGACTTTGCGATCACAAGTATAAGTCCCGCTCCGAGGAAATCAGATATGTGGAACTCGATGACGAGCACGAGGACGGACAATGGTTCCCAACCATCGAGGAGGCTTGGGCAACATGTCGCCCTAAGGCGGAAGAGGAGGAGGATTCTCTAAAGTAGTGAGGAGATTTCAATGCATCGCTTGGCGTTATGGCAGGGTCGGACCAAGGAAAGTGCATTGGGAAGGCGTTAAGTAGGATAAAAATAACATACAATAAGACTCCTGAGACTGATTCTATATCTCCCAAATTCGAGGATACTCATAAGAAATTATTCTGTGACTTTGTGACCTATTTTATTGAACTTCTGAATAACCCAAGAAAAATAGAACATTTGGGAATTGATCTCAAGAAGCTTCAATGAGCTAGAAACTTGAATGTCCCTGGGTTCTTGACAACATCTCCTCGTGATAAGTGCGATCAATGCCAGACTCGAAATTTTCTTTACAATCTTAATATCTATGAAATCTCAAGTGTAGTTCCTCCATCCTTTTGTGGAAGTTATTCAGAGTTTCAGCACGTGACACCGGATTATCTCCAAAAATTTGAAGGTTCATCGAGCTCTCTACGATCTCGATGATCGACCGACAAATGAATGCCAGCCCCAGGCCAATTCCTCCCGCGTAAATCAAGCGCTCACCGTATAGCTTGTAAGCTCTTGCCTTCCTATTGTCCCACCATTCGAGGATCTTTCTAACAATCTGCAGGCATAGCGCTCTACCGCGCTCTTCTCAAGCAATGTCCACACATACCTCTACCTGATGACGTGCCTTTACGAGGGAACACGAACCCAATAACACACTTCATCCAGAAGGCGTTCAGGAAGAATGTGTATCACACGAGTCCGAAACTGGTTGTGACAGCACTGGAAACAGGTTATGCCGTTCGTCTGCCATTTTCTTCTTCACTACCATTCTCCGTTGTATAGCTACGTATTAACTCTATACACAATAGGCTTGTTCCCTCCTCCACCATGCCGCGACCTCATCTCCCGAGTCTCCAAATCCTTCCCTCCTCCAAGTCCATGACCTCCTCCGAGCTCAATCTAATTCTTACGTCGCTTCTAAACTCGCATGTCCACCTAAACCACCACCCGGTCGCCCAGCTAGCAAAGCCTACCCCGGCGCCCCCAAAGCTGTCGACATTCGACCTCTCCCCAAAGAGAAATTAACTGGCAGAAGACATGTCCCAAAATTAGTAGCAGTCCATGGCATATTCCCCTTCTTGCGCTTCAGAAAACCACAATCTGCATATCTGAGCCGAGTCTTGACGCAGAAAGTGAAGAGGAAGCTAAGGAGGTTTGAAAGGCTTGCTGAGATGGAGGGGGCGAAGGAGATGGGTGAGTGGGAAGATGTTTGGGAAGACACTGTCAGCAGTGTTGGTCATTTAAAGAACGAGTCGAGGAGAGACTCGGAGTGGGAGGATGGGGAGAAGGGTGTGGAGAAAGGGGACTATAAGCCTTTCAAGCTGGATTCACAGTCTTGGGGTGAAGCGCCACATTATGCGAGGCTGGCTACGTGGAGTGCGCTTGCGAAGGAGGGAGCAAGGGCTAGACGGTTGGGGAGTAAGATGCTGGAGATAATTGATCAAGAACAAAAGTTGTGGGAGGAGGAGAGGAGAGAGAGAAGGCATTTAAAGAATCTGGAGAGGAAAAGAAGGAAGCTGGAGAGTCTTGCCCAAGAGGGAAAGAGCAAGAACAGCTCGTTCTAACTCTCCTTGTTGAATATAGTGGTATAGCAAGCTGTAAAAACACGTTGGTTAGTCACTGTATATTCATAAGACGCAAAATGGGTAATCATAGAATTCTCGTTTGTGCATCACTCATTTAAAGACAAGAGGAACCTATTCGCCGCGCTGATGCATCCGAATCCCTAAAGAAACCCAGCCGTGCTCCTCTGCTCTTGTCTTAGCTCATCCATTCTTGTTCTGGTATCCCATGATTCCCAGTCCATATTCCCATTTCCCTAGACCCAGATATAGTGTATAGTGCCATCGTCTGAACGTCTCTAATGTCCATGCTCAGTACCAACTCGGAAGAATCTGTAGAGACGACTTCGAGTCGAGAAATCTAAGAGTAGGTGGAGCCTTCTGGTGGCTGGGGGAGCTTCTTGTTTGCTGGGTGAGCCATGAATCTGATGAAATTAGCCTTATATCGCAAAATGTACAAGTGTGTAGTAAATGACCGACCTTCTAAGCTCAATCAACACGGTCTCCATAGTCATATCACGAGTCCAGTTGGCAAGGCAGGGTAGCTTGGTAGGGTCGACCTAGGAGGTGTGTCAGCCTTGCTCTAAACGTTCTCTTCTGCAGAGGCTGTAAATGCAGAGAAGAGCATGTATGTGAAGAGTTCTGTGCCAAATCGACTTACAACACCATTTCTCGGGCTGACGCAAGGGAGGTTGACTTCACTGATGAACTGAATTGTGGGCGGCTTGTCGGGGTATTGATCACCGCAGTGCATCTTGAGGGAGTAGATTCGGTTCTCATGGACGCTCTGAATACAAACACGTCAGTCTACATACCTATATGAACATTGCAGGAGGATTGTGCACAACGCAAACATACATGTGGGGGACCGAGAATGGTGCCGTTCCAGTTTGACATCAACAGGTCATCTCCTTCTGCGAGTCCATAGGAACATGCCTCTGAAGCAATTCATTGGTCAGTACCTTTGCGATGATTAGTTCAGGGCAGCTTCATGCTCACCAGCTCCAAGTCCTTTCTCTCCCTTCTCCAACTCCTCAAGCAGCCTGAAGTTTCTTGGGACTTTAGCTCCCATATTTCCGGTCGGGGTTGGTTCTTAAGTGGTTTTTTCTTTTGATGATGCTGTTAAAAGCTCAAAATCTTTGTCAATAAATACCAGAGACAGGTGTGGTATGACTTCCTAGTGTTCAACGGTGAATGGCGGTAACCTTCCAAACGCGACATTCATGGTATGGCGGGGTCTAGTTCTAAGGACGGTCTGACACGGGTAAACTTCGGCATGCCATTCGACACCTCCTCAAGGCCCAGCCGCTCATCCTCCACAATTACCTTCTGACTTACCAGGAACGATGGAGATATCGAATCAAAAACGATAACATGACGGCTCAGATACTGGCAACGGAGCTGGGGAACTTGATATCTGAAAGCAAGAGAAAGCACACAGAACTGCGAAATGTGAGTTACGTGTTGACATCTCCATCCTATGCGCTCCAGGCTGAGATCACAAGGCTGCAGAAAAGTCACTGGAAGAGCTGAAGAGCCTACGATCAACATCTGAAGCTCAAATAGCTGCAGGTAGATGTGCTTTTGGTTGTACACAAGAACAGTTTCTTACAAGACTAGATCTCACCCAGCGGCCAAACTTCATTACTCCCTTCCTTATTGCTTGTAGCAGTAAGAATGCCAAGTATACTGGGATCGCTATCGTATGCCTTCAACGATTAGTCGTATCACGTGCCCTTCCAAAGTCGAGGTTGAGAGAAGTCCTCGAAGCTTTCCGTGAAGGTACATCCGCGGGCCTTGATGTCCAGCTTAAGATCCTTCAGGCGCTACCGTCACTGCTTCAGAATTATGCCGACGATCTCAAAGGCGAGCTTCTTGCCACCTCATTGAATATATGCACTATTTTACAAGCCAGCAAAAATGGCATAGTCAATAACACGGCAGCGGCAACATTGCAGCAATTGGTGGTGTCAGTTTTTGATAAAGTGGTAGTGGAAGACAGTCAGTCCTTGTCCAGGAAAGCTCTATCTCTAGAATGCTAAGCAGAGGCAGAAATCGCTCTAGAGGTTCCAACAATTGGCGAAGCTCCCATCGAGGATGGAACAATTCAACTTCGAGCAGCCGCTCTGGATGCGTACAGGGTCTTCAATGATCTTTGTCTTCTTACCGAGAATCAGAAGCCCAAGTTCCTCAAGTCTACTGGACTCCCGCAAACATTTGGACTGGAACTGATCGAGTCCGTATTGACGAATCATGCCCAGATCTTCTTGAACCATCCAGAACAAGCCAATATCCTCCGTACTAGGGTCATGCCATTCATCATCAGCGCTCTTTCGGAAAAGCTCAATTTTGCAGCAACTGTCAGAATTGCTAGAGTGCTTTACACTTTGATCAGAAACCACTTGAGTATCCTCATAAGTGAGGGCGAGATGGCATTGAGTTTATTGACACACATGCTTGATCAAGACACTGCTCTGTGGAAAAGATCTTTGTGCATGGAGGCATTGCGAGGAATATTTGCCGATGCCTCGCTCATCCGAAGAATATATGCAATGTATGATGCTCAAGATGGCAGAAAAGCAATTTTGCGAGATTTGGTTGCTGCATTCGTCAGACTAAGTACCGAAAAGCCATCGGCCATTGGCCTAGGATCACAGTCTACGATACCAGTTGCGAACTCGAACGGAGGATCTGGTTCTGATCAAGCCATGCTTGAAGCGAGCGGAGTGCCTGGAATCATAAGTAGCTCTGTAGGTTCTAGTGAACCAGCGGCGGGCATCAGTACACAATGGAGCACAATGCGAGTCCCTTGTATTGATCAATTAGACAAGACCGATCCTCCGTCCATACCAGAGTCGTACATTTACAGTCTTGCACTAGCCTGTGTCAGCGGATTTTCTGAGGGACTTGCAAAGTTCATTCTTCCTCTGACTGTGCCAGACCGGCCAAGGAAGAAGGGCCGCCAAAGTGAGATGGACTCTAAAGATTCCGATTCAACGCCATCAACACCAGACCCGAGACCCAAAATGGAGCGACGTACTTCTATCAAGAAGAATCCCATGCCAGTCAACCCTTTGAACCTCGAGAATCATGCTCTCTTCAACGAAATTAAGATCTGCGCGGGCATTGTCGATGATTGTTGGCCTGCAATCCTTGCAACCTGTTCCACATTCTTGAACGCAGCTCTGGATCAAGATTTCTATCATGGGCTTGTCAGATCATTCCAAAAATTTACCCATGTAGCTGGACTTTTGCGCCTTTCCACCCCTCGAGATGCTTTCCTGACTACCCTTGGCAAAGCTGCAGTCCCACCCAACCTTTTGACTGCACCGCCACCTGGATCTGCTCCACCGGCTACACCAACATCTGAGAGACAGACTATGTTTCAGAATGCCAAAGGTCTTCTGAGCGTGGATAGTTTGGTTGGTACATTCCCTTCTGAACGAGGTCGGCAGATGTCAATGGATGCGGGAATTTCCAACCTCAATACCAGAAATCTGCTGTGCCTCCGTGCCCTCTTGAATCTGGGCATTGCTCTCGGGCCAACCCTTGATACCGCTTGGGGAATTATTCTAGGAACTCTTCAGCAAGCCGACTTAGTACTCTTCTCCAGTACCAAAACCAGGACTCCGACCACGCCACAAAAGGGGGATAATCAATCCAATGATAACAATCCACTTCTTGCCAATTTCGGCACTGAGATCAAGGCCGTTGAGACTGCTGCTGCTCGCCTGCTTGAAAGCACAATTGATTTTCCTAACGAGCCATTTGTGCAAGTCATTAAAGCACTTTGCTCCTTATTTGTCAGAGAAGAGCCACCTAACCCTTCAGAAGGATCGGCCAGCTCTGGTCCACCGTCACCTGAGGCTCGACGTCCTTCATCGTCCCATCGCAGAATTACGAGTCTCAATACAGCGGCCACGACACACCAGGAAGATCTGTTCGCTTTAGCGAAGCTTGGTGAGGTTGCAAGTATCAATATTAGGCGCCTGATGACCTACGAGCCTGAAATTAGTGGCTACGCTCTCCTCAGCTCTGAACTGATATCTGCTGCTTGCTCCACTTTTACGCCAGCATCAGTAAGATTGAGAGCGGCGGAAATTCTAGTACGCCTCGTTATAGAAGCAGCCACAGCAACATTATCTTTATCCGAGGAGGTGAGGGGTGACATTCAGCTGCGTTTGCTTGAGACCCTCAGACGCACGATACAGCCACTCGAATCTCATGAACGAGAAACCTCGGTTGCGATTCATTCAACTGATATTGACGTCCACAAGATTATCCTTGAAGGTCTTAAGAGTATCCTTGAACAATGTGGGGAAACCTTTGTTAGTGGATGGGATATCGCTTTCAGCATAATTGATAGTGTCTTCGTCAAGAACGATGCTATCTACGAGGGCAGCATCAAAGGTTCGAAGACCTCGACTACACGTTCTGCTAGATTGATACGATCTGCTTTCAACTCTCTTCAGCTTATTTGCTCTGACTTTCTGTCTTCGCTGCCTAATTCCTGCTTCATAATTCTCGTTGATACCCTTTATAATTTCTGCACTCAAGATGATGATCTGAACATTTCTTTGACGGTATGACCCTCATTATCTTCCGAGTTTGACTTACTGATAATAATTTATAGACTGTGACATTCTTCTGGGTGCTATCTGATTTCATATCTGGTCGGACCAACTCGTTCTCGCTGAGTCCGGATCTCATCCAAGGCTCTGATGACGAGACGCTCGTCCAGATGGCATCAGGAGATGACCTTGCGGTATCAGACGCTGCACTGTGGATGCTCTTGTTACTTCGGCTAACAGCTGTAACAACAGACGAGCGATTGGAATTGAGGAATAGTGAGTTGTTTCTAATTACTATGTTTTAGCTCTAAGCTAACAACTACTAGGTGCCATACAGACTCTGTTGAGAATCTTCGATGCCTATGGTGATCAGCTTTCATCTGAAGCATGGTCCATGTGTCTGAAGTCTGTCATGTTCAGGTTATTGTCCTCCATCGAAGACCAACTTGAAGCAATCAATGACCCAGAATCCGCGATATCGGACAAAGACAAAAGCGGATGGAATGAAACCACTGTCGTGGTTCTTAATGGCATCACCAATCTGCTTGCTGACTACCTAGATGTGCTTTCTAGTCATCCTACATTTGGAGATTCTTGGCAGATACTACTTGATCACTTCAGGAGGTTGCTCGAATTTCAGATCCTCGACATCAATACAGCTGTCTTCAAGGCTCTGCGCCAGATACTTTCTCGAGGCAACCAGGAGACGGGCTCCCGGACAAACTTCGACCGATCTGCCCTTGACCTTGCCTGGGGTCTTTGGTCCCATTCAATGCCAGTGGTAAATTCTGATCCCTCCAACAAACGCTATGATAATCAGAACTACTTACTTGCCTACGTTTCTGCGCTTCAAGAGATATATCGCCTGATTTGTAATGACATCGACGATCAGCGTGTTCAAAGGATGATCACTCTGCTCCGTGAAGCTATTCAACGAGCAACAGCAGCAACATATTCTGCCGACATCGACTACCTTACCCCACTGCAGACGCAAGTGCTGGAGTCACTGAAGATAATTCGAACCGACATAAAAGGTATCCCAGCCGCACTGATTGGCCAGGTCGCAGAGTTTGTAGGGCTTGCTTTCGATTCGAGTGGTCCTTCAAGAGGCGAAGCCCAACGTCCAACGTATGTTGCGTTATCAAAGGCCTCCATGTCTCTCCTAGAGACCTTAGTAGTCGCACATTCTTCCGACCTCGATGTCTACAGCAGTGGCGCTTTGACAACGTCTCTTACAGCCCTCGCACAGCCAATCGTCCTGAAATACACCTTTCCTATTAGTACAAAGACTATTGCGCCCTGGCAACAAGCTACCATATCGGCCTTGGCCGTATTAAAAGCTATTCTGCCAACTGTGGTCAAGTCTAGCCTGAAAGAGGAAATACTGCGACCTATCTGGACATCAATTGTTACAATTGGAAATGGTATCACGAATGCAGACTGCTCAGATGTCCCCGAGACCACCAACGTCAAGGATGACCAAGAATTCGACATAAAATCTTTCCTTGCTTTGCGTGAGCTCATCACACCAGCTCTAGGCTCCTCAGTCATCCCAGACAAGACTCGTCGGACGTACACCGAGTCACTTTTCCGCATGTCGTCGATCCATGCGCCTCAACCACAAGAGTTACCACAGCCAGGACAAGAGCTCCTTGCATCACTCTACCAGCCTCGAAAAGGGCGGACTGTAGATCCTGCCCCTTCACCTCGGGCGAAAATGAGCTACGTATGCTTTGACGAGCTCGTTTCCCTTGTCGCCCTTCACGATGGATCGGATGCCCGAATCAAGCTTGCACAAGCAGCTGCACCATATCTAATTCTACGCGCTGGTCTTACTCTCCGAGCCTACATTTCTGATCAGCCACTAAGAGGTCGAATGCCACAGCCATTATCGCAGAGGAAAGAGCTGGTCTATATTCTGAAGGCTCTAGTGAAGTTGAGATGTGAACCAGATGCAATTCCGGATGCCCCAGGAATTGAGAGCGAAGGGGAAAAGCATTTGCATAGGTTGTACCCGTTGTTTGCAAAGGCTGTTCGAGCAGCTGCTATGGATCAGGAAGTTCTAGAATGGCTTGGGAAGGCGCTGGATGAAGTTGGGATGGATTTTGGAGTATGACCATCTGTATGGTACAATCAAAATGGAACTGAGTCACACATGCATTCAAATGTTTTGAGTTGCCTTCAATGTGATCTGGGGTTGTCATTTTTGCTTATTGTTTTTACCACTCCTTAGTGAGTTGGTACTATTGAGAAGTGATTCTCGTATTGTTAGTCCTACAAGTTGACATTCGCTTGACGCCTCGCCTCCATGACATAATAAAGGGGATTGTTGTTGTACATTAACTTGATTCATTTTATCCATCATCCTCACTTTTGCCTCGCATCCTCAAACGAGGCCAGCATACTTCTCTTCATCTCCTGGACGGGTGTCTCAGCATCGTTCAGAGAACTTTCACTGTGTTCACCGTCTTGATTATGCTTCTCCAAAGCCTTTGCAGCCATAGTCTTGGCTTGTGCATCTCCAACCTTGCCATACACTGCCATTGCGCTCGCAATCATGCTTCCAATATCGCCAACATTGCCAGGCACTACAACAGCTGTGCCCTCCTTGGCTAGCTTGGCAAAGGCATCAACGTATTTCTCGGCCACACTCAGACTGACGGCACCTTGAGCTGCCTCCTTTCCTTGTGAGATAACCTTAGCAACCGCATCGATACCGGCAGCTGTAGCCTTTGCCCTCAATAGAATTGCCTCGGCCTCACCAGTTGCCATGTTGATCTGCTGACTCCTCGTAGCCTCAGATGCAAGAATGACACTTTGCTTTCGGCCTTCAGCAACATTGATTGCGCTTTGTCGTTGACCTTCTGAATCCAGGATTTCGGCACGCTTACTACGTTCCGCTGTTACTTGTCGGTGCATAGCTGCCACAACTCCCTCTGGAGCATGGATATCTCGGATTTCGTAACGCAGGCAAACAACGCCCCATTCTTTAGCTGCATCGTTGATAGCTGTTGTGATATTGGTGTTCAGGGCCGCACGCTCTTTGAGGACGTGGTCAAGTGTTAGTTGACCGATTTCGGATCGCATAGTAGTTTGAGCGAGTTGTGAGATAGCATATTCGGCATCTTCTACTCCATAGCTGGCTTTATAGGCATCGAAAACTCTTGTATATAGCACACCTGAGTCTGTTAGCTCCGAAGGTAAGATAGTTTTGACAGGAAACTGTACCATCAAGCTCTAGAGTAACATTGTCTGCTGTAATAGCACTTTGAGAAGGTATCTCAATGGCAGCCTCCTTCAAGCTTTTGACATAGGCTATCCTGTCCAAGAATGGCACAAGAATTGCTAAACCTGGTTCCAGAATTCTGTTGAACTTCCCCATGCGCTCCACGATCCATGCTGTTTGTTGTGGCACAAATCTAATTATGGTATTCGCTGGCAATCGTGGTCGTTGGAAGTAAGAGGGAGGAATATTCGAGTTGTTGACACCAAGGAGGCCACTGTTATTGCCTTGTGCTCTCGGTCTGGGGGTAACGGAGAGTTGTCTTCGCTGCTGCTGAGCTTGGAGGACGGGAACGGAAGCAGCTCGTGTGAGGGTGAGAGCTCGGCCTGACAGGACCGCGGGAATGGCTGTTGTAATGCTCTTGCCGAGCATTGGCCCGTTCAATGCCATTCGTGAAGCCACCTCCAGCGACATATCTGCGTTGTGATTGAATTTTGAGGTTGGAGGCAAATAGCTGTCGTGATAGTCTCTGCCTTGTCAGCGGACTGCCTCGAGGCTGGATTTTTAGGCGAGTCAACGAGGCTTAATTCCGCCTTCCCAACCCAGAACATTTCCCATATTCACAACAAAAGCTGCGCAACATTGCCATATCTGATATTAAGAGGTTGAAATAAGGTGATTCTCACAACCACGATATTGTGAACGCGCTGCAGACGTCTGATTCGAATAGAATTTCCCGTCGTCAAGGCACCGCAAAGATGTCTGAATACTGGAAGTCAACTGTAAGTACTGCTTCAACTCCTGCCTTGCTATTGCTAATTTGATACAGCCAAAATACTGGTGCAAGCATTGCAAAACCTACATACGGGATACAAAGCTGGAGAAGACAAATCACGAGGCTACACCAAAGCATCAAGGCAACTTAAAACGCTTTCTACGAGATCTACATCGAGGACACGAGAAAGATGAGAAAGACAAGGAGCGGGCAAAAGCAGAAGTTGCGCGCCTCAATGGCATGGCAACAAGCTCAGAAAGTGCAAGCACATCTAGTTCTGGGTTCGGACGAGGGCCAACACCGTCAATACCAAAACCGCAAGCCACAGCAGCAGACAGGAAAAGACAGTTAGCACAGCTTGCGGAGCTGGGTGTGAGTGTGCCGGATGAATTCAGACCGGACATGGCGATGGCAGGTGAATGGACTGTTACTTCACAACGCATAATAGGCGACGATGATGGGGAGAAGAAGCCGGAGGCATTAGCTCTTGGAGTACGCAAGAGACAAGTCGAAGAAGAAGAGGAAGACGCGGTCGAAGCGAAGAGGACAAAATGGGGCAAAGCCCATCGGACACATCCAGTTGAGGAAGACGAAACAGATCTTGATGCCCTGCTGAGCAATGTCACACGCAAGGGTAAAGAGCCAGCCGCAAAGGTTGAAATGGACGCAGAGGTCAAGCAAGAAGTAAAGTCCGAAATGGAGAATGGAGAATTACCAAGCAATAATAATATTGGACCTAGTGCTGAGGCACAGCAGCCGGCCGGGATTAAGAAGGAAGCATCACCAGGAGATAGTGTCTCAGCTGCCATACCCCCGGTTGTGAAGCAGGAAGGAGAAGAGCCAGTCCCAACAGGTATTGTCTTCAAAAAGAGACAAGCTAAGAATATTCGACGGAAATGAAAGAAATTTGTAAGCATCATTTATGATTATCCCGAAAGCTTTGGCCAGCTCAGTGAATGTCCTAGGATTTCGGGAACAATGTGACCAGTGAATAGTTTCAAAGATGTTACGAAGTCTACCACTGGCAGGTAGACAGTGTCTAGGGAATTTACAGTACAGTACATGCGTTTTATACTCTGCGCTAGGTTTGAGGACTATTTAAATGTCTAGAACAACATTCAAACTTCTTACTCCAAATACGTTTTTCAAATTGAGCACTAAATGAACGGCTGAATTCCAGTTTAGGTGATCTACCTCAACGTACCTAAGATTGCTTTGTCGGCGCTATCAGATTCGTTATAAAACCGTACCTGACTAGACCGGCTAATCCACATACCCCGCTTGCGTCATTCGAGAAATTGTTTACTTCATTACAAATACATCTATTTACTATATATTTGCTTGCACTTTCATTCTCTTACCATGCCATGAAGACCTCAATTGTCCGAATTCGAAACTTTTCTCATTCGCCTAATCTTATTCGATTATCACGCCCAAGTGTTCAATACAGAACCTCGAGTTTGCTGCACCCTGTCAATCCATCAGTCTTTCCTAAGAAACACTTTTCACAAACACCTCTGTATAAAATGAAGGAAGCAATCGTCGATAAGGGACCTAAAGTCACTATTCACGATGTACCAATTCCCAAGCCCAATGCCGATCAGGTGTTGATCAAAGTCGTCTACTCTGGGAGTAACCCCAAGGATTGGAAAAGGCCACAAAATTTTGGAAAGCCGCATAATTCTGGCGACGATATCGCAGGCATTGTTGAAGAGGTTGGAGAGAATGTGGTTGAGTTCAAGAAGGGGGACAGAGTTGCTGCTTTTCACGAGATGATGACCCCGCATGGTTCTTTTGCTGAGTATGCTATTGCGTGGGCATATACCACTTTCCATCTACCGAAGAAGACTTCTTTCGAAGAGGTTAGTATATCCATTCTCGTGACGAAACTTGATTAACGATTTATAGGGAGCAACTATCCCACTTGCCGCTATGACGGCTGCGGTTGGTCTTTATGTGCGCCTAGGCCTTCCTGAACCTTGGAACGCTCCAACTACTCCTCTTCCACTGATCGTCTATGGTGCATCTGGCGCTGTGGTAAGTCATCGTCTCTTTCTTGGGACTTCCATGACTGACATCTGCCTAGGGTGCGTATGCTATCAAACTAGCTCAGGCTTCTAACATTCATCCTATCATCGCTATTGCTGGCAGAGGCCAACCATTTGTCGAGAAGCTCATTAGTCCAGAGAAAGGGGACACTATCGTTGACTATCGTAACGGAGACGATGCTGTCGTCTCCGGTATCAAAAATACACTGAAGAAGGCTGGAGTGGGCGAGGTTCACCATGCTTTCGACGCTGTCAGTGAGAAAGGAAGTTTCCAGAACATCAGCAAAGTTCTAGCGACCAAAGGGGGCAAGATCACTCTCGTGCTTCCTGGAGCCGATTACTCTGATATTCCAAAGTCCATCGAGCATAGCCTTACAATGGTTGGTAGTGTTCATTTGGATTCGTCGGAAGAAAAGACTAAAGCGGGAGTAAAGGTTGGAGCTGGTAGAGACTTCGGATTTGCTTGGTTTAGGCTCTTTTCGAAAGGTCTGCAGGAAGGATGGTTTACTGCTCATCCATATGAAGTTGTGCCTGGAGGTCTAAACGGAGTTGAGAAGGGGCTATCGAACTTGAAATCCGGAGCGAATTCCGCAACAAAGTATGTCTTCAAGATTGAAGACACGAAGTAGAGTAAGAGGCAGAAGAAAGGACTAGAGCCCTCAAGTAATGCCATGCTTTGTCCTTAACACAATATAATACCAACGAGACTAGTTCGAGTACATTCTCGACACAAATGGCCATAGAATGGTGCCCAGGTGTGACAACTCGTGGTGTCGTTCATTGAGGTTGTCCCTGTCTACCCCACACCATGTATTGTAAGCGGAGGCTCGGGCCCGGCATTTGGAAACCAATCGCCAAATTGGTCCTGAAATTATCGCGATACCGCGTTGCTGTCAAGCTACGACACAAATGAAAACTCAACCATGCGAATCAGCCTCCCTTCTCGTAAAAGATGAAATTCATAAAGCCGAGTTGGCTCGGTCACAAAGGTATGTTCCTTTCGAGTTCTGGGATTCTGCGAACAATACTGGATGTTGGCTCGATGAGCTTATGGGCTAACTGTTGCGCGCTCATGCGCCTGAACCTGCAGGAGAGCAGAAGGACTTCGAAGTCTACAGCTTACATGTATCGCCGGACGGAAGTAGACTGGCTACTGCTGCTGGAGGTAAGGGATCTGGGACGCGCAAAGTAGATGGATGATGCTGAATTGGCCTCTAGATGGATATGTTCGAATCTGGTCGACCGAAGCCATTCTCCGGGCAGGAGAGCCAGGCTATGTTAAACCGAAGCAGTTATGCCATATGAGCTATCATTCGGGGACGATTCATACAGTCAGATTCTCTCCTAATGGACGATGGCTGGCCTCCGGCGCGGACGACAAGATTATCTGCATCTACCACCTTGATACAAATCCACCTTCACATTCTGCATCTTTTGGTATGTAACACTCGGTATGATGAAAGTTGGTGAATGTTGGATATTGACAACAGACAGGAACAAATGAACCACCCCCAGCGGAGAACTGGAAGATTCTGAGGCGCTTGATTGGGCATGACAATGATGTACAAGATCTCGGCTGGTCCTACGATTCTTCAATACTGGTATCTGTCGGCTTGGACTCGAAAGTCGTCGTCTGGTCTGGACATACCTTTGAGAAGTTGAAAACTCTCTCAGTACATCAAAGTCATGTCAAAGGCATCACATTTGACCCTGCGAACAAATACTTTGCAACTGCGAGCGACGACCGAACCATCAAGCTTTGGCGCTTTACATCTCCTCCGCCGAACGCGACAGCATACGATTCGATCAATAACTTTGTCCTCGAGCATACAATCGTCGCCCCTTTCACATCTTCACCCCTCACGACATACTTTAGAAGATGTTCTTGGTCCCCGGACGGAAATCACATTGCAGCAGCGAATGCTGTCAACGGTCCTGTTAGCTCTGTTGCGATCATAAATCGAGGACAATGGGACAGCGACATCAACCTTATTGGACACGAGGGGCCGACCGAAGTCTGCACATTCTCTCCTAGACTGTTCAGCAAGCATGAGATGAGCGCGGAGACCACAGGAAACGACGGCTACAGTACCCAGGCTCTTGTAACTGTCATAGCTTGTGCCGGTCAGGATAAAACTCTTAGTATTTGGAATACTAGCTCTTCTCGGCCTCTAGTTGTCTGTCAGGATTTAGCTGGGAAGTCAATCTCGGATCTTGCTTGGACACCAGATGGCTTGACAATATTTGCGTCAAGTTTAGATGGAGGCATTATTGCTCTCGAATTCGAGAGGGGAGAACTTGGTTTCATTGCCCCTTGGTCCGAGAACGACAAAGCTTTACAAAAGTTTGGAGTGGGTCGAAGGGGTGTAGGTGTTGTGGAAGATGTCGCAGGATTACGATTAGAGGAAAGAAGTAAAGCTGGCGAGCTACGGGGAGCTGAAGGACGAATGGGCGCTCTCATGGGCGATGCGAGCTCGAATCCGGTTCCTGTCCCAGCTCTCAATGGCAATGGAGTCCCGACACCCATGGCTGGAGTGTCTCCGGCGCCCCAAGTTCCGACAATAGTAAATGGTAGCAGGCCAGCACAAGATTCTCCAGCCCCAGCGCCAGCACCTGCTGTAGATCCTAATGCTGCTAAGCTGGAAGCTATGAAGCAGCGAGTAACTATTACAAAGGAGGGTAAGAAGAGAGTTGCACCGTTACTTGTCTCCTCGTCTGGTACAGGTCTATCTTCATTACCTCAATCCCAGCTTATGGCTGCGAGCTCGAACAACATGCAAATTGACGCTCCACAATCAATACTCGACCTGTCTAAGCCATATGATGGTCTTCCTCGAGGAGGATTGGCAGCTATGTTACTCGGAAACAAACGGAAAGCAATCGTGCTTGATGGGGACGAGGAGGATGAGCATGTGAACAAGCGGCCTGCACTGAGTTCTGGGCCTGTTTCAATCATGGTCAACGGCGTGAACGGTGTAGAGCCTGCTACCGCAATTCCTCCACAAACTGGTGTCGTCCCAACTCCAGAATTCCTTCGACCGGCTGTGGTTAATCCTGTGCTGTCTGTCAGCCAGGTGCGATTAGCAGTTCCGAAAATCAGAACTCATATCCTCCGATCCTTAGATCGTGGGACACTTCCGCCCTCAAAGCCTGGTGCTAATGGCACAAACGGCACGGCAGCAATTGAAGAATCTTCCAAGACAGGCGAGGACGTAATTTTTGAAGCGCAAAATCCGCCAACCATCGCGAATCAAGTTAGAGATCCATCTCGTATCAGTGCTACGAAGAGAGGTACAACTCTGTGGCAAGACTATCTTCCCAGGGCAGTTATACTTGTTACTGGGAACAAGAACTTCTGGGCAGCGGCTTGTGAAGATGGAAGCATCTATACCTGGACTCCTGCTGGACGCCGAATTCTCAATGGCATGGTGTTAGAAGCCCAGCCAGTTATTGTTGAATGCAGAGGATGGTGGTTGCTCTGTATTACAGCGGTTGGAATGTGTTATGTCTGGAACATCAAATCGCTCTCGTCTCCTCATCCACCTGTGTCTCTAGCCCCTATTCTGGAGATTGCAATGCACTCGCTGGGAATGCATGTTACAAGTGCTCCAGGAGTCACGTCCGCCCACCTGAACTCCAATGGCCATATCGTTGTCACACTCAGCAACGGTGATGGATTCCTATACTCGCCAAACTTGTATTGCTGGCAACGTCTATCTGAAGCTTGGTGGGCTGTTGGCAGTCAGTATTGGAACTCAAACGATTCGTCTATCAGCAGTTTGCAATCAACTGGAGTTGGTCCAGATGCTACCCGTAACGGTGAGGTTAGTTCATCGAATATATCCGCCGGTATCATTCCACATCTTGAACGACATACCACGAATGAGGTCCTTCTAAAAGGAAGAGCATACACACTGCAACGCCTTGTCAAAACTCTTCTGTCGAAGGAGGGTTTCGAAAGCTTCGAATCTAGTGTCAGTATTGCTCATCTGGAAAATCGTGTGGCTGCAGCTCTGCAACTCGGTGCCAAGGAGGAATTCAGAATCTACTTATTCATGTACGCCAAGCGACTTGGTGCCGAGGGTCTCAAGAGCAAGGTGGAGGAGCTTCTGAAAAGTCTGATGGGAGGTATCCTACAGGACAACCAAGACACTTCGAACGAGAAGGGCAAAGGGTGGATGAGCGAGGATGATGAAATATGTGGCTGGGACAGGAAGGACCTTCTTAGGGAGGTTGTACTAATACTTGGTGAGTTTGTTGTTACCGTCTCTCGTGTCTGCGTTCACTAATTCGATATCAGGAAAATTCCGTGAACTCCAAAGAGTAACCATACAGTACGCAAGGGTTCTTGGCATGGACGAGGAAGAAAACATGGAATAAAAGCGATCTTCATGAGCTTTTGCTGCTCTCATATGCGACGGAGTTTAGGCTAGCATTTGAGGCGTGATTGATGGATGGGGTACCTGATTTATATGATCAGTGTAGTTGTAGGCTGTAAAATGGCTATGTAATACTTCATACTATCATGGCTTGCAAGGATTTTCAGTAGCTCTTGCCATTGCAGTTTAGGATCAGTGTATGCCTTTTGGTGGCAAGTGCCTTTTGTACCTAGTCATACTTCCTTATTGAGAAGGGCATTGACATGTTCCTTCCAATATCTCTTGTATTAATTGCGGACAAAGCGTCAACATTGCCATCAATTGAGATGAACACTCCCACGATGCCTCCTCGAGGACTTCGATCCTTTGGCAATCGTGCACTGCCTTATACGCCCATCAGGTCTGCATCGTCGACTAGCAACTGGTCTTTCCGATCAGCACCCTCTTCAAGTAGCACCGATTCAACAACTTTCTGGCGCACACCTCCGAAGAAATGGAAACGCTCCTTGTCATGGATCAGAGAGATACCAACGCCAAATATAACCTTGATCGGACAGCAGTAAGCCAAGTTTCAACTGTAGCTCGAATAGAGAACTAACGAGAATTTTCATGAATAGCATTTCCTCTCGGCAGAAAATACTCTTCATTCTCCTCGGTCTTTTCACGTTCCTTCTGTTACTTCCAATCACTCATCGACATGTCACGCCTATCACAGTCTACGATCTGACAAAATATCAACCTCCAAGTGCTGCCTTGCCGGACACGGACAAGAAACGACCCGATCCTATAAAATGGCTGGAGGAGAACTCGAATAACAGACACTCTGTGCTTGACAGTTATCTATCACGGTTTGGAATGTCAGGTCATGGAAAACCTCGAGCAGCATTGATCAGTTTGGTGCGGAACTCTGAGCTACAAGGTATGATGCAGAGCATGAGGCAGTTGGAGTACAGGTGGAACAGCAAATACCAGGTACGTTCACCTTCCAGCAGTTCCGGAAGCATGCCCAACGCCTGGATAGTATCCGTGGATTTTCTTCAACGATGAGCCATTCACGGAAGAATTCATAGCAGCGACTCGAAATTCAACAACAGCAAAATGCTACTACGAAATTGTGCCGAAGGAACATTGGTCACTTCCAGATTGGATTGACGAGAGCCGATTCATGAACAGTCTGGAGTATCTTGGGACCATTGGTGTAGGGAAGGGATGGATGGTCAGCTACCATCATATGTGTCGATGGAATAGCGGATTCTTCTACAAGCATCCATTTCTGAGGAATTATGACTGGTATTGGAGAATCGAGCCAGACGTACGCACATCTCCCCCTTTGTAGGGCATAGTCTCACTCATAGCCAGGTTCACTACTTCTGCGACATCGACTATGACGTCTTCCGCTTCATGCGCGATAATAACATGAAGTATGGCTTCAACATGAACATTCTTGACGATGCCCGCTCGTTTCCCTCATTATGGAGTCGTACACGAGCTTTCGCAGCAGATCACCCGCACTTGATCCATCCCGAAGCGGACTTAGGCTGGCTTCTTGACTCTCAAGCCGGAGGCGAGTATAACAATTGCCAGTTCTTCTCCAATTTCGAGATTGGCTCCCTCGACTTCTGGCGTGGTGAAGCCAACGAGGCATACTTCAACTGGCTTGACAAAGCAGGTGGCTTCTATTACGAACGTTTTGGCGACGCTCCTGTTCATACTCTAAGTGTTGCTATGTTCGTACCGAAGAGTGAAATCTGGTACTTTAGGGATATAGGTTATCAGCATGATATCAACCATCACTGTCCTCCGCACAGGGAAGCGAAGTGTAGCTGCCAGCCAACCAGAATCGACGAGAGTTTCTATAAACTTGTTCCATTAGAGAGTCCTCAGAGGAAGCCAGCAGATACTTGTATTAGACAGTTTCTAGGCGGAGAGTGGTTGAAGAAGAAAGAAGGGTGGACAATGGCTGGTGAGAAGGCATTTGGTGGGGATGGCTACCATGGGTACGAGCTGTTGGGAGACGAGTAATGGTCTGAAGTTATCTTGATTTCTTCTTCTTGGTGGTACAATTAAACAGTATCTTAAATCCATGTATTTTCCTTGACGCTGAGACCCAAACTCCAAGCAGATTCCCTTCTTCCAAATGGCTTCAAACACCATATATATATATACCGTCATATTTCGTCCTTTGTACTATCTTCTCCAAGTTCTATCCCAAGCTTTCCAATCACGTCACGCCTTTAATTCAACGCAGTCCAAGTTCCCAATACGCCACTAGCAACAACCAGCATCCCCCTCCCTAAATTCAACATCCCCCACCAATCAACCAACGCATGCGCACTCTGATTCCCTAACCCAACCTCAGTAACCTCCTCCAATTTCCCCAAACTCTTCGTCTCCCCCACCTTCTCCAATAACTTGACATTCGTCCCCTTGATAAACAACAGCGTATACGGCACTATCCCAATAGCCAACGCTCCGGCCACAGCATACGCGGTGGTTTTGCTGGACGAGGAAGAATGATATGCGAGATACCAGTAGGAGAGCGCGGAGACGAGGGCGAAGGGCGGGCCTTGCTTCTTGCCGGATTGGTACATGGCGTTCCATTGGCGGAGCATGAGGGGGGTGGGAGAGTCGAGGAGGCGCGGGATGAGGAAGGTGGAGAGGGTTAGGGTTTGGCCGGCGAGGAGGAGGGAGGAGGTTAGGCCGAGGGTTTGGGCGAGGCGAATTGGGAGGGGTTGGAGGGTTGAGGACATTTTTGGAGGGGAGGTAGAGAAAGAAGGTGCTGTGTTGGAAGGTTGTTTGTTGGTGGGATTGGTTTGGTTGAGCTACCAGGAGGTTTGGTGTTTGGGTAATTGACGGATGAGATTTTGGGAGTTTGCAGAAGTGTTGGATCTTTCTGGCTCGGTGTGTTTAAGTGAAGGTTAGTTCTGATTTAGTGATGCAGAGAGAACATAGTAAGAGAGTTGTCGTGGTCTGATATATATATATATCTTCCAGCTTCTTGTTCAAAGCTCCAATCAAAACAGACGCGATCGCATAGCGGAAAAGGTCCGAAGCCCGTCACAACTCCGCGTTTTTGACACCTGAGGCCTGCATTGTGGGGCGGACTCGGAAATCGTTCTTGGCCGATAGAAAGTTTTGTTTTGCATTTACAAGTTGCATTTCCAAGTGAAGATTATTTATAGAAAGTGCGGTATTGAGTCGACTGGGGTTAATAATGGGAAATCGAGGGAGATTGTGGGAACATTCCAGATATAATATGGGGTAAAAAAGATAGACTGACTTATTTAGAGAGATGTTCTCAAGATTCGACGGAGATACGAACCTGCCCTAAGCATCGCTGAAGATACGGCTTGTGGGTTGGCCTCGTGCTCGGTGTCTAAGTGCTGGGTCTGTTTCGCTGGGGAAAGCTCGATAGGCTCGTCAATGTGTATGGGTCTAGTTCATTGGAAATTTGTAAATATAATATTTCAGCAATAAATCGAACAAACTTATTGACAAGAAATGTTTTCATGATTCGATGAAGATTATGTAAATGTAATATTAAATAATGACTTAGACAGACTTATTAACAAGAATATTCTCAGGATTTGACCGAGATCATAGAAATCTGTCATATACTATCGAGTAACAATTTGTGCAGACTTATAAAGATGAGATTTCTCAGATTTTGAGAGAAACTATGGAACAAATCCCGACATAATGTGGGGCAACAAATAAAGCAGGCATATTAGCAGGAGGACCTCAGCATTGGTAGCACCATCATAGCCTTGTTCATTGACTACATCTGGGCGTTCGCGGCGGCAACATTGCTATTCCCAGGATTGGATGGACACCTAATATTAATAACTACGGGATAAGATTTTGAGGGAATGAGAAGTCCATAAAGTTCAAGATGTGAAATAATGACTATGACGAGACAATGTAAAGTGCTTCTTTGTCGGGGGCTCCCTTCAAAGTAGACATCGAAATCTGGTCGGTTTGCTGAAATGACTCATCGGTGGCATATGGTGCTCTAAAGTCCATTAGAATTTTGAGGTTATGGGCAACCAAACTATCACCGCTGAGAGTGAACATCTTGTCACGAGGAACATTTGCATCTCCTGCAACTATAGCAGATACTCGAGAAGCAACTAGCTCAATGAACTTTCTGGCCCTAGTAGGTATAACCTCTTCAGGTAGCGCAGCCAGAATTTGGTGAGCTTCTGGGATGTGATCTACCTGCTATCAGTACTTAAGATAATTTGTATGTCTCTCGGTATCCAGGTATTCCAACAGCTTGTTGATAAATTTAGGAGTCACAAATAACGAAGATGGATCAAGGTGAGGTTCGCGCAAAGGCAAGCTGTATTGGAGTCAATGTCTAGTATCTTTTCCGCAACCGAATACTCCCGCCCTTAGTTCCAGTAGCCCCAGACTCGACGGACACCCATCCACGCAACTTGAACGAGAGGAGGAAAAACTTTGACAATGTTCTCTGGTTGCAAGTACGAGGATGCGACACAGATCAAGAAGTCTTCGAAGTAGATATCAGGAAATGGGATGCATCCGCACAATATCTGATGTCCCACGAGGACAGACATCCAAACCAGGAGAATGAGGGATTTCATGAGATCGATGACGGACTTCGGATACCAGAAAGCAATGACGGACGTTGGGACGAGGTTTCGCTGCTGGAGAAAGTCTTTGATGCGGCCGGAGATTGCATCCATGACCGTGATCAACCCGAAGACCAAGATGGACATCAGGACACCGATCAGCATAAGAAAGAGGAAGAAAAGCTCTGGAATCATGATGAGGTTGTTCGAGATTGTTCTGCCAATAATGTCAGTCTATTGTGTCTAGTTGTGAAAGGGTTGAAAGCTCAGGAAGGATAACAAACCGTCTGTACAGAGTACAAGCTTTGTCTTGAGATGATTACTTCGCGGTCGTGAAGTCTATTTCGTTGGGGTTTATTCCTCCGTCACTTGCTTTCTCGCAGGTACAGGCGTCTATGACATCGTCAGTTCCATAAGTTTCCGTCCTCAGGCCGTTGATTAGGTCGTTTTATAAGACCGTCAATCAGACCGTTAATCAGACCGTTGGAAAAGAGTGAACATACCAGCAGGTCTTGCACCACAGGAGCACAGTGATCCAGCAGGAGTCGAATTCTCTGTCGAAGCGCGATCACAAGTACACTGGCCAGCGGGGCGTGCACCTGTTGAGATGTCAATATCGTGACAATAGTGAAAGTGAGATAGCCGAAATAGACGAGCCCGAAGCGAGCTCGAGTGAGATTGCGAAAGGGGGGAATAGTGAAAGTGAGATAGCCGAAACAGACGAGCCCGAAGCGAGATCGTGAAAGGAGGAGCTCGCGAAAGTAAAAGGGAGGTCTCGCGAAAGGGGGGAACCTACGACAAGAGCAGCGAGATCCTTCGATCGCGTTTTCTGTTGCAGCTTTTCCACACGTGCAGTGAAGAGCAGATTTTTCGCCGCAAGAGCACTTGGCTTGGGTCGCGCTGTAGAACCGTGAATTAGCTTCTTAATCCCCGCAGATTTGTACGCCGGAACCTTCTATGAGAACTCGTACCAGACGCAACCCTCCCCGCTCTTTCCACAGCAAGTGCTTGGAGCCATTTTAGATTAAATTGGGATTTTTATTTTGTTGTTTGCTTGAAAGAAGTTTCTTTGCGTCAATCTAGATTGAAGGCATTGGTGGGTCTTGGATTATGGTGCAGGAGTCGAGGTGGTGTACGTGGTATAATGAACTTCGATAACGAGATGTGGATGAAGTCAACCTTTATAAAGGCTGGCGATTCACAGCCTCGTCATTGACGAGCGCCAAGCCGTCTCCAGATTGTAAATGATAAGACGATCATTGGATGGGTCAGCTTCGGCTTGCACCGGAAATGCTTGGCATTCGCCTCATCAAAGTCTTGACATGAGACAAACACCACTTGTCAGCCCAGAAGTTTTAGGTGACAAACACCAAGAGTTCTAATGGCCAGCATCTTAAACTTCGTTAGTCAATTTTCTTGTTTATTCAATCTAGCCAAGAAAGACGTATGAGCTCTGGTCTGTTGCAGTCTCGTGTATCCAGATCTCGAATCAAGGTCACTCTCTTCCTTACCTGAGGAGTGCTTCCCACAAGTGACCGGAGATGCGTCTGACATTAAAAGCTGTGGAAAACTCTTCACAGGCGTATCAAATGGTTCTCCCAAAGGTTCTTCCAAACACTTATAAGACTTTCCAGAATAGTAGTACGCGACCAGCCAGCAAAAACGTCTTTTCCTCCTAGAGGTTCCCTTCTCACACATTAGAGAGTATCATTGAATGGCTGGTGGATCTCCCGCTCGTTTGTTATTACGCATGCAGTTTTGAGGAAGTCCCTTCTAGGATATCTGACGGCGCCTTGTACTACACGATATGTGACGATCCTTCGGGTATCGTTTCTATGGGCCAATCACAATTCACGAGCCGAGATCTACTTTACAAGGTAAAATAAAGTTATGGGACGATAAGCTTATTGGAGAGTCTGAAGTGGGGCTACCCTGCAAGTTTCATTGTTACTTAGTCCCGCCATTCGGACCCTTTTTACGACGCCTTGGTAAAGCTGACAGAAGTGTGTCAGTGAGAAGATATATAGTACCGCCGGTGATCCTTTTTCTTGACAAGTGTATGCAAGATTTATAGATCAAAGTCCTTTTGCCATTTCGAACAACTGTTACAATTCTGAATTTCGAAAATTGTGCTACCAAACACAATGTCGTCAAAACAAGGCCTTCTGACCTTCACAACCTTGTTCATTCTGAGTGGTCTTCTAGTTACAGCTTATGTACGTGTGATTGATCTTGGAAAGCAGCTTGCAACTCATAAGTCCGCAGTTAGCCACTTTGGTAATCTATCGAGTGTTCTTTCATCCACTGGCCAAGTACCCGGGACCTTTCATTGCCAAAGTCACGGACCTTTATTCAGTCTATCATGCTTGGAAAGCTGATAGACATATTGACTTCCAACGTTGTCACCAGAAATATGGTATGCTACCTCGACGATTTCTCAAGTCTGGAATACTAACTTGGACAGGAAATGTTTTCCGCTATGGTCCCAACAGATTGTCATTCAATACTCAAACAGCTCTTCAGACCATCAATTCTGCCAAAGCCAACACCAGGAAGGCCGATTTTTACAAGTCGTTGATCACTCCCACAGGACCCAGCATTCTCTCCGCAATTTCAGATGACGTCCACGCAAGGAAGAAGAGAGTCCTCTCTCAATGCTTCTCGGATAGGGCTATGAAGTCGGCTGAGGACTATACCTTATTTCATATCCGAAAGTTTTGTGAGAAGTTAGCTACATCAACCGAAGCTGTTGATATGTCGAAATGGACCACTTACTTAACTGGGGATGTGCTAGGCGAACTTTGCTTTGGGAGTTCTTTTAACATGTTGACAGAGACCAAGAATCGGTTCTTGATGGATTTGATCAATTTGACTGCAAGATTTGCTCTCGTTGTACGTCAGACTCTCAACATATGCAATAGCAGAGGCGTTTAGCTCTGTGATGCTCAATATACTGACGTTAGTGATATAGTGCGGATCCACCATTCCTCTCCAACACACTCCCATTCCAAAGCTCTTCTTCTCCGACCTTCTTGCCGGTCGCTTGGAATTTCGCTCCTATGCTCTTGCCCAAGCCACCGAACGAACAAAGATCAAGGATTCAGAGCGTCGAGATTTCTACCACTACCTAATGGAAGCCAAGAACCCAGATACAAACGAACGCTTCGATGAAAGAGAAATATGGAGCGAAGCCGGTAACCTCATCGTTGCAGGCACAGACACCACATCTACTACTTTGGCATCAACTTTCTTCTATTTCACCCGGAACCCGGATGTACTAGAGAGAGCCAAGAAGGAAGTCAGAGAAGTGTTCAAGGATTGTGATATCGAGGACATCCGAACTGGAGAGAAACTAAGCTCCTGCAAGTATCTCCGCGCTTGCTTGGATGAAAGCATGCGTATGAGTCCTCCGCTTCCAGGAATCCTTGCTCGTGTAGTCCTTCCTGGCGGCATCATGATTAACTCTCATGTCATTCCAGCTGGCGTCGAGGTCGGTGTCGCACCCTATGCTCTTCACCACAACGAACAGTACCACAAAGACTCTTTCGTATACAATCCAGAAAGATTCCTAGATAAGGGAATTGTGGAGGGTTGGGCTCCGTTTAGTTATGGGCCGAGAGCTTGTATTGGGAAGGCGATGGCGTATATGGAGATGATGTGTACGATGGCAAGAGTTCTGAAAATGTTTGACTTGAAGGGCGTAGGGAGCTTAGGGGAGAGAGTCGATGGGATGGGTGGAAAAGCAGAGGAGTACAGAATTGAGGACTTCTTCGTTTGTCATAAGTTTGGACCGATGGTTGAGTTTAGTAAGGCTTGAGATGGGGATGAAGGAAGGGAATGTGGATGTAGGTATGAGTTACTTAAAAAGCTTAGGATACTTTTTGGTCATTAGGAATGCAATGCTTACATCGGTGTTTTGTTATTCGGTGTATTTAACTGCACTCGAGTATATAGTATCAACGCGATTGACTCGCGCTTAGCAAGTTGATTCAAGGTCATATAGTGTGGAGATATGGTTCTTCCAGAGCTGTCTTCATTCTTGACAAGTCCAAGTCTACCTAGGTATGAGGTCGAGAGCTCTGTGTTGCAAGTGCCACCTGGTGCACGATCTACTGCCATCTCAACGCTTTCTCGAGGGCCATTGCTTCTATGATACACATCATGTCTCTATGCACAATTTCGTCCTGTCTTTCAATGACCTCTGTATATGTACCAAAAAGCTCCATTTATGCACCAAATTTCGACAGAACAAATGGGTATCTAGGTTCATCACCATTTCTGATCCAAATCTGCTTCTTCTTCTTGGTCAGGACATGCTCAACCCAGATCTGCTTCGCCTTCTCCTTCATGAACGTCCTAATGTATCGTGGGTCCCATAACTCACTCGCAACCCCCAAGTCCTTACAACATCGCATCAGAGCATTCGATTTGCATCCTTCGGTCGCGGTCGGTATGCCTTCTGGGGAGAAATAGTCTTGCTCGCCTCGAGCGACAGATACTAACCTACAGAACAATCGTATATTAGCATTCATCCAAATCTCAATTTCCAGCATAAGCAGAGACAAGAAACAACAGAGCCAACATACCGTCCATGAGCAACCAGCGCATATTCCCTCGTGATACTCTTTCCCGTAACAATCGTCTCTCCTCTCGGCGCTAAACCCCAGCCTCCCGGCCCAAATGCTCTATTCAGTATCCTCCTATACTTAATCTCTGGCAGATAAATAATCCCATCAGGCTTGACCTCCACATCATCAAACGGAATCGGAGCCATGAGCACCTCTGACGCCTTTTCGGAGAAGGGCTGGGCAGAAAGACCGTGGAAGGATCGAGTCCAGTCTACTTGCTTCTCGTTCTCGTCCAAGATCAAGGGCTCGTCAGCAAGACCTTGGGTCATGTCTTTTATGGGAGATTGGTCGTCGATGGAGGATGATTTAGAGGCAGGCGTCGTAGCTGCAGGCTTTGCTGCAGGGAGGGGAGGTTTGACATCTTTGCGGACGTAGGTTGATGCTGGAGTCGCTGGTTTGCGAGGTGTTGTGGCGATTCCTCGAAGACCTATTGAGGACCTTGATGGTCTCGATAATCGTAAAATATTAGCTGCTGACGCTTCTGCGAATGCAGAGCGTGCGGCGCGGGGTATTAATGTCGCCATGATTGATGTAAGAGAGAGGTCGGACGCGGAGTTCGCGATGGAGCTTCACATCGCGATGTCACGCTTGGACGGACATTGAAAAGTGCCATTTTTCAGAAGATTACCTGGGCTCTCAATCGAAGTCGTTTCACACTAGAACATGTAATGGAATACAATTGAAAGAAGAGAAGAGTGTCTTGGTCTATATTTACAATAGTAATACTCTTACAACCCGCCGAAATGCTAGTGATGTCGGTCGCCGAGGTCTTCTTTTCACACTCAAGCATCTTTTGTATCCGTCCTCTCGTCATTTTGATGCTGCTTCCAACACTTCCTGAACGTCTCAAGCTATATCCTCATTCCTCTTATCAGTCATTGTTTCATTTCGAAGAGCTTTTAGGGCCACGTGATATGGGTTTTGCTGAAGATCGCTAAATTGGGAAATCTTGCAGCTTCTCACCTCGTCTTTGCATTGCCTCCAGTCCTTCTTCTCGAAATAGCAGTCCGTCATCTTTGCGTTTTCAACTAGGTCCTGTATGAACATTGGTCTGAATACAAGAAGAAAGAACGAGATTCAGACGAACCTGAGCATCCAGTGCTGAAGATACGTTTGTCCCTGTGAGGAGAAGAGTCTCAGCCGCTGGCACTCTTTCTCGAAGACCGAAAAGACTTACCAGTCGTCCGGCTCATCATCATCCTCCACAGCGGTGGCTACTTTTGAATCACTCTCTGATTTCGACATTGGAAATTGTTTGATCTGAAGAAAGTCGCACGATTCTCAGATTTGGTAAGTCCGGCTCGGTTGAGCTAGGACGCCCGGATCTGGCAATATGGCGAGTAGGAAGATGAATGTTTTGGTTTATTCGGGTATCTCTCCTCGCTTCTCTCGGAGAATGCCTTCTTAATATGGACTAGGAAATGGAAGCACAGTAGAGTCTGTCCGTCATTGTCTATATACACTCAGACGACTGCTCTCGCCAAACTACGCCGTCATTCCCGTGACTGATACGGTTATTCTCAAAGAGCCATGGACGGCTTCTTGTGCACTTCTTGTCTTCCCTGGGGGTGCTGACATGGGATATTGTCGGTCACTGAATGGCGAAGGAAATAGAAGGATACAGCAGTATGTCCGCCGTGGTGGTGCTTACCTCGGTTTCTGTGCTGGAGGTTACTATGGCAGTTCCAAATGCGAGTTCGAGGTTGGAAACAGGGTTTTGGAGGTTATTGGACCTCGAGAATTGTCCTTCTATCCTGGTACTTGTCGGGGTGGCGCTTTCAAAGGTTTCGTGTATCATAGCGAAGCAGGAGCGCGAGCTGTTGAGGTCAAGGTTGAGAAGGAGGCTTTTAAAACTGGAATCGTGCCTCAAACTTTCCGTTCCTATTACAATGGCGGAGGAGTCTTCGTTGACGCTGCAAAGTATAAGGACAAGTTGATTGAGACACTGGCGACTTACGGGGAAGCATTGGATGTTGAAAGTGGAGACGGAGGAGCAGCAGTGGTCTACTGCAAAGTGGGGGAAGGAAGTGCTATATTGACTGGTCCTCACCCAGAGTAGGTCTAAGCTGCATGTAAGGGACTCATACTCACAAAGCATCAGATTCGCTGCAGTAAATCTGGACCCAAATGCCGATGGTCCCGAATACCCGAACAGAGTAAAGGCTTTGGCAGAAGACGATGAATCAAGAGTCAATTTCTTGAAGGCATGTCTAGCCAAATTAGGCTTGACACTAAGTCAAGAGGCATCTTCGGTACCGTCCCTTTCTCGACTTCATCTTTCATCCGCGAGTCATTTTCTGATTCCAGAACTGTTGGCATCATGGGAAGACATCATCACGATTGAAGACGGAGAAGAGTACATCAAGGGAGAAAATGATACTTTTCATCTTGAAAAGCAAGACTCGCGATGGTCCCTCAACAACCTTGTCAAAGCACTTCCTTTACCTGGCGTACTTAAAGGCAGAGATGATGAGACGGCTGACCAAGTCGATGCTGGTTCGGAGGATAGAATAGTCGACTATAACGCCGTCACAAAGCGACTCATACCCCACGAAACGGAGTGGCCTGGGGCGAAAGAGACACCGTGCTTTAACCATCACGCTTTCTTTGCCAATCTTCGAAGATATCAGGAGGAGAGTAGAGGCGAGGCGGAAGAGTATGGCAAGCACCTTATGTACGGTGAAGTTGTAACAAGCACCAACACGATACTTGAGAAGTCAGTTGCCTCCCTCAATCCCTAATAGCTTACACTAATGAGTGGCTAGGAATACTAAGCTTCTCTCGAATGTTCCTGCAGGTTTTACTTTCACAGCAACTACACAAGTTGCCGGACGAGGCCGAGGGTCCAATGTATGGGTGTCCCCAGCTGGTTGTTTGATCTTCTCGGTTTGTATGAAGCACCCAATGGAGCTCGGCAACACTGCTCCTGTAGTCTTTATACAATACCTCGCTGCTATCGCTATAGTAGAAGGCATTCAGTCATATGATCGAGGCTATCAGAACACACCAGTAAAGCTCAAATGGCCTAACGACATCTGTTTGCACCCCTGTTGAGCTCTTGTTTAACTAAATGACTAATCTCAAATACAGATGCCCTAGACCCTACCAAACCCAACAAGAAAGAATATGTCAAAATCGGCGGCATCCTCGTGAATTCCTCTTACTCCCACGGCAACTACGATCTCGTCGTCGGCATCGGTCTAAACACCACCAATGCCGCCCCAACAACCTCTCTCAACGCTCTGCTACCCTCTCACCTCCCCCCCTTCACACTCGAAAAACTCCTAGCACGAATCTTGACCAAGTTCGAAATCATCTACAAAGCCTTCTGTAGAACAGGATTCGACAAGAAACTAGAAGAAACGTATTACAAGCATTGGTTGCATACGGATCAGATTGTGACGTTGGAGGCAGAGGGAGGTGCAAGAGCGAGGATCAAGGGAATTACCCGGAATTGGGGATTATTGAGAGCGGAGGAGCTGGGGTGGGAGGATAGAGAAACAGGGAAAGTCTGGGAGCTGCAGAGTGATAGTAATAGTTTCGATTTCTTCAAAGGGTTGTTGAAGAGAAAGACCTAAGAGTCTAGCGAAGGAGGGCTGAAGATGTGTGGAATTGGTATATATCGTGTATGTGGCTGTACTACAAGCGATTGGAGTCGCTCATATACTCATAGGTGTACTTAGTCCCTGTTTTCTTTTGCTTGTCCTTCACATGTGTGTCGGTGCTTTGAAGTGGTCAAGTTTTCTCAAGCTAGTTAAGCGAGCAGAAAAGGGGACGTCCTCATGTTCATGTCAACATACAAGATAATGATGTGGTGCTAGAGCGCCAGAGGCGAACGCGACTCTGTATTTGAATATTGCGCGAACCTCTTTCAACTTCAGAAACTATCTGCCAACACATTCACCACCACAAAGATGTTGCGACAAAAACCCAGCAATTTCAAAAAACACTCCGACGAAACAGCCTCGCAAGTAAACAAAAAGCCAATGAACCAAGTCTACGACCCTTTCAAGTCACCGAGCGGACGACCATGGGAAGATAGTTGGGAAGTATGTAATTCTACTACTCTATGTTTCATCAATTTTCGACCAAGAAGTCCCAGCTAATGCTTTGCGCCTAAAGAACATCTTCACCAAGAACCTACAGACCTCAAGCCCCAGCGGCTTGGCAAGAATTCGAAAGGCGTAGCGAGACCTTGCGGAGCATCTTAAAGTTCTGGGACAGAAGGTAGTTGAAGGGGTCGAGGAAGCTGGTGGCGATTTGGAGATGAATAATTCGAGGGCAGAGAAGAAGGATTCGCAGACGATAAGTGTGGAGAAGAGGCAGCACCAGCAACATACACCAAGCTCTGCGGAAGTAAGCGCACGTCAAGCAAAATTCGTCGGTGATATACGGACGGCCAACAAGACTTCGGCAATGCCTTCATACGCTGCTTCGACGGCGTCTTCGAGAGCTAAATATCATGGGAAGAGCTAAAGAGGGATAAGATGGAGAAGATACTTGTGGGGATGACTGGGAGAATAGTGTGTTGATAGTTTGGCCTATGGGAGTATGAGATCAAAGAGACCTTACTAGAGCGGATCACGCACTGTCTCTTGTTTTTGAGTAACGAACATTCAATATCAGTAGAGCAGACGAGAAAAGTATTTGAGACGCCAATCTCGATTGTTCAACTCACAATGAGAGACGTGCTTTCATTAAAATTTGTCATCTCATTCAGCTATATCAAGAATATATATAAGAAGTAGGCTATGCCGCAGAACGTAAATCATAAATCATTTCGAACTCCATCAGATTCCCTCAGCAAAAGCAACTACTTTTTACAACAAGCCCCTTCTGCCACCGCAGCGTCTCCACCAGTTACGACGAGCTTACTCATCTTATCCGCTGCATCCAGGACGCCCTTCCCAGCGGCAATTTGACTTGGGGTACTACAATAGCTGGGTGGGACGTCGAGGGCGGGATTTCGTGCGAAGAAATTCCTTGGTCGGAGGAGAAGGGTCATAGGTTCAGCAGGCATGACAGGGAAATCTTCAGGAGCAGGGAAATGAGTGATACCGAATGTGTGCCAGAGTACGACATCCGTGTTATCGATGCTTGCGTCGCCGTTGGCAATCCATTCGGGAATACCTCGAGAGGGCTCGCCAGAGGTTTGGGGGACGTGGCGACCGGCGGGGAGGATTTGATCATCGTCGTCTTTTCTTATGTTAGTCAATGGCTCTAACTGAGGAGGAAAATTGCTTACATTTTGTAACATGCACAGCATGGCGAGCAAAACCTGCTCGCTTCCACACAAGTGATCCTTCCTTGGGAAGAAGTTTAGGCACTTCTCTGCTGACAAGCTTGTAGCTGACGGGCTTGTGAGAGTGAGGGTTGAGTTTGTTGGTATTGCACATATCCCAAGTTCTTGAAGTGACACCATCGTAGTCGCTGATTGCCTCTTTGACAGTCGAGTACTTGGTTCGCTTAGCATAGAATGCATTTCCGTAGGGGTTCTCCTTGCTGCCAACATAGCCTGCGCCTTGAGTAGCGTCGACTTGGAAGACAGTATTGTCTGGTCCGTCGATATTCGGGTCAATACGAAGACAGAACAGATGCTGGTGGTTGTGTGCATTGACTCCTGGATAGACTTCTGTTCCCCACCCCTTGGTGTCTTCTCCTGGGTTCATTGCATAGGTGTTTAGGATACCAGTGAGCTTGATTTCGAGCTGAACAGTGCCGTCTTGGTGGAAGATCCAGTAAACACAGTACTCGTAGTTTGCGGCTGTGAAGATGTGGGAGACGATTAGTTTTCGTCCTCGGGTAACAATGACCGAATCGTCACGGAAATCAGTATGCTTAAACAGAATGCCGGAATCCTCCTCGTGGATGCAGATAGCATTCTTGATGGTTGTGCTCTCTCCTGCTCGGTTGACAAAAGCAGCATCCATATAATGAATGGCACCCTTGCAATCGCAGCCCAAAGAAAGACTGTTAGTCATGTATCCTCCACCATACTCGCCAAGATCGAAAGCATGCTTCCTCTGGTGAGGATGCTCGGGATTTCCATATGGAACCACCATTTCTGCCAGAGACAGTCTATAGAAAGTTGGTCGGACAACTCCATGGTCGTTGTATGTGATATTGTTCAACACAATGCCCTCCTTGTAGTTGAATCCAACGTGCACACTCCAGTTCTGCCACTCAATAACTCGGCCCTCAACCTTGAACGAAACACCATCTGGTTGTGTGATATTGATTGGCTTGATATCCGTTCTGTATCCTCCCTCTGCCTCGATGCTAGCCGCGTGGTAATTATTGGGCTTCGCTTTGTTGACTGGTCTGCGAACTTCTGGGATATCGATGTGAATGATCTCTTGCTTGCCAGCATCGAAGATAGGGCAGAAATCGAGAGGGTAGGAGTATTGACTGTCGTCAACATGCGGTCGGTAGTACATGAGAGCTTGTTGCAATCTAACGTCGCTGCCGAACCTGTGGTCATAACCAATTGTCCAAGCTATAACTGTTAACATAGTCCAATTACCGGAGTACGTAAAGCTTACGATCACAGTACACTTTATGCATATCCTCTGCCGGAATACCACTGATCACACACTGCTCAATGACCTTGGGATCCTTTCTGCAGACATGCTCTACAATCTGGAGATCTTCCATAGTAATCTATTCTCGTCAATCATCTATTCTTTCATAGTCGGCGCTTGAACTCACCAGAGGCTGTACACCATCCAATTGCTCCCACTTAATGATCTTCTTGGCTTTCAAGTCCACCAATCCATCGAAGACCTTTCCGCCAGGAGCAATTGCAACAATATCCGCAATTCTGGACGGCCTCGGTAGAGAGGATGGACTCTCCAACCACTTAAGCATCTCCTTCTTCGGTGGTTCCCTCAATGTGACAGCATTGTAGAACAGCTTCCCCTTCTCCTCGCAGATAACTGAGACGGCAGATTCAATCTCCTGGTTGGACAGAGGATCGAATGGATGAGGGGGAGGTAAGGTGCCAGTGACATGCTGAGCAACAGACTTGAGTCTATCGAGAGCCATTGTGAAGCTGTGTGGTAAATTTGCCTGGAGGATTGGTCGTGTTTGCTGTCTTCAAATGGGAGACAAACCTCACTATTAGTACCTTCAAAGCTTTGCCCTTCTACCGCCACTCGTAAGTAGATCAGACGATAATATATTCCCAGCTTCGGGATCACTTGTATCAAATCGGGCTTCGAGACCGACAAGTGGGATTATTCCTATTGTCGACCCCAACGCAAAAGTCACCATGTGCGATCAATGGCGAGATCCACGACCCCTCCATTGCAGAGATAGCTCGCTGTATGGTCCCAGCGAAGTCGGTGCTGTATCAAGCTCGATAATTGTGGACTGTTGGTTGGATAAGCTTGCTGATAAGAGATGTGCTCCGCGTTCAATGCCCGAATGGGGTTTAAGGCGGTGTGGGGAACTTGAGTCGTGGATTCGCATCTCCGTGCTTGTCCAACTTGAGTATGTATATCCCCTGAGGCATGTTAGAGAGCGCAAGAGGTGACAGAAGAAGCTTTATGAAGTTTAGGAATAGAACAATAAAGAAAAGGTCTGAAGATGTAAGGTTTAGCCCTCATTTGACAGTCCTAGCCTACAGACAGGGGTAGAATATCGGTCACGTGAAAATATCATTCGAAAATGCCTCTTTTCTGCTCAGTTCTCTATTATTCTGTTCATTCGTTAAGTTCCGAGTTTAGTCAACTAGCAGACGTTGGGTCCAAGTCCTAACTGCTCCGCCACTGCCTCAGCTAGAACATCCTGCATAGGATATGTCGGATGGAGACTGTTCAACCAGAAATACTGGTTCACGGGGATTCCACAGGATAGGTTAAAGCTATCTGGTTGCGGTGTTCCACTGTTTGGAAATCAGCCTTGCTCTCTAAGGTCCGCAAACAAACTTACTTTTCATAAGCTGTGCAATACGCAGTAGTGTTTTTATATCCAGCAGTCTGTGGGTAGCTGCTAGGTTTGTCCAGCACTTGTGTAAAGTACTTGTTTGTATCCACGGTGAAGACGTTGACGTCAGGCTTCTTAGCTTTTAAACTCTTTGCCATTTCCATCAAAGCCGAGTTCCAAGCTGCAATATCAGCCTTTTCAGTTGCTTGATCAGCTGCTGAGTTCGCGAGAGCCAAGGGTGCTCGATCAACGGGTGGGACGTTGAGAAATGCAAAATTCCTTGCTCCTGCATAGTACAGCTCGTCCACTAGCCCTCGGTATACTGCGAAGATGGCTCCGTTCAAAGTCGTGGTTGCGGGCAGTCCCTTGGACCATGAGTTTCCGACGTCGTTGATGCCGTCGAAGATGGCGAAGAGGGTGTCTTGAGCATTCCATGGAGCAGTCGATGGCTTGGAGGCATAAGCTGGAAACCACTCATTTTCGATTTGCTGTGCTACAGAGGACACGGTTGGGAGGTACGGAGCAACGAGCGCTGAGTTAATGGTTGCTCCTCCGTATGCAAGGTTGTACGTGAGAAGAGTGGAAGCATTGTACTTCACAGTCAGAAAATCAACCCAGTTTGGTCCATTTGCTGCTGTATATCCTGGATATGTAGGATTGCCCAATGGATTCGTTCGCGTTGGCTGAGTTAAGCTTGCATTGAATCCAGTCGTAGTGTATGAGTCGCCACTTGTGAACAGTCAATTGATATACGCTATGTGAAAGATACGAACCTACAAGATGAAGGCATGTTTGATGCCTGCCCAACCGGGCCAGTTTGACGTCGCATTGCAGCTAGAGAAATGATGTATGGCAGCGGCTTGGACCGAAGACTGCAGGCCGAAAGCCGTGGCCAAAACTGCAACAACAGTCGACGGCATGATTAATGACTGAGCGAATCTTGGATATCGATGAGAGCACTCGCCAGAAAATCTCATTCAAAATTCAAGTAAAAGAGGACCCGAAACAGAGAACACGAAACAATAGCAAACAAAGACATGCCCATGATGTTTATATCATTTGAAGACTCGAACTATAAAAAGTGATTGCGTCAACCCGGTACCTTATTCCGAACAAACCTCCAAATTGAACAATATCGCCTGCGACTCAGGCAGCAGGTGGGGCAAAAAGAGCCCGGAGACACATCCTCCGCGATGCAAAGAGGCATAGTCTTCAATCAAGCTCATGATGATGGTATGCGGGGAAATTCATTATCCGTGAGGAGATGAGATGCGCCAATCGCAGGAAGCAATTGGACTGGTCGTGGTGGAGAGATGTGCAAGTCTTTTGACGTGGAAGGAGACGTTGACGATCGAGGGGTCGGAGTTGCGGATCGTCTGAAGCGAGGACATCCTAGAGAGAAGACTAATGCCGGGTGTATTGTCAAGACTTCAGATGAGAGCTGAGACGGGGAATTGTTTCTGCGAGAATGCCGGAGAGGAGGCTAAGGAGGAGAGTGGTGGAGGAAACAGTTGTGCTAAAATTATACCTCGCGTGATATGAATTGGTCTGAATGAGAATAGCTGCAGTGGGCCTTTGCATAAAAAATATGGATTCTACAGAAGCCCTTGAAAAGTCAGCCTCAAGAATTTACTCTTTTTATTTTGTATTGGGAGTGCGCAGTTCTGACTGTGCGAGCTGTTTTCTTCCGGCAAAGGAGTCTTGATCCCTCACTATCGCCCCCATATATAAACAGAAAATAGATACGTGATGTCAAGACAACCACCGTTGTCCATCAAGTTCTGATTCACAGCATATAAACAAGACGAGAATACTGTACAGCAAAGTAGAAATCTATTCATCTAATGCTTGTATACACAGATCTTTCAACAACGACGTTTCCTACGTAAACCATCCTTGAAGCTTCTTCTTCCATGTTGTCGCGTGTTCCTCTGGTACTTCATTGGCCAAAACTACGTCAATTCCACTGTGAAGATCGACATCCTCGCTCTTGTATACCCACGGCTCACTCCAGTGCCAGAATCTATGTCCAAAATAGATCACCAAGAAAATTGGGATACCGACATAAGCAGTCAAGAAGCTGCTTGCGTTGAATCGTCCGGGAAAGAAGACGTCGAAGCCGTTGATCAAAGTCAGTATTGTGAAGGCGACCATCGCAATCCAAGCTCCAACTGGTTGAAGCATTGAGCGGTAAGTGATGTTCTCAAGCGGAAGAGACTGAACTTGATACGCTTTGCGGAAGCGAATGTAAACAATGCAGCAGCAGATCCAGGAAATGAAACCAGAGGTGTTCGTCAGGTTGACGAACCATCCGAATACAACAGATCCACTGCTCGCGCAGTTTAAGTACGCCAATGGAGAGAAGAGAGCCGCGGCGATGACGGCCATGTAAGGGACACCTTTCTTCGTGCACTTCGTGAAGATTTTAGGAGCGTTGCCGGCGACAGCCAGGGAGTAGAGGGAGCGTGAGGACATGTACAGGAAAGAGTTTCCAGATGACCACGCAGAAGTAATAATTATGGCGTTGATAACGGAACCAAGGCCAGAGATACCTGCATCTGCAATTCCCACCTAAAATTCGAGTCAGCAAACTTTCCTGAGATGATTCAAGATAGTCAAAAGTATGGACTTACAACGAAAGCAGACGACTTTGCACCAACGCCACCATCGGTTAGACGAGCATCGTTGAAGGGGCAAATGACACCAATAGCGAGTACGGAGCCAATATAGAAGAACACCAATCGCCAGAAGTATCTCTTCGCCGCCTTAGGAAGGTTTCTTCTAGGATTTTTCATTTCGCCGCCAGTAACAACAAGAAGTTCTGGTGCGAAGGTGAAGGGGAATGCAGAGAGAACCACGACCTCGACGAAAGCAATGAAGCGGCCTGTCGCGCCAGGTCGGAGCCACTCATTTGTCGCGCCGGGATCCTTCCAGTAATGGAATCCTAGTATGCCATGCTGTTTTGCTGCAACTCGTAGTTAGCACTCACGTATTATGAGACCGAGTCAGCAAGAAGAACCTACGACCACCACCCCAGAAGAGGATAAACGAAAGGATTAAAAGTCCAATCATCATGAACACTTTCAAAGAGGCAAACCAAAATTCGGTTTCCCCATAGAACTGCACCGGCAGGATATTGAGTCCAACAATAACAACAATGAAGATGGTAATCCAGACAGCGATATTGACAGGTGAATCCCAATAATCAATGACTAGACCAGCTGCGGTGATCTCGTATGGCACCAGTATACCGAGTGAGTAGAAGTATAACCATCCCATAGCAAAGCCTAGAGAGTTGCTGACATTCCGGTGACCATAATAGCTCATTGTCCCTCCTGAGACGGGGAGATATGCAGCAACTTCTGTGATGGCTGTGACAACGAAGAGGACCAAAACACTGAGAAGCATATAGGCGAGGAGGATGAACAAAGGTCCACCTCTAGCGAGAGTGCCTCCACTTCCAACGAAGAGACCAGTTCCTAATCAAATATTAGAATTATAACTTGTCAATTGTGCTTTCGAAATATCGTACCGATTGTCCCTCCCAAAGCAATCATTTGAGCATGACGAGCTTTGAGACCACGCTTGGTTGTCTCAACTTTCTCGACATCTCCATGACCAACTTCGGCATCAGAAGAACTGTGCACCCCATCTTTCTCGTCGTAAAAAGGAGGCGACGATTTCGTCTCCGCAATACCGACTTGCTCATCAACCTTCATCTTGGACGATTCAGCAATGCACTCTGAAGCTTGTCCCACAGCAGAACTACTGCAGACTGGGTATCATGGATAGATATATAGCCTTTCCCAGCAAATATAAGACGATAAGGATAATTCGGGGATCCCGTGGGAATGGTACGATAAGAACACTGGTTCCCTTGACCCCGGGTCAGATAGACTGATGTAGCATAGACCCCTCTTTGCCAAGTGATAACTCCTGTGGGAGGCTCCGCACCCTTGCTATAACCATTGGCCGTAGATATGCCCCCAGCCTTGACTCGCCCCTCAATACCATCCTGGTATGCGGGAATCCCCGCCATCTTGAAGGACAGCCCATGGGAAGTGCTCTAAACTTGCTTTTGTGGTTTCTAGAGCAGGAAATGTGACTACGATTCAGATCTAGAAGCAGGAACTTATGCATGATTGGTTACTAATGGGAATATCTGCATGCTACTCAAGCGTGAGCACTAGAAGCTTGTGTATCTCGCAGCAAACTAGGGTTGCAAATAGGCAGCAATAAGTGGCTGAAGAGCTTGTTCGAGCCTTTGCAAATTGAAGCTGAGCGGACATAGCGTCTGATAAGGATAAAGTTGGCCGCATAAGCAGCCAAGAACAGTTAGGATCTTGGAAATCCTGAGAGATCTGGATTGGTGAGAATCGCCCGATCCTTGCAAGTCGATACCAACATTGAAACGTAACAGAAGGATTCGGCGAATGAATAAATATTTGAAGACTACTTTCGCGGGATGTGGCAGAAAACTGCGATCTGAAGAGGCGGGCGCCACGATTCAGCCACGATACAGTATCAATGGAACGCACGTGATGCGGCTTGGAGATACCAGATTGCCATGGAGCATCAGTTCTCTCCCATTGTCCCAAGGATTGTCAGACTTTCTCATCCCATCCAGTGTTACTGGCTATCATCACTGATGTCCCTTATGTTCAGCATGCTCTTTCAATCCACGCGCCCAATCTTCGAACCTGTCAACAATATCGTTCTTGGTTCCAGAAAAACTCAACATGTACGCCATCGGTCCTCCGAAGGTTCCCCAAGTCTTATACTCAACGACAGTGCTCCCATCCTCCTCCTTCCTCTCGATCATCTCTTGAACTCGTTCTGTTCTTAGAATCCAGTCGCCTCCAGGAATTCCAATTGTCTTCCATACAATACTCCAGCCTTGAGCCCCTTCTTTCTCGTACCGGTCGATAGACACCACCTCATGGTCACTGTATGCAGAGGAAGGCGGCCCGTCCCTTTTCATCCGACTGTGGAATGTAGCTTTCGTTCCAACTTCGAGCTTGGTTGAGGAGGATGAGGAAGTTGCAGGTTGCGATATAATGTTAGCTCTCGGGACGAAAGGATTCCATGTTGGCCAGCTGGAAGTCTCAAGACTGAGCTCTAACACAGATGAAAGTGGCGCACGAATAGTGGTTGTAGTAAGTACTGTGAAAAGCACTCCTGTGGGATATGTTGGTGTTGCAATAGGGTCAACAGCTGTTGACCGGAGAGATGACGTTTTCGCACCCGGATCTTTGGAAGCCATATTTTCCAATTGTGAGAAAAATGTTGTCTTTTCAGAGTTTGACTCCTATCAGTACGACAGCTGATGGTCATATATTTTATGCTTTGCGATCACCAAGACATTTCCTCAATCAGGAATGCACCTGCGATCCTGATAAAGTTATCATAGCGCGAAAGTTCGCGGGATTGACGTAGTATGTCCGCCCCGCTTGTGAGCGTCTCACGTACCCCTTTGCACGGGTCCAGGGAGAGTTCTGCAACCGACCTGACTTGGAAATACCGACGGGATACGATGTGCAACAAAGCTTAAATTTGCTGATTGTCATGTTCTGAAATCTGGGGTAGCTTGCCGTGATCAGATGTCGGGTCGCGGTTTGTCTAAATATGGACTTCCGAGAAAAGCATCTCCACCAAAAATGGAGGACCTTGAAATCGAGTGCTATTGGTCCGTACTTGGTAAGAATTCCTTTACATTGTCTTAGCTTCTCAGGACAGTGTCCATCTCAAATAAGGAGCATTACCACGGAGCCCTACCCGTTGAGCAAACATGCGCATCTGGTTCTCATGATCGCCAGGACCACAAGAAATGAGGAGTAGAGGCTGACATGTCGACTGTCTCTATATTATGCCTCACGATCTTTGGGACTTTGTCTCTGAGCGTTAGTTGTAGAACAAGCAGAAGATCCTGCGGGCATCGTCCCCAAACTTCTGCGTAGTGAGTTAAAGATGAGATTCTGGGAGCGTAGCGCAAGCAGGCAAAACTCTTCAGCCTTAGCAAGGCTTACAGAAAAGGGGTGGCGAAAACACCATGAAGTTCTTTCGTGAGCCCCAAATAATTTAATCTCAAGTCAGGCTCATACAAGCAGAATTTCTATGCCCAGATCCCTGATTACCTCCCTCCAGTCGACAACAGTTTCGCCCTCTGTCTTTTCGTCAACGCAGCTAAGTCGGCTTCGTTCTCGCCATACAGCTTCGATAACCAATCTCACGTCTTTTCGATTTGCTGCGCCCATCAAATCCGCTCTACTCAGCCAAGTTCTTACACGGCTCTTGTGCGACTCTTCGAAGACCTCAACGGCACCAATGAACACAGGCCAAAGTGCGATATATCCTCCGTTCAGAGTTAGATACTGTTCAATCGCATCGAGCATGAGCGTGACATAGGGCAAAAGAGCACGTGGATGGAAGTTGAGGATGCGCCTGTGGAAATGTATTAAAGCTCCTATTTTGAATATTTCATGATGGAGCTTTGCAAGTACGTTCGTTTCTGGGTCTTCAGGCTGGCATTGTTGAATCCGTCGATGCAGCTCTTTGATAGTGGTCTCGTGTTTCTCAACAAGAGGCTCTTTGAACCAGAGCTTCGACTCAAGAGAGGTGGTATCATGGATGCACCTCATCAACCGCGGGCCAGCACCAGCAGTGAAGCCGAAGTCGTCTCGATATGCTATCAAGGAAAGTAGAGATCTCATTGTCTCATCATCCTTAGTACTTCGCAAGTGAATTTCTTGCATAGTATCGGCCCGGATCTTGACCAGGCATAAACTTTGCGCTGTGATCCATGCCTCTTCGGAAATCGCCCATGGTTTCTCATCACTACACGTCATGAGAAAATTCCATGCGCCGTTCAGATGCACCTTCCAAGAGGTTGTTAATCCAGCATATACCTGTGTTGTATTAGCGACTTCCCCATGATTCGAGTATGGAAGTCATACCTCGGCCATGATCAGTGTTACAATACTTGCTATAACGGCACTGAAGTCCATATCCCCAAGACTTGTTCTCAGATGCTTGACTCCATCAGAATAGAACTGTGTTGCTAAACGCAACATTTCCTCCCGTCGAGACCCAAGGTGCGCCAAATTACCAGCTGCCTGAGCAAGGATGGCATAGTACAAAGACTTTTGTCCTCGACTGGAGCCTTGCCGAGCCATTCGAGGATAGAAGGATCGCCATGGATTTCGTTTGTCCTTGAATGGCATCATATTCAGTGCCGTGTATGTGAAGTAGTGATGACATAGCTCTTTTACTAGTCTGAAGTTGCCATGTGAAGCATTTGGTACTTCCGAAAGAGACAGTGGTATTACATTAGGAGCACAGAATACCGTGAAAGGACCGGCTGACTTTTCAATTTCTTCTGCTTCATCATGGTTTTCGACATTGCATTGAGCGATCAGACTATCTACCTCGATGGGCTGATGAATCCGGTGTCCGCGCCATGTGAGATCTATCCCAGTCAGTTCCTGGCTGTTCAGTTGTTGGCTGCCCCCACCTGACCGGAGAACACGACGCCTTCCAGGTGGATAGTCCTGATACCCTTTCACCCATATGTAGATAGGCTCATATCCACTGCATCGATCGCCTCTTTTTATGCACGTGTTACAGGCGGGAACACCTTCATCGCACTGTTCGGACAATTATCAGACGGACGACATTCCCTTCCTGTCGATAGCGCAGACGTACCTTTACTTTGCGAGACCTGCAGGTCCAGCAGCCCTGTAGAGCGACTTAGATAAGTTGAAAATTGTCATTGTACCAGTTGCTCACGGTAAACGTCTTTTGTCGAACTTTCCGTTTCGGGCTAATAGATTGAGACGCCTTCAATTTGTGAGCTTCGTCCATGGCTCGCTATCAATGCCAGAATCCAGCGTCTGATGCACGAGGATGAACGCCACCCTAATATTCATTCCGCTTATATCAGAAAACATCTGCTCTTGACGAGGTGAAACAACTTTGGACGTAAGTTGTTAAGACTGGGATATGATAGCGAAAGCGTTGATCCGGGCCCGGTTCCGGCTGCACGCACCCCACTTATGACCTGCAGTCTGCTGATCAGTATGTTTGTATAACCTGCACTTGAGATGTAGAGAACTTGGAGGGAAGATATCTTGAAAAGTCGAGCGAAATGAAAATGGCATATGATAGCGGAAAGTGCAATTATTGAATTGCCGTGGAGTTCGAGTATGGATAAGTATGCCATGTTGCCTCGTCCCGGCTCTTTTCCTACAGTCGAGCACTTCATTTCTATTTCTTGCAAGGCCACTCACTCTAGCAAGTCACTGCTTTGTGAAAGTTTGAGAAGATTCTTTGGCCACAATGCCTTCTTCCGAGAATAATTCACTATATGCCTCAGCGCAAAAGAACCTGCTCGTCTTTGGAAGTAGCTTCCTTCCAGACGTCATTGTTAAGACCTCTGGACTTTACTTGTACACGGCATCTGGCAAGAAGATCATGGATTGGACATCAGGTCAAATGTCCTGCTTGATAGGACATGGCCACCCAGCTGTTGTGAAGACAATCACGGAACATGCTGCCAACCTCGACCACTTGTACAGTGGCATGCTTTCCCCACCAGTCATACAACTAGCTGAGAGGCTGGCCAATGTTCTGCCCGATGGGCTTGACAAGGCTATGTTTCTCAGCACAGGTGGTGAGAGCAACGAGTGTGCGATAAAATTGGCAAAAATGTATACAGGAAAGTTTGAGATCGTAGGACTGGGTGCATCTTGGCATGGGTCGACAAGTGGAGCCAGTACGTCAAATTCCTTCATTTGTATTCATTGTTACGAAGCAAGGTCTTTGGGATCATCCTCGGGAGCAAATCATTCAACAAGATGTATTTCAAGTCCTTATATGAGCTACTCGGCTCTTGGATCTTTGTTAACAGTGTACTGATTTGTCTATAGGAGGTGCGCAATATCATGCTGGGAGAAAGGGGTATGGACCGATTGTACGTCCTCTGGCTGCTACTAATAATCGTTAGTGCTCTCTATTCCTACCGGAAGTCAAATTTTCTTTTCGAAAGATCCGATGCCCAAGGGCAATTTTACACCAAATCTTAAGGCCAACTCCCAGATTTGGAGTTGCCTGAAGAGACTTGTATGTGTCAGGCATCGGACATTTCAAGAAAACCAACTTCCCGTAGGAATGGAAAGCACTAACCATGTTATATTTTGATCCTCCTAATATGGTCTAGATGCCGGGCATGCACATGCTACCCTCACCAGACTCGTATCGCTCAATCTTCCGAAACAAAGATGGTTCTTATGATTGGGAGACAGAGCTTGACTACGGCTGGTCGCTCATCGACAAAGCATCAGCTGGCTCACTGGCTGCTGTGATCATGGAACCGATACTCAGTTCGGGTGGAATGATAGTCATACCTCCTGGTTACATGGCTGCTATGAAAGAGCATTGTCGGAAGCGAGATATGCTCTTGATCGTTGACGAAGCTCAGACAGGGCTTGGTCGATGTGGCGATCTCTTTGCAATCCAATACGAAGGTGTGGTGCCGGATATCCTGACATTAAGCAAGTACGTCAAATTTTGCCCTTGTTGTGGGGGGCCGAGATCTTCGGGATTCTCCTCAGAAGCTTTCATCAAAGAAGATGTTGTTCTAATTCTTCGGACGATCCTTGACTCCCAGATCTCTTTCAAAATCGTGTACTGATTCGTCAATAGGACATTGGGAAATGGACTTCCACTAAGTGCTGTCATCACGAGCAATGAGATTGCCAAGGTGACAGAGGAAAGAAATTTCATGTTCTATACCACACATGCTAACGATCCTCTTCCTGCTGCCGTTGGACTTACAGTTTTGGATACTGTGATTCAAGAAGGTTTAGCACAACAAGCAAAGACCATCGGACCACAACTACATGCTGGTTTGCATCGCTTGATGGAGAGATATGGCTGTATTGGAGATGTCAGAGGACGAGGTCTGATGGCAGGGGTTGAGATCGTGAGTGATCGCGAAACAAAAGCAGCTGCTATCGAATTCGGAAAGAATTTGAGTGCGAGAATAATGGAGCTGGGGCTCTCTGCGATTATATCAGCCAGGACAACGTTCTCTGGCTGCATTAGGATTGCACCACCGCTGACTATCACAAATGATGAGTTGTCTGAGGGTTTGGCGATCTTCGAGGAGGCTCTGAGGACTACTCAAGGTTCGATGCCGCTGTACTAGGTGGCTAAAGACATTGCCAACATCCATAAGCCGAGGGGAGATTGGGGTTTCGCATTCCGCGACCTGCTTCTGGTGATGTTTCGTCGAACGTGGTCGCTCTTAACAGGGACAGGCTATACTCTTACAATGCAAATGAGCACTGTCAACTCTCTTCCATCGGCCAATGCAACTGCAAGAGTAACGTCTATCCCTGCGTACCGAGACGCCCCCTGTAACGAGACAAATCGTAGGTACCTCGAGTTCATGCGACATAAAATCTGTGAACGCTCTGAAATTTCTATCCATTTTGATTTCAATTACATTGTATACCTCCCCCGAACACTCCTAACCTATCAATTCCGAAAATTATTATCGCGTCGTCGCCGCCCCTTAAGTTTACAAAGAGCCTCCTTTTACACTATAATAAAACCCCTTAATGTGCGACACCACCATTAAGTTTTTTTCACCTTTTAAACACATAAATTGATTGAATATGGATATCCAAGTTCTATTATAATGCTAAATACTATTTCCACTCTTGTGGCGGCTAGGGCGTGGCCTGTCACACGACGTCGCCACAAAGGATGATACCTCCTCCAATTAAGCGATTAAGGATCCTGGTCAGCGGCGGTGTGGTTATAGTAACCTCGGTAAAATTATATAATAAAATCTGTGGCTGCGGCGCTTGTAGCTGCGCGTACCCTGCCGGGAAATTCCCGTGTGACTAGAGCAAAAAGTGGCCTTGTGCGCAACTAACAAAATCAGCTGTCTTCCACTTGCGGCTTTTCCGAATCTTCTTTTCTCAAACAGTTTTGCGCTCTGCTCGGAGAGAGTAGTACGACGAACTTCTTTGGTTTTTAGCCCTAGCCTCCAAGGGACTCCGGTTGCACAGTTGCTAGCGAATTCCAGGATGACCTTATCGACGACAGAGTCCGTAAGGGTCGAAAGGTTGTCGAGAGGAGCACGGTATTAGCACCGAAGACTGTGATGACTTGGCGAAGATGCTAACAGTAGCTCAGACAGTGACAGAATTGCACTAGTATGCTGATAATCTCGATAAGTCGACCAAAACAGCGGCTTGTGCGTCCGCCCCCTCCACCACGCGCAAATTATACCGATAATGGAAGCTCTTTCGACAGCATTGGTGCTCTGTTGGTCTGCGAGCACTCTCCGAGTCGAGTGCTCCTTTTGCCTTAGTTCCTATGGGCATAGGGTCGGAAAACTCCCAAGAGACATACAGCGCCGTTCTGCTGATTGCGACTATATATCTGGTGGCCGATCCTACCGAACCCTGTATCCTGACGAAGAATCCGACTTCACTGTCCCTTTTGGCTGGGAGTTGGACAAAGAAGAAAGCATAATCTACACTGTGACCCACCAAGGTCGGCTCTGTGATCCTCTTTTGCTGAGGTCTCAGCCCCGACGTCTGCTCGATGAACACCAAAACTCAAGCTGGCCAGGTGAGAATGAAAAGGCTGCCGCAAAAGATGAGGTCGCAATTGTAGACTCTCTGAATAGCATGAGATTATTTGATTCCGAAGAACTCGACGCACAGCCAACCTAGCCGGATGATGTATAGAGAGATTTCATAAAAAACCAATCCTTTCGCTCCAAATATTATCTTTCGGCATGCTGTTCAAAGGATACGGAACAACTCGAAGCTCTTTTCCGCATATATCCCGAAGACTTATTTACGAATGCCGTTGATCACGAAGGGAACAACGGGATTCTTCTTGCCGCAGCTGAGGATGCTGGGTTGGATACTGTCAAATGGTTAGAACAGAAGGGAGTTTCTATTAACCAGAGGAACTATTATGGCAGAACTGCATTGATGGAGGCTACTCTATGGGGATGTCTTGAAACCGTCCAATTCCTCATCGATAGAGGTGCAAGTATATCTGCAGAGGATGCTAACAGACACCGTGCAGCCAACTTTGCCGCTGATTCCGAATGGAACGAAGAAGAGCGCATATCTCGAGCAAATAACATAGTGATGGTACGCCCGGATGCGAACAGGAAGCGGAGGCAAATTCTGGCTTGCTTGACGAGACACGAAACCATGGGCCGGAGTCTTCTCAACAGGGCAGAGCCATCGCAAATCCATCAAGGGTATTTTGGTAAGATATTGCCGAACTTGCTGTAGTATTACAGGGCTGATACAAGCTATGAGATCGGACCCGGGGAGGTCTATATAAGCTAGATAGTTTCCTAAGTAGATAGAGCTTCGTGCTCAACTTCAATAGTATTCTTTACCACATACTTAGGAACAGTCTTACCCCGTACGTGATACACCTACTTCTCGATCAACAGAAATCACCAACAGCCTGAGGATTGCATCGAGTAATCCACGATCGTTACAATCTTGTGGCAGTGTTCCTGCCAAAAATCAATCAGAATACGCAATGGGTATAAGTGGCTTACATACTTTCGAGTTTTAGCAACCCAACTTTTCGAGTGTTTCATTTCGCTTAACACTAAGCCATATAATTCCAGCTCAAGTTACGTAATAATGCCAATCGGGATTTCTGCAAATTTTGCTTTAACGCAATGATCTCCGCGACGAGAACTACCTTACTCGTTGGTCCCCCTCAACCCTTAAAAATGCTTAAGGGAAAATCAACCCAAGCATTTTACGCCAGGCTTTATGAATCTTCTAACTATGACTTGCCGACCAGTCACAATATCTTTGGATTGGATGATACTAAAGTACCAAGTCACCATGCCTACTCGGTAAGCCCAGTTTAGTCTAGACTTGAGGGCACAGCTTGACCAATGGGAGAGTGGATTCCACCTCCGTCTAGCAAAATTCTATCTTTAATGACGAGGCTGAGTTAAAGGTCAATGATAAAGCTCCCAAACTCTCGCTGTATAATTTAAGGTGCAATTCGTTCCTCACACCGAGCCATTTCCTATTCAACTCTCCCTTTTATCAATAGAATTCAGCACAATGTCTATTCCTATGATCGACCCATCTCTATCTCCAATCGAAGGCTATCCGAAGCTTGCGCGCCATATGGGAACATATTCTGAATGTGCAATATACCGTCGATTTGCCTGCCTCAACTCTCAAAATTTACTCTACTTCCAAGCAGAGTTAACGCACCTCGAGCAGAAACTTCGTCGCCTAGAAGCTGCTGATCTTGTATCCACCGGAGAGAACGCTTCTATTTATTCGAAAGATTGGTACTGGTTGAATAACTCTGCATCTGAAGAGAATAGTGAGCAGTTGGAAACTGTTCGTGCGATACGTGGCAGGTTGAAAGAGTATAGTCAGTTTTTCTATACTTTATGTCTGATGGCGATACTGATGATTGCGCAATAAAGATGATGTATTAATCCAGCAATCTATTATCAGCCGCCTAGCCGATCCAAATACACTCAACCTTCGATCCCTACAAAACTGGCTTGAGCGGCCAGATATGGGGAATCTCGCTCTCATTGGGAAAGATAGAGATACTTGGGGAGCTTCTGACGAGCCACTAAGTCATAATATGGATCTTCTCGCGACTAAATCGGGTGGGGATAGCGATGCATTCTCTACCTGGGTTAGCCAGAAGCTCGTATACTGGTTGCATAACATTTTCTGGCATCGGTTAAAGAGAGTTGATGATGCAGAATCTGGAATATGTTCATACGAGGATAAAACTCTGCAGAAATACACTTCAAACATCACCACAATCGTTGCTTCTTCACTGCCGATATTAGCTATTGTGGTTTTAAATTGTGTCGTTGCGATAAATGCTCGGTTGGGTCTTATGGCGCTTTTTACGGTTGTGTTTGCGGCCTGCCTATCGTTTTTCACCAATGCTACGAGGGGGGAGATTTTTATTGCTACTTCAACGTGAGTTCTTTTCTTTGTAGATCACAGTTTGATTGTAACTGATAGATTTGATAATAGTTTCGCAGCCGTGGAGGTGGTGTTCATTTCGACTAATAACGGAATGAGTTCTGCCAGCACTTGATATGTAACTTTAGACGGTTGACAAAATTGCATAAGAAGAGTCAAAGATGTGACGGTTGAAGTAGAATATGGGATATATGAGACTCTATGAGACATTGAGATACGCAGGGCTTTCATCACACCAAGAAAGTATTAATATCATGGTGCATAGTATGAATGTGTTGTTGGCTTAAACAAGTCATAGTGAAGATGAAGGCGCAGCAGTGGTGCAGTGCTTTGGTGCTATTGACTCTGCAGTGTTTTCTGTGCTGTCCTAGCTACGATTTACTCCGGGACTCCCTGAACTGAAGCCGTCGGTATTAGACTTAGTCTGCCGAGCCGCCTCCTCTTTCGCCTTGATATCCGCATCAACCTTAGCATCGTTTGTAGCCGCCTTCTCATTGTGCTCTCGTTTCCGTGTGGTGAGATATGCTTTCTTTTCTGTGATGCAGCTGTCAGCACTGGCATATGGAAGGGAAAATCCGACTTCAAACCTCTTGATTTCTTCGGTAGGATAGGCCTTGCCCCCCCAAACCCAGCAAACTTCAAGATGCTATATTCACGTATAGCTTCGGCACCTAGAATGACGTCCCATGGAAGGGAATCACCATTGATGACATGAAAGATGGTGGTGAAGATCTTGCGAAAGCGTTTGCCTTTCCACCGGAGGATGAGTGTGCCCATAGACATGAGCTGTTCGCCGTTGAGACAGGTACAGATAGACTCGTTGTGGATGGTCGTATTATCGAAAAGATGGAGCTTGTGGACGGCTTGGAGTGTGATGAGGTTGTGGATTTCGCATCCGGTGTCGAGTCTCATCTTGAACTCAACGTAACCATTTGCGTGTGAGGAGAAGATCTTGACAGTCCTCAGAAAGGGATCACTAGGTTGCTGAGAGTATTAGCATGTCACCCTTGACTATGTGGAAACGGCCTGTAATTTACATACCTTGTTCTTGAAAACTCTTTTTATCTGCTTCCATGTCTTTGTTGCAGCTCTGGAAAGCTTTTCAATGAATATTGTGAAAGGGTTCGGCATGGCTTGGGATAGAATGGAATGATGTATGGCCGTTATATCTGATCTACTCAACTGGCCACAATCAAGTAGGCCTAGAGCTCAAGTTGTGTATATTAGCAGTGAGAAGTTGTAGAGGAGAATTGTTTGATGGAACACAGATTGAAAGATATATAGAGAAACCCCTTGTAAGATTTTGGATTTCGTGTAGGATATCGTGCCCTGAAATGAATGACTTTCAGCTAGCCAGCCTTTCTAAGACTTTGGACTGCGCGTATCAGAAAAGACGGAGCAGCGTGAATGTCATCTGCCAATGCAGCATCCTTTAAGATTCTGGAATCGACTTATTGGAGAATACTCGTCCCTGGCGCTTATACCATGCTTAAACAAATATCAGTTAGGTGATTCCTGGTGATTAGTGTGTGGAGAACTGGATGGGTGGTTGTGCATAAACTCCCTGTAAGATTTTGGAGTTAACCTGCCAAAGAATGGCACTAGCCACGTCGACAATATGATGTCCAGATCCGGGTGGTGACTTCTCTGTTCCCCATTCTCTGCAAGATTTTGGCGTGGACTTATCAGGACAACTTCAGGCTTTCCGCCACCCTCGGATAGGAATAGGAATGAATGAAAACGTAGTCAGATTTGGAATGGGTAGCAAAAGCTGGGGCTAGGCACATGGAAGGAGGGCAAGAACACGAAACAAAATTGTAATCGATAGAGCTGTGACAGAGCCTCGCTGGAACCATGTACGGTTTTGGCAGTGGCGAATAGAATATCAGATGGTGACCGTGGAAGATCTCCAAAATTGTGCACCTAAAGGCGCCTGGTGGCTTGGCGATTTTGTGTCGCAACAACCCGGTAAGATTTTGGCAATACGGATCCTATTGGAGGCACATGGTCTGCCTCATACTACTCGGGCGTTTTCTGCCAAGCACTTGTGCAACCTCAACGTAGCATTAACCGCTTCAATGGTAAGGCTGAGCAAGATTTTGGCAATAGCCAATAAGAGTGAGCTAGCAAGCGGGCAGACCGACACCTTGCGACTCGCCCACCAACTCTTTTAGAGATGACCAGAAATCATCTTCACATCCTGATTTCCAAAAACTCCTCACACCCTCCATCTATTGCATTTATATCTCGTGTCTGAACCCGTTCTTCACATCAAAAAACGTCTCTCTCAACACATCATCATTACTGGTGATACGACATGGCCACGAAGAGAAAAGGAGAAGCTACCAAAGCTCCAACCGAGGAGGAGTGGGACACTCACAAACATGTGCTACGTGAACTGTACTTTGGATCGACCCTCACAAAATTGATGCAGTGCATGGAAATTCAACACGGTTTTATCGCGTCGTAGGTCAAATCTTCAAGAGTCTGTTAAGAGCAAATTGATTGATCAAAACTCAGCAAAAATCAGTACGAGAGAAAGCTGAAGGAATGGGAATTCAGAAAGAACCTCTCGTCCGATGAGTGGAAATATATCATACATAAGAAGCGTAAGCGCGAAGATCTCGGCAAAGAAAGTCAGATCATGATGCATGGCGTTGCGATCCCAAAGAAGAGAATCAAGAAGGAGGAAGGGCGACACACACTATCAGATTTGAATCGGATCTCCACCTCGCGTAATGCTCCAAGTCTTAAAGAGCTTCAATTTTCAACTGACGCGGGTTGTAGATCCAAACGCACCATCTCCAGAAACGCCAGAAGGCATTTGTGTATCCACACCGCCGTCAGCCATCCGAGAAGACTTCATCCGGGCAACACATATCAAGAATCTCCCATACTTTATATTAAGAGACCTCTTTACTTCTCAAGGTATTTACAAACCGATGTGCTAAAGCATACTGAGGATAATACTAACGGATTCCTGTAGGCGGATCAAACCCATTCTTAATCCATCAGAGCAAGTTACCTGCTTCTATATGGTCCCCAGAAGTGAGCTCCACTCCACGAATAGTCGACGTCGAGGAAGACATTCACTCATCAGAGTATACAACAAGAGAGGTTGCGGCCAGTACCCAGCGAGCTAGTGCCTCAGGGGACTTAGTCTCATTTATATCTTCTTGGACTACTGGTACATCTCTCACTGGGAATGGCAATCCGACTAGAAAGATCCATTCCCGCTTGCGCGCCATTCTCCCAGAACAATTCGATGGAGAACCTTTAGCAAGCACTAAAGAATTTCCAGGACTTATCAAGCTAGATGAAAACGCTCAGTGTCTTTCTCTGGCTATGTATTTGATATCGAATAACATGCTAGAGAACGAGGATTATAGCAAGGTCATGGGATACTTTGAGCACTTAAGAGGTCGACAACTCCTTAAGTCTCTACTATCTGTGAAGCCATCATTAGCAATTGATGCATTTGCAGAAAAGCTTCTCATAGCTGCGGCAAAAGTTGCAAATTCTATGATTATCAAGGAGCTTCTCAAAGCTGGAGTAGACCCAAACGCACTGGATGGGTACAGTCAGAGGCCCGTGCTTTACTATGTTATTCAAAAAGGCAATATCGAGCTGGTCCAAGTTCTTCTAGCTGCCGGTGCCGATGTCAACGCTGCAGCAACT